GTGTTGTTGAGATATAGAGCATTGGAATTTGCCATTTTGTATGGAATACAGAGGTGCCGGCTCGGTGGTGATGCCGACTCGGTGGTTGAAAACGTACTTACAATGTTATACTTAATCCGTTATACACGTGATCAAATCTGACTAAGCAGACCTTTTGTGACACACCACCTAAAAAAGGAACCCAGCTGACCTGCAACCACAGTCGCCGCCTGCTTGATTGGGCTCACCTCTCCATACATAGCGGGCCCTTAACAGTTCCGTCAGCAGTGGATCGGATTAAATGATTGATTTGATACGAAGTAGAAAACAAAACAAATAAGTCAACCACGGTGGACCACCCAAACCACCTACACAACAGTGACCACTGGCTCTGGGACACTCGCATAATATACCCCATTTCATCCTAGCCCAAAAGAATCACAGCACTAAACCATCTATCTACACATCCATGTCCACGCCAATGTCTGATGACTCTCCGGCGCAAGAATCCGAGAACCCTCTCCTGCGCGCCTCGAACCCATTGGTCTCTGATCTTGAACAAGAAGTTCTAGATGAATACTCTCGGTTGTTGGGCAATGTGAACAAGGTATGTAGTTGCCTTGGCTTCCCAAACTTATCGACCTATCCTGTTATATTCGCTATACCCCGCCCATCCTATCAATACTCGTCGTTCCGTATCAGTTCTCGAGAATGCTAGAAATTAACTCATACTAACGTGATTTATTTCCAGCTATCTGAGAAACTCGCCGATCTCTCTGGTGATCCCTCGTCTCTCACTCTCGACGGCCTCCGACTCCTCGAAAGGAAGACTGCGACGGTCTGCACGCTTCTCAAAGCGAGTGTGTACAGTATTGTACTCCAACAGCAGATCTTTAATGAGAATGAGGAGCAGCAACAGATGGAGCAACAAGGCAACCCTATGCAATATCATGATCAGGGATATGATTTTCAGGATGAGGATGTGAGTTTTGATGGGCGGTATACTTGATCTTCGTTCACCTTATGGGTGTGGGTCGGGTTTTTGTGAATATTAAATTTGCATATATGGGTGTGGGCGATGGGTATACCCCTTTGTTTTATGTGGGTTTTCATTGGTGTGGTGTTGGGATTAAAGATGGGTATTTACGGAATCTGGTACTGGATCGATATGATATAGCATGACACTAGCCTTGCAGATACAAATACATGTCAGGGTACAGTCAAAACAAAGGGTAAAGACGAAAGAAAAAAGAAAAGAAAAAGAAAGATTATATACATCGCCATAACGCAAAGAAGCGTGCATTATATGCCGCAAACAATGCTCATATTCGTACAGTCTATTCTATGCGAAATGATGACTGTCGGTATGTCTGGATAGCATAGGCTTATTATCCATAGACGCACCAGAACCCACTTTAATACCCGGAAATGATATACTCAGCCAAAGAAAATAACATCGTTTTGATAGACGCCGACTAGGCTCTTCCTGAGTAGTAGACCTTACGAACATCGACTATCTTCTTGCCACGCGCACGGGCAATATCTTCTGGGTTGCGTTGGCTCATAATGGCTTCATAGGCTGCTTTAACAGTGTTCATGGGATTCCTCGAACGACCAACACGAGCAGCGAGGTCGTGAATACCAGCTGCACGGCACATCTCGAAGATCAAATGCTGACAACGGAGTCCGAATCCTATGCACAGTTAGTAGCTGAAACTAGTCGTTCATAATCGAGCGTATGCATACCTGGCGGACGGGTCATCAACTTCAATTCGACTGCTCCCACCTTGCCCTTAACATCACCAAAGATGGTGCGATTCTCGTACCGAGGGATGGGTTGCATGTTTCTGATGGCTCGGTATTTGGATTGTGTGATGGCATCGGCAGACTCCTCTGACTTGGCTTCACCGATTCCCAGGAGGCCATTGCCGTTGCCAGCGATGGAAAGACAATACATACGACGGACCTTACCCAGACGAGTTTGGTTGACGACCGAGTGCGAGACAAGAGTCTTTGTCGCCAGCCCCCTGATAAATGCTTGGGAATAGCCTGTCGACTGGAGAAGTCTCTTCAGCGCGTCAGTCACCTCCTCAGAATCTGGGCCCTGTAACGACTCCTGGGTCTCGAAAGGTTGCCATGCTTTATTGTCCTCCGTCAGAGACTCCCCCGGGCCAAAGAGATCGGGCACTAGAGTACTGTGAGGATTCAGCTCATTTTCCTCCTTTCCCAGCGTGACTCGCGTGGACTCGGTAAACCGTGCCCAGTCCTCCGCGGAGATCTGCTTCTCACTGGCAAAAAAGTGGGCATAGTCTTCGATGAAATCATCATCGCTTTTCAGGGTCACGTTATAGTCGGAGTTGGATTTGGGGGCCCGGATATGCTTGTCCACGCCAGGTTCAATTGTCGAAAAATCATCCAGGTAATGAAGCTTCATCGGATCCTGACGGATAGCGAACTGCTCTGCCATATCATGGGGATCAATTGCCGCCTCACCGGCCTCAATTGCGGCCAGTTGCTCAGGAGTGTATTCTTCCTTCAGGCTTGTCTTTTCCTCTTCCGTGTACGGCTTGAAGTGTCTGGGTTTCAGATCCCGCGTAATCTCGTCCAAAGTCTTCCCATCTCGAGCCTGTAAGTTGGAGAATTTCGGCGTACGGTTTGCGAACTGCGTCAGGGAAGGGTGGAATTGTCGACTAGGCACGCGAGTGCCCGCGGAGACACTCCGAGAGAAGCTGCAAAACACACATCGTGCCGGCCTTGCGAAGCTCATGTTGAAAGATTGAAGCTCTCTGGCCAGCAGAGGCCACTTGAGAACTAATCCGGGGAGAGTAAAGGAACTGGGGCAAGTGGGATCGACCGCGGTGCGAAGGGTGGACGGAGACTTGGATGGTTGAAGAAGTGAAGGACTGAAAGCCGGTGAAATTCTCAGCGGAGCGGTTCAACCAATTGCCGCTCACCTTTTCTTGGTCACTCATCTCGTCCCTCCAGAATTTCGGCCAATTTTCACGTTCTATTCTTTCGCAACAATTTTTCTGGTTTTTTATGTTTTTTTTTCCCTTTACGATTTTATTTATTATATATGTTCACATTTAGGGCGGGTTTCTCCCTATCGCGAAAACACTACTCTTCAATTCTTTCTTTGCGGACTGGACATCTCGTCCACTCTAACACTCTTTTGTCCCACTGTCCATACCCCATTGCGCAGTTTTCCTCAACCACAATGCAGAACTCTCCCAAGAAACCAGATCAGAGTATGAAGCGGCGCAAGAAGGGCAAGGCCGATCGAGAAAATAGCAGTGGGTTTGATGAAGTCCTTCAAGCCGATATCGACCAGCTGCTACGAAAGCATAAGCCTGAGAGCGAAGTTGGTATAGAAGATGCTTCCACCCCGCCACCTTCTTCTCTACCGGAGACTTTCACTGAGATTGAGGTCAAGGTCGCTCAGCTATCATCAACTGGCGATGGCCTCGCGCTGTCTGAGAATGCGAATCATGTCTACGTCGTTCCCTTTACAGTCCCCGGCGACAAGGCCTTGGTCAAAGTTGTGCGCCATTTTCCTACCTTATCCTATAGCTTGACAGATTTTATCAAGACGGTTGAAGCAGGTCCTCAGCGAAAGGATTCTGCGATAGGATGCCAGTATTTCGGCAAATGTTCTGGCTGCCAGCTGCAAATGATGTCCTATGAAGATCAGCTGGCTCATAAGAAGCGCATTGTGGAAAAGGCTTACGCCAACTTCTCCGGCTTGATTCCGGAGTTAATACCCGCTATTGGCGACACTTTCCCCTCTCCTTTGCAGTACGGTTATCGCACAAAGTTGACGCCACATTTTGCGGGCCCCAGTGGAAATAGAAGGAGTAAGAACGGCCCTAGAGAACCTCATACCGAGGTGCCACCTATCGGATTTACATATAAGAATCAGCGCCGGGACTTGGATATTGAAGACTGTCCTTTGGGCACCGATATTGTTCGAAAAGGCCTCAAAAGTGAGAGAAAGAAGGTTGCGGAAAATATTGGAAAATACAAAAAAGGAGCCACGATTCTGCTGCGGGAATCCACTGCGCGGATTCCGAAAGATGGGGTGGATGCTGGTTCGACAATAAAGAACCGCGATATTGAAACTGGGGAGGACTCAGGTGATGTGATACAGATCGAGCGTGAGAAGTACACCGAAGAGAAACGGTGTGTGACGGATCCCAATGGGACATCAGTCGAATACATCGATGATTATTTTTTCAGCAACAAAGCCGGCGCTTTCTTCCAGAACAACAATTCCATCCTCTCTGGCTTTACAGAATACATCCGCCAGCTTGCACTACCAGAGAACAATCAACAAGATCCCAAGCCCATTAAATATCTCCTGGATGCCTATTCCGGTTCCGGTCTTTTCACAATCACACTCTCGCCACTCTTCAGGTCAAGCCTCGGTGTGGATGTAGCCGGAGATTCTATTGCCTCCGCGCGTGAGAATGCGCGCGCCAACTCCCTTCCAAATACCGGCTTTGCCGCGGCGGATGCCGCCACACTTTTCAAGGACGTACCTTATCCTCCCGACCAGACACTTCTCGTGATTGACCCGCCCCGCAAGGGGTGCAGTGATGACTTCCTCAGTCAACTTCTGACTTTTGGGCCTCGCCGCGTCGTCTACGTGAGTTGCAATGTACATACACAGGCGCGGGACGTAGCGGTTATGGTCCAGGGTGACGCGGAGAAGAACATCCGTTATGAGATTGAGAGTATCAGAGGCTTTGACTTCTTCCCTCAAACAGGTCACGTAGAAGGCGTGGCAATTCTAAACAAGTCCACATTCCGATGAATGAATGCGCAAAATTCAAAACCTTTGCTATACAACAACTTTGGATACAATATTTGGTCTTCAGCGCGTTGGCTACAATACAAAGGAATATAGAATAGACATTAATTGACGATTCTTTCCTTACATGGATAACCCTGTCGAGAAGCAAAAGTAGTGTTCTTAAACTTTCGTTATGGGGTGATGTATTCTAACCTACCTCTTAACCGATTGCTACGTTGTGAATAGTCGTTCAGGGGTCACATGGTGTATTACTAAAGCTGAAGATGTTCAGCAGCATTTTTCGTCAACACTTCATTCACTTGTATTATGCCTTCTACCCTTGTGTTCTGCAATTGTCAACGGTCTGGATTACAAGGTGTCACACGCACAATCTACAAAGACATTAATCGTAACAATCATTACAAAAGGACGTTTCAGCTTTCATCGAGTGCATCAGAACGCCATAAGTTGCTGGCATCCAATCCCTGGACCTATTGCAAAGCGCCTACACTACAGATAAGTCCAGTATGACATGGATGAGAGAGCCCACAGAGCTAATTAAAGTGGGGGATGACTTAAACATAGATCAATATCCTGCTTTCCTGCTTGCGGCGCTGACTAGCACTAACCAGGCAATATACTTTCCAGAGCAGGTTCTTCAGCCTGAATAGTCTCATCTGCTGCCGGGCTGCTGGAACAGGTTCTACGATCATACTCATGGCTCTACGTCATCCTAGCTATTCTCTATTCTTTCATTTATATACGTTTTCAGGTCTCGTTGTCCACGGAATGCTCTTTAAATCCGTTCGGCGTATAATGTTCCCTGTTAGAAAGATCGAACAGATCAATCAATCAAAATGTCTTCAGCAGCTTCCTGGTTACTCGAGTCAGATTTATTCAAGCCGATTCCCGAGCATCTAACGAACGATGAAAGGATCAACGTCAGTTATCACCGCGCTGGTGCGGTTGCCAAGGCATATGGTACGGTTCGTCAGACAGGACTGGCTTAAGAACTCACACATATAGATATAGGTTTGGAGACCACAGATATCCTTAACTTGACGCCAAAGTTTTGGCAAATCCACCAAGATATGCTTCTTTCTGTCGATTTTGCAGCTTTTATTTTGGTGTCAACCCAGTATAATGTTGCTGGTGCAACGCTTGCTACGTTCGTTGCAGATCAACCTGAGTATCAGCCACTCTTGGATCGAGTACTAAGATTTGACGTTTCGTAAGCTCTTGAAGCCCTAGTGGACCAGCATTATGTAGATATGGCTGACTTTACCTAATGGAATTCAATTCATGCTCACTGAGGTCGGACATGGGTTAGATGCTCGGAATCTAGAGACGATCGCGACGTTGCTTCCCGATGGCAGTTTTGATCTACATACACCAAGCACAAATGCAGCAAAGTAGGATAAACTAATTCTACATTCCTAGTCCTCTATAGCTGACTAGATCAGATTCGCAACTCCAAACTCGCCAAGAAAAGGATTTCCTCGAGTTGCTCTCGTGTTTGCCCGGCTTCTTGTCTCTACTAATGACTGGGGTGTGAAGCCATTCGTTGTCTGGCTTAACGATGGAAAACAGATGTACGAAGGAATCACTGCCAAGTATACACATCCCACGAGAGCCAGTGTTGGAAAGACCTATAGAGACTAAAGCCTTACAGGTTACTCCCTAGGCGAGCAGGATCAAAACCCTTAGACCATACCATCACAGCATTTACACATGTCCGTTTACCCAGATCAGCGCTTCTGGGACCACTAAAGAAGCCAGGAAATGTACGAGAAAACTTCCTATCAATGATCCAACGTGCTAGCGTTGGCGCTCTAGCATTCACTACGGCTCTTATCCCAGCGATGAAAAGGGCAGTTTTCATAGCTGGGAAATACAGCCTTCGCCGTCAAATTCTGGGACAAAACAATATGCCCCTTCCTATCATCTCATTCCGCACTCAACAGCTCCCTATACTACACGCCTTGGCGCAGATAGCAGTCTTCGAGGCATACGCACACGACAGCATCGAACAATTCAGGGGGTCTTCCAGTACACCAGCCGTTCAACGAGGCATTAGCGCGACATTTAAAGCAGTGCTATGCCAGGCATCTCAGCCTATGTTTCATGCCTTGTCCGAACGTTGCGGTGCTCAGGGCTTATGGAAGTATAACCATATCATCGAATCGCAGTTAGAGACGCGCGCGGTTTCAATTATGGAAGGAGATACGCTGGCTCTTAGCATTAGTATGACTCCCAGTCTTTTCTACTTCACTCCATCTCATAAAAGAAATAGGACTCGGCATCGAGCTCCTCCTCAACCGATACGAGCTGCCACCCCCAGTCAACCCAGGATGTCTCCTAGCCCGGCACGAGAAAGGTCTCTTCGACGAGTGCCGCTCAATGCTCGAAGGGCTAAAAGAAGGCCATCGAAGTGCCGAGTTCAATTCGTTGATTTTACCAAGATGCCCGGTCCTTGCAGAAGCCATTGGACATCGAAGGGCCTACGAAGCCGCTGTGAAAGCAGGCATCGATTCGGATTTGTTAGCGCTATATGAGATTCATACGGTATTGCTAGACCCAAGTTGGTACACCCAACATACGGATCTCACTCGTGAATATTTATTTCGGACAGAAGCTAGGCTTTTAGATGCCCTGTTGCCTCAGTTGGATAAGTTGCTGGATGAGACTGGTGCCGGACCCTATTGTACAGCCCCTATCTTATCACAAGCTTCGTGGGATGCCTTTGTTGGTGGGTTAGAGACACCTGATGGGGTGGGTATGAGTAAGGATAGGGCTAGGCTTTGACCAGATATTTTTTGAATTTTGAGCGGTAGAGTATCATATGCTTGTTTTGGTATAAATTGATATATTCCAGGTTTAGCTGCTACTTGTGCTCCTCTTAGTTGTGATTAAATTTTGTACGTTACAGTGTGAAGGTCTCATCACTCTTTGTTTTGGTGCTTGCATACCTTTTTGCATATTTTCTCCAAACTCCATTGCTATTAAGTTGGCGGTAGTTCGATGTATAGTCTTGACTGTGGTGGGTACAAGTAGGTACCAGGAAATGATAGGCCTTGGAACGTTTTGATCACTCTCTGTTCCTATAGGAGCATCCAAAAGAGGAGGCCGCTCATGAGACTCTAGTGCATATATACATACATACATTGAGCGGGAGTATTCAGGTTAGGTCTTTTCCTTCTGATCTACCCAACTACATGAAAACGCGCAGCGTCAGATTGAAGAGGGCTGCGAATCATCGTAAAAGAAAGAAAAATATTGACAAAAAGCTAATGAACACACTGACTGACAACTAAGCTCCTCTATTTACGTGCTGCCCGGGCCTCCGAGAAGGGCAAATCTCCGGACAATGCTGGGGCCTATCTCATCGTACTCTGCCTTGGTGTGGCAGTAGCTGCGGAATTCCGGTGTCTGACCCAGCAAGCTACCTCCAAACCATGGCCCATGCCGCTGCCTCTTGTGCGTCACAACAGCCACATCCAATCCACCACTCTTGGCGCCACCGCTGCGGGCCTCGGACGCACGAATGCGAGCATCGACTAGATGCCGGATGTCACGCTGCAAACGCCGACCAAAGTCCTTGTATAGCGTGGATCCTCCAGACAAAACAATATTCTTATAAAGACCTCTCCGGACATCGATAGGGGAAGACTGGATGACACCGTCAACGACGTTCGGCAGCGGAGTCAGAAAGTCCGAAGAATAGATTTCAGGGTTGAAGAAGATCTCAGGAGCAAGGAAACGTTCATATCCGACATCGATATTCACCGAACGGCCATTAGGCGAGGTGACAGTATGCTTGAGGAAGCGGTCGGGCTCACGATCATAGCGAGCAAATTCCTTGACGATGTCCGGGCACACGTAACAATATTCCTCCTTGACCTTCTCTGCTGTCTTCAAACTGCTATCCGGCTCGCCTCGGTCACGAAGCAAGCTTTGTACGAAATACGTGATATCTCGACCGGCAATGGGTATACTTTTGATGGAGGACCCGATGACGTAGCCTTCCGCGACGGGAATGACATGGGTGACACCGTCACCTGAATCAATGACAGTTCCTGTGAGGGATCGATCGGTCACTTTAGAAGACGTCCATGAGGCGGCGAGTGCAAGCACGGCTTGAACTGCAATGTAAAGACCGGCGCAATTGAACGACTCGAACATGATCTCCGCAGTGTTCTCACGGTTCTCGGGAGGGTTCAGGGGCTATGCAGTTAGGACACATTAGCAAAAATGCTATTCCACCCATAGCAAACAGCAACCGTGGGGAAACCAGATGAATCAAATGCCTTACAGGTTCAGTAAGTAAGAAGTAATGGTCCTCTGGCTCGACGCGCAAGTACTTAAAAATTGAGTTCGACCAGAACCGTTCCATATGATCCCAGTTCTCAATCTGACCGTGCCGGATGGGATAGTTAATGCCATATCCGGGACCATTGGCAGCAGCTAGAGCTTCATCACCGATGAAGAAATCCAGGTCTTCTGTACCACGTTTCGCAGACAAGTGCGAGCTCGCCCCACCACCTGCAGATAAGAATCCGGGCTTGTTCGCAACAGGAGGCTTAGTGGCTCCAGTACCAGCTTTGGTAGCAATTGCGGTGGGAAAGACAAACGAAGGCGAGTCGTTACCGGCGAAACCTGATTACTTGTCAGCCTAGAGCTCAGCCTGAAGCTCGGTTGGGCGGTTTAGGGTAGTGATAAGGATCAGTCGACGCACCAAGTTTAGAATATCCAGTACCGCTACACGATACCACTCAGAGTTAGTTATCTTCGTTATTTGCGGAGGGGGAAGAGGTCTGTCGGTGTAGAGCAACATACTTGTCCATGACAACGGCTGGGGTTTGGGATGCCATGACGGATAGCTGGAGCGCACACGTCCACAGTTCCCCTTTCTCCCAAGTCGCGATTAGGACAACCTGCAACCAGACTGGTTGGCAATAATTGAGGAAATTAGAAAGAAAACAATAGAACGGGGAATGAAGTAAAGTGGGTACTAGGAATAGGGAGAGACGGTCGTTGGAATAGCGGAGGAGGGGAGGACGGAGGAGGCGGGCAGCCGGTATGTACCAATAAGTTAGTTGGGTTAGACTCTTAGCGTTACTTTACGGTATGATACGAGTACGTGGATAAATAGGATGGATACCTGAGATTCATGACATCCGTTTATGCCAAGCCAAAGTCATGTGCTCTCCGATATCTATGAGTTTGCTTGACCATTTTTAGTAGTTATTGATATTCTCTTATACTGACAGACATACATACTACAAACTACTTCTCGAAATTGCCATGGTTCTTCTGCACTCTCCCCTTCCTACATGAGGATTCATTGTTTGTAAGTCATGGGACCCATGGATCGTATTACCCATAGGGCAACTGCCTCTCAGTCTGTCTAAAGGAAGGAACTGCAAACTATCAAAAACATTCACTTTCAGAGTCAATATTTGTGTTGTCTTCCTGCATTTCCCCTTCTGTATACCTACAACCCTGCACATTCATTGTTACAAGATCATTATTCTAATCCCATTCAGATATTCCTAAATGTTCTCTACTGTCGTTTGTTATGAACTCAATACCTTTAGGTTTACTACACTATTCGTTGTCCCTCACACCTCTCAATTCCTCACTCATTCAGGCCAGCAAGCCTTGTTTTCTTTGACGAGTTGATCATTAGTTTTAAATGCCTATATTTCTTGTTTTCATCTGAACACTACGAACAAGATAGTTCCAACGTCTCATCATAGTGGGACCATACCTTCTCCCACCAACCCTGCTGTGCAAAGGAAAGGTCCCCACCTAAAGTGATGTTTTCCTGGCGTGCACTCTCTCCACTCTGATAAACTGGATGCTGAATCCCCAGTCTTCAGTACGAGCTCTGGCCTTGAGTTGCTCCCACACTGTGTGGAATCTTCCTCCCTTCTTATTTCCACAAAAACAGGCTGCAAATCTACGTGCCTACTCTCCAATCTCGTCAGCAGATCAACTCAAGGGCGCGATGTGCCGTCCACGTGGAGATAATGTCTCTGCCATCTTTGTCCATGCGGGAGCTGGGTTTCATAGTCCAAATAACGAAAAGCTACATCTAGAAACATGCGAGAAGTGAGTTATTATCCCACCACCGTTGTCGGTTCTCTCTGAGTATCTTGGTGCATCTAACTCTCAACAGTGCGGCGAAGGTGGCAATCCAGATGCTCAGAAATGGCGGGTCAGCTGTTGACGCCGTGGAGATCGCAATCATGCTCCTAGAAGATTCCGAAATTACAAACGCGGGTTACGGCAGCAACCTAACTATAGATGGCGCCGTAGAATGTGACGCTACCATCGTAAACCATCTGGGGCGAAGTGGTGCAGCTGGTGCTGTCGCCCGTACGTACTCCTCCAGTCCGTTAGAGCCGGCTAGTGTTGGAAAATACTGACTTCTTTAATAGAAGTGAAGAACCCAATCTCCTTGGCTCGAGTCATCCTTGAAGCATCAACAAAGCCATTGACTTTGCAAAGAGTGCCCCCTAATTTCCTTGTGGGACAAGGTGCGACAAATTTTGCGTATGATCAGGGTCTGGTTGTGCTCCCCCACGATGGCCTGATATCTGAGGAGGCCAGGGAGCGATGGCAGCGTTGGCAACAAGACTTAGAAGCCGCAGAGTCGAAAGAGAGGCGACAGTTTCCTACAAGACACGACCGTCATAAGGCGTACATCCGTCGGCCAGTGAGCGTCAATCCGGCACAGTTGCTCTCGTCTCCCTCAAGCATACGGCCTGCCTCATCGATCAGCTCTAGCATAGGTGATTCACGCTCCAGAATCTCTGGTATCACTTCACCAGCCGGCTCTGGCGACCCTCTCTTCCTGCCACCCAGGGCCAGAAACGCTGGATATGTAGATGGCACCATTTCTCAGACTTTTCAGTCCAGCTCCATGCCAAGCAGGATGTCGTCGGAGACATCTGCATTTCAATCCCTTGAGTCCAGTTCGTCAAGCATGGACGTTGATCCTACACCCGGTCCCCTTGCCACAAATACGCACCACGCGAATATGGATCGAATCAGCGATACCGTCGGTGCTATAGCAGTTGATGCACAGGGAAATATCGCAGCAGGCTCATCCTCCGGTGGTATTGGGATGAAACATCGCGGTCGTATTGGCCCTGCTGCGCTTGTGGGCATCGGCACTGCTATAATCCCAGTAGATACCAGTGATCCGGATCAAACATGCGTTGCTACAGTCACTTCAGGAACTGGCGAACACATTGCGACTACTATAGCCGCTAGCACCTGTGCCTCGCGCATTTATTACAACCAACGAAAGCATGAAGATGGTTCATTTGAGGAAGTCACAGAGGATGAAGCGCTGAGGGGAATGATATTGTCGGAATTTATGGGTACCACATGAGCCTTTTCCTACATGCTATACAAGAAAAACAATCTAATATTCTCAACATAGGCCATCCCGGAGTCAAAGACAGCCATTGTCGGGGCGCCATTGGAATCATGGCGGTTAAGAGAACGGCCGATGGGGTGTATCTCTGTTTTGGCCATAACACGGACTCTTTCGTAGGTAACCCGCTTTATCTCTTGGGTCGTATGCTGAACACTACAATGCCAGGCCCTGGCTTCTATGAGCAGTGAGGACAAGAGACCGGTGTCCGTGATGTCGCGCAGCAATGGAAACGGGAGTATTGCTCAAGGTGGCCGCGCGTACCGATTCCAGAGGTAGGTCTACCCCTTCAGGTTACAGAAAATGGCAAAAACGGATCTAATACGACGTTAGATAAAGGGCATCCGATGCTACAGCATAGCCTATCTATAACAGTAAGACCCTTTTTATGATTTATGTTCTGGTGTCTTTCCTATATTGTATAAGTCAGAGCGAGCGCAGCTTTCCAACCCGATTACAAGTGACCAACACTTTCTGCCACCCTCTAACATTAGATAGTGTTGTTGCCTCCCAAATGCTACCTTGCCTTCGGTGACCAAACAACCGACAGAGCGGTTTCTTTCAGCTGTCCTTCCTAAAATTCGACTCTTGACATGGGTGGAATGTCTGAGTGTGTCTGCCGGGATTTGTGACTGCCTCCTACATGTATCTGAGAATAGGATACCAAATAAAAGCTGGATATCTTCGTGATGCGATCCTCTGACATCGCTCAAGACCAAAGGTAGCAGACAAACAATTTCACTCCCAGTTTCTGCAACACATGCCCCTTCATGATGAAGACGCAGAGAACACTTTTTGTCGGGTAAGAAGTCAGGGCCCGGGTGTAGGCGTAGGCGTAGGCGTAGCTGTGCCCGATGGACCGTTCACGCGCTTCTTTTTCTTCTTCTTTCGAGCCACCACAGCTGGCTTAAGCCCATAATCACCCATTTCAAGTTGCGTACCACAAGTGAGACACTTGCCATTCTCCTGGGGCTCGCAGAAGATGCTTAAACAAATGGAACAGACAAATCCAATATCGACAACTCGCCGGTGGCAGAAGCAAGCCGCACGGAAATCAACGTCAACCCGCGTCGGAAGCACCAGGTGTTTTCGGGATCGCTGATCCGGCAGAAAAGCCATCATCAAGTACTGCAGTAGCCCTCGAGGCTCAGTCAACGACATGTAGATGCCCTTGGTAGCATCAGAAGCCTGCTGCAAAAAGACAGCATCACCGCTCAGCTTGCACACATCAATAGGAATATGAAGCCGCTGACAGGCAAAGATACTATTCATAATCGGAATATACTGATGCGCAGAATCACTCGCACCACTAACCGACAAGATCAGGATTCGCGACTGTAACCCTTCTACCGTATCCGTCCCCGTAGATCGTCCACCGGCGGGAGCGACATCAGTCGACGTCGCAGCAGCCATATCAGCTCCATGGGCCTCAGCCCAAGCAATAGTTCTGCGATTGATATGACTAAGAGCAAGCGTAAGCGCCCCTGCCATCATTGTCGAGTTCGTAGCTTGCACGTTCGCCCCACTGGTCGACTGCATAAGTTCGCGTAGATTGTGTGTGACTTGTTCCTCCACGATCCGAAACGGTCGGTACTTGTTAACTTGTCCTGAGGTATTATTCGACCCGTTCATGGAGACGTCACCGTCGGCGTCTCGAGACGTCTTCGTGGTGTGGGTCTCGTGAGGATATAGCCATGCCGCCTTTTGACTGTGGGAGGCTACCACGGCCACCTCGTTTGCGTAGTTACAGGCCAGGTGAGCATTGAGGAAAACCAGGATGTTTGCGATCGCCTTGGTCAACGGGAGGGAATTTTCGAGGAGGGCCCATGCGTGGGGATTAGTGTCGAGGATAACGGTTAAGAGGGCGGGCGCAGGGTCTTCAGAAATGGAAAAAAGGTGAGCGAGAGTTTTGATTTACAAAAGCTATAAGCTAAAACATAGCTTGAAATGATTTTCTTACCGCGTGCACTCGTCTCATAGTGCTCTGTCGCATCCACGGCGTTCATGGTATGGTCTTATCCGGTGTCTTTTCAGGGTCGCAAAAGATAAATAGAACATAACCTGAAAGGAAAAGGAACAGGCGAGAGAGAAGCTCGAAAGAGATCTTCGGTTCAAGTCATAACATTTTAGACTTGCGACAGAACGTTGGTTTCGTGCTGAGCTTGCGTTCGACCCCAACCACCCGTCTCAGCCCAGGCAGTATCGGTTGGACTGAACTGATACTTGACGCCGGGAGAAGTTGGGTAGTTGCTCTCCGTTGGTCGACTGGTGGAGAGTGGGAGGGAAGCGTTAAAAAGATATGGTTGGGAACGGTGGCGCTATCAGAAGCTTTAGCTCTATACGGAATACTTTCCGAGTCATCTACCGATAATTGTCAGGCACGTGACCGCGTGCCAGTGAATATACTAGAAGCTTGCTTTAATTGTATTTAAGGGCAGTCTTTTGGGATAATACAGTGAGGTAGATTGGAGAATTGACATCACATACTCAAAATGCGCTCACAAATGATATATTAATAGTGACTAACGGCTAGCAGCATGTGGATATGATATCAACCGTCGGGAGCTGTTCAACCAGTATTCCCATTATAAGCGGCAGGTCAATTAAGATTTATATGAAGGGGGTCAAGGAATACTTCTAGATATATGATGTTGGGTAACCATCCTCATATGCATATACAAAAGCGACCAAGCATGAGTCAAGATGAATTGCGTAACCAGCATTGAGCGCCTATAGATCACTAAATCGCAAAAAGTGGTATAAGAGATGTAGCATCAGCCTTCCTGCTCGCTAGCATGTTCAACTGCCTATTACGTGGCAGAAGCTCAAATGACTTCCTCTGACTTGATATGAAGGCGATTTCCCTTCTGCGCGGCTTGGTTGAGAGTGGGTATCTGAAGAGACTCTTTGAGAGCTATGGCTGTAGGTTGTGCCAGTGGGCTTCGTTGGGGAGTAAGCAAATTCTCTTTGCCCTGATGTTCCGTAAGACCTTTCCGTATAGCGAGAACAGAGTCGACGATGACCGCATCAATTCCTTCGGCAACTTGGAGCTGCAAGAACGTTAGTCAAGAGTAGCATCCAATCCAACATTTGAGCGCACTAACCTTTACATTCGCAGGCTCGTTGTTTAGAGTTCCATAAGAGACGCAAACCAGACCTGACTCCTTCACGACTCGAACAAGTCGAGGGCAGAGCACCAGTGGTTCGGCCTGTGAGACGACACCGAGCAGGTTCCACCTGGACGCAAACCGAACTGCTTCCTGTAAACTGCTGGCGCGGATATCGCCAACAGGCGAGGCACCGGAGTCCGTCAAGAAGAGCACAGGAATAGACGGCTGTTTGAAGGACAGCAATAGGCAAATGTCGGGGTTGAAACTAGAGAAGATCATGTTGCGCCCCTGACCTAATTCGTAGGTTTTGGTGAGAACGGTGTCCACAAATGAATTCAGTTCCACCGCATAGGTATCCATCTCCTCTTCCTCGCTCTCATGGAGCATGGGGTATTCTGGCGATCCCAGTCAGATCGTCTTGCAGCTATTCTAGGGGGTTCTATATAACTCACTTAATTCAATGTTAAATCCAACAGACTTTGGCAGCTTCTGAAAAAGCTCTTCCAATGTGGCAAAAGGTGCCTGAATATGATTACCCCGGGTATTGCCTTTGAAACCCTTCTTCTTGAAATCACGGGTGTGCTTGATCTTCTCATTCAATTCCGCGGGGTCATACTCAGAACCACCAACCGACATTGAGCGTTGACGGGGAGCAAAAGTGCTTGCATCCCGTCTAGGAGGATCTGCTATTTGAGATGGGGACGTGGACCGGCGAGACGAGCCACCATCACCTAATTGAAGAAATTGCTCCAGGGTCAGAGTATGAACAGGGGCGTCAATGCCTGTTTCGCTGACAAGGAAATCGTGATAAATGACCGGAACATGATCCTTCGTCAACTGTACATCAAATTCAACATAAGATGCGCCAAGGTTCGCGGCTGCAATGAATGACTGCACCGTGTTTTCACCTAGCTGCAACGAGTTGCGGCTGGCCATATTCTTACCCAACCCTCGGTGTCCAATAACCATGGTCGAGCTCATACTCTTCCAATATGTCTGGTCACCAGTGATGGACATGTTAGGGTGCTTGAAAGGCGTGACTATAAGAAAATTGAATGTGACCGTACCAATGACCTCCAGAGTGTTCGCAGCCACGATAGGCACAGTCGAGTCACCCTTCAGATTTATACGGTTGGAGCCCACGGTTTGTTTTATGCTAGAAAGCAACGCCACTCCACGTCCAACAACCTTATCTTTTGAACCAGCATAGGTAGGAACAAGGTCAAACAAGAGTCGAACTTTCGTTGGATCTGCCGTGTGAAAAACCATTGGCTCTGTTGAGATACTGTCTTGGACGGGCAGGTCGATAATCTCGGGTTCTCCATGAGCCCCATTGGCAGAAACAACAATGGACAATGCTGTATCAAGCTGTGTAGAATGGGCATTCTCCATTGGGATACGGTCAAGGTTGACCGCTTCCGCGTGTTTGTGCATATCCATGGTACCTAGACTGACCAAAATCATGGCCTCGTCGGTAAGATACCGATGTCCAAAAGATTTAACAGGTTCAAAATCCCGTGCACTAGAACTCCCGGAGGGAGTGCTAGGATTGGATCTGCGTTCGATTAGGGAAGATGGGCCTGGGGGAGATGACGAAGAAGCAACAGGAATCGGTACCACAGGCTCAGCTTCTGCGGCTTCGGGCTCAGGCGTAACCTCAGCAAGACGTCGAGCGACGTCAAGGTGGCCTCTCAACGCCGCATGTTCCTTCGCCGTCCACCCAGAGGAGTCGGCTTTTTCAAGGTCGGCACCAGCCTCGATCAGCAAATCCACAACACTCAGAGATCCATCAACACATGCAATAAAGAGCGGTGTCCAAGAGTACGTGTGCTCAGCCAACTCAGTGTCTGCTTTCTGGTCATGGCTGCCCTCTAATAAGATCTTGGCGCACATATGGTGTCCAAACCGAGCTGCGACATGTAACGCGGTTTCGCCTTGTTCATCTTGGTAGTTGACGTCAACTCCTGCATCTACCAAGAGTTTGACGATATCAATGAAATTTGCTTTTGTGGCCATCGCTAGCACTGCACTCGATTTAGAAACCTGTTTCCGGGAGGTCGACTTGTTTTGACTGCCGTCCCGCCAGTTCTCCGCGTCCAGAAGAGCGCGCGTTGTTAATGGATGACCACCAACCACGCTCAGATGTAACGGGGCCCAGCCATCATTATCCTGCCAGAGCGGTCCGTCGATGCCCCCAGAAACGTCAAACATATTCCACGCCTGCAGGTGCTCGATAATAACTTCACAAACGACTCTGAAACCATACTGGGCAGCGTAATGCAACGGAGTACGGCCCGAGATATCCTTCGAAAGTAAAGCACGCCGTTGCTCAGGCCGGAGCTGGTCTAGCAGGTGCTGTAAGAGTGATACAGACGGATCTGATCTATCCAAATATTGAGGGTGATCCAACTCCTTCACCACAGAGCGGGGGGGCTGCAATGTCGGTAGGGCAGCAGGGGTGATGTAATTAGACGTTTCAAGAGGGAAGTCAAGGACCATGGAGGCGGACTGCTCGGAGTCCGTTGTGGACTGTGCCCGACCGATAGAGATTACCAATCTGTGAATGCAGTTGCGCTTGTTGATATCGTCTTCATCATCGAGACTGTCCATTCGGCTGAGCAGAGCGGTGATGCAAGTCTTAGAGCGGTAGTATATAGACCGCTGCATAAGGCTCTCAAGGACTTTAGGGAAAACGTTCTCTCCAATGTCGCCCGCAGAAGTTTTGAGTGTCTCTAACAGCTCCAGAAGAACATGGGTATCATCTTTGCGCAACGCTTCATCGACGGCAACAAGTAGGCTCGAAGGAAGATTCAAATGCGGGCGAGTTGGGCCTCGCTTTAATGAAAGAGAAGAGCGGGTGGAACTGGCATCGTCCGAAACCTTCTGCTCACCAAGAACAGAAAGCCAGTCATTGATTTTCTTCAAGGATTCAGTGACCCGCACATTCGAAGCGAATGGCGACGGATCCACCTTCGTTTCTAGATAAGTCCGCTGTGCGTGGGCGCCTACTTTCTTATCGAGTTTCTTGGTGATCTTGATAAATCCCCGGCGATTGACTTCGCCATACCACTGTAATTTCCGCAACTGGCCACGCAACTCGAGCAAGGCGGCTAATAGATCCTCCGCCTCCTCCGAGTCAAGACGGTGACCAGCATCCAATGACTGGCCATACCGGTCCTCTAGTAGCTTGAGGCGGCGAGAAAAGTCCGAGTACTTCTTGTTATAGAAGTAGTCGACATCCTCAAGATTTCGATCGAGAGAATAAAAAAATCCTAGGGGATCAAGTCAGGAAGACCGCTCCGCGGTCCAGATACATGGGAACTAAAACAGCGGCTCACCGGCAAGATCTGCCTCATGGCCAGCTTTCACATCTTCTGCCGCTGACTTAATGAGCTTCTTCAACGCCTTGTATTTGATGTAGGAAGAATTCCACTCAGGAACGACGTTCCGTGAAAGATTGCGCCCAAACTTCATTTTATGCTGGCTTCATGAAAAGTCACGTTTCTGTGTCAAGAAGCGAACAGGCTGTGAGATCTTCTCTCAATAACGGTACGTCAAGTATTTGGGAAATCCTCCGAAGGTCGCTACTTGTCACAGATGCTCTCAACCACAGGCCCAGTTCAAAGAGAGAATAGGCAAGCGGCGGAATTGACCAAAAAGTGGAGGCAGACTCGAGAAAGACAAAGGAAAAGGACAATTAAAACTTCGAATAGAGCAGCGCCATGTGTCAGTTTGAAACGAAGCCTTTAGGCTTTCTGTCGAGGTGGAAAGGTCTCACAAGATTAAGACTTTAGAAATAAATGCTGATAAGTGTAGGTGGCAGCGCACGCAAAGATATGGAGGAGCGAAAAGAGTCAAAACACTTAACTAGTATGACGCTGGCGGAGTCAGCACGTGAAAGGATCAACTAGTTAGGAGAAGATGGGGTGAGATTGAAACACAAAGGTGTGTAGTAAGGGGAGTTAGGACACTCTGTACATTAAAAAAAATTTTTTTTTTTTTTGCCTCTGTTTTTTTGTCAAGGTATACTAAGCCGGACATCCACCGAGTGGATCTCGTAGAGGCTCATATGGACCTTGGTACATAAAACCGTATGGGAAAACAAGGAACGACAGGACTAAAGCGGTAACAGGGGGAACGAGTGAAAAGCTTCAAACAAAGCACACGCTCCCCGGGGGGGCGGAACGGTTGAATCTTCAGGATAACGAATGGAACTCCGCGAATTAATGCTCGGCGTGCACGGCGGGCGGGTTCTGATTTGCTCGCGCCACACTGTTGTTCCGGGGATATATGATCTCGGGACCAACAGAACTGTACCTTACAGGTGGTAGTAGAGATGCGTGCGGGAAGAGACAGTAGAATCTCAGTCCCAGCCAGTAATCGAAAATAGCTACGATGATTTTTAAGAGAATGCCGGTCACAAATGACACAATCAGGGTGAGTAATATAATACGAAATGATCCTTGATCTGAGAATGTGGGCTGTGAAGAAAATGTCGAGATCCTTCGATTTCGGTTCGCCACCACTATATATAGGTTCCAGCCTCCCAGGGCACACTTTCGATCATAATTAAACAACAGAAGGCCTCCCTCCAAGATCCATACCCCCCCGGAAGACGGGAGAGGGGCCGTGGAGCGTCGGAAAAGACGAGAGGCACCAAATCGTCATCCTATTTGTCCACTGTGTTCGAGACTCTCATCCGAGATTTCCAGGGGTCAAATCAGAATTCGTGTTGGCCCAAGCCGGTGGAACTTAGTTGGTCAATTTCGTTCTCCCTAACGCGAACTCGGTGATACTCAAATAAACGGTGAGTTGAGAGATCATTCCCACAGTGGGTACGCAGTCGTCGCGTTCCATTTTGAATCCTCTGCTCGCTTCTCGTGCATTTTCCTGCATGTCACATGCCCTTACCCCTTAAAAGTTGAGGGAGGAATCTGTAAGGGATCGAGCAAGAAGAACTGGTGACTCTGGGGGAAGGAGAAAATCATGGAACGATCCCACAGAATAGGGTTCTTCTGGACTCCTTCTTCCCCCTTGCTCTTGGGAGCGGAGAGAACGGACTTGGCCAGTTTGTTCTTTGTTCAAACCCGATCTTATCAAATACATATGAAATAACTTTACGATATCTATGTGTACAATATATGCATACACCCATAACTGAAAGTAGGGTAGGCAGAAGAGCCCGGAGTACAAGAACTAGTATCTAGAAGTAGTAACTTCCAGGACTACCTGGTACAGATTGTGAGAGTTATCTTTGATAGCCCTTAGCGCAATCGCTCATGCATTTATTTATCTATATCACTGGGTATCAATCCTCCTGTCATTCTATATAACTCCTATCACTCTCACCTCACATGAACAAGCCATTGCCCACCAACTCAACGCATCATCCTAAATCACATTATCCACTAGCCGCTCTCCATTATTCTCTATCACCCTTTTATTTCCTCCCAGAGGTTGCACGCCCCCACCCCAATTTAGTAGTACCGATGACCTGAATATTGATCCAACGGTCCATCCTAATTGGTCAGCCTCCACTCTATAAATGCACAAATGCTATAACTATTCATCAACCATCATTAATGATCTATCGTCCGTCTCCTAAAATAGCCTAGGTTTCACTGTTCTGGATTCGGGATAATTATTGCGAACTATATGAAATAAACCACTAACCGGCTTTATGAGTTATCATAACACTACTGCTAAACCCGAAGGCCCCGCTCTACAATAACGTAGTACTTTGGCATAGGGACGAGTATATTCCTTGCATTTTAGGCACAGAGTCATACCTAACATAACCTTCTAGGCTAGGACACTCTTTCGTCAATCCGAGGAATGCACCGTGCATAGGTGGGATGCGTTTAACTCAATAGTGCATGAGGACGGGATGAGTTGATAGGAACGCATCATCGTTCATGATATCTTGCTGGCCATCCCCGCTCCCTTCCTGACTCTCTGACGTCGCAGTGCAGCGTCAGGCATGGCCTAAGAGGAGGGGCTCGGCGATCGGAGGATATTGATCCTTGTTTTTAGTATATCCAGCCGATTCGAGACTCTCTTTCTTACGCGTGAGCTCTGAGAATATTATAGCAATGAGTTTCTCTCCGTATAATATACTATCTATATTAGAAGTTGAAAAGTCAGACCTTCAATAGTATCAGTACAAGAAGAAACCCTAGCATCCAACACATAGTACTCCGCAATATAGACCAGGATGTAACTGTAAGAAGTAAGCAGTAGACCACTGAGTAAGACTAGGAAAATAGTTCCTCCCTCAACACTAGGTATGTCTATGTACCAATCCCAAGTGGAGCAACTATCGCCCCTCCAAGAAACGCCACAAAAACCCTGAAGAACCAGTCAAGCAAGATGGAACCCTCCTCCTCACCACCACAGTACCCAGGTCCGCCCGACCCAGCCCCCGTAGTACGTCCATGCCTCCCAGACCACCAGCCTAATCCTTAATCTCAAAGTAAATCCAACCCTAACAAAATCAACTAGAGAATAACCACCACGAACATCGAACTCGGAGACCCCGACCTTAAAATCCACATCCACCCCCACAGCCTCCTCGTCAGCATCACCCGTAAAGACCACCAGATCCTCCCCACAGTCCTCCACTACTGGGACCACGACTCGTCGATCGCGATCTTAACAAAGCTCACGGAAAACCAGTTACAGCATATCCGCGGATTCCAAGAGGTAGGAACCTTTTCTCCGCCTGTAGAGGAGGTTAGTGACTCGTTGGCGCTGCATCGGCATTTTACGCCCTTTGTCGCTGGGAAGGGGAATCGGGAGGCTGTGGATTTTGTTGTGGGTAGGTTGGAGGGAGTCGGTGATGGGATAGTGGGTGTTACTTTGCAGATTTTTATTATTTCGGTGTTTGGTGTTGAGTGTGGGAGTTTATTGAGGGGTGGATTGGCGCCAGTGTGGAAGTGGGCGAAGCCGGAGAGTGTCTATTATCGGAAGACGGGGTTCTGGGAAGCGGAGGTTGAGTCTGCCATTACTGATGGTGAGTGGACGGCGGGGAGAGGGTTGCAACTGCTTGTGCAGGGGGTTTCTGAGGAGAGGAAGCAGAAACTGAGATGTACTAGGAGCAAGCATATCATCTAATATGTTTAGAGGTTGCCTCTTTGATGGATGGCAATGATGCGGGTGTGTATGAGGAATGATAATTCCTTTAGTAAAACACTAGTATTGAAATCTTATCACGTAATGTTCTAGATAAACCCACAGGAATAACATCAGCCACGTTCTGGTCTACGAGGGACCCGGCATAGCGTATACACCCTGATGGCTGAAATGGAAATGAGACTCCGGGTCCGTTCCCAGCCCTCATAGCGCGTATAAATCATAAGATATTAGCAGAATGGGAAAAGAGGTTGCCGATAGAAGCACGAGAAACGCCAATTAACAGGCCAATAAGACACCATAACAATTCATCCCTACCCACGCCTGACAAAACCAAGCAAACGCTAACAAGCAAGAAATGGAACAAACTGGGAGCTTATCTCAAAACGAAAATAAATTGGAAACATCACTCAACAAGAGGCTTCAAAGCTTCAACCCCGGTTTGAAGGACAGAAGTATTCCTCGACGTTTTCAGCACATTGCTGAGTGTATCAACCGCCCCGCTCTTCTTCAACGCTTCTCTCGCACGACGGCCAATATCACCTGACGCGATGCAGCTCATGTTCCGCACGCATGCAACCCCTCGGTGCAACAACCCCTCATCATCCTCCCGACAAAGACGTAGCAAGAGTTGCACACCACGAGGCCGGTCTAGGACGCCAGCGATGACGGAGTCAAATTCAGTGAGCATAGCTAGGGCACCTCCAGCGGCTCTCCGAGTGGCAATGTCATCAGCGTCAGTAAGAGCTAGCAAAACATGCAGACGTTGCCCAGCCCGTTTGGAGCCGTCTGCAAATTTCACTACCCCAGACTCACAAGTCATCAAATTACAGACCAACTCGCATGCGGCCCGTTGAATCAATGGACTGTTGGAAAGCAGCAGATCCTCTATCACTGACCATGCCTGCCGGACAATTGTATCAGGTGCGGTCTCATCCGGGTGAGAGGCGAGATTTGTGAGAGCAAGGAGGCTCTCAAACATAGGCAAAAGATCGCGTGGCTGGTCCGCAGAAGCCTCAGGTGCCACTAAGAGCGCAGTTAAGGGTCGAATAGCTGAAGTGACCTGCGGAAACCCAGATGGAGGGAAAACATGAGATGGATTCACGGAGATAAGAATGCGGGCCAATGCATGGGAAGCATTGGGCACAGCTTCATTAGCAATCGATCCAGAGCTCCCTTGTCTTGAAGTCCCAATATTAAGTAATAGCTTGACACCGCCCTGCTGAGCTAGTGTTCCCCTGGCTTTCTGATTCCGCGAGAGTGAAAGCATAATCTTGCCTACAAGGCCTTGAATGGAGGGTAGGTTTGTCTTGTTACACGCGATGAAGAGCGGCATAATACCAGCATCAACGACGGCGTTGCAACGAGCGATAACGTGTTCAACGCTCTCAAGAGGATTTGGGCCGGCCCGGGCATTCGGATTAGCCTCTGCATACGACTTGAGTTGAGACATCTTCTTTTGTTCTTCGCTCAGATTCGGGAGAAACTGTGTCATGTTCAAGATGATCATTAAACCACTATAGAGGACCGACGAATCGCTCGAGTTCTCATGCAAGATCTTAATCAAGTCACGCAGAAAAGTCGAGTCTTTGGCAAGTTGTTCCTTCACCGCAGGTTTCACGGACGAATATGCCAAGCCCTCCATTATATTTTGAACATTTTCGCCCTTACGGCTAGACATCAGGGCTTTGAATCGATCAACAAGTTCAAAGGCTCTATTACCATCCTCCTGAGTTTGCCCGTTAGATTCCGATTCATCCTTTTCAGAAACGCGGATCTTGGCCAGTACTACTGCTGCCAATTCGGATGTTTCGTCACAGCCGTTCGTCAATGTGTGGGAAAGCCAATCCGACAAATTCTTGGAGATAGTTTCCCGACAGGCCTTGTTGATACAAGCAGCATTCAGCAATTCTAGCGCTGAAACCTCAACTCTCCGGCGCTTCGCATCTCGAGCAGATACGGGAAGTAGCGCAGCCATAAAACCATCGGATAAGAAGAGAGTTGCGGCGACCTCTGGGATTACAGGGAAAACAGCAGCTGTAGCCGAGAATGCAATGATAAGGTCGTCGACGCGCGCCTTGCTCAGTTTGGAAGATATGATCTTGGTGAATCGATTCTGTCCAGTTTCTTTGGAAGCTTCAAGATATTTGACGGTCGCAAGAGTAGCTTGACTCCGCCACTCAAGAGGCAACCGGTGATCCAAAGAGGATAGTATCACGTCCAACTCCTCGTCATCAACCTGGTCCTGCAACTTGGATGCGTCAACAGCAAGGAGTCGCGCGATGCCTTTGAGAGAGCGACCGTCCAAGTCATGACCAGATTCCATGAGCTTAGCAATGAACAGCAGGAAAAGCTCGCGCTCACAGTGAAAGCGAGCAGTCTCGGACGGCCATACGGAAGGGTCTAAGACGACAGTATCAAGACATACTGCAGCCGCATCACCTCTATCGTACATCTCATCGAAGAACGTGGTCACGGAAATTTGCAGTTGGTCGGAGAAAAACTGTCGAACGCTGGCACTCTGCCGAACCAACCCTGAAATTATATCATCTTGCAGTGAAGATAACGCATGAGCCCTGTGCGCGAGTAGGAGTTTGGCGCATTCCAATGCAACGCCTTCCGGAGGCTTCAGACCATCAGTGCGTAGATAAAGAACGGCATCTTTTCCAGCACTTTCTTCCTTGCGAGAAGCGTAACGCCGACAAAGATCTAGCAAATGGTGACTAGTTTCCTCCTCTTGCTGGATCTTGAGGAAGGCTTCTTTGACTGCTGGATTGTTTGGGGCTAGAGAGAGAGCCTCTCGAAGATTCCGCGAGGCAGCCTATAATCAGAACGAAAAACATGCCGTTAGCGGATTATCGATAAGACTCCACGCCAAGTATTGGCCAGGCGGGCGGAACAAAGAGAGGGAAACACGGAGAAGATTAAAGAAAAAAGACCGAGTGAACATCAAGAAATAGGGGTAGGTGGTGCAGCACATACTTCACGGTGACCAGAGTCTACCAACTCAATCGCCTCCCGGGTAAGGTGTACAGCGCGTTCCTCGCCGGTTGAGTGAACCATTTCAGGTCTGTATGTGGCAGGAAGGGAAGTGCGCGTAGGGAAATAAAGGCGGATGTCGGGGAGTGTAAGATGGGAAAATGGGTACTGAAAGCTGTTAAGGCAATTTATGACTGCAGAGACAGCAAGACGTAATCAAGTTAAGTTTATAGATAGAGGATTCAAGTAGCTAAGTACTCGCAAGTCAACCCACGACCTCCGGAGCGATGGTCGAGCGACGAATCAAATCTGCAGTCATGGAGGTAGACAGAAGGAGAGGAAGAGAATCCAAGGCGGGCTGCTGTCCGTTGACTAGAATAGAAATAATCAGATCTCACAGGTGGAAGGGGAGGAAAGAGAGAGAGGGTATGTGTGTGTGTGTGGGTGGGTGAGTGGGCGTAATTTCTTTTTCCTCCTTGTGTGGAGTAGTTTGAATGAATGGATTGATAGACAAGAGTAACTAGCGTGTAGTATGGGGAACGGGGAACCCTTTTTTTTTTTTTTGCCTCGCTCCAAGATACATCATACACCTGAAGGATGACGGGCACCGGCCATTTGGTACGCAGTCTTACGGGGTCATCGGAGTGGTGCAAGACTCTGGTAATGACCGGTGATAGGTAAAGCCTCTGTAAGATCCCGAATATCGGTGATGCAAGACCAAATCTGTAATGTTACGGTCATGCTCGGCCCTCTCCTTCGGGCATCCACCGGAAGCCTTCTAACTCCGAGGCTTATGATAAGGCGAGTTTCTAGAAACCATACATGTAAAAGTACTTGGGCCTCTTAAAAAGTAAAGTACATCCTTAATACCGGTCGATATAGTTTACCGCGTAGTCCGCTGTGCGAACTCATAGTGTATCATATATCCAAAGACTAACCAATCAATGCTGGTAAAATTACCAGATCAACCCGCCCCAGGTGGCAGATAGGTTGGGTATGGAAAGGTGAGGTAACAATCGCTTTGGAGAACCAAGCAATAGTAGGTACAGGTAGTTGAAATGTCTAATCAAAACCACGAATCCCACGCACCGATAATCATTACAACCTTTTCATATGATCAGCATCACCAACCATAGCGGTCCACCAACCCACGTTGCCAATACTTATCTACCTCAGCATCCCACGGCGTCAGCGTACCAAGACCCCAAGACCCCTTCTTTGCATGTTTCGTCGCACTATTGATTTCCTGCCGCTCAACCACACCCTTGATCGGCGACCCCCTTCTTGGAACGCTCCGTACAAAGCACAGGTGTCCCGTACGTGCAGGTGTAACTAACTGCATCCAGTGTACTCCGTGTCTGGCTTGCTTTATCCATGCGCGCCCTGTACACGGTTTGCCCTCCGTGTGGTCGAAAATTTGTTCACCTGACACATCTTTGCAACGCCTAACTATCGGTAGGACAAGAGGCTGAATCATCAGCGACGGAACTTTCATGTTCCGAGTAGGTACTTATTTGTATACGCGTTCCCAAGCTATCTTTTAGGGCTCAGCATATCTCATGGTAAATGGGATAGATCCATGCATGCCCGGGTATACACAGCTCCCTATAACTGGGTGGTTTAGTGAACCAGTTATTCATGGCGAAACAAGCCACAGGATAAAAGTATATTCGATCAATGAATGAAACAGTTGGCTCAGGTATTGATACCCAAAACATCATACTACTCAGAAACCCCTATCTCCTGCAAATCTCGACTCTGTCTCAATGATCTATTTGTGACAAACCGTCACCCGCACTGGATCTCCTATAACCAAAGTCGCCCATCTCACATCAGACATCCTTCCTTGATGCTTGAGTGCAAGTCACTCATCCCCACCTTCACACGGCGCGTCCTGCTATGGCCGCTACGTTTCTGCTGTTGCGACTTACTATCGGCACCAGGAGAATTGCCTCGAGCACCGCTCATGACAGGAGCAATGAAATCTGGGGCTGGCGGCTCCATGTGGCGTTCGAGAGCAAACACTTCTACCATCCACTCGTACCAGACTTTCCGATCATCCGTTTGCCTGTACATCGTGACGACAACCTCACCGTTACTAGGTACGTTGAGAGGAGTCTAGATAAAATCCGTTAGCGTTTTCTAGGCTTTTCTCTCTAAAAGAGGCGACAAGGCGGAGAGAACGTAATACTTACCTTAAGGGGGAAATAAATTGGAAACCAGCTGATCATATTGGCACTCTTACTGTCCATAGTAACGGGGTTGGTCGAAAGTTCAACATCCCGGTATAACACTGTTTCAAAGTAACCAGCTAAGCCATGGCAGACTCCACGGTTCTGGATCGGGAAAGTCAGTCGCGTCCGGCGCACATTGTGTGCATTCGATATCGTTGACGTGGAAGGAGACTGCGGAGCGATATGCCTATTAGGGTGTGAAAAAGACCACGCGGTCTGTACAAATGGAGCCGGGGTTTCGCTCCCAGGGAGCGTCGATATGGAAGAGCGCACGTTGCTGTGGTAGCTACCAGCACCGGTGCTATTGCCTATACTGGTAGACTGCTTCGTAGAGAGAAAATCCACAGCGTGTAACATCACCACATACGGGGTTTCTGGGGCTGTAGGATTGGAAATTGTTTGATGCATGACATCAGCATGGAGCTTCGGGGCCGAAATGGGCGAGAGATGGGCTGTATAAGATTCAGGTATGGATATGCCGTGAACCGGATGAAGTAGATGAGTGATACCATCTAAACATTCTGGGGAAAGTTCATTGTCACCGAACGAGCCCAACAGCTCGGAGACTACAATATCCATAGTAGTGGGTACAAGCTCAGAGACAGGCTCGCAGGCTACCGCCTCGGGGCCTTGTGCCTTATTCTTTGGATCAGACTCGGCATCGTAAAGCATTGAATCCTCAATACCCAGAGACTGGCCCACTGGTGCCGGACGTTGCGGAGTCGAGAGCTTCCTCTCAACTTGAGGTCCTTTCCAACTTCGCATGTCGGATTGAACAAGGGTAACCTTTCCTCCCCAGAAATTTTTATTGTGACGTTGGAGGAGAACGAATGCGTTAGGGTTTTTCTCGACAGCCCACAGATCAATATCAACGCCCGTTTCAGCGCTCGCTTTCAGCGCTCGAGTGACTAGCGGGCCTCTACCGGCACCCACCACAGCGACCACCACTCGGCCGTCCGGGTTTGAGGTGGGCTTTTTCTGCTCTTGCCAGTCCCTCAGGGCTTTTGCAATAGCACGTTCATACCATTCGTACTTGATGGGGTCTTTCTCAAAGACCTCATACGTAATACTCTCCAAGTTCACTGTCAAGGGCTGCAGTGGTGCCTGCAAATAATCTTGGTAGCCTACTCCGAACCTTTCAATGGCGGTTCGAGCTGGTTGCCGCTGCTGAAGATTTCTAATATATGAAAGATGGGGTGTAGGGTCGTAATGCTTCTTGTTTGAAACTGCTGCCTGCGCGAGACTTGGATATTCAGCGCCCTCCAGATTGACAGCAGAAGAGTTGTCAGTCTCAACACCTGGGATAGTACCAACATCGCATAGAAGAATCCATGGTGGGCTTCGAAGACGCATGAACCGAGAAATCAAAGCTTGATGAGCTTTGGATAAAACAGGGTAACCCTTCTGATTTTTGATGAAAGAATTGGCATTAAATGTAAGCAGACGGACCGGCTCTGAATGCCACCTAGACTGGACGGACATTGAAGGAAGTTGCTTTTGTAGTGAGATTGCTAGCAAAAAGAAAATTTAGCAACATACATGTGGGGTCTGCAACGAAACAGGTGGAAGTAGTAATCCAGGGGTTGCTAATGGAAATGTCGGGGAATGCATTCTTACCTACGAAAAGCCGTGGGTGATATTTACAAGTCCTCCTGATGGTGTCCCAAGCCTCCCAGGTTCCGAATGGGTCCTCTTTCGGCGATTGACCTGCGTCCAAATTTACAAGGAACTCTTCGCGGGCAAGGGGAGATAGGTCGCCCATCTGATCGACCTCGAAATCCAGATTGTCAATTGCCCCCAACCAGATGTTAAATTGAATATAAGGGCCAATATTAATGGCATCCTGGATTGCTCTTCCGTAGTAAACCAAGCCTTCCAAGTGCATATCCCTGTGGTGCAGTTTAGGGCCTGGGATCAAAAGATATCCAATGCCACAAAAAGCTGCGTAGGCAACCTCTAGCATAAGAACTTGGCGGGAGATGTCTGCGATCAACGGATCTGGGGAACAGAGATCGACCCATGAACTGGTTACTCCCACGACCTGGGTCATTGCCTCGTTGGGGGTCATGTGAGTATCAGAAGGTGTCAAAGGCGGAATGACCAGAGGCCGTATGTTCTCAGTTGAGCCCATGGCTCCATTGGCGTCAGCAGATGCTGTCTGTATGCTGGATAGGTGTGAAGAGAGCAGGCTGAGGACCCGGGAATGGAAATGAGATGTGGTTATAGGGGCGGTAAGCATATCATACTGATCAATTAAGACGTTAGCAAGCAGAATTGGGGCACAGTATTCTGCTATCCATACATTGCTTTCATGTGCTGCCTGTACAACCTGGGTTGTAATCGGCACTGCGCGTTTGCTCTCATGTTGTCCAATACAAAAAGTGGGACCCATATCCTCTGAGTTGCTGAAGCCTTCCATGTCAGTAAACAAAAGGGTACTGCTGAGAGCTTCCCCAATATCACAATTAAATGTCCTTTTTAAATTTGCATAAAAAATATATCACAATAGATGTAAAGCGTCGAATCCGTTTCCGCGAAATTAGAAGAGATTGAAGTCAATTATAGAGCTTGAAGAGAGATTATTGTTGACACGGTATCTGTGTGGAAGATTAGTCCCGCATATCAGGTCAATTGCGCATCTATCCAAAATATGTCCTGAAAGCATTCCGGAACGATCCTAAGGGAAAGAGAGGAGAAGATAGTAATACCCAGACCAGCGGATGGCAACCACCCCTCACTCAAGCGTTAAGAAACCGTCCCTGCCCTGTCTTGGCCCTGAATCGCGAATAAGTTCATCCCATCTTTCAGTCCCTTGCCTGTTCGTGGGGTCAAAGTAGCGGCAGAATCAGGAAGCGGTGAATATTTAAGGCAGAAGTTGTGGCGATGTGCGGCCGACTTGCCTTATCGGGGACAACTTTTTTTTCCAACCATCAATCAAGTTGACTTGCGGAGTTCAGTTGTTGAGACCAACGATTTTCGCGACATTTTTCAAACTCCCCGTCCTTCTTTTACCCCACCAGACGTCATGGTCGATCGACGATCGGATTCCGAAGACGGTTCGCGTGCTAAGCGTCAAAAGATGGACCCCAAGGACAATCCGTACCTAGCTCATATGTATGCGGACACGTCCAACGGCAACTCATGGGTTGAGGATAAGGATTCGCCGTTTGCCAAAGTGAAGAGACACCAGTCAACTGCTGCCCAGGCAAAAGAGCTCGAAGATGGCGAGTTCAACCCTCTCAACGGCCGACCATTCTCGAGTAAATACTTCTCGATTTTAAAGACTCGCCGCGATCTTCCAGTTCATGCGCAGAGGTAAGTACAAGAGTTTTCACCCAGTACTCGCAAAATATCTACAAGTGAGCAACCTCTAATATATATGTTTAAGAGATGAGTTTCTCGAACTCTACCAGAAGTCCCAGATCCTAGTCTTCGTCGGTGAGACTGGTTCCGGTAAAACCACTCAGATCCCTCAGTTTGTCCTGTTCGATGATCAGCCGCAAAGCCAGCGCAAGATGATTGCTTGTACCCAGCCTCGCCGAGTGGCTGCTATGTCAGTAGCGCAACGTGTGGCTGCTGAGTTGGATGTCAAGCTCGGAGAAGAAGTGGGTTATAGTATCCGTTTTGAGGACATGACAGGCCCCAAGACATGTCTTAAGTATATGACGGATGGTATGCTACTGAGGGAAGCCATGAACGACCACAACTTAAATCGGTACAGCACTATCATTCTGGATGAGGCTCACGAAAGAACCATGGCCACTGATGTTCTCATGGGTCTTCTCAAGGAAGTCGTACAGCGGCGACCAGATTTGAAGATCATCATCATGTCTGCTACTCTTGATGCCCAAAAGTTCCAGCGCTACTTCAACGATGCCCCTCTCCTTGCAGTTCCTGGTCGTACTCACCCAGTTGAGATTTTTTACACCCCCGAGCCTGAGCAGGATTATGTGGAGGCCGCCATTCGCACGGTCCTACAGATCCACGCTACAGAGGACGAAGGCGATATACTTCTATTCTTGACTGGTGAGGAAGAGATTGAGGATGCTGCACGAAAAATTACACTAGAAGGAGATGAGATGGTGAGAGAAGCCGATGCTGGCCCCTTGAAAGTCTACACACTGTACGGCAGTCTTCCTCCGCACATGCAGCAACGCATCTTCGACCCGGCACCACCTCCTCGCCGCCCTGGAGGTCGTCCCGGTAGGAAGGTCATTGTTTCCACTAACATTGCCGAAACTTCGCTTACAATTGATGGTATCGTCTACGTCGTGGATCCTGGTTTCTCCAAGCAAAAGATCTATAACCCTCGCATTCGAGTCGAGTCCCTCCTAGTGTCGCCCATCTCTAAAGCCTCTGCACAGCAAAGAGCAGGTCGTGCAGGTCGTACGCGTCCCGGAAAATGCTTTCGTCTTTACACGGAAGCTGCTTTCAAGAAAGAATTGATTGATCAGACGTATCCTGAAATTTTACGGTCCAACCTCTCATCGACTGTGCTAGAGTTGAAGAAACTTGGAATTGACGATCTTGTTCACTTCGACTTGATGGACCCTCCAGCCCCAGAAACGCTTATGAGAGCCCTTGAAGAACTTAATTACTTAGCATGTCTTGATGATGATGGCAACCTAACTCAGCTTGGACGCCTTGCCTCAGAGTTCCCTCTTGATCCTGTGCTTGCCGTCATGCTGATCAGCTCGCCTGAATTCTATTGTTCGAATGAAATTCTTTCGATTACGGCCTTGCTTTCGGTTCCTCAGGTGTTTGTGAGACCCGCATCTCAGCGAAAGCGGGCGGATGAGATGAAGAATCTTTTTTCGCACCCTGATGGTGACCACCTTACTCTCCTCAATGTATACCATGCTTTCAAGGGCCCAGAGGCGCAAGAAAATCTGAAACAGTGGTGCCATGACCATTTCCTTTCCCTGCGATCCCTCCAGTCAGCAGATAATGTGCGCATGCAGCTCCTGCGGATCATGGAACGTGAGGAACTAGAGATGATCTCGACACCATTTGAGGACAAGAAGTACTATGAAAATATCCGGCGCGCTCTGTGCGCAGGATTCTTTATGCAGGTCGCGAAGAAGGAGTCGTCAGGCAAGAGCAAGTACACGACCATCAAGGACAACCAGAACGTCCTCTTGCACCCGTCGACCGTCCTAGGCCATGATGCCGAATGGGTTCTGTACAATGAATTTGTGCTTACGACGAAGAACTACATCAGAACTATAACAGCAGTTAAGCCCGAGTGGCTCATTGTAAGCTTCCTTGATTCTCTTCCCCCCATGGCACTCCTTTTAACTAACAGCCATTTTTCAGGATATTGCACCTACTTATTATGATATCTCTGGTTTCCCTAAGGGCGAAATCCGCTCTGCATTGCTCCGTGCCGCAGAGAGGTTGTCTCGTAAGGAGAAAATGCGTGCCGATCCCGGCCGGAGACGTTGATTTGTCCTAAATTCTATGTCTGTAGACAGTTCATCATTCTTCTTGCTATGTTTCTTTTTCTGGGCGTTGATCTAAAGAAATGCTCTTTTCCCGTATCTAAACCGCCGTGGAGTTTAGTTGTGTGCACTTCCTATTCTGATGGGATGCAGTTAGACTTGGTTACCCACAGTGTCCTTAATGTTATAGAGAGGACCGCTGCAGACAGATATCCCTGCGTCTTATGAAAATAAAAAGATTGAATTTGTCCGGCGTATGTTTCGTAATAAAAGCTATTTTATATCAGTCTACATTTCTAAATGTAAAGAGGCTATAGAAGAGATTCGGTCCAGAACCTGTAGATCTAGTTTTGTGTCGTAATATGGTACAAATCTTGCCAGTATAAACATGTATAGGAGGGAATATCAGAATAGAATCCAAACGTACGCCTTTCAAGTAACAACCATGATGTATACATTCCCGGGACCCGCTTCCTCTGATTACAATGCGCCAACAGCATGATGGAGGATATCACTCGCAGAGATTTCAAGATTCAACGTATCGAATGTTTATCGACTGAGGTTCGACGACGTGCGAATTCGCAGGTTTCAGCTTCTCCTTTAATTGTCCAAGCTCAGTGGGATTGGAGTTGGCATTGCCGTTGGCTGGGGCTTGTTTCGCCAAATCAAAAACCATTCTTTTCAGCTGCGCAACCTGGTCCTTGAGGGCCATGATTTCCTTCTGATGCGCCTTTGCCGTAGCCTCAGCCTGATAGAATTTGTCATCCTCCACGTCGAACAGTTTAAAAAACTGTTGGGCATTATCTTTAGGCTTCTTATTCGGCGTAGGACAGCCTTCGAGCGCAGCAGATAGAACTTGCTGAGAATATGTTCCCACCAGCTTATGCCATCTCCTGGCATAACTACCCTCCTGAGGTAGAGTAAGCTCATCGAGCTGTTCTTGAATGGCAGTTACAAAGTTGAGATATCTCTCCCATTGAGACTTCTCCTCGTTCGTCGTTGTTAACCTATTCTCAGCTGCGTGCCACCGCCTTAATTCAGGATCAGTTGGGAAAAAAATGTCTGTTTGCATCTGTGCAGAGCGCCAGTTAAACTTGTTTTCAACCGCAGCTTTGATTATGGCCCGGGAGACATCATATCTTTTGCACGAATCGCACAGATGTACCAGTAGTACTATCAACCTCTCGACTTCGTATAAAGGTAGCTGCGAGGAGGATATCATGTAAGCCAAAGCTCTTTTGATAGTCTGTGTTCCTTTCTCCCAATCAGAACGAATGGCGTAGAATTTCAGATAAGCATTAAGGATAATAAAATTATCCGAACACCCTGCCGCTTTGGCGGCTTCGGCATAGGCATCGGCTCGATCAGGCTGATTGAAGCGTAGGCAAGTCGTAATTAATATGGTATAGACAACTGGATTGGCGCTGGCCACGGGAGGGACAGAGAGCTCGACACCATTGATCACTACCCGCTCATAATACGATAGATTACCTAGATCTACTGGAAAGCTATCTCCACGTAGCAGCTCCAGGAACAAATCGAATCCTTTGAGGTTCTTGGACCTGCGGTAAAAGTTGAGTATTGAGAGAATCAAAGGAGCGTCTAACGTGAATTTGTTTGGAAGTAATGTCTTCAGGACCAAATCGCCTAAGTCATTCTGGCGGGTTTTGGAGAACGCTATTAGTAGATGCTTCAGAGCAAAAGGTCGATCTGGATCAGTAGACTGCAACAAGTTGCTTGCCAATCTCAAGAGAAATTCTTGAAGGGGTATCCTATCTTCAAGATACTGTTTTGTGAGCTGAGAAATTTCCTTATCGAGTTTCTCATTCTCAGAAGCCATTGTCTTGAAATCGCGTACGCGGAGATCCTTGACCAAGTCGTCAATATTCGCATCCTTCATTGATTTCAGGTCTCGTATTCTGTACCGGATCGAGTTCAATTCACGTAAGAGTTCCGCCACATTAAGCTTGGGCACCCCAGCACTGGAAGCATAGTGCTGCCGAAGACCACTATACGGGTGCGCAATTGCCGGGCGAAGCAAGAGTCGTATAGCGAGCTGTTTCAATGCAAGCTTCCGTACAGCCTTTTGGCGGAGTAAGTCGTATGATAGCCACTCGGGGAAAGTGTCGTCCGCGGTGACACCGAAATCATACTCATCCTGGTTATCATCCGCCCACGTTGCATGTTCATCAACCAATTCCTCCAGGATTTCATTGCCATAGTCATCCACAATATCGAGATGGGTTTCTAGCCCATCTAGAACCCGAGAATCTGGTCTATCTGGAAACTCTCTCAAGCTGGCATTGGAATGAACAGAACGTGTGGGTATATTCCATGAAACGCCTTGGAGTGTCTGTGGTAACGATCTAGCAAGGGTGCTGTATTGTCGGTTTAGGGGTATGCCATTAAATAATGTCCTCCGCTTCCGCCGCGATAAAATGTTTGCCAAAAGGCGTTGTTCCTCGTCCACAAGCGCATTAACCTCTTCCTTCACGGCTGCGATCTTCTCCTGCCACTCGTGACGACGTTGATTTTTGGCTTGAGCATCTGCTAGAGCGGCCGCCGCAAAGATACTCGTATATAGTGCAGTAACCGAATTTCCGATTCGTAACCGCTTCTTACTTGCTGCTGAGGCTGCTCTTGATGCTATTCCAGGAGTCGCAGTGCTCAAGCAAGAAACGCAATGACAAGTCGAGCGCGCCGAGGCGGCGCGGGACCAAAGGCTCTGCATTACCGCAACATCTCCTGTAAAGTCGATTGCAATAGTAGAAAAGCGATGTCCGGATATAGGCAGCTTGCCCTTCAGGGCTCAATAGCATATGGCGGGGAAAGGAATGTGTATGTACCACGGGAGCTTCAGAAAAGTGGTTCAACTGCCGTCAGACGAAAAGTCGTACGTTTCCCGGCCGGTGTGCAAACACCACAAACACAGCTATCTATCTACTGAATGGATAGTTCGTTCTCCGGATCCAGGTGTTATCACTCAAAGGAAATTCCACGCCAACCAAGTTCATATTATTCATTATAGCTTGTATCTTGATACATTTTTCATATTATATTTAAATTTGAGGTTGTGCCAATTGAAAATGCTCGGCCCCTCCGTGTCTCTTGCTACGGTTTTGCTTGCCCTGAGCGGCAGCTTTGCGAACGCCCATGGCTCTCACTCGAGTGAGCAGAACCCTTCGTCGGACTGGGCTACTCGTCATATGCAAGGTGCGTAGCGATGTTCAATTGATCTCGAGGGGGTTAGAAAACCTTTCTAACGGCTCTAAATGGCAGAGGAACATCATATTGAATCCTTTGATCCTGCATCCTTCTTTACCTTCCACGACTATGATAGCTCTGGGGTTTGGACAGCCGATGAGGTACGGAAAACATATGGCCTTGATGATGAGTCAAATGCAGGTGTGAGTGAAGAGCGCAAGCAACAAGCTGTTCGGGAGGTATTCGGGCTTTTTGACCCTGGGAACACTGGCTTCGTTACTCGCGAAAACTGGATGCGGCTCATTTCGGAGGGCAAACGTCTGCCTGATTTTGGTTTTGGACCCGGCCACCACGGTGACATCGAGTATGAATATGAGATTCATCACTTTGAGAAGTATCATGGTGATGATGCCAAGGAAGAAGATCTCACTCACCCTGAGGATATCGAGCATTTCCGGAGGCATGACGAGGAAGATGACGCTGCTGCTCGACTTGAACAGCTCGAGAGGATGCAAATCGTGGAACAGAATATACCGCAGAAGTTCCTTAAACGAGTTTAGAGCGTGTATATGTGTATACCTTCCTGCCATTCTGTATATATAATGTTCGAGATGTCTACGTGCTACATGCGGCTGCAGTCATTTTAGAATAGCCGTTTTTTACGTTCTCGATATCCATCATCTCTACAGAGTAATGTAGGTGATTTGCTTTTAGACATTCCCTTTCACACCTATAGAATTACCGCAAGTATAGATTCAGTTCGGACAGTGCATAACCTGCCGGGCTTGACGATCCGCCGAGCCCCTTATGAAAGGCGTCATGATTCATATTAAACTGTACCATGGACATGTAACATGTAGTATTTTGAAAGTGCAATTGGTCTAGGAATTTATTCAAGGGTCCAACCCTAACCTGCTACCTCTTCAGCAGGTCTCGTATGAATTAACAATGAGAGCACGTCATAGAAGTCGTAAGTCACTTAGAACGCCAGTTTTACCGACTTAACGAAAGGAACATGTTAAGTAATGCAGGGCTTTGGCAATGGAGAAAGAAAGGAAAAGAGAAGTGTATCCTTATAAGTTCATCTTCCCAAAAAGAAAAATAAAAAGAGGGAGAAAACAATCCGAGAATGGTATACCACACCTCAGATACTCTAAAGTATACGTTCTTTATATGTGACTGATAAACAACGTTTGGGGTGACTCTGCGCTGATCTGTCCAGGGCTTGCTCTATGCTTTCTGATCATGAGTGGGCCAATGGTGGCCCAGTGTCTGCCGAGCTGCAGAAGTATGACCGTTCCCGTTTCGGTCCTCGTCAGACTGGCTAGAACTGTCATCTCCGAGAACGCCCGAGGCTGAGGCACTGCGCAAGCGCTGGGCACGGTCTTGAAGCACTTGTGCTTCCGCCGCTGCCCTCTGCGCTCGTATCTGCTTCCGCCACATACTTGCGTACCGGCCCTTCATAGCCAATAGCTGATCATGTGTGCCACTCTCCGCGACCCGTCCCTCATGCAAGACTAGGATACGGTCCGCAGTTGTGATAGTACTTAGCCGATGAGCTATTACAAGCATGGTGCGGCCGAGAGAAAGGGTGGACAAAGCTCCCTGAATGTGCTCCTCCGTCTCCGTGTCCAATGCGGCTGTAGCTTCATCTAGAAGAATGACTCGTGGGTTTTTCAAAATCGTTCGAGCAATAGCTACTCGTTGTTTTTCTCCACCACTAAGTCGTAGACCACGTTCACCGACCTTAGTATTATATCCATCAGGGAAAGACATGATTTTATCATGTATACTAGCAGCTTTACAAGCTTCATAGACTTCTTCATCCGACGCGCTCTGATTAGCATATTTCAGGTTGTACATTAATGTCTCGTTGAAGAGGACGGTGTCCTGCGGCACAACACCGATATGCCTCCGGAGAGAATCAATGGTGGTACTTTTCACATCGTGTCCGTCGATTAAGATTCGCCCTCTTTCGGAATTGTAGAACCGGTAGAGTAAACGGAAAACGGTGGATTTTCCACCACCGGATTCACCAACTAAGGCTGTCGTCGTTCCCGGTTCGCAGTGGAAAGTAAGACCATTCAGGGCAGGTTTTCGACTATCGTACGAAAATTTGACATTTTCAAAAGTAATGTCCCCTTTGCATACCGACAGAGGGGCAGCACTAGGCACATCAACAACAGTCGGTTGTTCTCTGAAAAGTTCCAGCATTCGCTCTGAGTTAATTAATGCCGACTGGATGGACCGATAGAAAGTGCCAAAGAAATTCAGCGGCCCCTGAAGTTGCGCCATATATGTGAGAAGTGACACGAATTCACCGACATCCCGCTGCCCCAACGAGACCTGATACGCAGCAATAAAGCATGCAATCAGTAGACCAAGCATGAAAACCGTATTCTGAGATGTATTCATCAGATTCAAGGAAAAGAGGACATGGTATTCGGCTCTCTGGAAATCCGATACTGCCTCTCGGTACCTGTCGAACTCGTAGTCTTCGGCGTTGAAATACTTTACTGTTTCATATGAAACCATTGAATCATTCCTATATACCACCGGGTGAGCCAGGAGATTTAGCTGGTAATAGAGGTTCACACAACTTACTTAACTGCATCTTCTTGTCTTGAGGCATTGACCATTTGTCGCCGAATCTCTGCTCTCCATTGTGCCATGCGGACAGTGACATATAGGTAACAGAACGTGACAATGGCGACGACCAAAGCATAGTAAGCGTCGAGTGCAATGAGAAAGTAGATGATAGCAACGCAGAGATCGACTAGCATAGGCACAACCTGAAAGGTGACTTGCTCAAGGAAGGTATTGATGGAGCTACCTTTACTCAGCGCAGACAGTACTTCACCGGTCTTCTTGCCCAGGTGGAAATCAAGGCTAAGACTGTGCACATGCTCGAAAGCCGCTGTTGAAAGCTCCATGTAAGAATATTGACTCACGGGGATCCACAGACTGGAGCGCAATGAACCGATGAGGCCTTGATTTCCCTGTAACCACCGGAAGAGGATATACAAACAAATGTCAAACCACGGCACGTTAAAGCCATCGCCTGTTTTAGTTAATTTGCGGGTGATGACCCCAACCTGAAGAGGTACAAGGACATTGACAACGCGTTGTAAGACAATCAGAAGGAAACATATGACCACGACTATCTGCAACCGACGGGATTTTGACGGCCAGAGATACGGAAAGAATAACGAATAGCCGCTAAGATATTCCCACCAGCTGGTAGATGGAACTGTTGTTGGTCGAACCCATCCGTCAGCAGGCTTAGAAAACTGCTGGGTACCTGGAACAGCAGGAGTTGAACCATAAGCATTCCCATTCTCCGCATGAGAAGGATCCAGCAACCCGGTGGTTTCTGAAGGGCCATTGGCATATGCTCTAGGCACTTTTCTGGCGCTGGAATGTGTCCTGATGGAGTTGAACACGTAGAGGGCGACCAATGTACCAAGGATCAGCACCCTGACGCAGTTACAGATAAGCTCCGTCAATTCCCACGAAGTCACGCCTTGCCGTAAACGACCCCCGGTGGGATTCCCCACAATTGGTTCATAATGGTTGCCGACATTGATGGAGAAGGATATTCCTAAAATAGCTAATTCGACGGGCACCGCTATCAACCACGGGACAAACTGCGCAAATGTTGGGGAAGGATCTGTATCTAATAATGAGACGAGGATAATCGAATAGACAAAGAACGATCCCACGATATAGATCTATAGAACATTAAATGCTGCACCAGTTGGATTCGCAATCCGTTCCACGGGCCAGGAGCACTTACCACAACGGACTGACCACACCACCAATGTTCTGATCTAGAGACTATAACATGTGCCACATTGACGGCTGCATCCGCAATAATAGTCAAAAGGATACCAACAGTCAACCACTTGAACAATGACCTCGTATTCTGGGAAAATTTTTGGGGTGTTTTCATGACTGCCATCGTACTTCTCGACCGTTTGGGGAGTGGTCTTCCACCTGGACCCATCTGCGCCACGGTGGGAGAGTTATTGGCATGTTTAGCTGCTAGGACTGAATTGGCAATGAAGGCTGTGATAAAGACTAGGAGCAGCAGTATCGGATAGCCGGTGCGAAGGCACTCCAGCAATTGACGAGTTGCATGGTGAGAGTCCATCTTGAACAATCTTCCAGCAGGGGTCCAACAAGATCAGATCAAACAACCACAGGGTATTTCCATGACACAACGACCGCACCTTCCTGCAAAGCCTGAGGGGCAAGAAGAACGGAGCGAGGAATTGACAGTGGACTCGACTCGGAAACGACTGAGAGGCGAAGAGCAGACCCGGATCAGTCAACCGCAGGAGGACCAGATTTGTAGTAATGCTGAAAGGGATCGACAGACACGTAGGACAGTATCTCACTTTCTCACTTCTCACTCTTTTATAATTTTTTTTCTCGGTTCTTCTTTAAGATGGGGTGAGGAAGGAAAAAGAAAAGAAAGAGGGAGAAAAAATGGGAAATAATTACAAGAGAAGAGTATGCGTGGATTGACTAAAAGGCTATATTGGGGAACCAAAGTAAAAACCGGACGGAAAATTGAAAACCCCAAGAATAACGGAAAAGAATTAAAGAGTATAGCAGAGAGAAAGAAAGAAAGACGACCGGAAGGGACAGAGAGGAATGAGAGTGGAGGAAAAGGGAGAAAGAGAGAGAGAGAGAAGAGAAAAGATACACGAGGAAATGATCGTTGGAGAGATACAAATAGTAGTCGGACGGTTGAGGAAGAGTGACGGTGTGTTAAAGTCAAGAATACCTAAAGTAGACTAGTTAGACCCAGAAAGCTGCTGAGCTTGGGTGGTCCCGGAGGCAAATTTGGGGGAAATGGCAAAGAGGCAAGGGAAAAATCTAAAACAAATGGAAAAAAAATTTATTTTTTTTATAGAAATAAAATTAAAAAAAAAAATAATAGCAATAGTAATAGTAATAGCAATAGTAATAGTAATAGTAACAGTAACAGTAATAGTAATAATAATAATAAAACAGAGCTAAGAATATTTGGAAAAGAAGGACGACCAGAGGATTTTTTTTTCCCAGTAATATCAAAATCCTCTAGATCAGCGGGTCAGATTCCTTCTCTAACTAATTCTTGATGCGAATCGGAGGTTTTTTATTTAATCTTCTTCTTTTCTTCTTCCTTATATGTACTTTGATATCATCGAGGACGAGAGATAGATACATACAAATACATACAATATTACTCCTAGGGAAACCTTTTGAACACTAGTACGAAGAGGTACCTAGCCGTTTGCAGGATATTTTCAAAATCGCGTCAAAATCGACACCTTCCATGGGATGACTGGGTTGAACTTGAGGGGGTTCGTGCCCAATGGGAACAGAGTTTCGAATGGAGGTTAGAAGGAATTCGTTAAATGCTTGATGAGCAAAATCCCATGCATGATCTTGCTCATTGGCCTGAGCGGAAAAATGCCTAGGAAGAAGGAAGTACATACGGAGACCGAACGCGGGCGAGGACTCGAGGGTACTGAAATATAAACATTTTAGAAGCCCAGCTGTTGATGATGTTCAAGGCCTCTTATTATTATTTTTCCCTCCCCCCTCTAGTGGTGTACTTGTGGTGTAACGTGATATATGTAAGTATATGTACCAATAGTCAACGACTGGTACTGTACAGTATTTATCTACATTCCCCCGAGGGGTATGATTAGTAAGATTGAAGATTAGTAAAGGTCAAAAAGAAAAATGAAAGAATGAAAGAAAAAGAAAAAGTAAAAAAAAAAAATTGTTGAATAATATAGATGGGATTATTACACAGTATGTAGGGATGTCTTCGTGACAGATCTCGATGGAGAAGGGGATGGATGGTGGTACAAACCGATCGCTGCGAGGATCAGGATTGGACCGTCGGCGGCTGCATTGCATGGTTAGAAGCCTGGGATCCATGTTTGCGGCCCGCCAAATAGGTTTAGTGCCAACCCTTGGGCAGAAGATAGATCAATTTCTTCTTCGTGACTTGGATTCCTAAGGAGGGTTTGATGCTTTTGTTGTCTTTCTCGAAACCAAGGTGTCCTGTTAGCGCCCTGCGTAAGTGGCTGAAAACAGTTCAGTGCCAGGGGCAATGTCATCTCACAATAGATTTAGCTTGTTACACTTCTAATTAATATGATCATATTATATGATAGTATGATAAAAATCTTGAATGATTAATTTTGGGTTACGCTTAATTCTTTTTCTGGGACAGCGAAATAAAGAAATTGACAAAGTGAACCATGATCATTATATTATTATCATCAGACCACACCCCATATGGATTTGAACATGACCATGATTCAGACAAGGAGTATGCGGGGGGGAACCGATTCTTCAAGTCGAGGACCGCCCTGCACCCTGAGTCGTCTTCCCGACCAGTCGCTTTAGTTTGTCCCACCTGTGAGGAGTCCCGAATGTCCGGATGATCTAAAACAAAAGTATCGTTGGTATGTAAATATGTACCTCCTACGTACACCGTATGTATGTAGATACATCTCGGATCCAAGACATAAGCTCCAACATCGGTCTTACTCTCTCATCTTTAGTCAATTCGTGTTAAGCTGGTCTGAGACCCCTAGTAAAGAGTATATAGCCACTTTTCTTGCCCAATTTATCTTGACTGTGGGTACTTCACCCCCATCTAAGCCATTAAAAATACATCCATCAATACCGCCATACATTGCCATACAGTACCTAGCTAAGTTCCAAGCTTAGGTTAACCGGTACGTTGCACACCGCTTCTAACATGCATGCATGTCTGTTGGATTCTTTCATAGCGACGTTTAACGGCATCCTGCGAGATAGCTGAGTTCCCGCCATTCAATCCACAACTCCTATTACTATAGATTGTACACATCACTCAGGTATCCATCTAAATTCCAATTGCTCTAGCTTTGTTACTAGATTATCGACTCTTCAGATCCATCACCTGGACAGGTCGAGAGGGAAGAGCTAATTAATAATTATTTTTTTTTTTTTAAAAAAAAAGGTTTTGAATATTAAGAATACCTAAATCAAGAAAAGGGCCGGTATGGAATGATACAACAACCAGTTAAAAATAATAGTACTACGAATGACAACTGAAAGAATTAGAGGTTGAAATCATTGGATGAAATAAGGTCTCGAAGTTGTTTGCCTTGAGTTTGTTTTCCTTTTTCTCCTCCGTACGGAGTATGGTATTCTATCATCCTAACGATCTATCTAGTAGTCTATCTTTGTAGACTATGATTTACTAGATGGACACGCCCCCAACCGGCGCTAAACCCGCACATCACGCGTTCTCGCCACTCTATTATTATTCGAGTGGTCACTAATTCTCCCTCACATTCCTCAGACTTACTGACTTGCTTACTAGTCGTACTTACTTGCCTTCATGCATCTCACATGAATCAATTTAACTACTCCTTAATTACCATTCCTCTGGTCAAAGCTTTTGCAGGAAGCTGACTAATCGCCATTGTGACCTTAGGCAGTCTCAACATCTAATCAGTTCGTCAGTCACTGGTGTATCCATCCAAAGTCTCTAAAGAGAGCTCCGCCTTCTAACCCCCCTCCTTTGCTATCATTTCCCACCTCCACCAGCTCCTCTTTCTTGTTTGTTCGTCGGGAACGTTATCAATCATGGAGCTGCAACCCTTATCGGGTTAAGTCGTGTTTGATTAACCTCTCGAGGATGTCCGATAGCTCTCGGTTGCCCACCCGAGGCAGTTCCTCCCCAGCTCCCCCCCCTCCTCCTCCGCCCGCCCCCGTGCAACAAAGCAAATATTCCAATCGCGCGGCCAGTGCTCTAGCAAGATTTGCCCAGCCTTTCTTTTCTGGGTCTCGACCTCCAAGTCCGCAGGCTTCAGGGGGACGTGCAGATTTATCTACTGGTCCTCGTTCTAATAGGCCCAAGTCCTTGTATAGTTTCCCTTTCCAGGTGTTGCTCTTCCTACCCTCGTCACCCTAATTCACCTGTTCATCTTGTACACCCCTTCCCTAACTCCAGCTTCATTTACAATCACTATCTAGACAGGTCGCACCAATATGCAGCTTTCCACCTCGCCGTCCAGGCTTGGCAGCAATGTTCTAACAACCCTACTAGACCGGGTGCGTCCCAAACGGTCACTCATAAGACCGGAATTCCGATTGCCGCTTTAGATATATCCCCTCAGCGGACACATGCAGTGGTTGGGGGAAAGGAGATTTTGAAGACTATCCGTGTCTCACCCGATCATTCTTCCGAGGAATTCAACCTTCGCAATGCTATCATCGGTTACTCCTCCACTCAGAATGATGGTAGCGGACTCTCCGCACGTTACAAAGACCAGCTGACAGTGCGGGATGTGAAATGGTCACATGGCACTTATGACACAATTATTGCCACCGCGGTGGCCAACGGACGCATTGTTCTCTACGATCTACATCGCACTGGCTTGGAATATTGCCGGTTTCAGGGGCACAGCCGCCAGGTCCACAAATTAGCTTTCAATCCCCATCGACCGGCATGGCTTTTGTCTGGCAGTCAGGATTCCTCTATTCGAATGTGGGACTTGCGCATGGCATCCACAGGCAAGCCATCTTCGAGTAAGGCGCTGTATAATGGTAACAGCGATGCAGTCCGGGATATCAGGTGGTCTCCAAGCGATGGGGTTCTGTTTGCAACTGCTACGGACAGTGGTGCAATACAATTGTGGGATTGTCGAAAAACAACTGCTCCTTTGCTGAGGATCACTGCCCATGACAAACCCTGCTTCTCAGTAGATTGGCACCCTGATGGAAAACACATCGTCAGCGGTGGAACAGACAGGCATGTTAAAGTTTGGGATTTCTCTTCTTCGGCTGAACGTAGGCAGAAACCAACGTTCCAATTCCGGACACCCCAGGCCGTTGTTAACGTACGATGGCGTCCGCCGTCCTGGAATAGTGAACCTGAAGCTTCTGGTGGCTGGCAGTCAACCCAATTGGTAACATCCTATGATAAAGAAGACCCGCGGATACACCTATGGGATCTTCGGCGGCCTCATATACCCTTCCGGGAGTTTGATCGGTATGAATCACATGCTGCTGATATACTTTGGCATTCAAAAGACCTGTTATGGACTGCCGGCGAGGCCGGCGCTTTCACCCAGACTGATATCCGATATGCTACTCAGGTAGTTCATCAACGGCCGATGTGCTCCGTAGCCTGGAGCCCGAGCGGGGAAGTGCTAGCTTTTGTTCAGAAGCGTCCAAGGCAAAATACTGTAGGTCTCAGCACCACGAAATTTGTGGGTCATGCAGAAGAAGAGAACAGTAGCGGTGAAGTTTTGAGTCAAAGCCCAGCAGATGATCTTCTTGATGAGCCCTCGTTCATCTCGGTTAGACACCGACATACTAAGTCGAGTAGTGGCCGGGCGTCTAAATCACTAGGTAGCTCTCCTCCAGTTGCGCCCGAATTCAATCCGGTTCTATCACTAGACAAGGTGCTGTCCAAAAACAAGCCTTCCGAACAATGCCAATTAGGAGCAATTGGAAGTATCCCTGGGACTACAATGAGTCAAGCAACCTTCCGATACCTGGCTCGTCATTATTCTCCTTTACTCGAAGCCTCTAACGGCACACACCCAGATCTTCTACGATCATTGCTCGAATCATTAACCCAGAACGCAGAATGTGCGGAAGATGCTTCACTGCTCAAGCTATCTCAGACATGGCGTATAGTAAAGTTTGCTGTTGTTCAAGAACTACAGCTCAAAGCATGGCAGCAGCACCGGACTCCGGAAAAGGGTCCTCGCGACCCTAGAAAGAGACTTTCAACGCAAGGTCCAGTTCCTGAAAACACGCGAACATTGGATGATGGAAGGCCTGAGAAGATAAAGAACCGGTTTTTCAAGAGTGTCCTAGAGACGGAAGCGCCCAAACAAAATCTCGCTGACATAGAAAACGGTTCGAATATGACAACCCCCCTAGCGCAGCCTTTGCGTGACTCCACCATTAGGTCGTCAGACAGCTCCAACTCACATATATCTTCTCTAAACGACACAACCGATATTCAGCCTCTTCCACCATCACTTCTGAGCTCAATCCAAGACACCATGAATTCAAATGACTGGTCTTCGATGTCAGATGTACAGCCACGTATCATTGTCCAACCCCAGCACCGTCAATCGAACGCAAGCGAAGATGCACGTTTCCCAGGCGAAAGCCTCTTATCTGATCCAATACATGAATCGGTACCCCAGAGCCTTGAAGGCGACCAAAGATCTGCCCCACGGGCAATCACCGGGAGAGCGGACTGGCGTGCTCGGAGCCGCACCGAGGCGTCAGAAGTAGACGAGTATGATCAGAAGATAGAGGATAAACGGGCAGCCATTCGTGACTACAAGTTGTTCCCTAAAAAGATCTTGTCGCTCGAGTCTCACGTCGAGTCTGTCAGGGCTCCGGGTTTCCACCGCCACGAGTCGTCAGAAAGTCTTCCCATGTTCTCAGCATCCACAGGGAGCTCACATCCTTCCAAGTCAATAGGCACATCGTTATCGTCAACAGCCAGGCTATACGATGTTTCCGAAAGTGAGAACATCACAGAAAGTCTGAATAATGAGGCCTCTCGTATACCATTCTCCAGGGCCAGAAGTGACTCAGTTATAGGCCCACTAACTGTTTCAAACGAAGTACGTCAGGACAATGGCACTTTGGTTGAGGGTATTTCGGATTCGGGCGGTATTCATCTTGGACGGCCCTCCAGCCCACTTCTCCTTTTGAAGGAATCCAGTCCACTACAGACTCCAAGTATAGAGTTTTGCCATAAACCTAGTTTTGTCACTTCTGCAAGAGATGACTCTACTTTTGGATCTACATATGGGGTCGACGATAACCTCACAGGACTCACTATTCCCATACTGTCTGATGGAACGCTAGACAGCCCTTGGAACTCGGAAGCCTTGCTCAAAGAAGCCATTAGGCATTACCACAGCAGTACTTATGTTGACGCCCAATCTGCTGCTCATCTTCTTCAGAAGCTGCGCACTCTCTTCCAAGGATATGAGAATATACTTTCTCACGAGGAGTGTGAACTCATCTTCAAAACCTACAATGAGCACCTTATGCGTCAGTGCATGTACATTGAGGCGGCAGAGCTCCGACTTCTCTGCGTACCAATGTACCCAGCAGTTTATGAGTATGCTCAAATAGACACTACCATGAATGTGTTTTGCTTCACATGTAAACGCCCATATGAAAATCCCAAGAATGACAACACGCGTTGTTATCGCTGCAACACGCCCCAGGAGCTCTGTGCCATTTGCATGTGCGTTGAACCACCAGCGGAATGGGTAGCAGAACAATCTATCTCGTCACTACACTCAAATCACGAGTGGGACTCTGAAACTACCTCACATGTTCTGTCATCGTCTCACTCTTCACTCAAAACAGAGCCAATCCCGCCTTCTGAGCTGCGGCGCTTGGATCAGACACACCTGGATCCATACAATCCTTCGGCACCAAAAGGATCCACGCTCTGGACCTGGTGTCAAGGCTGTGGTCATGGAGGCCATTTGGCTTGCATTACCGTGTGGTTAAACGACATCTCTGTCAGCGAAGGTGGCTGTGCTAGCCCCGGCTGCATGCATGACTGCGGCCCTGGACCCCGTCGTGAATACAATCGCTCCATTCTACTAGAGGAATCCAAAAGGCGAGATTCAGCTGGTAGGAAAGCTGGTGTAGGATTCGTCAAACGTGACCCATGGACCAGAGGGGAGAGCAAAGCTGTTGAGAAGGTTCGAGGTATGCTAAGTGTTGGGACTTCAGGTGGGACAACCGCTTCCACCACCAGCGCTGGGCCTAGCGCATCCTCTAACTTGATGTCACCTAAGAAAGTACGACTTGTTACGCCTAGCGAGCAAGGGAAGCGAAGGAGTGGCTCTTCTCGAACCAGTTTTGGTGGTGGCAGCGGGCCAAGCACTTGAGGTTCAACCAGCCTGAAAGTAGATACAGAGACCACCAATCGCAAGTGCAATGATTTTCTGTCATATGCCGACATTTGTTGCACCCCTCTCAAGCACTTGGGCACATTCTACAGACTACCTGAAAGGGGGTAACCTGTTCAGACTACGGAAATACCTCTACGGCCTTCCGCGTGATACGATAGCCTCCTGTATGATTACCCGTTTCAGGTGTACCTGTACTATGCAATACCCCCCCACGAAACCCAGTAAACCTAAAAAAATATCTGCGGATTTATGTTACCCGGTATATTTGCAGTTTATCGTGGAAACCACACATTCCTCTAGATGCCAAATCTAGTACTCTGTAATAACAGGTCATACGATTTAACCGGATATTCAGTAGCCAGGGCTTCATTCAGCCGTAGCCTATTAGGAAAGGACGAGCAGAGCTCAGAATTTCCGCTTCTTTCTAACTGGGGCTTTGCTCTTCGCCTCAAGCTGCCTCTTCAAGTCTTCACGCTTCCTATCGGCTCTTTCCTGATCCGTTTCCTCTCTCTTCGGCTGTTCAGGCAACTTTGGCTCTCTAGATTCGGGTAATGGAGGCATCATTGGTTTAGAGCTGTGTTTTAGTGTTTCTTCAGACAATCCGGCACTGCTCTCCTCCGACCGATGCACTGGAGTACAACCTACATCGTATTTGGAGGTTTTACCTCCAATAACACCAAGTTTGCCAGCTCTCTTTGTTCTTATCTCCGGTGAAGGCGATGCTTGAGGAGATGGCCGGTCTTTTTCTGTTTGTACACTTGGTGACTTTACTTTTGGCAAGGATGTAGACTCGCCAAACGTAGCTTGCCTTTCTTTCTTCTTACCACCAATGATTCCTAAACCTCGTGGTTTGCTCTGTACATTCTCTGATGCCCTTTGCTTAGCTTTCACTGGTAGGAGTAATGCCAAAGCCGAACTTTCATGTTCCGAACCCGAATCTGTCTCGTCGTCGGCCGTGGGTTGTGTGCGCATAGAGGGAGATAGGGGTGAAGATTGCAGCTCCTTGGTTGGTTTTTTCCCGCCGATAATCCCAAGGCCTTTAGACGGCTTTGTAGGGCTTTTCTGCTTCGACGGAAGTGGAGATTTGCTCGTAGAACTTCGCTCTATTTCTTCATTCCCCTCGGAGCTGGAGGGGCTTTCCTCGGTGCCTTTCGGTTGCTTCAATCTTGGGGGCGTTTCCTGTCGCTAAAGACGAAGTTAACTACGGCATTTGTATTTGAGAATTGCACTTACTTCAAATCCATCATCTTCCGTTTCTGCAGCCGTATCAGTATCGGCTTCCAGCGAGATATTGGATGGCTCGCGTCCTCTCTTCGGTTCACTTTCCTCCCGTGTAGGACCCGTAGTGGACTTGGTTGCTATAACTTTCTCCCACCATTGGTCAGGTGGCGGAATGAGAGCTCCCGACCGATTCGTGCTCTTAGAGCTAGAAGTCTCTTCTAGAATATTGGCAGCAACGCCTATACCAGCAGACGGCGCGTTGAGCTCCTTGAGCCAAGCATTTTCATCGAAAGGTGCAATGCCTTTAATATGTTTGGCTGCTTGCTCCAGGGTTGCGCCCTTTGGACCGGTCCGTAAGCCAGAGATACCGGGGAATATAGTACTCAAATCAATGCCCACATCTTCGATCTTATCAAAGAGCTTTCCGAGAATCCAGTCTTTCTTATGCAGCTGGTCAATAAGAGATCGTTGGCACAACTCCCAGTCAGCTTCTGCCTGTATGAGGGGAAGGAGCAATTGCTTGGTGGCAGCAGAGTGAGGTTCTTTTAAGAGACGTGCATTCCATTTCAAAGGTTGGAGTGGAGCCGGCAATTTTGTCAATAAAATCAGTTCTAACGAGTCTCCTCTCGAACCTGAACCCAAGTTTGCCGTGGTTCCTGACTGACCACGCAAAGCATCTCCAATCTTCTGCAGTAGGACTTTAAATTGCTCGGTGTCCTCGCTCGGATCGATTGGGGTGTTTTGCTCATCAGCTCTTCTCAGGATGTCTTGGCGGGTTAGATGTTCAGACCAGATGTTGGTAAGATCAGTGATGTACAGCCCATAGCCATTTGACGTTGAGGTATACCTGAAAAGGAGTGGGGGTATATTCTCTTGATTTGAAAGGTTTAATCTCTTCCATTTTAAGGACATTTTCTAAACATTAATCTATTTGTTTGCGAATTCTACCGGAAGGACCTAGAGAGGTTAAAGTATATATATCTATATATCTACGCAAACAAGCACAAGGCGGCAACGCTTATCAGGCGGAATTTCTGCCGTGCCGCTCCACCTGATTCTTGGCACATGGATACTCCAAGAAAAAGAATTCACCTCAAAGTCTCACCCTTTAATCGACAATCGGGTTCACCGCTTGTACAGTCTTACCTATTTGTGTCGCTTTTTACTCTATCTTTACTGTCCTTTATAGAGGTACCAGTAATGTCGTCGCGTCTTCCAGACAGAACAGGTTCAACGAAGCGAAGCCGATCTGGATCTCCATCGCGTCAACCCCAGAAGCTCCCCCGCAGGCATGATGGGAGGGACTACCAGGACGATGCGAGAGGCCGACCGTCACAGTCGAGAAATATGAGGGACCAGATGCGTTTGAATCAATTACAAGAAGACGAGCAAGTGCGTGAATGGGTGGCGCAGGAGGACATTTTCGTGCTTAAACAGGCCAAAAAGAAGGCGGAGATCCGTGTCAAAGAGGGCCGGGCGAAGCCTATCGATTGGCTTACTGTTACCCTACGATTTATCGACCCTACGAGGAACCCTCTTGATGATGAGATTGCCGACTCAGACTTGGATATTGTGGATCCAGATGGCGTTTTCGAAGGACTGTCCCAGAGTCAATTGTTTGACTTGGAGAAGGATATTGATACGTTCCTAGGCTTGGAGGCGAATTCACAAAATAGAGATTTTTGGAAGGTACGTTCCGTTGTTACTGGGCATATACGGAGCAAGGCTGAGGGTTTTGTATAGACTATGAGGATTATCTGTCGCGAGCGTCAGAAAACCACTGCCCCCGAAGGACGTGCGCTCAGTTCTGTTGCTGCGGATATCAATAGACTTTTGAGCCCTAAATCATACGAACAACTTCAAACCCTTGAAGCACAGGTCAAGAAGAAGCTAAATTCTAATGAACCGATTGACACCGACTACTGGGAAGAGCTACTGCGAAGCCTTACCGTCTGGAAAGCTCGCGCTAAAGTGAAGAGAGTCTTTGAGGCCGTCATAGACGAACGTATTCGAGGGTTACGCCAACAACAGCGTGAAGAGGCAGAGTCAGTTCAAGCAAAACTTGCACCTCTAGCGCCTGTAATCCAGCCGTCTATTGCGGATCCACAAACTAGGTTGGATGAAGTATTCTGCGGCCTTGACCCGGACCCACTACTTCAGATTCGCCCAGAAGATAAAGTTCTGGAAATAGTGGATGAAACGAGCTTTCTGGATCAGGTGGTAGGTCACACCGGTTTCTAGACGTTATTCACCCTGCGCTAATGATATTTGTAGGCTCGCGAACGTAAAAAGGTCCTCAAGATGGGCTTTGTGCCACTTCGCCAGAGGCAAGCAGAGAAGTCTTCGGCTATTGCAGTGAATCAAACACCGAATATACCTGTTTCCACCGGCTCGGCTCGTTTCTCAGCCATACCTAACGAAGATTTCTCGCAAGCAACAAAGGCACTCTATGAAAGAGAGCTTGCGAAAGGCGTCAGTGAGAATGAAGAGATCTTTGCAGCCGAAGAAGCTGTAAGCACAAGCTCCCGCCCTCAGTGGGCGAATAAGTACCGGCCGCGCAAGCCACGATATTTCAATCGGGTACAAATGGGTTACGAGTGGAATAAATATAATCAGACCCATTATGACCATGATAATCCACCACCCAAGGTCGTACAAGGCTACAAGTTCAATATCTTTTATCCCGATCTCATCGATAAGGCGAAAGCGCCGACGTACCGTATTGAGCGTGAGCACGGAAGGAAGCGTGGCCAGTCATTTGCGGCAGCCGGTGAAGAAGACACTTGTCTCATTCGATTCATGGCGGGACCTCCTTACGAAGACATCGCATTTCGAATTGTTGACAAGGAATGGGACTATAGCGCTAAGAGAGAAAGAGGCTTCAAAAGCACCTTTGATAAGGTAAGTGCGCCGATTGCTCTGGCCCAACTACCTCACCTGCTGATACGACCCAGGGCATCCTACAACTGCATTTCCAATTCAAGAGAGTAAGTCTCTCCTTTCTTTTCAAACAAAGAATGACCGCTCTAATACGTATTATAGATCTATTATCGGAAGTAAAATCCTCAGACAAACCTGTACTCACGTCGACATTACTATATTTATTCCCGCTGATTGGTGTATGGGGCGGATACGGCTACAAATACTAGTATTTTTTTTGTTTTCAGGATTTCCAGTGACTGCCTCCAATCATTCTATTACGGTCATAGCAGAGCAAGGTGCAGATGGCGATCCGATTGGACTGGAGGCGTTAGCCACCGGCTACAGTATTGGACCCAAATCGATCAACAGACGCTAGAACGTATCATACCATTGGGCTCATAGCATTAAGGTACATACTTGAATGATGTTAAAGCTTTTCGACTCACAGATGATAGCTTCCACGTGTGTGCGACAGTGGCCTAATGCCTATTTGCACTACTATCACACTGGTCCTGTTTCTTCCCATCGACCGTCTTCTCCCATCATGATCCTCATGATCTGGTCACGTGACGCATGAGCCTGCTCCCCACACGTATGTACGGCCACCCAGGTCTGGGACACCGTGCTTTCTGGTCGGAATACCCCCAGCGGATTAGAGAAAAATCGCAATGGTGCGGCTTTGGTGCTACCAAGCCACCCGCATATCGTTTCAAGGCTTCCGGCTGGCCGGGGAAAGCGGGAAAAGGTCTGAGTGTTTGCAGGATACATCCCCAGAGAACTGAGGGCTTCGTGGAAGTTGCCAGAACATCCTTTCCAGAAAGGCTTTCTCCTTAACCGGTGGACTATGTGGTGAATGCAAAGAAGGGCCAGGTTTCCTGCAGGTTTCCGATCGACAACCCTCTCAGCCCCTGGTCTGTCAGGCGTTGTAAATCCAGAAGTACGTACATTGCCATTACCTGTAGCACCGAAAGTCAGCCTTTACTAGACTCTGCGAAGCCATTGGCCAAGCAAGTACAATGACTTGTTGTTGCACTGCTTAAGAGAGAACCTTAGAGCGAAGCACCACACGCTACACCACTACTATCCACTGCATACCCCGTGCCGGGGAATCCCTTGGGTTACTTTTCTTTTTCGTTTGAGTTGTTACTGACTCTATCTTTTATTTGTATTATTATTATTATTATTATTATTATTATTATTTATTTTGTTTTTCTTCCAGACCGTCTTTTGTTAGCTGGGCCTAGCGTACACACCGTAGACAGGCCATCAGGCCCGTATGTGTGAGCTGGCATTTCTTCTGGCTTCATGGCTTCAGTTATGTCCTATTCTCAGTGGCTGGTGGCTTTATCTGTTGATTTTTCCCCGTTCTTTTAGTCTCTCCTTATCTTCGCACACATTTCTGGGCTACCTTTCTTTAACCTGTAAACTTCCGTCTTCCTAGCATGGCTTGTACCCGTTAGAAGGTTATAATATCCATAATATTTCCTTCCTTCGTGGACCACTCTCTCAGATGCCAATCTGACCCATCTAGATCCAGCTTGTTGGTTATTGGTATTGGTTTGCTTGCTTGCTTACAAGGCAACATGGATCGTTTCCTTGTCTCTCAGGCCCTATGCGCCGACTCAACTCCTTCACGCCAGGGAACTCCGCTGCAATACATCTTGAAACGCACAGAAACGACTGCTCCTTCCCACACTGTCACTGATGGTGCACCGTTGGGGGCTTTTCGTCACAACCACCCCTGCCTAGCGGTTGAACCTTGGACGAACTCTGGTCTCAGCAGTCCAACTCCGATGTTGCCTTGTCAATATCCATGGGCCATTGAAACCCCAGCCTTCACGCTCCCTTCATCTCACTCGCCTACGCAGTCAATGCCTGATGGGCTTCCACGCTTCTATCTTTCCTACGACCACGACTGGCCATCTTGTTCAATGACACCGGGTTCCACCTCAGGACAACTGAAGCTAGGACTCTTCCGCCCTAACGATAGTAGGACCTCTTCTGAGTGGATGCAGGAATCCGACCAGAGCATTTCGTGTATGTTGGAGCCCGATCGATCCTACATAGCAGCCTCTGAAGCCTTTGGGCCCCATCAACAACCGCCCGAGAATATTACAACAACCTATCCCACTGCAGCCCTAACGCCACCGTCGCCGGCTTTCTCGGCTTCATCGTGCCAGTTGAGCTCTCCTGCAATCAAACTCGAACCTGATCACGTTGATACACGAGTATCCCCAACTGACACGGAGTTGTATGCGGACGCAGACCCTCCCTACTCCGTGCTCATTTATCGAGCCCTTAATTCTGTGCCTAGTAGAAGATTGCCTCTTCAGGGGATTTACAACTGGTTCAAGCAGCATACCAAAAGAGGGAAAGATCGCAATTCTAAGGGGTGGAAAAATAGCATTCGACATAACCTATCTATGAATGCGGTAAGTTTCCTTACTTCACATCAGTTGATGTCTTTGTTTACTAATATGGGAAATCTGCTACAGGGTTTTGAGGCAGTTCGTGTGGAAGAAATACCGGGCAAAAAAGCCAAGAATGTCTGGCGTCTGACTGATGAGGCAGCAAGGAAGGGTATCCAATCCACAACTCGGTATAGAAAGCAGGGGAACTATAAGAAGACGGTGGGCTTGGCCCCACCAGCTCCTCAGCGCCAACGATCCGGAGCGAAGGGAGGAAAAGCTACCAAAGTTACTGCTAAATATCGCGGAATAATGGACCAGGGTGGTTTACGTAAAGAACGGTGCCGCCAACGACTGGCTTCGCAGCGGCGACCGCACAAGATCCTTCACAGCCAACACCACCAGTCTCACGGGACGACGGCTATCGTCTCGCGATATCATACATCAGGTCCAGCAACAGTACTGACTCGCACGCCAGCCGAACCGTTCGATTTGGGCAGTCTTGTTAGTAGCGCTGACCCTCCTTCATGCACCTCTATCTTTTGTGACATGGCGGGACCGGGATCAGAATGTCTAGCGATGGAGACGGGATTTCAGGGCTGGAGTAGTCTCCCCACCCCTTCTCCATGGTTTGTTGACAGGTCCTGATATCTCCACGGAGCTTCAACTTGCCGTCTAGGGGGTGGTGCATCCGGATGGCCATGCTGACTTGCATATCTAATTTATGTGGCTACTAATAGCCTCGTGGTTAGGCCTTCTTGATGCATTTAATTTACCGTATTTCTCTGTTATCACTTTCATATCTTTCTGTTTCCTATTTGAGGGATATAAATGGCCTACTAATTCTTCTCATTGTCTTAATTAGAGCATCAAAGGTGTGGCACTCTTGTATTGGATCGTGATTTTTGTTTAGCATCCATGTCTCTCACTCCCTCACAGAATTTCTTTTTTGCCCGCTGTTCCTCTTTTTGTTCCTAGTAGGTCGTGGTTGTGAGCAGGAGACAGGAAAGCAGTGGAATCATCCATTATCTGGTTGAGCCAGAACTGAGCAAAAAGTCGCCAGCGTGCGGTACAGAATACATTAGAGGCAATGGATTCAAAATAATCTTATTCCAATATTACCACCAATACAACAACGATAACATGTCATTACTAACGTTAGTGGTGTTTCCGAGGAGTTGTCGTAGGAACCAGTATCATCTATACCATGTCTCTATTCTAGGGCAAAATGGTGACACTATTGCATGCATTCAAGAACGTATCCAGACACTTGAAGTGGGTTCTGCATCAATAGACTCTGCATGTGCTTCATGCAGCATATGAATGAATTCATTTGATGAAGATGGATGGCATTGTCCCACTTCATTAATGCGACTCTTTTGGCATCGCATCCTCCCCTCGCCTGGTGCCCAAGGAATCAATCTATCGATTGATAAAAGGGGACTAACCTGAGGTAGTTCAGTGCAATCCAAGGCCAGGCCTTTCTATTCGGCGGAAGAATAAGCCGGGAAAGTGCCGCTCTGACGTACATCTCATTTGTCTTGCGGCAGTGGAGACGAGTCGGCATGGCTATCAGCTCCATGGCTATAGTACCAATTTTATGTCACGTTTTCCGTTTGCGGTGGAAATCGATGATCTCCCTTATATAGATATAGATGATGTCAGGTTATATACCATGTACGTCGATACATATACGTCGGTCAACTTCAAATAGAGGGAGAAAGGAAGTGAGGTCATTAGAGGCAAGGAGAAAGGGCGAAATAAACGAAAAAAAAAAAAAGAAAGAAAGAAAAAGAAAGAAAAAAAAAGGGACAAGGCTACGCATCATTCGGCACGGAAAAAGAAATATGTAAATCAACACTGGCTACCACTTAGCCCTAACTTATTGCATGATTTACTGTAATATCTTTTGTTCACAAAGCAGAGGGTCACTAACCCCACCAGAGCTGTAGCTACTAGGTATCAGAGGGGAGAAAAAGTCCATTAAAAACATGCCCCATTAAATTGTAGTGCTAATCCTGTTAATGATCATGTTAGGAGAAATTAGAAGGTTGTCCCTGGAAAGTGGTCGAGTGGACCCGCCCATTAAATTGGCCCGTCTGCAACTAACAATGTAGTCTCGCTTGGCGTGTTGCAGTGGTTGAAACTTCACAGGTCATGACTGACTCGTAAGGGCATTTTCTCGATGAGCATTAGTCGTCATACTAGTTTATGCATGAGTGACAGCAGTATGAACTAACCCATTAGGGATATACAAAGGTACTTTGTTCATCTTGAATACTTCATGGCACTGATCCGATAACAAGGTGGAAGAGTGAGGGACAGGAAAGGTTATACTGCCTTTAGGTGATGTGATGTAAGAATGTCCTATATCCTGGGTAGTCAGGCAGATGAGGAGACATATCTGATATACACTCCGAGTGGATGGGGGTGGGGGGAAGAAAAGCAACACATCATCAGCTGAACTGAATGTTTTGTACTACCATTGGGATGGGATTGGGTCTTGATGGGTCCCGAGAGGCTCTCCCCCGGCTTGTTGCTGCATCATGTGTACTTGATGTCCCTTTCAGCGAATGAACTACTGCGTAAATGGTATCTTCGAAGTCATTGCTTTTCTCTTCTCTTCTCTTTCTCTTTCTCTTTCTCTTTCTTTTTTGGAGGTCATCCCATCTATGCAGAAACATTGATACTAACGGCATCGTCGTAGGACAGAGTGTCCACATTAGTTCTCTATCGTTCAATAGCTCGGCTAAACTTTGCGCTTCTGCAGCCGGTCACCATCTCCGCCATGCCTATTCATTTAAACCAGAAGTACAATGGATACTTAACTTTTTCGCCTTTGCTTTCCACACGGGCCGTTCCTTTGCGTCCGTTTTGTTAATCTCCGCGTGGACCTGTCTCATTAAATTGCATTGTTAATCTACCTTTGACTGTATCTTCGATTAGAACTAGCTTCTCGAATATATAACTATCTATCCACATGTATATATATAGATAATATTCACGTACGAGCACAGTCTTCTTGCTAAACCCTTAATTCTCTTTTTCTTTTGTCCCCCCCTTTTTTTTCCTTTTCCTTTTTCTCAGAAAAAAAAATTTAGAAAGAAGCCCAAAACAGGGGAGATTACATGCAAAACGAACGAAGTACAGCGCAATGGATCAATATCTTTTCTGGGTGCAGTAGTTCGTTCCATATAAAATATCCATGTTGACATACTGCACACCACTAACACTACAGATTTGGCATCAGAACCAACCTTGTTCCAAGACACACGATAATCTCCCGGGAGTCTAACTGAACTGTCGTTTCGATCAGTCAATTTTTCAGACGTGTTACTATTTTCGTCGTCTTTGGATCGTGCCATTCTCTATTGCCAATCGTTGCCTTCTTGTTGTCTTCTCCATTTACTCAACTTCAGACAATAGCGCGCTTCATAATACAGTTCACAATATTCATGAAGACCCTTCAATCTAGGGTTGGGTATCGTCACAGAGGCGGTTACACACCGACTGATCTAGCTGGCTATCTTTTCCCTCCATTCCCCCCTCCTCTTTTTTTTTTTTTTCTTTTCTTTTTTTACCCTACTTGTCTATGGATTTTTGACTGGATGATTGATCCCTCTGAAAGGAATAGAATGGGGAAAATGAAAAAAAGAAAAAGCTCTAGCAGTAAAGTCCTCACCGCTCCCCAAGGATGACTACCGAATCATGCATCCAGATTATTACACTATCAACTCTCCTTCCTCTTCTGTCTTGGTGTCCTGTCCTTTCTTTTCTTTTCTTTTTTTTCCCCTCTAAGTCTTCTCCGGATACGGATACTATCGGGCGGATAGGTGTGTGTTGAAACGAAAGGGTTGTCCCTGGGCCAGGCTTAAGCTCTGATAGGATCTCTAGCCGGAGTGAGATCTCCTGTACTAGTCAGCGATCAATCCACCAAGAAATGGACGGAGATATCCTCACCTGTCAGACTTCAGCTGCATGCCATCTGGGTGCACAGGCCAGAGCAAGCAACTTCTCTCTTCTCTTTCATCTATCGACCCGGAAAAAAGAATCATCTCTTCTCATCTAGGTAAAACTGATAGATACCTAACCAAGACAACACATCCTGAGAAAAGAAATGAGTGGGAAATGAAAAGCGAGAAGGGAGAGGGGAAGTCTCAATCAACAGAACAACTTGTGCAAAGCACAGATCTCTGTCACTGCTGCGATCAGCCTTTCCAACGGTTCCACCACCTACACCATATACATAGAGTTTAACTATTGACTGCATGGTTACCCGCAGGCATAGCCAGGAGTCCACACGTTCGGTCCCGACGTATGACGATCACGGTCGTACTATTGTGCATGATGCCATCCACAACCTGTCCAAGGCCCTGTTCACACACGTTCAGCCCCAGTTGGAAGTGGTTATCCACACGGGGGTTCTCGGAATATGGCTAGCACAGTGGGTCTTATTGCTATCAGTCAGCATCTTGTGTATGTACAGGCATGGGTATGGAGAAATAGACAAGTTCGAGCACCGCTAGTCCCAGGTGTTGCCTATTTTGTTTAGTTCATACCACCTCTTTCATCGGCTCGGTTTGGATTGCAATGATTTCCTGCATGTTGGGTCTAGCTCTGACTTACCCCGTTCGTGTCGTCGTTGCATTGCTCTTTCTTTTCTCCATAATGATCCTTCCGAGACTTGGCGCTAATCGTTATAGGGGGTGGGGGAATGCCCTGGTTTGCTTCGTCGTTGTTCGGTCGAGAAGGGGATTCAACCGGTGTGCGAAAGCTACATGTGCTGTGCTGGGGCGCTTGTCGATCTTGAGGTAGATGCAAGGACTTAGCATGAGGCTGTATGGCACTGGTGCAGTGTCAGGGCCGTTTTTGACGTATAGTTTCGTACTTTTCTTTCCACTGCAGAGTAGAGGCGAGAAACAAACTCCTAATTCATACCCGGGCTTCACCTTGGCCTTTTCATTTGTCTGATTAAACGGTGAAGTTGCTCGTGGATCTACGATGTAGGGCTGGAGCCTAAGTGTCCAAGGAATTTGGACGGCGGTTCCTAGACTACATGAGATGCACGCTTGATCTGCCCATACTCTCCATAGTAATGGGCTCCTATTGCGTTGCATCTAGTATCGCGGAATAGTTGGAGAACTGAGTCTTGAATAAAATTCCATAATCACGACATTTCGTGTAGCCTTCGTGTTCGTTAATCTAATGGAACCGTACCCAGCCAATTTTATTTTCCATATTCGCTCCTACTAAAGAAAAATACTGAGCATATTATGCACCCATTTAACGCTTGCCAGCGGCCTTCTCCTGAGACTCCTTGAGAACCTTCTTGACGATCTTCTGCTCCTCAATCAAGAAAGCACGGACGATACGGTCCTTGACACAGCCGGCGCAGCGGGAACCACCGTACGCGCGGGTGACGGTCTTCTTAGGGCGAGAGATCTGAGAGTACTCGCGGGGGCGAAGGGCGGGGACCTAGTGGATAGAGATCAGTCGCTGTTTCTCCTTTCAGTAGGCGATGCGCGGTGTCGCTGAAACGAAATCGTGCATCTCAATCCACTCCTCTTTAGCTGGCCCCGAGAGACGCATCCTTCCACCAACTTGGATCGATCGCAAGATTCGCACATAACCATTCGCACAACAACTAGGAACCATCGGGAGTACTCACACCAGGGAGCTTGATGCCACAGTCACCGCACTTGGGGGCAGTGCCCTTCTTCTTGATGTGGAGGTACCGGAGCTCACCGCCGGGGGTCTTGACGACACGGACCTTGTTGGACCGCGAGTTGTACCTGTAGACGAAATCCTATCAATATCCTGTTCGTAAAATCCAGAAAACGGAAGAAACCCTTGTTGTGCTTGATATTGGTCTGGGTGCTGTCGTATCGAGCGCAATAAGGGAATGGAAGTGGGAAGGGAAAATTTAAACGTACGGGTTCCGGCGGCGCTATTCGAAGGAAAAAGTCATAATTAGCATTTCGTTATTCCCTTTGAAATTTCCTGTATGAAAATAACTCACGTATTGGAGTCTCTGGTTCGCCATTTTGATTGTCCTTGAACCTCTGTATGGGTGGTCAAGAAGTTGGCGGCGGCGTCGTCGGTTGTCGTCGTTAAGCTCTCAGAATTCTTGCAAGTCACCTGGATTTGTGTGGGTTTCACTCGGAACCCTGGAGTCACGCTAGCGCCAATTTGGCGAGCTGGCGCTAACCCCGATCTAGATTAGTACCGGTCCGAGCAGAGCCGCCACCTCTTCTCAAGCTTGCCATCAGGAAAGGAGCAAGAAGAGCGCCTTTCATCACCTGTTGTGAGAAGGGGATCGTCCAGGAGTTGTTTTCTTCTTCGGGGTTACGGTTTCACTCCTCGGCGCCAATATTTAGAGTTTAATACCACTCCCCGACCGCTTTTGTTGATGATTCGCGGTTGTTAATGACATTTTTTTATTTCAACGTGACGCGACTTGCCCGAGCATCAACTTCAAGTCGAAAGAGCAAGGGTTTTTATTAGCCTCCATCTCCACAATGTCATCACTACCCCCTCCTCCACCTCCAGGATGGGGTGCATCGGCACCGCCGTCGATGCCTCTGGCTCCGCCGCCGCCGGGATATCAGCCACCAGCTGATCCGACCGTCGCAAAATTCGCTCAGAAGAAGAACGACTGGTTACGGACGCAACGAAATCGATTTGGAGAGAAGAGAAAGGGTGGCTTCGTCGAAACACAGAAGGCGGACATGCCGCCGGAGCATTTACGAAAGATTGTGCGGGATATCGGCGACGTATCACAGAAGAAGTTCAGCAACGAAAAGCGTAGCTATCTCGGCGCACTTAAATTCATGCCTCATGCGGTTTTGAAGCTACTGGAAAACATGCCTATGCCTTGGGAGTCTGCTAGGGAAGTGAAGGTGCTATACCATGTCAACGGCTGTCTCACGATAGTCAATGAGACTCCCAGAGTTATCGAACCCATCTTCCACGCTCAGTGGGCGACAATGTGGGTTTGTATGCGCAGAGAAAAGAGTGACCGCAGACACTTCAAGAGAATGCGCTTTCCTCCCTTCGATGATGAAGAACCACCATTGTCCTGGTCGGAGAATATCGAGGACGTTGAGCCTTTGGAGCCGATTCAGATGGAACTCGACGAGAATGAGGACTCCCCTGTCTACGAATGGCTCTATGATCACCGACCTCTCCTTGATACCCCTCACGTTAATGGTCCTAGCTATAAGAAGTGGAACTTAACACTCCCGCAGATGGCAACACTTTATCGTTTAAGTCATCAGCTACTTAGCGACGTGGTAGACGAGAACTATTTCCACATGTTCGATTTGAATAGTTTCTTTACAGCGAAGGCCCTGAATGTTGCTATCCCCGGTGGTCCGCGCTTCGAACCTTTATACAAGGACATTGACCCCAATGACGAAGACTTCAGCGAGTTCAACGCCATCGACCGTATTATTTTCCGCGCGCCCATTCGCACGGAATACAGAGTCGCTTATCCTTTTCTGTACAATACTTTACCGAGAAGCGTGAAAGTTTCTTGGTATTCTCATCCTCAAGTTGTCTACGTTCGGACCGACGACCCTAACCTTCCCGCTTTCTACTTCGACCCCGTAATTAACCCAATCTCATCTCGTTCCGTCGCGCCGAAGAACATTACCGTAAGCCATGAAGATGAGCTTTTCGGACCTGGAAACAATGAAGACGAGTTTGAGCTTCCCGGAGAAGTCGAGCCTTTCTTCGCTGATGAGGAGCTATACACCTCCGAAACTGCCTCTGCTATTGCGCTCTGGTGGGCTCCTCACCCGTTCAACAAGCGCTCTGGAAAGATGGTGCGTGCACAGGATGTGCCATTGGTGAAGCAATGGTACATGGAACACTGCCCCCAGGGCCAGCCCGTTAAAGTCCGCGTGTCTTACCAGAAGCTTTTGAAAACCTATGTTCTTAACGAGCTTCATAAGAAGACGCCTAAGGCTCAGAACAAGCAGAATCTGTTGAGAACTCTGAAATCGACCAAGTTCTTCCAGCAGACAACCATCGACTGGGTTGAGGCTGGTTTGCAAGTCTGTCGTCAGGGTTTCAACATGCTCAACTTGTTGATTCATCGCAAAAACTTGACATACTTGCATCTGGACTACAACTTTAACTTGAAGCCGGTCAAGACTCTGACCACGAAGGAGCGAAAGAAGTCTCGTTTCGGAAATGCTTTCCACCTGATGAGAGAAATTCTGCGTCTTACCAAGCTGATTGTGGATGCGCAGGTTCAATACCGTCTGGGCAACATTGATGCTTTCCAACTAGCTGATGGTATTCTTTATGCTTTCAACCACGTTGGACAGCTGACAGGTATGTACCGTTATAAGTACAAGTTGATGCATCAGATTCGTTCCTGTAAAGATCTGAAGCATTTGATCTATTACCGATTCAACTCTGGGCCGGTCGGTAAGGGTCCTGGATGCGGCTTCTGGGCGCCGGCATGGCGTGTGTGGCTCTTCTTTATGCGTGGTATCATCCCTCTCCTTGAGAGATGGCTTGGGAACTTGCTGTCTCGTCAATTCGAGGGCCGCCACAGCAAGGGTGTCGCGAAGACAGTCACCAAGCAGCGTGTGGAGTCCCATTTCGATCTTGAACTTCGTGCTTCTGTTATGGCCGATTTGATGGACATGATGCCAGAAGGCATCAAGCAGAACAAAATCAATACCGTCCTTCAACATCTCTCGGAGGCTTGGAGATGCTGGAAGAGTAACATTCCGTGGAAGGTTCCTGGATTACCCGCTCCTATCGAAAACATCATCCTCCGTTATGTTAAGAGCAAGGCCGACTGGTGGATTTCTGTGGCGCATTACAACCGTGAACGAATTCGCCGAGGTGCTACGGTAGACAAGACCGTTGCCAAGAAGAATCTTGGCCGACTCACTCGGCTTTGGCTCAAGGCGGAGCAGGAGAGGCAACACAACTATCTGAAGGATGGTCCTTACGTGTCGTCCGAAGAAGCTGTAGCTATCTACACTACTATGGTACATTGGCTTGAGTCCCGCAAGTTTTCTCCAATCCCCTTCCCTAGTGTCTCATACAAGCACGATACCAAGATCTTGATCCTTGCTCTGGAACGCTTGCGTGAAGCGTACTCTGTTAAAGGCAGACTCAATCAGAGCCAGCGTGAGGAGCTTGCTCTTATTGAACAGGCCTACGATTCTCCTGGAACGACACTGGCTAGAATCAAGAGATTCCTCTTGACACAGAGAGCGTTCAAAGAAGTCGGGATTGATATGAATGATAACTATAGCCATATCAATCCCGTGTATGACGTCGAGCCCATTGAGAAGATCACTGATGCTTATCTAGACCAGTATCTCTGGTACCAGGCGGAACAGCGCCACCTCTTCCCTTCTTGGATCAAGCCCTCTGATTCTGAAGTTCCTCCTCTGCTGACGTACAAGTGGGCACAAGGCATCAATAACTTATCCAATGTTTGGGAGACTGCTGATGGTGAGACGAACGTCATGATCGAGACGGAGCTATCTAAGGTTTACGAGAAGATTGATCTCACGTTATTGAACCGACTACTGCGCTTGGTCATGGATCATAACTTGGCTGACTACATCACCTCCAAAAATAACGTGCAACTCAGTTATAAGGACATGAACCACACGAACAGCTACGGTTTGATTCGGGGCTTGCAATTTTCCGGCTTCGTCTTCCAGTTCTATGGCTTGATGATTGATCTGCTGCTCCTTGGACTTCAGAGAGCTAGTGAAATGGCTGGCCCCCCTCAGAGTCCTAATGACTTCCTGCAGTTTAGGGACCGCGCCACTGAAACCAGACACCCTATCCGTTTGTACACCCGCTATGTCGACAAGATATGGGTATTCTTCAGGTTTTCTGCAGACGAGTCTAGGGACCTGATACAACGCTTTTTAACGGAAAATCCAGATCCCAATTTCGAAAACGTCATTGGATATAAGAATAAGAAGTGTTGGCCGCGTGATTGCCGGATGCGTTTGATGCGGCATGATGTCAACTTGGGTCGCGCTGTATTCTGGGATTTGAAGAACCGTATGCCGAGATCCATCACGACGATCGAATGGGATGATACTTTTGCTAGCGTTTACAGCAAGGATAATCCTAACCTTCTGTTCTCCATGTCTGGCTTTGAGGTTCGCATTCTTCCGAAGATCCGCAATCAAAATGAAGAGTTCTCCGTGAAGGATAGTGTCTGGTCTCTGGTCGACAACACGACTAAGGAACGCACGGCTCACGCCTTCCTTCAGGTCACAGAGGAAGACATTCAGAAGTTTAACAACAGAATCCGGCAGATTCTCATGTCTTCCGGTTCCACAACGTTCACCAAGATCGCGAACAAGTGGAACACCGCATTGATTGCTCTCTTCACATATTACCGTGAAGCCGCTGTCTCGACTGTCAACCTTTTGGACACGATCGTCAAGTGCGAGACCAAGATTCAGACCCGTGTCAAGATTGGGCTGAACTCCAAGATGCCGTCTCGTTTCCCTCCGGCTGTTTTCTACACCCCGAAAGAACTGGGAGGTCTTGGTATGATCTCTGGATCCCACATCCTCATCCCTGCTAGCGACAAGCGGTGGTCGAAGCAAACTGATACGGGCATTACTCACTTCCGAGCTGGTATGTCCCACGACGAGGAGACTTTGATCCCGAACATCTTCAGATACATCATTCCTTGGGAAGCCGAGTTCATCGACTCCCAGAGAGTGTGGATGGAATATTCTCAGAAGCGACAGGAGGCCCAACAACAAAACCGCCGTTTGACGCTCGAAGATCTGGAAGACAGCTGGGACCGTGGTCTTCCCCGTATCAACACCCTCTTCCAGAAAGATCGCAGTACTCTCAGCTTTGATAAGGGATTTCGTCTTAGGGCAGAGTTCAAACAGTACCAGCTGATGAAGAGCAACCCATTCTGGTGGACAAGCCAGCGTCACGATGGTAAACTGTGGAACCTGAACGCCTACCGCACTGACGTCATCCAGGCTCTTGGTGGTGTCGAAACGATTTTGGAACACACTCTTTTCAAGGCCACGGCTTTCCCATCGTGGGAGGGTCTGTTCTGGGAACGTGCTTGTCTTGCCAAGGGAACCCGGCTGTTACGATATGATGGCAGTGAAGTCGAAGTCCAGGATGTTAAAGAAGGAGACCTCCTTCTTGGTCCTGATGGTGGTCCTCGGCGTGCATTCAACATAGTGAATGGTAGTGACCGTCTCTATCGTATTAAGATCGGTGGGGACAACGAGGATCTCGTTGTTACGACGAACCATATCCTAGTGTTCCACCGGGAGAGGGGAGCTAGACTCGATAGTGATGATGATGATAAACTGCCCGAACTTTCGGCGGCAGAACGATACGATACTGTAGAGATGACTGCCGCTGAATTTGCTTGCCTTAGCCCCGAGGAACGGGGCCACTATCGCGCCTTCAGAAGTCCTGACCTCAAAGGCGTCGAACGCTCCATCCCTCAACAACATAGCTTCATAATCCAGGATATTAGCCTCGAAAGTGAAGCTACGGAGTGGGCCGGTTTCCGAGTTGATAGAGATCAGCTTTACTTACGACACGACTACCTTGTTCTGCACAACAGTGGATTCGAAGAGAGCATGAAGTTCAAGAAACTTACCAATGCTCAAAGATCCGGTTTGAATCAGATCCCTAACCGTCGGTTCACCCTGTGGTGGTCTCCAACCATCAACCGTGCCAACGTCTATGTTGGTTTCCAAGTCCAACTCGATCTTACTGGTATCTTCTTGCACGGAAAGATCCCAACCCTCAAGATCTCCTTGATTCAGATCTTCCGGGCCCATTTGTGGCAGAAGATTCACGAGTCCGTTGTTATGGATTTGTGTCAAGTCTTCGATCAGGAGCTTGACCAGCTGGGCATTGAGGCCGTCCAGAAGGAGACTATTCATCCACGTAAATCGTATAAGATGAATAGTTCATGCGCAGACATTTTACTCTTCGCGACGAATAAATGGAACGTTACCCGGCCCTCCTTGCTGTTTGATACCAAGGATGTTTACGAACCTACCACTACGAACAAGTTCTGGCTTGACGTGCAGCTGAGATACGGTGACTACGATTCTCACGATATCGAGAGATATGTTCGTGCGAAGTATCTGGACTATACGACCGACAGCATGAGCATTTATCCTTCTGCTACCGGTTTGATGATCGGAATTGATCTCGCGTACAACCTATATTCGGCATATGGACAATACTTCCCTGGTCTCAAGACTTTGATCCAGCAAGCTATGGCTAAGGTCATGAAGGCCAACCCCGCCTTGTATGTGCTGAGGGAGCGTATCAGGAAGGGTCTGCAACTGTATGCTTCTGAGAGCAACCAAGAGTTCCTTAACTCGCAGAACTACTCGGAGCTCTTCAGTCCCCAAATTCAGCTCTTCATTGATGATACTAATGTGTACCGTGTCACCATCCACAAGACTTTTGAAGGCAATCTGACAACCAAGCCAATTAACGGTGCCATTTTCATCTTCAACCCCAGAACTGGACAGCTCTTCCTTAAGATTATCCACACAAGCGTTTGGGCGGGACAGAAGCGTCTGGGTCAATTGGCTAAGTGGAAGACTGCGGAAGAAGTGGCGGCCCTCATTCGATCCTTGCCCGTTGAAGAACAGCCGAAACAGCTTATTGTCACTCGGAAGGGTCTTTTGGACCCACTTGAGGTCCACCTTCTTGACTTCCCTAACATTTCGATCCGTGCTTCTGAGCTCCAGCTGCCATTCCAGGCCGCCATGAAGGTGGAGAAGCTGGCTGACATGATTCTTCGGGCGACAGAGCCTCAGATGGTTCTCTTCAACCTTTACGATGAATGGCTGAAGTCCATCTCACCTTATACCGCCTTCTCCCGACTCATTCTCATCCTCCGTGCGCTTCATGTCAACATTGACAAGGCTAAGATCATCCTGAGACCCGATAAGACTGTTATTACCCAGGAGCACCACATTTGGCCCTCGCTATCTGATGAGGATTGGATCAAGGTCGAGGTGCAGCTGCGTGATCTGATTCTTAATGACTATGGAAAGAAGAACAATGTCAACGTTCAGAGCTTGACCAGCAGCGAAGTCAGGGATATAATCCTCGGTATGGAGATCAGTGCGCCTTCGTTGCAGCGACAGCAGGCGGCCGAGATTGAGAAGCAGCAGGAAGAGCAGAAGCAGCTTACCGCTGTCACAACGAAGACCCAGAACGTCCGTGGCGAAGAGATCATCGTGACCACCACCTCACAGTACGAGCAGCAGTCTTTCGCGTCCAAGACTGAATGGCGCACCCGGGCTATTGCGACATCCAACTTGCGGACTAGGGCGAACAACATCTACATCTCTTCGGACGACATTCGTGATGAAGGGTACACTTATATCATGCCCAAGAACGTCCTCAAGCGATTCATCACCATCGCGGATCTTCGTGTCCAAGTTGCCGGTTACCTCTATGGTAGCTCGCCGCCCGACAACGACCAAGTAAAGGAGATTCGCACAATCGTCATGATCCCGCAGGTCGGAAATACTCGGGAGGTCCAGCTGCCGCACAAGTTACCCCAGCACGACTATCTGAATAACCTCGAGCCCCTGGGCGTTATCCATACCATCTCTGGTAACGAGCCGCCCTACATGACGGCAATGGATGTCACACAACACGCCCGACTGATGAATGAGCATTCCAGCTGGGATAAGAAGACGGTGACCATGACCGTTTCATTCACCCCGGGGTCCGTGTCACTCGCTGCTTGGGGCCTCACACCACAAGGGTACAAGTGGGGTGCCGAGAACAGGGATACGACGTCGGACCAACCGCAGGGCTTCTCGACCAGCATGGGTGAGAAGTGCCAGCTGTTACTCAGTGACAAGATTCGCGGTTACTTCCTGGTTCCCGAGGATAACGTCTGGAACTATAGTTTCATGGGCAGCTCCTTCGGCAGTGTCGAGAAGCGGCCAGTCTATGTGAAGATCGACACGCCCCTGAGGTTTTATGACGATCAACACCGGCCACTGCATTTCCAAAACTTTGCAGAACTGGAGGATATTTGGGTTGATCGATCTGATAACTTTGCATGATCTGCGACAGTCTTTCAGAAGGCGTTGGAAACGTTATGTATGATTGAATTTTCTTTTCTTTTGTTGTTTTACTCATTATTCATTACTGAAGTCTATTCCTCATCTGGTTTCCTCCTCCCCCTTTTTCTATTTGTGCTATAGTGTTTTTAACTTATTCCTCTTATTTTTGTTTTTTCATGATGGCGATGTTTCTTTTTATTTTTTAATCGATGTCCCAAGAGGGAAAATAAAAAGCGAGGGATGCATATGGTTTAAGTTACACACAATCATGCAACAGTATGGAGACAACATTGGCAGGTTTCATTTGCATGTACAGTAAAAAGGGACTCTTGGTTTGAGAGGTTTTAGCAGTTAATAATATATTGATCAGCCGGCATAAAAAGATGTACAATTGAGATTCTAGAGTGGATCGGACCCTTCTTTCCCGTTTCCGCTGTTGCTGATATGAGGAGCAATTGAAAGTGGGTAATTTTCAGGAGAGGGGTACATTAGATGGAATGGGATAAACAACTTTTTTTATTATTTCGGTTAGGCTAAAGAATAATAATAAAAATTAAAATAAAATTAAAATAAAATAAACTAAATAATAATAATATTAATAAGAACTACAAGGGAAAGAAAAAAGCAAAGTGAATCAAATCAGAGAAGGGAAAAGAAAAGGATGATTGTAATCAAACATTCAACAATGAAAAGGAAGAGAATCGATGTATGGGTCCGTTTACGGTTAGTGTCTTGTGACACACTCTCGCTCCAATGGCTGGAGGTGGCTTCAAGCCTCACTTAGAAGAGGCCTCGACAAACATGCCCACATTCACTCTCACTTTCCACACTTATCCTCCTACCTCTTCAGGTTTATTTTTATTTTTATTTTTATATATGTATTCTTTTGGATTTGAATTTTTGTTTTATGTCAGTTCATGTGTAATTTTCTTTTATTTCTTTTACTTTTCTTCCTGTTTGTTTATTTTTATTTTTATTTTTTTATTTTTATTTTATATATATTTATTTATTTTCGGTTCTCTTCACTTTTCTTTTTCTTCCCCCCCTCCTTCCCCTTCTCAACCCTGCTTTTTTTTTTTTTGCTTCACGGCTGTGCTCCGTACGCCACCCTAATTATTGTTTCCGGCTGTATCCGGAACGCCCTAAGAAAAAAGAAAAGAAAAAAGAAGAGCGGAAAAAAAACTTCTCCATAATTTGAAATCTTGGGTCAATTTCATTTTCATTGTTCTGTGTAGGGCAACCGCAGGCCGTGCCAGGTTTGAAGATCGTCTCTTTCAAGGTCTCACCATTGAACCAATGGGTTAACAGCTCAGGACGAAAGTCAAATTACACTCCAGAAAATCACTCGGACCATACTTATAACTTAAAGCTGCGAGATTATACTAGATAACCTCGACGATTGATCCACCCGGGCCTCGAGTCATATGTACCGCGTATCACTCGACGCTAGACCAAGGATGGAGCGTTTCTTACGTATGTTTTTAAGCCCCTACTTTCCGTTTAAGAAATGTCCATAGGAACTTAAACTGATTAGTGACAAGGCGGCGCTGAACAACCCGTTCTTCGCCACACGTTCTCGGGCGCTAGTTAGGCTATTATTTCCGACCGTTTTCCAGCCAGCTACTCCCTGGGGAGGTATGTGATCGCGAAATTTAAGGTTCGATACAGCTCCTTTCATCAAGGGGGTGACCGTTCACAAGCCACTTGTCAGGGCTGTCGGAGATAGAGGTGGGCAGTGAGTTGCTTTGCTATCGGCTCCCGGCCGAAGGAATCCCAGAGGGACAAGGAAAAGAAAACCCGCAATGTTGAAAGCAAAGGTTGGTTGGATCCGAACGTGGGGGAGACCGTTTCGATGCCCACCTACCCTCGCTCCTCTTCTAGATACGTACTGCTGTCTCTTAGGGGAGAAAAAACAAACACCCCTGTACCTCGAGAAAATTGGTACAGTCAAACAAGTCCGGGTTCCCGCGCCAGTTCGTGGCTATGGGGGCGGCAGTATTTAGGCTAGGGTCGTTCTCAGGCGCTCGACTCAGAAGGCTTGGTTGGGATACTCTGGAGCCTACACTGGAGTGGTCCACCAAACAGCACACTAGCACGGTCCGCTAGCCATCCTTCCCTCGTGGATGTCTCGCCGGGACTGCTCCTCTCGTCCATTAGCGTCTCACTGGGTGGAGATGATGCGACGACGTACGACAGCCCTGGTCCTGAATCCTGACAGGGGGTGGGAAGTTGTCGATTTCCTGAGCTAGTTGCAGCACACTGACGGGCTTTGGCGGCCGGCATGATTCCCTTAACCCGATACCTGTGCCTCAATCCACTCTTGACCATTTCCGTATAGGTAAACTGCCAGTTAACTTTAACTCGTTCTTTAGGTCTACGTAAGGACTGGCCTTGGGATCTCCCCGCTTTTATTGATCATCTTCTTGGAATGGGATCCAAGAGTGCAGGTTTATAATACGCAGTGTGAGACTCTTTGTTAGCTTAGTGTTTCATCCCGGCCATTTCTAGGTGCCCTATCTTTCCTTTCTCCACGACTCGGTCATGCCTTGGCACGTTGCTAGACGGCTCGGTGAGTCGCAACCGGTGATCTAGTAAACTCGCCGTGTTGGCGTCGATGACCGTTGTCCCTTCTGGGTCTTCTCTGCAGGCTAAGCTTGACTGGAACGCAGGTCCGTCAAATAGGTGAATTGATTTGGCTATTTTTTTCCTATTAGTCTTATTATTATTATGATTTTTATTATTGTTCTCGTTTAGATTTAATGCGTTTTTTGGTTTGGGTTGGATTTTTCTTTTCTTTCTTTTCTTTTCCAATTTTCTTTTTTTTTGTTTCGTCTTATTTATCTTGTTTATCCTTAAAAGAAAAAGAAAAGAAAAAGAAATTGACCTTTTGTATTTTTATTTTATTTTTTTATCCACCAAGCTGCATCTTGCTCCTTCCGGACGTATACTTCGGCTGTCTCGCTGAAATCCGAAATACCACCTACTCTTCTTTTTTATTATCTTCCAGAACCTTTCCTCTACCGTCCATCGAGGGTTGACTGACATTATATATCCCCGGTCAAACTATCATCTAAGACTCCGGTGCACGTCGAGGGAGGTAAAAAAGCACCTTTGTCGTGACATTCGTTATTCCTCAATTCCTTTTCCTGACGTCCTGCACTATCAAGCGACGGGGGCCCACGGGTTGTGACCCGTTTGGAGAATCCAGATTGCTGATCATCTTTCTTTTGGGACAAAAAGTACCTAAAATCCTTGACTACTGAGATCTGGCAAAGTCGCCTTTCCTTTTCCTGCGCCTGGTGAATAACGATAAACAGCTTGGAAGCGGTCTAGTTCGAGAATACCTGGTGAGCGCGCAATCTATTCCATCCTTTTTTACCCAGCTACGGTTCAAGGCGACCGTACGGGTCATGTTCATCTCTTTCCCCGTCCTTTAGATGAACTTGACAATCGCTCAATGCCTCTGAGCTCCTACCATTCCCATCTCCCTCATTACAGTGGTCCTTAGCCCGATTCCATCCGCAAATTCTAGACCGGTTGTGTCTCTGACTTTGGAACAGTTTTGGGTCTTTTTGGACTTGGCTAGTGGTTAGGAAAAGTATGAGTATTGGGTTCTTTTGATCAAGGTCACTTGGATAGTACACGGGGGGAGAGAGGCAGTCATTTGGTCCCCCGCCTCAGGAATCAGCCCACTGCTCGCATCCAAATATCGGAAGAACTGTCACTCCCTCGACGAAGTGTCATCTATCTGCGTGGACACCTCCACGTCCCGCTTAGAAGTACTTTTTCTCTCTCCTCTTTTATAAACGTGGTTAGGTAGCCTGCCAGGGCTTTTATGCTCTAGCAGCGCTGATGTATGTCTGCGACGCTGGCGGATCCATACCGTGACTATGTTGATTACGCTCATCATGCCAGCTGCAAGCCCGAGGAACATACAAGTACGCTTGTTTACCAAACACATCAGCCACAACTTCAGCATCCAAAAGATCATTCCTTCCCGCAAGGAAGTTCGCGCAGCACGGTATTTGAGCACCATCATGCAAGCGCGACCGTTCTCCCAGCCGCGAACCACCAATCAACAGTCCATGGTATCTCCCAACCAGTTGTCCTCACCCCGGCCCAGATGCTTTCACGACAGCTTCCAGTACAATATACGCCGAACAACTTCGAAATCCCGTCCATACAGCGTGGTAAGAAGCGGCACCATTCCGAAACTGAGGGAGAAGGTGATGACGCAAATCATCCGATCAGGCCACAGTTATCCATCCTACCTTCAGAATCATCGACTGAGCCAACACACCACTCACCTGAGATGCTCTTCTCGGTTCATGGAGACTCGACGCAGCATCATCAGATGCAAAGCCACGACCTTGGACCACAGGATTCCGTGGCCCTCCCTCAACATCATCACCACCATCGGCTGCCCCCACACGCATCGCTGCGCGACTCCCAGCGCCATGGTATGAATGTGGAGTCATCTCCGTTCCCCTCTGGGCCGCCAAGCGTCGTGGGACAGCCTGGGATGCCTGAACCAGCACCTAGGCCTCGGGGACCCAAGCTCAAGTTTACTCCAGAAGAGGACGCGTTGCTAGTAGAACTGAAAGAGAACAAAAACTTAACATGGAAACAAATCGCCGATTTCTTCCCGGGTAGAACAAGTGGAACATTGCAAGTTCGATACTGCACCAAGTTGAAGGCTAAAGACGTGGCATGGAGCGATGAAATGGTTCGAACCTCCAACTCATTCCAGTCTTACATTCGCATTCTAACTGTGTGGATAGGTCCAGCGGCTGCAGCGTGCAATTCAAGAGTATGAGAATGACCGTTGGCGTATTATTGCGGGGAAAGTCGGCAACGGCTTTACACCAGCAGCTTGTCGAGAACGGGCTTCTCAGCTTGAATGAGCTCCCTGCTGGTTACGAGAGAATATGGTCCATTAGCGCCGGCGTACGCTCTTCTAATATCTCTTTTATTACGTCTTGTTCATTACCCCTTTGTTTATTTTTTTCTTTGTAGGCTGTAATGGGAATTTGATGGCCATGGTTTAGGTCTATACCGGACAGATCGGTGCAAGGTAGAGGATAATGTATGTATCATATCCATTAACGATGCCAAATTTGGATAGTAATTCATTCTATTTTTTTTTTCTGGTGTCATATAGTGTGGCTTTTGTCCCTTTTCTAGCAATAGAGGGGAACTATTTGCGTGAGAGAGAAAGATATTGGTTCTTCCACCTCTATGCACATCGCATGATGTAGCCGCCCGAACCCTAAGCCCTATCAGGCCTCGAGATCTGGCAATGGGCGCGCAAGTAGTCTATCCAGACATCCGTAGCAGCTCCGCAACCAATCAACCTGCACTGCTGACTATTCGCCCGACCACGGGCCGAAGCGGCTTCAAACTCACCTCAGACCTCCAAACTCCCTCAGTTCCAAACCGTCCTCACCTCTCTCCTCCGCCGTTATCACATCAATTCACCAGGACAATGTTCCTTCAACGCACAGCCTTCGCCCTTGCGCGGCGCACTCCCGTCCGGGCCATCGCTGCCCGCCCCTTCTCCTCCTCCGTCATCCGCTGTACGTGAGCCCAATGTCAAATTCCTAAGACCGCCTCTTGAGAGCCTCCGTCGCAGTCACCACCCTCCCTGTGCCTCAATTGGGTCATGGAATTGTGACTTTCTCTCGGTCAACATGATTATATAAGCGCATTGGCTAACATTAACATTTGGTTTGCAGCTAACAAGGCAAAATATGGCGTTGAGAAGGAGGGCAAGATCCTTTCTTTCGAAGGTTGGTAGTCCGGATGTGTTGTCATACGATCATCACTCTCCCGTACACAGCCGTCTTCCACATCCGTATGCTCTTGTAGCAACGGATTATACCATTGAAGCAACCCTCCGTCGCAGATCCTTGTTGTCTTCGACGTCTTACTTCACCCTCTACACGTCTACAAATGATGCTGACCGGTTCTTCTCCACAACAGAGATCAAGACCGAGGAGGATCTCGTTCCCCCCGGTGCCAAGCCCGGTTCCGTTCCTTCGGACATCGAGCAGGCCACTGGTCTCGAGCGTCTTGAACTCGTCGGAAAGATGCAGGGTATTGACATCTTTGACATGAGGCCTCTTGATGCCTCCCGGAAGGGTACGCCCCCCGATATCCTTATGAATTTTCTTTCGTCCGGTTGTCTACATGACGAGCGAATCTCGACCGAACCACCGCGGTCTTATTCGACGCAATTGAGTCATGACTGATATTCGGTGACTATATAGGAACTCTTGAGAACCCCATCATCGTCAACGGTGCCGGTGACGAGCAGTACGCTGGTTGCACTGGCTACCCCGCCGACTCCCACGTCGTCAACTGGCTGACTGTAAGTCTAGTCCTTGCATTGCCATCGAACGGCATGTTCGCGCGGAACGAATGCTAATTAAATTACTCTAGGTGTCTCGTGAGCGCCCTATCGAGCGCTGCGGCGAGTGCGGCAACGTCGTCAAGCTGAACTACATCGGACCCGAGGAGGATCCCCATGCTCGTAAGTTTCCTACCGTCTGGAGATACTACTTCGATTCTGTATAGCTTAACTCTTTCTCCCTAGACGACCACGGCCACGGTCACGGCCACCCTGCTCCCGAGGAGCCCAAGACTTTCGCCGACTACGTCAAGCCTGAGTACTGGTACCGGTAAATATCTGATACAATAATAGCGCAGTCATCTTTTCGCCTTTGGGAGAGAAGAATGGAGGAAAGCAAGACCATAACAGACAAGAGGGGGAAGAAAGAACCAGCTTAAAGAGCCTAGGGACCGACAAAAAAAGTTACGAACAATGCAACAAAGAGAGACCGTTATTCCAGCTCTTCCTTTGATTCTTTCGGCCCTTACTAGCTCCCCTTTATCTTCTTACTCCCCCTCCTTCGTCTTTTTGGATGTCTTTCTCAACCCGTTCCCGTCTTCTGTGGCTGTATCTTTGTTGAATCCGGCATTGTCTCTTGTAGAATAGTTGAGTTGGAAGGAGTGTTTGTTGTCTAATTGATTATGGGTTGTTCTGTCAAAATAATACTTTCTGAGCATTATTGTCCAGGATAACCTGGTTAGGTATGAAACAAAGCGAGGGATGACATGACTCGTTATCTGCGGGTGGCATGATGCGGAATTCCGGGAAATTTACGTATTGAGAGCACTATCACGTGGCAGTCATCCTTCCCAGATCAAATGCCTCTAGTTAATCGCAAATCCCGCTTACTAACATCGATGAGCGGCTGGAAGATGACGATCCTGCGGATTTGGTTTTTAATTAGTAACGTTTTTAATGTCGGGGGTATTGACAAGGATCATGGAATATAACTGAAGGATTGGATCTCCGATATATGAAAATATATCAATCACATTTATATATAGAATACTATGTATACAATTCTCTGGAATTATTACAACCGCATTTTGGGGATCGTTTGTGGTGGGATGGTTGTATGTAGTTTTGAACAATAACATGAAGTTGAGTATGTCATTCCCAGCGAGATTAGTTGAGATTATAAACTTTTTCTTGTTTCTCTTTTTCCCGAAAAGGGGGGATGGACAATATCGATCAATAGCAGAGTCAATTCATGCCTCATGAAAAGGAGGCATGAATCGAAGGCAGTCGGTTGGCTTGTAGGTATGCTTCGGATATTTAGTGTATGGTTACCGGCCTAGCATACGAAGCTCGATATACCGCAAAGGCGGGTATACGAGGAGAGCCCAGGTGAATCCGACGTAGTTCCCCATCTGTCAGAGTTAAGTAATTGTTCGTTTGACACCACGGGGCTGCGAAAGCAGGGGATTACTTACGTCTGCACCATTTTCGCCCACTAACCCAGAGAGAGGACCGATATACCAGTATTGGGCCATGCAGAGGATTGCACCAACCCAACCGATTACAAAGGCAATGAATGCAGCGACACCCACTGGTAACTTCGAGGGATCGTTCCAAGCATCCCAATTATATCCACTCCTAAATCGGAAGATGAACCGTTCTTCAAGAATGATAGCGATCCAGATAGCAACCCAGTAGCCCATAAGGGCAAGGAAATTAGTGAAGATATCGGAAAGGTTGCTGCGACCGACTAGAGCGCAGACGGCGTAGATTATAACACCTATTGTATTCCAAATGGCTCTCGGGACCTTCTCTGCGTACCGTCCGAGAACCTGGAAATCAACACCGGCGGAATAGGTCGGTGGGATAGTATTTGCGATGAGTCCCAGCGCAACAACCACGGAACAGAACTTGCCGAAACCGCGAAGAGGCCCAAACCCTTCAACGATAAGTGCCCCTGCACCCCTGGTGTACGCCGCACCGTACTCTGGATGACTTGAGACGCCGGATGCGAGTCCGATGCCAACAACGAAAGCCATGGTGAACGATATAATGAGTCCAATCAATGAGAGTGAGAAGAGGGCTACCCTGGAGGTTCTTTCAGGGTAATAGACGAAAAAGTCGGCAGCTAACGGAGCGTAGGTGATAGCAGCACTGAGACAGATCGAAAAGAATGACAGCCTGTGATTATAGGAGCGTATTAGCAGGAGCTACAAAAAGTGGCTGGAGTTATTTAACTGTACCGATTTCCGGCGAGCGTGCGAGGATCTCCAGATGACGGCGTGGACAGATCAAACTTTGCCGACGATACGGCGTAGAGTATGGAAACTACAATGACCTGGGGCAGGAACGCAAAGCTTGATGCAATCAGCATCTGATTCAACTTCATGAGGACATTCACACCCACCGTTCGTAGTAATGGAAGACATGGTAACCGAACGTGGCTACCACCCAACAACTGACTGCGATTATCACAATGCCTGCCACCTGATCAGCACCAGATATAAAAGTCCCAAATACCATGGCAACCTACCCACAGCTACCGACATATTCCCATTTGGTGACACCGCAGACAAGATTTGCCCGCAGACTACGCAATCAATTAGGGAATACCCGAGCATTTGTACCAAGTTCAAGATGACAACAATTTTGCTAGGCCACCAGCCCATTGAGTAACGTCCGAATGCCTATGTCTGGTCAGTACACAGCCAGACAATCGATTTAAGCCTTGAAAAGCCCACCATAGTCCGGACGCCAGAGACTGGCCCCCAGGTAGCCATCCATGAGGCAACTACTGCTCCAACTAAAGCACCCAGAACCGCACAAAGAGCCGAGTCCAAGAAGCTTAACTTATATACAATAGGCCCTAGCATTCCTAAGGTAATGTTGTTGGCGGCTAAATTGATCGAGACCCAGAGCAAAAACGCTTGCAGGTACGAGGCCCAGGTCAATTTCTTCATCCGTTCATGCTGCTGCACCCGCTCTATACCACGGGCTTCCAAATTATATTCGGTCAGTTGGTTTTCGAATTTCTTAACATAAGCAGCAATTCGTGGCGATAAGTAGGGGCCGGCCGCCGCATCGCCGCCGTCTCCATCATACTCTAGAACCTGGGACGGGTGATCCGTAGTCGGATATTTCGAAGGTTGCTTTTCGGAGCTTGCCCCTAAGGCGGACAGGTGGGTTTCCGAGGACATACTATTAATATTCAGTCAGTATTTATCAGTCTAAATTATGGGGTTTTAAAGAAGCGCGCATGTGTCCTTTCGCTGGAATTATCCAGATCAAGTTCAACCGTATATTCTCAGAACGGCAACTGTCGCCACATCATCTATGCTCACGTCCAGGTGACCAGGAACCGACAACGGCGAGCCAAGGAATTCACGAGTCATGGACGGGTATAATGCATTAGATCTATGTGTGACACCGTTGCCGAACACCGGTCTTCATGCAGGCGTATTACCTAGATACCTTGATCGACAGACAAAACCACGCTACTCGTCTTCATGATAGCCATCCCTTGCATATAGACATCCTGCGAGAAGACGGGAGAGGAGTACTCGTGACAATTCTTTTTCCACGACTGGAATTGATTGGATTATTGTAACTACGACGAAGACTAGGTTAGCCAACCGAGTTCTCAAGTGTATTGCCGGATATCTTTTCCTCAAGAGATGGAATGGGTTTCACCTGTGAAGTATACAGTCGGAAGACAAAGCTCGTTGTGAAATGACGAAAGCTCACCAAAGCTTTGGAATGACTCTTCTATGCCCGACAAAAAAAAAAAGGAAAGATGTGGCTAAGAGGGAGTACTATTTAAAAGATTTCCACTTGCCGCGCGGGGGAAAAAGTGGTTCGATTCTCCGCCCCGAATGCGGAATCTACCAATGGTACCAGAGTAATGTATCGGACGCTGACCCACGCACGGTATCTTCAACTTATTCTCTACGTAGTAAGTCTTCCTGATCCTCAAGGTATGTTTCATTGCCGTGTACATGTCCGTAATATCTACGACCTAGTAGAGAAGACAGCAGAAAGCCCTTTACGGGTCGGTCTATTTGCGTTTTGGCATTTAATGGACTCGATACGACGCAGGTTCTTCGAATTGGTAGAGAGGCCTATCATGAGCCTTAAAAGGGAAAAAAAAAAAAAAGAGAGCTGAGCTGGAAACGACAAGTGGGGGTATTTCAAGTGAAAATGAAGAAGAGAGTAGAAAGAAGTCAAGGGACAACAAGATCAACTCCGAGCCCTTCGTCAAGTATTGTGCAAATTGTTGCCCAGAAAAAAGAGATTGGAGTGAAAAATATAAAGGTGAAAAAATAAAATATAAGAAACCCGTTGGAGTGCTGTGGTGCGAAAACAGATCCTAAGGCAACACGAACCAATGGTTCATACATCTTATGCATAGTTCATCATGTCGTCGTCAAGTTCCGTCGAATGTCTAGAGGTCCTTAAAGTGCTCTTTCGCATACTGTTCACACGCCTATATTCCTGTCAGAAATCGGCCTCGTTTGACAATCTCGGAGGCCCACCTTTGCTGGTTTCCCAACCCTTTGTCCAATGACTTTCCACTTGCTCGCCTCGTATTCCTTGATCGCCTCGCGGAGTGCTGTGGACTACTTGCTGTCAGAAGCAGTTCGATAGAAGAAACCCACTTGAAGACATGACCCACCTCATCTTCGTCGAACTCGGCATAGTGCATATCCTAATCGGAGATGTTAGGCATTGGGCCATCATACTGTACAGGGTACTGGCTGAAACACTACCTTGTACCAGTGCTTTTTAACACTCCCCTCGGTTCGAGTAGGAAATGTCTATCACTTCGAGTCAGTAACACGTGCAGGGGTACTAAGGGACTCGACCGTGGCGTACTTTGGCAATTTCACTCCAGCTGCGGCCAGCGTCGCGCATCGTCTTTAGTCGCTGCTCTTCCTCCGCAGTCCAAGGAGTATTGGTCCTTCCCTTTTTTTTCGGGGGGGCTTCTGGCGCACCGGCCCCGTGTTCAAGCGCGACCTCACCCGCTGTGACGGCGGTACCGGATGCCGTCATGGTCGCCGCAGTGCCTACCTGAGGAGAAGCACGGCGCTTTTTAGGATTTGATGGAGAAAGCTGAGATTGGGGCATAGGAATGCCCTCGAGTGAAGGCACTCTTTGAAATGGATTGATTTGCTGCTGTTGAGCTAACAGGTGAGATGGCGCGTTGGTCGAAGGAGATGCCTTGACTCGCTTGGAGGTTGGAGGGGATCTAGTCAAGAGTTTAGGACGAAGATGAAACAGTGTTGGTGAATGGCTGAGGGCCGTGAACTCGACCTCAGATGAAACAGTAATAACACAACAATATCAATCGATCTTCACTCTGCAAGTCACATGTGATGGGCCGAAGAACGGAAAAAGTAAAAAAGGCACATGACACGAGGTCTATATATATGGGCAGAGTAAGGCAGGGCTTTGTTGCGGCGCACCGCCAAAGCCTCTCCCCGGGGGAGGACGAGGAGGAACTTACGACATGGTGGACGATGGGCGGTATTCCCAATCACGCTGCGTGGATTCATCTGTAAATGCACATGCTTTAGCAATCTGCTACTTAAGAACAGGTCGTGTAGATTGGCCTGTCAAGTCCTGGGAGGGAGCTCCTGGTTACACCAAAAAGCAATGACGATGACACGGGCGCATCCCACGGCGTGGCAGTAGTGCTGCAGGAAGTCAAACGCGCGCGCACGCACACGCGGGAAAGGAATGTGAAAAGGTTTGAGGAGATTACGTGCATATGAATGCTCGGTGAGGTTGATGCTGGTACGGTATAGATGTAGGATGTATCGGGTAAGGAATAGATATCAAGTCAGACTCAGGGTTTAGGAAGTCTCTAGGGAAATTTAAGGATGGGAGAGACCAAAAATATAAACAGGTTTAGGCACAATCAACAGAAGTCCGTTCTTGCATAGTAGTAAGAGCTAGAGGTGGAGGAGTAGCAGTATGGGAATACAGAGGCTGGAAATAGTACGGTGGAGGAGTACTGGAAGAACGACGATAAGATGATCCCGTCAGAAGCAGAGCGGAGAAAAAGAGAATAGGCTTACTTACTGGTCAGAGTTCATGGCTAAGGAAAGACTCGTTTCTTTTATTTTTCCCTCAAGTAATCGGGGTCAAATCAAATAGAAGGAAACAAAGAGCTGAAGTTACATGGAATAGGGAAGAGATGATACACAAGAGTGAGTATGAGAAAGGAAGAGAGAATGGAGAGGGTAAAGTGAAGATGGAGAGGAGAATACTTTACTTGTACAGTAAGATTCATGTACAGATACAGCTGAGGGGAAAGCAAATTAAATAAATTTTGCACTAAAAAGAAGAGGCACCAATCCCGACATCTCCGAGTTTTTGCTTGCTTTTTCCCTTTTTTAATTTTTATTTTGGTCCTTTTTTTTACACTTCTCCTTCCTCTCCGTCTTTAAAAGTACGGTCTGCACTTAATCCCGGATAATATTATCCTAATAAACAGAGATAATACAATGGAGTTCGTGATGGGGTCCTACTTTAACGGTTTTCTTCAATCTAAGTTGTCGGGTCTCCAGAAACGGCGTATGTACTACAACCCCAGCATGTTACGACTACAAGACAATAAGAAATCGAAAGCACTTCAGTCCACGCAATTCCTGTAGTATCGAGTTCACTGTAACCATCCAGCTACTGCTATCCTATGGTTGAGACTTCGTGACTCAACTCAAACCATCAGCCACCTAAGTTCTCCATGTCAAACACTATATCATGACGAATATCAAACCAACGGTGTAAGACGCCCAAAGATAATATCTATGGGTATCAGGCTAGGCAAACCTGTGTCCATCCATAGAGCTTCCAATCCTGGTCTTCCTTTCCGGGCTAACCTGACAATGCTGCAGTGTCCGGTTGGGGCCAAGCAGTCTGACATCTCCTGTTGTGAGGGGTTTCTATCCAGCGCGCATTGGACGCCACCATGATATTAATCCATCGTACTTGGCAAGCAGAAGAGTAAGGAAAAGGGAAAAAAGAAAAGAAAATAAAATAAAATGGGTATTGCTCATGCTGTGAAGCAGGTTTATTAGTTTGAGTTTTTTCCAACCTTCTCCATTGTCCTGTACTCGAAATTAACTACTAATGAGAAGTGGGGTAAGCTCTCATCCGTATTTTAGTTGAGTACAAGTTAATTTGGTACCTGTATGTCAACATAACATCCACACCGTTGGATCGGTTCATGATGCAAGATCCTATTATTTTTATTTCTTATTTTTACTTGGGGTTGATCTTGGTCTTCCTAGTCCTCTCAAAAAGCAGAGCAAATAAACAAAAAGGAGGCCTGGACAGTTGCTACATACTGGATTTCACTTCAATCGCAATTATGGTATACATATAGTCACAATCGGGTTCGTGCATACCTCGTCTATATAAAGACACAAAGATGGGAAGTAGGGCAGAAAGGGCGCGTGATCTTTCTTTGGCCTCGACCCAGCTCAGTTATTTGAATAATCTTGGTCTATGGCTAGAGGGTATGTAGCTTGTCAGACGGAGACACTGTCTATGGTATATATACAAGGACAGGCCCACACTAGTACAACCACTAGGCCGGCTGCTTTGGTCACTGACAATGAGTGGAACATATTTTCCAATTCCTTTCCCAAGAGAAATTTGCCCTTACTTGCCTTGCAGATATATGATTTTCTGCAACCGACTGATTTTGTCATGAGTCAACGTGCAGATCACAAGCACACAACCTCCTACAGGTAACATATCGGATCGCTTATCAGATCTAACTTAGACACCGCCTGTTGCCCGGTGTTAGAACAGTCCTTGCTTCAACGTTAGCGCCGACTGGAGACGAAGTTGCTACTTTGTTTTTCTTGACATGCATGGACCATAAGAAGAGCAATAAGCGTCTTGGTTTACGCATATATGCCTGACACTATTTTGCTTATTTATCATTTAAGACCTTCAATATGCTTCAACTCCACAGACACTTCGAATTTGACTACCGCTCTCAATCAAAGAATGTATATACATACATACATACAGTACTATAACTAACGTATTGTATGTACACAAAATGCAACCAAAGGGCCGATTGACGTCAACACCGATACTGATAAGGTCACCTCACGTGACTATAATGACACGCGGCCCCGGATTCGGGTGGATCCCGTGCTGATGAGCTCCCGTACCTCTGGAGATACCGAGATAAATGGCACACCTGTAGGACAAAATCTCTCCGAGTTAACCAAGCGTTGACCGCCCTTTCTTTGGTCTCCTTCTCCCTGCTGGCACGCTTTACCCTGACCACATTGTCATCTCTTCGAGTTCTTGTCGCGGTCACACATTCCAATTCGCGTTTACGAGCGGCGCTTGTACCACTGTTACCTGAAGCTTGCGAGTTTCTTGATAGCTTCGGGAAGGTAGCTACGCTGCACTTAGGCAGCAGGTCCTTTAGCAGTACTGTGTTCTCCTTGATGGCTATCGCTTGGGCGGTGCTGTGAAAGTTCGCCCCCTACCAACAGACTAATTACTTGAGAGATATTGTGCTGGCTGGGCTGAGGTTCCCACGACGATGGGTTTGACGTTCAACATCTTTCGCATATTGGGTGATACTGCCCACATATCTTCGAAATGTATCTTGATATGGGCCATCCACCGCAATAAGAGCGCTGAAGGTCTGTACGCCACCGACAGTCCTTGGTCAGCATCATACTCACTTACTGCTTTTGTATGCCAGGCGTTTCGCTTCTTACGCAAGTGCTTTATGCGATGGTTTTCGTCACTCGCTATCTTGATTTATTCCGATTGGATGGGTGGAGGAGCTTCTATCTCGTGTTTTTCAAGTTCTTCTACATCCTCTCTTCTGGTTATATCATCTTCTTGATGATGAAGATGTTCCCTCGGACACGGGAAAGGGAGCGGGCGTGGAAGCTGGCTTTGGGTTCCGTCGCAGCATCTTTAGTTTTGGCACCCATTTTGACACGAATCTTCAATCACCCCTGGCCCTACCATTGGTTCACTGAGGTGGGTAGAGAACCAAGAGACATTATTCGCTTGAGGTCCACGCTAATAAACCGATGATCTTCACCCTATAGATATGGTGGGCGTTCTCAATCGTCCTGGAATCCGTTTGTGTGCTACCCCAGCTACTACTCCTACGACAGACCACCGTTCCCACCGTCATCGACTCCTACTACCTACTTACGTTGGGCTCTTACCGAGCATTCTACATTCTCAACTGGCTGTTGCGAGGTTTCGGGGAACACCACTGGGATCCGATTGCGGATATCTTTGGTGTCGTTCAGACCGCATTCTACATTGACTTCGCGTGGGTCTACTATACGCGGCAGCGCGTGAAGCTTCGCAATGGCGGCGTTGTGGACTCCGAGGATTTCCGGAACAGCTGGCTGGTGAACAAAGTGCTGACCTTCAGACAGCGACAAAGCGTCGATGAAGAACAGCACCTCCATAATGAAGGAGCGGAAGATGGACATGAGGCCGAAGGTGAACAGCCGAGAAATAACCGTTGGGGAGCCAGAGGGATTTCGATCTCAGCCGATGACACATTGAGTGAGAGTCGTCGACCCAAATCTAATAACACTAATGAGGGCGACGATCGGCTGGAGGGGTTCCTGGAGGACGAAGAGGACACTTGGGACGAGCATGCGAGCCAACAAGCGCAGCATAAGCGTTCGCCTGATGTGGCAGACAACCGTAATTGAGTTGTTCATCAGTGATGGAGAGGTTTTTCTTATAGAAAGAACTAAGGTTGACATGTGTGTTTGGATTCAGGATTGGGTTTGGGGGTTCGCGTCATCTAATCTGGAAAATTTTTTTTATCCTGTAGTAGGTAAATTGGCTTTGAATATTTTTTGAAGTAATTGTGATGGAGTGGTAATCATCGTGAAATTGTAGTGATACGGAATGATATACTATTTTTGGAGTGAAATCAGCCCTGCCAGGGCTTTGCAGACCCTGATTTGATAAATTTTGATAATAATCTGCATGGGCTGGAGGGGGAAAAGGCGGGAGGGTGGAGTTGGCAAAGGTAAAACAAAACTAAAAAAGAGTAAATTACAAAAAAAGACGACTATAATAATGAAAGAATGCCAATGAAATCAGAGTCACCTTAGGATGGGATATTGAAAGAAGCATTAATGAATGAGAACGTGGGAAAGAGGGTCCGCTGTTTCAAAGGGTTGCTCTGAGCCATGGCTGCGCCTTTTCATAGCCACGGGGCCCCCATATCGAGAGACCGTTGAGACTGCACCCATGTATGGGAAACAAAGGAAGGGGCCAAACTGAGGGCAATAATGCCTGATCAGCATTCGGAAGCCGGCTTTGTGGGAAATAGGTTCGCAAATCCCTGACCCATACTATTGTCTGGTAAGCAAGTACCGAGGAAAAGGGTTCAACTTCCACCTACTAGTAATGAAGTTTCTTACTACTTTGACTTAGTGCTATGGGCTGATGTTAATTTCAAATCCTTTTGCATTTTTAGCCCCAATCCTGTGACATCACGTGCCTGTCACCCATGGTGATTTCAGTTTTTGTTGACTTGATGTTCGAACGCAGTGGGAGGAGAGAAGAAGGGCTTTGAACAGAACATGTAAAAAAAAAAACATCAGCCTCAACCCAATCTGCGGTGCTTTGGGGGCCACAAGGAGAAGAGGAGAGGGGTAATGCGGTAATCCTTCATGATCTTTTTCCTTCTTTTTCGAAATTCCTTTTACTAGAACAAAAAGTAATAATAATAAATCCCCGTGATTGATCTGTTTAAGCGCTTGTGCTATTCCGAGAGATCCACCGCTGACGGTCTGGAAAAAAAATGGAGGGCTCAAAGCCAATCTCGGAACCACCCTCATCTTATCTGGCGCGTAACCAGTTGATATTGTCGGGAACATGTGGTTCTGGTTGGATCATTTGGATGCAGACTACCGGCAGGATTCTTGAGGATTACTAACTTATGTCTGGAGTCTGAATGAACTAAACTTTGCTAGACTCAACTGTTGAAAGAGTTGAGGTCAGTCATGGTGGTCAGAGCAGCAATATCCCCAGTCTTGTCAATCCCGCTAATTTTTGGCTAGTTCATCCCTAATCCACTGGGGATTTACAGCCGCAGCGACAGAGAAGCGCTTAATGACCCGCTCTGGTTCTCTCCCGTAGCATGCATCCCATGCCATTCCACCGCTCTTGTCGATGGGTTTAAGTGCAGATGGAGTCTTTACTCCGTAGTATTCGGCGTCTCTTTAGAGGGGAGAGGTATCTTCTAGTAGTAGTAGATCTGGAGTGCTCTTTTGATCCATCCATTCGTCCCGAACATGCCTAAGGAATCCTAGTTGATTATTGGGGCTACACTAGTAGCTTATCTATCAACCTCTCCGGTCCTTTTAGGCCTCTCCACTCACTTGTGCGTAAGTAGTAGTAGGTGGTAGCAGTAGTAGTAATAGGTTCCAGGCTAGAAGACATACTAGAAGGGCGTTTCGCCTGTATTTTGGGTTCGAGAATTCTGGCGTTCAAGTATTTATTTGTTTATTTTATATAACGATAATGATAAAAATTCTTCTTCTTCTTCTTCTTTTGTCTTTAATGACCATTCCTTTCAATTGAACTTTAAACATGATTTTATTTTAATTTATTCGAATCTAATTTTAATTTTTTCTATTTTTTTTTGACTTGAATATAATAAAATTTTCATGTCAGATTCAGCGCTAATTTTTCCACTTCGACCGTCATTTTAAATGCCTAGGATACGGCGGGCCGTACTAAGCACCGATCCCATTCCTTTGCTATGATGTCCAACCCACAGTTTCCACCCCTGGAGATCCAGAGCACTGGGACTACGATCGCAGGTGCTGCCTTGCCATCGAACAGCCATGTGGGCCTTTGAAATGCAAAGTCTGCGCCCCCGAAAGTTTGGGGGCTGGATTTCTCTTCCCCATGTCATGTCAAAGGATGAGCGATGGCTTTTCTAGGAAGCCAATGTCTTCTATCGGGATAAGTTGGCGCTTAAATGCAGGCTCGTCGTCAACTTTACACCTCTGGTTAAGAGCGAACTTGTACGGCACAGCGTGGTCGGCGGTATCTACACTTCTTTCGGAGCTCCCTAGACCTGTGAACAGGAAACAATCAAAAGACAAAAACGAAAAAAAAAAAAGGATTCGGGGTTCGGAATTCTAGCCTGCCTCGCAAGGCAGTCCGCCTCCCCTCGTTGTTCTCTACTAAGGGTTGTGATATGAACCTGCATACCATTGAGGTTAATACTTCATTTCTTTTTATCTATTTAATGCACCAAGTCTCTCCCCAGTTGTTGACTTGGCTTGTGAAGGAAGCTAGCTTTCATTGGCTCTTTTACCCAAAGGAGCTACTGCTTATATACCATCGACTTGGACCCCAATAAATACGTCCATCTTCATTTCCTTGCCGCCGTTGTTGTTTTACCTTCTCGGTCATTGTCTCATCAAACGTTTGGTCCTTCCGTCGCCATACACTATTGGTCCCTCCTGTCGGCTCGTTCCAATGTTTCCTCGGACACCCGGCGAGTATACCGGCCCAATGCCATATGAACAGGGCGGCCCTCATCCGGAAGAGGGGATGAACAACTACTATGAAACGATTCATTCTCAGTGGCCTGGGGTAGACGCTGTATGTATGAGCATGATAGCCACTCAGAGACGTCACATACTGACTCGCCCTGGCGCTCCACAGTCCCCGTATGGAGGCGTTCATCACCCTTACAGTTCCACGGCAGCTTTCCCCCCTACGGCCATCTTAACACCCATCAGCCTTCCCGACAGCTCCTTTGCACATGCCCGACCCAGTCCCGTTCTCAGTCATCACTCGCAAGAATATGTATATGGCATGGCCGAATCTGTCCCTCCACATGGGCTGGGTATCACCGCACCCTTCCCAAGTGATTTCCCTCGAACTGTTACTGCTAGTCTAGCCACTGTCCCAGACCCAGATTATGCCTTTAGTGGTGCCACCCTATCACCTCCACCACCTCCGGTCAAGCGGCCTCGGCGAAGTCCTAAACCAACCGTAGCAGCGCGTGAAGGGCCCGTTAGCATTCTACCTCATCCAGAAGGGCTCCAGCGATTGGAGCAGGAACGCCGGCGGGAACAAGTTGATCCTCATTCACACCAGCGTCCTCGGGCTCCAGGCCGAGGGCGGCGAGACCCGCAAGCAGAAGAAGAAGATGCATTTGTCGAACAGCTTCGCGAACAGAACCTGGCATGGAAACACATCCGGGAGATGTTTCGAGAAAAGTTCAACAAGGACGCATCAGAGGCTCGCTTACAGATGCGGATGCTGCGCAGGCGCAAGGAGCGCCTGGCTCGGTGGGATGAGAGCGATGTGAGTACGTACATCAAAAATTAAAAAAAAGCTACCTTCCTATCTTTTGCGGCTGCTAATGAACAGGCGGTCTAGGTTCGTCTGCTCATAAGAGCTAAAGATTATTGGGAAAGTGAAAAATATAACTTAATAGCACGAAAGGTGAGGCCTCCCACGAAGACAGCGAGTGGCCTTGATGATCTATCTGCTAATAACTACGGTATTTAGATGCGCGAGTTAGGGTCAACCAAGCCTTACACGGCACAACAATGCGAAGCACAGCTACAGTATCTAGATTCGCTTCGAGAACGAAGTGACACTTCGCTACCACGACTACCAGGCTCTCAACAAACCCGAAGACGAGCTATGATGAAAGGCCCTCGATGGATTGCCCGTGTTACGACAGCCTAGTTTTTTTCTTCTCTCTTTCTTTTCTCTTTTCTTTCTTCTACCTATTATTGTTCAGTTCTTCTTTCTCTTCAGCCGTTACACCCCCCTTTCTTTTAGATTCGAACTATTCCTGATCTGCGTGGGTATACTTGCAAGGATGGAGTTTTGATATCACGTTTATTGCATGACCAGCTAGCGTTTGTTTTTACCGTTTTTCTTATCTGCTTAGCCCATATTTTGTCTCAGATATTGGAGATATACCCTGACCGAGTCAGCAAATGAAAAGCACCAACTTTTTTCCAAATATATGTTTTAAAGGTCGAGAAAGAAAAAACCATGCTGCATACCCCAGTAGATTATTCAAAGAAAAGTACAACCACAACAAAGAAGACCTATCTACCAAAAATGTAAATCAGATCCCTAGAGGCACAACTTAAAATAAATTAAAAAAAAATCAAAGGTAAAGTAAAATAAAATAAAAAAGACATACGCTAAATTTTCAAAAAAAACTTTCGTCCACATGGTCTGTTCAACAACCATGCATGAGAACGAACGAAGAACAAGACAAAGAAAAGAGAGAGATAAAAAGGATTCACCCCCCAGCTCAACCGTTTAAACTTTAAGAAACAAGAATAATAATAATAATAATAATAATAATAATTATTATTATTAATTAATTAAAAAATAAACAAGGGAACCAAGATTGAAATTAAAATTAGCCCTGGAGTAGTATCACCTTGCTTAAACGATCTTCAGTGTCCAAGCCCTTCCTCTCTTTCTTTTAACCTTTTCCCAACACTAGCCGCCGTTCCAAGAACAAAGACAAGTTCACTGCTGCCGGTCGAGGAAGGAGCCGCCGGACGAGAATCCTTTCGACAGACCTAGGCGGATAGATTTCCAGAAAGTATAATTTGAATAGGGAAAAAGAAAAGGGGAAAGTATTTGTCAGTTCCATTCGTGGTATGACGTGGTGCGCTTGCATGCATACTTACTGTATGTATATACTATACTTTGTATACTATAGATATGTGGATGGTGTGTGTGTGTGTGTGTGTGTGTGTTTGTGTTGCGGGGGGGAAGGTGGTTGGGGTTTGTTGTACGAGGTGGTTAAATCTTTTATGTTCAATTTCGATTTCACTTTTATTTCTTATTTATTCCATGGGTACTCTGTAAAGGGTGTCTGACTCGTTGCGGCTGAACTCTGCATTTAATCTCGATGCATGTCTCAGACCTGACTCGCCGGAAAGGTGCCTTGCAGCCTGATCACTGGATCTACTTCAGTAATCCTAGGGTTTGGTTTATTGGACGTGCCGACTGCGGAAAATACGGCTATCTACTAACAAGTTTAGGTTATGCTTAACCCGCTACTATGCATGTTCCGATAGCATAAGTGGTTGTGGTTGCTTTATGCTCTCAGTCCTGTGCATATGTACATAAAGGTGGAAAAAGTTGAGACGCGAAATTGTCCAATGAAGGAGGTCGTCTATATCAGCCCAGATGCATGTCCTAAAGTTACATAAACACTTCCCGAAAATAGACATGGGAGATCTCGGAGACACCGGTGCCAGTCAGTTCAATTGGATATGTTTTTTGTCAGCCTTGGGGGTGGGATGATTTTCTCATTTCGAGTATAGTTTACGTTCCAAGTTGTATTATGTCTTTCCTATTTTCTTTGTCAGGTTTGATTTTTATTCCCCTGCCTAATCGTACATGTATGTCTCAGAAGGCAGAGGGTCAAATTAAAAATAAAATAAAATAAAATAAGTTGGAAACATCCAGAAGGGAAGGAGAAGAGGGAAAAAAAAAAAAAGTAACTCGTGACAGATCAGAGCTCGGCGCATAACCTAGTCCTAGGTATATACTGCGAGCTTACGATTTTACTCCGGACTTATGCAGCCACTCAATCATACTAGGGACGAAAATGGTTTAGTGTGCTGGGAGTGATCTTCATGCCGCAGCAGTACACGGGCCATTGGATCGGTCTCTTATTGATAAATTGGGGGAAAACAAAACAAATGGTTAAAATTAAAACTTCCAGGAACATGAATGACAGCTGTCAAATGCCGACTTACCCGCACGCGATGGGACCATTTTACATTTACTCTCTTGGCGTAACGATAGATGTTGCCTAAAGCTTACGCTATTTAAGATTCTCTTGATCTTTTGGAGAATGGCTGGGTCCCGATTGGTGTCAGAGAGAGCGGTTCTTTGAAATCTGGAGGCGGAATTGGGACCGCCAGCTTGTGCCTTGGCGAGGTTATATCAGCGTTCTTAAAGTTCGCGAGTGAGACACCGTGCTGGCGGCTTCTTTGTCGGGCTTGCACGGTGACCTCAGTTCATCAAGGAAATGAAGAGTAGAGAGAGTGTTGGTTTGCAATTGCCCAGGCAATTTTGCGCTCCGTTATGCTCTGTCACGGTCTCGACCTCACGACGAGGGGCCATGCTTCAATCTTGACATACGGTCTTATATCAGATGCCGTAGTTGAAGCTGTGACCTCAGTCGGATGTTCATACCAGAATAGGCATGACGAGAGACAGGCGGTCAACCAGTAACTTATTAATAGCATATGGTAAGTGCTTTGGCTGATACACTTGGGTTCCACGCCCTCTAATCCTCTTTAAGAGCTCGCTGATACATCAGCTCAGCATCCTTCATGCAACCTAGCCTGAGATGCAGTAATCCAAGGCTGTAAGCGGCGTCCACAGTGGAAGAGTCACCTTGCCCCCGTGCCCTTATATCCTTTGGTCGCTTTGCCAGATACTGCTGCTCAGCATCTTTCGTCCAGCCCTCTCGTGAAAGGAGTGTGCCGAGATTGTTAATAATATCCAGGGTGGATATGTGGTCCAATCCCCATGCCTCCTCCTTCCCTTCGAGAGCTCATTCATACATTTTCCGGGCTTCCTCAATCCGGCTCAGGTCTTTTACAGTACCTGGAAGTTGTTGGCCGTGTATATAGTAAGGATTTTATCTAGTCTCTAAGTATTTATACCCTTCGAGCGTTCGTTGATATCTCTGCTCAGGATATTGCATCCAGCCTTGTATCTTATAAAGTTCAATATCTTGGAGAGTGTCTTAAAGCTGATATATGATCTGGTCCCTAGGCCTCCCCATGCCCTTTCAGTGCTCGACGGTACATACGTTCTACTTTATGCATTAGGCCCTGTGTTGCGTAACGTATACCGAGGTTGTTAACAGTTGTACAGTACATGTACGGGTTGGCCCTAAAACCTTTTACATGTCTTTGAAGGCTCTTTCGAACATTTGCTAGGCTCTCTCCATCCGATATAGATCAGTATATAGCAATCCGAGGTTGTTCGTGGCGATGGGAGTATCTTTGTAATTGGGCCCCTTTCAGAGCTAGCTGGCATATTTGTCCTGTTTCGTCAATTCGACCTTGCACCCTATAAATCGAGCCGAGGTTATTCTTGACACCAAGTATCATATATGATTGGATCCACAAGTATGCTCTATGCCACACCTGTACACCTTCTCAACTTCTTTCATCCGACATAACTCAGTATACATTGCCCCTGAGAAATTGAAATTTTTCTTTCGGTATCTGAAAACCCGCTCCTCTACTCGTCAAGTTCCACGTATGATCGAAACGTGGTATCAGACAACGTTGCAACGCCCAACGTCTTTCGTCATCAGCAGATGGGGCTGCGCAACCTAAGACAGCCATAGCGAACTGGCGCATCTCCTCTTTGGTCCCCAATTGACCGTAGCACCAGTTATCAATAACCAGACGTAGCGTATAACACTTCCCAGTCCCCTTACGCACGGCCAATGAACAGTCCAAGAGTAGCCGGACCACCTCAGAAAAGGTCTAAGAGAGAAAAGCCAAGTAGAAACCTCGCCTCGTCTTTGCGCCACGAGAGACAGTAATTCGCGCCATAAATCGGTGTTGAGGCATGACGGTTGGAGGATGCTTCCTACGTGAGGATTGGCTTGTGTCACCTGCACAAACGAAACCTGCCATGTTGCGGGATACTACGCGAACAGTCGGGAAGTGATCTGGTCAGTCTAAAAAGTCGGTCAAAAGCCTTGCGACACAGTTAGTACAAGATACCTGTCCACTGGAATTTATGTTGTTTGAGGTAGGAGCCAGTTGAGGTCAAGGAGCAGATGGAGGACTAGACTGCTAGTTATTTACCATACAATTACATCCCTCCCAGCCATTGTATCCAATTAGCCGCGACTTTTAGCTTCGAATATTCAGTTTTGGGGGGGCTTTGAGCTGCTTCTTCCGATATTGGCTAAGTGTGGTAATCGAGGCGGTAATGAGATTGAGCCTCGAACAGCTTCAGGATAAATATCCATGATGTTATAAGCGTCACCGTCAATGGTTCGATGCGATTAGTCATGATCGACATGTATTTTATTTTCTACTGAGCCATTTCAAAACATCTTGGATGGCATCCTTAGGTCATTATATACAACATTCTGATATTGGCTTGGCGTTGGGTAACCAGGTAGTTATTCTCTTAGCTTCACGATACCATAGACATACCTTACACGCAAAACTTCGTCTCATACCCTGACATCGCACCTCTCCTCCAGCGTCTCTCCTTTTATTTCCCATACGAATCCTGCCCTCCTGAATTCCTGCCCGCCCGGGACCATGATGGACACCCTCTCCATCGCATTTCACCTGAACAAGATCCACCCCTCCCCTGCCGCCGCTCGTCCCCTTCAGTGAGGCAAATTACACCCTCGCTTTTAGCAGCAAGCAAGATCCTCAAGCCAGCAGAACCCAAAGCATGTGATTTTTCTCCTCCCAAGAGCAGAAGATGCGCTGGACAAGAGGGGCAGAGAGTATGTTGTAAGAACACGGACAGCGATCTTTACGAAACTGTTGGTAGAACTGAGGCTCAAGATGGAGGAGGGGGGTACGATCTCACCGATGGTATTAAAGAGTCGGAGATCTTTGTGTCTATGTTCCAGGGTTGGTTGGAAGGCAAGCAGAATGGTCCCTTTCTGGAGGGGGAAAAAGGTGGCATACGTGGGTTTTATACTGGTGACATGTTTGTTGTTGTGCTATCGATGTGATATGGAACTCTGGTGGGGAGATTATGGATGTGGAAGATTAAAGAGCTAAGGTGAGGAGAAGGGGAGGGTGATATCTCAGTAGATCAATATCCACGCGAAGAACAAGGATTTCCTGAAGGTATGATTCTCTAATGAATGAATCACTACGCGTTGGTATCTTGGTGGAGACAAGAAATGTTGCTCCCTGGTGGTGCCCCAGCTTGTCAAAGACATGAGATTTGCGGCCAATTGTCTTGCGACAGTCTATAATCAATCATATCCAAGTACCTTGACTCCGCGCACAGTTCAAAGGAACCAGTTACTTCGGTGAGGCAAATCCAATTAGTGCAAAGCCGTTAGCGTCAACCAACAGCTGTAAATATCTATCGTAATGTGAGAATATCCTCAACTACTTATCGGTCTGCATTTAATTCCCACACCTGCTAAACAGACAAATAAGCGATAAGGCTAATAGGGGAGTTGTAAGAGGGTGAGCCAAGAATCGGTAGGCGAAAGAGTTTTCCATATTGCATAGGATCGCGTTGCTTAAAGAAAGAAATAAGCAGAGGTGGTAAAGCTACAGCCAAAAAAAAAAGGGCAGAATGAGAGTTGATTCTGCGCCGGTTATTTTATTTTATATACTTTAGTTGTATCCAACTGACATCTCTTAAACCCCTGATGGTCTAGTTGGATATGACGCTCGGCTGTAATGGAGAAGTCTCATGTAACCGAGAGGTCGCTGGCTCGATTCCGGCTCGGGGGAGAAGTGATTTATTTTTAGGTTTTTGTTAACCCTCTATCTAGTTAGAAAATCGCTGTTCGTTTTAGAAATTTCCTCTTCTGTTCTCAGATATCTATCTCATCGCAATGGCATCCATATTTCAGCCGAAGACCCCTCCAGCTACTGTTTCATCAGTCAGCCCGACTTACAACTTTAGTTGACATACGGTACGATAGTAGACAACCGAAGGATATATAGAGAATGATCTAGCAGGAAGCATTACGGTAAGGCCAAAATACGTATCAAAATTCAATTGGCTTTGAATTCTAGCAGTGACTCTTCCTTCCATTAGGATAGGTAGATGAGAAAACAGGCACTCTGACGGGGTTGGAATTAGCACTGTGGGGTAAACCAGGAAACAAAAAGAAAAAAGTAATCTCGCTCCCCCGAGCCGGAATCGAGCCAGCGACCTCTCGGTTACATGAGACTTCTCCATTACAGCCGAGCGTCATATCCAACTAGACCATCAGGGGCTACTGAGACATTTAGTTTCTCTCTATTATGATATATAACCCACATAGTCTATCTTGAGAACAACAATCAACAAACCTGTGAAATGAAAGCGGGGCAAACAATGTTGGTTGACAGGAAAGAGGACTACTGAACACGTATTAAGTTTATAAATAATGATATGATGGATTGTAGTTGTAAGGGACTCTGGCTGAATCAAATAGTTGATTAGGTAGTTCTACCACGAAGAGGCTAAGCTAAAGAGAGGAAAAGAAAAGAAAACGTGAAGCTATTGTGTTGTGTTGCCGTCATCAAGGGTCACGTGACTACCACACATTCACTGGTTGCCTGAACCTCTATCCGTGACAGTGGTAATAGTTTGAAATAAATGGTATCAGCCCAGCCGGACCCGTTGTCTCTAGGAAAGGTGTCTCGATACTAGAATAATGTAGGGACCGATAACGAAATCGGCTACTGCATATCATAGCCTGATTATGGCGCCGTTCACGAGAACAGAGTCATGATGATTTATAGGGAGGACGTTATTTATACGTTAACTTGACTAGCTTACACTAAGAAGAGCCCCTGATTCTCCATTCTTAACTTCTTATCTAATACTTATTCCCTGTAACAGTATCTTTTTGTTGAGCTGTTTAGCTATATTACCATGAGCTTGTTGGTAGATCGTTCAATAGAAACCCAGCCCTCTGCTCCTGCCACCTGCGGCGCCGTAGCACGCTATTCCCCTACTACCTGCGGCTCTCTGAGCTGCAATTAACACAATCAGTGAATGAACGGTAGTCATATGACCCTTGATGACGGCAACACAACACAATAGCTTCATGTTTTCTTTTCTTTTCCTCTCTTTAGCTTAGTCTCTTCGTGGTAGACTACCTAATCAACTATTGATTCAGCTGAGTCCCTTACAGTCAGATCATAGATACAAATCTCTATACGAAACACCCTGTCTTCCTAACTGTTAGGGCCTAGGCCTAACCCTGCCTGAGGCACCAAGTCTGCTCTATTCACTGTTGATCCGATCCTACAACACAAGATCCCACAGTTTCTGTACAATAGAATTCTTTCTCTCTTCCTTCTCTATGTTTGATGTTTCGTTAGATCGCCACGTTAGATATAAATGATATTATTTTCCAACGTGTATAGGATCATCACAGCCACTTTAGATATAATTCATATATATTATCAAGGTGTACAAAATCATCACTCTAACAGGGAAAGTAAAGTAAAAAGGCGACTCATATATACTCCAGATACAGGCCAAAAGTAATGGTATCTTCAAAAGAATAAAAAAATGGGTCAATTTTCCCCCGAGCCGGAATCGAGCCAGCGACCTCTCGGTTACACGAAGTGTTACTTCCATTACAGCCGAGCGTCATATCCAACTAGACCATCAGGGGTTTAGAGACGTCTGGTCTTCCTAGATTTGGCTACATAAGCAATTTATTTTTGGAAAGTTACTACTGTCCAGGCATATGTTGTATATGTATAGCAAATAGACCACGCTATGTTCGATGGTGCTACATTCAATGATCCCGCCTTGCTGATTTTTGGATCTCCGTCGTGCTTGTTCTCTTCTCAACACTCCGAAATATTCTCTTACTGCTTGCCTCGTCGATAAAAGTCATCAAAGTCATAGCTCAAGAAAGGTGCGCCACATCTACCCAGATCATAAGGTAGTTTTCAGGTTAGGGAATCACATAAAGACAGCACTAGTTCTCTTGTCCGGAACACAAATACCGCGACAATTGTGATGAAGACTGAAGAGAGGGAAGAATTTTGAGTTAAAAGATCAAATGTAAAAAGCACATTATCTGCTTTGTGTATATGGGCTTTGAGTTCGCAGTGATGGCGGGGGCAGCGCCTATACCCGTTAGTTGAGGATTTTGTAGCTACTCTGTTATTATCAATACTCATATCTCCACAACAGGACTATTGCTCTGTTCACGTCTTCCCCTGCTATGGCTGTAAGGCAACGTTCCAAACTGCCGGCGGTCTAGTGGACTATGTTGAGACTGAGTAGTGTCCTGGGATTGATTGGGTGCATCTTATCCAGGAGTAGCCGAAGGAGTTGGATGATAAAAGTAGCCCTCAATGCTGGTGATAGAGCGTTATGGTGCGTGACCCCTGTTTAGAATGACCTGGATGATATTGATTACGAGGAAATGTAGTACTGCGTTGGCTAACGAGGAAGGACTGAACAAACGACTGAAGCCTGAACAGCACCATCCTACTGCTAGTTTTTCGGCTATGCTTGTCCTCAAGCACTGACCTATGGTTGGGATGGTGTATAAAGGGATGATCTCATGGCTTAGTTTGAGTAGGGCATCTCCTTAGGCATGGTAAAGGAGCCTGATGAACCCATTTCTGATTTTTTAGTATGATCTTGTCCATTCTGCATTAAAACATCTAAAGCAGGATGACTATCCTGATGTTGGGTAGAAGATAAGACTCTACTATGTTCCTTAGTTTATTTATAGGCAGGTATTTTTGATCCTGTAGTCAAAACCTCGCTTTTTTCAAATGATTGAGATGTACACACTGGAGAACAGTTATTTAGCGGATATAAGAGGGTATGTTAGTAGTACTATCAAATGAGGCTCCTCCTGTCGTTGACTATATCCGTCTTCTTGACCAGATGCCCTATGTGTCTTTATCATTTCATAGCTGCGGTTGCGACATCCGCGATACCCAGGTATATAGCCAGATCGTGGATAAAGTCACTGGTGGAATTATCAAGCTGTGGATACAACGAAGGCAGCACAGTTAAGTACGAGGCTGACAGGTTAGAACTGTATGGTGCTCCTGAGACCATCACTGTTGGTGCAAACCAGCCCGAGGTGGTATTCTTTTGAGAACAAGGCACTTTTGGTATTCCATTCTGCACCCACCCCTTTCATCTGCCTTTTAGAGGACAGACCCTCATGATCCTAAACGGCCAGTTGTAACATAAATTCTTCAGATTAGTAGCATTTTACCAAGAACGTAGTCGACGCGGCAAGAATTGGCTATATATATGACAAACTTGAGGTGCACATAATGTGATTCCCACTATGTAGACTCAACTAGCAGAGTAATTATTGCAAATGCAAGAGGCACTAAAACATTGATCAATATCACATAAACGGGTATAACTTATAGCCACAGGGTCATCGTACTCCGCGTGACTTCCAGCGTGTATAAAATCTACACTCAACTAGAAACACTCCTCATAGTACTCGAAAATAGCAGACCAGCACGCTTAATCCGGTCATTTCTGATCTATAACCAACACCACACAAAGACAGTGGCGGTAGAAGAACCTAAGAGTGGAAAAATGCACAGATGAGACCAGCGGCACATCAAACTTTTGAATATCAGACAAGGATGCACCACAACCTTCCAACGTATCCTAGCCCTTAGGTAGCTAATAGCACTATTATCACCTCCCGTCAGATCTTCTAGTACTTAGTATAATATACAAGCTCTGTGCTGATGGTCTGTAAGCTTTGGGTAAGCTTTTGGTGTATGGGCGGTGTCTCTGTTTTGTGGGTTTTCTACTAGCTATGAGATGAGACAGTCAGTTCAATTGCTCATTTCATGTCATTGTTAGTATTAGACTTACTATATACAGACCTTAACTGAACTTCGGAAGACTTTATAGCATTTCCAAAGTTTCCTTTGCCCTCCTCTTCCTTCTTTAACCTCTCTCTAAGCCACCCAGATCCTCACCTGAGTCTTATATGGTCTCGCTAAAAACAATTAACTTTACTTCTTCATCTGGAGGACCAAGGGATTACCTTTTAAAAAATTATCACAGTAACCAATTCTTCTGGCGCTTACTTAAAAGGATTTAGAACGATTTTAAGTAGTCAGGGTACCTTATCTGTATTGTAGACGGGTGGTTCTTTATAGCCCAGATTATGTGTCGACACCCGGTGAAGATTAAGACAATGGCATCCACTAGCACCTCAATTCTCTTGAACCTGATAATTTTGGGTTAGGGCTAGGACCGTCAGCGCTTTGTTCTTTGTTCTTTGTTCTGCCTGGTATGCATGGTTCTCTTTGCTCGTAGCCGTCTAGGTTTCAAAACAAGTTTTCCAAAAACGTATAAAGAGTGAAGGGTTGAGTATAAGTATATTGTATTGGCTCAGGCACCCCAGGCCACGCACTTAGATAGGCCTAGCGCTCTGCCTGTACCTTTTGCCTGCGCACATTCATGTAGATAATTCCTTTCCTTCCGTAGCGGGCAACGGGCAACCAATCTTTCCAGTTTCGTTATATAATGTAACATATGTAGCGATCTGTTTTGCGATGTTACTTACCCCGGCCGTGACTTTCTAGTAATCAATCTTTATCAACAGCCTGGACAAGAATTTACCTATCAGGCCTCAAAAAAAGCGACTCTGCGTCTGCTAAAGTTGCAAGCCCCTTATATGTACCTGCAAAATGGCGCACAGCTGGCTAAGTGAGGCAACAGTTACACTTAAGGACTTCCAGAACGAATTTCCGCGTGAATTTCGCGCCTACTCCTCTCTTTTGCTCTGATTCGTACCCTTTCTTGTGGATTTTGATATCGGTATCCACCAAACTCCCTACCCAATGATGAACAGTACGAAAGCCGTGACGAAGAGCGCGTTCGACACTCAATAATGCTCGGGTTGCTGGAAGACTTCTGGGATGTGCACTGGGTGGTTGAGCCAAATGCAGAGACCATTAACGATGTTGTGTATTATGGTTTTCGGTAAAAGTTCCCTACTGGTATATGGATAGGCAAACAACAAGGGAGTCGTCGAACCTGGAAAGAGCGGAGGATGTCAAATCTCGAGAACAAAGGGGTCGGAAACTCCGTCAAACGTTCGATGAAAACCTCCGTCCAAGTTCAGAAGACCAATGAGAGGCACTACGGCAAAAGATCGAAAAGAAGACTACTAGAAGGAAGTAAACGGAAGGTGTGATAAAGAACGTACCAGCCCGACGGAATGAGGGGGTCACTTAACATGAATCAAGATGATCCTGCGCATCAACAGCCTCCTTCGGAATCTGAAAACATACAGAGAACAGAAGCAGTGGGCATTCCTATTGTTCTTGAAAGGCTTGGCCCTGTCGACCGAGAGGTATCCTAGATACTATAACGAACAAGGTTTAGGATGAAAATCAATCCCGCCATGGCAGGTTCCTGGGAACCGGTACAGGGTGTAACCTCAAGGCCATCCTAGAGGGTAATCTCAATCTATGGGACTGGGACGTTTGATCTAAGCAGGTGATCTGCTGTCTTACTCTTATTGATATGTACATATACTGAATAGATTTCTGCAGTCTGATCCAGAGCAATAGTATAGATATTCCAGGTGACTCGTGCGTACACGCATATCCTCTACCGAAGAAGCAATCCAGAACGCTTTTGACTATATGTGGGACAAGCATAGGTATAAACGGTGAGAATATCAATTCACAATGATAAATGGCATAGACGAGCAAATCCTAGTCTACACTATCATGTTCGGGATTCAGCTGATGATATAGAATCGGTATTTATTACTTTTGCAAAACACCGTGTTATGTAGGAAATTGCTTTTGAGGAAGGTCTGATTATATATCCTTAGTTTTCAAGAAATGTGGATGGCTTGTGCCTTCCAAACAATGACACCCAAACCTGGCAGAGTATCTTCCTAATGGTGCAAACCAGGCATGGGCTGGTTTACATTTAAATCTTGTGCCACCAATATGGCAAGGTTTTACAGATGATATATCTGCATTAAATGAGGTCATTGGAGGAACCGAAGCTTTTGAAACGCTTATTAACTCATCAAATCCAGCTATCAAAACCTGGGCATGGGATCTTCAACACGTCTTTAATAATCTTCGAACCCCCCCTGATTCAATTCACCGGACCTACTACTTCAGCATTATGCTTCGAAATCGCAATCTAGCCGAAGAGGCTAGTAGTGAAAGAAAGATAGCGTTTCTACGGAGTATCTTGTCTGAAGGTATAACAAGGAAAGTTATCGGTGGAGAGGGTACGCAAGGTGCGCACCATGTCAGCTGTAGTAGCTTTGAGTTTACTATATCTAGGCAATTTCAGTTAGGAATTCAAGTTGGGGACCAAGTCTAACTGCAATTTCATCTTACTGAACACCAAATTCTGAGACGTACGCAACCAGTGCATTATCTCACTATCCAGCTAGTCGATTGGTAGTGCCGATTAAAGGTCGAAGAGTCAATGCTGAATACTGTATTTGGCACAAGAATCCCGGCGAAAGAGCCGTAATGAAAATGAATGGTTTGGTTGATGCTCTAGAGGGGGTGTCTGAAAAAAAGCAAACAAATGCCTAGGCGATGCTACGTGACGAGACAACATGGGACGTTAGAAAGAAGTCATGCGTAAAATACTGAAGATGAGAAGTTATGACATCTACATTGAACAATCTCATAGTGCTTTTCCAGTCCCCTGGAACTAGAGGGAAGGAAATAAGGAGAAGGGAGGGGAAGGAGAAACCAAAGGATAATAAACTATAGAGATCCAAAATGTCTTGGACTTTGGTCAATATAGTGCAGAGGGCATGGAGGTAGCCAACAAAGGCCTCGGCGATGAGAGGGTGTAAGGTAGCAATAGAAAAAGGATGTTAACTATCACGGATAGAGGTTTAGACAATCGGTGAAGTGAGTGATAGTCATGTGACCCTTTGTCTATAAGGGCAATACAACATGATGGCTTCATACTTTCTTTTCTTTTTCTCTCTTTAGCTTAGTCTCTTCGTGATAGACTACCTAAGCAACTATTGATTTAGTTAGAGTTCTTTATATTGACGCTTAGACTTCGAGTGGAGGGTATTGAAAGATCTATAATGCATATTTGTAGAACCAGGGGCTTATGGCCATATACCATGGAGTATAGAACTAAAGCTAAGTGAATTCTGCGGTTCAACAGGTAGAGGAACAGCTATTGATATGGCTTGAAGTTGGAAACAGTCAAAAGCCATAGATGGCATAAGGTTAAGCATAAGGTTGTCGATTATAGTAAGCGAAGAGATAAGTCTAGGCACCTCCAAACCCCTGATGGTCTAGTTGGATATGACGCTCGGCTGTAATGGAAGTAACACTTCGTGTAACCGAGAGGTCGCTGGCTCGATTCCGGCTCGGGGGAAAGAGATTCATTTTTTTTTTAGTCTTTCAATTTTATGCCCCAAATCCTCATAGGCTAGCTAGCTAGCCCTTCCTTACCTTACTTAGATGTTCCAAATCAGGGTATCAATCATAGAAGATAAAAATTTACGAGTAATGTGTGATATATTCTCAGATCTCTCCAACATACAAAACCAAGTAGATGGATCGATTGGACTTACGTATCTGAGCAATAGATATGAGCCTAGACAAAGATATTATAGTAGAGGGATAACAATGTACGGAGTATAGTAAATAGAGATTGATTCTCGTCTTCTTGTCTAAGAATTAACAAGCTATCGTATGTTGGGTGCTTCTGATTATGGTGTAGAAAGGTTGATTCCTTTAAGCTGCAGGAGCAGGATGTTGCTAAGTTCTACTTACAAAGCGGTGAAAGGGGCGGTACAGCAAGGTAGGCAGAAAGGAACGGGAGCGACACGGAGACATAAGGAATAGAACGCAACATCGTATCCCTCGCAACCAAGCCGAGTAGTTTAGTCGAAACCGACTATACTATCTGGCCATGCCTGATATCTGAGTCCGATTTTGTGTACGAAGGACAGGGTTATGAACGCTCCAGGGAGTCAAAAAAAAAAGTATGTTTTCTCGGTATCGAGAGTGAAAAATAAAAAAGAAAAAGATTTCCTGTCCCCCGAGCCGGAATCGAGCCAGCGACCTCTCGGTTACACGAAGTGTTACTTCCATTACAGCCGAGCGTCATATCCAACTAGACCATCAGGGGTTAAGATGAAATCATTTCTGTATTCTTGTTCTAATCAACATAATTACACTGAAAGTTGTCAAAATATCTGAATATTCAAAAAAGTTACCTTGTCCCCCGAGCCGGAATCGAGCCAGCGACCTCTCGGTTACACGAAGTATTACTTCCATTACAGCCGAGCGTCATATCCAACTAGACCATCAGGGGTTAGGTGATGTCACACATTTTATGATTTTGGCTATATAAACCAAAATATGAGTTCCGGACAGCGAGCAGAGCCTACGTACTATCCTATGATTCCTATCATACACCAGCGACCTAGAACCACGGAAATCCAAGTGCATCGCTTCTAAATCCCCGATAGAATAGAAAACATTTACTAGATCTTTCGATAAGATGGCAAAACTAGTCACCTGTGGAGTCCCGAATCTCTTATCTGTGATTTCACTCCAGTTCATGATTGATCCTGGATACTTTATCAATTTATTGTAATTACTTTAAATGAGAATAATATGGCGCTCTTGATACTGTACTAGGAGCAGCTATTTCTACTAGGTGTAGAAGAAAGCCATTGTATCGGCTTGTTTCTGATAGCCTGCTGTACATCTGGGTATTCGGGCTGGAGCTCTGCGACCAGTAGCTGTACTTGCGTAGCGAGAGTCAAACCTGAATGCCAGAATCCACTGGAATTCAGTAACGAGGTGTCGCAACGCCGTGAGGTGACCTAATCCGAGGTCCGGTAGAAGTTCGACAACTAATCTATGAATAGCTCAAGTCCAAATGGCCAAGCCTACCAAGTACGTATACCGTGGGTGATCACCTGACGAACGATTTCTCACACAGCAACCATATTACAAATGAAGCCATAGAGCCACAGACAATTCGAATTATATAGAAAAATTTTGGATTATATAAATTAAGCTTAATAAGAAGCTATATATTACTTTTAATTATCCCGAAAGCGCTTTGGTAGCCGAATCTGCCGTCCTCGACGATTTTGCACTGTAGGGGCGTCTTCAACAACAGCAGCAGTTAAATAACCAGTATCTTCATGATCCTCAGCTATAAGAGATTTAGGGAGTTTATTCTTGCCTTTCTAACCTGCTTAAAGTCATTTTGAAGCTGGATATCAGCTTCTTTAGCTAGGCGCTCCTCCTCCTTTTGAAGCTTTTTTTGCTCTGCTTTCATGATACATAGTTCTCTATTAGATTCCCTGATTTCCTTTCTTTCTTCAATTAAGCGTTGCTTTGATTCCCTAACCTGCGTCCGGCATAGCTTTTCTTCCTCTTTTGTGGTCTTAGCAAGCTGTATTGCTTGTTCTTTTGCTGCTTGAAGATCCCGAGCTTGCTGTATTTTCTTAGGAGAATAGAATATTGCATTTCCATTCTCAGATGATTGCAATTGAAGCTGTAGTGGTTTTCCTCGCTGGCGCTTCTTTTGTTCATTCCGTAAGGCATTCTCAAGGCCCTTATTCTGAAGCTTAAGCAGAATATTCTCTGTAGAGAGATAATGTATTGTACTGCCTAATTTTTTAGCATTTTGATCATAAACGTCAGAGACAACCTGCTTGAGAAGCCTTTCAATCCTTCTCCAGTCTTCTGCCTGTAGAATAGAGCGTGATGACTCACTAGAAGAGAGACTTCGATCTTCCTCTTTAGTAAATCGTCTTAAAACAAGTTCTGGGTTCCAGGGCATAAACCAACAGATTTCCATGCACTCTCTATATTTTTTATAGATAAGGCCTTAAATCTCGGCCAGAATAATCTAAAGAAATCCCGCTTTGTGATATGGCTTATGCCCTGGCTGTCATGAAGAAATGCCTCTAGTTCATTACTATAGGCAAGAGATAAAGGACCAAAGATACTAACATCAAGCGGCTGCAGGAAATGCGTAAAATGAGGAGAATATATGTAGCCAAGAGGGTCTTATTTGCATCACGGAACTCAATAAACTTCATTGTGATATGAGATCCATGTCCATTGTCCATCAAGAATTAAAAGACGCCAACGCGTTCTCGCTTTCTCTTTAGTCTCTCTGTTAAAGATATCTTTAAGCCATGCATATCCTAGCTCATCATTGGTCCATCCAGAAGAGGAAGAGGTAAAGAAACACTGGTGGTCTGCAGAATTAAAGTCTTGAAGCCAGGAATCTTGTGTCTTGCTTGATACTGCTTGATATATTAAGCCAGGAGAAAGAGAGGTCTTGTCTGCATAGATACAGGCAATTGTAGTAATCCATTCTTGATTTCTTGTAGATGTTGCTTGAGGCCTCCTTGCTCATATTGTTTAGAAAAGATTCTTTTGCCTTTTGAGAGTACGCCAATAAGAAAGCCTTTCTCATCCATATTATAGATATTCCCTGGCTGCACATCATATCCCTTTATCTTTCTTGCCATAAGCTCGAAGTATAAGGCATATTTATATGCAGAATCAGCCCGCTTGCGTGAGGCATCCATGCCAGTTGTATAGCGAGCAATAAGACGTCGACATCTATTGTATTCGGAATATACTAGCAATTCTATGGCCAATGAAATCAATGCATGAGGGTCTGAATTCCTGAATCTCTGCCTCTATCTCACTACTAAATACTGCTCAATTTGGCAGTTGTATCAATAGTCAAAATAGGAAAAGTGAGGTCAAAGATGGTCATGGCGATGGCTGACTAATCTGGCGTTTCTAATTCTGAAATAACTAACTTAGTGGTCTTTTGTTGACATAAGATTATTATTATGTTTCTTTAAAAAACGGCTAGGCCAGTGTTTTCCAGGCTTATTTCCAGTAATTTCTTTAGCGAAATTCCTCAGCATTTCATGTGTAGGATAAAGACCACAATCAGTAAGCTTATCGATCCATATTATAAGCACTTTGGCTTGTTGGTTGTTGAGAACTCGCTGACTTTCATATTGGTCTTCTTGTGACCCTTGTACGCCACGGTGCCGTTTCGATAGTGTAGGTCGGCTTACACCAAACTTTTCAGCAATTTTAGTGCAATTTATCTTCTCTCCTGGCTCCAACAAGTTGATACAGCCTAAAGTCGCTTCAATTGAGCTCATGATGAAAGAGTTGTAGTGGTTTGAAATCTATGCCTAAAAGCTGGTGTATAGAAAAAACGATCGTCAGGTGATCACCTACTGTACTCGATAGTGAGAAGAGTAGTTGTGACAGCCTCTCAAAATGATCTTTGTTGGCGCCATCTATCTAGAATTCTAGCTTGGGGAAAGAAACACAAAGACGCGAGACGCGCCTGCAGAGATATAGAAAGCACTCTTATGTGATCGACCTCGTAGGGCTGCGCATGCCGTCACACCCTCTACTTAACGTATATGTTCATGAAATGGATGATGGGTCATCTCCATCGGCTTGGAAAAGTGATAATAAGATTATTTTACCTTCATAGACTCAATTCCTTACACAAAATACATCTTCTGAACCCCTGATGGTCTAGTTGGATATGACGCTCGGCTGTAATGGAAGTAACACTTCGTGTAACCGAGAGGTCGCTGGCTCGATTCCGGCTCGGGGGAAAGGGATACCTTTTTTTGCGTGCATCCTAAACCTGTCAGCAGGCTGCATGTTTGCCATATACTCTTCGCCCCTCTCTTCCAGACATATATATATATATATAAAAAACTATGTGGTAAATCTTGGTTAGCACCGTGGGGGTGCGGTATATGCCAGTCAGCAACCTTATCTTAGGGGTTACCCGCTGTTATGTATTTTTCTTTTTTGATGTTATTATTTTTTCCTGTTCCTCACCTGCATTTTTTTTTATTTTCCAGAATATCCGCAAGCCGAAATGTAGCTGGCGAGAAGTACTTTCCCAGTTACTTTGCGACTGATCTGGCACTCTGGCAAACAATGACAACTTTGTTGTATTCATGGACGTAGCCACAAGTGTAGATATAGTTGTCGACTTTTGGCTGCGGAGGGCTCTGAGGAGCTCATCGAGCATGTTGCTCGCTGCGGTCTTTTCTCATGGAAGAGCACAAATGCAAGCTACCGCGCAAGCACCACAGGGCTAATTGGTTGGTCTTCTTGAGTGGCTAGGCCATACTGTGAGAGTGACAGAACAATTGGATACTCCGCGCACCTCGATTTCGATTTTCGAAATACAAGCAGGGCTCGGAGACAGTGTTATCGTATATGTATATTTTAGGGGTTATCAGAGAGTTTAAAACGAGGAAGGGGTTTCCTACAAGGCTACGCTAGATGAGTCGAAATTATGGTCATCAAAACGTACCTTTACATAGTCTACTATAACCTAACTTTGGTCATTTGTCTCCTCACCAGAGTCGAAATCTTCCTCAACAATGGGGAATGTCAATAGAGCGGCAATGCCTCCCAATCCATCTAACCTCCTTCCACTTTCATGATCTGAACTGAGCACTCGAACCTCTCCGCCTTCCACATCCCGCACGCGATCGACCAGTGACACCCAGCGTTTACGCTCTGCTACTTCCTGAGACCGAAATAGGCGATTAGAGATGATCAGCACTCCACCACCGCGGCCCACGGCGCCTTGATCAACTGCTGACTCGACTTCGCGCGGCCCGTAAGTTGCCTTATTGGTTTCCTTGCGTAGCTGGTCAAGGAAATCGTCCATGAGTTTGGTTTCTCGGGCGTACTTGGTGTCGGCGAGGATCGTTTTTACCGAGGGTGATTGTAGCACCTCCGACAGGGAGTGTAAATACCCGGAGGCGGAGTGCACCACCACTATGCTCGGAAGTAGACGCTTCAAGGCGGGAATGCTGGTCGCTGCGACGGACTGAATGTGTTTTTGGAACCCAGCGGCAACAAAGCCCGGCGATGCAAGAAGTACTGGCCTCACAGGTTCATTGCTAGCGAGAGAGGTAGAGCTGGTGTTGAATTCCATTTGCCGAAGAAGGGTGTCCAGTGTGACTTGGTAGAATTTGGACAATCCCTAACCCAGTTAGCATGTCTACCACTGTAGAACAGACAATACGCGGGAAAAAAAAAGAACAAATCCAACCTTATCGTGATCGTTGCCCCCCTGTCGTTTTCGCGGAACCGACATTTCGACCTTCTGCTTCAAGATCGTCTGGAACTGCCCAATAAAGCATATATGAGCCAGACCCTCCTGCATAACAACGGCTACAGCCTCCGCCCTCCGTTTACCACCCTCATCAACCGCATCCTTGAGCATTTGAATTGCAATACTATCCCATCCCACACCTTCACCATCCGAACCTACTTCCTTTTCAAGGGTGAAGTTGCGGTTCAACTCCAGGTCGAGCGTATGGTGCTGGCCAATCTTAGTGTGTTGCGTCTCATTTATAATCTGCCCTCCCACATGCAGTTGGGAAAGCTGTGGATCGAAATCCAAAGACTTGACCCGGATCTCAAGTGTCAGGTGGACTCGGGCGGAGGACGTAGATCCGGTATCTTGGGTCGTAGTGACGCGGCGAATGGCACCGGCGCGGAGAAGGTCACCGGGTCGAATTAGGTTATAGGCATGCCACTGAAGGAATGAGCTCAGTCATAGGGTAGATGCGATCGCATAAGGTCTCGGTGATTACCATGTCTTCGGGCTCTTCGGGACACAGGGTGACTGTGCCCGAGCCATTAAGCTCGATCTTATTCTTAATCAAGCGCATTCTGCGCCGGGAGTTGCTGCAGCAGATATGAGGAGGCGCGGGTTTGTACCAAAACTTGAAGGTGGTTTGATCGCGGGGCGAGAATCTGAGCGGTTGTTCTGTTTTCTACAGGAGAAGTCTTCCTCCAAGAGATGTAAAGGGTATATAAGGCGTTAGTATGTATGATCGTAGATATGAAGTAGACTTTTCTTCAGACTAATTTTCAGTCAGCGTTGGCTGAAAGAAGACGGAAGATGGTGTTCCGCATCATTGGCGAATGGCCTCAGGTTGGGAAAGTGCGGGACACTTCCCAAAGCGAACTAGCGTTGATCTTGCTCCGTTATCGATAAGATTGATACGTTAAAACCATAAGCCCTAATTTAGACAAGGCGACATGCACATTCCGAAGTATACTCTAATAACGGTGAGTGGATAGTGGCCCTGGATTATTACTAGCTAAGGCTTATGACTTCCGTGGATGTATAGCACCTATCGTTCGGTGTGATATCATCCCTCTAGTACAATTATCGAAAGCCGAATTCGGTCTGCCATTTCGGAGCAGCCCCACGTTGATGTTCCACTCGTCAGAACCGCTGATCCAGCCGGAAGAGGAACACTGTGAAATAAATAGCCTGAGTGAGAGACCCCGGGGGAATATCTCCGGCTTTGTTGTCTGCTCTCCTACTTCTACCCATCCGAACCGTCTGATAGACAAAAGTCGCCCTCAATCACCTATAAACCAAAATTACCACAGCCACACCGGCATCATGGCTCCACTGTCGCTACAATCGACCCACAGGATGGTCTCGGGATATGAGATCCCTGTTGTTGGTTTTGGTGTAAGTTAACGTTGCTGCGGATAGACCTTGAGCGAAGAATACCCTGACATATGATGATTCTGACAACCATGTCTCGGATTAGGTTTACCAGACGTATGTCCTTAAAGCTTATGTACCCATGTCATCAATACTGACCTACTGTGTAGCCCGCCGGATATCACAGAAAAGGTGACTCTGAAGGCCTTGGGAACCGGCTACCGCCATGTAAGGTGTTATTCTGCTTTGGCTTGATTGACGAATTGTATTGATTCGACACCTGCCTAGGTTGATAGCGCCAAGTACTATGCGAACGAAGCCGAATGCGTTGAGGCTATCCGGAAGTCGGGTATTGACCGTTCCAAGATCTTCTATACAACCAAGATTCCCGTCACGCACATGTCATACGAAAAGGCAAAAGAGGCTATCGAAGCTAGTCTTGCGGATGCAGCAGGAATTGGCTACATCGACTTGTAATAACTGCCCTCTATCCCCTAAGGAAACCAGATAACTGATATCGATAAGGGTACTACTCCACGCTCCGTATGGAGGCAAAGAGGGTCGTCTGGGCGCATGGCGCGCTCTGGTAGAAGCCCAGAAGGCCCACAAGATCCGTTCCATTGGAGTTTCCAACTACGGTATCCACCACCTCAATGAGCTAGAGGAATACATCAACAGCGGCGTGGGGGGTCAAATCTCAGTTTGCCAGTACGAGATTCATCCCTGGTGTGCGAGAGAAGACATTGTCGACTGGTTAAAGAAGCGCAACGTTGTCGTTGAAGCCTACTCGCCTTTGGTGCAGGCTACCCGGATGAAGGAGCCCGTTTTGCAGAGCCTGGTTAAGAAACATAACAAGACTCCTGCTCAGATTCTGATCCGATGGAGCTTGCAGAAGGTATGTATACTAATACTGTTGGAAAATACCGTGCGATATTATTAACCTGGTCTGCAGGGATATGTCCCTCTTCCTAAGTCCGTGACCGATTCTCGTATTATCGAGAACACGCAGGTCTTCGACTTTGAATTGTCGGAAGAGGACATGAACAGCTTGAAGACAGGGCAACACGCACCTGTCTGTTGGGATCCTGCCAGGGACTCCCGCCTGTAATCTGTGATATCTATAAGTGTGATGGAGCATAGGGTTTTCTAAAATCCGATGCCTAAGGTGGAAATTCAGATTAGAATTCAATGGCATAGACAATCTAAATATTATCAGCATTACTTACAAAAATCCAATCAACCGAAAAGGCTTAATTTAAGCACATTTGGATGGTATAAAGGTCAGTGTACATGAATTTGAACTAAATTTCAAGTAATCCTGCCAGCCTCGGCACAACTTAACGCCGCCCGCAAGACGCCTACCGCTTCCGTTTATGGACCGCAATAATAACATGAACAACAAAAGGTCTTCGTTACTTTCATTATTATCACAGTACTCTATGAGCGACTCCAATGTCTGTATATATTTTGCCAGTCTCAAGGGACATTACTCTTAGAATTTGCCTCCAATTCCGTCCTAAATCAAGATGCCAGACCCCTCGAAGCGTATCGTCATAGAGAAATCGCGAACCGTCCGCCGCCGATATCAACGCAGCAACAAACGTCTCAAGTTCACAGCATCCCAGATCGCACGCATAGAACGAGAAGAAGAGCGAGAACGCCAAGCTCAGAAGCTTCGGGAGAAGGAGAAGAAACGCATCGCCAACAAGAAAAAGAAGGTTGAGAAAGAAGCGAAGGCTCGCGAAGAACGACGGCGACTCGGAATACCTGATATTAATGCACCAAGAGTCCCATCAAGTCAGCCATCACTTGTCAACTTTCTTAAGAAACCACCCCAAGCCCCTACTGAGCAAGAGGCGACATTTGACGACACGGAGCCTGACACTATAAGCACGGAAGCTGATACCTGTGAAGAATCGCGCTCGGAGAATGATGAATCAGGCGATACTGAAGCTTTCAGTCCTGAAATCAGTATTGAGGATGTGGATGGAGCTTTGGAATCGAACATTGTTGCTTGTGGAAAGAAAGATGATGACGAATTTTCCGACTGCTCTATCTTTTATGACGAGGACATTATCGGGGGAGCTGAAACAATTGCAACCGTACAGGTAACTACCCAGGTGCAACCAGAAGCAAAGAAGCAAGAATGCGAGCTAGCTCAATTAGCTCTATCGGCTCCAACCGGTCTACCAGCGGCTGAATCCTTCCGAGATGATACAGCTATCTTACTGGAAGAATTTGGATGTGAATTCGACACTGACGAGGAATTTGAACGGGAATTGGCCCAGCTAGACGCAGGATGATCGTAAAAGCTCATCTGTTGCACACAGCTGTATGCGTTATATGAGTATACTAAGGACTCTATCCTCTTCTACAGCAATTTTTATACGGAGTCCTGTGGACTCTTCATTTCTGAATCCGGCCCGATTTAGCGCCGCTCATTGCTGCATGAGCGACTAGGAGTGTCGAGTGAGCAGTGTCAATACGCAGCTGAGCAAGAGTGGAGTAACCCAGAGCAGCCCTGGAGTGATGCAGGCACAATGCTTTGATCCACCTGAGTGCTCCTGAAGCTAGCAATACCTAACTAGAGCTCTGCCCATATGCCTGGCATGCACTCTATGAGTAACCAACAGAGCCTGTGATAATCCACCTATGGCTCCTTATGTGACTTGAAGCCCTACTGTCAAGACCCGTACAGCCAGACACTACCAGGGATCCACATACAGTCGTTCTGTACTAAACAAATCAGCGATGTTCACGTTTCATTCTCTTGGCATCTTGGTAGCGAAACGTGTGTAGAGCTCGCAATTTTGGAATGATTTGAGGGTTTCCCAGATTATTCAACTAATCCCGCGGGCATATGGAGGATTTCCGACCTGCTGGCTACTTTATGGAGATTCAATGCCCGCAGTTACTTATATCTTTATCATTTTTATCTTATACTACCCGGAAAATCATTCAGCAATGCTGGGGTTGGTTATCACTCAAGACTGTTGTGGGGTAGGGCCTTGTTCGGAGGTCCACCCCCTGAGAAATTGCTTGCAAAATCCGATGCTATGGTGACCTAATGCTGTTATAAATGAGTCAGGCAAGCTCTGCAGGAATGCCCGAGAGTTTTCGGTGACCCCTTTTCGATAAAGATGGTATGTAGTTTATATGCGATGGGTACAGCATTTTGCTGACTTGTTTCATGCGACAGGTGTATTCCTGCCTGGTGATATGATACTAGCCTGGAAACTCGAAGATACAATACCATCTTCAGAGAAGGCTGGGAGACAGGCCTCCTTGTCCTTTGTTGGGCTGTTGTCACCTGGCTTCCAGAAGAAAAGAAGACGGCTTGTGAGTTAATAGAGCACCTGTTCCTCGACTTTATAGATCGTTGAGCGATAAGGGGCGCATTACAGTAGGATCTGTCTATTGCATCTTCGGATCAGACTTTTCATTACCCACGCCCTGTTTCTCGCCATGGCATGCTTTGAAAATTCATAGAGGAGGCGAGTATCGCGTAGATGTATAGGCGGTCATAAGCGAAAAGGAAAGCAATGAAAAAGTACATGGACGGAAACATTCTCTATGTGACCATCAAGGTATCAGAGTATCTCTATTTGTAGTTTCCCAAGAAATCAAACCACACTGGTTTCCGTATCAACCATCTTCCTGAAACAAGCATAACGTCCCAATATAGTAGGGACTTTTTTAAACCCTTGTTTACTGGCCCAATCGTATCCCAGGAAGACTAAGGAACAGATGCCATAAGTATCAGTATTACTGATTGTTGTCATGCAGGCACAATCATGTAATAGGCTTTATCCGATCCGACAAGTGATGTGATCCGCGCCGCTCGGAGAGCGGACGTCGTCGTCGGGTAATCAACTAAGCGCGGATTTACTCCGCCTTCCGTCAATCCCGACGGAAGTACACAGCTCCAAACAACAGTACCTTATGAAGGTCTCGTGGCATGACGGAGCCCAGCTAAACAAGTAGAACCCCAAGGAGAGAAAATCAATAAAAATTAAAGTCAAGCGGAACAAAAAAGTAGACAGGCGAGATCCCCTTCCAGCCTATATGACGTCGATCAATCAATTGTTTACATTTAGTTTCCCTGATATCCGGTTAAACATCTTAAGATATCTTTATCTTCATACCTTTCCTCTCCGAACCATCTCCTCCCTCAATTAACTCCTCAATCACCTCCCAAAGATGCCTTTCCTCACCGTAAACAACCACCAACTCCACTACGCCGACACCCACCCCAACGGCGCCCCCGCAAACTCCCAAACCCTCATCTTCATCCACGGCCTCGGCTCCTCCCAGAACTACTACTTCCCTATCCTCCCCTACCTACCCAACCACCGCTGCATCACCCTCGACACCTACGGCTCTGCCCGCGCCACCTATACCGGCCACCCGGTCTCAATCCCCTCCATAGCCGCAGATGCTATCGCCGTCCTGGACGCCCTCCACATCCCCAAAGCAGTGGCAATCGGCCACTCAATGGGCGGACTAGCCGTCACCCTCCTCGGAGCCCAACACACAGACCGCATAAATGCCGTAGTAACAATCGGGCCAACGCACCCCACCCCAACCCTAACATCTGTAATGACCAAGCGAGCTGAAACCGTTCTGGAAGGTTCGTAGCCCTTACCCATCCCCTCCCCTCCCTCTCCCCTTCCAATAGCCAAATCGCGCATATATATACTAACAAAAAAACCCAAGCGGGAATGGAACCCATGGCCAATACCGTGCCCTACCAGGCCACCGGCTCGGGATGCTCGTCGCTAGCGAAGGCATTTATCCGGGAGCTGATCATCGGGCAGGATCCGAAGGGTTATGCGGCGCTGTGTGGTGCTATTGCGAGTGCGCCGGTCATTGATTATTCGGCTGTTAAGGTGCCGTTTTTGTTGCTTGCTGGGGAGGAGGATCGGTCAGCACCTTTGGAGGGGTGTCGGGTTATTTTCGAGGGAGTGGCGAGTACGGAGAAGAAGTTTGAGGTGTTGGAGGGGGTTGGACATTGGCATTGTGTTGAGGCCCCAGGGGTGGTGGGGGAGGCTGTTGCAGGGTTTGTTGATGGGTTGTGATTGTATATATGAAGTTTGGCGGTATGGTACTTTCTGGATAATCGGAAATATCTAGAATACTTCGGATGGTGGTTGGTTGGTATGCTCTTTGTTGAGATGTTGGTTGATTGCTCTCGAGTGTGTTGTAGATTTGGAGGGACGTATCATCGGTGCGTCGGAATGATTAGAGACAGGCGTTTAGGCTGACTGTTGCGATACGGCAGGTTCTATTGCTTGGCTTGGGATATATAAGGACTTAATTCTCTAGGAAATCGAGAATCCAATAGTCAGTCTACATGCACTACGTAGGAGATCACACAAAGGTTATATCACGAATCCACTAAGACAAGCATCAAGAATGCTAAAAAGTAGGAAAGAAAAGTTATATACAGAAGATAAGTACGTCAGGAAGCAAGATGTTTATGCGTTATTCACACCATTAGTGCTACTGGACTGCTGCGGTACCAGTTTCACATTGTAGTTCAGCTCAAGGCCAGCTTGAGGATCATCCTCACGAGGTACAAAGTCCACAATAAGCGAGTCCTTGACGGCAAAGACAGAGTCATTGGTTAGGTACTTGTCTTTGCTGTCGAAGATCTGTGTCGTGAGAGGTTTGTAGCCGTCGATGGTGGCCTGGATATCTCGTTAGCTTGCCTTGTAATTTGACGGGGGAGAAGAAAGACTCACAATAATATGGATATGGGCCGGTCTGTACGGGTGTCTATCCATAAGCTTAAGCAGTTTCCCTGCCGGTCCTATAGTTTAACACATATCAGCATCAATGAACCCACTAAAGTCCAATAAAACCGCATTGAATGTAAAAACATACCATCATCGGGAACAGGATACGGCGTGGGCCTCAAACAATAAAAATAATACCGCCCCTCCTCATCGGTCTTGAATTTTCCTCGAAGGTTGAACTCCTCCTGGTTCGGGTCCTGCTGCTCATATAGCCCGTTTGTCGCCGCCTGCCACACTTCCACTGTGGCGCCGACCAGTGGCTTCTTGGTGGTGAAATCTATGACCTGACCATGCATGAAGACCATTTCACCGTCCGGCACGCCCTTGACGATGTTATCGCCATTCTTACGATATGGAGTGTCGGCGCGGAAAAACGGGCCTAGGATGGCGGTTGCGGTGGGTGTGTCTTCGGCTTCATCTGCGAGTTTGAATGTGATCTCGTCGACAAGGCTTGATATTCATTGTTAGTACATATAAGGCAATTTTCAATCAATGGGTAAAAGTATGAGGTAAACGTACGATTCCAACCCGATCACATCGCAAACTAACTGTCCCTCATTCCGCTTGTCGTTGCTCATCTGACCAGCCCAGTTCATCAACTGAACGCCGGCCATCCATTCTTCGACGGTGACTTCATTCTCGCGCGCAAAGTCATGCACATGGCGGATTAGGCCGGTCATAAGCTGGCGGAACCTGGGAGAGGTCTTAGGGCCCATGGCATGAATGACATTGTCGGTGAAATCGGGATCGAAGCGGTGGGTGGGCATGTTGACTTGATCTTTTTGTATTTGCTTGTGCACACGGCAGTTATTGCTGAAAATGCTCTCTTGCCAGCAGTAGTACTTGAGATTGTACTATGTCTGGTTTAGACGGAGATAGATTCAAGAGCACGCGCGCGCTAGAACGAGACAATAGAAGTAGATTGTAAACTAGGATAAGATTTCAAAAGTAGCAAAAAAGGCGCAAATGCAACATTCTTTTATTTATATCAGAGCCGATATGATTGGAAATCCTCGCCTTCCGGACGGTCTTTGCTGCTGAGACCCCGCATATATGGCGGAACTACTATTGCTGTTGGCCACACACATTGGGTTTAAGGTTGCAGATGGCCCCTAGCTTCCATCGGAATGACCCAGAGAAACCGGATGATCGTCCGTCGGAAAGCGCACTGGAGGATATCCGATTTCCCCGCAAGTCTATCGGATGTCGGATGGGGAGGTGCTGTGATTGTCCAGGGTCGGACTTCCCCCGCACCATTTACTACTAAGTAGTACTTACGATATAAGGCCTCCAAGAATGTATAAGTACTATTAGTAGTAGTCGTAATATCTCATGACAGCGTATTTCCCTTCTTATTGGGCGTCCGTCTCCCCTTAGGATTCCCCTGCTTAACCAAATCCTCCGGCAACGCCTGAATTTCCCGTCCACGCTCCCAAATCTTGCCCAACCCAAGCTTCCTCTCAACAACAACATCAAAGAACTCCACCGGCACAACCATACCCTTCTCATCCCCTCCAACCAACATCCCCTCACTCAAAATAACCCCATTCTCACTCCTCCAAAACGGGCACCCCGCCGCTAACGCCTTCTTAAGATCAAGATAAATCAACACCTGCGCATCCCTACGCATACCTGAAATCACCTTCTCCCCAGCATTCCCCGCAACCCCCTTCGCCTCCCGCGCAAGCACAGAGTCCAACGTCGGCCCTGTAGCAAAATGCACCTGGTTCCGCCCCATGCACCGTAACCCCCCAGAGGAAAGAATAGCCGGCCAAGCAGTATGAAAGGTCCCATGGACGACCGTATCGGGCAATTTTGACTCATCCTCTAGCGACAGTTTCTCTAGAAACGACGCCGCCTCCACACCCTTAATACTATGGCCCTGCGTAGCACGGATCAGGAAATGCGACGGGTCGACATCCGACTCGGACACCGCCAGGGCCGTCTCAGTCGCGGTATCTTGCCCTGCGCTCGTGGTGGGAATGCTCGACGCCTGTGCGTCTGTAGATTGCGATTGTTGGGCATCGGCGGTGGGAATGTGTAGAAGGGCGAAGCGCTTTTTGTCGGAGGTTGCGACGGCGCGGACGATTTCGGGGAAGGTGACTTTTAGGGATTTGAGTTTGCGCCAGGCGAGCTGTAGAAGTAAGTAAATAAATCGAGTTCAATCTATTTGTTTTTTAAGTGCATTAGGGTTTGTTGGGGTTGCATACTACGTCTGCCACGCTCGCGTAGCCTTGCGCGTCTAGCTTTAGGCCTTCTTTTTCGGCGGCGTGGCGGAGGAGGAGACTTAGGGCTTTGGAGACGGTTACATCGCGGCCGCCGCCTCTGCGTTGTTGTTGGCCCATGATCCTCGATAAGGGAGGTGGGTGTTGGAGGTAGTGGCGGAGGGGTTTAATTGTGGGCGGTTTTTGTTTGCGATGCGCGCAGGTTCTGGGGTTGGAGTTGGGTTAGTCCTTTGGAGTTAATGGATTAAGTGAGAGTTTTATTGAGGGGTTACATGACTCACTGGGGAATGGTTGACTGATTCAGACTGATACAGACTGAGTCATGCAGAGAGTCAAGTTCATGTCATGTTGTGTTTTTCTTTTTCTTCCTTTTTTCTTTTTGACATCATCGGGTTTAAATTGAATCAAAAGTGGGTCAACTTGGACGAATCTAATTCAAGAGATTAATTACTATTCTAAATTCAACTGCAAAGAGCATTTTCTATCTGTAACAATCATATAACCAACATCGGATTCTCTACAGAATGGGTATATCAGAAACAACAGAAAACCACTCCCTCCTCGTCGCTCATACCAAAAATGTTTAGAAAAAGAAAAAGGATCACAGGACTCATCGATCGCAAATACAGTTGCATTCGGCAACCGGACATACCCTATGCTTCACAAACCATTCTCGGGCATGATGGGCATGGAATCCATGGTTACAGTTGATACAGAACACAATGAATCGTCGCATCATTTCCGCTTGGCTAGGCTTTCCGGGATGCTGTGCAGCGTCGGCGGCGATACACGCTTTAGACATCGGGTCTGGAGATCCCAGCCAAAGGGTACAGACGCCACATCGAGGCATGTGCCGACCGCATCGTGGACAAACCATCCCAGACATTGCTGACGTGCCCAAGGGATTGCCAGGAGTGGGGTGGACGACCTCACCCGTGGTGGATGGCGAAAGCTGTGAGGAGGCGTCGTGCTGGGTAAGTGGCCGGGTACAGTAATTGCAAGTCAAGCTTACTTGTTGTCGTGGTGGTTCAACCAATTTTCTCCCGTCCCAGGTGACGGCAAACTTGCGAGAGCCGACATCAAATCGCGCCCGTTCCAGCTGCAATTTCCAGGAATTAATCTGCCAACGGTATGTTTCACGCCATGCTTCGAAACGCGCCCTCTCTGGGTTTTTGTTGATGAATCGTGGAACGGTATGGCTCATGGCGAGAACCGGGGTTTGCACATCGTTGAATTTCTTAATGTACGACTGGAAAAGATCCATGGCAGAGTGTCCAAGACCCGTAAGAACGACACCTTCGATATCGCCCTGTATGATGGCCTCGGCAGTTGTTTGATGAAGGTACTCGGTCAACTCATCGTCGGGAAGCCAACGCAGAGCAACTTCAACTCGGTACTTCAATGGAAGCGTGGTCTCCTGGATGACAGAGTTCCAATCTCCTTTGCTCACAAGAGCCAAGATTGCTCGTGCATATGGGTCTGTGAGTTCTTTGGCAATCTCTGCGCAGGTGTCTTCCCAATCTGGGTCAGTGTCACCTTTCGCCGCACCGGCAATAGCCATGGCAAGCAGCTTATGCGCCTGAGTAGGCTGATGGCTACGTAGTGCTAGGTATGCTAATTTAGCCTCATCCTGGAACACTGCCAGAGCTGCGGCTTTAGTATGCTGACTGTCGGCTGACAAAGTTTTCACAAGTTCCTCCAGTTCGCGGTGAGACTGCGCTGCACCGCAGAGTCGAAGGCAAAGTCGACGATGTTCCGAATAATTTGTCTCGCAACCTTTGGTCTCGGGTAGATTTAGTCGTTCCCGAACTAGGTTAACGATTGCCTTACTGATATTAGGCCTAGCATCCGGTTCGAGGTGTCGAGTGTCAAGAGCCTCGCCTGCAAGATGTCAACTATAATGTTTGGGTCCCTGGGTGAGCGAAGTGCATACCTAGATCATTGTTCCAAATGTCATACACGCCGACATAATTAAAATCCAAACCGTTCGCGATCATTGACCCATTGTACGAGTCGTTACGCGCCCCTGAATAAAGTGTTAGCACGCCTATTATAATATGAAACCCTACACTCACGTTCAACCCAATCCCAGAAACCTTGAAGGTAGGGATCATCGGCTAGAATCTTCCGGTTTCGGACTGCGTCAAACAGATAGCCCTCTTTGCAACGTAGCCTGTTGATGGTCAATAGGGTCAAACCCTCCTCGGCCGTAATGGGATTGCCTGAAGTTCCCAGAGAAAGAGCACGTTCCCGAGCCTCACGGCTTGATAAGGGCTTCGTAGGTTGGCCTTCATGCGCTGTTTCCTGTACGTCGTGGTCTGGCAAGATACGCTCACGAAGGTCTTCAACCACATCAGAAGCGCACAATCCGTGACTAGGTAGAGGACTTATCATTCTGAAATCTGCATCGGCATCGGATGTCCCGCGTATTAATAAACCTTGGGAAGATAGTCGCACAGGAGGTGATGGCGGCTTTGTCGTGATGATATTGACTCGACCATTGCCCGATAATGTTATAGCAGTGGGTTCATTTGAGGGACTCATGTTTAAAAAATCGAAGGATACTACCCTTTCCGACTCCTCGTAGCCGCGCGATGGGTGATTGAAGGGACTGTATACATCCCGCACATACTTTGTATATATCTGTTCTGGATAATTCTTTGAAGACCCTTGACCCAGAGTCTCATCCACGGACGTGCGATACTCCTCAGACAAGTATTCTTTGACAACGTCATAGGTTTTGAAGTGGCCGGTGTTCGAAAGGACTCCTAAGCATCCTCGCTTGGTTCTAGAGAATCGCAGACTCCAGATGGAGGATTTAGAAGTGGTGACATTCTTAAACTCAAGAGCTGGCCCCGCCTGTCCAGTCTCAAGAGTGTTTGCTGGGCCCACAGGGGGCGTCGTATACCGGGACCCTACGCGTCGATCCCATATACATATAGTAGGATCATTAGAGGTAAGACATGATGCGATATAATTCTCGTCTAGCCAATCAATAGCCAGGCCATGAACACAGCGAGTCGGAAACTGCAGCGACGGATTGCCAGGTCCCTCTTCGCAAATCAATTAGACCACAACAGCACGTAGGACAGGAAACAACAAGCATACCTCGAAGATCATATATCCGCACATACTGTCCCTTTACACCAGCAACTAGTGTATCGGGTTGATCCCTGAAAAATTTGACGCTGGTGATAGGCTCCGAACTAGCCAGCTTCCTCAATGGCTCTACAGGTCCTTTCCCACCTCTCATAGCCAGCCGCTGATTAACATCCCAGACATTGAGGCAAAAGTCGTTCCGCACCCGATCCAGACCAGCCGCCAGTAATCCATGTGTGCTGAACGTAACGGCGTTACAGTACCGCTGATGACGAACCGGAAACGAGTATGACTCCTGGGACTCGCTGTTCAGGCGCAGAATAGTGGCGTCTCCGGATGACTGGCCGACTGCGACGAGCGATTCATCGGCTGGCGACCAGTCGAAGGCTCGGAATGCCGGAACCTTGGTATGCGCCGCAAGCACTTCATGTTCAAGGTTTTGGCCGTCAAAGGAAGCCACCTTGCACAGACGGAATGCTTTCCCTGCCACGTCCACTGAGAGGAAGCGCTGTTCCGCTGTGGTCGATGACGGCGACCAGCGAATAGCTGTCTCCATGTTTATCTTTTATTTTTCTTCTCTTTGCGCCGCGTAGGCTGTCGTAGAAGAAACACGACTGGCTGACTGGTCGCCCACCTAATCTAAGCGGAAGTATCTCTCTGCAGCGCTTAGCAATGGTCCATGCTCTTGCCAGCTTGTGCGACTGGTAAGTCAAGCACCAGGCTGCATGACGACAATTGCAAATCCAATTTCTTAGGAGATGTGTTATTTGAGACCCGGCGCACAAAGCAGTCGTCTTCCACGAGTATGGAACCTTCTACTAGTTCCGCAGTCATAGGTAATGCTAAGGTACAACCTAAGCGCGTCATCATTGGACTTGATTGGCTACGGCGGGATCTGGAGATTGTTCGGGCCGATTGATGATCCGCCTATATTTTTTTTGTATGTACTAAATTAAATCAATTTCTCTCCAAAGCAACTGCAGCTGAACACAAGAAAATCCTCTGTCCTAGCCACCCACAATGCCTCGAGAATACTCTAGATCGCAGTCGCCCGTCTCCCGACCCGCAGGCGACAGACATTATCGGGACCGCAGCGAAAACCCCAAACGCAAACATACCTCCGACGAAGCATCGCACCAGCCCTCCAGAAAGAAGGTTCAGCTCCCGAAAAAGGAACACCAGTACCCTTCCATCAACGAGTTGAAGAAGCGCATTCGCGATGTCAAACGGCTCTTGAATCGGGTAGATCTGCCCGCAGATGCGCGGATCGTGCAGGAGCGTGCTCTCGCTGGGTATGAGAACGACTTGGAGGAAGAGAATAATCGCCGGGAACGGTCGAAGATGATTAAGAAGTATCATTTCGTTCGGTTCTTGGGTATGTTATGTCTATGCGCACTTGAGAAGTTCGTCATTTTGAGTTTACAATTCAACTAACTCTGTACTCGAATGATAGACCGCAAAACCGCTTCTAAAGACGTCAAGCGGCTCGAACGCCGTGAGAAAGAGATTTCGAGCTCCGATTTAGACTCCGCAGCCAAAGAGAAGAAACTCTCTGATCTTGCGCAAAAGCTTCACGTCGCCCGCGTCAATCTGAACTATCCCATCTACTACCCTCTGTCCGAGAGATATGTCGCCCTGTACGCTGAGGCGAAGAAGAACAAGGATCAAGTCAAGGATGGAAACAACGATGAAGATGGCAAAACAGGTTATACGCTTGTCCATGCGACTGCCGCTGAGAAACCGGCTATGTGGTACACCGTGGAGAAGTGTATGAAGGACGGAACTCTCGAACTTCTCCGCGACGGAAAATTGACCGCCGGCGATAAGAGCGGGAGATCCGGTACTGAAGCGAAGAAGAAAACTGGCGAGGACAAGGAGAGGGCCGTTACCCGTGGTTCCGCGCAACACAAAGACACCCTCACAAAGACCAGCGTCAAGCCGCAGTGGGAGGACAGGGAAGGAAAGAACTCAAGAGGAGCCACTTTCAGAGACGAAGGTCGCAAATCTAAGGTACACCAAAGCTCAGCCGATAACGACGAAGATGAGAGCGATGGGGGATTTTTTGAGATGTGATTTGTGGAGGGATATCGGTATATCAGTTATTGTGCATTTTCAGGAGTTGGTTTTATCGGCTTTTCTATCTTCCCCACCCTTCAAGTTGTCTTTTCAAAAAGCGTCTTTTATACTATCGTATACGATACCCAGAATCAAGACTGGCTTGGTCAGCCATTGTATGTACCTAGTACAGTTACGCTATCACAATTGAAGACATGATCTCAAAATTCGAATTTTGATAAACAAAATATGGAATCTAGGTGGCCGCTAAAATAACCCTTACCAAAACCAACTCCAAGTTTCTCCGCCCCTTTCTAAAGAAAAGACCAAAATGAAAACAAACAGAAATTCAAACGCACAGAGAGAGAGAGGGAGGGAGGGAGGAAGGAGGAGAGACGATAGAGGTGATCATACAGCACAATATCAAGTATCCCGACTCCAATCGTATACCAAGCCTATTGCAGAGTATAGTTGCGTAGAAGTCATAAGGCCGATGCATTGAAAAGAACAACCAAACCGGTACGAAACAAGTTCGCTGAAGGCTAAGGTTCAGTGTAGACAAATACACTCATCCAACTGCTAGCACAAACTCATCGTTTCATGTCTCATAGCATACTCTATGTTTAGAGTTATGCTGTTCAGTCTTCCACATAGCCAGCACTTGTATTTGGCCTCCATATTTTCTGGCTGGAGAGTACAATAGCGGACGCATATGACAAGGTTTCCAAAACCAGCAGCTAAGAAAAAGGATATTTATCCCTTGTAAATCTTTGCAAGCACGCTTGCAGATGTTGTGTCCAACATGGAAGCCATGCAAAACAAACAGCAACGACTTCACATGACAGTACAGGCGCTGCCACTGTGTGCTCTCCTACGTCTTCCTCCAAGGGCAGAGATGGCCCCAACACCAAATGTGTCGTCATTTTCATCATCGGCATTGTAGATTCTCTCGGCTTCACGAGCCCGGCGCCGTCGCCTTCTGGCGCCAGCACCTGTCGCACCTGCTTCTTCTGTTGCCATCATATAATCAGCCCATTTCCGATCAAGGCGATTAGCAGCGGGAAGATCTCCTCTCAAGACTCGTTTGTTATGCTCATTTACGGTCATCTGCCAACCATAGAAGCATTTGAGCTGGATGATCTCATTAGGGTATACAGCGGGTTGCGGCGGGGGTGTGATAGAAGATGTGATCAATGTTTTTGTCTCCGACGATTGATTTGGGATGACAGACTGTGCCACAACAGATATAGCCTGTAGAGACTTGCGAGAACGTGGGACATAGGCATTGCTTGAAAGGACCTCCTTTACACCTGCCCATGTAATATTGGCACAGTCGAAGATAACCAAGCGCAAGCCAACGCGAGGTAAGTCCTCGCCATAACCGCGCTTGCGGATGCGGTAGCTGGCTTCCATTAGACTGAGGTCAGAAACTCGGGTGTTATCCATCTCAACAGAGCGGAGGGAGTGGCAGTTTTTCATCACTTGGAGCATGCCGGGGTCACCGAGGGCCTCACAGTAACTGATATTGAGATGTTCAAGGCGTCCAGCACATGGAGATTTGGCAATTTCTAGGAGTGTGTTATTGGTGAGCCTTTCTATGTCCTCAAGCTCGAGATGGGTTAAATGAGGCGTAGTACGAATAACTTCAATGACAGAGTCGTCGCTAAGCTCGGGGCACTGAGAGAGCTGCAGACCCTCCAGGTAGGGAACGTTGTAGGCGAGGCTCTTCACTCCTTTATCCGTCACATCAGGGCAATGATGTAGATCCAGGTGCTTCAATTGCCGAGGTGGTACAATGGGCCGATCGAGGAGCACATCCATTTCCGGATCGACTCCATGCATGAGGACTTTCAAGCTCTCATCATTCAGATCTGTGCGATTCATCACCAGACGCTCCAGGGTGTTTCGTTTGTATAGCTCAAGCGCAAACTCTTCATCATCAAACCCGCGGATCTCACTGGCCCGCAGGTCTTTTAACTTGGGACATTCCTTGACAATTCTCTTCAACCCGTTTGTATTCACACTGGAACACCATGAAACATTCAATATTTCAAGCTGTGGACATGATTGAGCAATTATCTTCATAGCCGAATTCGTCACACTAGCCAATCCCGAGACATTAATATATTCCAGGCGGGGGTTCCGAAGAAGGAAGTAGTGAATCGAGGTCTTATCGATGCGACATCCCTCCAGTGAGAAATTGACAACGTTCCGGCATAAGTCGGTGATGCGTTTCCCTTCAGATTGCCACTTGTCTCTTAATTGGACACAGCCGCGCAGGTTGAGATCCCGGACAAAAGGACCACCAGATGCGATAATCTTCAGGAGACCATCGCTCGAGATATCGCGATAGTATTCTGTAGTGTCCACTCTACACCACAACTGGCCGTCATAGCACATCTTGTTCCAGGCTTTAGAGACAGCAGAGCAGCGGACAATTTCCCTGGGTGTCAGATAACCAAAGATAAGCATTCTGAGTTCATCGGGCATGCTTCCCCAGAAGTCAAAGGTCTTCTTCGGTTTTGGTGCGGGTTGTTCGACGGCAGTTTCTAGAATTACATCGGTACTTCCTAACGGTGATCCACGAGACCCTGGTCTCAACTCGGTAGGCAGAGGGGCTGTTCTTGACTGGGCGGCATTTGGTGAATCCGAACCAACAAGGCGGATTCGGGCGTTACCCTCATGATCTTCTGTTGGCCCAGCCTGACCAGAAGTCATTGGACGCACATTCAATCCGCCATACAGCTGGGACGAGCTTCCATTCCCGAGACAAGGAGTATACCCCGATTGTCCTAACGAAATACAGGACAATGAAGCTTTTCCATCTCGACGGTATCCAGTTGAGTGGGCTCGGCCGCGCTTTGCCAAGCTGGGGCTCGACGACATGCGTTGTAGGCTTTGCAACAACTTATGTCGTCCTTTGAGCTTCGGGGGTTGCTCCAAGGGTATCTGACCTGTTGAGGAGTGCGGACTGACTGGGGACGCAGCCCCCGATGAAAGAACAACCCTGTCTGTACTTGTAGCGGCCATGGCGTAGTGAGCGTATATAGATGCTAGAGCCTTTCCGGTCCAACCGGCGTTTTGAATTCTTTCTAGAAGTTATAAAACGGAAAGAGATGCTTCTGGATTATCAAAATCTACAGAGCAGGCTAAAATATGCTCCCTCGACGGCGGGAGCGAAATCGCGCAAAGGACAACCGGGGATTGGGCTATTAGACGGTGGTCATCGTGACGGATGCAAGCCCAGTTCCTGAAGTATATTGTCTGAATGCAATGGCAGCACGCGAACCCGATACGAACGCCAGAAAGTCCGTTCCAGCGGATGTAAGGGCCGCAGGGAGAGGCTAAAAGGAAGGTCGAAAGAGGATAGAGAAGGATTACCTGCACAAGAAAGAACAAGAGTCAAGAAGCGTTGTGGTCTTTCTCGGCTAAGATCTGTAAGAATTGTACCATGGGACCTGTTGACCGCGTAACCCGGGGGGCCGGTCAGTGCGGGAAACCCCAGCGTATGGACGTCGTAGGATTAGAAGAATGGAAAGCCTAGGCAGAATAAATACGTCACTTCGGTATCATTCCCACAGTTTGATCATAGTCTCTTGAGGGGAAGCAAAGAATTAAGATAGGTAAAGAGGGAACAAGTCAGTCGGACGAGAAGTCCAGAATCATTATTGTACGGTCGGACTGTCGTTTCGGTCAGCCGACTAACTGGCAGTTCTTACCGTACGATTTAAGCCACACCTCCACTCTACTGTTTTTCTATGTCAAAAAAAAACAATAAGACCCCTTTAAATTACCTACCATGTATCTAGGTTTCTTGTTCACATGGATGTAAGTAAGCATGATACTTTACCGTACCACTTGATTTTACTCTCCGCCACCACAATCTCCCCCTCCGCAGGCTTATCGGAACACTTATCGATTAACGATAACCCGAGGCCTTGCCCCACTCCGTGACTCTGGAGTGGGGACGTCTTTCCATACAATACTAGATCGGGAAAACTGTATTTTAACAAGAAAGGCAATACTCCACGAACAACCACTTCAGAATTACAGTAAGAAAACAACTAATAGAAATGGAAATAGAAAAATGTCTCAAAGCATTGAGACATGACACAAGATGGATAGAACAACATATGGTAACAATCCATTCCACAAATCGATAAAAGTACCTCCCTACGCAAGGAATTCTTACTAGACCCCATAAAATCCTCCTAGTTTCCCTCCACGCTAGACAATTCAACGCTTCCCAGGTACATACTAAAATATGACAGCGCTCGGGCACTATTCCCTAGGACTGACTAACCAATCCATACCAGGAACAAGGCCAGACCCAAGAGTACTGTAGTAACAGGTACCACCATACGGAAAACTCTCTTAAGTACACTAGGTACAAAGACCCTATAGGTGTGAAGAGAGTCTCTAATGTACCCACCCAACCATATTTCCTACCTAAGACCTACCCCTGTCCACAGACTGATCCATCACGGTCTTACCCAATAACGCCTCCGTAAGACGACATCCCAGCCACGGAAGACCATCGACGCAGTGGAGCAACCAACAACGCACCTGGAGTGTTGTTATTTTCCTCGCTGTCTAGCACAGGAAGGACAGTCATCGGTCATCCACGGTACAGTCACAGAGTTACTGCACAATTCCCAAACAAATAATGGATATGTACTGCTTCAATGCCAAAAGAGCAGAGACACATTGCAATATTCACGGACAGGAACCAACCCCTAGAGAATTCGATTGAAAAGTAATGTGCCTGGACCGAAGTGGGTAAGTCTCTTGTTTGCCTCCCACATGGGCGAAGACAACGCCACCCTGCGGGGAATCTAACGGCGAGCCATTTGATCCTGGTCCAGTCAATGTTGTTGATACTAACTTGGTGTGTAACTTTGGCGGGGGGGTGGGTTAGAAATCAGGGTGTCACTGCAGTGTCGGACACTATGTGTGGCTGAGACTGGTAAAAATAAATAAATACCAGGAAAGTCGGACGATGTATCACGTTCTTGTTTGGCCGCCAAGATCTTATTTGGTATTATCTGTCGTACTGAGTAGGGGTAAGCTATTTTTTTCATGTTGTTTACATGGCCCTTTTCTCAATTCACATTCGAAGAACTCTTGCTAGAATGGGATCTCTGTTACCTTATCTAATCCAGAAGATAAAATAAACGGAGACAACAAAAGAATCTGAGGCTAACTATTCACAACCCCCCCCGCCTTCCCTCCCAACAGTAACAACCATTGTACAATCCTGCGTGATGACACCAGTAATTACTCAACTTAAGAAGCAAGGACACCTTAGGCCACCGAGAAACTGAACACCTGAAAGGGTGGTCCGTTCTCCAGCCCACTCTACACTTCAGATGAGTAGATGATAGGTCATTCCGTGTAGGAATATTAAACCGACTAAGGCAGTAGACTTAAGGTAATAAATGTTGGGGGTCATTCCCCCGCTTTTTTTAATAAAAAGGGAAAAACCCCGCACTTTCTTTTGTGGAAATTAGGGAAAGTTGTAGTACGATATGTGTAACTTGGAACGTAGGTGGTTTAACAATCAATGTCCCTGCCAATATGCACAGACATGAAAATAGTGCCTTGGCAGTTCTTCCTTTTACCGTCATGGACTGGAAGGGAATTTTTGCATTTATCATATACTATCTAGTCAAGTAAACTCAATTATGATATGGGGGGTATCTTAGCCTCTATGGTTAATCCGTTCAATATGCTCGGGTCTCTCTTCTCTTTGTCTTCATCTTTCTTTGTTGGTGCTCTTTGTTGCCATGCCAATAGCCTCCACCATATCATTCATATATTTCATCTCCCAAAAGAAAAGATAAAACAGATATATCAGGTATCATACAGCCTCCCAGTCTCCTACCTCTATCATGTCTGGTCGTAAGAGCCGTCACATTTCAAATCATTGACGCGCTTTCCGTCATGTATATTAGCTGACTGGGCTTAAAAGCATACGAAGCAAAAGATAAAATAGAGGGAAGAAAAAGCAATGGAAATGATGGCTGTGCTCGTGAATAACACCCTCATATATATTTCTTTTGAGGTTTCCCTCCGTGTCCATAATTAAATGGCATGCCATGCATAATGCGTGGCACATAGGTATCAAAAAGACTCTATTCGCTGTCAGTCATCCATGGATGCTCTATGATTTCAGTAATTGTGAGACGGTTGTCGACGTCTCGGTCGAGCATCCGTCTGATCAAGTCAATGCAATCCTCCGAAAAGGGCAGGAATGGGATTCGAAGTGGGTGGTCGAGGATCTCGTCGACGTTGTAGAATGGATTTTCCTTGTAAACAATTGTATAAAGCAGAATACCAAGAGCCCAGATATCTTGCTCTTTGCCTCGGTAGGATTTGCCTTGAAGGACTTCCGGTGCCGCATAATCTTGTAAAGGTCAACACAATCCTACAAGGTAGGAGAATTGGGGGTGGTAGAGGGAGGGGGAACGAGAACGACTTACCAATGGTTCCCACAAAGACATCAAACGGGCCATTTTTGATGTAGGCGGCACTTCCGAAATCGATCAGCTTGATCCTGCCTTCACCATCGAGAATCACGTTCTCGTCCTTGATGTCGCGGTGAACAACCAAAGCTTTCGTGTGGAGGTGATGGATAGCATCCACGACCTGCCGGAAGATGCTTCTGCACTCGGATTCGTCCATATTCGCTTTTAATTCGATGTAGTCGAAGAGGTCCATCCCCGGGAGCCCGTGCGGCATCATCTCAATATAGTAATTAATGTCATCCTCGAAAAAGCCTTCCATCTCCACGATATTGGGATGTTTGAGACCATCTCGCCGAAGGTAATCCAGGACATGAATCTCTAACGGGACGGTGCCGAGGCGGCGGTCGCGAGTCCAAGTATCCACGAGAATCCTCTTCTTCGTGACGTACTTCAATACGACCTTTTTAGCTGTATTCCTTTTCTGCCGAGCAAGTTTTACTTCTCCATAAGCACCTTGGCCCATCTCCTCGATGATCACGTAGTCAGCAATTGTCCGTTTCGTAGGAGGTTCCTTCGCGTTAACCAGCTTTACCTCAGGAACAGGCTGTACAGGCTTGTCCGTGAGCGGTTCCGATGCTGCTTCACTGAGCTGCTGGCTTAGTGTAGATGTCGGTATGCGAGTCTCCACAGATGTCTGCTCCGTGTTCAACGGTGGTAAATGGGAAATCTTGGCCGACGGTAGGCTAGATGTAGAAACTACCGACGGGCTTCTCATTCGAGGAGATGCGGTACGAGGCGAAGAGAGGCTCGCTACTCCTGTAGCGTGAATCTGTCTCGAGTACGTAACCCACAATGCGTAAACCAGTTCGGCTACGGCAAAAGAGTCATTATGCTCGGAATCGGAATCATCCTGGTTGCTCTGGTTTTGTTCTTCCTGCTTCGGAAAAATAGTCCCGCTTTTGACCACGCGCAGTTGGACATCCACAGCAATCGCTGAGCCATCACGGTGATTGGCAGTGAGACCAGTGGGTTCCAAAAAGACCGAAGCAACGTTGGCTTTCCCCTCCCGAAGGATAGAGAGAGTTCGTGCCCGTCGGAAGCTGGGTTCAGGGATCACAATTCCATCTTCTAGGGGTACGTCCTCTTCCTCAGTAAGTACGGCCAAGTACTCGTCAAACCCGGGGATTAGCTCGTTGACGTGTAGTCCCTCTGGTCGCTCATAGCCAAATAATGCCGCAGAGAACGCTGAGTTTGAACTGATGACCTTCAGCGTCGACGAAGCAAGGACCATCATGCCGGCAACGTGAGGAAAGCTGGATATCCGCAAACTATCTGAAGCTTTATCTTTGGTGACAGTAACCGGGAAACAAGTCCCCGCAGCAGTCTGCGCAGCAAAGTACTTCAGTTCAGAAAGTTTTGCTAAACCCTGATCAACTGGACCATCTAAACACTCCTTGGGAAGGCGAGGAAGGATCTCTGTGATGGATATGCCAGGCTTAACCATGTCCCGGTCCCAGGCTCTGTCGATATCTCCATCGGTTTCTGTAATATTCCAGGACTTGTTGCAACGAATGTAGGCAACATCTTCTTGGATCTCCTCCATTACCCATATTAAGCCCCCACGCTTCTCCATGACCCAGACACTGGCAGAGCCCCTAGCTCCATTGCGCTTCTGGATCGGAACTACGTCGCCGCACAGCAGAACACCGCGTGATTTGGTGGATGGATGATTGAGGGGCGGTGGGGTGCGTGTGCTGGAACCATACCCATCATCGGTCTGTGCTCTTCTCGCTCGAGAGGGTGGTTTACTGAGAAGCTGAGCTGTGACACCATTTCCCATCCCCATGCATTTGGGGTTGACTGGCGTCATGCGGGGTCTATCTGGGTTGGACTGAAGCTTGGCCGCGACATCCGTAGAGGGATCTCGGAGCTTAGATTCCAACCACCCTCTCCGGTCTCTCTGTACGACTTCTAGGATACTTAATTTGCGGAGCTCTGCTTGTGTCACCCCAAATACGAGACATGACAAGTCATTGGCCGCCAATATGGTCCATGGGGCCCGAGACTCGGTCCTAAAAACAGCCTGTGAGACTGGAGTCCATTTGCTGCTATGCGTGTGTAAAGCGGGTACCGGCAGTCCAAATCCCAGAGTTGAGACGCTAGATGGGGAGAAGGGATCCACGGCAGAATAGGGTTGTGCTAGAGTTTCCATCAGCTTGCCCTGGAGGGGAGCAGAGCTCACATCCGTGTATGTACGTTTTAAGCTTACGCGCCTGGACGAGGGGGTGGACCTCCTGCCTCTCCTTTGAGTCGACACCAGGGGACCGGCTATATTGCTCACGGAATCCGACTGCTCAGCCATTGGCGCATGCCCGTGAGGCAGTTCCTTGATCTCGGCCATCGGACGCTGAAACTCGGAGAATGCTTTCTCGAAAACGTCGACACTGTCCACGACCGCCGGACCAGTCATCGGGCCCCGTGTGTAGTTATATCGGTCCTCCCTTCCCATGACGTTCGCCTTTGACAGCATTTCCACGACACTTTGGACCTCTGCGTCGCCACTTATGCGAGGCTGCGCATTGGCGATTCCGGAGCTGTTTGCGGCCCATCCAAAGCGGTCGCGCATGAAGTCTATGGACCTTTTTAAGATATTCTGCCGGCTTTGTAATAACTCCTCTGATTGTTGGGCAAATGAGTACGAGTGTAAGGATTCACAAGGGAACCGATGAAGATCCTCTAAGGCGCCTGCGTCATTCAACGAAATCCGAGTGGAATAGGTCCTCGAGGTTGATCGCGAGCGAGGTGAAGGTGAGTGACTTCGGGAGGTTACAGGAATTAGTGACGAGGCTGATATGTTTGGAAGCGTCAGGACTCGCGAAGGTTGGCGTATACGATCCAGGCCCGACGGGCCAAGTCCATGTTCATGTTCAATCAGGGGTGACCTGCAGGGGAGAGATTCTTTTCTTAGTGTTGTCTCTTGTGTTTCCGCAGTTGCATTCGGTCCTGGTCAACGCAAGGAGGTGTTTCTAAACCACGTACCTTGGAAGATGATCATAAGACGAAAGAGTTTCCACTGAGCCTCTCATTGAATCGTTTGTACGGCCCGAGTCATGTCCAATGAAAGGATCTGTCTCTGGCGATTCTGAGAGGGGACCCAAAGGGGACGATAACGGACTTGGTTCGCCTATTCACCAAATACAGTCAGCCCAGCGACTCAATTTCTCTCTGTTGGTTCACTATCTCAAAAAATGAAAAAGGAAAAGAAAGGTCCCTTCCGAACCACTGCACCGTGCCGGAAGGAGTACAGGAATGTTGCAAGTTCCAACAGGCACCATGGCTTGGCCACCAGTCTTTTCAATTTGTTCCTCCCACTCCTTTCCCACTGTTATATGTATACGCCTCCAGTATTTCATCCCTTTTTAATGCGGTAAACCGTTGATCGGTAGCTGTTATTAAACACCAACAGATCCGTTCTTCCCACCGGCAACTTCACCATTGTTTGAGACAAGACGACCACACACAAGGTAAAGAGTAGATTAGGATGGGACGAAACAGAAACAGTAATAAAATCAACAAGATTGAAAAGAAAAGAACCTTGACTAACCATCGGGATTATAGGAAGCTGACCCCATATTTTCCCCAAAAGGTTAACGAAAAAGCGACCAGTATCGGTCGGGCCGATTGCACTCGGGAGGCTTAAGAAACCGCGAGTATAAGGAGGAAACTAGTAAACTTGAAGAATCGGGTTTGTGATGTATACTGCTACATGGAATGGTAAAGCACGTTGACCACAAGTAGTTTGTTTTAGCGGGATGGACGGAGTATCCCCTTTTCGTGTTTTCTCTCTCCCTTTCTTTTTTCGCTTTTTGGGCGGGTTTGTTTGGAGGGGTTTTATTAAGAAATCGGCGCACTGGGATTCAAGCAATTGTTACCGCGATCGACCGAGAAATCAACCCACTTTTGCTTAACTGTGACTCTTTCTGTGACTCTCCAGGAGGCGAAATGAGTCGGTCAGCCGCCGAAAAGCCCGAACAGAGTTAAAGGGATGTCAGCGGACAAGGATAAAGAGTATGGAGAGAGAGCAGCTGCCTGGTGAGGTCACAGGTACCATCCGGAGTGCGGTTCGCGAAGGAAACGAAGCATGCGGGCGACTAGTTCAAGGAGTAAGTAAGTACGTACTCCATCGAGTATGTGGTTCGACAATTTGTTCGTGCTTGGCTCGAAAAAACAATTGGGAAACTATCGTTTCTTTTTCTTTGTCTCTTTTGTGTCCTTTGTCCTTCTTTCCTTTTTTTTTTTTTTTCTCTCTTGATTATATATGTATATTTGTTCTTTCCCCCCCAGGAATCTGTCTTGCTGTAGTGAAGGTTGAACTAGGTAAAAAAAATTTAAGTGTTGTTATGGGGCTGGGGGGATTCAAGCCACAGTGACATACAACCAAATTAACCAACTGGTTCGAGACGGTGAACAGACGAAAAGTGTTTTGGAAGCACTGGAGAGACTAGTCGAGAATAGTGAGGGGAAGACACACTGGTACAGTGGAGAATGAAGGGAGTTCGACTGGGTATTGTTTCGTTCTCTATGCCACGGTTTTCTATTCTTTTTCTTTTTGTTTGGGGGTTTCTTCTGAGATGTTTTTCCCCTTTCTGTTCTCCTTTTGGATGTATACAATACAACTGAATTTATTGTATATTAGGAAAAGAGAAAAAAAGGACTCTGGTTAAAGACAAGGGAAGTTGACAGAGAAGAGAAACTGAGGGGAAGGAAAGGAAAAAGGGGCGGTCCGCTACGGGAAAATGGACGAAGAAGAAATAAATGTAGAGAAATATTATTGGATTTATTTTAAATTAGTCTTTTTTATTTAATTCTTTTCCCCCTTCTGTAACCCAACCCGAAGTGTACTGTACGGAGTAATGCCTTAAGGGAACAGAAAATGTCGTCGTCGCGGAAATGGTGATGTAATTTTGCAGACGACTTAAGACGAATTCAGCCAAATGCTCCAAAAGCTGTTTTGGCCTCATTTTCTCTCCTAGGTGGGGCCTAATTTACAATTCATGCGCTTCCTTTTAGCTTGAATCACGGGTTTCCTCAAAAATCTCGCGGGACCGTAAACCTGGGGACCCTCAAATAGAGGAATCCGATTCTTTCTCATTCACCTTTCGTTAAATCTTCTTTAGTTCTCCAACCTTCGTTAGTAAGTTTCTAAACAGCCGTATGTCCTTTTCTTTATTTCTTGGCGGATCCGAAATCTCCCTCGTGGGACATCTTCGCAGTCATAGAGATGGACTGAGATCTTGGGACTGATGGAGTAGGGAACGAACCACAGCCCCTTCAGAGAGCTATGGCACAGACCAGCCAGTCATATATGCTCTGGGAGGCCTATCTGAAGGTTCATTCCGCATTCTTTTAAATTGCGGGCGCACCAGTCATGAATACTTTGCAATATCCCTTACAGCGGATTGCGCTCTTAACATTCTGTTCGTGGTCTAGAAAGGTTATACCAAATTTCAGTTTTAGTATGGATTGTCTGTTCTAAATGACCTCATATGTTTACGAATCCATAGTGTGATGTCTATGCGGAGGTGGCAAAGTCAGCATTGTATAACCTGCCGCGGCATGCGCATAAGGTATACTTGAGGAGTCTGCCCAGAGTAGCCAATAATCAATTCTGATCGTTCAGCATCAGTTCCGATACATTCATGACGACATAGGTGGGAGGACCCGGCTCTTTAGCCGATGGTAAATAAAACAAAAAAAAATAATGTACGGCTAATGCAATAAACACGATTGGGTATCGGGTTGAAGATGAGAAAGAGGGGAATAATGAAAGGTGGCCCAAGAGAAGGGGGGAAAGTTTACTGGTAGTCTACTGTCTGCTCTTGGGACCTCGAAGGCTCCGCAAGGCAAAGTCATCAGGTTCGGCATACGGTCTTCTTTGTTCTTCATCTCCGCTGCCGAACAGAGTATTCGGCTTGGTGCCGTGCCGAGTTTGTTCGGGCGGCACGGATGCCGGACTAACAAAACTAGAGATATGTCGACTACCACCGAGCATCCAAGAAAATTCAGACTCAGCCAATGACGCACGTGCTGCCGGTCGCAGTGGCAGTGATGTGGGAATTTGAGCTCGCTCATTGGTTTTGTGTTCACCTTCCACCGAGGATCTAGATGATGTTCCAGATTCCCCGACTCTGCTGGTAATCGACGGAGAGCGTTCGGTTTTGTCACTTCCCACATCCGATTGGTTATGGATCTTCTCGGGGAATGCTTCACCAGATGTGCTTTGGGGTTGAGTTGCAGATCGGAGAGGTGCAGAAGGTTTCTCGAGGCAAGTCTGGACCGATTGGACCTTAGCGAGAGCTTGTTTCATGGCATCTGCAGTAGCAGGGTCGAGCCCTTCTGCTTTCATCATACGAGAGCGGATATCATTCAGTGCCTGGCTCAATGACTTCGCTAGCATCCGATTGCGTTCCTCCAACTCTTGGACCTTGGTCTTCAACTGAGAACTGGTGTCAGATTCTCGGGCCCACTGCACATCTGAGGTACGGTTTATGGAAGAATCTCCATATCTCATCACTCGAGGGTTGTGTTCCGATTGAATCGTCTGCATGTTCCTTTTCGCCTCGCTCACTGCTCCTCGGACAGCTTTAGCAACGCCCCAAGCTTCTGTTCGTCGCTGAATTCCTTCTGAAACATCTTGAAAGAGTGCCTCAATGCTCTTGGGACTGTTTCTCGCGGGCGATCTGGAAGGAGAGCTGGCTTCGCTCATGTTCCTTGCATCGCCGCGGGGATGCGATTTTCTTCCGGAGAAGCGCCTCGCGCTTAGTTGACTGAGACGTTTCAAAGAGTCAGGCGGTTTCCCCGAGTACTTGGAAATAATAAAAGCGCCTCTATCGGAGGTTGGGTTTTGTTCTAAATATAATCCATCTAGCACAAAGCTGTACGGTTCGTGAGGGTGAGGAGAGGGATAGCGGAGAAGCATGGTTAGCACAGTTGAGGAATCAGCGGCTAGTACTATTTGCAGTCAGCAGGGAGATTATAGCACAAGAAAATCGAGCGACTAACATTGCCAGCGAATTCTTAGCAGCATCGCAACGCACACATAATCGACCAGCTCAGGCCGTAGCCCTTCGGAAAAGAGAAAATCCCAGAGTATAAGTACGTCTTCAAATGGAAATTCACGGCCAAATAAGAGACGCATCCATCGTCTTCCCAAAAATGGTTAGCATCGATGTTCGCCAAATATGGAGCATTACTCACGTAAGAAAGATTTGTGGCAGGATTTCCTGTGCCTGCAGATGATCCGCTAACTCTAAGTCTGTGGTCATTAGTAAATCATTATGAATATGTTCACATTGATTGACAATCGGGACAACGTCCATCTGTCCATTCGCCGATCGTTGTCTATTGTGCTCATAGTATACTCGAGTGGTTTGCATAACTGAACAGAACAGTGTAAATGAGTCATGCTCCACATGATTGGCATCAAGGAGCTGTAACATTAACTTATCGTCCTCCGCTGTATGGTGGACCCCTTCCTGGGAGGTAGCTTCGATTGCATCTCCGTCTAAAACCCATAGTATGGGCGCTAACAGCTCATGCATACCTTGGCGATAACCCAGGTCTGGGTTAAGCTTCGCATATATAAAGAGGACATCAGTCATCTTCGCCTTTGTCGCTGGTTCCCGGAAGAAAAAGTTTTCCTGCAAGCATCTGTCCACGTCTTGGGATATATCTGCTCTCATCTGCTCATCCTGCCGTAAAGTTTGCCAAGGAGACTAGAGCGAGCGCGCGTCAGAGGTACAAGTCCTAGCACACCATACCAACAGATCTCGATGTAGCATACCTCCTCATCATCCGCCAGCGGGTCAACAGCCGATTGCAGATCATCGGGATGTTCAATATACTTCATGAAATGGGCTTTCAGGGCCGCATAGGCGCTTCGGGACTCGGATATCCTTTGCGGCCATTGTGTGCGATCAAGGTTGTCGAAGAGTAGGAATGCCTACATCTCGGTGAGCACACTCGAAACCAATATCCGAATGGCCAAAAGCGCACACCTTCCAACATATTGATCTTAAACCATCGTTGCACAGCTTCTCTCCTTGCTCTGATCTCAGCGTCGTTCGGAGGTCGGAGATGGTGGTGTTATCGCGGAAGAGGAGACTCCATCGCTGCCTAGGGAAAACATAAACCGTCAGAGTTGGCTAGGGAGATTAGTAGCAGTATAGATTGTTTTACCTTGTATCCTCGATACCCCTCATTGCCCCATGTGCTGATCTGACTGTGCAGGGCAGCGATTCGTGGGGTGGGTGAATAATGGTGAAAGGATGCGAAGACTAATCAGGCGGTATTAACTGTGTTCTTAAAATACGATTTATGACGGATGATCATCCGTCGCCGCATAGTTGACCCGCCACAGGACTTGTCGGATTTCCCGCTTCGCTATTTGATTAAACAGGAATTTATTCTCAACTTCTATGTCTGCAGATTTGTTCGCGGAATTTGGGTTCGGGTCCCCTGCTAACCAGTCTTCAGGGACTGCATCTCAGCAGGCGGCCCGACCTACTAATCGACCATCCTCTTTAATACCCGATCTAGAAATATTTGACAATGCTCCTCCCATCGACGTCGCTACGTCACACTCCATCCAGCCACGCACACTACCGATCCATCTAAACACGCCCGTGAAGCATGATGTATCGCGTACAGCGGATTATGGCAACAACAGTGCCGTCCTATTTGACGCTACTTTGGAAGTTCCTTCCAACGACGATAGCGAAGACTGGGGAGAATTCGAATCAGCGGATACCCAGTCCGGTCAAGGAATACCAACGAGTTTTAAGCAAGGTCATGGAGATGTTTTCGACCGGCAAGGGAAGGGTCCGCACGCGCGAAAAACCGTCGTAGCGCCCAATCAGCTCGACCTATTTGATTTGTTATCAATAGAAGATAAAATACCACAAACCCACACCCAGGCTTCCAGCGCACTTGTTGACGGTACCCCTAGTCATAAAAACAGACATATTTCATCCACAACTCCGGACTTAGCTGAAGAAGAGGAAGGAGCTTTTGACGAATGGGGTGACTTCGTAGATGGCCCGCCTACGGATGCATCGAAGAGCGTTGGGACCCAAGGACCTGCTTCTAGGAAGATGGCGACCCAAAGCGCTAAGCCCGACACCAAACTAGAAACGAAAATTCCTTCAGCGTTCGGTGTATCAAGCAACAGCGTCTCTCCCGCTCGGATACGCCCGACGAATATACCTCCACCATCTGTTCTACTAGAGTTGTTTCCTCAACTATTTGAGAAACTCTGGAAGGAAGCCACTGAAGCCAGGAAGAACTCTCCGGAAAAGCAGGATATTGATGGAGTCGCGACGCTGATTCTCTGTACTTTGAAAGCAGCAGCTCGAGTCGTTGCAGGTCGTACACTACGATGGAAAAGGGATAGCATCTTGAGCCAGAGCATGAGGATCGGCCCTGCGCGCTCAGGGAAATCAGGAGGAATGAAGCTCAATACGGTCAATAAAAACGAGGATATCAAGGAACAACAGGAAGCTGTTGACGTGATCTCCATATGGCGTGACCGGACTGCCCTTTTCAATTCCGTGATCCAGGCATCTGGCAGACGACCAATTCATGTAATTCCCGCCAATATCCGAGCTATAATTGCCACCCCTGAACAAGGAGCTCTAAAAGCTTCCCACGCTTGTGCTCTTTGTGGGTTAAAGAGAGAAGAACGGTTGCCCAAGGTTGATGATCATGTGGAAGATAGCTTTGGAGAATGGTGGACCGACCACTGGGGTCATACTGACTGCAGACAATTCTGGGAGAATAACATGAGCTTACTCACTCGACGATAAATATATCCTGCAGTAATCCAACCCCTTGCCTTTATCTATGGGAATCTGAACTATTGGAATACTCCGCTTTGTCCTTCTCTGCGCCCGAGGTACTCAAGTGCACTAAATTGCCTACATGGAGAACAAGGTCATAGGACTGTCAGGTACACAAAACCCCTGTGCTTATCACTAATATCGAATTAGCCAATGGACACCAGCCCAGAAAAAAGACTATCAACATTCACGCAGGGTCAGGTGCCTGCAGATTTCGACATTACCAACATTGATGATGATGATTGTAACTGCCCCACATAGACTAGTCCTGTTGCGGATAAATGGATACATCGTATTATTACTATACAGGGTTTAAGGCGCCTGCGGGTCCTCCGATAACAAATGATAAGGCAGAGCAGGTCGTTTGGACAACTGACTTCAGTTTGAACAGAATGGAATTAGAAGGCTTGTTCGATGGACAGAATTGCAGTAGACCGTAGAGGTATATCAGGCTAAGTACTAACTAGTGAATTATAAAATATAAGTTTTTTTTTCTTTTTCCTCCCTCTCGTTCGGCATTCAACCGGAAGTTCCATGGGTCTAATACCTTTCAATTGACCTGATGCGGGGATCGGTTTTAGCTCCGCCATTCACTCAAAGAATAGGTCTATTCCTGTAATTTACATCGGGGGGACCTGAGGCAGCTGCCCGATGGTCAGCCTACCGCTCCGGACAACCACCGAATCATTCAAGTCTACTACCTGACTGTGATACCACCCCTTAACTATCACCCGACACTCCTCATTTCTTCCCTATTTCCTTTGTACTTCGTCATCGATCCCCTGATGGTAAATTTAGATTCATTGCCGTGAACTAGCCTCGTCATTCAATATTACATCTTGTCGTGGGGTTATCTGTCTCCCGCTTACTCTCAGCTAGTCGAACCGTTGCTACCTTGAGAGCGTCACTCGTACTTTTCTCTCCAGCCTCAAGGCGAGCTTATCTCAACTCCTACTAAGCCTAGAAGGGCAGAAGATTCTAGCCCATTTTATTGATCTATCTGTTCCCGACGCTGTTTCGAACTTTCAGACCTGATTTTCCTCCCCTCAAAACAGTCGTTGAAGGTGCGACCAGGTCGGGTTTCCCTTGCAAACGAAAACCAATAACAGGCAAGGCGGGGATCTTAGAGGAAGAAAACATCATTGTTCTTATTCTATTCCCTTCTGCCACATTTTCTCTCCATAATAGACCAAATCCGATTACCCACTGTCTTATCGCGCTCACATTCCAGGAAGGATACCTAGCTGTCGGCAGTGGAAAAAGGAAAGCTAGAGCGGATCATAATGGGTCTCGCATACAACGTCTATCTCACTTCCAATAAAATCTTCGGATGCAAGCAGTGCAAGACACACCTTGCGGACTATGATGATATCATCAGTCGAGTGAGTGCCCTTCCTCCTTATCTACTAGCACATAAGCCATGTCATGTACTAACTGGGTGCCTTGTCTCCTGCAGAACTTTCGTGGCCAGCATGGCAAAGCGTACCTGTTCAACAGTGTCGTCAACATAACTCAATCTGAAGCGGTGGAGCGTAGCATGACCACTGGGAGGCATATCGTTCGTGACATCGCCTGCAGACAATGCAGGGAAACGGTAGGGTGGAAATACGACAAAGCGTACGAGACCAGTGAGAAATACAAGGAGGGAAAATTCATCCTAGAAGAGGAGCTCCTGTGCGTGGTGTGCTAAGGTGCCTCCTCTTTCTATGAAGGTGGGAATGCGTCCCTACTATAAGAGACGTATGGTAGCATGCCGGATCTATTTACTGTGAGACTTCCGGAGAAGGGCTTGCAGCGATAATTGCAAAGACTGATTCGAACAGTGAGCGTTTTAATCCGTGGCGTAAGGCAAGGGCGTTGAATGGTGCATTATGTTCTGCTTTGACCGACTTTGAGAACCGGGTTTTCCAGCACGCAAGTTTTGGCGTATTTGAGGTTTCAGCTTCAATCCATACTGGACGTTATGTGTCATTCGTACTTCAATTCAGGATCCTGTGGAATCAATATCTTCCTTCAGCCATAGGGTTCGAATGATATGTGTCAAATCAACTCAGCTTTCTCCCGGTTATGTTTCTAGAAACGACCACATGAGGGCATTGGCTATGAGTCAGACAGAGCCTCCCTAGAGCCAGCAGCGAGAAAAAAAATATTTATATCGTGGGTTATTCTATCCCGGGGGAGTTTTGGGGACTTTGGAGAGACAGCCCCACAGTTATCATAAATCGAGGGGTAATGAAAACGCCGTATATCGGATGTGGGGGTCTTCGCTTCCCCTAGAACGGCACATTTTACTTATTCCAATGGCCCGATTCTGTTAAGAAGAAAGTTCCTCGTATGGAAATCTAAGTCAATGTACAATATGACCACGGAAAACAAGATGCGCGCGGTAGTATTCCACGGCCCTTATAAAGTGGCCGTTGAAGAACGACCAATCCCCAGAATCCAAGACTCGGGAGATATTGTTGTCAAAGTAACATACACAGCCCTTTGTGGAAGGTAGGGCAAAAGATGACTTCCCATCCTCTTCTATGCCCCAGAAGTCTCGAGCTATTGATGCTACACTGTCAACAAACAGCTGCTAACAATAGTAGTGATCTCCATACATTTCGCGGCATAGAACCCGCTGCGCCGGGATTTATCATGGGCCATGAAGTGACAGGTGAGGTTGTCGAGCTTGGGGATAGCGTCAAAACCGTCCAGAAGGGTGATATGGTCGTGAGTGCTTTCACGACGTCTTGGTAAGTAACTCATTGCTACGCGCGTTCCTCCAGGATGAAAGGATGTAAAATGCTAGAAACTTCCTATATCTGCTTAGATTCTCTCTGCGTATATACTAAAATTTCCCCCACAGCGGCGAGTGTTTCTACTGCAAGCAAGGGTTTTCTTCTCGCTGCGAGAAGAATGTTCTTTTCGGATGTAATCAACTGGATGGAGCACAAGCCGAATACGTGAGTAGCTCCATCATGTGTTTACAACCTGCCACACAGCTCTCACAGCGATGACCCCTGTCAGATCCGTATCCCAAATGCAGACGGCACAGTAATGAAAACCCCCGCAGGTGTCGAGAAAAAATACCTCGTGCTTATGGCCGACATCTTCCCGACGGGCTACTTTGCAGCGAGCAACGCCTTCAAGGGGTACACCCCAGACCAAATCTCTGAGCAGACAGTCGTACTCATTGGCTGTGGACCAGTCGGACTCTGCGCCCTAATCAATGCCCTAGAGTTCAAACCCAAGCATCTCCTTGCTGTCGACTCTATTCCATCGCGACTCGAGCTGGCGAGATCTCTTGGGGCCGAGCCCTGGAATTTCCAGCAAGACCGGGAGGGCTTGGACAAGCGGGTGAAAGAGTTGACGAATGGACGGGGCGCAGATGCGGTAATTGAAGTGGTTGGTTTAAGTCCGGCACTGAGGACTGGCTTTGATCTGCTGCGACCATGGGGGACGATCAGTAGCGTTGGTGTCCATAATGGAGAGGTGAGTATCCTTGTCTTATGCTACCGGTGTCATATTAACGGCTTTTAGATCCCCTGGGCCGGAAATGACGCTTATGACAAGAACCTGAGAATCCAAATGGGTCGATGCCCTGTGAGGTCGGTATCACCTCAAGCGTTGGAGGTCTTGAAAAAGAATCAGCAGAAATTAGGGTAGGTTCTTCTTATTCATTCTGTTCTCTCGAGCAGTGTTATTGCTGTTCCCATCCAGTGTTGATGATGGTAAGCACATCTAACAAACCGTATGGAAATAGATTCATGGCGGACAAGATCATGCCACTCTCTCGGGCTGTAGAGGGCTATGAACTTTTCAATGCGATGAAGGTGCAGAAGGTGATTTTTGAGGCTTGGAAATGAATGGAGGTAAAGGGAAGAAATCAATGTATGGAGAGGGTCCAGAGTTTGGTATACTGAGTGAATTCCTCGACTTTATGTAAATAACATGGCTACTCTTGAGATCAAGTGTTAAGAGGATCAAACCACTGAATACAATAGTCCCATAAACATCAATAGGTTCCTAATCAGAAGGATTTATCATGAAGAATAGGTATTCTAGATTTTCTTCTGTCGACCAACAATGGATGTTGAATATATTTAGTCCCGTTGAAGGGAAGGAAAACAAGAAGTAAAGATGGGAACAGATCAGAAAACCTTCACTATTTATGAGATGTTTCATTTCTCGTGAATAAGTAATGAAAACACAAATAAAAGAGGAAGTAAGAATGAATGAATGAATAAAATAAATGAATGGAATGAAATAAAATGAAGTCCAACTGCTTGTGTCTGTTGAGAAAAAGAGAGCCAACCAACCAAAAAAATAAACTAGACCCAAACTTCTCTTTTCTTCCGCTTCTCTCTTTCTTCTCTCTGTCTCTCGCTCTTCCTTTCCCTCTCTTCTTCTTCTCTCTTCCTCTTCTCTTTTACCTTTTATCTTTTCTCATCCTCCTCGATCTTCACCCCCTCAGATCCTTTACCTCTCTTCCTTTTGCGACTCCCTTCTTCACCTCCTCCCCTCTTCTCTTTTTCTCTCCCCTTCCTTTCTCCGCCAACCGTCGTCCCTTGCCCGATATTCCTCCACCTCTTCCCCCGCCCGCCGAAACCCCTCTGAAATCACAGTGGTTCTTTTTCCCTCTCCGTCCACTGCTTGATCCGTATTTGCCTCCCCCTCTTCGGTCCCCCGACCATCAATACTCTATATCCACGCAACTCCCGTTCTTTCTTTGTGCCACCTTTCTCATCCTTGGGTAAGTAATCGGTACCGATCAATTTGTCTACCTCATCGCGATGTCAACATCTCTTAACACCCCTCTTACCCTTTCGTTTAAAGTTCATAATCAAAACATGGGTGTTCATAGCGCCACTTCTATCTTTAGCCATTGCTCGGACTCATCAGCTAACTGGAGGGAAGAAACTTCGTTAAAGATATCCCGTCTTCCTAATTATTTCTTCGCTCAACCTGTCTTTTCGCTCTTTCAACATTATGGATTCCACCGAGCTTCACGATACCCCAGTTGATGAGACCATGACTGATGCCGTCAACATGGTCGACGATGGTGACATTGAGATCACTCCCAAGACCGAAGAAGAGTACGCCCAGTCTATGCTGACCCTCCGTGCGATCGTTTCTTCCAAGGAAGCTGGCGTGATCATCGGCAAGGCGGGTAAAAATGTTGCAGACTTGCGCGACGAAACTGGCGTCAAGGCCGGCGTGAGCAAGGTCGTTCCAGGTGTTCACGACCGAGTCCTGACCGTGACGGGCCCTCTGCAAGGTACCGCTAGGGCCTATGCTCTAGTAGCCAAGGGTTTGCTAGAAGGTGCCCCGCAAATGGGTATGGGTGGCATCGTGTCTAACAACGGAACCCATCGTATGTCTCTAGATTCCCAACCTTCACTGGATGGAAAACCCGACTAACGTATGCCAGCGGTTCGCCTTCTAATCTCCCACAATCAGATGGGCACTATCATCGGACGGTCCGGCCTGAAAATCAAGCATATCCAGGATGCGTCCGGTGTGCGGATGGTTGCCCAGAAGGAAATGCTTCCCCAGTCTACCGAGCGAATTGTTGAAGTGCAAGGTACACCCGAGGGTATCGAGAAAGCTGTCTGGGAAATCGGAAAATGCCTCATCGATGACTGGCAGCGGGGAACCGGCACCATTCTCTACAACCCCGCTGTGCGTGCGTCCGTTGGCACTGCTGCGCCAGTGAACCAAAACCTGGGCAATGGGTACAGCAACCGCCCCTACAACCGTACCGGCAATGGTGCCGACTTTAGCGACCAGTCCGGTGGCTACAGCAGACGCTCCAACCCCGACACATCCAACCGTGGTTATCCCCTTGTCACGGAGGACGGCGAAGAAATTCAGACGCAGAATATCAGCATTCCGGCCGACATGGTGGGATGCATCATCGGTAGAGGCGGTAGCAAGATCACTGAGATCCGTAGGAGCTCTGGTGCAAGGATCTCAATTGCCAAGGCTCCTCACGACGAAACTGGAGAGCGCATGTTCACGATCATGGGCAGCGCCCAGGCGAACGAAAAGGCTCTGTATCTTCTGTACGAAAACCTCGAAGCCGAGAAGACGCGCCGCAGCCAGCTTCCCCAGGAATAAAAACCTTATATCCATTGGCTTAGCCTGAGAGACACTGTGTCGGATCAGCTTCGAAGGCGCTCCTGATCTCTCTTTTGGGAGTTTCACCATGCTGCTTCTTTTGTTCGCGCATTCTCCTTTAATAATTTTGCTTCTTGAAGTTGTCTTTTTCCTTACTCCTTTTTTCCGTTATCCCATATCGTGCAGCTTTCTTGGTTTACAAGAAGCAAAGGGTTCGCTAAGACGGACTGCACTGCACATGCCTATTAGATACCAACCCTTTACGATCTATAGTGATCGTCTTGCTTCTAAGAAGTCGAGCTCGGGTCGCTAGCAAGCCGAAGTTCTTGAACCTGAACCGTTTTCCGAGCTTCTGGTTCGTTCCCTCTGGTCCCGCCTTGCCCTGCCGCTCCGTCTTTCCTCCCAAAAAGTGCTTCTCTACTCTTTCCTTCATCCCTTATTCTCTCGGAACCAAGTATTCATATCATATTTCCCTCGATCCTTCACCACCTGAATCGCGTGTCTTCTTCCCGTCTAATTGAAGTATTTCTCTCGAGCAACTTCTCTCCGCACCGTTTACGGACGCATCTATCTTGTGACCTATCCTGTTATTTCCTATATCTCCTTGATTCCTCATTTTTTCGACAGACTCATCCGACATGTATAACCAGACCCCGAGTATCTCACCCACAGTGGAGCATGAGGCTGAAGAAATCAATCTGAGGCAAATCTTGTCTGAGATCGTGACAGATGGCTGATAGTAGATCAATGATAATGACCTGTTTTGATAGCTAGGATGCCCTTGGTTATACTGAGAACACATTAGCACCGAAGCGGAAGTAAATGCCGTGCGGAGAAGTAAGAGAGGTCCGATGGATCAATCACGCGCAGGGTGATAGGTCTTAGCCGAATGACAGATTCCTGCAGATCTTATCTTGCATACATGTTACTAGTACGAGAAGGCGGCTCACATACACTTCTACACCATTTCAGGAAAAGCATGATTACGACACCCGATAAATCCATAGATCCATACATGCTCCTTACCTACTGCCAATCACATCTCTCAAGAGCACAGGACAATCAATGATAGCACACCATAGGAAATGTAAGAAAAAAGTTCACCCCTTACTGAACTACCTCAGATCTACCGAACAGAGTATTTCCACCAAAAAAAAATATGTAAAATAAAAAGGGGTGACAGGACACAGACCGTATTGTGTGTACATTTGAAAATAATCCACGCCAGACGGAGAAAAAAGTAATAAAAAGAAAGAAGAAAAACCAGACGGCCTAATCCAAAGATGGTCCAGTCGACCGATGTCGGAGACAATCCATCAGCCTAGGGGTTGTACATGTACAACATAGTCAAACAATGTTGTCATGAGGGCGCAAAAAAAGAAAGATAACAGGAAGGATAAAACAACGAGAACAGTCGCTCAGATAAGGATAGTAAGGCAAGTGTTTCATACAATGCATTTGTGCCCATGGAACCATGGTTTCGAAATCAGGTACAAGACAAAAAAGTTTTTTTTGTCATCGTAAGGATGTACACAGAATAGGTTGGATGCGTGGGGATACCTAGCATCAAAGAAAGGATGAAGGGGAAAAATATTAACAAATAAACTCCGGCTGATCCGTATCCAAATTTCAGACATGAAGTCGCTGCGTTAGATGAAAGGGCGTAAGCTACGTTGTTGTATTCCAGGCCAGATAACACCACATGTATAAACGATAAAGGGCGTAACGTTTCAATCAATGCTGTCGTCGAAGGAATTTACAGCACCGTCGGAGATGGCCATGGGTCGTTGCCGGATGCCAAACCTCCGTGTAGCCCCAAAACTGTTTGTTCTTGGGCGTGAGATAGGGGTATAACTAGCTGCCAGTTTGCTCGATGGGGCGATAATCCTGGTTTGAGATGGATCCTGCCGAGGGGAAATAGGTGCCTCGTCGTTGGCTCCGCCGGAAGTAGAGATCCCAGAAGGAAGCCCATACCGACGAGACCCTGCTTGGATGTTCGAGCGAGATGTGGTCGGCGTCATTAAGGTTCTGCGAAGCGGAATGCCGGACTGCGACGCAGTTGGTGTACGGGGTTGCGGCAACTGTGACTGTTGGGGTTGCGCTGAGTATCTGGAGCTCTGGTCTTGTTGGGATTCTGGCGTATGAGTCGACTGAGACGCAGCGTATCCATGAGAGAATCGCTGGCGAGGGGGAGCGCGATATGCGGGACCCTGACTACCAATATCGGTCATGCTTCTTGATATTGACCGAGCGTGAGGACTTTGATGTTCGACAGGTTCATCCTCGGCTTGCATTCTCCTTGCCCGAAGAGACGCAAGGCGACTTAGTCGGCTCGCGGGAAATGAAGAACCAGGCGACTGCGCCTGTTTGGCATCCGATGTTGTATCATTGACCCCGTTTACCTCATTACTATTGCTGCTGGGGGCTGCAACACTAGACCGACGAGCACCAAGGCGACTTGCCGCACGAGTGCTCTGCCGACGGCTTAAGCTCTCGGGTTCCTGAGCCGTACTCCGTCGATATGGTGTTGTTGGGGTCAAGGTTTCATCATCGGCACCAGTAGGCTGCTTCATCACCGTGCCTTCATCTCTGCCCGATGCCTGTTGTCTGCACAGCTGTTCATCCGACAACGCAAGACAAAGCTCGGTCAATCCACGACAAACACTGTCCGCTTTCCGTCTCGATTGTCTATCGGAGGGACCGTAACCGTTCGCGACAGAAACATTGCCAGATGGCGCCTTATTTACACTCAAGGCGGTAGACAGTGTTAGCGCATCTGTCGCAGTAGCTTCTAAGGCCGTGTATACTTCTTTGCTCAACACAACCTTTGCTTTGATCAGAGCAGATTGTAGAAGGGGGTGAACGGGGTTTGTGGGAGGTATAGATTCGGAATCAGGGGATGAGGTGCTGGTTTTGCGGCCGCGCTTTGGGGAGGATGAGACGGTTGTCACCGTAGTAGTCGCAGTGCGCGGTCGTTCAGCAGAGGCAGATGAAATGGCCTCCTGAGAAGATGGGGGGAGTTTCCCAGTAAGCTCTAACTTCCGGATCCGCGATTTAAGATCCTCGAGCTCATCCCAGACAGTAGAAGGTGCAGTAGTAGACAGCGTCGACTCTGTCCCATCTTGTCGGGGTCGGTCGGGCTCGGCCCGGGGTCGTTCTGTGGCCTCGGAACTGGATGGCTGCCGACTACTTCGAATTGTCGACAGTGTTGAATGGCGATACGATCGAGGATCGGGCAATGAGCCTCGTCTCTCGATAGACGTTTTTTCAGTCAAATCTTCTGGGCTGATCTGGCTTAGTCTACTTCTGGGTAGACCAATAGTGGACTTGGAGCTGGAGATGTAGCCGGAATGAGGCGAGCGGGCATGATCATCTAGCGGGTGGGCGGAAGCCGAATAGGAGTACGCTAGAGAGCTGCGTGGCTGGGATGGGGAGCCGTTGTTGGAATGCAAGGGGCTCTCGTAGGTATTCAGCCGAAGCTGATCAGGGGAAGATGTCTGTTCATTGGCACGGGAGGTTGAAGAGCGATGACCACTGCCGGACATCCTTAATCGCGACTGTAACATTTGCAATCTTCTCATCAGTTCACAGTTGAAAGGGGTTCAAAAATAGCGAGAAGCTTCAAGGGGCAGATGGGTCCATCAGAGATTCATTTGCAAGGCTTTGATCTGTTCGTTTGTATGTCCCGTCTTTGAAAGCAAACATGTCACTCACCCGTCTAAGTTCTGATCGTCCCAGAGATTCGCGACGGCTGGAGTCTGACTTGGCGATGTTCAGGAAGATGTCTTCATTTCTGGATCGAGAATCGTCCGTAACTGGGGTCCGAGTACCATCTTCTGGAGCGTGTTTGTCGGCACCGTTCACAGCGCGCCTACGATCATTCTCCTGAGTGTAAGTCGCGGTATACGATGGCATTCTCCTCTTCACACTTGGAAGCATTTGCTGGGCATAGAATGAATCTTTCCGGCGCTTCGTCGCATTGGGACTAAGTGGGTTGACGGTCGAGTCAAGGTCAGGAGCCAGCGCAGATTCGCTATCCTCCTCTAGGGCGAACCGGGGCGATGGAGGAAGAGAAGACGCCTCCTTGGAAGCGCGACCGTGGGACAGGTTAAAGGTGGTGACTGAGCGCCGCGGTCTGTCGTACAATAAAGTGCGCTGGGGGGTTGGCGTCGGGTTTGGGCCCGAGGGCGTGTCGATAACGGAGCTATGCGAGGCCAAGGTTCGCCTGCGAAGAGGCAACTGATACTCGAAACTGAATCGACTCTGTGGTAATCGGGGAAACGAGGCGACAGAAGAGTGGGGTTGCGACGAAGAGGCGCCAGGGGTTCTGGCCGGAGAGGAGGTCATGTCTTGAGCTGTCGGGGTTGTTGTTATTGTTGGTGAATCGCTGGTACCGGCGGTCGTTAGCGCGGCTGCGGTGCCCGCGTCACGGGGATCGTCCGCAAACATGGTGCCGGGACACTGTTGATCGAGACGAGCGAGATGAGACTGTTGCTGGGCTGGTAGAAACTTTGTCTGAACCTCCAGAGTATTGCTCCGTGGACGTCGTGCGGGATATTCAGTCAAGGTTGGACTCGCCAACGCCGAGTGGTTCACCCCGGAGTCGTATGCTAACGCCCTAGGAATTCGGACCGAATTAAGCTGCGCGTCTCTCTGTATTGCATCAATATCTGGATACGCCGCAGACACAGTTTGCCGTCGTTGAGGTCGAGTGTTTGAGTGGTTTTCGGCGGAAAGTGGGAGACCAGACGCTGGCGTCATCCCATCCACTAGGTCGTGGGACATCTGCATGCTCTGGTCAGGCATCCAAGACTTTCATGCACATTCCCTGGGAATCAATCAATCAAAATTGTTAAAAAAAAATAAGGTGAAAAACAAAAAGTCAATATTGGAAATGGATTGGTCGAGAGTGAGAAATTTTCATTCTAGTGGTAGTGGGGATCAGGGATCAAAGGTATCCTTAGTATGCGTTTTGTCCTACTTTTACCTCAGGAGTGGTCTATGGCCATGGCCTAAGGCACAGATATAATCTATATAAATCACTACGGTTTCCTATTAATAACCAAAGAAAAGCCCTCATTGTGTGGGCAGGAAGGGCAGGGGAAAGATCCAGCCAGAGGAGAGATAAAAAAAAAAAAAAAAAGGTACCAGGAACAGGAAACGAAGAACTCCCGCTATAAGGGTGGCTGGATTCCGCGACTGGAGACACGGTGGAGCTACTACTGCTATAACTGTCTAGTCCGGCTCCAGAACCCGGAGAAATAGGCGATTGACTTGACGTGATATCATTCAAGATAGGATTATGGACTTGATAGGTTAAGACTTTAGTAAGGTTCCAGCCTTACTTGAATTCTTCTCAACCCGAGTTGTTGATATTCTCCTACTCCGGTTAGATATATCCCATGCATCTTGAAGAACTTCAGGTGGAGAGTTTTAAGACATATGCGAAAAGGGGGTACGGATGAAGGAAAAAAAAAAAAAAAAGAAAGAAAGAAAGAAAGGAAAAGAAAAGAAAAGAGAGGGTCGGCACTAGACTATATTCAACTGTAGTATTATTATTTGGAAACAACTCCAAGTTCCTATAGCAACAACCACTCAAAGCCCTTCTCCATGTCCCCCCCAAACACTCTGCCTTTCCGTCTGTTTGAGTATGTTCACTAGTACCACCAACGTTTCGATACAGCTTTAGTTCAAACCACCTGTTCCAACATACCGGGTTTTAAAAAAATTACTCCATAAACTTCCGCAAATAAACACGATGATTCCCGGTTCTTAACACATAGTTATTCTAGCTAATCTTCTACCCTTAGGGGAAACCACATCCTCCATCCCCAGTCAGAGCGATCAAGTGTGCAATGTGATGATAGGAAAGACGGAAATGAAAAGAAAAATTCGCACTCTATGACAGTTGATGTTCGGTTGTTCGGATGTTCAGGTTAGCGTACTTTTCGCGATGAATATTTTGGTTCTTAGTATACCATCTCAAGTCTTCTCAATTCATTATACATCTCTATATTAGGCATTGAACAGTGATTATCTAGTTCATAACCACATAGCTCAAGAAGGATATAGCTTCATCCTTCACTCTTTTCTTTCTCTTCTTTTTCGTTGACGTAACGCCTCGCACAAAGCCCGAGGACGAAAACATACAGGCTATGCAGAATTGACACGTCTCGGTGTACAACCCCTCTTGGGAATATCGGTTCGAAAATGGTAGAGGAACACTACATTTCACGCAAGTGTAAGCGTCTGGGAACTTTCAACGATGGAAGAAGCCATATTCATAGCCCGTCCAGTGTAGGTGAAACATGCTGCCATAATATCGCGTTTAGCATTAATCTCGGACCACTACCAGCCGAAGAGAGAAAAATTTTTTTTTTTTTTTTTTTTTTTTTAGATTACTAGCCTGCTTGTGTTTGGGAGCAACATCGGTAGATATTTTTTACTCAGTTTAAAAAATCTGCATTTGTAGAGGTATGGCGGTGTCGCTGACCAGTCAGAAACTGGAAGCGTTCAAACGACTCCAGGCTCGTAGGCTTCAGGATGGTCAGTATTTTCTTGGTACGCTCTTTTATTTGGCTTATTGGCCACACTGGGAGCACCAAGGACAATATTTTTTAAAAGAAAAAAGAGGAAAGAGAGGAAGGAAGTCCTGAAGCAGCGCTCGACAGACTTATTGCAGTCAACCAAGTCATCGAATGTTACAATGGATTCAATTCGCTTGCGTCGATGCCCCGGACACAATTCTGATAACCTCGCATCAGAAAGCCTCGTGATTGATCTCCTGAAACGTGTCCATGACGCTGTATGCAAGAGAAGAAACTGCTCCTGACCAGATCTCGGATTCAAAACAAGCAGGGCTCGCTTATGCAACGACCACACAGTGGTCAAGTACTCTGCCGTTACATATATGAGTGTACTTCGGAGTATCAGATGGACAACCATGGGCATAGGGCTAGGTATATGAGTAAGAGAAATCCTTTAGCCCGTGTGGTGGTGTGAAACACCAGTTTTAGTACTTGGACAATTGTACATTTCGTTCAGTCCCCAATGGCGTAAATTATGTGCATTTTATACATCAGATCCAAAGATAATAATCGTAGGTTGCATGTATGAACACACAATAATTAGGATGTGTATTGTTATCCGTGGTTCAATCAACTGTGGATCTAGGGCAGAACTAGATACTTATCGTGTCCGTGGTACGAGTCGGCTAACAGTGAGGATATGCAGCAGTTGCTACCGCATACATCTCCACCGAAAGAAGGAAAAAGAAAACACCTCGTGGGCGAAAATGAGGAATTCCCTCGAACGAATTCTAAATTGCTGCCTGGTTGAGCAACCGGGCGTTGTTCTGGATCTGCTTCTAGGGAATAACATACCTGAGGAAATGTCTCAGATCGGTTAATTCTTGGGTCTACAACTGGAAGCACGACACGAATAGAATAGAATACATAATGGCTATATTGCTCAAATATATGAATCACAAGATAGTGCGATGTTAACGGGTCCTGTCATGAAGGCTAGATATCTGTACGGGTGTCATACGCACGCCCATATCTAGTCAGTCTTCTTTGACTTTTGCACTTGGCCCCTTCGGGTACAAAGCCATTAATTCCCTTGATTACCATGGCTCGGATGCATGTGCTCACAGGAAATAATCGTTAAATGCTAATAAAACGGTTTGATGAAACAAACTCCACAGCACTCGACGTGTCACCGAACCGGAGGCCCAAGTTTAATGGTTCCCGACGTTGGGACGAGCTGTACTCCGTACGGAGGGTAAGTGTGAGTACTGGTTGAACATTGCAGCCACGTGGAATTGAAAAAGTCAAGTTTCGAATAAACGCGGCGGTGCGAAAGCACTGATAATAGCAGTGGGCCGCAATGAAATTTCAATGATTGACAGTGGACTCTTATGTGGGTGTGCAAGAGTATACTATGGATTCTTGCGGCAAGTGTGGGTATCGATGGCCTCAACACCGACAAATAGTCGAAGCAAAGCCAACACACGTTAGTGTCCTTTGATATTGTCGAAGGTTGAAGAACGATATGATTCCTTATAGCCAATCAAGGGACCATGATTGGCGATGGTCTGCCTCCTCTCATCATTTCGAGTGTTGGATAGGAGTTGGAACTAGACCTGGGACAGGCGGGTGTCGCACACGTGACCCCCACTGAGCTAGGGGCTTAGCATTTGTTTGGGGTGTTTCAGAAACACCTGAACTCCTCCTCCACCCATTGGATTGAGTTAGCGCGCGCGAGCACTCTGTGTGTTTCAGCTGCGCTAACGATCCAAGTTTATTAATTACACTAAAACCGATTCGGGTCTGCCTTCCGGGATTCGCTGGTGTGTCCGCAGAGAAACACTGCTGAATCCGAGTACCTCGCCTCTAGGATGGTAGCGAATCAGCTTGTTGGACATCATATTGTCCTCTACTTGAGTCCGAAACAGTTTGACATGGGTACCTAACTGAGTTCAGAAGTTCGTGACCCGGACGATGCCCGCGTATGTTCTCCCTCGTCCCACTCGCCAATGATGAAAAAAGAAAACAAAAAGTCCACAGCTTCTAGGGGCGCGCCTGGGGCGATGATGAATCAGATTGGTTTGGCCCCAGTCATCGACCTTCCCGTTTCACAATTTCCCTTATCCCCAGAGCCTCTGCACTAGTAGTTGGCTCCACGCCAAATAGAGGTCCCTGCTGAAAAAGTCGCCATCTGTATGTAGTAAAATAGTGTCCTCATCTCTTGTCACTCTCCTTCCCGATTTTTGTTTCTCTTTCTTTGATTCCTTCATCGCTGGGACGATTCACGTTAAGCATTTCCTTTCTCCAACGACGCTCTTTGCTACTTCTATCCCCATCCGAGTAAGTTCTCACTTTAAGCCCACTGTACCCTATTTCCTGCAATTATCGGCGCACCGTGCACACCCCAGCGGGTCACCTCACGCTAATCTGGAATTCTTAGTACAGTTTAGCTGTTGGACGTATATACACTCTTGTCTGCCCATTCAAACTGGTTTTGGCCTCGTGGGATTGAGCAGATCTCTTATTTTTATCTTTTTCGGTGTCTCTTCTGGAAGAACCTTCAATTCTTTTGTTTTCTTTCCCTTTTTCTTCTTCTTTGTTTCTACGGTTCCTTTGCCTTTTGTTGGTGTGACGAGCTCATCTGTGGTCTGTGATTTTAAGCGCCGTGACAACTGCCGCATGCAAATGAAAAATCCTGTTTGGATCTAGTACCACTCTGGCATAGGCCACTTCCTGGGACTATAACAGCCTGATCCTGTTGAACTCAAGGATTTTTTTGGAAGAGAAAAAAGTGAGAGAGTGAGCCTTTGAAAAAGACAACACAAAATTAAAAGGTATGTATGGAATTGTCAATGGTGTGTTTTGGTTATTATGGCCAGATTATTATTGTCCTTTTTGATGATCTCCTGATTTCGGTCGTTTGCACTTTACTATAGTTAGTCATTTCTGTCTTTGTTCGTCCGGTTCCACCAAATTTTCCCTTCAAGTGGTACCAATTGTGGAGCTATTTTTCGTGTTTGTTTGTCCATTTCTTTTTTTTTTTTTTTTTTTTTTTTTTTTTTTTTTTTTTTTTTTTTTTTTTTTTTTTCTTGTCAACTTTCCCCTTTTGCATTTGACCCTTGACAAGAGGTCCAAAAGAGGAAGAGAGAGGAGGGGGGAGGGAAAAAAAAAGAACCATGATCATGAAAAGCGACAGCGCTTCGCGTTGCTGATTACGCTCTGTGGTTTCTGATACACATATGATTTCATTCCTCCACCCCCTGTGTTGTATCAGAAGCATACCCACTTACCCTTGCCCATCACTTCCTATCCCATACACCTTCCTTGACCCCAAGGGAACATCACTGGCTGTTGTGGGTGACTGGGGGAAAGACCAGTACATACCTGCTTCTCTCCGACTGGGGGGACATGCCAACGTTGGGATGAAAATGGCATCTGATTTGCGTGCTTTTGGCGCCCGTGATACACATTCCAGCCTCCCAGACCAACCCGGGCGGCTAAATTTAGAGCTGCAGGCGATGGATGTTCTGCTTCCCTCTGGTCTCATTGGCTTCCCACATCTGGTTGACCGGAGTCTGTCTCCCTCGATCCCCACTGCAGGTGGTCCGATGATTGGGTCGCCGTCAGAAACGCGGGCGGACGGTCCCAATCACGGCCTCCGTCCACTCCCTTCCCGTCCTCTCAAACGAACTACTGCTAGAGCAAGTGGTTTATTCTTAGTTATCGTTTAGTCGCAGTATTACATGCTGCAACATGAACCTCTTACTCCCCATTTCCCTTCACCACACACGCACCACGATCTCTTTCCCTCCAGTCGTCTTCCTTTCCCCCCTCTTTCTCTCTCTCTCTCTCTCTTTTCCTCTCTTTCCCCCTCTTCCCCTCTTGGTAGGGTACTTCGCTAATCGACTTTTGCCCATTACTTTCCTTTGGCTTGTGGGCAGTCGTTCTTTTTCTTCCCTTCTTACCCTCCTTAACCCTACTTGATTCCTGCACTGTTCCTTTCGTCATTCCCCGGAGGAACGACTGCTCACGAATACCGGGCGGCAAATCCTCTTCACATTTTTACACCTCCATCCCAACAATTAATTCATTGGATATTTTTTTCCTCTTGCAGTAATTTCTCTTACACTGTGTCTGTTTTGAAATTTTATTTTCTTATTTAATTTTTTTTTTTTTTTTTTATAATTTCTTGCTCTCCTTGACTCCGTTTTATTTATTTGTTTTGCTATTGTTATTTATTTTTGGTTCCATTTGATTGTTCCCTGTTGGCACTTTACACCACTGTCCTTTCCTTCATATCACTGACATATCGTCAAAGAGGTAACAGACCTCGTGTGGCATTCTCTGGTATGTTCACGTCTTTCTTACATTCATTGCTAGAGGTCCATTCTTCCTGCGCGCTCCCGTACATACCTGCAACTTTCGTCTTTCAATGCTCTACGCCCGTGGCAACAGCAGGATTTGTTCTGAACCCAATAAAATAGCTTTCTGGCTTCCTTTTTGTTAAGGTTCAGCTCGCTCGACCTTGTTTCACCCTCCTTGCAGCTCTGCTTGCCCAGTTCTTGCCGCCTGGACTTCTTTACTTTCCAAAGTCGCAAAGCTTGAACATGGAAACTGATTGTGCTCTGTCGAAAAGGTCATTTGCTCTGGTAGCAAGTGCGACACTTTCTTCTTACTACCCCCCACCTGGATGCAATAGTTGTACCGCGGTTTTTGCGCCAGCGTTTTGCGAGAGTTGTATACCTGAAAGGGTATCGCCTTTCAAGCGCAGGTCGGTTCTAAAGTCTGGATTCATCATGCCCGTTCAGACCAGCCCACCGACAGTACCGGATTCGTTCCCATCCTTTATGTCAGTGTTTGGTGGGAGACCACCCTGTCTTGCCGACAAAGAGGAGCAGGCGACATCAATTAAACCTCTGCAAGTGCCTACTAATGTCACTGTTAATACGTCACGACGGCCCCTTCCTTTTCAGCACCGTGAGAGCATCTCATCGATGACATCAGGCTCCACCGATTCTTCCCCAACCACCACCATCTCCACGTTCGATTCGCCTTCAGGTCCGGAGACATCCCCCAGTTCTTCGCCAGAATCGCCAACGTCCATGCCATTGTCGTATACCAAATTCATGCCGCCGGCGCCCAATGCTGAGAGCAACTCGCTCTCGGCAGCCCATAACCACCTTTCCAAATTGTCATCAGACACACCGAATCCCATGCGCCCGGACTCACCCGGCCGGCGGGCACGAAACCTGAAGAATCTATCTTTGAGAATGCCTCCGCCTTCACAATCTTCCCGTCCTCCCATTGCGACAGCGTCAGTGGTTGAGACAACCTCTCAACACCATCTCTCCGCGCCACCGTCGCCAGCGCATATTCCCCCCAAGAGCGCACGACGGAAACCGGCAAATCTCACCATTCGGACCCCCGGCTTTGATAAATCTTTTTCTAGTAATATCTCTGAAGTTCCACCTACTCCGGTCTGCCGGCAACCTTTGCGACATACCGAATCTTCACCATCTCTAAATTCGATCTTTTCTCCCTCATTTGGTCCCAAAGGTGGCATGCAATTACCCCGACCAATGACCCATCACGGCAGTCGGCGACCATCAGCTCCCTCGGAGGATAACCCATCTCCCTTGCAGCCAGTCTCAGACGAGAATTCAGTTTCCGGTGGGGTGCTGCATGAATTGGAGGAAGAGGATGATCATTTAGACTCGAGAGAGTCCACTAGACGTAACGAACGTGGCTACCCGAATGGGCCCATCCAGATCTACGACTCAGGGGTTTACTTGTACTTGGAACCAACAGTACAGGAAGCTTCTCAGTTTGACGTTGTCGTCAATGTGGCAAAGGAAGTAGTAAATCCGTTCACCAACACAACTGCCAACAATGGGTCTGTCATGAGCATCCTTCGCAATGGCTCAACATCCTCCAAGCCTACATCGACCGAAGTTCCCGGAACAGCCATGTCGGAAATTTCCTTCAAGTCTGCATTTGAGTACCCTCCAAATGAGTCGTCGCTCCAAACGCCTCGCAACAACTCGTCCGAGCCGGAATATATCCATGTGGGATGGGACCACAACTCGGAAATACTCGATGATCTGTACCCCCTCTGCGAGCTCATTGACTCGCGCATCTCACAAGGGAAGAAAGTTCTTGTCCATTGCCAGTTGGGTGCCAGCCGATCGGCCTCGTTGGTCATCGCATATGGTTTATACAAAAATCGGCATCTGGATTTCAACTCTATGTACGAAATCGTGAAGGGACGGAGTCGCTGGGTTGGGCCTAATATGAGCCTTATATACCAACTGACTGATTTCCGTTCGCGGTTACTCTGTGGTGGCCCTTCAAAACCCGCGCCTGAGGAGTGGTTTGTGGGAGGACCCCGGAGGTGTTCGGAACCTCAACCCCCTCGAACAGAGACGTCGAACCAGCCCGAAATCGTCATACCAGCTGACAGCTCGGCCACGGGACCCATCTCGTGCGCTGGTCTCTCACAGGCATCGACGAGCTCACTCTCGGTGCCCTCGACGAATCAATCTACACCTACTTCCGCGGAGAGCTTAAGCTTTTCCGGAACTGTTACACAGAAACGAAGTCTGTCTCCGCGACCATTAACACTACGGAAATCCAGCTTTCAAACCGGTGATTCAGCAGTTCGGTCTATTCGTCCAGAGTCCGTATTGAATCCATGGTGTCCGCAAGGCGGACCTTATTCTTTAGCAAAGACGGATGTCTTCGTGCGGGATGGCCCAGAACAACCACCCGCTCTCTTCTCACCTAGAACTAATGGTTTCCTGGCGGCACCTTTATCACAATCAATCTCTAGCCAATTGGAGAATAATGGGATACATGGTCTCCGGTTCGGGTCCCGAATAGCGGATCCTAGGTCCCCTCCCCCAGGAAATGAGCGTGTGATCATGAGGAATATTGACGAATTTTTGTAATTCATCTGGCTTGATGTTTGTGATTTTTTTTTTTTTTGGGAGACGGAGTTCCCTTGCGGCGATCGCTCAGCGAACACGTCCTTGAAATGATTCTATGACTGTTTGACATGCCCAATTTTGAGGCCTACTGTCGTTTTTCCAAAAGATTTTCTTAACTACCGGTTTCTTTCCCTCCCCCCCTCTTCACTTTTCTTCAACCTTTCTTCAGTTATTTTCCCTTGGCCTTTGGGCTTCTATTCTGATGATCTGATGACCAAAGCGGGCTTTGCCGTCGTTATTTTTCATTCTACAATACTTTCGCTAATTGGCATTTTCATATCTGTCAACCAGTGGCTTCACATTACGTGTCTGAAGGGGTTGACTCGGCATTGCATGCTTATTATCGGCGTCCGGTGTGTTATTAAAGAGATAAAGGTGACGAGGACTCGTCCCCAATAACCTTGTAATACTATTATTAGTTGGGGTCTACACTTTCGCTTCGATGTTTAGAGGTTTCTCCATCGTTTCCATTCATTTTCATTATGTCTTATCACACACTCTTTATATTGACACTGTGATGGTTGCGTCGCAGTTCACGGCGAAATACCCATGAGCTACTTTATTTCTGAATACAAGGATTTACTCTTAAGTACACATTATTCCGGGTATTAGAGTAGAAAAGTTGTAGTAGACTGGCAATGTTTCCAATGCAATTTCAAGTCACGGAGTAAGAATTCCGCGGGAACTAAAATGGTCTTCCGCTCTCAACTTCAACGTCATTTGAATCATTCCAACAAAAAGTCCACACCTACCCATTCAGACTGTTTCTATAAAACAACCCGATTCTAGAAAAATGGCAGACGACAGCCATCCAAGCCATCTCTCACCCAGCGAACTAGGAACAAAAGACTAGTAAGTACCAGATACATTATTTCTACCACGGAAAAAAAAAGCAGTACCCCGCTACCCCTCCACTATCCTAGCCTGCAATTCCAACAACAAAAAGAGAAAAAAAAAAGAACAGCAACCCCAATACCCCAAAAGGAACAACCAACTAACCAAAAAAAACCCAGCTGGGAAACCTTCTATGCCCGAACCCTAACACACATCTCCACAAAACGCAACAACAACAACAACAACAACAACAACCCATCAACCACTTCTCAACCCATCCACGCCCAAGCCGACTCTGACGCCGAGTCTGTCGACGATGACGACGACCCCGGCACATCCTGGTTCTCGGAACACAATGCGCCGGACAAGGTCCTTCAATTCCTGACCTCAGACGATTTTCCGCTTGCGCCGTGCCATACCCTGGCTAAGAAGGGACCACAGCCCACCGTCCTGGACCTGGGGACGGGGAACGGGAGTATGTTGGCGCTTTTGAGGAAACGGGGTGGGTTCAGGGGGGGTATGGTTGGGGTAGATTATTCGGCACGGAGTGTGGAGTTGGCAAGGGAGTTGCAGAGGTTGAAGATTCATTCGGCTTATTTGACGGATTCTGAAGAGGAGGGAGGGTTTAGTGATGATGAGCAGCAAGAAGCGAGGGAGGCTGGGGGGGAGGGAATGCAGGAGGAGAGAGAGATTCGGTTTGAGGAGTGGGATATTTTGCATCATTCGGCGGATGGGTTGAAGGAGAGAGGCACGCTGGATTGGTTCCCGTATGAGGAGGGCGGGTTTGATATTGTGCTTGATAAGGGGACGTTTGATGCTGTGTCGCTTTCGGAGGAGGTGGTGGAGGAGGGAGATGCTTCTGTTGCGGGGAAAAAGGTGCAGCGACGGGTTTGCGAGCGGTATCCTGGGATTGCGAGGGGGCTGGTTCGGAAGGGTGGGTTTTTGGTTGTGACCAGTTGTAATTGGACTGAGGAGGAGTTGGTTATGTGGTTTACAAGGGAGAAGGACGAGTGGGACCGGTTAGAGGTCTGGGGACGTGTTGAGTATCCAAGGTTTAGGTTCGGGGGGAAGGAGGGTCAGGGTGTTTGTACGGTGTGCTTTCAGAGGGTTTGATCATCTATGGATGTTTTGTCATTTTGATAGATAAATAGATATATAGATAGATGCAGTGTATTTAGTGTCTATCATGCTGGATAGTCGTCACGTTCATCAGTCATGATGTATGGACCTGTAGGCATATTCCTCAACTCATATATCTGTTTGAGGGCATGTCCCTGGGGACCAGAATCCGTATACTCCTACTCTCCCTTCCTCCTGAGGAGAGCGATTACACACCATCTCTTTCGGTTCTCGGGGCCTTCTCCCTCCCGCTCAGGTACCCAGTCCCTACGGACTTCCCGCCCGTCTTCTGTCGTTGAAATCAGATCCCTCTCGTGGATCTGTTCAATCTCTAGACCCATGTCCTTGGCCGTTTCAAAGAACCCAGCCACGATGGCTCGCCCTGTGTGAAAGCAGGCAGCTACCCAAACTTTGCCGCCAGGCGCGAGGAACCATTTCATCGTATTCACGAGGTTCTCGTGCTGCGAACGCATCCAGTAACAGTCCGCAGCGATGATCCGAGTATAGGTGCCTTTCGTCTCGACTGCCCAGGGATCACTGGCGAGCGCTCCCCACTCATGGGGTTTGATGGTGACATTGGCGGCGGGGGAATATTTACGGATATTGTGATCGACGTTAAAGGCGATGGCGCCAGTAAAGGCGGGAGAAGAAGGATGGTCGGTGATTGTAACGGCAGATGCTTGCGCAAGGGCACAGACCACAGATGGCAATGCGGCGCCTGTAGAATAAGGTGAGGCCAATATATTCAAGGTTACAAGGCAGAGGAGTATGTGAAAGACGAACCGGCACCCAATTCAAGTACCCTCTCCCCCGCTACCTTCCACATTGCCGTGTCAGAATCCAATTGTCCCAAGGACGACAGATGATCTGCCTTTTCGACGCCCTCTGCGACTACAATGGCAGCGCTCCAGAGAAAGTGTGCGAACAGCTTTCTTCCTTCATCTACCGGGTTGGACTGCCCGTCTTCACGGGGAAGACCTGCTGCTATCTCTTCCGAGCGATTTTTGCTCTGGTGGGGGTAAGAGGGGACCATGATCTCCAGGTCGCCATAGCGTGGGGAGCAGTAGAGGAGGTGCTGTCCCGGATCGCCATGGAAAGAGGGAGCATCATCTGGGAAGAGATGAGGGAGAAAAGCCGAGAAGAGATCCTCAGCAGATTCGTCTTCGATGGAATCCTCATCGTGGAAGTCAGGAGGAGGGGCTGATGGAGAGGAAGATGGCGGCCTATGACGGTGGGGGAGGGCCCGGATGCGGGAGTGGAGCATCGTGAATTGACTTTATGAGGCAATAGACCTCAAGATTGGTATCTCAGCAGTAGGATGGCTTTTCTTATAACCTATCGTCAACATTCAATTCCGTATCTTCCTATTCACAGTTTTGATAGAATAGTTGAGACCCAACGCTTCTGATTGGCTTTGGGATAGGCGGTCGAAATTAATGTCGGCAGAATACTCCGCCTGCAAGTCATGGTCACATGGTTCACATGATCGGGCAGAATCTCGATGCTTGATCCAGGGATTATCCTAGCATTTCTGCTAACAAGATAGTGGTCATATAATACATATCAGGTTATAGACCAGCACAAAGCCGTTTTCGTAGATGACTGTGGCCATTCACCCGGGTGGCCTTGTTTGGCCCTTGACTGAGAAAGATGGCTACCTGATACAGAACCACCACATCGTGACCCGCTGTAGACTTGGACATCGAAGGAACAATATCAGCAGGAAAATCCATCTAAAAATTTGTTCCTGGGCTGTGCACTAAGGCCACTCTGATGTGTGGCGCTGAGAAGATCAAACACCGCGATCCCTTTTGTTACCTTGCCGCCATAGACAATGAGATCAACCGTTGCTGCGCTCCGTCGACGAAGTCGAAGTCGAGATCAAGATCTTGAGGGTCAAGGATTTAAGTGATATTGCGGGCCAATTCAATGCGGTTTTGGCAGTGAAATTGACATGGAAAAGAACGTAAGCAACCAATGATGGACAACGCTGAGACATTCCTTCAAGAATCGCCCGCCGTCTTTGTCATTGTCGGGTGGAAATCTGTTGAAACTTATTGTAGTGCGACCGTTGAACAGAAGGGCGACTATTTGTTTCCTTACCCATTGATACCTGGCATCTTGTGCTACATAGATCTACTTATTAATCCAACCCATAAAAGAACAGAAGGTAGTAAGGTAATAATGACCATCCATGGAACCAGGGCTGAAGGAATGCAGATTAGGGTCTTACTACTCAGTCAGAGGCATTGGCCATGTGTCCAATGACCTGTCACCGCAGCTGGTGAATTGCACCTTAACCCAATAGGAACATCAGTACCTCAACTATTGGACGTGCCTTACTGATGGGGAAAGTTAATGATAGGCAATTAAAACCCCCCTCTGTACCTGAACGTACCTACTAAGACTCTAAAGAGAGATCCATAACTCTCAGCGGTAAGATAAGGTCTTTGAGGGGGCAGACAAGAAGCGGTACGTACCGTATTGAACCGAACCATACCTAAACCATCAAGTCAGATTATGCCCATTTGTAGGGCAATGGGGGCTGGCTGTGCCATCTAATCATACGGTAAGATACGGTTATGAAAAATGACATCATGTACCCACTGGCCAGGCCCTAGACCGGCCGATGCGTCGATTTCTGCGTATTACGGTATGGTCACCGGGACGGAGTACAAGACAGATCACCCATGAGTGATTTCTTTTGGGCTGTTGTTGTTAACTGTATTGCCAGCGGTATATGACTGACTGAATTTGTATTGTACCAGACCTAGTGCTAACTACTCGTAAGTAGCACTTAAGTGCCAATCATTCTGCTTTCTTTCTTTCTTTTTTTTTTTTTTTGGATGACTGAGATCGTTCCTATGAAGAGGTTTCTAATTAAATTTCCCTCCGAAGGGAAGGGGGAAGTTCTGCAGTTGTCAGAAGATCGCCCTAGCTATGGCCAATTATGTATTTATTGGATTGAGCACTATCTGGTAGTATCTCCTAGCGTACTACTGCAAAATAAAATGTTGCCTGAAAAGTTGGGTATACTTATCTGCTGTCCATAACAGTTACCATACAGCATGAGCAGGTGACCATGCAGTCTTCCCACCCTCACTGACTAATTCAGTTTTATAACCAAGGCTAGTATTAGCAGATTATACAGTAGAAATTCTTTTTCCTTTTCCCTTCTTTCTTCTTCCTAAGCTGGGAATAAAACATTACTGTTTCAAAGTTTTTCAAATTTTTTGGCAAGTCCCTTTTTTTCCAGGCGTACAATTATGGGGCCTGGGACTGAATGACACCATCACCAGAACCATTTCCTTGCCTAGACATCGGATCCCAGATGCGAGAGTGGAGCAAATAACATCAGTCCTTTCCTGCTGGTTAGTCAGGAACAACTGTTTTTGGCCCTGACGGTCTGCCGGCAATGATTGGCAGTCTGAAGGATTTTCCGTGTGTTTGAACTATCTTTAAAAAAAAAATTATCTGAACGACCTCTTCTTTGAGAAAAATGGATTGAATGGAATATTAATAAATTTCTTTTTCCTCTTGAGATTTATTTTTAAAATCTCCGGAATAATAGTCAAACCAACCGGAGATCGCCCAAACCCCCGCATTACTTGGAATCCATTCTGTCAACTAGTGAACCCAAAGGCCCCGCAAAAGCTGCTTTTTTTTTTTTTTTTTTTCCTTTTTTACAATTTCATTCCCATGTCGACTCTCAATCTTGGAAGGTGTTGTTTCTTGAAGTCTGTTGTGTACCAAGATTACCGTACCGGAGTCCTCGTGCTGCCAATCCATTGATTCATTCACTTCTCCTCTAACGTGCTTCTTGCTCTCTTCTTTCTTTCTCCTCTTTTTTTTTTTCCTCTTCAAATTTCTCTCTCTCTCTCCCTTTTCTCTATCGCTATACCTCCCTCTGTCACCTTTATCTGTCCACTCTTTGATCCTCCCCTTCGATTTAAACCAATCCTCCTCAATTGTCCAACCATTGCCTCCCCCTTCCCCTGTACACTTCAGCTTCACTACTAGGTACCAGTACACTATTCTAGAATTCGCCCCCAAGCCAAACGAACCTGTTCTTTAAGGTCTTTTTTTTACCCTTCTCGCATTCGCAACTCGCTCTTCTGCCTCCTTGACCACCACTCAATCAACATCACCAACGGTTTTGTCCATAATATTTTCGAGCGGGCTTTAGGGGATTGATCGCCCGAGAGTCCACGCACTCGCCATGGCTTCGTTCAAGGTACGACTTTTGTTAACACACCCCTTCAATAGACCACTCCCTCCCTATCTAATATAGATCCTAACCAGAATTAATAAAAAAAATACTAATCTCAATGTTGGTATTCATTGAACAGGAATTGTCTCTGTCTCGTCCTCTTCCCCAGTCTAACCCACGCCACCATGCCCACTCCATCTCGCTCGGTGCGGTTAACGCTAATCATCGGGTGACTCGCCGGAAAAGTGTCACCACTGCTGCAGCCGCCAACGCAGCCGCTGTGGCAGTCGCTGCATCCATGAAGGATTCTGTTGGGGAATCAGCGGGGGTGCCGATGTCTTCGCATCGTCGAGGGAGCCGAAAGGGCTTAGAGTCTAGTTCGGTCGGGGCCCCCTCCGGCTTCGGCTCTTATTTCTCACGGAGCATGAATAGCCCCAGCCACGAGCCGCCGGTCGCTCGCAAGACCTCGCCCAATCACTCGAGTGACGCGTCCTCAACAACTCTCACCGCCGTAGATGAAAACAAGTCCGCCAACAACAAGAATCGAAACCGTCGGGCCAGCGAGGGATCGCACCTGGTCAAAGGCGAAGGGAAGCGCTCCATGACAGAACTTCGCTGCGATCGTTGTGGGAAAGGGTATAAGCATGGCAGTTGCTTGTCTAAGCATATGTGTGTATCCTCCCCTACCATGCCGTCCTGCCGTCTGGCTCGATCCGGGGTAAATGCGCCATGTCGGCTCTGTGCAAGGTCGCCTTCGTGGTCATTCAGCTCCCCTTATCCTCCAAATCCTCTCTTCTCCCCTGTCGTCGTGGGCCACTCTCGATTGACGTTTTATGGAACTTAGGTGGGAACATGACCCTGCATGGGCTATTACCTCGAAACTCTTGATCTCCAAGCATCAACAAGTTCAGCTGCTAGAGGCGGCCTCCGTTCTGGTAAACATGAACCAGGATGGCCCGGAGGTTGAATCGGAGATATCATCGGCCTCACCCGATGCCTCGTCAGAACTTCGAGACGGGCTCAGCTCAGCAGAAACGACTCCGCCCCCGATGGATGAAGACGACGAGGATGACGAGGACATGTCGCCCGAGCCGACCATAGAGAAGCGATTTAGTGTCAGTAATGCGTCAGGTCTCCTCTCCCATTCTTACCAGTCCGTCCCCTCGAGCTCTTTTACCGGAAGTGCCCCATGGGCTTCGCCAGCGTTCTCGCACTACCGTCAATCGAGTATCGACACGCGACCATCGACCGCGGAAGCCAAATTGCATGAAGACGATGAGGCCGATCTCGCCGCAGCTATCGGCCTGTGCACCTTCAACACACCTCGCACGAGACCAGTGCCGATGTCTCCTAGCGTACCCCCCGTTCCCCCACTGCCAAGTCGCTTCCTTGACCAGGCCAGTGTGGGCGGTAATGAGAGCCAGAGCTTGGATCAGTCAACAACCAAGGAGACAGATGCTACCTTTTCAACCTCTACTCCGAACCTCTTTTTTTCGCTCTCGTATAATCCGTCCATGTCATACAAGGTGTCCGACGAGCGAGAAGTGAAAATGGGCGCCGCAGATCGCACCACACGGCAGAATCGCAATGCAGACGTTGACTTCGGGCACCGGCCCACTGCGGCCGATGAGGACGATGATGGCGTATTTGGTCGGATGGAAGAGTAAATGACTCTCCTTATACCCTCCCATCTCCACCCTTTCTCTGTGATTCTCACGGATATCTCCTCGGCCGTTGGTTCCAGCTGATTGGGTAGCTGCACCACTTCAGTAACTTTTCATGACATGTACGAGCTCGCGCGTATTTTGCGAACGTTGGTTTTTCTGTGATTACTTGTGCTGTTTGAACACCCCCTTTTTTGCGTGTATGACAGGTTACCGGGGAATGTATCACCCGTTGGCACACTGTGTGACCTTCGGGCCTTGGTATGCATGATGGAATTAAATGCATCGTCTAGGTCATTTTTGCGCCTTCCCTCTTTCCTTGGTTCCTTATTCTATCCCTCCTTATTCCCACTATTGCCACTCCATTACTCAGTTCTGATTACCCATGTATCATTTTATTTGTATCACAGCATTTGCATCTCCCTCATATATGGGACCTGACCCCTTCACATGAGTCCGTCGACAATTTCCTTCATATTTGTATACGAAGCCCCACAATGGGATACCATCAAATACAACATATTGGGTTATACGGGTCTGAAGTTATGCGTGTAGACGTAGGAATTGGCCATTTGATTCACATGGCATAGACAGTATTTGATAGGTGAATTGATATAAATATATGGAAACCTTGCACTGAAACATATTTACACAAACTACCCACAATCCCACATCCCATCACTCCATCCTAGTCATCATGAAGCCCGTCCATCCAAAACCCTCAAAGCCCTGGAGAATCTAGAAAGAGCCCAACAAACACCAAACTACTGCCCGACTGTACTAAGTATTCTAGAAATCTGGAGGATTAATAAAGATATTGACCGAATCAACAGGAACCTAGCCCGGACGCATGTTAAGCATAAGGAGGCCCGGAGGGAAACAATGAATCCCTAGAATGGGTGGAACTAGACTCTCGCAATTCTCAAGGCGAAATGAAAAATAACAGACGTGTTAAATACTGGGCTTCACTTCACCATATAAGAAATCGAGGTTCACGCCTAATGTCTGGGGTTGTGGTTCAACGGCTGGTCTTCTGGCTTGTGCTTGATTGCGTAAATGGCGTCGTCAGAGCAATATCAACTGGTTAGGAACATCTGCCGGTTGTTGAGGGGGAGGAGGAGGTTGCTGCTCAGCGGTTTGTTCCGCGCGAGGCTCAAGTTCTCCTGGGTCTTCTTTATCATGAGCCTGCCTCCACTCCTCTTCCGCCTGGAGTCTTCGCGCATAGCGTAATCTCTTTGCCTGGCTGGGCCGATTGCGTTTCTTCCTCCTAGGCTCTGGGGTAGGTTCTGGGGTGGGCGCTGGTGCTGGTGGAATAGCGACCAGAACACGGACTATCTGACCGGAGGGTTGGTTCCCTGGTCGGTAGGGGGCAAGGGACCATTCCCACTCTGGTAGGTGGCCTAGAGCATGCTGCGCAAGGCTGTATTCAGGGATGCGGTTTGAGGATCGTAAGCCACATACTCGCTCACGGCCCTGGCGGAGGATCGCTTTGTCAACTTCGGGGAGGATCTGTTCGAAGAGGGTGCAGTCCGGGGGATCCGGGGGGATCCTATGTAAAATCGAAATTCGTTTCAGATGTCACCGAATCGGCATCGCTCTCGTCAGACTTACGAGGCTTCGCAGAGCGCAGCGGCACTATAGCGGCGCAGAGGCCAGAAAGAATGGAGACGACGTCTATGAGATACCGGAAAGGAGGAGAATATGGAGGTATCGTTGATGAATCCTCGTTGTTGTCATCATCATTATCCCACCAAGTTGGTTTGTCTTCTTCGTAGCACACTGGATACAGGGCGACAAGTGATTTCTCTGCGTTGTTAATCACAGTAAGACATCAGTGATTAGCTCTTCTAGTCTGATGGGACATTGGCGGTTGCCTGGGGATTGGTAGGGTGTTAAATCCCTGGTGTGCGAGAATGCGGTCAGATATATCCATTGAATGGCTTTTGCTGCGTCTAGGATAGTATTTGTCTCGGATGCTACGCATACGGCGCTTGATATGGGTACCAGGAGAGGCTCACGTTGGTCACAGAGCTCCTTTAAACCTGGTATCTTGAAATGAGTGCCGAAGAGCGTGAAGGTGGCGAAGAGGCCTATGAATGGAACGGACATTGTCTGTGATATGTTAGTGATAACTGCCAGGCGCATGTTGAGAGGGAGGGGTTTTACGCTACGTTATGGTTTGTCAGTTGCTGGTATTGATCTGGTTTAGTTGAAGCTTGTCTACAAACCTATAGAAGCTAAGCGTGAGATGTGGTTGGGGAAAGAATAGACGGCTAGAGGAACAAAGGGGGAGGACATATAGGGAATAGCAAGAGCTCCCCTTGGTACAGGAGTTCTTTGCTGGCCCTAAACGGGCGACAAACACAACATTCATATTCACTCATTTAGGGCTGGGTGAGTAACAGCTGTTAGACCAGCCACAGCAAAACAGCAAGAACATGTAAAGAGGTAAAGGGAGCTTAGGAAGCAAAGTAGATGGGCTGCTTGGTTCTCCATTTGAGCAAGCACTGAAAAGAGCGGTAACCTAGCAGGTTGCTCTTATTGAAGAAGGGCTATAAACAAAAACAGGAATCATATACAAGGCATGCATACCGGCATAAGCAGCAAACCGCGTGTAAAAAATTCACTAGCTAGGTATTGCATCAGTTCTTTTTGATAGAAAACAAATCAGATATCACAACAACCTAACTCCATTGTAAAACCCAAGGAATCGTATCTGAAAGAAACAAAGAAAGCGCATAATCTTTAATCGACGTCCATTTCCTCCTGAGTTGTGCCATCGACCAGAATTCTGGTCTTCTTCTTCTGCCTGGGCATCCCCTCGTTGTGGATCTTGGCGGGCTCGGATACCAAGGGCATTCCTTCCTCTCTGTTGCGCAGCTCCTTGCGAATAAGGTGTTCGCCCTCTGCAACAACCTTCCGATCTTCCTCGCGCTTGCGGTCCCGAGCGAGCTTGCCGGCCAGCCTGCGCTTCGTGAAAGCACGCTCTCTGCGTTGACGGATCTCCTCTACTCTCTCCATAGCCTTGACGGTAGCGGCCACGAGGTTTCGATCGTACTTGACGGGGGCGTTCCTCTTCTTGGCGAACTGAGATAGGACAAGGGACGAATCGACAATCATTTCCTTTCCATTTGCGGCTCTGCTGGTCTTGGTCCACTTCAGCTTGCGGGGTTGACGCTTCATCTTAAAGTTCTTGTGACATTTGCTTGAAACAGTCAGAGCGTTCAAACATATGGTGCTAGAAAACTACCCACCTTCTGCAGAACCTGAACATCTTCGAATCGAGCCGCACAAAACTGATACCCTTGCTAGGGTATACAGGGCTATCTAACGGTCAAAAACTGTCCGTGTGTTAATGGCGGGGTTCTAGCATACCGGCTGCAGAAGTGGCAGGTCTCAACTCTGCACACATGGTTAGTGACTATTTTTTTCTGCTTTTCTAATGATCAAAGCAATCCTGGTGGGAAAGAATTCGGACAAAGACAGCATCGGCTCACCTCATAATGACTGATTTCTCTGCCCACTTCCTTCAGACTTGACAAAAAAAGAATATACTGAAAAGGAAGTTGAAGGTATCAGCGGTGATAACAACCTCACAGGTACCGCCAGAAACTTTTCGCAGATCTCCAAAACCGTGGCGGAGAATGCGCTAGACCTAATTGGGCATCGACGGCGGCGCTCCGAATTTTTATCTCGACGGCTTTCCGTCTCCCCAACGAACGTCACATCAAACACCTCTTCTCTGTGTCTATTCAACCTTGACTCAGCTGTCGCCTATTTCTTGACTGGTCTTAGTGCTGTATCAGACTGATAATAAATCAAGATGGCTTCAACTCTTGCTATCGGACTCGGTATCGCTACCACGGCATTCTTGGTAAGTCAGGGCACATAGATTCATGCGATATGGGATATGACAAACTAATGCCGGTGTTTTCAATTTTATTTAGGGTCGCGCGGGTCTTGTAGCTTTCCGTCGCTCCAGGGGAGGTGTGAATGCCATGGGCAAGGCATTCTACAAGGGGTAGGTGACCTTCGTGAACAAATTAAACTTAAGAATGGCTATCTGATTGGAATCTATAGAGGTTTTGAGCCCCGAATGAATCGTCGCGAAGCTGCATTGATCTTAGAACTTCCGTATGTTCAAATCGATTGCCCCGTACCCGATTTGAATGTTGTTCTAACGAAATGGATAGGGAACGTACCCTAAACAAGGACAAGGTTCGTAAGAAGCACCGTCAGCTCATGCTTCTTAACCACCCCGATCGTGGTGGTAGCCCATATCTGGCAACGAAGATCAACGAAGCGAAGGAATTCCTTGATAAGCATACTTAAGGGGGTGGATTCGGAAAGGGTGTCGCCCTGATCACCGTTGGAAGTATTTGCGGATCCCATCGGTACGAAAGGAGAAAACTTTCGTTCATTATATAGGGAAAGAGAATGTTTTTTTGGGTGCATAGCATGGCGTTGGTGGAATTTTCAAGGACGAGGTTCTTCGTGCTCCTCCGGGAAACTTGAGTCTGCATATAACTTGACGAGATCGCCGCTCCTGATTACTTTACATGTATTGCTGTATAAATAGAGAAAGCCATTATTGATCATCCTATTTGTGGCGAAGATGGAAGGGTTAGGCACAAGTCTAAGCCATGACCACCGGTTTCTAATAACAAACTATATACCTACTAGCATGTCTCGTGATTACCAGTGAAAGGCCTGTAGAGAAGGTGGTGGGTATGTGTCCTGGTCCGGAGACAACTCCGACCGTCTCTTTTCAAGATTTAACGTGTTTCCTGGATCTTTACTCCGTGTATGGGAGGTTGTAATAACCTGCCATCGCTGGTTCCACGTGGTGTCCGAAACATGATACAGTTCCGGAGGTCGGAAGTCCTGTGACTTCGACACCTGCGGAAGGTGGAAGAAACGCCAAGGGCTCCCGGATATCGGCGAACCCGGACACAAGACTACCGCAAGCGCCGAAGGGGAAAAACTCAGATGACATGAAACTGCGCTGAAGTCCAACGGAGATCGGAGTTAACAGTTCCCGAGCCTTAACGTCGTCGTACCAAATCCGTATTCGAGCCACGGGAGAGCAACGCACTAAGGATGCACTTGGCAAAGAAGCAAAACCCATCTTAGTACCTGAATAGTTGGAGGGAAAGGGTCTATGAACTTTAGGTGCCCTACTAAGAATTAGTAAGGTTAATTAGTTTGAAGGCAACCGCGTAGGTTACGAGTACGAATGCGACTTCCTTTCTTCCTTGATGTCAGTCATTAGGGGGTTGACAGATGGTCTCTTCTCATTCATTCCATTAATAGGGAATTGCCTGATTATAACCAGTACTGCATTTGTCAAATCGTTGACGCCGTTCCTTTTTACCTATTTTTACTTTTCTCTCTCTCCTCCACTCAAACATTTCGCCACGTGCCAGACTTTGGGGAAAGGTTGACTCAGCTATTCTTTTTTCATTCTACCTTACGCAGATACCTTAAAAGCTTCGCCTTTTTAAAGCTCGACCCACTGGATAGAGGCTAGTGCCAACTGATCCTAGCCTTTCCCTTGTGAAACGTTCGATCTTGATATTAAGCTTAAAGAAAAAGAACGAGAGGAAAGGCAAGAGCGAGGAAGAGAAGCGGCTCAATCTCGCCATTGACGTCTTCGCGGAAAGACCCCGCATCTCCGGTCATTATCACGCCTGCAGCGATACCCGCCTACGCTGGCACTCCACATTATACTTCGAAAGATTTCTAGACGTTGCAGCGTCATACTCATAGTCGGGTTGGTCGGCCAGGATGGATGGCATGGGGGAAGGTCCAGATGGGATGGGCTTCGATATGCCTATGCTCATGAACCAACAATCCCACATCTTTGGCGCTTACACTGACGGTTCGCGCGGTTCGCCGTTGAATTCTGTTCTTCCGAATCCCACATTTAACGATGAGCCTTCCATGGGCGCGGGCGAAGACGCTAATGACGCCAAGAGGAGAAGAATCGCCAGAGTGAGTCGTGATTGATTATGAGATTGGTGGTTGAATGTCAGTATGCTGATCGGTTCCCCGTGTAGGCCTGCGACATGTGCCGGAAGAAGAAGATCAAATGTGACGGAAAAATGCCCAAATGCTCGCATTGCATTAACTATAAAACCGACTGTGTTTTCACCCAGGTTGAGAAAAAGCGAAATCCTCCCAAAGGGTATGCTTGCGCACTCTGCCTCACGGTCCTTTTTTTGGGTCCGCGCTGACCAGTTATTCTTCTAGTGCCAAATACATAGAGGGTCTGGAGAATCGGTTGGGGAGAATGGAATCGCTCTTACGATTGTCTGGTCTCTTATCGGAGGATGATGGGAAAACGGATCTTGGGACTCTCGAGAAGCGCCTCGCCGACCGATCTCTGGCAAGCGGTGGGTTAAATTCCTTGAAGAGCCCAAACAGATTCAATGGTTCAAGCTCGACTTCGCAATCCCAACATACTACTGTGTCCCGTCATTCGACTCCACGAATGGAATCTCAATCCAGTCCGCACACGGCTGCCACATCGCCTGATTCACTGAAAGAGTCCGAGACAGAAGTTGAGGGACTCTCAGACATGATGTGCTCGCTTGTTACGAATAATTGCGGGGAAACACGATATATTGGTATGCGCATGACTGTCCAGACTCGCTATGTAAGAACAGCAAGCTAACTATATGATAGGTTCATCTTCAGGGTTTTCGATATTCTCCCCCAAGGGAATTCAATGGGTCAATGAAAAGACAGGCGATACGTCTTTCCAGGACATGATATCATCTGCTTATGTGGATGATAATAAATGGATGTACTGGAAACCAGAGATTTTCAGTGACATCTTTGCCCGTCGTGTTTTCAAACCATTGCCCCCAAAGGAAGAGGCGATGTCACTTTTCCGAGATTTCTTCGAGAATTTCAACTGCATGTTCCCGTTGTTTCACGAACCGACATTCATGCACTTGGTGGAACGCCAATACTCCCGAGATCCATACGAAGGCTCTGGCTGGTGGGCTAGTATCAATGTTGTTCTGGCCATTGCACACAGGCTGCGAGTCATGAGTAATCTGGTGCCTCAGGAGGAGGACAAAAAGGCTTGGCTTTATTTGAAAAATGCCATGGGGGTCTTGACGGAGCTTACTATGCGAAACACAGATCTCCTAAGTGTTCAAGCATTACTAGGCATGGTATGTATCAATATTTTTACTGTGAAACTAAGTCATTGGTTAACGACTTTCTAGTCTCTTTTTCTACAAGGAACTCCAAATCCTCAACCGTCTTTTTTCCTTGTTGCAGCTGCCATTAGATTGTCGCATAGCATCGGTCTCCATAAACGGGGATCTGGTTTTGGCTTAAACCCAGTTGAAGTTGAGCAGCGGAAGAGGGTGTTTTGGATTGCTTACCTCCTTGATAAAGAGTATGTTAAATCTGTAGATTTTATTCTTGCTTGCAAACCCACTTTGCACGACTAACATGCCTTATAGCATCTGTCTTCGTTCTGGTCGCCCTCCGGTTCAAGATGATGACGATATGAATGTGGAATTACCGAGCGAAGACCCGCCCGATAACATCGGCAACGTTCCTCTGTCTGACGGGAAGGGGAAGTTCAACTTGTTCAGATCATTGTGTCGTTTTGCTACCATCGAGAGCCGGGTGTATAAGCGGCTATACTCCGCCAAAGCATCTAAACAATCCGATGGTGAGCTGTTGAATACGATTGGAGAATTGGACAAGGAACTCGAAGAGTGGAAAGACAGTATTCCTATTGATTTTCGACCGGAGCATGAAATCAAAGCTTCTCACACGCCTCTAATTCTCCACGTCGTCGTGCTTCATTTTGCCTACTATAATTGCTTGACGACAATTCACCGGATGTCTGTGCATCACGGATATTGGACAAGCCGACTATCTAATTATGCAATCCAAGGCCTGAATGCCAGACCATTGAATCCCAGAGTCTTTTTATCTGCCGTTCTTTGCGTCACTGCCGCCCGGGCCTCTATAAACCTGATAAAATACATTCCGCACGGTGATTTTGCTTGTGTCTGGTGAGTCAAGCTTTTGTATTACACTCTTTTTACAGTTGCTAACATGAAATAGGTTAATACTATATTATCCTGTTTCGGCATTGGTGACTTTATTTGCTAATATCCTCCAAAACCCCAACGATGCTCGGGCTCGTTCTGATGTCAAACTCATGAACGTTGTCGTAAATTTTCTCTCGACGCTTGTCTCCGACGAATCTAACGGGAGTATCAAGCGTATGCTTGGCCTCTGCGGCGAATTCGAGAGGATAGCTCAAGTAGTTCTTGATAAGGCAGAAAAGGAGTCCCACTCCAAGAAGAAACGCAAGGTACCCCCTGATGAGCCAGAGAACTTACAGCAGAAGACACCTGAGGAGAATTCAGCTCCTTCTCCTTCCACTTCGAGGCCGGCAAACGCAACATCAACAACTGCGCCATTCTCATCGTCTTCGTACCCTGCGAATCTCGGCAATACTAGGCCTAGCATGTCAAACCCTTCGAGGACCTTTGTTCCAGGTCAAACTGTTCTAGGCACCAACGGTGTTCCCACATCTTTACAAGAGAGCATGCAAACCATGTCTGGTATGGGACACGATTTCCCAGAGATGCTTAGCCCCAACAACATGGACGGGGTAGGCTTTGGCGATCAGCAGCCATTCGGAACTCCTACAGAACCTCCTATGACATCTTTCCAACAGCCCTTTGTGCCACAAGATTTGTGGCAGATGCCGATGACGATTGAATGGGACTGGGCTGATATGTCTAGCAACTTCCCAGTCTTCGAAGGGACGCCCAATAATGGACCGTGATTATGATGAGATGAAGAGATTGACGAACTTTAACATTGCATGTAGTCAGCGGAGTTGGTGGTTTATTGCTCTTTATATTATTCGTTCTAGTATTATACTTAGGCTCTTCTGGGTGGGGTACACGGCGTTCAAAATTCGGGGTTCACGAACTCCACTCTTACAACCCCTTAAGTCCGTGTGGCCAAGGGCAACCTGAACTACGAGAGGCCGAGGATTCTACGTTGCCCCTTTTGTAGTATAGTCATCCATACCTATAATGGTTATCCGATCGATAAAGGAAAACATCATCACAAGATGTATTTACTCTCCTGTCAAATCTTCTCTTTTCTCGAGATAGCAGAGTAAATTAGTTGATATACTGGAAGAGTAAGTACATATATACCGGTTTATGAAAAAGGCTGTCAAATGTTTATACATACTGTCCTCGGTTTTATGTCTGCTTGAACATCTTAAAGTCTGTGTAGAGCATAGATACGTATTACCGTAACATGCAAGTATTCCTTACACCGGAGGGTGTCAATGGCTATGACGGAATGAGGTGTGGAAGCTCTATTTATTTCGTTGGGATTCTTGCTTTGGTAAGACCCGTAATCGGGGTGACTCAGCCATCGGGGCGGAACTGCGAAAAAACCCAAAGTCCGACAAAAAGGCGGCGGGAAGTCGACTAACCTAACTAACGCAACGGCGACAGCTCTCCCTCCAAAGAGCTTCACACCCCTCCACCACCTTCAATTCCGTATTTTATAAGGACGTCTATGGCTTCAGCAGCTTACCATTGCTCTTGAACCCCGATTGAAACACACAAAATCCCTCGCCTTCGGGCTCACCTTCCTCGACCATGGCCACCCTACTCCGAAGGCCAGGCAATCTTGCTCGATATTCGAGGAGAGCTGCAGATTACATCTATCGCGCAGGACCACGGTCGGCGCATATATCACAATCAAGACTATCGTCCCTCATTACAACTCCACGTCTCAGAACGTATGCTACCAGCCCGAACCCTCCGAACGATAAGGACAATCAACACCAGCCTCCGAATCCGGGATCCGGGAATGGGGGTGGTAAGGATGGGGAAGGAAAGAAGCCGGAGGAGCCTCAGTCGAAGCTCAGCAAAGAAGACCAGGAGTCAGTGGACAAGTTTATAAAGCACTTGAAGGAAAGGGTCCCACAGTCCCAGCATCAGATGTTGGATGATATGAGGACAATCATGATGAACGAGGGATTACCAGCGGAAGTCAATGAATTCATCCAGAAGCATTTAAAATCCGGTAAAGCCCCATCTTTGATGGACTACGTTCACTTGACGCGTTACATGGCGAAACACTTGGACAACTACGCCGCCAAACTGAATGAGCTAGAGGAGAAGAGAATGCAGGATCAGGACCAAGAGAAGTCGAAAGATAAGCAGGGCCAGCAACAACAGGGCCAACAAAAAGGCAAAGATCAGTGGAATAGACCACCGAATGCGAAAGTTTTCGAGTTCCGTTTCGACCCAGCCTCTTTCCTGATTACCTCTATTCTGTCTTACTATATCTACCGGAGTTTCTTCCCTGGTGAAAGTAGCAAGGAGATCACATGGCAAGAGTTCAGAGCCAACTTCTTCGACAAAGGTCTTGTCGACAAGCTGACCGTCATCAACGGAAACCGAGTGCGGGTGGACCTGAACCGTGACGCGGTCTCCCGGGTCTATCCTGATTCCCCGGCTACTCAGCCCCTCTTCCATTATTACTTCAGTATCGGATCGGTTGAGAGTTTCGAGCGGAGACTGGATGAAGCGCAGTATGAGCTGGGAATTCCCTCTACCGAACGTATTCCCGTCTCGTATACCGAAGAAGTGTCTTGGGGTGCCACCGTCCTGTCCTTTGCTCCTACCCTCCTCCTCATTGGTTCCGTGTTCTGGTTATCGCGACGTGCTGCTGGCGGTGGCGGTGGTCAAAGTGGCATCTTTGGTATTGGAAAGAGCCGAGCAAAGCGTTTCAACCATGAGACCGATATCAAGATCAAGTTCTCTGATGTGGCTGGAATGGACGAGGCTAAGGTGGAAATCATGGAATTCGTCAGCTTCCTTCAACACCCTGAAAAGTTTCAGAAACTTGGTGCCAAGATCCCTCGCGGTGCCATTCTTTCTGGTCCTCCTGGTACTGGTAAGACACTGCTCGCCAAAGCAACAGCTGGTGAATCTGGCGTTCCGTTCTTCAGCGTCAGCGGATCGGAGTTCGTCGAGATGTTCGTCGGTGTTGGACCTTCCCGTGTCCGTGACCTTTTTGCCAATGCTCGCAAGAACACGCCTTGCATCATCTTCATCGATGAAATTGATGCCATCGGTAAATCGAGGGCAAAGCAGAGCTTTGGTGGTGGAAACGATGAGCGTGAGAGCACGCTGAATCAGATTCTTACTGAAATGGACGGTTTCAACACTTCTGACCAAGTGGTTGTCTTGGCCGGTACTAATAGACCTGATGTCTTGGACAAGGCGTTGATGCGACCTGGACGATTCGACCGGCACATTGGCATCGACCGCCCTACGATGGATGGCCGCAAGCAAATCTTCCGTGTTCATCTGAAGAAGATTGTTACCAACGAGGACATGGAGTACCTCACCGGTAGACTCGCGGCTTTGACCCCCGGCTTCGCTGGTGCCGACATCGCAAACTGCGTAAACGAGGCGGCATTAGTTGGTAAGTTAGCTACCTCCCTTGTAACATTCACATCTTGGATACCTTTACTAATGCGCCTCTACAGCGGCCCGTGTAAATGCGGACCATGTCACGATGAAGCACTTCGAGCAGGCGATTGAACGTGTCATTGGTGGTCTCGAGAAGAAGTCCCTTGTACTCTCGCCGGAAGAGAAGCGCACGGTGGCGTATCACGAAGCTGGACACGCCATTTGTGGTTGGTATTTCCGCTGGGCCGATCCGTTACTGAAGGTTTCCATCATTCCTCGTGGACAAGGCGCCCTGGGTTACGCCCAGTATCTCCCAGCAGGAGGTGACACCTACCTGATGAATGTCAACCAGCTCATGGACCGTATGGCTATGACTCTGGGAGGCCGTGTCAGCGAGGAGCTGCACTTCGATACTGTCACCAGCGGAGCAAGTGATGATTTCAACAAGGTCACTCGCATGGCAACCGCTATGGTTACGAAATTCGGCATGTCACCGAAGCTGAAGCACATCTACTACGAAGAGGACCCTCAACAATTCCACAAGCCATTCTCGGAGGAAACCGCCAAGGATATTGATACTGAAGTCCGCCGGATCGTCGCTGAGGCATACACACAATGCCGCACCCTCCTGACCGAGAAGAAGAAGGAAGTTGGTATTGTCGCGGAGGAGCTTCTGTCCAAGGAAGTCCTCGGCCGTGACGACCTCATTCGCCTCCTCGGCCCCAGGCCCTGGCCTGACTCCGGCGAATTCGCCAAGTACTTCGACGGCGCCAAAGGAGCAACCATCGCACCCCCCGAACCTCCCCAGTCAATCGAAGGAACACAGGGAAAAGATGGAAGAGATCAAACACCATCCCCCCCATAGAGAAATGCATTGTTGAAATTATTCCTCATCTAGAAATAGGAAATTTTACGGCTGACGAGGGGACATATATCTATTTGGGGTTTGTATTTATTCGTTACGGAAGCATCTCCTTTCTTTGCTCTTCTCCTTTTAATCCCTCTGATCATCGTTTCCCTCTTTCTTTACCTCTCCCATTCGACGTCGTTGCCATAAATTAAGATCACTTGATATCTCACCCTTCCTTTTTCTCCCTTTTTTCGCCCCCTACCTTACCTCTGTCCTACTTGTCGCTTCACGTTCTCCCTCTCACAAGGAGCATCCGGTGTACTGTACTGTATAGTAGGTAGTTCATTTTACTCTTCTTTCTTATACCTATCTCGAGCTTAGCGGTCGGTAAAACAAATTTATACGAATAGTATCACAAAAGCTCGATAATATAGGCCATCTATGCAATGATCGAAAGTATGTAGACCCGTGTAAAGTTTCAGGCTACGTATTAGATTGAAAGGACAAATTGCTTTAACACACTTCGCAAAACCAAGATAAAAATAACGCCAACACACTAGGTTTTTTCAATATACAACGTGTGATCAGAACCCCTAGACCAAACAAACACTGGTATCATATGACCGATATATAGAGTCAACACAGCACATCACAACACTCTTCTATAACTGTAACATCTCATTCCTGCTTCTTGCCCTCCTCAGACTGCTCAATCTTCTTGGCCTTCTTCTTAGCCTTGCCCTTATACTTGGGCTTGGCAGACAAGCGAGGAATGAACCGTCCAACACGAGCTTGATATTCGCTGTATTCAGGGTATTTGCTGGAGCTAATAGATTCGGTAAGACGAGTGCTTCCCTGGAAGATTAACAAAAGGCCTAGAACACCAAGACCGGTCCACTGGACGTATGAATCGGTGCGGTAGCAGCTCCACAGATACAGCGTCAGCCATATGGCCTGTTCGGCGAGGAAGTTAGGATGGCGAGACAGAGACCACAGACCGCTGACGGTGAAGCCGCGTTCCAGGTCCTCGGGCGTGAACTGTCCCTTGTACTGTTCAGGGATGCGCGCCGTATTCTGGTATTCATGCTTGGCACAATGGAAGTTCCACTGCTGCTGATCGGCGAAGTATTCGATGATAATGAAGAAGAAGGCGACGCGAGAGAACACTAGATCGGGGATCTCGAATGAGTTCCCGCCAGGGAGGCGCGACAGAAGGAGGAAATTGTAGGTGGGTGCCGAGAGGAGTAACAGCAGCAGAGACTGAGTGAGAGAGATGAAGACAATGTTGAAGAGGAAGAAAACGAATCGGTTGTTGACCTTTGAGCGCACAATTGCCCAACGGTAGTCTTCTGAGCCGATCTTGTAGCCTCCTCTGCGCCAGTAGTTGAATGTCAATCGGACCTGCACGCATTAGCATTTTAGATTTATAAATTATCGCAATGTCTATCTTACACCCCAGAGAAGGGTAATAGCGGCGAGCGTATCCAGATGTTGGGTGCGAAGTCCAGACAGGTGCGCCCAGACGGCGAAATGCACATTGTAGATAGCGGGCAGGATGGGCCAAAAGCGATCAACTTGAGAATAGTTCCGTGATATCTCGGAAAAAAGCAGGAAAAATACAGACAAAGCTAGACAGAAGCCAAGTGCTGTAATGAAAGGGTTGGTGGAGAGATAGATATCTTTCAAGCCGGCAACATCTTTCGCTACCACAGCAACCTGAAGCTTTTCGGGAAGAGTGGTCAATTGCGAAAGAAAGGGAAGGACGGTGTGTTCGAAGGAAGCGCAGTCCAACGCGGACTGAACTTCGGGGAGCGGCAATGCCATTTTCACTAACTTGAGCTATCGTTGGTGAAGATCTGTGACATCAACCCTCAGGCAATAGAGGGAGTGGGGGGAAGTGATGGAAGACGGCGTGTGGAATCAAAACAGACAACAGTCTTGATCTCACGCTTACCGCTTCGGGTCGGGGAGCTTGGGCCAATGGGGAAAGATGCCTCAGGCAGAAAGGCATCTTTTAACAACGGGAAATCGCGTCGTTTTGTGGCTCAAGGTGGTCTTTTCTACTAGCAATGATGCCTGTTCAACTACCAAACAGGACCCGTTGAGATAATGGAAATTATTCAATACTGTCTTTGACCCGAGCCCGTGGCTATGACTGTTCCCAGAATCTTGTGTGTGGCCGAGAAGCCTGCCATTGCTAAGGCTGTAAGCCAACATCTGTCCGGAGGTTCCTTTCAAACCGTAAGTTGTCTTGAATGAGCATCTGCTTAGACTTGGGGAATGTGTACTGAGGTAAGTATAGATATCCATACGTGGGAATCAATATGTGAAAAATTATGTCTTCGAGTTTAATTTCGGCAACCCTTGGGGAACCTGCGCGGTCACGATGACTAGCGTTATTGGGCATTTGACAAGTCTAGAGTTCGGACGGCAGTATAAGGGCTGGCTATCATGCCCGCCTGGGGAACTCTTTGAGGCTCCTGTGTATGAATCTGTGGACGTAGTATGTAGCCGTTTTTGTTTAGCATGGCAACTCTCATGAGTAACGCACGCTAAGTTCAGAGACAGGAAAAACAAGCCATTGCGGATAACATTCAGGAGCAAGCTAAGTATTGCAAAGCTTTGTTTATTTGGACCGATTGTGACCGAGAAGGGGAACATATCGGGACAGAAGTCCGTAAGCAAGCAAAGGAAGGAAATTCCCGAATTCTTGTTAAACGGGCCAGGTTCAGCAATACCGAGAGAGCGTGAGGAAAACTGGCTACTGTGGCTCTTTATAGATTTTCTAATCTTATGCTTACAGTCACGTACTCAATGCAGCTCGAGCACTAATTGACCTGGATGATCTCCAAGCAAATGCAGTGGCTGCTAGAATAGAGCTGGATCTTCGAATTGGTGCCGCGTTTACTCGCTTACAAACTCTCCAACTGAAACACCTGTCAGAAGCTCTGACCGTAAAGATCATCAGTTATGGTATGCTGTGTCAACCAAGGTCTTCATTTGTTCAGCTCTGACGTCCAGCAGGATCTTGTCAGTTTCCTACTCTAGGATTCGTCGTTGATCGCTACCTGCGAGTCAAGAACTTCAAACCCGAAAATTTCTGGGGCATCAAGGTGATGCATGTACGAGATAGGATCAAAGTGAACTTCATTTGGAAAAGGGTCCACCTATTCGATAGAGCTGCAGTGACGGTGATGCTCGAGCGTTGTCTCATGGCAAAGAAGGCCAAGGTCACGAAAGTCACTCAGAAGCCTACCAGCAAGTGGAGGCCCTTGCCGCTGACAACCGTGGACCTGCAAATGATGGGCAGCAGATATCTTCGCCTAGACAGTCAGAAGGTCATGAAGGTAAATCCTTTCGCCGTTACCGGTGCTACAGCTATTCAGTTACTCACCGGTTCAGGTCGCAGAGGCTCTCTACACAAAGGGTTTCATAAGTTACCCTCGTACAGAAACAGATCAGTTCGATAAAGGGATCGACCTAAAAAAGCTAATTGAGAAACAATTACCGGACGGAAACTGGGGTCAATACGCTCGCGGGTATGCTCCATTCTCTTGCCCTCACTACTTTGACTGACTCAATTACCAAGTCTTCTCGATGGAGGATACAGAACACCTAGAGCGGGCCGTCATAATGACCGCGCGCATCCGCCCATTCACCCTGTCTGTTGGGTTTCACCAACCGCACTAAGCGCTGACGAGAAGAAAGTCTATGAATTTGTTGTCCGACGATTCTTGGCGTGTTGCTCCGAGGATGCAAAGGGTCAAACATCAGAAGTCGAAATCCAGTATGGTGATGAGATGTTCCACGCCAAAGGGCTGATTGTCCTAGAAAGGAATTATCTGGACGTGTATGTATATGACAAATGGGAAAGCAGTCAACAGTTGCCCAACTTCCAGATGGGAGAGATGTTTGAGCCTACCGAAGCCAGCATCTTCGACGGAAAGACGACACCCCCGAATTACCTGACCGAACCTGAACTTATCGGACTCATGGACGCCAACGGAATCGGTACTGATGCCACTATGGCAGAACACATTGCCAAGATCAAGGAACGAGAATACATTGCTGTCCATTCGCGTGGAAGTGGACGCAACGCAGTTAAGGAGCTCATTCCCACTCGTTTGGGCATCGCCCTGGTAGAAGGTTACGACAATGTCGTCTCTGGCTTACCAGATAGCCCCTCTCTTAGTAAGCCCTTCCTTCGGAAAGAGATGGAACTTAGAATGCGGGAGATATGTGCGGGATCCAAAACGCGAACACAGGTTGTGCAGGAGAGTCTAGATATGTACCGGGAGGTCTTCATACAAACCCAGAGGCGAATCAATATGCTGAAAGATGCGGTTCGGAAATACCTCGTTGAGGAAGCAACGTCCTGATCGATATCCGATTTCCCTCTAGTGTGGAGTTGAGGTTTGTTTTTGGACTTGTGAATTGTATATATTATACCCTATACCCGAGGCTTGAGCTTGCATTCTTTAGCATCGTACGATATCTAGTGATAGAAGAACTAATCGAAAGCATCCCTTATCAATTGGGTATTTGTCTATCTGCCTTGTCATACCCCCAAGGGCTTGTACCAGGTCAGATGACAATCATAGCGCTAGCACTGATCAAAAACCGGCTTGACGTGCTGACTCCACGTCTATGTCATCTGTGAGGAACTCGAAAGCGCTGTTGACAGGGAAAAATGCCTACCAGAAGAATATCGCACGGCCCGAGCAATAGGTATCTTTCAGGGCAAGTTAACCAGCGACACAGATGCCGTTCCAGCATTTGCCCGGATAGCAGTCTGCATCTTTGCGACATCTAGGGTCTTGGCTAACTTCTATGAGCTTGCGAGAGGAGATCTGAGGAGAGTCTTTGGTGTGGAGGGGATTAGTATATTTTGGATATGTCTCTAGGAGTGTAGTATGCGGCCTACGCTGACCGGGGCCAGACAGTGCATTTTTGTCCTGAAATTCAACAGGAACCGCAAATGAGACAACAAGGCCGGCAAAAAAAATGAGAGGAAAGACAAGAAACTTCATTATGACTGTATGTAGTGAGACGAGGCTCGTGAGAATGATTAATATGTGTTCAGCTCGATGGAGAATATGTGAATCAAGGAGGCCATTCGAAAAGGAATGCGGACTACGAGTGAGGGCAGATCTATTTATAAGGCTAGCGGGCTTCATTAGTATATGAATGTGTTCCCTTGGCTCGGCATGACTATCTTTTTGAGGAATATTGGGCAACAGCTGGAGTAACCTTGATGTTACCAGTGATGTGTGATTATTTTCACTTCTAACAGTGCTGGAGGTCTTCGTTCTATGTCTCTTGATCTCATAAGTTATAAGGATTACCCACTAAGTTTCAATCCATATATTCAATTATTTTGCATATATGTTAATGTGTTTCTCTTGTGCATTGCAAGGGGACTTCTAATTCAAGGCATAGGGTTACAGCCACCTATACTATGAACTGAGAAGAAGGGAGCACGTATTCCAGGTCTGCATAGTAGTGCAGAAATAAGCAATCAAAATATTCCCAGGTAGCAATAAATATAGACGAATCGTCTCATCTTGCATGCCAAGTTCCGATATAGACCCAAATACTAAAGCTCTATACGGAGTGGACCAGCAAAAATCTCTCTTCTATATATATATATATATGATATACCCCAATTACCAAATGGGGCTTATTTAGAGCAATCTCATATCTATAGCTTGCCACTCAACCAAAGTGTTCATGTTACTCACTGTTAGCTAGCAGCCAAAATATACTTTCGACTTCCTTAATAATTTTCTCCGGTGGGATCTAGTCTTGGGGAGACCAAGGGAGTGGGGCCGCTGTATAAATAGATGAATCAATAGAACTTAGGCGCTTACTGGTCTTTGGACATTTTACTATAAATTTCTATCAGATCAATTATCTAGAGCGTTACCACCACAGCTTCTCCATTAACATGAAAACGAGGTTGTGGTTGCAAGAAATCTAGACCTCTCCTTATTACAACTCCCCCCCTACTCTTTTACTCACGTTTCCCAATCTCACACCACTCCGTCTTGGCATTGTTGTACCTCAAGTGGTGCTCAAGGCTCTTGAATCGAATTTTATCAGCATGGTGGTTTACTCAACTAGGAATGAGGTTATAAGGCCCCTTAAGTCTCGACGCGGATGCAAAACCTGCAAGTGAGGATCTTTTTCTCCCCTAATTTCTATATTCTATTAACTCTTCTACAGAATCCGAAGAGTCAAATGTGGGGAGGAAAGGCCAAATTGCCAGAGATGTACCAGCACAGGACGTAAATGCGAATATGATAGCAGCTTCGCTATTGGTACTTTTGCCTCGGCACCTCCTACTATCTCCATCTTGAAGCAAGCTATATCGTCATTACCAAACACAGTGTGGCGGGAACGTCGCGCTTTTGCATATTACTTTCAGCACGCCGCGCGATACCTTGCCGGTGGATTTGATGTTGAATTCTGGGCCGATCTAATTCCACAGGTTTGTCGCACTGAACCTGCAGTGTGGGATGCCATCAACGCTATCAGCATTTTGTTTGAAAGCCCGGAACAATGCTCAGATCCAGTATTTCTGAGACGGCAGAATGAATCCTTTCATGCACCTAGTCAGAATCAGAAGGACGCTTTAACCTGGTACTCGCGTTCGCTATCCAACATTCGTTTGCAGATTGATCGTGGCAGCGCAGACCCCTATGTCGCACTGATCACCTGTGTGCTCTATATGTGTATAGAAACCCTTCAAGGACGTGTGGAGGAGGCATTGCAACTCTATGGACAGGGTGTGAACCTAATTAATAGTCTACGCTCTCAAATTAGCTGCACCTTGGTTCCTGCCAGCAAAGTTGCCCTCCTGGAGAACACCATCATTCCCTTCTTCGTCCGCCTGGGAACTGTCGCTCTCTCCATTTCCGGAGTCCCTGCGAACGTCCTTTACGATCCTATAGAAGGTAGCCAAGAGTATAAGTTTACTTCTCTTCACTCTGCCCGGGCTGCCATGGCCGCGCTCGCCGCAGAGGGCATGCTCTTTCAACGTGCAGCCCAGCAACATTTCTTAACTGTTGGCGATGGCTCTCGCGTAGGCCCGTCGTTAGCTGGAAAACAGAGGATGCTTCAAATCCAACTAGCACACTGGCGGCATGCATATGATACCTTCATACAGGACTTTCGCCGGAAAAACCTTAGCTTTCCTCGGTCCGACACAAGCACTACCGCCACGCTCCTCGTCTATCACGCAGCTATATCTATCATTGTGTCTACGTGCTTGACGCAGGGCGAGTGTATCTTTGATGCTCACTTATCAAGCTTCGAGACCATTGTCAATAATTCCGCTCTCATTCTGGATGCCTCAACGGGACCAGACGGCATGCAGCCACCCTTTACGTTTGAAATGGGTGTTGGCCTCCCCCTTTTTCTAACAGCCCTGAAATGTCGCGACAGGCAATTGAGACACAAGGCATTGAACCTACTACAAAAAGCACCTCCTGTGCAAGGGCTGTACAAATGCGCTCCAGGTGTAATGATAGCAAGAAAGGCCCTGCAGCTTGAAGAAGATTTTAGTCTTCTTTTAAAGAAAGATATTGAATACAATGCCTACTGTCTGAATACTGGTTCAACAGGTACTACAAATACGGAAATTGTTACTACTCAAGATTTTAGCGACAGTTCGGACAACACTCAAGTCCACGGTAGTGCTACAGAATTGCCAGCCTCTAAGCACAACCGTCGTGCAGAGCTTCTCCGTGAATGTTACACGCATGAGGATACTAACCAAATACCAGATCTAATCCCCGAAAAGGCCCGCATAGAATTTGTTGGCATTTTTCGACCGGAAAACGGTCTTCCGCCAACAGTGAGCGAACATGATGTTGCCCAATGGAAACGGGGCAAAGATCAAACTTTCTTTGTATATAGGCGGCACCAGCGTGACCATACCAATGATATATGGAGACTGATTGAAGAATTTATGCCGATTGATAGCTGATGGAGCTACTCCCTTCAGTTGATCATCCCTACAGCGAGCTGGATTCAATTTGACAAAGGAAGCGAGTCCTTCAGAAAGAGGTCAACAACGTGAACGCGGAGACTATCGATATCTCTTGAAGGTATAATCTGTCCTATACTCGTGGACGCAGATCCTCAATCATATAAGTCGTCGGAGAAAGGGGAGTTACCATGTGCGCAGTGTTTGCATGATACTGCATCTATTGTTACACTCAGTCCAGTACACCGCGCGACTTGCGTATAGTATTTACACCTCTGCAAGACCAATCAGTGATCAGCCAGGCCAACTCCGGTCATCAATGGTGGGTCAACCTTGGTCTGTTTGCATGAACAGCCATTGTTGACCAGGACATACGAACAAGCTACGCTACTTGCAATCGTTACATAAATCTGGGAATTTGTGATACACTGGAGCAGGACTAACACGCTGTTATTGAATTTGATGTAAAAATAAGACATATATTTGGTATTGTTCAAGCGCTTTTTTTGGCATCTAGTCATTCACATGATGTCTAGACTGTTAACGTGTCTGCCAAACAACCACGGACCTAGCGAGATCATGATTCTATAACATACTCGGTGCGGACTTTAACGTCGTAAGCTCATGATTTCCGGAGCAGCCCGAGTCCAATTGTGCTAGGTTAATCAAGCCAAGGCATCCACCACGGTGCGGAAGTAGTGATGCGTACCCCTAGGACCTGTATAATGTAACTATCTCCGATAGAGAGATAACCCATTTCTTATGCCTCGTGTAACTCATTCCTGATGTTTCTCACGTTCCTGGTTGATCGGAATGGCCACTTCAATGTCTCGGACACCCCGGCTACCCCGGGCTGCAAGAGCGAGCCAGTGTATGTTTCGTAGTCGAACCTCGCGCATATATTTCCTTTGCTCATATGATATCTCGTCTTCCTTTTCTTCGTCTTGGAACCCATTCGTTGCGAGAGAATGTATTGCATAACCGATGAGGACAACAACGATACAGCCGAGAAGGACGAGGAAAACGGTTGCTTCTTTCGAAGGGGCATTCATATTCTATGATCCATATCTTATTAGCGTGGACCCCTGTACAAGGGAATAGAGGGAAGGAATAACTTACGATTATAAAGAGGTTATCAAGTCAAGAAAAGTTAAGAAAAGTGTAGATGTCTTCACGCAGTATATAAAACGAAGGACTTAAGTAGATTGAACGAGATGCAATGAGTGACAAGAACGAATGAATGAAAGAATCCGCTGGGACGCCATTATATCTTTCATTCGATACCCTTTTATATATTACCCCTCCCCCGTTCTCCCATCCTACAGAAGCAAAAAAGAAAAATCTATTCATAGCCTCCCGTTCTCACTAAAGATCGGGGATATTTTGGTTCATCTGCTATCTACAGCGCCAAATCTTGATATCGACGCTCATTGGACGGCTTATTACAGAAGTCTAGTCCCCAAATAGCCTAGTCACCTTGTATGATGTCATTAGCGAACCGGCCAATCACAACCCAGGTTAGTATACGCAAGAGCAAGGTGACTGACAGATGACTGAGCAACAGGGGCTCCTTTACATACTGAGGTTATCTCCCATCAGCAGAAAGAAATATGGGACCTATCCTTTACATTAATATGAAATGAATCATGCAGGTACTGGGGGAAGTCGAGATCCAGAATTGGGAATTTGGTCCTATCATCTACCTAAACAGTAGCATTGGGGGCCAAAAGCCGACATAACTGTCCTTAGGTGAGGTACCGACTTACGGCTTGGCTCGCTCATCACAAATGTGGGATACGAGATTTTTTATGTTCGTTATTATAGATATGAATTGGCCATCTTGGTGATAGGTGGACTTACTCTACTTTGAATAGCCTCAGATTTAGCAAGGTTATTTTAAGTCGTACTTTACTAACCCTCGGGGTGATTAGGGCTTGATCTCAAGGCTTATCCTAAATATGCTGAGGTTGCATACCGGTCTACAAACTTTCTTGCTGTCGCACGTATGAAATATACTAGTTGGATATGATGAGTTCTAAACAAAGTTCCGCGAGAGCAAAGAAGGTCCATATGAGTTAAGTGCTAATAAAAGACTGAGGCTAGGCGTTCTCTGTGCACGAGCTGTCAACTTGAGATAATAGCACCGACACTTACGAGACCAAGGAGACCAAGTAACTTTATTTACAATAAGGCACCAGAACAACCCATGGTAGTTTCTGAAATGTGCGTTGCCGGCTCATTACAATCTGAGCAAGGATCAGTCCATTACGACAGTCGCTTGCCGAGCACGGCACCATAGTAGATGGTAACACCAAGACAGATCATGTTGATTAAGCTGGAGATACCGTGAAGGCGGCCAAATTTCTTATTAAGTGCCACCATCTCCTTGGAGTGAGGAGGGGCATCATAACTCTTCTTGCCGTCACGAGCTTCTGAGCAACTAGATTAGCGCACTTTCTTATGGGGAATGTGAGGGATGATCTTACCCTGGTGCTTTCTCTCACGCATGGTATTGACAGTAAGAGGGCGGAGCACGACCATATTAACCAGGCCAGTCACGGCGGCCGTGGCCATGGGAATCAAGGTCTTGGGGCTTTCCAGAAGTCCGGAGATGCCGAGCGGCTGTCCATTGTTGCTGGCTGTCAATGCAACTAGCACTGGAAGGGCGGTTTGAAGAGAGAAATAGATGGGGAATGTAGCAGTCTGTAATGAAGCAAACTGAGGTCGTGGAAGGGCCCTAAAAGCTACAATTCCGGAGACGAAAGTCTATTCGGTCGAGAATTAGACGGGCAATGGGATGTACTTGATGTTGCATGATGTTACCTGGTAGACCTGGACACCGAGGAGAGTGCCATAACTGGAAGGACCTATAAGCGATACTCTTACTTACAAATCATATGCTGGTGAAAATGCTAACCTCAGAATGTGGTAAGGCCGAGGGTCAATCATGTTGAACAATGGAGCTGTGAAAGTTGATAGAGACTAACAATGGATGATCCGAGGCAAGTTGTGTACAGTATTACTATAACTGGACTGGACCCGCAGTACATTCTGAACCCTCTCACCGCCCACATGATTGCTTATGTAACTCGAGAATTTTTTTCTATAGAGTCACCAAAAGCGGATATGCGCGCCCACTTTTTTTTTGCTCTTCCCCCCTCCCTGGTATTCTACTAGGGGGGCTAACTTTCAGATTCTACAAAAATGAAGTACGTTCTGGTTTCAGGAGGTAATTGCTGTCCTACCCATGCTTTTTTGTCACTCTTTTAACAGCCTTCTACAGGTGTCATCTCCGGTGTTGGCAAGGGCATTATTGCCTCCAGCTGTGGGTTGCTCTTCAAGACGGCGGGTTTGACTGTCTCCTCCATCAAGATTGATCCCTACTTAAATATTGATGCTGGTCTTATGAACGTAAGTAGCTAAGGGCAATATTCGAACCGGAATGGCTTGGTAGGCTAACTGATCTCGATTTAGCCTCTTGAGTTGGTCTAACATGATTCCCCATATTCCTGCGTTAGTTGACACAATAAAAGACACGGTGAAGTGTTCGTCTGCGACGACGGTGCGGAAACAGATCTCGATCTCGGCAACTACGAGCGCTATCTTGGCGTTACCCTTGGTGGTGACAACAATATCACTACCGGCAAGATCTACCACCATGTTATCACCAAGGAACGTCGTGGAGATTACCTTGGAAAGACTGTACAGATCGTTCCCCACCTGACAAATGAAATCCAAAATGTACGTTCTAAAGTCCTGCTCGGGCTGGATCTCGAAAGTACATTAACAAATTACATAGTGGGTTGAGAGGGTCGCCAAGGTTTCTGTTGATGAATCTGGAAGGGAGCCTGACGTCTGTATCAGTAAGTACACCAAGTCAAATATCCCGACCGTGCTCGCTAACACATAGACTAGTCGAAGTGAGTACACGAATACACTGACCGGTTGCACTATAAGCTAACTCAACAACCTAGTTGGGCGGTACCGTTGGAGACATCGAGAGCGCACCATTCATTGAGGCCATGGCCCAGCTCCAGAGACGGGTTGGGAAGGACAACTTCCTTCAGATTCAGGTCAGCTATGTTCCTCTGATTGGGTCAGAGCAGAAGACCAAGCCTACTCAGAGGGCCATCAGTGATGTCCGTAGTGCTGGCCTCAGACCGGATATCATTGCATGCCGTTGTGAGACACCTCTTGAGGAGGCAACCATTCAAAAGATTGCCAATTCTTGCCAAGTGGAACGGAACCAGGTTGTTGGAGTACACAACGTCTCAACTACATATCAGGTTCCCATCCTTCTCGCACAACAGGGCTTCCTCGCTACTCTCAGCGATCTCCTTAAGACTGATGTTATCCAGAAGGATCCCAAGCTTGTTGACGATGGGAAGCTAATCTGGCAGGAATGGCAGGGCCTGGCTATGAACCAGGTGCATTCCCTTGAGACTGTAACGATTGCCTTAGTGGGCAAGTACACAAGCTTGCATGATTCTTATATGAGTGTGAGCAAGGCGCTGGAACATGTGAGTTTGGCACATCATGTAGGCGTTGTGAAACCTTACTAATCACCCATGAAGGCGTCTATGCATTGCCGTAAGAAGTTGAATCTGATCTGGATTGAATCAACTCATCTCGAAGAAGAGCACAAGACGAACAATCCTGCGGAATACTACTCCGCATGGCATAACCTGACCACTGCCAGCGGAGTAAGTCATCATCCCTTATGGCTAAGTCAACTCATCAAACTAACATTCTTAGGTTCTTGTCCCCGGTGGATTTGGTGAAAGAGGTACGACCGGTATGGTTCTGAGTGCTCAATGGGCCCGTGAAAATAACGTCCCTTACCTGGGCATTTGCCTTGGTATGCAATTGGCTGTTGTCGAATATGCCCGCCATGTGTGTGGCATGGATAAGGCAAGCAGTGCCGAGTTCGATGAGACATGTGAGCAGCCCGTCATCATCTATATGCCCGAGATCGATAAGACCAAGATGGGTGGTACGATGCGACTTGGAAAGCGCGCGACTGTGTTCCAATCTGGCACCGAATGGTCTCGTCTGCGAAAGCTGTACGGGGAGAAGAAGGAAATCTGGGAGAGACACCGTCATCGGTATGAGGTGAACCCTGGGCTTATCGATCAGCTAGAGAAGGGTGGGTTATCCTTCATTGGAAAGGATGAGACCGGCGAGCGTATGGAAGTCATTGAGTTGAAGGACCATAAGTGGTACGTCGGGGTTCAGTTCCATCCTGAGTACCTGAGCCGTGTCCTGGCACCTAGCAAGACCTTCTTGGGCTTCTTTGCGGCTGCCGCCGGATGCCTCGAAGAGATCACTGAGGCCTACAAGGATCGTCACGATCTCAGTCACAAAATCCCTCTGGTTTAGGATCGGTGTTTTGTTCTTTTTAGGGATTGAGGTTACAGAAAAAAGGAAATATCATACCATTTATAGACATAGTACAGCGAAATAAAATTTATTAAATGAAGCTTCTGTTCATTGTAATACTCTTTCGGGTTGAAATACGATATTCTCCATTAAAGCCAGATGTGTGCTGAAGCTGTTCTTCCAAATGAACTTTCCTGTAACCTCGACGCACCTATACATACATGATGTCATGTGCCTTCGCGTCCCGCCTTGTCCTAAACAGGAAATATCACGCGTCTGCCTGGACATCGTGTGTGGCCTAGCCATTGGAGCCTTGTCCCCCATGCATTGGTTTTAAATATCAAATCCTCTTGAGCATCTTCTTAATTCAGATGCCATAATATTGCTAACTATGGCAGACAAAGAAGCAACTGTGTATATTGTAGACGTTGGAAAGTCTATGGGAAAACGCCGCCATGGCCGATCGGTGACTGATCTTGAATGGGCGATGCAATATGTCTGGGACCGCATCACAGAAACAGTGAGTGGCTTTCGAAGAAGCATGAACTTACCTGTTATATCGATTGCTCACATTCCAACTAGGTGGCTACAGGGCGCAAAACGGCTATGATGGGAGTGATAGGACTCAGAACAGATGGTGTGTATACAAACTGGAGATTACATACATCCCACATCTAACCCAGAGAACAGGAACCTCCAATGAGCTTGAAGATGACTTGCATTTCTCTCATATCTCAGTTTTATCAAACATCAAACAGTATGATTTTGATTCAACAATGGGTTTGGTTTATCTACCAAGCTGATGAAGACGTCAAGGTTTCTTATGCCGGACATTCGGAAATTGGAGGATGAGTTGAAACCTAGCCAAACTGACAAGGGTGACGGTAATAACTTCCATTTCTCAGGGGTATATCTATTCCCTAGGTTGCTGACTTTTCCCCCTAGCTATCTCCGCTATCATTTTGGCCATCCAGATGATAATCACGCACTGCAAGAAGTTAAAGTACAGGCGCAAGATTGTCTTGGTCACTAACGGACAGGGGCGTATGAGCGATGAGAACCTGGACGAGATAGTCAAAAGAATCAAAGAGGATAACATTGAGCTTGTTGTCATGTCAGTGATTCGGTACCAAGCTAGCATTCAAGCTAAAGCTAACATCAAGAAGGGGAACTGATTTCGATGACGCTGAGTATGGTTACAAAGAAGAAGACAAGGACCCACAGAAGGTAATAGCTTTTCCCCTGCGACTTGATATTGGCTGAACAATTGGAACAGGCTGAAAATGAAACCCTCTTGCGTACCCTTGTGGAAGATTGTGATGGAGTCTACGGGACTTTCGAGCAAGCTGTGGCCGAATTAGACGTCCCCCGCGTCAAAGCTGTCAAGTCCATGGCAAGCTTCAAAGGGTATCTTCAACTAGGTAACCCGGAGGACTATGACTCAGCTATCCGCATTCCCGTTGAGAGATACTACCGGACTTACGTGGCCAAACCTCCGACTGCGAGTTCTTTTGTTCTGCGCTCAGATCCTGCAGCAGGAAAAGAGGAGGCAGAGTCGTCTGAAGCCGCTGCTGCGAAAAGCGAGAGCCAATCAGGAGATACCAATGCGCTCACAACCGTGAGGAGCATGCGAACATATTATGTTGAGGACGAAAGCGCACCGGGTGGGAAAATCGATGTGGAACGCGATGACCTCGCCAAAGGGTACGAGTATGGACGAACAGCAGTTCACATTAGCGAGACGGATGAGAATGTTACAATTCTTGAAACGTACGCGGGATTAGAGCTGATAGGCTTCATACAGAGTGACCAGGTAAGTCTATGTTATTCAAGACATCTATATGCAGCGCTAAAGCACCAGAATAGTATCAACGTTACATGCATATGTCGAATACAAATATCATAGTTGGACAGCGTGCCAATGACAAAGCCACCCTCGCTCTTTCATCGTTTATACATGCACTGTTCGAGCTAGAATGCTACGCTGTTGCTCGTCTAGTCATGAAAGAGAACAAGCCTCCGGTTGTCGTCTTGCTCGCGCCCTCAATCGAGCCCGACTATGAATGTCTTCTCGAAGTTCAGCTACCATTTGCCGAAGATGTTCGAACGTATCGTTTTCCCCCTTTGGATAAGGTCATCACAGTTTCTGGAAAGGTTGTCACGCAGCATCGGAATCTTCCCAGTGATGACTTACTCGATGTGATGAGCAAATACGTGAACAGCATGGAGCTTGTCGATACGGATGAGAATGGGTAAGGCTATACACCAAGCATTCAGAATATCCATGTGTTAATGAAAGCAGAGATCCTGTGGAGATATTTCCTATCGAGGACTCATATTCACCTGTTTTGCACCGGATTGACTCCGCCGTCCGTGCTCGAGCTATCAATCCCAACCAACCCATACCTCCTCCATCGGAGATATTGACAAAATTTTCGCATCCACCAGAGGATGTCGTAAAGCAATCAAATAAATACTTAGAGAAGCTAATCGAAATAGCCGATGTCAAGAAAGGTTGGACGTCTTCCTACGATGGTATCTGTCAGGCAGCTGACCTTACTAGTTCCTCCTAAAGCAAAGGGTCGCAAGCGGACTCGCGAAACGGAGAAGCCGCTCTCTGGCCTCGATGTCGACTCCCTGCTTCATCAGGAGAAGCGCTCCAAGATCTCTGCGAACAATGCTATCCCCGAGTTTAAGCAGACCATCGCACAAGCTGAGAATATTGAGGCCATCAAAGACGCTACAAAGCAGATGATGGTCATCATTGAAGACCAAATCAGACACAGCCTCGGCGATGCTAATTACGACCGGGTCATTGAGGAGATGGGAACGATGCGTGATGAGCTGATATCTTATGAAGAGCCAACCTCGTACAATGATTTCCTGGGACAGCTCAAGGATAAGCTGTTGCAGGAGAAACTTGGCGGAGACCGACGAGAACTGTGGTGGCTTATTCGACGGAACAAGCTTGGTCTCGTTGTCCAGCGTGAGTCGGATCAATCTAAAGTTACAGAAGCGGAAGCCAAAGAGGTAAAGTCCCCTGAGCTTGATCGAATGAGTCAGGCTAACTGTGAGTTGTAGTTCATGTCCGCAAAGTGAAAGCAAAGTATGTAGAGTCAGATTGGGCTGAACGATAATAATATTATAATGCCAGAACTCCTCTTTCAAATCCCATGCTCGATAGAATAGCCCAACCCAGCGAAAGCGTAGGAGACCCGTAGCACGCTCCAAATGATACAAAATGATATACAGCTATAAACCCCAAATCAGGATATCTTTCCTATTCTCTTCTTCCCAATCTCGATCTTGCGATGAACCCTGCGAGTAAAATTAGCCCAAGGAAACCAACCAAAAGACAAAAAGAAACCAAAAGCCATCACCACATACCTCTCTGCATCCTCATTTGCCATCGACAGCAGGGCATTCTGAATTTCCACCTCCTCATTAATAGCAATACCCAATTCCTTCTGCCGCCGAATAATCTTCAACAACTCCTCCACACTCTGATCCTGATCATCCATAGTCTGCCTCTGCAACTGCAACACACCTTGATTGTCCAGTTCCCGCGTCCGCTCCGTCTCCTTCCCCAAAACCCTCCCAGACCTGGCCGGCTTCCTACTCGTGCTCCCAACAAGCGCCTCCTTATCCTGCACCGACGCCACCGTGTTATCCACCCGACTCTTTGCCGCCAGGGCATTCAACAAATCCTCCAACCCATCCTTCTCCTTCCTCGCATTAATCAGTAGATCCTTCCTCCGCCGCACCTCTCCATCCCCCAACGAACCACTCCCACCAGCCGTCCACCTCCGCGCAGATCCAGACCCAGACCCATCCGCAGGACTCTGTGCCCGATTCCTCTCCTCCCCGAGAACCTTCAACCCCTCCTCCAATGCCACAATCAGACCCCCAGCCCGAACCAGACTACTCTTTGCGCGCGCCGAGCTCTCATGCTGCCTCTGCGGCGTGGTCTCCTGATCCCGTCGCGTCAAATGCAACCGCGCATCATGCAAATGTGACTTCATATCCCGGTACACATCGAGCCACAGCGTCGGATCCGCGATGGGATTACTCGACCCGGCGCTCCCAGGGTCCGTGATAGCCGCGTGCAATCTGGTAGAAGTATGTGACGAATTCGCAGCGCTAGGTAAATTCAGGAACGCGCGCCAGGCGGGCGAGTTACGCCATCGGGGATCGTCTGCGTCGTTTATGGCCTGCAGGTAGGACTCGAGGGCTTGGCGACGGTTTTCGCGGAGGGTTGCGTTGGAGACAGTGTTTGAGAACCAGGTTTTGGAGGGGAGGGGAGCTGGGGGGTTGGCGTTTGTTTGGGACAGGAGGGTTTTGTGGAAGGTTGCGAAGTCGGAGTAGCGTTTTGCGATTGTGAAGGAGCGGAGGGGGAGGCGGAGGGTAAGGTTGTAGACTGTGTAGGGGGGTGAGGTTGGGGAGAGGCTGGTTGTTGGGATGGTGATTTCGAGGTTTGGGGCCATGATGGTTTTATTTCCCTGTTGGTGTAGTTGGTTTTAGGGGGCCATATGTTTGGTGGAGAGGGAGAAGTGTCGATTTGTCAGGGAGCTGTTGGTTTGGGGAAGCCATCCATAGATGGGGAAGTGGTTGATGATGTGGTCAAGGGAGAGGATGACGAAGACTAGATTATCGGAGAAATCACTGATAAGCTTCAGTCACCGGACTTTGCGATAAATCGATTTAGTTAGTTGGGGAGTACGGTACATGACGCAATTTTCTTATAATTATAAGTTATTTATATATATATATCTTTTCGCTTATTATTACTAATGTAGAATAGTTTTATATTGTGTTTATTATCACCATTATTCAAGAGTAAATGATCATTCGTTGGGGCATCTTGTAAGTTTAGTTGCGCCTTTACTGATTGATTGTTCACTAGGAAACATTACTAGCTGGCTTATGTTCAACTTATATTACTGTATAAGTCAGTAAGGTGTGCTTTTACTACATGGCTCGAAAGACTAACTATGCTTAGTTGCTTCCAAACCTACACGGATATATATGAGCCACAGGGACATGGTATTGTTTTTCTGCGGGAAAGGGACTAGCCCGAGCCGCTTTTGCTCATTGATCCGGAAGCGTGGAGAAAGGCGAAAGTGCGTGTGCTGAGCGCTCCGTTAGCTGTTCCGGAGCAATGATAGAACTGATCCCTACACAGGGATCGGTTCATCTTAAATCCATCAGTTAAGCTACACGCCAAGCTGACTACACTTCGAAACGGCAGGTTATCTATAAAACTTATACAACGCTTCTGAATTTAAATTTGAGGTCTATTTTGCGAGCATAGAGTGACGCATATCCTTGCCACATAAATCTTTGACTGATACGACTGACGTAGTTGCCTGTGGCCACAAATTCATTAATTGCTGTGATCTCCTGTTGTGAAAACACGTTGATGGCATGGCTTAGCATGCTATACAAACCAGTCATACAAGACATTCTGAAATGAATGATTTCTCAATTTGTTGAACTACTTTCATAGAAGCTGAATAAAAAGAAGTAGCCAATGTGGATTTGGTCAAACCATTCGAAAACCCTGACTAAGTGTCTATCTAACTTATAATGATGTATACAAACGTGCCATGAACACATTACTCGACTCCGGAGGTACGGCCTCCAAAGGAACAGGAAAGATGCCAATTCCTTTTTTTTTTTTCCTGATTTCACTAGAGCACCATATTAGTATCTTCCTGAGACGCGTGGCACCAGTGCCAGCACCTGATTAGAGTCAAGAGCCCAGTCCAGTAGCAGCAGTAGTAGTCTCAGTGCACAGCAAGCGTTTGGTTAGCATATTCAATCACGCTAAAACTGGCATTACAGCAGGCGCAACAAGAGGATTAAACAAGACAACTGACGTAGCCCTGTATGAAGAGTAGACTCTCGGAATTTGCTTGGTAGCGAACACCCATCTTAATATCTGTCTCGAACTTTGGAAGAGAGGTTTTTGTTTTCCTATTATTGGATTTGCCCCACGTTTACGAAGTCTGCTGTAAAGGATTCAATAAATTATAAATAAGCCAATTTCCTCTCCAAAGACACAATATCCAGCCCGTAGGAGAAAAAAAAGTCTTCCCATCGAACAATTGCCATCATTCGCCATGCTGACGACCTCCAGCCCTATCATCTTCTATGACATCGCCACATGCCCCCCCGTGTCACCCAACTCTTGGAAGACCCGATTGGCACTCAACTTCAAATCTCTCCCCTACTCGACCTCATGGGTTGGTTTACCCGACATTGCCAAAGTCCGCAGCAGCCTCAAAGTACCCGCCTGCCGCAAATTCGCCGATGGCACCGACTTTTTCACCCTACCTATCATCCAGGATCCCGCCACTGGCTCGTTAGTCGGCGACTCCTTTGATAACGCCGTCTACCTCCAGAGAACGTATCCGAACTCAGGCACCGGCCCTCTTCCCGGCTCAGACGATCGACTACGTCTTCACGCCCGATAATGCGATCCTTGTTCACTGTCGGAGTGTCCCGACAGTGAATTCCCGGAATACGCCAAGTTCAATGTGAACGTCGACGCGGCCTTTAGCGCTCATGTACAGTTTACGGTTCAGGGGTTTCCATTCGACCCTGCTACGGCTGAGATCAGTAAGGCGGAATTCTGCCGGCGCGCGGGTGTTACCTGCTGGGAGGACCTTGCGTTGGCTGGTGAGGCGCGAGAGAAGATGAAGGATTCGCTCCGGGATATGCTAGATGGCCTGGGTAAGCTTTTCTTAAGGGATACTAGCGGGCCCTTTACACTCGGGACAAGGGCTAGCTATGCGGACTTTATTGTCGGTAGGGTGGCTGCGGATGATGTGCGTGACTCTACCGGAGAGTGAATGGGAGGAGGTAAGGAGTTGGCATGGGGGTCTCTTTGGGCGTTTGCATGATGCGTTGGAGGTATATGCGGAGGTGGGATAGGGTGTGGAGCATATGATACAGATACCTATTCGTTCAAAGGGTTCCTATGGTGCAGGGTGCACGACGTTTAAGGATAGAGATTGGGACACTAGAGGATCTATATGCACACTTAGGGTCTGAGGCAAGGTGCAGAAGATTAAAGTAAACCAAACCCCACTCGGATTCAAGATCTGACATCTGACAATTTAATATATACTTAAATATACTCAAAGACCTCATTAAAATTTCCTCTCCATAGCAAAAATGTCTCCAACGCAACTCCTTCGCCTGCCACTTAAAGGCCCCGGCCCCGCCCCCCGATAGGTAAGAGTTGATTCTAGACCAACCGGAAAGCATTCTTTGATAGCCATTATACGCAGTGACCAGATCAAGATACTAAGCCCTTGTACTCGGGAATATCGATGGATTTAGTCATGTAGATTTGGAAGCTTTAGTTGTATACACTTTTAGATGTGGTTATACAAGCCCCTATAGGTCATGGCAGCTAGAAAGCAGTGATGATAGGTCTTTTGGGACCATGTGGCAATAACGGCTATAGGGGGTATTAATGCCACATCAGGAGTAACTTCTAAGTCTGCCAGAGGTATCTCGGAGCAGCTGGTTCGTGCTGTGCTGGTGCGTGCTCAGTGAGCAATCGGTGAGTGGCTTGGAGTGCTCATGTACAGCCATCATAAAAACGGCGGGAAAACAGTTCACTTCTGTACTCACTCCTGGCTACTACCTCGGAGTCTATCAAATGATTAAATGGGTGCAGAAAAAAGGTTCTTGCTTGTGAATAAGGATGTAAATGACAATGGGTGCTGGACACTGATAACTTTAAGAGCTGAGGTTCGAGACCCCATGGGTAGAGTATTAGCTCACTCATTGAGCGTGCGTAACATTTTTTTTGTGTTATATCGGGCTATTATACGAGGTGTATCTTGCCTCGGTTCCTGTGTGGTTCTAATGACTAGAGGGTAATATCCAAGTCCTGGCGCTGATCTCTTTACGGAGGAAATAGGTATTACTATTGGTCGTGATTGTATTGTGAAGGCTATGGTAAAATTTATTATCCGAACTGATCGGAAACTCAACGTGCCCTAGTATCACCCATATTAGACGAACCTGCTCAGATGGTTACCGCATATTTTGGTCCCACTGAGGGGGTTCTAGATGTTCCAACCTTCTGTTCAGTCTCATTGTAAGGCTCAACATGTCCGGGTATCCGCTGTAAGAGTCTGTGCAGGCGGGTGTCATCTTCTGCTCATATATGGTAGAGGAGCGCAAGGTTCCCTTCGGCAAATTGGTGACAATTGCTAAGTCACTGGCGTCAGGTGTCACTGGAGGCTAGTTGTACGTTCTGTTATGCGCCAGATGTGGAATTCGCTGCAGTAGAACTTGTCACGGGCCCTGCTCTGGAAAAGGTACAGCGACTTAACTGTCAGGACGCCGCACATGTTTGAAGAAGCTTTGCTGCCCCTGTATATATGAGGGTTGGGCTCTGAAGCCTGCGGGAGAGAGCGCGACGTGGAGCAAAGTGTAGTGAAGAAAACGGAGGATGGTGGTACTTCAGCCAAGGCTAGGTCTGGGCCTGGGATACGAGGTGTGACTTATGGACAATATTAATCAACCATTTCTGAACTTCAAGACAAGCTCGTCGAATCCTCCCAGGGCTCTCTTGCCGAAAGCAAATCGCGCTGACCATAATACTCTCCGACCACAGTGATGATCATATCCAACATTGCCCGGGTTTGTATAGCGACTTCGACGGCATTTTCTTCTGTCTTGAGCTCGTATTCTTGAGCCTGGAGTGCGACGGGCTGAGGCCCACCCTCGGTTTCCTCTATCGTAGCCTGAAGCCGTGCTTTGGCCATTTCTAGCGCTTCCGCAAGAGGCTCTTTTTCAGCGTCTGGCATATCGTGGTCAAGAGATTCGCTAGCAGTATCGGCGGGCCCATCTGCATTCTTTCCCTTTTCTCCCTCTAGATGAGCCCCATCGTCGGCTGGGTTCTCGTCATCCGACTCTCCACTCGACATATTCTCCTCCACCCTAGCCGACCGCTTCCTCTCATCCTCCTCCCTCATTTTCCGCAAGATCTTCACGGCACGCTTCCCCAGATCCCGAATCTCCCCAACCTCCTCAGACGTCAGCTGTCCAACGTCGCGACACTTGCCCAGTAAACCCCAAGCCCAAGCGCCGATCCGTCGGACACGCGCCACATCACCACTCCTTACATTCTCCGACATCAGCCTCGCCATGATTCCCAACACCCCCAGCACACTATCCATATCCATACACGCCAACTGCGCCGTCTGTGGGTCCACCGCCAGTAAGAGTTGTCGCCACTCTTTGCGCGCATTCTTCGAGTGTCGGGGTAGACTGATGGGATGTGAATCGTCCAGCGCCGTTATAGCCACCGACGGCGGGGTGCATTTCAATATAGACCGCAGGAGAAGAAACCGATGGCGTAGAAGATTATAATAACTAGATTGCGCATCCGATTGCACGTGTTCGGTCGTCTCCAGTTGGACCTCTACATTCGCTATGGGAGCGGCGAGGTACACTCCATCAACATAGACACCCTCGTGTGCAACATCCGACTTCTTCTCTTCATTTTGTTGCTCAGGTGCGTCTACTACGGCGTCGTTCTGACCGGGTTGCTTCACGGGTGGCTCAGCGGGTCCGGGCGCGGTAAACAGGAAAGGCAGCGAATTAGCTTCTGACCTATTACCTCATGGCAACGCCAGGATTAGCTCTAGGTCTGCAAGTGAATCGCATTCATTGCGAGCTGCAATAAGCAAATACGCGCAGGCGTTCAGCAAGCGGGAAAGTATTGAGAAGGACGGGTAATTTGAGGGGAGAAAGGTGGGTGCGTAGCTTACCGGACCATGCGAAGATATTCCATGCCATCCTCTGCTGGACCGTAGAATAACTCATCGTCTCCGGCTGTGTCGAGGCCGGGGAAAGCACTCTTCTGTCCGTAGATCGGGTGGTTCCGAGGACGTTCGTACGGAGTTACGGTAGGGGCCATGTCGTCTTCATGTTCTTCGGCGTAGGAGGGACGGGATCGTTTCGGGTGGGGATTTTCGCCAGCAAGGGAGCTGGGCTGTTTGCGTTTTTCGGGTATGCTGGACATGGTCTTGGTGAGATGGGGGAGGGTTGGAGGACTGGGGGAATTTAATTAAGGAAAAGAGGCCTAGAGTTTGGAGACCCACCGGGAGCTTGGGCCACCTTTAAATACCATTACTCTCTAGCTATTTTTCTAACGCCTACACTAAACCATTTCTCGCAGCGTTAAACCTTCTAATATAACAAGTTGGTTTCATGATCCCATTATCTTTTGTTTTTATCTCATGCAGGTATAAAGTGTTCTTGATCATCTATACCGATACTGTTTCGAACAAACCGACCACTTAAGGGCGAAGACGCTGGGGGTCGCGAGGGAACAAGGTCGCCAAGCGAACGTTGGGCAGTCCCAAGAAGAACATGACAATACGGTTCAGACCAAGACCACCACCGGCGTGAGGAGGACAGCCTTGACGGAAAGCGTTCAGGTAGTCCTCGAAGCCCTCCTGGTCAGGGTTGATACCCTTAGAGCGCATCGATTCCATAAGTTCGTTCACGTCGTTGATACGCTGAGCACCAGACATGATCTCCTCACCACGCATGAAGAAGTCGTACGAGTTGGAGAAGCGAGTATCCTTCGGGTCGGCCTTGGTGTAGAAGGGGCGGACGGCCATGGGGAACTTGTCCAAAACGTAGAAGTCAGTGTCGTACTTCTCCCGGATAATCTGGCCAAGCTGCTTCTCCATAGCGGTGGTGAAATCATTCTCGAATCGCTCTTGCTCCGAGACATCGACACCGGCCTCCTTCAGCATAGCGACACCATCCATGTAGTTCAAGCGCAGAGCCTTGCCGTCCTTGGGAAGCTTGAAGTCGCCCGCCTTGGGGTAGGACTTCTGGATAACGTCAATCTGATCCTTGTAGCGCTCCTTAAGCTGGGTGAGGATGAAGACGAGGAGGTCTTCGGCGAATTCCAAAACTTCATGGTAATGGCTGTGGAAGGTCTTCTCGAAATCAAGACCGGAGAACTGAATAAAAGTGTCAGTCGGCTCTACTAGGAAAATAAAAAACCAGGTATCTAGGCCTTATTGCAGACGTACCTCAGTCAAATGTCTGTGAGTGTTGCTGTCCTCCGCACGGAAAACAGGGGCAATCTCGAACACGTTCTCCATATCACCAGCGATACACATCTGCTTGTAAAGCTGAGGACTCTGTGCCAAATATCCGTTCCTCTTGAAGTACTTGACCTCAAAAACGTTGCTACCACCTTCCGTAGCGGAAGAAACCAGCTTAGGAGTGAAGATCCACCTCGAGCCGCTCTTAATCATGTACTCTGCGAACAACTCTGCAACACCGCTGGAGATCCAAGTAATAGCCTGGCTAGTTTCAGTCTGCAGATCGAGAACACGGTTGTCGAGACGGGTCTTAAGGGTGACGATGGGGGCACCATCAGCATCAACCTGGGGACCCTCCTCGGTGGTCTCCGGAGGCGGTCTCTCAGCATCCTTGACCTGCATAGGAAGCTGCTGGGCCGCCTCAGCGATTGTGTAGACCTTGCGAATGTGCATTTCATGGTTGCTGAGAGTAGCCGAGGCAATGGGCACCTGGGGCTTCTTGACAACACCGGTAACTTGGACAATGGAGTTGACGTTCAATCCACCGGTGTACTTGACCATCTGTCTCGAGATAGGCTCCGCAGCGGCGATAACAGCCTGCACTTTCTTGCCCTGCTGCCTGAGCATCAGGAAGGCCAGCTTAGCACTCTGAACACGGGCATTATCGACACGGGCAACCACAGTGATCTCCTTCTCGTAATGGTCATCGGTGATATCATCGAACTTCGTTGTAGCGAGGACGTCCTCAGACTCAGGGATCGGGCCGTAGAGTCCCTTTGCAGTATCGTTGGCCTCAGCAGCAGCGGCCTGAGCCTTCTCTTGGGCAGCACGCGCAGCAGCCTTCTCCGCCTTAGCCTTCTCCTTTGCGGCCTTCTTCGCAGCGTTCTTGCTGGCGCTCTTGGTCTGCTCCGCACCCTCCGCGGGGGCAGCGGCCGGGGCCTCCTCGGGCTTGGGACGAGTGGGCAATTCGGAGTCCGCCATATTTGGTTGCAAGAGTTGTTCCTTGAAGAGAGAGGAGTAAGGGGATGTCAACGATCGACCGATGACGGCGTGAGCTTTGCAACCTCAATCAATACTTTGACTCACCCCACCTCATGATGGAGCCGTGCCCTAAGCCCTATGAGGGGCTGCATCACCTGATTTGGGTCGACCAGGTTTTCTGCCTCAGGCACTCAAGGGGAATAAGAGTTAATTAATAGCGGGCGAGTGGGTCTTCGTTACTATACAGTATATTACTCCCTTGACATTGAGGGATAAACACTGTATATAGTAAGATAGTCGCTGACAGGCTTCTACCTGAGCATGAATTTCTGGCGAGGTTGATGCATCTAGTAAATACAAGGCGCAAGCCCATTTTAGGAATATGTATATGTTATTGAATTTAACCCTTAATGAATATACCCATGAAATTTATCTAGTATGTAATAGTGAATAGGCTTTGGTGAATTCTAGCGGAAGTTGGATACTTGGATAATCAGGCCATATATACCACCTAGATAGGCCTTCTTGATAGCTCTATAGGATCATCAATCTGATCGTTTTGTGACCAAATAGATATATTATCTTGTACAGACCTGGCTGGCCTAATGTGGGAGACCACCCTAAAGCATGGTCTGTTCCTGGTCTAGTAGCCAACGAATTATACTTCATCTCTGACTTCATCAAAGCAACGCGATAATATAGAAAGCGGATATCAGATATGGAAGACTACGACAAAGCCACCAAGCTTTTTAACAGCATCATCGATCATTATGAGCCTTTACAGGCGCCTGACAATGAATATAAACCAATACCGCTTCTACGCAACACGAAGGAGGGGGTCTCCGTTAAAGACGACTGTCTGGCCCTTTTCTTTACTTTTATCGAAGCCAATCGGCTTGGAGTAACGGAAGGAAAGCCATTGCGCGGCTTTCAGGGCTGAGCTGTCGAAGAAAAACATGCCCTTGACCAAAGTTTGATCAGGTTCACCCAGGTTTCTGATGGATAATTTCTTCCTACCACATATGTTGCTGGAACGTATTTGAACCGTGAGAAATTTATTCTTCCTAGTAAAGGCATTGGCTGCAAAACCCACTCAACCTACGCCGACATCTCTTTCTCGTGCCCAACTATCACAATCGGCCATTGGCACTCCACAGTGTCTCTAATTACGGAAGGGCTGCCTTATACGTGACCGGCATCAATGTGTCGTAACCAGAAAATTCGACATTCAGAAGGCTGAGGAGCGATACAAAAAGGACGCAATCAACGTGGAAGACGATGGTGGAGATTCTCTGCTGCCAGAAAGAAATGATATGGCCTATCTGGAAGTGGCGCATATAATTGCTCATTTTCTGGTGTCGCTTAGCAATATTGGGGGAGCCAAAACTAGTATGTCGCAATATCAAAGGACTTTGATTTTTCGCTTACAGCTTCCCAGACCGAGCCAAAGCAAATAAGCCACAAAATTCTGAAGATGTTCAATCCCAGAACTGTCCGCCTTATCAGCGGGACTGACATTGACCGACTGATGAATGCGCTCACCTTGACTCATGACCTTCATAGGTTATTCGGTAATTTTGAGATTGCATTTGAGCCGATTGACAGTCAACCGCAGACCTACAAAATCAAGTACGTAAATGCAGGCCGCATATTTCGAGGCCACTGGCTTCCTGTTACCCGCACACTCTATGTCACCCCCGGGAGAAGTATAGAGCCACCTTCTATTCAACTTTCGGAACTTCATCATGCCATCGGTCAGATTCTTCATTCAAGTGCCGCGGGCAAGTATATCGATAAACTCATTCGGGACACGGAAGATATAGAAGGAGGACGAATGTGTTCGAACGGTTCTACTCGCATTGATGATTACATTCGTTACAGACTCACTGGTCAAGGACTGTTTTATGGTAGGTCTAGATAAGATCAATATTTAGGTCTGAGGTTTACGTCTCATATTCCACACTTGTCGGTGACAGCCGTAGTAGTATGATGTTCTCTAGCAATGGAAGTCAGCCCCCAAATGAAAGCGTGAGTTGGCACTATCACGCTCGGCATTCATTGGCCGTCGGGGGGTTTCCCGAGTGCGTCTTTTAGTTCGGACAATTCGGGCCCTGTGTATCTTGACAACAACGTTTCTGCTCCAGTTTCGTCGTTGGTGATAAGCTTCTACTTCATGTCATGATATTAATCTCCACTCACCCTACGCCAGGGGGAGAAGATCTTGTCTTCAGTCCATATACCCACAGGATGAGCAGCGCTGCGACAGCCACCTAGAGCCCGAGCCGAAGAAGCTCGCCCATGTTTCGCATGCGCCGGTGCTGTCTGTTATTCCGTCGCTCGAGGCCTTACTCCTGTCGATGTGTAAGTCGCGACATTTCTTGTTTCCGAAACATCATAAAGAATCGATATCATAGAGCTGAGGAACTGGTATACTACCAGCTTGATAAGAGATCTCAATGAACCGCAATTTCGGACAATGGCCGGCAACTGACAAATTGTACCATTGAACAGTGTTAAGACTTCGTATCCAGCTTGACCCGGTCACCTACAACCGCGGCCTGATCGGCGGCTTCCGCCAGGTCATCCAGAATGAGGGCGCGGGTGCCCTTCTGACCGGTGCCGGCCTAACCTTTGCTGGTTACTTCCTGCAGGGGACGTTGAAGTTTGGAGGTGCGATGTGAGTTATAAAAAAGCGGTTGAGCGAAGATGTACGCACTGCTTGAAGATGATAGGACCAGATCTAGGGTAGAAAGCAGCGAGACCCTCCTGGCGGATAATCTTAGAAAAGCCGGAGACAAGCCCATTGACAAAGCCAGGGTCCGACACCGACCGGATACGAGTGGCTTCCAATGGACAGCGAGCAATGCCGGCGAAGAACTCAGCACAACCGGCCGAATCACTGTAGACTAGGATGCGGCTGTTCTTCCCATTTTCGAGGCCGATGGTGTTGATAGACTGCTGCTTGAAGTCCCGTACGCCATTTCCAAGTTCGTCGTCTACGAGAAGGTCGCCAAGCTCGCCTATGACAAGTTCTTCGACGGGGAGAAAACGAGTGACACCATGCAAACCAGCATCAACCTTTATTCCGGTCTGATTGCCGGTTTCGCTGCCGCTATCGTCTCTCAACCTGCCGACACCATGCTTTCCAAGTTAATAAGTCCGAGGGTCCTTCTGGCGAGAGCACAACTAGCAGACTCATTGAGATCGCTAGGGAGTAGGGAGCTTGGCTTCCGTAGCTCTTTCAGTGGTATTGGTGTTCGTCTGGTCATAGTCGGTGCTCTGACAGCCGGCCAGTTCGCCATATATGGTACGTATCGAATGGTTGTAGCCGTATGGGAACCATTCCGCGATAAAGGCTAGCATTCCTCTCTTCTGTAGGTGACCTGAAGAACGCTATGGGAGCTGTTAGTCACACTGTCCCCCTTGACTCTTGTCTAGATTACAAAGTCAAGACAATGCCGCTAACGATTTGACAGGTTGGGGGTGTAGAAATCGCGAAACAGACCCCTGCGAACGGCAATTTCAAAAGAGAATATGGAATAGAGTGTACCAAGTGACACTATCTATATTTTATGGGCTATACGAAGATCGCATACATTTAGAGTTCCAAGCACAAATGTCTCTCGCTATGCCGAGCCCACTGTTATCTGTTCCTCGTCAATTCTTTGATATTTCCTTTTTTTGGCCTAGGGGAAGCTGAACCGAGTTTGTTGATAGAATTAATCCTACAAATGAATTGTTGTTATTCACCAAGAGTGGTCTGTTCCAAAGCCAAAGTCCAAGAAACCATATCCAGCCTCCAGAGTGATCCAACCCAAACGCAACATTTAATAACCGCCTACGAACTCAACCTCGACGATCACGCATCCGCAATCCAGTTCATAATGCAATAAAACAAGACCTAACAGATCTAGACATGCTACTCTGCAATGCCGGAATCAAGCATCAGCTAGGCAAAAGTGGACATGAGAGGACTATGTGGGGCAAGTTGGACTCAGTACTTTCAACACACACATAGCGGATTTTCTAGGATGCCCTAGCACTTAAACGCCGCCGCTTTAGTTAGAATATTTAGAGGCTTGTCACTTGTTTAGTTAGTAAATAATTATACTAATTACAGACCATTGCGCAGAGTCTACATGGTAAGCAGCTATATAATTTAGTAAGTGACTTGTCCGTTCTTTATTCAGTGTAGGTAGTTTATATCTTTATATAATAAACAGCGTTACACTGCTTTGTGGGCAATTGTCTGGATTAACCATTTTACCTTCTCCAGGTTCCACTCTTCCAGTCCCAAGAGGGAATTATCGTCTCTCGCCCAAGGGTGTGCAAGCGCTCTTGTAGCTAAGCAGTACTGTATTTGTACTTCAAACGTTGAGGCACTAATTCTGCCGGCCTTGAGATCCGCCAATGCATTTTCCAAAAGAGGGTCCATGTCGTTATATGTGGTTTCCCACCCCTCATTCCCTAAAACTCCTTTTGTTGCACTAAGAATTTGATTTTGCGACATGAACACGGAGTGAACATAGACCGGGCGGTTAAGGGTTTCTTGCGGATGCAAAAGCACATTCGCAGTTGCTCTGCCAACATCATCTAATGTCGTCCATGGCACAACGTTGTTCCCATCACCGAAGATGAAAGCTTTCTTTTCTTGCAAGTCCAGACCGGCAAAACCAGAGGAGATACCCCAGTCAAGGAAAGCACCACAAGCTACCAGGGTGTACGTCAAGCGGTGATGAGCCGCGTGTTTCTTGACGGCCTCATAAGAAGCTTTCTTTCGGGCGAAAACCGGCATATCATGAACACCTGGTAGGTCAGGATCGAGTCCAAAGTCGCTAGTGATACTAATAACGTGTGTAAACAGGGTATTAGCCAAAGAGAAGATAGCTTGCTATAAAATTGGTGGGCCTACGGACAAGCGATAAACCCCATTCTCGGCCGCCGCGTCAATAAGCCGGAGTGGTGCTTCAACATCGGGTGAGAAAGTAGTATCGATAACTGCGTCCTGCCCGGCGATAGCAGCAGATAATGACTTCACCGAAGTGAAGTCAACAACTTTCACGCGAGCAGCTGCTGGGAAAGGTTTGGAACTGCGACTTAGCACCGTTACATTGAACTCGAGATCGAGTAATGCACTGAGTACCCGAGCCCCGACATTTCCACTAGCCTAATAGCTCGTTAACTTAGACTGAATACAGTGTTCATCTTTTACCCTTACCCCGGCAATAGCCACATTCTTGATTGTATGTGACATTTTTTTTTGAGACCGGATGATTTGCAGTATGGCGTTTGATGAGAAGATTGTTAAGGGAACATAGCGAATGATAAATCACAGGAATTGGTTCCTATTTGAACTCTCTGGTTACACGTACATGATCTGGTGGTGAGCGGTTTTGGCTGGGAGCCTAGGACGAACTTCAGCGGAGATCGAGGATAGAGAAGCAAAGTTAGCGCCGTCAAAAAATCCTTTTCGGATTTGCTCTTATTTCCGACTTAAAAAGTGTACGTATATCCGAATCCACTCTAGGATGCATAGCTCTATGCCTTTTAGATTCGCGAAACATGCCACCGGACTCCGGTCTAAAACCATACAAAAAAATCGCTTATCTCCGCGCTTCCCCCGACTTTTCTAGGGGTACCAAAGATAATATTGACTACATGATACGGTACAATTATAATAGCCTTGGACTCTTTCATTGGAACTTTTCTTACTTCAGTACATTCACTTCAGAACCATACAATAAATACAAATCACTCAAGTCTAGAAATCCACCTCATTATCTCCACAGATTCTATTCTTTTAGCAATAAAATGTCCGAATCAACCATTGTCCTCATTACTGGTAAGATTCTAGCTGCGTCCGATAATTCCACAGTTCTCACTTCATATAGGCGCCAATTCAGGTGTCGGCTATGCAACAGCTAAAACCATTGCATCTCAGCCGAACTACCATGTCGTAATGGCCTGCCGAGATCTCTCAAAGGGACATGAAGCGCGTTCTCAGCTCGAAAGTACCAATATTCAAGGAACGCTTTCTGTTGTTCAGCTGGATGTCGAAAATGACACTTCGATTTCCAAGGCCTTCAATACTGTTTCCGACCAATTCGGGCGAGTCGACGTCTTTATTAGTAATGCAGGCACAACTTCGCCTGGAACTGCTGGACGAGATAAGATCGAAAAAATATTCTCAACAAATGTCTTTGGAGCGATGTTTACTTCAGAGGCTTTCATTCCCCTTCTGCTTCGATCCCGCCGTCCATATCTCATTCAAATATCAACTATGTTGGGCTCGCTAGAACTTGCATCCGATCCACAAAGTGCGCAAAGTAGGGAGGCGTGGGATGAATACCGCATGAGCAAAGCTGCGTTGAATATGATGACAATTCAAATGCATAAGCGACTAAAAGACCAGAATGTTCGCGTTTTTGCCTTTTGTCCCGGCCTTGTGCGATCAAGGCTGAGGGGTGATTCCGAAGAAGCCGTCAGTGCTCAAGGTCATGCTGGCGATCCTATGGAATCGGGGAAAGCAATCATGGAGATTATAGTCGGACGGAGAGATGAACATGCCGGCAAACTTCTTCACCGAAACGGAGTTTACCCTTGGTAGTTCTTTTCTTCTCAAAATATACACGGGACTGGAGCGTGAATTAGTAGCCGCGATGAAACCGCCATTTATTCCAAGTTAGCCGGCTATTCGTAATTTTCGCACAGTTTAAATAGATAAAGGTAGGCCTGGTGCCAATCTCATGATAGCCGAGTAAGTAGAAGCAGAAAAATAGCTAGATCAGATTCCAAGCTAATATTCTCAAAGTCTAGATTGTGACACAGGGCTAGTTTAAGTGAGCCCGTCCAAGTTAAACCCTACCAAAGTTGGAATACCTAATTCCGCCACCACCTCAATATCAATCAATCAAGAGCCTATTAACCTGTTAGAACCTAACTACTGAATGTCTAGCTATGCATGTGTCCTCTACCACTTCTCGAGGCTTTGAAGGTCTATCTTGTAATTGCTACATAGAGACAAAGCACTAACCCTATCAGCGCGCTCCTATATATATGGTTCCAGGGGGTGCTGGACCCCTAGTAGACGGGCGAAGACCGATATACAATTGCTGTGACATTAAGACAGGGTTTGGAGCGTTTACTATCTTTTGATACATTCCAGGAACTATAATGATTGTTATAGTAACTAAAGTGGACTGATGGTATATATGCTTATATTGTGCAAGGACGTCTGCTGATCTTATCTAAAATGCCAGATTGAGTAGTAAGCAGCATGCGTTAGCCTGTAGAAAGCGGTCCACGACAGAAATTTGAGTTTCTACTCGATCAGCTCTTTAAGCCTGCCATTTGGAGGACTTGAGCCCGTATTCAACAGCTTTCTTTACATTATCGAGAATGGTCTCTGGTATCCATGTAGGCTCTCCTCCACTGTAGACGCCAGTTCGCACAAGAAGCGAGTGCCACTTGCTGCCATGAGGACTTCTGTATGTATTGGCACCTTGGATATCAGATTCCGGGTTGTCTCCGACCATGTATACGTTCCGTAGAGGTATATTAGCCTCCGAGCCGAAGACTCGAGAGCGGTTCCGCAGGAGTTGGTTCTCAGCATATTCATAAGTTCCCTGGTAGGGTTTTCCAATGACGATTTTCTTCAGCTCAACACCTTTGCTCAGGCCACCAGTCGTCGCAGTCCAGGTACCTTCCAAGGCCTCCCGGAATCCACCCTGGCCGAGTCGGGGGAGATGATAGGCTGCAGCCCACCACAGGTCCGGATTCGAGAAGTAAAGAGTTGGCTGGCCATCCTGCTGATATCCCCGATTCGGCAGGTCAGCTCGTCCATTCTTCTCTGAGAGAGTTCCGAGAACTCCCTGGGACGACAACAGAAAGTCCATAATGACTTGCGCATCTAGCGCCCAGTCCCGCGGGTCGTTGTACACAAAAATAGCGTCGACCTTCAGGCCTTTCGTTGGATCGTTGGGATCCCGGGGGTTCGGCAATGGTCTTGCGAATGTTTTGTAATAGTCCTTAAAGACGTTTGAAAAGGGCCAGATGGTTGGGTTCGCCATGATGATATCACCGGGTGTGATCACGTTCTTGAAACCATACCTGGGGGCTTGTGTCAAAATTGTGCTTTGCCGCTAACATCACTCCGATGCACATAAGTACTATACCTCTCTGCAACCTGTCGGCAGCGGTCGCCTTCGCCTCCTACTACCAGCACGCATTTATTTTCTAGGGAACTCGGCTCGTCCGGTCCTCGCACCAGCTCCGCGAAAGGGGAATGGCTTTGTATGATCATCGAGGGATCCAATGGCAGCTGAAGTTTCTCGCTAATTTCTGCCACTCTCTCCGTCTCATGTTTCCCGCCGCCATTTGTCAAGAGGATGAAGGGGACCCCCTGTTCCTTGAGGAGGGCTAATGACTCCGCAGCGCCGGGGATGGGTTTTGAGGATCGGAGAAGGACACCGTCGATACTGGTCACGCAATTAGGTAATGAAGCTGCGGCAGAGCTCGGGGCATATTATACCTACTCAAAGGCGAAGGCGAAATCTGGGACGCGAGGCGGAGAACTGGCTGCTGTTTGAACAAATCGGCGGCCTGTGCCAGTTTCTAGGAACGAACATGCGTACGTGCGGTGAAGTTTGGCGAAGGACCGGCAAAGTCCTTGGGGCCGCATCTTGGACAAAAGACAACCGAGTAAAAGCGATAGGCGGGAGGAAATGTACGGTTTGAAAGAGGGTTAGGAGTATGAACAATGTGGGTGGAAGATGTGGAGAGGTAGTATTAAACTACTCCGAATTGGAGAGCTTAAGTCACGGGCAATTTATTAAATCAATCTCCTTATCGGCCGCATGATATCATTTCTCCCGCATCAAACAAAAAATATTGATTTAGTTTCAACTCCATTTCCACAACAAACATCGACTACTAACAACTTTACCATGGAAATCAGCCTTTTAAATGCCCCCAATGCACTCCTCGCGCCATATCCATGTCCCCACGGAAATCATCGTGCAAATAGTCTCCTACGTCGCTGGGGGTGAGCTCGAGCGTCAGAAAACCCTGTATGCCTGCTGTTTAGTATCTCGCCAATGGTACTCAGCTGCGATCGCATTTCTCTATGAAAGGCCTCGAGTGGACTCCGGAATATCCTTCCAGAGGTTTACAGAAACCATCAGTCCGCCAATCGGTGTACGGAAGAACAAACTGAATCTCGGGAGCTTCGTCCATCGACTGAACCTAAGTCACCTCGTCCATCATAGCTCCAATAGTCTAACTGCAAGACTACTGGGTCGAATCAAAGAAAATCTAGAAATTTTCATTGCCCCTACCCTAACCTTCTCGTACGTCTATCGTCCACCGCCAACTCGTACCTCTACCATAGAACCATGAAAAAGATGTCTAACAATACCCCAGAATAAACAGCCTTCCAGCCCTATCAAAATGCACCAATCTGCGACACCTCGACCTCGAACTCGTCCACGAAGCAATCCCCTTCCCCGCCCTCAAACAAGCCATAAGCCGCATGCCCAAATTAGTCGCCCTCAAACTCCCCCAATCAACCATCCTCACCGATCCAGAATCCTCCCAAAGTACCTGGCCACCCACCCTCACCCGCCTCCAGATAAGCGGCCGCTTTAATCCCCTCCTAATCCCCACCTTCTCCTGGCCGCCCTCCCTCACCAGCCTATCCCTTAAGAACTGCTCCGAGCTCTCCCTCTCAAACCTCAGCAGCCTCCTAAGCAGCCCGCACCTCGGCGAAAAGCTCACCCGCCTCACCATTTCTGGCGCAAACCGCGGTCTAACCCCGGACTCAATCAACGCCATACCCGCCTTCCTGCCCAATCTCATCATCCTAAGTGTACCCGGCGACATGGTGGAGGACTCGTTCTTCATTATTCTGTGCCATATGTTCCCGCCATTGGGTCTGGAGGTACTAGAATTCGGGCTTCCGTGCGTTGACCTCAAGGTAAATTTCACGACGAAAACGCTACTGGGGGCGCTCGATACCGGACTGCCGAGTCTTCGTTCTATCGGATTTGCGGAGGAGCTTGTTACGGATCAGCGGCTGGAGGAGGACGAGGAGATCGATGAAGTTCTCCAGGCACGGAATGAACGTCGTCCGGCTCAGGCTGGGGCGGAAAGTCGGGATGATGAGGAGGAGATAGGTGTCTATTATACATGATATTTGTTCATGCATTACAAGATGTATATATTTTCAGCTACGATTTACGATTAGAGTAGCTTTAAAGCAGATTTTTATTTCAGCAATCTGAATATCCTCGTGGGAAAGTGTACGGTTCGGGGAAGCGGCTTAAAATAAATGAATTAAGACGAGACGTAATTATTTGATTGAATTTTAGTGCAATATCAGACGATGTCGAACTTCATTTGCTAAGATACAGGCATTGTAAGACGGTACTTAGTTGCTCAAATAGGACGATAAAGCAATATACCTGTAGTAGTCGCACTACTCCGTATCAGCGAAATCAACTATTATAGGTTTCTCTTCTATATAAAAACTAGGCATATGATAGGGTCAAGTCACATCGCTGTCATGGTTCCAAAACCGACGACTCAAGTAGCGTTATCCAACAGACCAATATGAATGAAACCGCTTTTGGCAACTACAAGGGATACAAGAGACTAAGATGAAATAGTCACGACAAACAGCAAGGAAATATGATCACAGGAATGAGATGGGTAACAGTGTGGACGCCTACAAGAAGGGGTTAAAGGGGATAGGCGAAGAAGAAAGAGAAGTAAAACATCGTATCTAGCTCGACACCTGGATTATTGAAAAAGAGAAGGAAAAGAAAAAGAAGCAAAAGAGCAAACAAGCAAGTCCGATCTCATAATGCAGGACTCGTTGCAATGTACGCCTCTTGACATGACAATCCCCCCATTACCATTTACAGTTGACAGCCTCAAGAAAGGGACGCAATCACAGCCGGTGCAACGCCTTCTTCCTCCGCTCTGACAGTGATCTTCGTTGTAACGCCGGACTTGCTGGAGAATGCCATCTTGATTAGGGCTGCTACCCGGCCACCTGACACCGTCTTTCCGAAGAGTTTGAGGGTATGCGTGCTGTTGCTGAGAGCCACGTCGGTTCCCTCAAGAGGTTGCAAAGATAGTGCGGAGATTAATTGTTCAGTAGCATCTGTACATTGTTTAGTATTTAATATTTTATACCAGCCAGGTACAAGCGTAAGGTGGCTTACCTGAGATGCCCTTCATATTGCTGAGCTGCAGGGTTTCGCTGACTTCCTCCCCGTTTGCGCCAGTCTGCTCCCAAACATGATCGAAGCTACCGGCAAATGTGGGAATAACATAATCGCTTCCTGCAATATCCAAATCCTCGACTTGGTACTCGTCCTCGTATCCAGAGTCCTCGGACTCTCCAGTCGTAGGATCGATCTCCTTGCTAGTGAACTTCAGGATGTTTGTAAATGATGTGACCGGTACGCTGTGCTCTCCAGCAATTTTCTTGAACGTAACATAGACAATTCCGGGCTCATTTGCAACAAGCTTGGGGATAGGAACGATGAATTCTTCCTCCAGAATATCCTCCTCAGAGGGCGTCACAACTACAGTGACATCCTCTAGGACAGTATCCGGCAGAGTATTCTTAATGTCGTACTGCACCACAACGTGTTCCTTGAAGATGTGTTTGACCGCCGTGACGACGTATTCCGTTTCGCTTTCGGTGAGTTCGACGGGGACAGAGGACTTAAGCAAGGTACCATACTCCTTGAGCTCGGGAATCCGCATAAGCTGTTCAGCATACTTCTGGGTGGCAGCAAGGGTAGCGGCTTCGGCAACGCCACTGGGCTTGCCCTTTGGAGGACCAGTGGATGGAGCCTTGAGCGTGGGGGTGGCGGTGGTGAGCTTCTTCGTCCGCTCTTCAGCCAAAGCTTGTTCCTGTGTAACTACCGGGATCGTAGAAACGTCAAATGCTGCAGCAAACGTCTCCTTCTCTGTCGATGTCACGTACATCACGAGCTGGTGCTCGAATGTAGAAAGAGAGTACATCGAATCTGAACCTGTCAGTAAACAAGCAAAGCCAGAGGAGCTTGTTCCGCTCAGCTTACCGTTTTTAAGGAAAAGCGACGCAGTCTCGTCCTCCTCGGCCATAAGACGGAGATTGAGAGCAGCACGATCGCGCACCTCGTCATCAGTATCATCGAGACAGCGTGTAAGAAGAACAGAAACGCTTGACTTCACCTCCGGGTCCTTCTGTCCAACACCAAACTTGGCTAGGGCCGTCACGGCGGCAGCTCGTACGATAGCATTCTCCAAGACAACTCGGTTATAGATATAACGAATGTACTTGGTAGGATGAGAAGTCTTTGGGCCCTCTACACCAAGAAGGTGCAATACCCGAACGGACAGTTTGGTAAATTCACAGTCTTCAATGAACTCACACAGATGGGCAAGAGCTGATTTACGTTAGCATGTACATAGTGCCAAGGAGACACACGTGGGCTTACCGTCTTCCCTGCTCTCAGGAACAAATTTAATCAAATCGAACATGCTCTCAACGACACTCCGCTTGAACTCATATCCACCTTCATCCCTCAGAATGCCGCTCAGGAATGAAAGCATGCCCGCCTGCTTGCTGGGGAACTTCAAGCACAGTGTCCGGATAGCCTCGACAATAGTGATCTTGAATTCATCGGTGATATCAGCCATGAAACCAGAGATCTGCTTCATCAAACGGTCCACACTAGCCTCGTTGCCAGTCTTAAGCAGTGTGGTAATAGCGAAGGTAGCGATGGAGCGGTTAGAGTTCGAGATCAAAGACTCGATGTCGGGATTGCAGACATTCACCACGTGAGGCTTGAATGATGCGAAGTTATGGAGAATGCGGATGGCTGCGAACTTGGTGATAGCCCGAGGAGAGGACAGGAACAACTGCAGAACATGAACAGCCTGAGAAGCCTCGGCATCGGTGACGTCTCTCATGTCGCAGATAGCCTTTGCCGCCTCGAAGTTGACCATCTCATGCTTGTGTCGGAGCCAGCCATCAAGCATCTGCATCATGGGCTTTCTCAAGCTCTGATCTTCTTCCGCCAATTTCGCTGCCAATCGCACCAAGAGAACAAGAGCAGCAGGGCTCTTAACCACACCAGCAGCACCGTACTGCTGGACCATCTTGACGAGAGCCATTCGATCGTGAGAGCGCATCTGATAGAGAAGGCCAATTGCGTGGTATTGCGTCATGAAATTCGACTGCGAGACGGCGTGGGTAGAGCTGCCGCCGAATCCAAGGAATCCAGTCGATTGCTTTGAGGACGAAGCTGCCTCCTGCGTCTCACTCTGCCATCTGCGGACAACATCACGGGCGATTGGGAGAAGGTGGTACGAAGAGACTAGGGCGGCGGAGGAGACCGAGGGGGTCTTGTCAACAATGGCGGTCTTGATCAATCGCTCAATACCTTGTACAGTAGTGGCCTTCATAAACAGCAGTTAGCTCGCACTCAGCGACGGGAGAGGTATACAATGCGCTTACATCGATGATGCGGCACAGTGCACGGATAGCATTCGCCCGGTAGAGCACATCACTACCGACAGCGGTGTCCTTCATGATAATGCTAGTTGACATAATAACATCTTCCGCAGTGTTGGCAAGCTCTTTGAGAACCAGATATACCATTTGCCGCAATGAGGGGTCTTTATTCTGGAACAACTTGGAAATACCGAAGAAGAGCGTGGTCGCCTCGTTTGTAGGGAATTGCTCCCCCGTGAAAAGGAGCACCGAAATCTTGGTCAGGAGAGTACGGCATGTTCGCGGGGAGATAGGTGAGGTGTTGAACAATCGTGCTAAACGCGATAAAGAATGCGGTTTAGCCAACGAGGACCATATACACTCGATGCGAACCCGGGGGAATTGTTTATGCTAGTCCCTTACCGTCTTGAAATACGGAGGTCCGATCCAGCTTGATCATAGTCTGGTCGGCGTCCTCATCCTTCTTCATGTAGCTCATGATGGTGGGCTGCAGTAGTTGCAGCAGCTGGGAATCTCTGTCTCACACTCTGTGTATAGGAAATAGACCCCGTTGAAGTGACGTCGGAGTCAATGGGCGAGTAAGGGCGGGTCAGGTCCAATGTTTAGTTGTAGGTCGTGCAGGCGGTGAAACAATGATTACCGCACCCTCATTATCTTCCAGGAGAGACCGAACGGAGAGGGAGCGATACGGGGACGAGGTAGAGTAAATGATATGGCGAACCCGTCCCAGGGAAGAATGAATGGATGTTTAGCCAAAGCGTTGGACGAGGAGGTCCCAGATGGGTATCCAACAATCTCCAGGTGGCCTTAGTCTACTTAGTCCTTCCGCGCTGTGGGCTTAAATTAAAGCCACCGTGGCTGGTGCTGCAAACCATACAAACAGGCGGCATGCATCATCACCATTTCTTATATGGTTGACTGGTGCCTCCAGTGTAACTTCACTTGGGACCCAGTTTACTTTTACTGATATCCTTGATCCCAATTGTTTGTTTCTCACGGTAAATTGCTACACCATGCAAGTTGAAGTCAACCCCAACGAAGATACAGAATGGTCCGCCTTCTACCTCCCCCACCAGACCTATACCCTATACAAACTTACACTCACCCCGCCGCAGGAACGATATTCTCCGCAAACACGGTGTTATCCCCGAAAAACCTCAGGACCCTGAACCTCTCATTCAAGAAGCCCTTATTGAGGCGGAACGCAAAGCCTACGAGAATCGACTAGAAGATAAAGATTTGGACGAACTAGATGAGTTAGAGGACGAAGAGGATGAAGCATTCCTTGAACAATATCGGTATGCCCCCGTTGAAGTTTCGGCGCGATCCAATCGCTCATAAGGGACACAGAAAGCAGCGTTTCGCAGAGCTCTCCACCATCCAGAAAACCAGCCTCTACAACCAAGTCTACCCTCTTCAGAAAGTCGACTACGCGCGGGAAGTGACCGAGGCATCCAATATCGCATTTGTGCTTGTCCATCTCTCGTCGTCGACGGGTGGCAATGTTGAGTCGCAGCTCTTGACAGAGCTCTGGCGACAATTAGCAACGAAGTATGGTGATATCAAGTTCTGTGAGATTCGCGGCAACATGTGCATTGAAGGGTATCCGGATAGAAACACGCCGACAATCTTAGTGTATAAGGATGGCGAGATAAGACGACAGCTTGTAACACTGAGAGAACTTAAGGGTCCCAGAACTAAAATTGAAGGTAAAGTCACAGCAATATTCCTTTGTACAGCTTTTGCTGTACAGGTTCAAGCCTCGGTGCTAACGCCTATGTCTCGATAGACCTTGAGAGGATGCTCCTAGATCTAGGTGCCCTCAAGGAGAGCGATGTCCGTTTAAAGAAAAAGTCGGAAGACTCAGACGACGACCGTCCGTCAAAGAATAAAAAGCCTGTGGTGGAAGACGACGATGACGACTGGGACTGAAAGAGAATATTATAATCGTTCTGCAATACTAGATGTCATGAATAAAACTCTTACTCATAAAAAGAGTTCAGAACCGTTCATTGTGTGCATCGATTCTACGCAGCTTATATGTATGGATATTTAGTTACAAGGTAGCCAGCTGGACCTGGAGACCAACTCATTGTATAAATACCTTTGGGGAAATGTTATACTGATCATGTATTGAGATTGCTGGTCTTAAATAAAACAACCAGTTTTGAAGAAACGCAAAAATGGATGCCAAACGCCATGTGGATATATATCTCCCCATATAGGGAGTAAAAGGGTAACATAGAAAGAGGATAAGCTTGCCTTGCATATAATAACAAAAAGCGCACCTAGTACAGTCAATGGCTACCGTATTCTAGGGGGATACTACATAAAAAAGCAAACTACAAGGCGAGACGCCCCGATGACAAACACCTGTGATATAATCAACATGGCAAGGGTTGTGGTGGAATATCCACGTCAGCTCACGAACTGTTCTAGACCTATTCAGATGAATAGAACAATATAAGTGAGACACTCCTGTACCCAAACGCTCCGAAATGCCTGGCGGCTACTAAACCACTCATCCAGCCATTATAAAAAAAAGCCCTTTAAATGGTAAAGATTCTCCCAAGTACCTTCCAAAATAAGAAGTATAATAATCATCATAATCATTAGTCCTCGCACCAAAAACACCGATTGACAAGCGCCATAACTAAACCGTACCAAGCTCGAAAGAACAACTTTGTGACTCCGTGGAACTCGAAACTCATAGAAGATCATCATGGTTAGCAGCAGCGCTTTCTTCAATCGCCTTAAGCACCTGGCCCTCAGGGAAAGCGGGGCCTTGTCCATCACACTGGGTTATATTCTTTAGTCGTTCCGAGACATCTTTAATATCTACTAGCCCGCGCTTAAATAGCTCGTGTCCCTGGATAAGGTCCCATGTAGCGCCAGCACCGAGTAACTTCTCTCCTGTTTTCGCACAAGTTGACACTCGATGAAGACGGGATGGTTCGCCTTTGGGCACAAGCTCCGAGTAGAAATCCGTGGGCGAATATCTCATTGGCCCGGTCGTCAATGGCTCGTCCGAGTTGTTGTTATTTGTTCGACCGCCTGAGCCTGATGTTGCGCGCAGTATCTCGTTCTCCGTTGTAAACCTAGCTAACTCTCGTTTCAAGCGTTCATTGTCCGCCATCAAGTCGGATGATGCTTGCTCCAGATTGTTAACCTTATCTTCCAACTCTCGCACATGTCGCTCCTTTCGTTCACGAAACGCGCGTTGACTAGCGGATCGAGAGACACGCATCAGTATATCATTGGAACCCTATCGCGGTGTTTGCCACTGTCTCGTTACGAGTCTAAAAGAAGGCATTGAACCTACGCAGCTCTGTTCTGTGCCTTGCGCTTTGACTGCGCCGGAGTCATAGACTCCTTCTCTTCACTACTGCTCCGTCCCAGACCGGGCTCCCCATCTATCGAAGTCGGCTCGGTCGGTTGGCCGAGGATATCACTGCTAGAAGCGGAGTGCTTGGAGGATGATTCGGGCGGGGAATGTGGCGGACGTACAAAGGAGGCGGGGTTCTGGAAGCGGAACGAAGGGTCAAAAGACTGATAACCCTGTATCCCCTTGCAACAGTCAGCTCATCAGAATTCGGTCTCAGACGAGCAGCGAGAGGAATGCGGACCAACGAAGCAAAGGTATTGTGGATATCATCGGCCTGAGGGTTGTCGTCCTGATAATTGTTGTTACGGTTGCCATTGTTATCGTTGTTACCGATCGCCGGCACTCCTTGAAGGTTGTATAGAGGGAATGATTGGGACTGAGGAGGGTTGGGATAGTATGGGTACTCCATCTCTTAACTTTTCCCTTCGGCGATCTTAGGTATGATAGGTAGATAGGAGGTTGAGGAGGAGTAAGAGCCGCGATAGCAAATTAGGGTCGGGTCTAAAAACCGGGGGAGGGCATTAGCCTCAATTTATCCGTGTGTATTTAAATTGAATGTATATTGGATGTATGTATGGGTGTATGTAATTTACTGTATTACATGAAATTTGTCTTTGTCCGGATGTGTCAAGATCAGTATCAAAGTCAATATCACACTTAAGTAGGCAGGTAGCTAGCTAGCTACTAATTAATTTCTCCTTCTCACTGATCTTGGTATGAATGAACATTCGCCTGCAAAAATAAAATCCGCAGCCCCTCCCACGTCTTGTCCAATCTAACCGCCCACCAGACTAGATCTCCGATCATGGACGTCTCTTACAGCCAATGGCCGTACCTTAACAATTGTCAGATAAAAATAGTAACTAATTCGACTAACGGCACGCACTAAATAAGGCAGTGCTTACTTCAATGCTACCCTCGTACTCTGTACGACCTACGAGGGCTTTCGCACGTGGATCAGGAAAGCGCACATTACCAGGCAACATATCTCGACCCGGTTGGATTAAAGAGACACCCGATTACAGAGAACCAATGCTTCAGCGGAAAATAACTGGGATAATATGTCGAATACAAGACAAGATCACAGAAGAGACCTCGACCGCTAACTCTTTGCAACTGGAGCCATTTGGTTCAATTGTCCAGCGCCTTTGCAGCCAGGTTTCCTTCGAACTTTGCCCAGCCTTATTCACATAAACAAGATGGGAGAGTAAGCGAGAACAACGAAAATACAAGACACGACAAACGGAAAACATAGCACGACGCAATACCACCCCGGAAGCGACCCTAGCTATGTTCCGTCGCCGATTACCTATTGTTGAGATGTGTTTCTCAAATGTCCAAATCACCATAAACAGTGCCGTCACCCGTATCATCTAGTTCTTGTACGGAATGTTCAAATAAGTAGTGAACCTTGACCCTCGGACATCAGGAAATAACCGCCTCAACACATCTTCACGTGTCGTACCTTCATACTCATCGTCCCCAGTGATGCGTCAATAATAACATGATAACAATTTGGGATGCTGAAAAATGCATAAAACAGGAATTCAAAAGACAATTTCAGAGCAAGGGGGAGGGGAAATGAAACAAAACAGTAAACGAGATATCCGAGGGTCATCAGTGGCAGGCTCAACTGAAAGATACACCTCGTTCTGTCGGAAGACAGAATTTTCATTTTGCATCTCCTTCGGTCTAACCCTCCCGGTCGGTTTTGGCAGATAAGTGTAACTCTGGATGATAAACAAGACAGCCGGGGAGAGATGACGTAAAATAGCCACTGTAAGAGCGTTTTGTTCCTTACTACCCAGGACTTTCCACATGCGGATCGCGTGTAATATTTCTCAGTATGAGTTCGGAAGTAGTCGGTTACCAAGGTTCCGGCACTAGTGGAAGAGCCAAATGAACCAGTAGGCAGGTCGGGAGTCAAAAAAACGCGGCGGATCGAAACGGCGATAACCGGGAAACGATCGAAAACGGGATGACGGGCTAGCAGAGAATGCAATGACGAAAAATAAAGAAAGAAGAATGGAGACCCAAGGCGAAAGAAGTCGGAAGGTTTGCTGCAGGTAGCAGTAGGTTACCAGTGTCACGATGCTCCCGGGTTCCTCAGATAATGTGATGTCAACACGCAGGAAGCTAAACTGTAATCACAAGAGAAAAGCTAAGCTACCCTGCCGTGCTGTACAATTAGTACCACTGAGCACCGTACCCATCGTCCCGCTTCGAGCGGCTACCGGCAGGCCCATAAGCACCTGAAGCAGCAACCTTGGAAGCAGAACGCAGCCTAACGCCGAAGACTATGAGATTAGTCAGATTCTAGGACTCAAGGCGACCTCTACGCGCGGGGTCAAGGCAAATCACCAAACGCAGAGGAAAGGGGTTCCCTACACGGAACCTAGGTTTCAGATACTCACATCCTGTCACTCCCTCCCACAGCACGGTTGGTGTCCGGAGTGTTGTCGAGAGTTCCACGTTCGATGACTTTGCGGCGCTGGCTCGAGATAGCACCAGGCTTAGTTGCAGCACCAGGAGTGCCTATTGGGGCAGCAGCAGCCACACCTTGGCGGCGCTGCTGGTCCTCCGCCTCTTTGTCCTTCTTGTTGCTGGCATCGACAATCATTGCAGCATTCTTCTGGTACTTGTACACGGTCCAGTCGAAAACATAGTCATACTGGAAAGACTCGCGAACGAAAAGATCACGGAAAATCTTGCGGAGGTACGAATAGTCAGGCTTGTCATCGAAACGTAGAGAACGGGTGTAGTTCAAGTAGATAGAGAATTCATTAGGGAATCCGCGGCAGAGCACCTCGGTGGGTGTAGTCATCTTCTTCTCCATGATGCGGTCATACTTCTGCTTCTTAGTGGCAGCCTTGAGTCCCTGCCAGGGGAGAGTGCCACGGCAGAAGTAGAGCATGACGTATCCTAAAGACTCCATGTCATCACGGCGAGACTGTTCGACACCCAAATGGGTGTTGATACTGGCGTAACGGGCAGTTCCGGTAAGGTTCTTGTTCTCGCGGTAAGGAATGTGGAAGTGCGTCTTGGGGTCTCGGTATTTTTTGGCCAGACCGAAATCGATCACATTGACCTGGTTTCCGCGCTTGCCAATGCCCATCAGGAAGTTGTCGGGCTTGATATCGCGGTGAATGAAGGACTTGGCATGGATATACTCGATGCGGGAGATGAGCTGATCTGCCAGGAGAAGTACGGTTTTGAGGGAGAATTTGCGGTTGCAGAAATTGAACAGATCCTCCAGACTAGGGCCGAGAAGGTCAATGACCATAGCATTATAGTCGCACTCAGTACCGAACCAGCGAACGAAAGGGATGCCAACACCACCAGCAAGAGACTTGTAAACACGAGCTTCGTACTCAAGTTGAGGGTGCTTGGCCTTGACACTCTCAAGCTTAATGGCAATCTCCTCGCCAGAGATGATATTGGTACCTAAAATTCCGTCAGCTGTTATCCCCCAGCTTTTATCATAAGACATGATAACACACCAAGGTAGATATCACCAAAGCTACCGCTTCCGATCTTGCGACCAATACGGTACTTGTTACCGACACGAAGATCCTAGCAATTTTGTTAGTGTGGCCACTAGATCATGAAGAAGGGTACTAACCATAGTCGTCATCTTGATTAAACGCACACACAGCTGCTAGCTGTGAGATCACGAAGACTGTAGCTCAGGTGGTTAGTAACAGAGGTTGGGCAGTTGTTGAGTGTGGTGGATTAGAAGTGCTCAGGCCAGCAATTAGGAAAGCCTTTTAAAGTAGAACACCGAATGTGGTTGGAAGAGGTAGGAGAGAAAAAAAGGGTCACAAAGAAGCAGGCTAAGTTCGCAGCCTTCGGCGCGTAATTACTTGGCACAGTGAATTAAGCCTGCTGAAACTAGGGCCAGCTGACAGTAGGGAATTCCTGGCAGTGAAACACGCCGAAACACAAGCAAGAGGTTCGATGTGTAACTATCGTCACGACGGGTTCCAACCAAAAATAGTGAGAGTCTGACAAACCTTGTGGAAAGAGGCGGGTGAACAAGGTGAGATATCGGTGATGTCGACTGTTGGGGCTCCGACCGACCGTAAGGGCCCGAACGGACAGGCGAAAAGGCGGAGAGGGAAAAAGAAAGGAGAAGAGGTGGTAACTTGACAGGCCTTTAGAGAGGCTGACAAGGAAACACAAGGGTTAAAAAACAAAAAAAGGGTAGATAAGAGAGAGGGAGGGGACTTAAGGAAGAGGAAAACAAATGCTAATGAATCAAGGACAACGCCTTGATATCGGAAGGTGGGATGGAGAGGAAGAAGGGAAGGAAGAGGGAAGAGGAAGGAGAAGAGAAAGAGAGTAAGAGAGAGGGGGCGGGTAAAAGCCGATGATAAGTTTGACCGTGGTTGGCGGTCGCAGCCTGTCACAGTGGTCTGCCGTAGTAGGTATTGTATTACTTTACGAATATTATCTTACCGTGAGGTTATTTTTATTCCATTCTGTTTTACTAAGGTATTATTAGGCAGTGACTGGTCGGGCGAAGACATCCTATAGGGTAGAAATATTACAATAGCAAAAAAAGAAAAGAAAACAAGAGGTGAAAATAAATTGAATCTGTCTGAGAAAGGATCTGGGAGGGGGACTCAGGAAGTCGGTGAAGAACTTGAAATTTGTTACTTGAAGGGCATCCGTAATTTAGTTTACATAGATTTTATTATATTTATTTTGATTTGATTTTTTTTCCTACCGAAGATTGTGTCTGATAATTTCCAGTTACTCCATTGTCTGTCTCTTTTTCGTTCTGACCGATCTCACACTGCGGTTTGCACTTCCATCTTCTCTTCTACTAAGCGGTATGTGATCACTTTGTCGAGAAACTATGCCAATTCGAGGTAAACGCAACACCCATACCCATAACGCCAAAGGCTTTTCCTTACCTGTATAGACGGTGCTCAGGACCATCACAATATTTCCTATAAATATAGGTAAGGAATGTATATATAGTACGAGACACCCCTGAAACATAACAGACCAATATCCCAGAATGCATCCGTACTTCGAATCAATGCAAGACTGGGCGGCGAAGGTGAAAAGGGGATAATTCAAAAAAAAAAAAAAAAAAAAAAGAAAACAAAGAAAGAAAGAAATTTGAAAGAGAGAAAGAAAAAATTCGATCAAAAAATGAGAAAAAATGAGAGAAAGAAAAACCAGGTCTAAAGCTCGTGGCAAAAAGTCGGTGCACATTCCATGACCACATGGACACTTGTATGTGGATTGAATTTTAGTAGCCGCGGATTACAACAGCAACAACTGACTCCGGAGCAATGATGATGATACCAGCTGTATTGTCTTGTCTTTTTTTGATTCTCATCCAACATTGACTGATTGCCTTGCATGGGGCTCAGGAAATTAAATAACGGGTCCTCCCCCGTCCATCCAATTGCCCATTGATCTGGGGTCATCTGAGTCTGGGCAAAATTAGATGGATCCGCCGGTATACTCCGGACTATGTCAGGTAATTACGGGCGAATACGGGGCCCGATCTTGGGCAGAAACTAGTGCTAGCTCAGGATTTCTGACACCGACGCTAGAGTCATTGGTAATTATATTAAGTATATATATACATCGGATGACGGACGATCATTTGGTTTTTGGCCGCGTGGTATGATCTACCCCATACTGATTCTGACCTACAGTTCCAAATACCATGTTTGTTTAATTTTCTCTCTCTATAAAATATATATTATCTTTTATAAGATCTTGGTGGGTAGCGCGCTATCACCCACGATACCACCATTTTATCCACATCATTACACTCAAAATTTCAATTTAGATTTATGTTATGTTATGAATACGATCGAAGCTAAAAGTTCCTCGGCCCTCAAGGCGACAATGGCCTATGGATACAATGTTTTGCCGTAGTTAAATTTACCGCCCAACCATGTGCATCATGGTCCGACGCCGATGAAATTATGGCTTCCCAACAAGCTCAATTATCATCTGGATTGCGCGGAATTTCCAACGCTGTTTGACGGCTAAAACCGATGGGGGATGATAGATCTATATCATAGAAAACTACGGTACTAACTGAGTTCCTTTTCGATAAGAATTGTGCTTGAATAGCAATTAACTGGTTCAGTTGAGACAGAGGCTTCGTGAAGTGAAAGGTAAGTAATAGTACATTCCAAGGCAGGAGTCAAAATGTGAAGGGGTATAAAATAGAGGAAGAAAAAGAAAAGAAGAAGAAAAAGAAAACATAGGAGATGAAAGGAAGGAACCCAGACAGGACAGAATGAGAATGAAACCATAAGTCTCTGGAATCTATCGCACACCGACAATAGTAGCCAGCAGATATCCAGAGAACAAAACAAAACAGACATGCCTTTATATTGTCCAGATGACAAACTGACAATTCATCAAACATACAGTGACAGAGTGCCCTGAGCACGAGCGATAAAGCTGAAGACGCAGGACGAATAACCATGGCTCTGCTAGTCTCAGACTTCAGCGCATGTTTACCAATAGAGTATAGACAAATTAACCATATACGGCTGAGCTTTTCAAATCATGTTTGCTGTTGTAGGGCCCCCTTCTGTGTTCCGGGGCTTGCTTTTCTCGGGGGAACTTGCCCTGGTATCATCCTCGTCCAAGCGTCGCCTCCATTCAGCTAGGCTGTCGCTCAGCCCTGTCTCTTTGGTAGGGGTTCGATCGAAGTCAGACTGAGTACTCAACCGGTAATTCCGGTTAGTACTTTCCCAGTGGTTACGCAAGGCTTCCAACTCATTAGCCAAGGAATCCAAAGCCATAGAACCGCGATTATCAGGGAAAGGATGATCTTGTGACACAGCACTGTCGGCTCGAGATCTGCTGACAGTATTGCTCGAGGCATTGCTATAGGTGCGTGAGATGCCATTCATGTTTTGGCCATGCTGAGACTGTCGACGGTAATGACCAACTGAGGCCTCCACTTGGTCTAAAAGCATGTTGACCTTCTGTTCGGCATCCGAAGCACGACTTTCCAGCAGAGAGTTTTCGCGTTTGAGTTGATCTAGCTCGGCGCGGCCCTTTTCCACCGAAGCAATCAGTTCTTGCTTAGTGCTTTCATATTCTGATCGAGACTTTTCTGTGTCAGCCTCGGCGGCAGAGAGATCGTCTTTCAACTTGGCGATTTCGCTCTCAAGCTTTGCGATAGAGGACGATGTATTTTGTTGTAGATCAGCGAGAGACCGTTGAAGTTGTGTGCGCTCAGTCTCCCACTCCTGCATTAATCCACTAGAAGTTTGGGCCGCGCTACCCTGCGCCACTTCTAGTTCAGACTGGATTTTTGCATTCTGAGACTTATACCGAGTGAGCTCATCCTTCATCCTTTTTAGCATCTTTTCAGTCCCCTTGACGTAATGAACAGCTGATTGATAATCGTTTTCGAGTTGTTCCAGCTTCTCCTTATATGCACGATCAGCCTCTTGTTCGCGGGACTCAAATGACGCCTTCATTTCCTCATGAGCCTTGAGACTGGTCGAGAGTTGTTGCTCAAGTTCCCGAAGTCTAGTTTGTTCAGGCGTTCCAAACCGAGAGCCAGGGGAATCTAGTCGAGGAGAACGTCTGCTATCAGTATAGTTGACACCACGCTCGCCAAGGAGATCTTTGAGGGCGGCGTGTTGGATGGCCAAGGCACCAGCCTCCCGCTGGTTATTTTCAAGCTGGGCCTTCAGCTCTCTGTTCTCAGCGGCGTGAGCTTGGCCGTCTTTCATAGCTGCCTGGAGCTGCCTTCGAAGCTGCAAACCTTCTCTACTAGCTTGCTCCTGGTATGCTTCTAACCCTGCAATCCTTTCTTCTGCACGGCGGAGTTTGTCCGCTGCTTCATCTGCAGCCGTTTGGCTAGCTTTTGCCAGCGTGTTCGCCCTTTCCACCTGTGCCTCCAATGCAGTAACACGCTGGTCTGCGAGCGACCGTATAGAAGAATCAGAATCAAATGATGATGCACGATCAAGTCCTGACAAGAACGCATTCTTGTGAGTCTCAGCCTCTCTGGCATTGCTATCTGCAAGCTCTTCCGCATCCCGCAGACGGCGAGTAGTATTTTCAAGCTCCGCACTCTGTTCTTCGTGCTCGGATCTAAGTTGAAGTAATTTTCTCTCCAACCCCTCGCGACGTTCGCGCTCCTCATCTAATTGCTTTTCAAGAAGGGCCGCTTTACCTGAAGATGCAGACACAGCCTCTCGGAGAGTGCCCAGGTTAGTACCAAAGTCTTTCAGATGCGTCGAAGAGTCCTCAAGTTTCTTCATTAGCTCTTCCTTATCCAAGGTCAACTGTTTCGTAGCAGATTCTGCTTCAGCTCGTAGTAAGGCCTCTTCCCGCATCGAAGCTTCCAGCTGATGGAGTTCCGCACGCAAACTCTCTGCCTCCAAAGCGTTATTTTGCATCTCGAGTTCAGCTAGACGTCTTCTGGTAGCTTCACATGTCTCTTCGGCAAGCTCCCTACCTCGTTTTTCTTGCTCCAGTTCACTGATAACCATATCCAATTTTGATTTGAGCTCATTTTGAGACGTAAGGGCCAAAGCCAATCTTCTGCTGATATCCGTCCCCCTCTCGGTCATCACTTCTTCGGGATCCTGGGAACGCCGATCAGGTTGGGGAGTTCCTCTTTGACTACCACCATGAGCGGCAAGCTTAGCACGAGAATAAGCCGCTTCATTGACAGCCACGTCTCTTTGATGTTCGACCTCAGCTACCCGCTTGGATGCAATGGCAGCTTGGCGATCTACGGTTGCTTGCATCTTCGCGAGTTCTGCCCGCATTGCAAGAAACGCCTCAATGAGAGGACGATCCTCATCAGCGAACGCATCGCCTACACGTTCGTCTAAAGCTGGGATACTTGAGGGGCTCGGCGTGTAACCAGCCTTTTTGGCCAATGCAAGCTCGGAAGCATACCACGCATTGCGATTTTTCACAGCCTCAAGCTCCTTGATGAGAGCTTCTTGATGGGCAGTCAACCTTGGCGAACGGGGTTCATCGCCTAGGGTCTTGGAGTTTCTGTAACCTCGAGAGTCCACAGAACCGTCAATACTGGCGTTTCGACCCAGGACAGATTCGTCTGCGCTGTCCATAGAGCTGCGCTGTCGATGTTGACGCAGCGACCGCTGCCTAGTTGGCGCACTGATAAGCGGGGCTGCCTCGCCAGCCTCCATGGCCTTGGCGGACATTCTCGACTGTTGGGTAGGCGTCCGACGATCACCTGGCCCAGAATTGGGATCGTTAGCAGGCTTGGGCTCTTTTGGGGATTCTTTTGCCACTGGAGATTCCCTATCCCGATCAGAGGTCATCGCTCGAACAGTATCCACAAGCGGGCCGCCATACGACCGATCCATCTTTGTAGGGGTTTTGCTTCGTGGATTCATGGCATTCTGGGGAGTGCTCCCCCGAGGACCAGGTGTGGGAGCTTGGCCCGGTGGAGGAGGACCTGATGGGGCCTGCGCTATAGAGGCCCGAGGGAGCCGAGACCCGGGCCCTGGGCTAGAACCAAAGTCTGCTGGTCTACCGGTCGGGCTCATCATGCTTTCGCGCGAGGCGCCTGGTCGCCGTGGATCTGAAGGTTGACTATGTGCCTCACGAGATGTTCGACCCGTCTGTGGACTTTGTCGGTCTGTACTGCCTTTTCTCATCCCTGGAGGTGGGACTCTATCTCCATTCTGACCCTCAGTTGGATAGCGAATTTTGGACGTATCGAGAATATATACCATGCTAAGCTCCACAGGGTCCCTTGGCGCAGAGCTTGGTTCACCCGCCATAACGATAATTTGTTTCCCGAAAGCCGTCATACTGTGTCCCGACCTTGGTGAAGGTGCAGGTCCCATGTTCTGAAAAGAATACCACCGCTTAGTCGTGATGCGGAAAGCAGCTAGGTCCCCAAGGTCGATTCCCTCGTCTGTGCGGCCGCCGAATATGTACATGACATCGTTTACAAGAGCGGCTGCATGCCCTTCTCGCGGTGTAGGGATAAACCCAACACAATCTAGTTGAGTCCACTGATTAGCGCGAGGATCATAGGTCCACACGTCGTTGAACCACTGTAGACCGTTCGTTCCTCCAAACCTAGCTGAGAGTGAGCGAGCCATACATTATTGGACAAGGGAAATCCTTAGATGCGAGACTTACAGGTACAACCTGTCATTGAAGCTGACAATTGAATGGTTAGTCCGGGCAGGGGGTATCTGGCCAGGAGGTGGACCACCATCGTGACTGCTTCGGATTAAAACCTCCCACTTATTCGACGGATTTTGTAATTGATTCAGGTCAAAGGCGACGAGGTCGTTGAAAAAATACCCTTCAACCTGCCCACCAAAGACATAAATCTTGGAGCCAAGGATGTTCAAGGTGTGTCCATAACGCCCAGAGGGCCGGGGACCCGGAGGTATAGCACGCGACCATTGTCGAGATGCTGAGAGATCCAAGACGTTAGGGCACATTTGTCTCAACAAGGGATAAAACATCAAGACATACAGGTGTTCAGTAGATAAAGCGTGTCGTCCAAAGTGTCATTTTCGTCCACCTTTGTATCACCACCAAATACAATAAACGCATTGCCAACCAGCAAGCTCGCATGACCGACCCTGGGACCGGGACCCTCTGATACAGTAGCAATTGGGAAGCATGACAGGTTTCCGCCACTGCTCTCAATCATCCAGAGATCTCCCTTGACGGTTGACCCATCTATTAATCCACCCATCATATAGATATCTCCTTCTTTCGAGGCAACGGAATTGATGGCCGCGCCATAGCGGGGAAAGGGATTTGCCTGAGGCGTGGAGAAGTTTAAACGACGTTGTGACCATGGGTACAATGAAGCACCGGGGCTAGTATTAGGAGCATTGCTGTTCATCGACTGCTGAGGTGGTCGTTGAGTCTGCGCTTGATTAGTCGCGATGCATGGAAACAAGAGGCCTCGTTCTGCAGCTAGCGAAAGGAAGGATAGCTGTCATTAACGAGTAGTAGAGGGACGTGGAGTACGAACCTGCGACTCGGACTCGGCTCTTTGTCGCAGCCGCTGCTGATCCGGACTATTGATGCTATTTACCGAGTTTAGAGAATTGTTGTAACTGCTGCTAGGTGTCGGCGTTTGCGAAGTGTTCCCGTCTCGTTCTTTGACTCCATTGGGTGCCGCCGGTGGATTTGTTGCCGGTGGATGTGTTGCCGCTCCCTCGGAGGTATGGAGGCTTCTGCTTGCTGGAGGAAGCGTGGTGGTGTTTTGTTGGTGTTTTTTGGACTTAAATAGAAAAGCCATCGTGATAATTGGGTCGTAAACGGTCGTTCAGAGCGCAGAGTTGTAGATTAACGGTACCAGGAAAGGCAGAATCCAATTCGGCTTGAAAGTCAAAATGGCCCCTGCGTCAATGATACGATACAATGGCAGAACAGAGCAGAAGAGAAGGAAGAAGAAAAAGAAGCAAAGAAAAAGGCCCAAACGCAATCAGTAGAATAAAAAAAAACCAAAGAGGGCACCAGGCTATAGAAGATTTAAAGGAAGCGAACGACTGAACCCAGCCGGGATACGTGCAGGGCAGTTCCTTCTTAACGTTCGGTCAAAATACTAAGAGGAGTGAACAATGGAACAGTTCCATCTAAGATGAAACCCCTCAGCAAGTCGCTCAGCGTCCCGGAGCAGAGAGCGACAATATTCCTTCTACTTCCAAAGCAAAACCTCGATTGCGACTCCGCAGGAGCATGAGCGACTTATACAGGAAAGAAAAAAACAAAAAGATAAACAAGGGTGGGACACGCGAGGAAATGAAGAACCGTCAAGAAGAAAGAGAAAAGGAGAACGAACACAAGGGGAAAATAATAAAGACGGAAGTATGGGACGAAAATGGGCCCTTGGACATGGATATTGGAGAAGAAGAAAGAAAGAAAGTGAGAGACAGGAATAATGCGAGGCCCCGGCGTTTCAAAGTTCCCTAACCAGCATTAATTAGATAATTAATTTGGACTTCTTTTTAAGGCTTGTTGTTGATTTGATCAAAACGGTCCAGTAGTTCGAGGTCCCTTAGGGGTTGGAAGGGAAAGGCTGTCACCGCCTTGGGGGTGAAATACTGTTTGTTACAGTTAAGGTGAGCCTGATACATGAACTAAACTTGATTAGTTCCATTGTCATGCATGATCATCCTCATTCCTTACGACGCTGTACTCACTACTGGCGAATTTTTTTTATCTTTGGATTCAGTTCCAATGCTAGTATAGATGCTCAGTTCTTACTACTCTATACAGACTCCGGAAGTGATGTAATATCAGACTTGGTTCACTACTACTCGGGTGCAATCTGTCCACGCAACTGCCGGAGTATGGGGTCTGGGAACCATTCAATCAAAATGTCAAACCCACAATACAAATTCCCAATGAACATGTGCAGTAATACACTTCACAATTGAAGTGGTCCCTGGAGCCTACTTAAATAGTATTAAAAGTCATAAAAAGTTTCTCAGTTGTTAATATGCAGGTACCCTCTTCCTCTGTCTGTAGTGGTTCCTTAGTATCATAGTCCTTCCGAGGTAGATGCTGTACCTAGCAGTCCCGTGGTCCCAATTCTGATCCAGGTATGATTGTGATGATCTTTGTCTTTTTCCATTCTGGATCATCTCGGATATTCCATTGGCTCTTGAACCCGTGTACCTTACAGGTAAAGTATGTATGATCTATGCAGGAACGAAACAGTCCCATCATTGTGCTAGTAGTAGAATCGTCGTCCTAGGGCAGCCAAATAATCATTCTAGCTATCAATGCTTTGAACAATTTCCCTCCTGGATTGGTTCTCGATCAACGCATAAGCTGTCCACGCGCGATGTTGACCTCGCACTGCAGTCTCCCTCCCTAACCTGATTAAGATTTCTTTTATTTTATTTTTATTTTTATTTTTTATTTTTATTATTTTTATTTTTTTTTTCAAAGCGGGTGATGATAAAACCTGTGTTGCTGTTGAGATGGCAGGTTCGGTACTTTGCCAATGCTCCAGGTGCCCCTAAACTTAGTAACTATACACCACTAAACCATGGATGGTGCCAAAAAAGGGCGGAGCCAGGGGCTAAAAGAGCCGAAAAACCTTCTCAAAAGGGGCTGGTTAGACCTCGATCCATAAGATATACCTGGTTAAGTTGGGTCATTTTAATGTGAACTAAAATTCTAATGGGGTTGGGGGAGGGCAAACGTACAAACAATCTAGCCAATCAGAATGTCGGGGAATCGCTTAGGGCACTTGCTGGTTCGGTAGGGATAAGAGAAGCGTAAGTCACTGGGTCGCGGCTTTGTCCAATATCCTAATGGAACTCATCCCTTTTCTCACTAATTGAAGCCGAGTTACTCTTAAGCTACCATTCTAGGTATGGGTTCCACTTAACATCATATTTGCTCTTCCCGACCTCTCCTAAAATTGAGACATAGCACATAGCATATACCAGCCACGCAATAAATTATAAGTGCTCCAACTTCATTCCATCCTTGTTAGAGTTGGTCACTTTATATAGTAACAAGTCGGTGTCTTGATGCGAAGTACTACGAGCTAGTGGGTGGTTACCCTGCTATATTACCATTGTTTACTATATCTGGCTAGTGCGCATATCTTCGAAGTAAAGTTTCAATACAGATTAAGTTGCTAGTTGCCTTAGATGCTCACAATTTCTGCATGACCCTGCTAACGCATCACCCGTACCTTAATATCTATTAGGGCCAGGTAGTATCAGTCTCAAGTGCTTAATCTCGTGGAGTCATGAACGTTGCGACTTGGAAAGAACTACAGATTGCCTGTTTCATACCGGTGCGCTCTCTACCTAACTCGTCTTAATACGTGTATTATCTTGTGGTGCTTGTCAATGCCCCTAAATAGTAGTATTTCACAGGTCAGGCGGTTGTTCTTTGCTTCTTCGCCTCTGCCCAATAGGACCCCAAGGAACCGGCATTGAAGATAGTACATAAATATATGTAAACATTCATGTATCCGAAATGTTATGAGACAGCTGGGTAGTCCAAATGACTTCAACTTTGCAATTTAAGATCGCCAACAATGCCAAGACCGAAGCAAACTTAGGAGGTTCCAACCGTTGTTTCTTTACTTGTCGACATGGGCATAATCTGTACATACAGTTACTAGGTCTGTATGTACCTTTACAACCTAACATACTAAGTAGGTAGTATTCCTGCAGGCAGCAGGCTATTCTCGCTGAGGCGCTTAAGTATTACTAAGTATAGTTAGTTTATACGTTTATATCGTGCTATAAAATGATTACTATGACATATAAATATATAGGAAGTTTGTTACAATCCAGCGAGCTCCCTACAATCCGTTTGCCAGCTAGAACTAGGTTGAAAAAAGATTTGGTAACAAAGAACACAGTTGTCTTCTACGTGATATAACCCAAGGAGAGCGGTCACCGGAAGTATAGATATTCCGAGAAATCTATGCCAAGACATCGCGGCTAAAGCTCATGAACCTCACTGTTACTAAAAAGATATCGACAAACCATAGTTTCTCAAGCTGTGGGCTTGGAAGAGAGAGGTTGTTACTTTGATACCAAGGAGAAGGCGAGATCTCTCTCTTCGCCATTCCTTACGCTGAGGAGGCAGTCTTGGGCCGCTAGCAACATAAGCCTCGGGTTACCGACTGCGGAGCCTACAGATTGGGGACGGTATTCCGTTGCTCTCTGTGCACGCACCGTGACATGAGTATTGATAAGGTGAGAACATACGTACATGTGCGTCTGCCCCACAATAAGATACGTCCATGTGCCATGAATTATCATTAGTTGTCAATGAAACACTTCTAAATTTACGTTCTTTCTAGATTTTGGCCATCTGAGCAACCGCCACACCCTTCTACTTTCCTGATTAAACACGATGAGTTTTGCATAATGAAGGATCCCAATATAGTTGCAAAGCAAAAAGCCACAATGGAATCGCAGGAATCTAGCGGTCACGCTGAACCACGAAAGAATACTAGCAAGTCCGTCCGCGTTGCTTTCGGACCGGACCTGGAAACGCATATCCCTCCCCGCAATAAGTCACCCGCGCCTACTCCAGGGCATCACAGATCTTTTACTACAGTCGAGCGGAGACAGCCCCCCGTACCCATCCCTGACAGGCCGACGAGTTCTTCGGCAGGTGATGGCCCGGCGGTCATAGAGGATAATACCCCTCGGCTGATACCCGATCGGACGTCGGATTCTGCGCGCCCATCGACTCTGAAGAGGGCTAAAAGCGACTATGGACCAAGACTGGGGTTTGACAAGTCCCCTCCTGGTGAGGATGAAGAGGACTTTGCCATGCGCCATGGTTGGCAGGAAGAGTACACGTCGAGCGAGTATCTCAAGATTTTACATTCGGTAAGCAAAACTGTGATGCGTTACAGCTTTCGATGGAGTTTCCTCTGATGGCCCTAGAACTTTTACATGTACTTCACGGAAAAACGCCACGAGACGAACGGCATGCCGAGAGATCCGGAGGGGAGCTGGCCAAGCCAAGATTGGCGTATGAAGGACCGCCTGAAGACTGTTTCTGCAGCCTTGGCCATATGCCTGAACATCGGCGTTGACCCTCCGGATGTTGTCAAGACGAACCCTACGGCCAAGCTCGAATGTTGGGTTGATCCAACGTCTACTACTGGTGGTGGGCAGACTAAGATAATGGAGCAGATTGGAAAAAAACTACAGGAACAGTATGAGACACTTAGCTTAAGAACTAGGTACAAGCAATATCTGGACCCATCTGTTGACGAGACGAAAAAGTTTTGCATATCACTGCGGCGTAACGCCAAAGATGAGAGGGTTCTCTTTCATTATAACGGCCATGGTGTCCCTTTACCTACACAGTCTGGTGAAATATGGGTCTTCAACAAGAACTACACTCAATACATACCGGTGTCCTTGTATGACCTGCAGTCCTGGCTTGCAGGTCCTAGTCTTTTTGTTTTCGATGTATCACATGCAGGGAACATTGTGCAGAATTTCCACACGTTTGTCGAGAAACATGAGAAAGAGAACATCGAGGCAAAAAAGCGTGATCCCAATGTGATTACCCAAAATTATGGGGATTGCATAATTCTTGCTGCATGTCAAAAGAGCGAGTCGCTCCCAACTAATCCGGACCTCCCTGCAGATCTTTTCACTTGTTGCTTAACCACCCCCATCGAGATCGCTCTGAGATACTTTATCCTCCAGAATCCTCTACAGAGTAACATCTTGATTGATGATTTCCGAGTACCGGGTCGCTTGCAGGACCGCAGAAGCCCTCTTGGAGAACTGAACTGGATTTTCACTGCTATCACTGATACCATCGCGTGGAATACCTTACCACGATCTTTGTTTAAGAAGCTTTTCCGTCAAGATCTCATGGTAGCCGCCCTGTTCAGGAATTTCCTGCTCAGTGAACGGATAATGCGCACATACAAATGCCGCCCAATATCATCGCCTGAACTACCAGAGACACATCACCATCCTCTATGGAAAAGTTGGGACCTCGCAGTCGAAATGGTTTTGGCCCAGCTTCCCGCGCTAATCGATCATGAAGAGGGCCGTAGACAATATGAGTATCAGCACTCCACCTTTTTTGCCGAGCAACTGACTGCCTTCGAGGTGTACTTATCGTCTGGACCAACGGAGAAAAGCCCGCCGGATCAACTTCCCATTGTCCTCCAAGTCCTTCTGAGTCAGGCGCACAGATTAAGGGCCTTGATTTTACTCAGCAAATTCCTGGACCTCGGTCCTTGGGCCGTCCATTTGGCTTTGAGCATAGGTATTTTCCCCTATGTTGTCAAACTGCTACAGTCAGCAGCCCAGGAATTGAAGCCAGTTATGGTTTTCATCTGGGCAAGGATCATGGCTGTCGATTACACAGTCCAGAATGATCTGCTGAAGGACAACGGAATTCATTACTTCATTTCTATTCTCAACCCATCTTCACCTATTCCTGTGGGCAACGCTAGCGAACATCGGGCCATGTGTGCATTCATCGTGTCGATATTCTGCAAGAACTACCCCCAGGGCCAGAATGTGTGTCTTTCTGCAGAACTCTTTGACTCTTGTTTGAGACATTTGATGGACGTTGAAAATCCCTTGTTGCGGCAATGGTCATGTCTGTGCATTAGTATGCTCTGGACTGATTTCCCCGAGGCAAAGTGGATGGGTATTCGATGCGCTGCGCCTGCAAGGCTTTGCGAGCTCAATTTCGATCCCGTTCCCGAGGTTCGAGCCGCAATGTTACATGCTGTGACCACATTCTTAGGCATCCCGGATTTGACAGATCAAGTGGCACAGATTGAAGAATCATTGGCTCTGGCAGTGTTACCAATGGCGTCAGACGGTAGTGTACTCGTCCGAAAAGAGCTTCTAGTGTTCTTCTCAACCTTCGTAAGACGCTATCAGAACAAGTTCCTAGTCGCTGCATATGAAGAATTGCAGGATGAAAAACAGAGTCTTCTCCTCAAAGCTAAGCAAGAGACACCTAAAGGCCACTCCTTTGAGGATACCCCGAATGGGACCGCAAATGGGGCCGCAAATGGAACCGTAGGTTCGAGCTACAAGCCGCCGAATTTGTCTCGCAATTCTACCTTCGGAACCATATGGAAACAGCTCCTTGTCCTTTCTGTTGACCCGCATCCTGACATCGCACAGGATGCAGGTACGATCGTTGATTACATTCATTTGTCCCTTGTGCAGTCCCCCATGGCTTCGCTAACTGAAAAGATTCGGCTTGAAATAATGGACCTCTCAAATCGAGTGTTGCCGAAGTCACAGGTTCGAGAGAAACTCGAATCGAAGAAAACTACACCACCACCCGCTCCTCCATCTGTTGCTCCGCCAAAACAGGAAGGCTATCTTTCCCTGAGCCTGAAGCGAACTGCTAGTGTCGCAGCATCTCTGAAGAACCTTGCTTTCGGAGGTCTATCCGCAGAACCGCAGTTGTCGCAACCCTCGGCATCAGACAAGAGTCGCATGCCTATGACGCCACGAGGACGAGCTCCCCCAGAATGGACACGGCCCCCTGAAGTGAACGATCAAGTTGCCCCTGCAACAGCTTATCACCAGTCTCCAACTCCGACGTCTCGCGGGTTTGAGCCGAAAGACCCGTCAACTCCCCTTGCCATCCCCTTGATGAGTAGGTTCCTAGACTGGTCCACAGAGGTAATCCCAGAATCTCTTGCTTTGATCTCCAAGCAATACAACAAAGAGTATAGACAGTTTCTCACCCATATTCAGTATTTCCGGGAGCCCCAGATGAAACCCAATGAGCCCGACGAGCCGGGTAGCGCGGATTACAACGAGCGCCTTTGGAGACGGAGCCGCAACGAAAAAATCATCGCAGAGACCCAGCCGCTCAAGAGTAAAGCCGGCAGCAGCCGATGGGATAACTCAACAGCCTTACTTTCTAACAGTAGCCAGCCCCTCAAGATGTGTTTTCATCAGTTCGAGGATCATATCGCTGTTGCAGATGACCGAGATACTATTGCGTAAGTTTGGCGAGCTTTGAATTGTGATGTGTGCTGACGATCTCTTTTACTTTCAGAATCTGGGATTGGCAGAGCCACAAGCGTCTCAATCGATTTTCTAATGGAAACCCACCCGGTTCAAAGATAAACGAAGTTCGCTATATTAACGAAGATGATCAAGCGCTTTTGCTGACAGGCTCTTCCGATGGCGTTCTAAAGCTGTTCAGGAATTATGAGTCTGCAAAGGAGGTCGAGATCGTAACAGCTTTTAGGGCCTTGCCGGAACTTATTCCTAGTAATCGAAATGCAGGGCTTGTCCTTGACTGGCAACAGGGCCAGGGCAAGGCGCTGGTTGCAGGAGATGTGAAAGTTATACGAGTTTGGAATGCCGCAACCGAAGTCTGCACCAACGTATGTCTTTTGTCACGCCACTTGCCGTGAGTGAGATGCTTACCTTGCATGTTCTAGGACATTCCCGCACGCTCAGGATCGTGCATCACTTCCTTGACGTCCGATCAAGTTGCGGGTAATATCTTCGTGGCCGGATTCGGTGATGGAGCTGTCAGAGTATTTGACCAACGCATTAAACCCACGACTTCCATGGTGAAAGTATGGCGTGAACACAAACAGTGGATTACTAATGTGCACATGCAACGGGGTGGCTTGAGAGAGCTGGTTTCTGGGAGTCGAAATGGAGAGATACGTCTTTGGGATCTCCGCATGGATAATCCAATTTCGACGCTGTACGCCACTAGAGATACCCTGCGAACGTTGAGCGTCCATGAACACGCTCCAGTATTTATGGTGTATGTGACACACTGGCTTGTCATATAAATTGACGGTGACTTGACTTGGCTAACTTGAAAATATCTCGCAGGGGCACGAACCGCCATGAAGTCAAGACATTCAACGTTGACGGCACCTATCTGTCGACGTTCGAACCGTACTCAAGTTTCCTCCACCACAACCGCTCTTCTCCGATAGCAAGCACCGCCTTCCACCCTCATCGCACCGTTCTCGCCTGTGCTGCTCTTAATGATAATCACATCAACCTGGTCTCCTGCTAGGTCTACCCTGATATATTTCCCCACTAATCATGTTTCACTTTCTGTTGATCCATATCTTATCCTTTTAATCTGTTCTATCTCGACAGACATGCTGCACAGCAGAGACGGCGCTTTCGGTCATGATGGTTTTCACTACAGATGTTTCTCTTGTTTCTGACATGGTTATCTGATGACCTTTTGTTTTATATGGCGTTAGACCGGAGTTTGACAGCAACTTAGCAATCTGGCGCTGTGGTTAATGTTTATATTTGTTCCTTCGTCTCTAATTTATATTGTTTTTCAGTTCTTTTTTTTTTATATATTTTTTTACCTCCGCTAACCTTGTTTTTATTTTACACTGCTATATGTATATGGACAGAACATAAACAATAGCGAATGTGCAGGAGGCGGTATCAATCTGATTTCGGTTATTCTTGGACGCTACTGGTAGTCCCCATTGCGGTATTGTAACTTTCATGTAAATCCCTACTGTGAATGACCTACACTCGTGCAGAATATCGCCACGTTGATGTTGGAAGATGGATATCTAGTCTAGACTTCGCGGGTACCATATAAAGACGTGGTATATTTATATGCATATCCAAGCTACAACAAGTTACACTTTCATAATAAATAGACAAATACACCACTATAACGTCTCTGGTTTGGTTGAGATTCATTAATTAATTAATACTATTTCCTAGCTAGAAGGTAGATATCTACACGAAGCATGCCCTGTATGCTTCTCAGCGCTGTCCATCATCTCAATAGCCCCTAAAGCCCCAATTAAAGTCCTAATAGAACTAAATTCGATAGGTCCGAGAAATTGCCAGAAGAAAAAAACTAGAAGGCCTTGTTGATTTCCTGTTCACCGTACTTTACGTTGAGTTTTGAATTAGCCGATAATAATATCCTTTGCCCGTCAAGTTTTAGCATTTTCCCGCTCTCGGTTGCCTGCTTCAAGGTCATACTTTGTAGCAAAGTTAGTCGATAGGGGATTTTGTCAAATGTATTGGATCACCAGGGTTCTCCCATCATGCTGTCTCTGCCGAGACCAACATCACCTTTCGACAGATCAACGAGCTTAGGCGTAAGTCGAAGACAAGCTTGACTCTGATCTGTTGCTCATAATCGAAAGAGCCCGACCCAAAGGAAGCCTCCAATGTCCTACCGAGGGATCTCGATCGAAGTAACTGCAACGTCCGCCAAGGCTTGGTTCGCAATAACAACTTTGCACACCTCCAAAGCCTGTGAAACCCAGTGGATCTCTTGAAGAGCTCTCAGCGACGTAAGAGTGTAGATTAACGACGATGTTGCCTATAAGTAAACTCATTTGTTTCGCCGCTACACTCACATGTGACGCACCACTGACCCGTTCAATTCTTTCAGCATAGTTCTGGGCAATGTCTTTGACTTGCTCTCGAAGTTGCCCCTGGCACCAGCTATCTTTGTGGAACCAATTGTCCGCTTCGTCAAGTCTTGTTTGAGTCAAGAGGGGATCATTCCTGGAAATTGAAGGCCAGGCTGTTGAACTATGCGCCACTGGCTCGGAGAGCCCAGGCGGAGGCCTTATTCGTTTGCTAACCACTAGATTAAGGTGTCCTGGAATACTGACTGCTGAGTTCGCCTTCCATCTTTCAGTAAAATCGCACCATGTATTGCCCAAGGTCAGCGATGGTTTCTCAGCCGCTGTTGGTCTGACAGCTACTTCTTCCGAGTCAGTCGGTTTTGTGTGTTGTCTCGACTCAGAAATATGATCTTGTAAACTGTCGGAAGCTGTAACCAAACGGTTTACCTGATGGCTCATGCCCTCAGAATCCAGGGCATTTTCAGCGCTTGATTCGACGGATCGATTCTGGAGCAACATTCGTGTGTCTGCGAATTCATCTGTGTCAAATTCCTGTTTGGCTGCTGATTCACCTTCAGCTTTCTGTCCGACAGTATCTTTGAGTTCCTTGTGCTTCTCTCCTTCAGCCCAACTTCTAGCATCATTATAAGAGCATTCAGCTACTGAGGGCTCAATACGAGGCACGTTCTGGGAATTGGTATTATTCAAGGGCTGAGCCCGGGAGAAAGTCGACGTATCTGACTGGCACTCCATTGCGTGAGTTCTCAGAGCACACCCAGAAGGTGCATTTAGCGAGGGATCCCCTGAAATTGAGGAAAGATTTCTCGATTGATCATGTAGGTCAGGGATAAACGAATGTACTGCTGAGAAGCCCTCATGAGCATCAGCTTGGTCATAACGAGCAGGCACCGATTCATAAGGAGATTGATTATCAGGATGGTCGAAGCTGGCGCTGTAGATATTAAAGGAAGAGTCCGCCGTCATGTTGCCTCCAGCCATGAAGCTCTGGTAATATAGATTAGGCTGCGGTGCACCCACATAAGATAACTCGTTGGAGATCGAAGGTAGGTCCGTCGGCCAGGGAAGGTGCTCTGGGTTGTGATATCCGTCACTGCTGAGGAAGGGGCTCTCCGATATGCAGCTACGCTGCTGGGGGTGTGAATAAGAATAGGGGAAGCTGTAGCTTTGGGAATAGCTGAGAGGGTTCCCTTGAAAGTGAATTGTGTTCGCATTCTTCTGCCTTGGTTTTTCTTCACACTGTTCTTCGTGCGTGTAGCTGTACCCCTGTGATTGGAAACGAGATGGTATTAAAGCTTCTTCGGTGTGTTTATTCAGATTGCACTCCCCGCTATTGGCGCGGTGGAGGGCAGACAAACGAGAGCGAGGCTTATTTTGACCAATTCCGAAGAAGGCCGCGGGACTTTTGCTATCTTTGCTACTATCGTCCTCGGTCTCCTCCAGTTGCAAAGGCTTCCAAGATTTACTACCTTTATTTCGAGTTCCTGACTTCGTGCAAAGTTCACTCAACGAGATAGCTTGCGACGACGGCAGATCATCAAGATTACGTAGCTCATACACAGCACCCTGCTGCATAGGAGCAGCGGTATTTTTTGACCTAATAGTCTGGCTGTGAAGCCTCGCGAAGGGCGTTTTGTTGGCCATTCCCAGCACGATTTGGCTCTCTTTGACAGACAGTGGTGAGAGAATATTCTGTGGAAGGGACTGCGTTCTTCTCTCAAGATCGTCAGACGGCGTGAACGACTGGATAGAGTATCGAGAGAAACTGGAAAGTGGGGTTCGAGGAAGGCAAGATGAGAAGTGTCTGGCTTTGGCAGTGTTGGAGGATAGTTGGAGGGGAAGGGCGCCCTCGACCTCTGTGGGCAAAAGCTGAGGTCCCGGTGTTAGTGTAGAAGGACGCGATCCAAAAGACAGCTGGGTAAAAACTAGGAGTTAGAAATGCGCGCAAAGAATGACTGGCTCACAACTAACATGTAATGAGTCGCAGTTTGACCCAGGCTTTGGCCATTCACTGGAAGTTGGTGTAGGTGTCCGGTCTTCGACATGATGAAACGGAGTAGTGACACTAGGGTAGACGCCCAGGGGAGCTCTTCCTGGTGCGATACTCTCAATGGTCACGACAGGCTTTTTCTTGGGAAGTCGTTGTCCTGCAGTAGAAATTCTGATCAGCAAAATGGCGCTAACCTCACTTGATCAGCCTTTCCTACGACGGCGGTTCCTTCTGGTCTTCACTTCGGCCGACATCTCGACACTCGGTTATTTCTATATCGGTACCCATAGAAAGAAGGATATCAGCATGAGTGGTCGCCCGAGAATTAGTGCTGTAGAGAGGGGGTGTCATGGTGAATATGAAACACCAGAAAATGACTATCTTTCATCAGAGAAAGAGCATTTCTGACAGCCATACTTGCCAGAGTCACCCTTGAACTACATGTAACTAGTCGGAAGGAGCGATCTATAATCATACTTGGTATCTTGTTTACTGGAGAAACATTGAAATGATCATCAGAGTAAACTCATGAGTTCCTTTTTGAGTCTCTATTGCACAGAACGTGAAGTAAGCCGGACGATGATATAACGCCTTCGTCACTATATTCGGACAGTATGAAAGTCACCCGGCAAGTCTGATATTATTTTCGAGTCACAATAATCATATATAAATGAAAGTTATTTACCATTGGTTTCGCTGTGTACCACCCGATGGGTAACGATTATTTGACTCTATACCAGAGGCGAATTTGTTCGACCCGTGAGTATAGGCACCCTGACTTTGCCGGTTCATTCCGGATCCCTGTGTGTTGTAGCTGCTGTCTCCGGGTGCACCACCAAGGGGAGCCATAAGAGTCTGCGCCCGAATCAAATCGGCCAGTGATAGATCCATAACCACCACCATATTCACCAGTCTGAGCATGAGTCTCTAGATCACCAGTACCTGATCCGTAATGACCGGCACCAGGGCGAGAGCCATACTTTCCGGCCCCGGCCCCGTAGTTGCCGGCGCTAGGACGGGAGCCATACTCTCGGCCCCAGACCCATAGTTACCCGCAGTAGGCTGGGAGCCATACTCGCCAGCAACAGGAGAGCTATACTCCCGAGTACCAGGTCTATAGGTTCCAGTCGCAGATCCGTAATTGCCGGCGTTGTGTTGGCCGTAATTAGTTGTGCCGGACCCGTAGTTGTCAGAGCCAGTTTGAGACCCGTACGTGTTGGCGTTGGAGCCATAGCCGTGGGAGCCGGACTGTGATCCATAGTTGCCAGTGTTGGACCCGTATCTGTCGGTGGGTCCAGATCCATAGCCCGTATCAGATCCGTGTTTAGGAGCATTGGGATTTCCCGCCTGGCTATGGTGCTCTAAAATGGATTGTTGGCATTGCTTGATAAGGAGTTCTAGGGCGGATTGCCCTCATCATACCCTTGGAGTAATGGTGATGGCCAGTTACGGCCTCTGTGACCTTGCTAAGAAGATGCGACATTGTGAAAGGAAAAGTTGTCTAGGGGTTGTGTCTGACGTATGACCTGGTTGAGAGAGTGCGATCATTCAATTCATGGAGAGTGAATATTCAAGTGGAAGTCATCGAGATCCCACTGTTGGACTTTATATGGATGAATTTTCATCGACGCCATCTCTTTGAAAGTTCTATTGCGGAGTTTTGGGGAAATCTGGTGCACGTCAGTACAGTGCCGTTGGAAGAGCTTTGTATTTTCGGAGTCAATCAGGATCACGTCTCAAAGCGAGATATATAGAGTTGAAACAGTATCAGTGGCCATTCTTTTTTCTCTCCCCCCCCCACCTCTCCCATATTGGTTCCACAGTTGCTGAATCGCAAGGGGAAATAGACCCATCTTTCAAGATCTCACTTGTCTTCAAAATTCAATATGGGGTTGCTTGGTACATATCAAAGAAAAAGTGGATCCTGAAAAGAAAAACATAATTGGAGGAATATTTAGCGGTTTCTATGTTAACATCGGATGATTCTGCGAGAAGCTAAGGTGTGGAGGTCCTGAAGAACAGATGACACTATCAGTAAGGATTGACGTGGAAGCACTTTGTACAGGGCAGGTGAAATGCGATCAACTTGGAGGGTGGGGGGGATGACAGCATGATCTGCGGGGAGAACAAAATCCTATGGTAATGTATTATATAACGATTTGGAACAAAATTATGAACTTATGATTCTATCAATAATAACAGTAGTATTTCAGATCTAAAGGAGGGGGCGAAACCCAATACTACTAATAACACAGAAATTATAACTGAATACCTGTGTGGCCTGACCATATATGCCTGAGGCGCTGGGGATTGAAACCCTCTCCCGTGACTCCGAGGCTGTGCTCACACCAAAAGTTACAAGTCTATTAGTCTAGGCGGCGGCGTTCACCAACTCACTCACTTCTTTCCCCCTCAAGTCTCCACCGCCTATGATCCTCCCTCTCTCTGCTACTCCTTTTCCTTCCTTCTTCGTCTCCTCGGGTATTAATTTAACATCGCTAGTTTGATTCGCTTCCCTTTGTTGTTTTTCCCTCCTTCCCTCTCGATGAGTGCCCGCCCGACTCCCCTTCGACGGCCGTCCGATTGGTCATAGCTTCTCAGCCAACAAAAGACCCTTCGTACCTAACACGGAACCTCCCTGAAAAACCCCTCTGTGTTCGTTGTTCTGGCACGGTAGTCTTCTGGTTTCTGTATCGGAGGGACTCAATAATGCGACCACCACGTCTGATTGTTCTCGTTTTTTGTTTCATTTTCTTTCCTATCTTCCTCACTCTCTTTTCTGTTCTTACATCATCATCCCGGGTGACCACTCCTAGGTCGTTCGCCGGTCGAGCGACGGGACTCCATGCTCTCTTTTCCTTTAATATACCCTCGTCGCTATTCCCGCCGTCTGCGATTATCAGCCTGACGGATGATAATTCGACGTTCTTCTTGGCCAGGCCCGCAGCGTTTGGCCCTCTCCTCCCTGACAAGGGACTCAGTGGCCAGCTATGGATCGGTAGCGGATTTGGAGATAGAACCACTGCCGGGGCGGAAGGAGAATTAGGGTGTTCGGATATCCCAGGATGGGGGGAGGGTGACGGTCGCAGGCAAGATACCACGGCGACGTCGGACAGCAAGCTCGGGAAGCCTCCGTCTGGTGCAGGAGCGGACCCGGCTACCTCGAACAATTATCGTACGGATTCCAAGCAGGACACCGACTCACAATCCAATACCAACGATGGTGTTGTCACCCCGTCAACGAATGATGGCACGGACGATCATCTCCACCACCCACTCCCCGAATCTACAGTAGTAGAGCCCAGTACATCGGAGCAGCGCGGGGATAGCCATCAGAATAGGCAAACTGAACATGCCGACATACAATCTCTCCAAGAGAGCGCTGAAATAAGCGGCAGAGTGGTTTTGTTGAGTCGGGGTGGCTGTGGCTTCTTGGAGAAGGTCAAGTGGGTACAAAGGCGCGGAGGAATCGCTCTAATCGTTGGGGATGACACTCGCGGAGGCAGTCTGATCACCATGTACGCGCGGGGTGATACGTCGAACGTGACAATTCCTGCGCTCTTCACTTCCTATACTACGGCGCATTTGCTATCATCCCTGGTTCCCCCGCAGGCCGGAGGAGATCTGAGCGTAGATGATGCTTCTGGACCGCGCCACACAAAACTTTCAAGCCACGGTACTTCTGGAAACCAGTATGTAGCGCCTACAACTACGTCTGCTGCGCCATTTACGTCTCCAACTTCCACACGGTATGCCACATCATCTGGTGGAAAGTCGACCACCGCGACCCGCAAACTGGGCTTCGTTCAAAGCCTCATGTCTCTATTAGGGGGAGGAAGAAATATTAGACATTCCGGCCGCCTTCCCGAGGATAGCCAACGGCCACCTAGTAGTGGAAACATTAACTGGGTGCTAAAGGATACCTGGGATGACCAGGAGATACCCGGGGATGGCTCCGATCGCGCCCACAGCCAAGCCAAGGCCGATAGCGGTGTCGATGACCGCAAGAGACCCGACATTGTCTCAGAAGGGACTGACAGTGATGGGTTTGTCATTGGTATTCAGGATTGGCGAGACCCCGACCTAGTAGCTCCCATCAGCAGCTCAATCCCATCACCGAGTAGTGCTCCAGAGTCGGACGCTAGCAAAACGCAGATGACTGGGAAAGGCTCACGCCCCACAGGCGCTTCGCTCAAGGGTGGCAGCATTACCCCCGGAAGTGGCGAGTATCGTACAGTCGATAAGTCAAAAGCCAACGAAGCAGATTTACAGAGATCAAACCGCCAGAGCTTAGGCAGAGACACTCGAGCATCCTCTCCGCAGAGCAAAGGTTGGTTTGCAAGGCACTTCTCTTGGAAAAAGGCGGATTTGAGCCAGTCCGTCAGGCGAGACTATCTAGAGGATCGAAAGGTGCATGGCGCATATTCTCAGAGCAATAAAAATGTTGGGCAGCTTGAACACGAGGGCTTATGGGTCACCTTGACACCGACAAGCATGTCTACTAGTCCCTTCTTCGATACGCTTCTGATTCTTGTCGTGAGCCCTTTGCTCACACTGACTGTTGTATATGCTCTTCTGTTGCTGCGCTCTCGTATCCGTCGAAGACGTTGGCGAGCCCCTAAATCTCTCGTTGACCGTCTTCCCGTGAGGACTTACCACACCATCACCACATCTTCGTCCTCCACGTCAAGCTCGTCGCGGTCCACTAGTCCTGGCCCGGTTTCGCAAACATCGCCCTTGCTGGGCTCTGGAAACCGGTCGGGACAACGTCGCACTCAGGAAACACCGGGGAGCGGGGTAGAGCCGAAGAGCCCTAAGCGGAAGTCTCCTAAAAAGGAGAAAACTGGCTCGTCATCTACTTTGTGGCGACGCAAGTATACTGGGCGGCAGGTTGAGTGCGTCGTCTGCCTCGAAGAATACGTTGACGGGCAAAGCAGGGTGATGAGCCTGCCCTGTGGGCATGAGTTCCATGCCGAGTGCATGTAAGTGGCAGTAGGGCCAAACATTTCTTTTGACCGGAGTCGCTAACAGTAACAGTACACCATGGTTGACCACTCGTCGGCGAACCTGTCCCATTTGCAAAGGGGATGTCGTTCGGTCCATGTCTCAAAATAAGGCTGCTGAAACACGCGAATCCTCAGAATCCGTGGACCATCCCCATGGCCACGAGTTAGAGAATGCATCGTCTGCTCCCTTACCGATCATGAACAACGGTGAGGATGAGGTGTCGGACCTCGAACGCCACAGCAGTTCTGATGTTGGACTCCTTGAACGGCACTCTTCTTCGGCGCCTCCGCCAAACTGGAGAAACTTCGCCGCGCTTAGCTTTTCCGCCCTCAACGGCGATACTATTTGGCATCAAGGCCGGACTGATCGCGAGCGGTAATCTCTTCTCATCCTTTCCTTCTACAATACCCCTGGCATATAGTTGTTTGCAGAACATGGGCATTAGTTTCTTCCAAGGAACTCGCTGCCCTGCGCGAAAATGTTTTCCATTGGCGATCTTTTAGGCTGCTCACTTTGAGCTTGGTTGGCGTTACGGATATGGTGAGCAGGCGCAGTGCAGACCCAGGAAGATCGTTAGCTACAAACTATTATTCCTGGACAGACTTTTCCATTTTTCTACGTGCTAAACCTGGCGAATCGTATAGCGACTGGACTACCCTTGTCTTGTTCATTCTCTTCCTTTTTTTTTCCCATGTTTCTCCTAGTCAAATCGCAGTATTGACCACGTATGTACATTAAAAAAAATAAAACCATTGATGAATCTCGGCTTTATAAATAGCTGAAGACATGACGTCATAGCCGCGTACTAAGCTTCTCCTGACTTTTCTGTGTTTATTTCTCTCCCCCCCATCAACTCTCTCCCTGGCAGTTAAAAAAAGGGCACTAATTACACCATGGATGATAAGGTTAAAAAAGCACTTCTAGACGAGGCTTCGCATGCCCAAGCTATCGCTCAAGATGTCGCCATATCAGGCGCATATTTGTATCCTTTAAAGGTGAGTAATCCTTTCCAAGGGCGCCAATGCAAGAAGAGGAAAGCAAGAGACAATGACCACCTGAGATCCTAATTGAACGTACATTGTCTAACGTTCTTTCGTTATCTAGGGCATAATCTACTTTGCCTACCACAAGGACCTCTGGCGTCCCTTTCTCTCGCGAGCCGGACAAACCGTTACCCTCGGTCTCAGCGTGACATCCGCCATGTTCTTCTTCACATACGTACCACAGGTCGCCATCATGGCATTTACCAGCGGCCCCTTAGCGCCCTTTTCCGCAGCTCTTCTCGTTCTCAGTGAAAGTTCTACGATCACGAACTTCCTCTCTCGCTCTTTCGTCCTCGAAGAGGCACTGACGGATACATTCGACGGGACGCTTGTTGCCCGCGGTCACGAATCCCTCGTCGCCGAGGGCCGCCAAATTAAGACGGGCAACGATGCCATTGCCCGACTGGGGAAGATGGTGAAGCGGCCCCTGGACCGGATGAAGCCACAAGCGTTGTTGCGGACGCTAATCTATTTGCCGCTGAATTTGATTCCCATGGTAGGAACCGCGTTGTATGCGTATACGCAGGGGAAAAAGTTGGGGCCGGTGGCACATACGAGGTACTTCCAGTTGAAGGGATGGAGTGAGAAGGAGAAGGATGCGTGGGTGGAGAAGAATAGGGGGGCGTATACAGGGTAGGTTCTTTTTCATTCCCTTTGACATACATTCTTTGAAGGGGCCGACACTAACTGAATTACTAGGCTTGGGATGGCGTCGTTTGTGTTGGAGATGATTCCTTTCGCTTCGATTGGGTTTGCGTTCACAAATACCGTCGGCGCGGCTTTGTGGGCGGCGGATTTGGAGAAAGCTCGCCGGTAGTCTCGTTGTGTATATATTCATTTTGTTCGGGCTTTGGCGTCGAATATATTCCGGACTGTGTATATGAAAAGCATCTTTATTCGTCGAAACGACTTTGGAGTTCCTGGACCTTCTCAAACATCTTTCACCGCATTGAGTCCTTTCTCGATCTTCAATAAAGAAATAGGACAATCTTAAAAGGAGCCGAATTTGCGGCATTTTCAGCAATCCATTGGGTACCCTTTGAGGTGTGCTTTCTCATTTGGACCTTGTTCCTCGGTATACCCACTGTTCTCTAAAAAAGAAGACATTCATTTCTCATACGTTTCTGAAATCTTTTTGGTGTCTCAGAAAAAGGGTCTGGAACTATGAAAGATGTAACTGCGTAGCGTTCCTCGAGCAATAGAATACCCCTATAAAGACGACTCGTAGAGACATTATTCGAACCAAACATCCTAGAGTCAAGGTCCTCCCTACCTCAATAACTACTCTACAAGCAAGCGACCATGCATCTCAGTCTTAGGGTTTGGGTCTCCCATCTAATGATTGATGACATCGCCACGGCCGACCAGTGCAGCACAGGAGATTGGGCTGAATGTCAATAGGAAAAATGCGACGATAACACTAGTAATTGCCGAAAGCATAGAGCTGGCCCTAAGGAAATAGACGAGCAAAGGTGACAAGCTATTATGAGCACTGTACTTATCTGAGACTTATTGTAGGGGGTGCTTTCTCTATGTTGTCGATGAAGGATTTGGACGCCATAACGAAATATACTCGAGATGTCAATGGAAGGGAGAGGCGCTTATATCATTACAGAGGTAAGAAGGACGAGAATTGGAAAGTACATGCGTGAGCATATAGGTATCTTCTGTAGTGAGCATTGAAAATTATATATATACAAAGCTCTGGTACGTGCTTCTTTCTATCTTTGCTAACTGGTAGTGATCGATACTCATTCGATCCTGGGTTGTATATAGCTACGGTCTCTTGGTTTTACGGAGGATAAATGTATCTGATCCTTTGTATATAGCATACATACGCTGCTGTTAGAGCTTATACCACAGAGAAGCATCTAAGAAGAAAGTGAAAGGAGGCTTGGGTTACATGGGAATCGGTGAGATACAGTATAGTGTTCGTTTCATTGTTGTTTTCGCTATGCTTCTTCCCTGTTTTCATAAAAATCAGTCTTCACGCATCCTTTCGGTTATTTCCTTCAAAAGCCTCACTCCCACTACTCGCTTTGAATGTCTAACTATCTGGTTTATATCCCTTTTCTTCATTAAATGTCTCAACACGGGCCCCCCCCTCCTCCCCATCTTCCCGATCTTTATTCGTACACCTCCCCCTAATCTTGTATATCCAAATACTAATTCAGGAATTAATCATTAGCCTGGGCAGGGGGATAGGTGGGATGTTATGCAGTGAGACCTGGATGGGAATGGAGATGATGATGAAAGGTGTATTATGGATTTATTACGATGAACTACCTTTATAATGCTCTTTCTAGCCTTTCTTCTCTAACACTCTGCACATGATCTGTATCACTGTACGTAAGTAATATAATGTATTGGTATGAGATCGTACATACCGACAACTCTACTACCAGACCCCACATAGTAGGCTAATTCAAGTGCTGGGAGAAGGGACCCGGATGATAATAGCTTTTAATTGGATGGGTCGCCAATTATACTACTTTGACTGTGAAGAAATGCTCCACTTTTTGAATTGGGGTTCATTACGGTATGTGATTCTCATTATGATCGGGAGATAAAACCATCTTTACGTATTAGGTTTGAGTAAGCGTAATCCTCTTAGAGTGTATCAGGAAAGAATATCAAAGTTTTTCTTCTCATTCTATCACTAGAATTATACAGAAGCACGGTTACCTACGGCTTAAGCGCCTTTTGGATTACCTGGCTTAGTCTCTCCACCGCCTCATTCAGGTTCGCTTCCTTCTCCCAGGCAAAACATAGCCTTAGCCTATGGCCTAGATCATTACCCGTTACGCTGCTTCCAGGCACGGCAAACAACTCCCCCTCCGCAATCACAAGATTCTGTTCCTTCAAAGCCATTTCTGCTATCTCCCGTGCATTTACAGAATCAGGGAGCTTGAGCCATATAAAGTAGCCTCCGGATACCGAGTAAGTCTCCGAGCCAGAGCCGAAGGTGACTCCAAGTGGAAGAAGATGTTGCGTGATAGCCGCCGTTAGAGCGTAAGCGCGTCGAGAATACGCTGGCAAGAGCGTTTCGTTTATGTGCTTGTCGAGAGAGCCGTTTTCCAACATGTCGTTAATGAAAGTGGACATGAGTTGAGACGGTGACCCGCCAGAATGAGACGAGCCCCTGGTGTCTTTCGTTAACCCTTATACTATAAAGAGAAGTGTAGAGGGATAAGGCATACGCTGAAGAGAGACCACTGATAAAATCAGGCGTTCCTTCCGCCCATCCAACCCGGCATCCTGGCGCAACGATCTTGCTGAAGCTGCCGTTACTCATGCAATTTCCAAACGGGTCTGTCGGCCCTCCATCGAGGTCTCTGTCCACATCAACGATACGCGGTAAATAGGTAGTCTCACCGCTTGGGACATCTTTTGGTCCCCAGTTCAAAAAGTCATAGACATCGTCGCTGACGATGAGGGCATCGTACTTGCGCGCGAGACGTACAAGGGCTTTTCGCCGTGATAGGGGCATGGTAGTGCCGGACGGATTAGAATACGTTGGAACGCAGTAGATGACGTGAGTGTATGTCTTTCGGTAAGGCCGTTTAGGGGCCGCTACCTATCAGCTTGTCAGTCATTTTTTAAAATTTGATCCTACCGGGCAACGGGGATTATACAGGTGGATGCTCTCTAGCACTCTTTAGAGCGTTTTCAAGGAAGTCCACATCTATACCATTTTCATCTTCTGGTACTGCTCGTAACCGACCATAGAAGCCAGCATCCTGGAAGATATTGAAAATCAAATGGTAGGTTGGTTCAGCAGTCCACACGCATTCCGTATGCCTAGGATCAGTAAAGACCTGCAGGGCACAAGCCAAGTTTTGACTGGCACCTCCAGAAATGCAAATGCGATCAGCATCCGAGGTCATGGAAAGTCTATAATTCCTACTTAGCCATTTCGCAATATTTTCTCTGAGCTCCAAGTAGCCTTCATCCGGGCCATAGCCCAGACCTTGTTCTGATATGGGGGGACTCGACAAGACAGACACTGCTGCGTCTTGTAGCATTCGAGTGGGGAACAGATTCGACGCAGGCCAGCCGCGGGCCAGATCGAGGGGGGATTTTATGAGCATGGTTGGGCCTTATGAAAGTATGTGCTGCAGGAGCTTATTTCTTTAAAAATTACTGTTGATGTAGAGGTACCTGGAGGGAGACATCAAAGTTATATATCTTGTAGGGTAAAGTGGAGACCTCTGATAGCGGCGGAAAGCCGATATAACTCGATTCGGAAATGTATGCGTTCCGTCCAATTAGATCGTAATCCGCAAACCTCGGGCAAAGGGTCCATGGGGACCAAGATCTCCTCGTGAGATATATAAAGCATAGTAACACCCTAAGTGAATTTGCTTCTCTCGTGTCGTGCACAACCTCCATCTGTTTCTCCGAAAAGCATTGCAAAAACCCCCGCTGAATAGAAGCACAATGGTCAAAATCAAGGAGTTCGCTGTTGAGCGGGTGAGCACTCCCTCAGTTAGTAGGAGTCAAAAGCCCATTCTAACCTGGCAACAGTGGATGGATGATTATGAGAATGATGCCAAGCACAACCTCGCGGAGACCTGCTGTGCGTCAATCTCGCTCAGTGATCTCTCGTCCCTTTCTGGTCAGCGAACCAGCATCGTAGACTACGACCAGAAGCAAGTCTACGGCGCAATCCGTGGATCAAAAGCTTTACGGTCTAACATTGCCAACCTGTACACCACTGAAGCATCAGTGCCGGTGTCTGCAGACAATGTTCTTGTCACAAATGGTGCAATTCAAGCCAACTTCCTAGCACTCTACACAAACGTGGGACCTGGGGACCATGTTATCTGCCACTATCCAACATATCAACAGTTGTACTCTGTTCCAGAAGCGTTTGGTGCTCAGGTTGATCTGTGGAGGTCAAGGGAAGACGCTGGCTGGCAACCGGACCTGGAAGATCTGAGAGCACTTGTAAAGCCAAATACTAAACTTATTCTTCTCAAGTAGGTGACTGCCGGTTTTTGTCAATGTGAAAGAGATATCCTAACGGGCAATGTAGCAACCCACAAAATCCAACCGGCGCAGTGCTCGAGCGCGAGATACTGCAGGGAATCGTCGACATTGCACGTGAGCACGATATCATGATCCATAGTGACGAGGTATATCGGCCTCTATTTCACTCACTCGATCCGAGCCAGCCGGAGCACCCGCCATCCATTCTCTCACTAGGGTATGACAAGGTGATTGCAACAGGTTCGATGTCAAAGGCATTCAGCTTGGCAGGTATCCGTCTAGGATGGATTGTGTCAGGGAGTTCTGAGATTATTGAAGCGTGCGCCTCTGTTCGCCACTACACTATTATCGCTGTCGGACAGCTCGACGATAGCGTGGCGACGCTTGCCCTCAGCACACCAACCGTGAATAACTTAATTGAGCGCAACATCCAATTAGCTAGACAGAATCTCGCTGCATTGGACATATTCATCAAAGAGTTTGAGTGGGCAACTGAATGGACGCGGCCACGGGCAGGGACCACCGCATTCGTCAAATTCGTTAACAGAGACGGAAAGCCAATTGATGAAGTTGCATTCTGCCAACAGTTGCTAAAGCAAAAGGGAGTAATGTTCGTCCCTGGCAGCCAATGCTTCGGAGGTGGAGTCGATTTCAAAGGCTATGTCCGGATAGGTTATGTTCCAGAGAATCAGGTCATGATAGATGGTCTCCAAGCTCTAAGGGAATTCATGCGCAACGAATATGAGCAATTACCTGCTGCCACTGAATAGGCTGTCTGAAGCGAGGGACCAAGTGTTTATCAACATGGCATCATAAAAGTCAAGTTTCCGTACTCCTTGTTTCTTGTTGTTTGCCACACCGTGTTCACAGCAAAGCCAGATTTGGGGTGTTGATGTTGAGAGTATATATTCCAGCCAATCCTAAAGAGCGCTTAGAATAAAACAAGCTCTATCTCCAGCTTCGCAAAATAGACATCCCATGGTAGAGCACTACCAGACATCCAAAATGCTCTCATCAATTCTTTGGCTCTTGTATAATTGCCCATCCCAAGATTCTGCATATTGCCCATGCGGTTTTGGATCAAATTGCGCTCGCTAATAAGATTTGTCTCACAGCCCGCACTAAACATTGGCCAAAGAATAAGTATGTTCGCCGGGGAAAGAGGATTGATGCGAGAAATAGCATTAGTGATGTGTGCGATGTCTTCCGTGACTTGACCGTGGTCTCTTTGGAGCAATAGAACACGACGATGGAGGTGAAGCAGTGTGGCATGAACAAAGGCACAATGAGTGTGTCGTAAGTCAGCTGCAAGGGCGCTTCCATGGTTCTTCAGCGTTGCTTCTGAAACAGCCCTGTCGCTGATAGAGATGATGCTAGCTTCCAGCTCCTGAGCCTCTTCCAGCAGCTGTCTCGGTAAAATGAATTGGGTGCCTTGTTCTATAGCGGCACGTAAATCCTGGCGGCTTGCCATTTCGCCAATCCGTGCAAGCATTGGCATAAGCTCTGGGGAGTAGCCAGATATATCATCCACAAAGCCGGGATGTGTGTCAGGAAGCTTGTTCAGATACCAACATCGATCCTCATCAGCTGGACTCTTACCAATCCCTGCTAGGCTTGCCATAATGTCTAGTGTGGCAAACCACTTGACCAAACATAAATCAAACGGATCAGCAACACTCGACATGTTGGAAGGGTGATCTAAGAAGGCAGCCAGTAAACGCGTGGCTCCGGAGAGGTGGGCCCTCCATATGTCTCGATTTCCGTTGCAGATATCATTTGTACACAAGGCAAGAGCTGTCATAACCGTCTCACCTTTTGACATGTCCTCTGTCCTGCAGAGGGCAGTGCGTAGGCTAGAAAGTGCAAGGTTGGTGAACTTTAGTGTGGTCGTCCTCGCTCTTGTGGATCTGTCTCCAACCAAACGGCCATGATGGCTACTGGCTGCTGCCAGAAGCGCATGAATCAGGTGGGGTGAATCAAGGGCGCGATTTACTAACTGATGTACAAAAAGCTTGGGAGCAGCGGGAAAGAGAAGCGGAGCAGTCTCCGTGGCAAAAAGGCGTAAAAAGAATAGCGACTCTCTGCATGATAACAAGGGAGATGGGTTGAGATGAAGCTGATGGGGAAGCGCCAAGGGTTCATTAACAGACGAACTGATAGCGGGCCTTGTGGGACTGCGATGATGCGGACTGCGATGATGCCGTTTTACCGACTCCTGGCGCTTTGGGTGTTGCCTCTCACTGATGAAGTTGAAGCCGTACCTGCACTCTTTCGGATATCGAGTGCATCGTGAGCAAACCGGTCTTCTCAAATCACACTGCAAATAGATTTAGAAAGGAAGCTTTACTTAATGGGGGATAGAGAGAATTACTTTGACCTTTTTCCTTCGACATTCCGAACAACCATCTCGCCTTCGTTGGGGGTTTTTAGAGCCTTCATCTTTCTGAGCGGATGACTGCGGGCTCGCCTCAAGTACTACCAGCATGGCAAGACTTCGATTGACATTGACAGCGCTGCTACAGAATGCGAGACACGGATTGATCATTGAAAGATTGAAGTCCCATCGTCGCACGTGCTCTTGGATTTGGCCCCACCAGACTAGATTAATCCACGTCCTGCCATACGGCCTCCGTATCGTATTGTAAATACACATCGATGTCCATTGGCAGTATCTATCGCATTTATCGCCAGAGTACTAATACTCACTTATTCACTTTAGGAGCGATATACGGTCGCTCTGCATATATATCCTCAAAAGGAAGGGCGCATAAGGTCACCTACTACCTGCTTTCCCAATACCTCCAAAGTTCCCATGCTCACCACCCCTAACGTACTAATCTCAGACCAAAAGTGACCTTCCACCCGAAACTCCTTCAACTGCCACCATCGAATCTTCCCCATCTCTACTGTCCTCCATGAAGGGTTTAATTTGTCGTCAGGGAGCAGCAACAGGCTGCAAAGCATCTTTTTTATTTTCATAGCGGTAAAGGCTACGCTGTCACTGGTCTCAAGCATCGATGCATCTTTCTTTCCCGTGTTTAGAAGAGTCCGCAACGCGGTCTCTGATATAACGGACTTGTCTCTCTGGCGCTTGGAATTGAGATAGACTGCCATATGAACATCTGCTCGTAGGTTCGTATAACTGTCGGGGTCAAACAGGTCCCGCTTACCGATTTCAACCATAGTAGCCCATTTTGCAATGCAATTCCAGTTTGATGTAGCAACACATCTGACAGCTGGTTGAGAGCTACACCAACGCCTTGGCTCCAGTCCAACGGAGAATGTCGGCTACAAATACAGTGCTACGCGAGTCAGAGACCCTCTCATCTGGGATTTCCGCGTCAATCACGAACTTCCTCTTCTCTGGACTACCCACAGTCACATAGATCTCGTCATTTGATCATCTTGGCAGTCTGGGTAGCAGGTATGCCAACACCACCGGCCGCGCTATAGATGAGTACACATTGCCAGATGTATCATAGTTAACACTCCACTTTGTCTGCTTTGATGTCACTTAATTACTGATCTGTCTCTCTTCAAGACGAGCCATGTCCATAAGCCCATACATTGCCGTTGTAAAACGTAGGGAAGAGCTAGCAGCGCCAGGGAGACTCATAGGGTTTGGTATCTTTTCACATAGCTTTTCAAATTGCACCAAAGAGGTTGTGATTGTCTTATGACCCATGAGTGCAACCCTGTCACCGACGGAGAACTTGGTCGTTTTGGCCCCAGTTCTGTTACCATGCTCGCGGCTTCATAGCCAAAGCTCGTCTCAGGGACTTTTAGAATACCTATAGCAACCAGAATATCCAGCTGATGGTTAGCAAAACGCTTAAATTAATGCTAAGATTTCTGTACTAACCCTGAAATAGGGACCAGTCGCATGAAATTCGACTTCTATCTCGTCTCCTTGCGGAATAGTAGGTCGTTGAGCAGACCGGTGCAGGGTGCCCAGTTGACTTCTTCTACCAATCGCCAGTGACGCTTCTGGAAGTTGAAATGACTCCTGCATATCAGTATCCAGTTCCAAGGGGAAGACTTGATTGACTGGAATGGTCCCGTCCGAAATTGGGTACTCATATTCCGGACCGCGAAAGCCATCGTAACTCCGGCCCCGGAAATCGCAAAATACATCTACAAGAGCATTGATACTGGCCGTGGAGATTGCCTCGTCTGTCTCACATGTGGTGAAATTGGTTGCGACCTCCGACCTCATCGTACATTAAGCCCAATGATCGGTGCGTGCCGGGGAGCATTGACACCAGCCTGGCATTGCCGCGTGGCTAAAATGCCAGGACCCTCGAGATGGTTGACTAGATTTTGAAAGGGCTTCAGACAAGCTTCTGTGAGATTCTATGCGTATGGGCCCTCAAGGTCAGTGAAGGAAACTATGTCCTGTCCTGCGATTGAACGTTATTCAAGGAGCGACGAGAAATGTCATATCCTCGCAATTAGAGCTCGTGATAGATATTCTCGGTGTCTGAAGTTCTTTCTTCACACAACAAGGTCATCTTCTTGGTGAGTGGGAGTTGTTGGCGCTCTAGCTGTACGAATAACATCGTGGTTCTGTCTCCACCAACGAAACTAAGATGTGTAAATCCAGCCGATAAGAGCTTTTCTGTCCAAGTTTCTCAGGCCATGGGCCATGAATGCTCATCTAGTCTACCACCATCCTGTCCAGACCACCAAGACGGCAGGTTTTCAAGAATTGATTTGGCCCAGAGGAGTCCCAATGATGGCTCCTGCACTAGTAGTCTTCCTTCCGGGCTGAAGAGTTTTTGAATATTGGACAGGCTTCTCACAACGTCGGTCGTTCTGTGCAAGACCCTGGCACCAATGATAAGGTCAAATTCTTCGTCTCCAAAACCTTGGTCAGCCAGGTCTCTCTTAATGTTGGCGGAAGCGAACTCGACGTCCGCGACGCTTTTGAGCTGCGATTTTGCCGCATCGGTAAGCACGTAACTTGAAAAGAGATTCTGGCCTTTGTCATGCCGCAGGGATTGTGAGATCTTGGAAGTTGCTGCATCAGAACCAGCACCGAGTTTAACAACACGGAGGCTGGGCCTGAAATGCCAAATAACGTGGAAGAATTTCGAGCCGTCATACTCCGATATGAACTTTGAAAGCTTCTCAAGAATTCCATCAGTTGCCAAGGCGTCGTAAGGATCTTTTTTTGCCGGGAAGAATCGAACTGATATTGGTACAAACCTTTGCAATGGCTTTTGCTGCATATGAGAGAGGGCTGGAGTCAAGCTTTTAATATTGACTTGACTCGACCGGATCAGCACCCTCTATGTGCTCAGATGTAGGCGCCTCTTGCTTCCTTAACCAAGTTCTATACCACAGTAGATGATGAGATTGTGATTCGATGCTGGAAGTCGACCGTTGCGAGTACTGGGGACGGATATGTGCTCCAGTCCTCCCCGCCCAATACTGATATGATTGATAGATGATGGTGTGGATAATAAAGTCAGCAAGTATCTAATGAGGATTGCGCTAATTGAGGCGGCATACTACCAATTAGGTCACTCCGGTACCCAGCCTAGCAAAGAAGCTCTCTTCCAACAATCTAATATAGTTGCCATTTATGAATACAAACCTGTCCAGATAACCACAGGGGTCATGGCTTCGCACGCAGTGGTTTATTGCGCAAAAATTTGGCACTTATCTTAGAAGCATCCCCTCCCCGCTATCTCTTTCCTTTCGCTACGTCCGCTTTTTAGTAGGCAACTTTTCTCCTTGAGCCAACTTGATTTCTCTATTACGTTCGTTACCTGAAAAGATGGCAAATCTGGAGTCTAGCATACCTACAACTAGCGAAGAGAGAAGGAACTACACGCAGTTGGTAACTGTATCCGGAAGAGATGATGCAAATGTACCACCTCCCCCCGATGGTGGATATCATGCTTAGGCTCAGGTTGTCTCCAGCCACTTAGTCGTAGCCCTGACCTGGGGTTATGCCCCTGGTTTTGGCGTGTTCCAGAACCGCTATGAAGCAACGCTGCCCCAAAAGCCCCTCCGACATTTCATGGATTGGTGGCTTCCATGTTTTTTGTCTTTTATTAATTTCGACTTTATCTGGTCGCGCAACAGATGCTGGTTTAGCAAGGCAGGTAGTGGCAGTGGGCTCGGTGTTACTCATTCTCGGCACCTTTATGGCTAGCGTAGCAGCGGATTACTTGGAAATTTCGTTGAGCGAGAAAAATTTCATTTGATGTCTGATATTAGGGTTAGGCATTTTAGGTTGGCTGCTTCCGGGGGAAGGATGGGAGGTTGAAGGCTTGGAAGGGGATTTGGGCGGCTGTTGGGAAGCATTGGGGTTCGGAGTCGACGGTCATGGTTAGTTCCTCTTAGATTGTTAGGTGTTTGGTTGATATAGTTGCGAGGTTGAGAGTGGTAAACTGATTCCTGGAAGCTTATACGGGTCTGGTACCCCATCTTGTGGCTGATAATGGTGCGGGGGATGTTTGCAGAGAAATGGAGAACGTTAAAAGATAAGGTCCAAGGAGATTGTGGGATTGTCAGTCTATTATTGGGTATGTTTACTTAAGAGTATTTGTGGATTAATTTTTCAAACATTGTTCCCCTCATCTCAGTCCAGATTATGTACATATCAAATTGAGTATCATATAAATGCTATCTTATAAATACATGGATTGCACATGCTTGCGTGCATTAACTAGGGCATGGGTAATGATCCTCTAGAATATGTAGGGTTGTTGTAGGTTAGCTACATACTGAATTTCTTGGAGATCGCAGTCAATTTATCGTAGCATGTTAACCCTGTTAACAGTAAATATATGCGAGAAAGTAAGATAGTTATACACCTTATCTAAGTATGATGACCCGAATGATATACTGGGCTTGTAAGATACAGCCAGCCCAAGGCATATATGTATACAACAGCAAATGAACCAGGCCTTCCCATGCAAACCGAATTAATTAAAATCCATACTTAGCCTTCATGGTACCAGCGCTTTCTAGGTATTTTGGCCTGTTCCAGAGCTCGGCACGCAAGCCCAGCTGCAACCTAGTCGACGGAATGGAAGAGGGCGAAGTTTCTCGCCCGAACAGCGCGGCCCTTTCAGTCCGCTCTCATATGTACTGCAATCCCACCACTCAATCCATTCAGCGCGAGCAATCACAAAGCTCCGATGACACACTGAGCATGACCGGCCACCGCTGCTTCGAGCTTCCTTCGCTTGTCGGAGCAGGCGGAGTATCAAGCCGGGATAGTCGGCCATCTCTTCATCCGAGACCTGGTCGAAGAATGATGAACGGGTACACGCAAGAAGAGACACTTCACGTAAGGATGGAACACGAGATTCCCTTTCATTCGGTTGACTCGCGCATATGCGGCTAGCCTGGTCATCCACCGGCATACCTTCCATGTTATATCGGCGAACAGGGCCGGTAGCAACGTGGATGGGAGCCCATGCCTCCTCTGGCGGGGGACCTTCGTAGTCACAGAGCCTCAACCCTTCACCTGGCGACCCCAATTCAGTGCCCTCAGGAGAATGCCATTCATCAATCTCTGCCTCGTGAATCTGAATGAACGGATTGGGCCGGACTATCATATGCTTAAGGTCACCTTTCTTGATTAGCCACAAAAGCTCCCATGGAAGGTAATTAAGGCGGTTGACGGCAAGGTTGACTTCTTGTAGCAAAGTTAACTTTTTTATCGCTGGCGGGACCTCCGTAATCTTGTTATAGCGCAGACTAAGCACTTTTAGAGAGTCGAGCTCAAACAATTCTCCCGGCATCGACTGAAGAGAATTTCCCGTAAGGAATAAGCGCAAAAATGGCCGCAAGGAACTGTAGACGTCTTCGGTGATTGGAGGCTCAATAATAGTAGGTAACTTCGTAAGATGTTGTAGAGGCCGTAGCAAGCCAGAAGGCACGAGCCTTAGATTACAATTGCTGCGAGGGATTAGCATCCTGCACAGTGAACGTGAATGTGCAAACCCACCTTAAGTCAACGCTGTCCTGCCCTTTTTCTAAGCATTCATTGATAATAGTTCGCGCAGCCTGGTGCTCTGTCGGTTCTGCAACCTTTCTCAGTCCAGCTCTCTGCGGCCAGGGTTGCCCCTGAGTCCTCCATTGATCACTATCCCGCATGGCGACATTAAATGCACCCCCAGATACCGCAGAATTGCCTGTATCTTTTAAGAGATCCTCGCCCCACGTAGATGCATCCTCGGACGGCAATAGTGAATCTGCGCCAGATTCATCACTTCCCATCCATACACCGCTATCCACATGACGCTTCTCTTTGAACTCCGCCCTCTTCCGCTTCGGATCCTTCACCATCTCGCCCCACCAGGTGCCTCGATAGCGTCTCTTCCTACTCCCCGAGGGAACAGGCGCGTGGTAATTCTCTAGACCAGAGGCGGGGATATCATCGCTTGAAAAGAGCGCCGGGTCACTTGATGGCTGGCTCGAGCGGTCATCGAATCGAGAGAGCTGGTACGTCTTGCGAAGCGTAGAGCAGGACGCGGTGGGCGTTTTAGTTGGGGAGCGATGCCGAATGCGCGGCGGCGGTGGGAGAGGGACCTCGTTGTCCATGATGTTAAGTCGGATGCCTCGGTCTGTCAGTGTCACGGGAACGTGGCGGAAATTAAGATGGGGGGCTGCAAGAACGTGCGACGGAGGCCTTATAATGCAGACGACGAGGATGGACGCGTGCCGTAAAAGATGTCGGGGGCCGGGAGATAAAAGCGCATAAAATCACACCGTTTTTCGCCAATCAAATCACATCACCGCCTGCGAACCGGATACATTATGTCCGAAAGAATGAAGATCGTCTGACAGGGAAAAGATCTCAGTGATTAATATTAGAGGTGTGGGTGTTTACTCTGTAATGCGGGCACGCGTCGACCACGCGCTCCGCCAATCAGAGATCGTACTGATAACAGCTCACTCGGCAATTTATCTGATCGTGATCCATGCGCTGAATGATCGTCTTGGCTGTAACGTCTGGACTATAGAGTCTTGATGTGTTACTTCAGCGCACTCCGTAGGCAGCTTTAATACTAGACGTCCTCGTCATAAGTGACCTAGCCTGCTTCAGAAACCATGCAGAGACTTGGCATCACATTTTTACGAGGATCTATCCGGACATTGTTTTGCGAATCTGAAACGGCCGCCATTGTGTCTCAAACAGCTATCCCTAAATTTGGGATCACGCAAAACCTCCTAGACTAGCGCAACTAGCTCGTTTCGAAATTTGTACAAAGCAGGTGTGAGACAGAGGGAGAGAAAGAAATATTGACCAGTAAGTTATCTTGGATTTTTTATATACACCGATAATGCCGATAATAGAGTGTCATTGTGCAACACTTGCAGTGCACGATCGACTTTTGTTCCATGGCGCAATCTGATTGCAAACCGATACTGATCATATAGACGGCAACTAACCAAGGGGGTACATGGATGGGACACCGTCAACTTTTATCAAATCAAAAGGTCGTAAAAGGGGTATATGAGTAGGCATAGGTTTCCTTAACACCCAGCTTCTTCCAGTGTGTCGTCATATCCAAGACGGGGCATTGGATGAAGAGAAGGAGAAAAGCAATCAACAAAGAGTCCCCTCACATGTGAGGGAAAGAAAGAAAGAAAGCAAGAAAGCAAGAGGACAAGAAAGGGGCACCTCCACCAATGATGGGCCTCCGGTGTTCCCCATCGTCAATGCCATATTTTGGGACAGTGAGTTTGGTAGGTAAAGGCTCAAAGCATCATCGCGAAGGACTACCCAGGATAGAGATCATCAGACTTGATCACAAGTAGCCCAACCACAAAGCAAAAGATCCAGCAGCCAGCGCAACAGGCATATTGGCACCGGACATTCCAGCAGCAGAACCTGACGTAGCTAAAGGACTTGCCGCGCTGGTCGATGACCCTGCTGCAGTTGTTTTGTGCGCACTGGAAGTGGCAGAGCCGGTGGTGGTTGCAGCAAGGTCATGCGACGTGGCCGAGGGGCTTTCGGAAGCTAAAGCATTCACACGATATACTGTCATAGTGATTGTATTTGTCGCTGTCGAGGTGGAGGTGACGACGGTCTCCGCAGCAACAAGCTGAGTCGCGGCAAGGCAGAGAACAGATAGAACAGTGCTACCTTTCATGTTTACGGCTGTAGATGATTCGACACGAGACGGTGCAGTGGCGATAGGCGTCGGGGAAGGCAAAAGAACGTTTGGGGCGGTAAAGACAGCAACGCGCAAAGAGTAGGGGCGTGCTGGTGCGATATACACAGAAATCGCAGAGAGATATAGCTGCGCAGAACTGAAGAAAATCGGGCAAGAATCGGATGGCTCGGTTACAAACTAGAAGGAACTGGTATATACTCGTAAAGGAAGCAAGAGGGCGATTTTTGCGAAGAGAAGTATAGTAAGCAAGGTAGTAAAGAGTGTGGAAGAGCGCTGCTCTAGGGCTAAGGATAGTAACGGATACGAAAAGGTAAAACAGACGCGCAGAATTTGCAGTAGAGGAGATGAGGGCATGGCAGGGAAGCGTCGGAACTAAATACCCAGGAGTAAATAACTAAGTTTGGCCACAACAGACCCAACGGTCAATACGGGTCTGTAGTGCCCTACAATTGTTTCCCTCGAAAGATTCCGGGAAAAATTCTCGTCCAATCGTAACTGCCCAAGGGGCTCTGCTAGGAACGTCTATTGGCCATTCAGTGCTGTCAGGCATGCACTTTGTCCAGTGTCTCACCCTGGGATGATATCACTGCCAGCATTAGCGCTCGGAGCCCGTGGAAGATGAACAAATCATAATGAATCCTTTCATGTTCGAGGGGCCAACTAAGGATAGATTACACAATTCCAGTTCTAGAGGCCAACGCAGAGGTAAAATGACGTGGGATTCCATCCTAGATGCCGTGAGTTGGCGTCGATTGTTGGGGCTAGAGTAGGTTCGTGATCGCTGTGGCCCCGCGGATATGATTCGCTACTACCGGCGGTAGGGCTTACTTGCAGACAAATTAGCTTCGGTTCCTGGAGGCGTTGGCTCAGGCACCAGAAAATTCTAATCCCATCGTTTAATTAAACAAGTCTCCATCGGAGAAGAACTGATGGGTCCTAGTGGATGACTCTTTGGGTTTGTCTGGACAACTCGACAAAGGGAAACCGACTGTCTCTTATTTTCTTTTCTTCTCAAAAAATCTTTTCAATTTATTTATTTATTTTTTGAACAGAATAAAAGAATGAAAATGTGCCTAAGTATTCATCAAGAATTCAAAGTAATACAGACCTCGCGTGTACTGTTACTTTCATTGTCTCCCGATTGTTTCACTCTCATTTTTATTCCTGGGCCCTGAACTCCCTGTTTGATCACCCCTGTTGTAAGACAATCTCGTGTAATCATCATTCAAAGGGGATTACAATAATCATATAACTCATATCTAGTGATCAATGTATTTTCATAGATTATTGGTTATTTTTGTTTCTTGCTCTCTCTCTTTTTTTTTTTTTTTTTTTGTTTTTTTTTTTTTTTTTTTTTTTTTTTTTTTTTTTTTTTCAGCTTTCTGATATTTTCTTAATCATTTGCCCGCAGGCAGTATGTTCAGGCAATTCTCAGCCAGAATCCAATGGAATTCACCGCCTCTTCACAGGCATGCAGGTAGATTCATAGCACTGATTTGTCCGAGTGAGAAGGAAATTTTTTTCACCTGTCAGTGCGTGATATCGCTGCATAAGCGATTTTGCTAGCCGCATCATAATACGAGTTAACACTCGTGAATAGTCTCCCGGAATGGATATTAACCTTAATTTCTCTTTTGGGAAGTCTCGGAATATACCGTAGACCTGTGGATGCCGGTGGGGTTCTAGATGGCAGGTGGCGTGGGCTGAGATTGACAATTAACATGTCACGTCGTCTAATAATCGTGCCTGGAGAATATATTACACACATGCATATTGCTACTATGCTGTTTCAGTGGAACCTCGAAGCATAGTATCTTGGATCGCTGCATCCTGACATCGAGTATGACTCGTATTGCATTAGGGCTAGAACGTGCCTTTCTGCGTATTTCTCGAAAGGAGAGGTTCGTAGACATAAGAACAGTAACTGGTCAAAGGTTCGACTCGACTCGATACTATGTGTAGAGTTCAATGGCCTCAGACCTCTCCTATGATTATCTAGGCATGGTATATACCGAGTGCAAAGGTTCATACTTGAAGCTCGACTATAGTGTGAGGAAATCTATACACTTTAGGCCCTTTAACCATACAACAGTGAAACAAGTACTACTCCGCTTGCTTTCCAATCACGGACATTCAATAACCCAAAGGTTATCCATGAGGGAGAATAGTTTGGCAGAATCTACTCCGACCTCTGGTAAATAACGGTCTTGATTTCTGTTGTCCATTTACAGTGAGCAAGTCTTGCTTCCGCTATAGAAAAATACCGATGATAACCGCACGACTAGCTACCGATTGGACCAGGTATGCATGCCTGAGCCGTGTTATTGCGTTGCTGGACGGGGTCCGAGAGTCTGGGATCTGAAACAGTTCAATTCTAAAGTCAACTCCTCCGGAGGAGGGGTTTGGAAACACTTCGGAAACAATCCCATATGTATCCTGGTTCGATCATCTCTATTGCGTCGTGTCCATGAATGTCGACAATGAATCAGTCGTTGCTCGTAAATATAAAAGCCCTCTCACGCGGATACAGTGTCGGCAAGATAGGTACCTCGAATGGTACCATAGTGAGTTCTAATTCCTCCACCCACTACTCTCGCCATATGTAAAGATCTATACTTTAAATGGTGTAAGAAAGTGCTCCTTCACGGTGCATAAACATCACCAATATCGAGCAGCACACCCACCAAAGCGTTCTAATAAGATCTGGCAAGGCCGGTCCACTGGCGTAGTTCAAGTTTAAATTATAGCACCACCATAATACGCCCCAAGTCGTGGATACCAGAGTGCTCGCAAGTCGTATCATCGGTTCTTCCCTTCTATTTGTTAAGACCCTGTGGTGCTTACTCTATTACACCCAGTCATGGTATTTTGAGTCAATAGACTACTGGATTCTTCAAGTCGTGAGTTCGTGACCGTCCTCCATTAATCGGTTAGCCTCGTTGCAACACCAAGAGACATCCTGTCACCGGGCCAAAGGTGTCATCAGTCCGTCCCGATGCTCAAACTGTATGTACATTATGCAGCGATAATTCTCTGTCTCCTCCAATCTCTTCGCCAGAATTAACTGTCGGCCGTCTGGGTTCCATCGGCCATATAAATTGCTCATCAGGTTAAATGCTATTGTACAGATCACAAGTGGGGGTTTTCACGTTCCCACCGCTCGACTGCCGCGCAAAGCTCAATGGTTGAGCATCTACTGACGCGCGGGCCGGAGAGGGCTTTGGCGGGGAAGCATCATGGGTGGTCCCCGGGCGCGGAGCCAGGCATCGTTGTGAGGTCCTTCGGTACGGATGACGCTGCCAATGGACATGAAGAGACTACTCGGCAACAAAGATATTTGGTCAGCAGGATATCCTCAGCCGCATCGATATGAAAGATATGCATATATTGTCTCCGACAGACAAAAACTGGGTTGAAGAGGAGTAACCGTACCCGAAAGTGGCGCCAGAGCCAAGCATATATTTACCCAAGGTCCGCATGACACCATTGGGTCCAGCACCATACTGGAAGATGGTGACAGTTCCTAAGTACGATTAACAAGCCATCCAGGCCCGGTTTATATAATAAGACTAACCGATGATGAAGCCCATGATGCCACCAACCGCTAGGAAGGACCTGTTAACAGAACTCCTCTAACATGATGAACGGTGTGAGATTGGCTTACTGGATCCCATCATAGCACCCATCTTCACTGTGAGGAAGGTCAGCTAAACTGAACACAGATGTACTGAATGCAAGCTCGACGAGCAATCACGTATTCTGTCAAGCTATCTTGTCGCTTCGAAGGACTTACTTTTGTCGAAAGTAGAGGGGCCGTGGCCTTGAGGAGGACCTGCAACGACGGGCATCGTGAAAAGGGGAGACGCAGACGAGAGATACTTTAACAGGGTCGAAGAGGCAAAATTAAAATAGAAATTGGAACTTGCAGAAACCCTGCAGTTCTTTTCTCCTTGGTTCAACTGAGACTTATAGAGAGGTAAAGCTCCGACGGTTAGACCACTAAAACCGGGGCTATTCCGTCAGAGGCACGTGATACCGCCTGCCCGAACAAGAAATTCGCACTGTTCCCCGCTTATCTAACCCGCACGTGCGACCACTCACGTGATTGAAGCCTGAGGCGTGAGGGATCCGTGAGTTGACCCTCTCACCCCGTTGCAGCGGTTGCCCATGCGACTTTCGTCCTCGAACCGTTGACTTTTCTGCGTCGAGTTATTACGCTATCGGCGGCTTATAAGCCTGTGCAAGGCGGTATTCCCGTCTCGTGCTGCCTTCATTCCCCCCTCTGGACGGCGTTCTTGCCGGTCGCTGTGCGAACTGGGCCAAGACTCCACGCCTCCTTGGTCTGAAGCACCCATCGCAGTGCATCCGAACTCCACATTATTTTGATCGTCAGCATTTGTACTACGGAGGTAAGCCTTTTTTGTCTGCCGTACCCCTGTGGCCTGGACCCTTTTTCTCTCCCTGATGAGGAAACCACATTGCTGTTTATTTGGCGACTGCGGCTTAATACTAACGTGACCCTCGATAACAGTTAGTTGGAATACGAAATAAGGGTTTCGGCGCGCCACGCACCCCTACCTACGATTTAGCCTTAGAAGCTGTCGCAAAAGAGAACTTCCGGTGAATTTTCGACGATTGATTTTTAGTTGTACGTTTAGACGGTTGCGTTGTTTCCACTTTTCTATTTATTCTCCCGGTGCCTACGAGATAGGGTAGTCCTGGAACAACAGTTTCCTCGCCCACGACCTGTCGTTGGTATCGTTCTCCATGACTGCTGTGGCATCACCACCTAGTGTGCAATCGGGGCCTCGCTTGGGATGGTACGACTCTGGTAACGGAGGACAAGGAGCTCTGTCTTCAATGAACGGGGACGAAGTCTCACGCATGTTTATGCCACGGAAGACCGTCCAAAGATCGAATTCCTCCTCTTCTGTGGGATCCACCTCGTCCACGTCAACCGTGACCTCAGCTCCGCAGAACACTAATGCCGGTCAAATCCACAATCCTGAATCAGCCACTTGGTCAAAGAAGCCTTCGCGCAGTCTCTGGCCTAGCTCTAAGTCAGAGCCTGTGTCTGGCGTGAGCAACGCCCGCTCTCAAGCAATGCCTGCTTTCTCCTCCGGTCCCACTGCCTCGTCTGCCATGTCTGCCATCCACCACCAGCCCTCTATTGTTCCATCACAACATATACTCCAACCCCAACAAAATGGCGTCCGCGCAGGAAGCGCGCCTTCCGGGGAGCCACCCGCAGTCTTGACGCTGGTGCCGCTCAATGGTACGTTTGAAAAGAAACAGATCAATGTACCCTATTTTCCAGAGGTCGTTCGGATTGGCCGGCAAACAAATGCGAAGACAGTGCCTACACCGGCGAATGGATTCTTCGATTCGAAGGTGCTTTCTCGGCAGCATGCCGAAGTTTGGGCCGAAAAAGGCGGGAGGATCTTCATTCGGGATGTGAAATCATCGAACGGCACTTTCGTGAACGGGAATCGGTTATCCCCAGAAAACCGAGAGTCAGACCCTCATGAGCTCCGCGAAAATGACCAGCTGGAACTGGGAATCGATATCATTAGCGAAGATCAAAAAACAGTTGTGCATCACAAGGTTTGTTGCAAAGTGGAGTATGCTGGAGTTTTTGGTACGATGCCAAATATTCTCGATCTCACGCTTGGAGATCTGGACCCTGCCTCGGGAGGGGGCCTTTTACCCTCTCCTCTTAGTCAGCCTCTATCGCATATGCGAGGGCGCTCCGGGAGCTCCCTGAGCAACCGGAGTGTACAGAGCGCAGCTAGCAGCCAGTTCAGTGCGCTACAGCAGCAGCGCCAGATGAACTATTGGAATTCCCCCATATCTATTGAACAAGTCGTCAAAAGACTTACGGTATGTGTGCTACGATAGCATTTTACTAGACTTGATTGTTGTCTGACAATTTGCAGAGCGAAATGAAACAGGCAAAACAGCAGTCACAAGATTTGCGCCAAACAGATGACTTTTTGACCAATCTCACGAAGTCGGGACACTTTGAAAAGGAGCGTGTTAAAAACTCCCCTGCGGACAGCACTTCCTCTCGCCAAGTGAACGGAAGGCCAAAGATGCCCCGCATAGATTCGTTCTCACGCTTCTCTGACCCTCCGGCTCCACCTCCGCAACAACCCTTACCAGAAAAGCCCGATGCCTTACCACGGAATGGCATAGACGCCAACTCACCTATAAAACGGTCAGATACAGAGAAGCCGAAGCTTGGATCCACAGGCTCGCCCGTTTCTCGTGAATCCAGTCAGATATTATCCCTGATTGAAGCCTTGTCATCGGCTAAGAGAGAGCTCGATAGCCAAGGTGCTCGAGTAAAAGAGCTAGAGAACCTCCTGCTTCATGAACGGACTGCGCGGGAATCCGCGGAGGAGAGGGCTAGAAACCTCGAGATGCTGGCCAAGGACAACGAAATCCCTCCAAACCAGGTTAGCCCTGTATTACATCCCGACAATACTCTGGAGGCTTCTGCCAAAGAGCCAGCCCCTGAAGAGACGCTGGATAATGGTGTATCGAGCGATCCAAGCTCGAGCGATTCTATCGCGGAGGACAAATCGACGAGTGTTGTCAATGATGAATTGCAACATCGATTGGAAATAATGATGGAGGAGATGGAGGAAATGAGAAAGCAAATCACCACGTTCAGAGACCGCGCGGAGAAGGCAGAGAGTGAGACAACCGAAACTAGAAGATCCCTAGCCGAGATGATAGAGACCTTGAGGCGGGAGCGAGAAGAACGTTCTGAGGCAAACAACGAATCCAAGAGCCAAGCACAGGATGATATCGATCTTTCTAGCCCTTCTAGCAGAGACGAGGCCAAGGACCTCCAAGATACAGACACTGGAGCCCAATCAAATGGCACTGTGACATCGACTCTACCCGAAGAGGTTGACAACTCTAGTACGACGTTTGCGACGAAACCTCGCAAACATGTTGTCTTGGAGCACTCTAGTCCATACGCCTCGATGCTTGGGGTCGTCCTTCTAGGAGTAGGGCTAATGGCCTATCTGAATGGATGGCAGAAAATGGACAAATGATTGTCCTCCTTGTATTTGTTTCTATGCAATGGCTTCGACCTTGCTAGACAAAAGAACTTACCGAGTTTGACTCTTGGATCCTTTACACTCTTTGAACCGTTCACTTTTCCTAATCTTTCACTTCACGTTGATTTACACATTTGATATCATCATTTTTCATGTATTCTGCGGATGCTCAAAATGGAGTATTCGCTGAACTTGATGTAATTTTTATCTTTTCTCTTCCCCATTTTGCTTCTATCGGCAGTTATCAGATCGCATAACTTGCATGACTCTCCCTCGACATTTCCCGTTTATTTTCATATATCAGCTTTGTTGTGCATGTTGTTCCAGTTACGATCTTCTGGCAACGGCAGGTTTCCCCTGTTTTTGTTTTCTCTCTATTTTAATGTCTCTTTCTTCATGGGCAGAAGCAAGTCATGTAAGGCTCACCCGCCTTTGTGTATTAGTCTATCATAGCAGCATTGCTTCCTTTGGCAGTTCCAGTGTTAAGCAAAGCGACGAATGATCATCGATATGGTTTTCCTTCATACCCCCACTCCGGTTGTTGACTTGGAGTATCCCTTACCGAATTTCCTATTCTCATTCGTCTGAATCCAGCCGTCGAATGATATGCAGGTCTTCTAGATTGGAATGGTCAAGCGAAGACGACTCTAGAAGTGTTGATGTGCAATATATTACCCCTCTTGTGACTGACTCTCTGCCTAGGTTGTATATATCTGATGTAGCCGTGGGTACTACGCTGCTATGGAATCTGTGGTCTGAGGGAGTTACGTCTAGCATCTGGTATTAGCGTGCGCATGCGAAAAGTCCTGGCTGGCGTCTAGTTTTGATTTTGGTGCACAGTTATTCTAGATCAACTTTGTGCTTTGAAACTTGCTCTGCTCGTGAAAAAGCCATCTAGCCTCAGTCTCTCCCGAGGAGCTGATAAGTTGAATTGCTCGATACACATCCAACCGTATCGAATATAACCCAAGTATGACAAGATGGGTAAAAGGCCATAACCTTGATGATCTCCACGTTTTGGTGGACTTCTATTTTCCCTTGAGGAAGGCCCTTGTGCAGGACCTATTCCGTAAGTTCAGATGGACTGCTGTCCTCTGTTAGGTCGTGTATGCTGCCAGAGGCCCTCAGCTGTTTAGTTTGTGCGCCCTTAGGAAAAGCCGAGAAACCGAGTCGGTGATTTTTGCAAGGCGGCTGCATGGCAACGGTTCCGGGTCTCAAACTTGATGTAAACGGAGACAACCACGCCCCAGGGAACATAACACAGCCTAGGCCACAGCGACTAGGCAACCAAGCCACTCCCATACCGAGCGCATGGATCAGCAGTCACCTCCCACGGTGGATATCACATCAGGTATCAAGTCGTCCAAGATTTCTTCCCGCAACCAACAAACACACCCTTCATTTGAAGGTAATCGAAACCTCAACCTTATTCACCCACCGCGTCCTCGTCTCAGGCAACTCCTCCCCCTCAGCCGCCGCCAAAGCATCAGCAGCCCTTCTGCGTCTCTTCGCCGCAGACTTTGATACAACCCCCTCACCTCCAACCTGCTCAGCACCCTCCTGCACCCTCCTCTCTAAAGCCGCCTTCCTCCCCTCATCCTCCACAACATCATCAACGACAAGCACAGCCCCCGTCTCCACCTTGACAACATACTCTCCCTCTCTCTCTTCAAACCACTTCCCCACACTAAGCGCTTTCTCAATCGCCCTCCCCGTCGCCTTTACAAACACTACTTCCTTCCTCAACTCCTCCTGCCCGCGTGCTATCTGAGCCAACTTCTGCTGATCCCTCTTTTTCCCGTTCGACAGGTCCACCGATGCGGTTGCGCGTTTCTCAGCTTGCTGGAGGAACTTCTGCACGCGTTTCACGGCGCTCATGAAGGGCGTGTTGGTGGATACGTAGACTGTTTTGGGGACGGTGGCGCTGGCATAGGGGGATGCGATTGGGGGGTGGGGGATCGGGCGTTTTTGCACGCGGGCGTCTTTTTTTTTTGGATATGATTAGTTATGTGGGGGTTTTAGGGATATTTGAAGATGGGGGGCGTTTGGCTTACGTTTGGGGAGTTTGAGCATGTCTTTGTTCTTTTTTTCGAAGGTGAGGGTGTTCGTTAGAGATTCTTTAGGGGTTAGGGGCTGAGACTTCATGGTGGCGGTTTTTGAACGGGTGTTAGATATGAAGGGCATGGGAGTTGAGATGAGGATGTAATGAGTTATCGCGATTTGTTGGTTTGGAGGTTAGATGCGGAGGTATATTAAATGGTTTGCGATAAAAGTAGTCCGGGATTGGAGATGTTTGTTTGGTTTGCATACTCTTTTCGGGGAAGTCACTAGCCGTCTCTTATGTCAGCAGCCCCATCCGCCCTTCGGCGTGTTGGTCTGCCTCACCTCAATGCAAAAACGAAGCTATTCAGAGCTCCTATACAACATCGCCTTGAGTATCTATCCAGTAAGGTAGTCTAGGGCTTTCCTTATCCACCTGGCTAGCTTCTGTACTAGGCAGATCCCCTGTATCTGCCTGCTATGGTGGTTTATTGTGTTCCAAAGTTCCCGTTTTTCCAATCTGCCTAAGATCCTGTAGTCTTTCCACCTCAGTACAATCCGCATTTCAGCGTTTTGCATTATATACAGTTAGTGGCCTATTATATCGGACTCTTCTCTGTGATTTCTGTCTATCTTGAGGCTTTCAGTGTTGAAGATGTTGTAGATTATCTTTAAGCTGAGCGGCTAGTTCAGTGACTTCTAGCGAACTCTGGAATACACAGTTAAGGTATCGTATAAAGCTTTGATCAAGCTCTAGGCTATTATTAATAAAGCTCTGTGCTTTCCTAATACTTTGATGAAGACCTCGTATGTAGATGACGGTGATGAGCTTGATAGTGGTGGTGATGGTGTTGTAATTATCTCAATTCCTGGAGCAGTCTTTAAAGCCTTATGGAGAGGCTTTATTATCTTCTCCAAATTCAAGGGATATAGGCCTCGCTTCTTAAAGGCATCCTGTATTATATATTGTTTAAAAGTTATTATATAAATAGAATGAATCTCTTCAAGAAATCACTCTTATTGTCTATCTCAGTATCTCTTTGAGTAAGTTTATTATTTCTCTTGCGATAAAAGTTCTTATAGACCTGAAAGGATTACCCATCAAGAGATTGTATAAGACATGTTATATGAGAAGAAAAATAATAAGGTATAATATAGTGTTGTTTACAGAATTAAAGAATTTTATAGGTAAGATAGGACTCGTGGCTATTAAAAAGTAATAATTAAATCTCTTTTTTTGCAGAGATACGGTGTTTTGTATAACAATGGAAGTGCTGAATCCAGTTAAGGCCAATCTTATCTGTAGTATTGTCTTTAGAAGATAGAGCTATTGAAAAAAAAAAAAAAAAAAAAGAAGAAGAAGAAGAAGAAGAATAAGAGTAGGCTCGCCGCAGATGTTGTGAGGTTTAGAAGAGTATCGATCAGAATGATGCATGATATAATAATTTAGCCGGGAAGACATCAATCTGCGGCATCCGACCACAGAGATTTCCTGTCAGGTAGTGGTCTCCGACCGAAAAGTAGTCTAACCCTGCACTGCAGACTACTGACCACGTTTCTCTTCTGAAGTGATGCATGTACCCGAACGGAGGACATCTCATTTTCAGGCTTAGTGGAAGTCCTGGCATATCGGCGGTGGGTCATAGCCCCAAGGGCTGTAGTAATCTGGGAACGAATATGACGGGTAGTAGATTCATGCTTTGTCGTAATGGTTGAAGAGGCCCCCTTGCTACTCTCGCCACAGGATGTAAGAATAGGCTCGCTTGCGGCTTCTTGAGCTGCTTTCATGCATCTGCGAAAGACTCCATTATGACCCAGACAGCGACGGAGATCGGGTGTGCGAGAGATTGATTCTTTCCGTAGCTTTCCTTGTGAGATCACAGCAAGGGATGGTCTGCCGTGGACATTGGTTTCACTGGCGATGAAAGGGGCATGCAAATTAACGCGAGAGGCTTGTCGAAGGCGATTCACGGATTGTTTGAGTTCTGCTGCTGCAATTGCCATAATATTGAGAATGGTGTTAAGGAAATTCCTGATATAATCATTGAGATAGACCAGTTTGTTTTCAAGGGGGTACCTGGTTCCTTTTAGATATATCTGGGATGGTACCCAAGATACAATCTAGATCGAGCCGCATGCTATTACCTCAATGGGAAATACGTAGCCATTGGGATCGGTCTTGTCCGCTACTTAGGCTTCAGGTAAACCAGGCTGTAAGCTGTCGAACCACGGTTGAGAGACTCGTTTGCTGTCCCTCACTCGTGGTATACAAACCATTGTTCCATGGAAAACCAAAGAGAGTCAACCACAGGGTTTCGTACCCAAAATGTTCGTTAAATGGCTGAATGGCCACTCTCGTTGGCTGGAGTTGTTCGGCAGAGTTAATGTACTTTAGGGCCCGCCTAGGCGAACGTGGGGACGAGTTCAACATGAAATACCACCAAATCAATCGAGAAGCGACTCATATACTACTAGTCATACTTCAATTTAACAAGATAGCCATGAGGACCCCAGAAATCTGTAATCCTACTAAAACTATTAGATTTTTTTCTGATGATGTGTACGAAGATAGAGGCACTAAGTGAGTACTGGGCCACGCCTCTCGTCCCTGAGTATACCATAGTACCCATCAGACCCTCAAAACCTACCGAAGGCCATATGCCTCAATAGGTTCGCCATCTTTCCCCACAATAACTCATGAGATTCAAACGCTAGCGATAACTGTGTTTATGGCTGACACAGACGGTACACTAGCCCAAGACCTAGTTGTCGGTCATTGGACGTGCTGGAGCCTTTCTATGACGCCATTGGAAGACTAATATCTCCTCCCCAGTGATAATTGTCTCTTCACTTTTGCAAGATGTCCCTACAGTGGCCCGTGCATCGACTGTTTATGCGCTCATACCCTCATAAATGGTAATGTGTGGAGCCGATCATCGTATTCTACTCTCATCGTTAAGTAAAGGATGGCGTAATCAAGTCAAGACTCCTAAAGATTAGCATACGTATGCGGCGATGATATCGATACGTATCGCTTTCCCCTCTCTCCTGTTGATGATCATCGAGTAGCAGCGAATTCCATTCAGTGGATACATCTGCACGTTAAGCGTAACCCCTTATTAGATCTAGAACACGATATATCAAGATGGGTGTCATTGATCCTTGGGACCTGATGTGTTGGGGAAGTTTGGGTCGTGCCTGAATTAGGGAATAAATAGTCGACAGGTGACTAGAGCATGCCTCAGGCCTCGATCTTCTCTTCTCATTCGTGGGATTACCAAGCCGAGTATATCCTACGTACTGGTAGGAAGTAACGGGCTCGCAAGGATGAAACTATATCTGGTTTTAGCATATATTCAATTATACTTGATTCTGTATAGCTTCTCTACCAAGTACTCCTTGACTGTATATACTACTGGACTAACGATGCTAAGAGTTATTACGTATTCGCCCTGCCACAGAAGTGGATATCATATCAGTAGGCTATACGTGCTCCTTCTACTCACAGTGAACTTTTCCCTACTCATCCTCAACTCTGAACCGCTCAGTGTCCCTAACGTCTTCTTGCGGCAGATGATGTGTCCTTCTCTCTATTTATACAAGCCAGCATAAGACATATGCCTCCCCTACTGGAATGAATATGTTTCGGAACCGGAGTAAGCAAAGGTTCCCCAACCGCCACCCTCCTTGCATTCTCCGTTGCGCACGTCTCCATCTTGGCCAACGTTTCAACAGTATGTGTGCCGAGATGGGGAACCATAAGCTCATAAGCATTTAATCCCACAGCCGCAATCTTGCCCAAATCCAATGCCTCGGCCATAGCTGCTTCATCGATAGTGACACCACGGGCCGTATTCACAACGTTAACCCCGCCCTTTATCCGCGCGATCTCCCCAGCGCCAATAAGACCCCTCGTATGCGCATTGAGCGGGACATTGATACTAATGATATCACTCTCTGCAAGCAACCGCTCAAAGGAATCATACTCGGCCCCCGCAGCCTGCCCAGCAGGGAGAGGTCTCCGATTATGGTACCTGGTAATCAGACCAAAGGGATCCGCCTGCTCTTTGATCGCCGCGCCCAATCCGTCCCATGCCCAGAATAACGAGGATCTTGCCCTGGGGATTATGACCGAAATCCAACACCTTGAAATTACCCTCACGTAGTGAGTTAAGAAAAGGGTTCAATTGTCGTAGTGCGCCGAACATTAGTTAGGTGGCTAGGTCTGTCGTCGCTTCTGTGACAAGGTCAGGAGCATAAGTTACTGTGATGCCGCGCTTTGCGCAGGCATCCACATCGATCTAGTCATATCCGGCTCCATTGTGGCATATTATCTTGCAGCTTTCTGGAAGGTGGTTGATGTGGTCTACTTCGAAGCTTCCTGCGACCTGTACTAGTAGTATTAGAGAGGTTTAGCCCCCAATTATGGGGGATGAGATGGCACACGGCACCGCTGGCGGATGTTCAATATATGACGGAGATATCTCTGTACCTAGTCCTAAGGTCTGAGAAGAATTGATCTCGGTCCTAGCTTGTGACTATGTCTCTATGTCTGTTCGTGCCACGTTTCGTAATTGCTGGTGTTGAAAAGGAAGGGTTAAGGGCTTTGTGGAAGACATGCTGGTTTGGGGCAGTGAGGTCCTTGCAACTTTGAAATCAAAAAAAATAAAAATAAAAATAAAAATCAGAAACAATCAACAACGTATGTCAGCTAGTATTGTACGCTTTATGTTGAGGATATCCCCACTCGAGATATCTACTCGAAAGTTCTCCACGGCTAATCTTTCCTCCTACCAACATGACCGACAGAGCAGTGATCATATGCTTTACTTGGCAAGCCTGGATTCTCAGTCGTATTATAATTCTTAATTGATCTTTCTTATTGCGTAGGATGACTCAATTCTATAGCGTTACATGATATGCCGAAAGTGTAGGCCAAGGTCGGCTTTATCTATTATGCCCTTTTTTACTTTGAGTATGTATCAAGTGGACTATCACAACATTGCGAAACGGCTCAACTGAAATAATAGATTGCTTACAGCATCATATACAAAGTCATGGTTAAGGTCTTCCTAATCGGCGCGGCTGGCCAAATCGGCACACCCCTCAGGTCTTCTCTGCAAAGTGGCAAATTCCCAACCATGATTCTCTCTATCATGCCTATGATGAAATTATAAAAGAACGACTTATTCGACGGGATCACCATATACGACCTAGTCAACGCTCCAGGGGTCGCCAGAACGCTGTAGCCACGTTTCATACAGGGTAGCTCACCCAATTGATATTCATGCCAGGTTGAGCATGCATGATTATCATGAATACATCCTGGGAAGCTTCGCTTAACTCTCTCACTGTTTTTGACTCATCATAATGCAACAGTGCAGCAGTTCTATAGACGCTAGCTTACCTAGCGTGCATATTTCTCTACGTAGATTACATGGAGTCAGTAGCTTAGGCTACTAAGAGTGTGTTTACATTTGTTTAGTAAATAAAAAGATAGTAAAGAGCGAGCTGGGTAAAATGCGAAGGAAAAGACACCGATGCATAAGGAAGATCCGGTACATATATGTGTGAACATTCATGCGTATGTGAGAGATCCGACGTCGGGTACCAAATGTATTAAATGCCCAAGTACTCTGTATATGATCCAATATTGTCAACTCCGCATCCTAGAAATGAAGGGCATTGAACCGTTTCTAAATCCGCGTTATAATGTCACCCCCAAAAGTATTTCACCGACACCAAATAGTTATATAAAGTCCCACACTTACCTGATCAGCCAATATATATACCTGTCAGAAATAGTACATACCTATAGCTCTTTTATACATTACTGCAGGTACGGCTGAGATAGAAATCAAGGATAGAAAAATAAAGGAAATAAAAAAATTAAAAGAAAAAGGGCGGGGAGGAGGAAAAGGTAAAGGTAAAGTAGCGCAAAACGTAGAAATAGGTCGTAGTTATCATGGCTGGCAATAGGAGGACTGGACACGGTCAAATATTAGGTGCTGCTGGGGATTTGAGGCCACGTTACCCTGCTCCTCGGAAGGCCAAAGTCATTCGGACCCCAGGGGTTATAATCATCTACCACCAGCCTGAACTGTCGTTGGGGCTCGTACGCCCTCCGACCAGGGGCACTCCCCTGTGGTAATGACTGGTTATTCTCTAGAAGGTATCCCTGGTCCCTCTGAGCCCTTTGGTACATCGCACTCAATTTCCGATGGATTATCTGGGCGCTGCTTCGCTCCTTCGCGTCAATGCGGATCATGTGGGACATGATCAAGTCTAATAGCTCATGGAATACGAGCGTGCACCGTGATTCTCTTTTCAGATGTGCAACCCATTCTCCTACAGATGGACGGACTGTCATGCGATTGGTGCTGTAGAAAAAATCGGTATTTAATTCGTAGTCGCTGTCATCCTGTCCGCGGCGCTCGGCGAATTTTCTGATTGCCTCCTCCCCGAGTACGATCCAGGTAATGAACTCCAGATACAAACACCCGAGACTCCAAATGTCGAAGGCTCGGTTTACTTTCTCCCAAGGACGCATGGGAGGTGAGTAGGTTGTCGGGAATGCTACACTAGTAGCCGGCTCAGCCGACCTGGACTGGAACCGGTGGAATTTCCCTAGCCCTAAGTCCGTAATTAGAAGGATACCGTCTGGATCTGCGCAACCGTGGCGTGTCTTGAACCATAGAATATTCTCGGCTTTCAGATCGCCATGCCGACCATAGAGCATAAAGTCGGGGGAGATTCCGGCCAATGGTAGCTCATGTATCATGAATAACCCATCCGCGATTCCAGTCATCTGTTTAAGACACCACAAGAGGGTCCGGCAATTGAACTCAGGCAGAGGGACCCGATTCCAGTATTCTCGAAGATTTTCTTCCGCGCAAGGGAACATCAGGTGGTACTTTCCCTTATGACTATACGTACACAAAAGATTGATAAGATGTGGATGGGGACCAGCCGAGCCCAGGGTTTCTAGGAATCTTCTTTCCTTCTCAAACAAATGAGGTTGGCTCGAGTAGAGCTTCTTAATCGCGACCTCACAAACCTATTTGGGTTAGCAAACAAGGTGCGCTGTGAGCCCAGATGTCTGCTTCACCATCGCTCACCTTATTATCAGGAGGTTCCCAGAAGTCGTGGTGATTAGCATGGATGCGTTCACGGAACACTTCCCCATATCCACCTTCAACCGGAATTTCAGACTCCCCCCTAACGAAAGGAAGGATTTGCTTCTCCGGGAATTCGTAATGAGCATGAGGGCGAAAGACCGGCGCCAGAACACGCCACTGTTTTTGTTCCAAGGCTTCCAGAGTTTCATCATCCCAATCCTCTGGCACCAGGATTTCTTGGCCTCGGTTGGTCCGCAAGACATTCTCGGCCTGCAATAAGAATGGAAGATCATCGTCTTCTACACCTTGGCTTAGCAGGTCGCAGATATGTTCCACCTTTTTTAGAATGACAAGGATTGTGAATAGCTTTCGAGCGGTTTGAACGGTCTTTTTTGCTACTTCGGCTGCCCGAGTTCTATCGACGATACCTTTCTCTACTAAGATATCTCGTACCGCTTTCTCGTTGATCTCGGCGTCGATAGTACCCCGGGGAATGAATGTATGATTGATTGGAGAGAGACCCAAGCATTCCCGAATCCGATCAAATGTCGTACTTAGAGCTGGAAGCAAGTTGTGGCTGGTGCGTGGTGCGTCGGGGAGCACGGGCGAGATATCAGGACTAGTGAGTTGGGTAGGACAGTCGGAAAGGTGACGAGAGCCATTCCGGGCAAGCTTCCATGCAAGGAATACAAAAAGGCCCGCCAATGGGGCAAGTAAAGGGTGAAGAGAATACATGGCGATATGTTGATGGGTAGGTGGTATATATGGTGTACCGCTTATCGGAGTTCTAACGTCAGTGAGGTCTGGTTGGATGACGACCGGCGAGGGAAATCAAATAGGAATACAATATGTATGCTTGGACAGTAGTCAAAGAATGAAAGGAAAGAAGGAAGTAGAAGAGAAGAAAGGACATGAGAAGCCGGTCTCAGCTTCTCAAGTCCGTTCAAAAGGTGCGGTGGGTTGAGAAAGTAAGGTAAGGCCAAATTTGGAGTAAGTAGATGGAGAGATGACGGGGGAGGGAAGATCAAAAGAACTCAACAAATCTGCTGGGGGGGAACAAAGCGGGACTAGATACCACTACCGTCTGCTTACCTACTCATTTCAATTGCCCAGGCAAACTCATCCTACTAGTAGTAGTATGTAATGGTAGGATAGTACTAGTGGTGGGGGAGGAACGGAATGATCCCCTCTAATACGGATGTGACGGCGGAATGCCTTCGCATCTTCCATGGAGAATCCGTCAAGACGGCCCGTACGTGACAAACGCTCTAAGAGAATGGAAGTTGCTCGTGCCTCCCTCCATACACTAGGAAGGAGTCGTCATTGGCGGACTTGGACAATAGTGGGAGCTAGCAGTAGAGATCCACCTACCATTGTCCTAGAAAGAAGAGCATTATGGATCACCTCGGTACTAGTATGAAATGAGTGAGGCAGTGAGCCTCCTCAGGCTTCTCCTACCTCTCCTCTCGCCAATAATGGTTCGTATCTACTGGGGATATCCTGGTTTTCCCGACCAGGCGCAGTCCGTATCTTTTCATTTCACTTCTCGTGTATATCTTTCTTTTCCCTCTGGCCCTCTTAATCTTGCTCTGCTCTAATATCTCTGGAGAATTTGACTATATTAACCTAAAAGGCTTCCAGAGATTCCTCTGCTTCACTGGGATCTACGCCGTCAGATCATATCTACTGCAGAATCATGACCGATCTAGATAGTGTTCACACCCATCCATATTTGTAATAGCGAAAGCCGATATACATGGCAAGGGCAAAGGGCAGGAGGGGTGAAATGAATAATTCAATCAGCCTTCGTGGTGGTGGTGGTGGCATAAGTGGACGGGCGCATCAGGCTGAATAAAGGCACCGAGCCCTGACTCGACCCAGGCTCCATTCGGCCTCGCAACCTGCCCTGTTCCAAGTCCACCTCCCTTTCCAGGCCCCTTTCCCTGTGTGACGTTGGTTGTCGTCGAATTCGAGTCACCTTCAGAAACCAGGGTGAGTCACTATATCGCACAGATAGTATCCACAAAAAGATCGTGACTAATGTTAAGGGAACTGCGATAGCCACCAAGATCCAAACCCAGGGAGATATGTACATAGCGCCCTCTTCATTGACTTTTACAAACTCAGTGGAGAAGAAATTCTATCTCAAAAGTCAGTATTGCTCTCCCCTTTGCCCCGTTTCAGAATCGGTCATGGGACGCACCGCTACAATGGTAGTGGGGAGGTAAACCAGACCGACGAGGCTTAACATCTTCACAGCCGCAGCGTCTTCTACACTCCGTTCCTATTGAGTGTCGTCATCAGCGGTCTGTCCATCACAGCCACACTAGAAAATAACGCACTGCAAGCTCGGCGACGTAGTGGCTCTCTCTTTGGGAAGCTTCGGTCAGTTCTTTCAGGGTCTTTGTCTCGATGTGTGATGCCCGTGCCAGTTGTTTCAAGGCTCGTGTCTCCTCAAAGCTCAATAGGTCAGTGAGCTGTCCATTTACACCGTGTTAGCGATGGTAGCAATGGATATGGAGCTTTCTGCCTACCAGTTGCTCCGTCGATTGCACCCGGTCTTTTAATACCTTCGCCCGTTTTAGATAGACTCGACCTTCCGTTGCATATTCATCGAACTCTCTGAGCATGTACCTGCAGGAGCAGCCATTCCTGGGGTCACAGCTCTCTTGGCAGTGTCGTTGACAGCTCTTCCCAACCCGACCGATAGTGTCTACTGCTGTCTGAAGGATAACCATCAAATCCGTTATATAATCCTCCAGCTGCTTAAGTCGTTGCCTATCATCCACATCGAAGCATGTTTTGTGTTTATCTCGGTCTTCGACATCCCAGACGATCAGTCGATCGGCCTGAAGAACGTATAGATTAGGCTTAGGTACAGTAAAACGGAGAATGCGCGCGTGAAGTGTATACATTTTGACAAAAAAACAAGAAGACAAAGGGATAAAAAGAAGTATACCTTCTGTTTGCACTCAGCCTCCAGCCAAGCCATGTAGTCCATCCAGCCTTTGAGGCCATCGGCTATAAGACTCTCGTGCATAGAGAAATGTGGTTTCATGATGTCCTCCTCGACAGGACTGCCTTGGAAGCTCTGTGATACCTCATTCTCAACTGCGTGGGAAGGTGCAATAAGAATAAATGCCGAGGAGCTCGATGAGCCATCATGCGGATATGTCAATTTGTGATAAACTCCTGTCTGGCGAATTGACCACGGACACTCCCCTTGCGACGTTGGGCGCTGGTTACGTTCGGCCCGCCGAATCACATATGCAATCTCTGTTCCCCGTCAATCATTGATATAATTTCTACAGAGAGTGAGGCTAATGAATTCAAGAGGAGTCTAACCGTTAACCTTGCCATCTACCGTCTGCGAGCTTTTAGCACGGAAAGGAGGAAACCCATATTCGTTTTCCACCGATCGAATCCCAAAAGTGAGGACAGATTTCCAAAAATATGGCCATGAACTTTGGAAGCTCAGGAGGTGGTGGAACAGCTCGCTCGATATGTTCAGTGTCGTCCATGACCGTAACTGTGCGACCGTATAAACCTGTACACAGGCGGTGGTCTCTTTCTATCGTAAGATAGGCGAATGCATCAGCTTTTAGTGTTTGAAATACAGCACTCAGAGTAGTTGGATTACCTTTTGGAGCTGTTTCAGCTCGGAGATGTGGTTGATTTGAACAGGTTGGTTGGCTTGCAATGTCCGTCTACCATGCGCGTCCTTTGATAGAAACAGAAGGAATACCACCAGTTGGGGCAGGTCATTCCTTGCTTTAAACAGGCTGCTTGCTCTAGAGTTGATTCTCTCCTCTAGATACTGGTCAGCTCGCGATGAAGTGCAAATGTGGTCCATTGCCCGTCGCATTGAGGAATTGAATTGATAATCGACATCTGGTATACTGCCGGCCCGGAAACTCTCTCATTTATACCAAATTCAACCCCGCAGCTCGAGGCCTCACATTCAGCACTTGCGATATATTTCCGTGCGGCTCAAGTCGAGGAGGCTGATAACTGTCATCCGCAGCTCTTACTGAGGCTTGACATTTGAGCCGCAAGCAGAGCTCATCAGGGGCGCCGGGGTACAGGTGCTTCAATTAGGCTATCATTCGAGTAATCGGGCAAAGTAAATCTTAATAAGGGCAATCTGAGGTAGTCATAGGTGACAAGCAGGCTGAACCGCAATATGTCAGCGATCAGCGGATGCATGTCAGGAGGGGGAGACTCGGACTCAGCCCTAGTAGCGCCTAGGCCAACCAATGATACGGCAGCGTTAATCTACTCAATGGCTACTTACTAGTTACCCATGCATGTGCCATCACACAGTAGTATTGTGCCTGTATTTAGATAGTATCACGTAGGTTGATCAGTGGATTATTAGGCCAATCAATTCGTATTTGCATATGTACAGAGACTATCTAGCCACTCAACTCCCACTATCACCTCTGCGCGGGTCCACGTATAGGGCTTGCTTGCATATGAACTCGCTGAAAGATACTCTTTTCGTCGCACTAAATGTTGCCTCCATGGCTAATACCACACTCGACACTCGTTGATTTGCTCCTGCACAGATATTTAGTTCCTTCTATCACGCACTACTCAACAATAGCCCAAACCTGAGTCAACCCCGAGGATCGTGACCGTTCTTGGTCCAACACGTATATCTTATATTGATCCAGCCGTAACTTCGCAGTATATATCAGTTTTTTCCATTCCCCCATGTACGGGTCGTCCCAGCAACGAATAACACACCTCAACGCGAAAATTGTACTGTCCGTATTCGTTTCTCAGCGCTTTAACCAGCTTCTTCGGGTTCATAAACTTCCCCTCGATAACCTGATTGGGGGTTACACTGTGGGAACACCCTCGGCCCATGGCACCGCAAGGCTGAGAAAATAGCTTAAGTGGGTAACGAATTTAGATAATAATCAAGGGAAGACTTAAGAACGAAAGAAAAAGAACGAATTTGGCTTCATGTTCACATTTGCACAAGCGGTCAGGTCCTGACCAAGTCAAAACCGGCGATAAACGAGCTAGTATATATATCCAACATCTGAATATCGTGGTCTATTCCCCTTGTAGGTAGTGCCTCATTCATACTCCGGAGGAAAAGCCATTTGCTTAGGCTGCTTCCTCGGACACGAGACCTTGCTCGATTTAGTCGTAGCTGCAGTCATCGAGGTCACTCTATTGGACCTTGATTAGCCGTACCCTGCTATCGTGTTCCCATCCAGCCGAGGATCCGGATCCAATGCCTTGAAGGTAAACCTGTGTGACTGACCTGGGATAAGACTTGTGGTAATGTCATATAACAAATTCCTCGCCGAATCTTAAGTCAGCATTAGCACAGCCCCGATAATCTATTCTATATACAGTAATAATTTGCATCAGCTGCCGCCAAGTGCGTTGGTGCTGAGGTGCTTCCCCTCATCAGGCAAACAGGTTGCAAGGCTGAATTTTGAAAATCGCAAGATAAGCGGTCAATTGGGTAATATGGCGACGTAAGATGTTGGAATTTAGAAAAAAAAAAAGTATAAATAAAAAGCAAAGAAAAGTAGAGAAAATATGGAGAGAGATCTTCGCCTCGGTCTTCCGATAGTATTCTGGTCAAGGCGAAATGGTCACGCCCAGAGACGAGGCCGTTGAAAGCATTAGATGATCAAGTGTAGCCGAGCAAAAGATTAATAAATACTGTACTCACACTGATCTGATATCCCCCCTGTGGGTATCGCCTCTCCAGCAGCGCCTTCAGGCGATCTGCTGAGACATATCGCAAGGTAACCATCTGGGATTCCATGATCGAAGTAGGTCTTGCCACAAGTTCGCCTTAGCGGGCACTGGTTCAATCAAGTCAAACAATGCTTCAAAGCGCCCAATAAGAATAAATTGCCCGTGGCAACTCACAATGCTAAAGTATTGAACAGAGTCAGTGTACGTCAATGACTATAAAGTATGTAATAGAGCCCAACGCCGCTTGACGCATCGCAGTCTCTTCGTTCCATTCGGCCAGTATGGGTTTTATTGGCCTGATATAGGCCATCACTTGTAAGAGCCTCATCATGGTTCAATGGTCGAACTGCAGATCTTGGGTAGTACTGTAGTGATTGTCTACTCGCTGATGCCCAATATACCACGTCTGTATGCACAGGTGCTACTATCGATTTATCCCATAGGGGGGTGATAAAAAGAAAAGATAGAAACATATTAAGCAAGGCCATGATTACGGCCCATTCCGTATTTCCCCAATGATCCTCTCCCGACTGGCCGTTCTAGTCGACGCTGATTGGCACAGGCCTCGACTGGCGTGTTTGTCTGCAGCACTAGAATTTAGGGTCTTTCGTGCAGTCGGTCTGTTGACGAGGATATACTGGGATTTGGGGCTCAGTTATAGCAGTCTGACCCGCTGTAGGAGTCGAGGTCGACTCTGATGCAGTAGGAACTCATTGGTGGGTGGTTTTGAGCTCGTATCCGCAGAATCGCTGGGAACATAAGTATCACGAGAGGATTTGGGATCATGCACTTTCATACGTCGCCCATTGGCTCCGTCTATAAAGATAACCTTGCGCAAGAACTTTGAGCGAATTGGCCTGCGTCTAGGGCAAAAGACTGCGAAAAGAAAAATTTTCGAGAAGCTCTTGTTCTCTACGGAGAACTTTTTAATCCCCGATGGTCGTGAGATGCGTCACATGAGCATCTACCTTCGTATTAGGGCTACGTCTATGGCAGACTAACAGTCCAGCGTACTACCCTTCTGAGAGAGATTGTGAGATCAAGCTGAGGGATACTTCCGTTAAAGGCTACCACCGACTCTTTGTAGGTAACCTTTGAACAAGCAGATACAGATGAGCTATCCCTGTGTGAAAGAACTTCAAGGTTTATCTTCCTAGAAGCATCCTGGCTTCAAACCTAGGTAGCAAATGAACCGTGTTTCATATTGAAGACTTACGTTTTTTCTCTTTCTCAAGAAAGAAAGAACAGAAAAGCTGGTCTGTATTCTCTCATTTGCTGTCTGAGCTTTTAGCACCTAACTATTATGATGTATGTGAAGGGATCGTTGATTGATATCTATCGAATCTTTCCCTTCCTTTCTTTCGAAGCTTTATCTATGCCCATTGTCCTTTCCTCTACCATCTTACATTTAGCAAGTCACGGGGTTTAGGTTGATATTAAACTATGGCAACAGCGTTTAATATTTTCCCGTGCTTCTTAGCCTATGCTTAAAGCAATCATTTCCTGGATGTCTCTTATGAATCATGACAGTCTTCCCCCTATCATTGAGGACACCCAAAGTGGGAACCAGTAGGGCATGTCTTAGAAACTGGAAAAAAACCTGACGAACTGACTGGAACAGAGCCATTGGGGGTAGTTTACGATATGAGAGAGGTGTAGCTATCCTATTAGAAGTGGAAACTTGCGCAATATTACGTTATTCACATCGCCCTGGACTACTCGCATTCACCGTGTCTGGCAGGTTTGGCTTTATAATTTTGCTTTACGTGGACCATCATTTAGTATATATATGATAATTTAGGACCGTACGTGGTAGTTTATAATCAATACATTTGTAAATGCATAACTAACTAGTAGTAATATCAACTACCCAAGTACCTAGGGCCTAATGCCACTGCCTAGGCTTCAGTATTTTACAACCTGATAGCGTATAGAGAACTTCTACAGATAAACAGGATTCACTGTTGGCCTAACATACTTTGTAATAAATTACCAATAATACAGATGATACAGCATCACTATAAGTGTGCCATTAGAGTGGGTTTATATTGCTATATTGAAGTAACTAGAAAAATAACACAAAAGGAATTCAAAGAGGGTTTATTGTCGGGCAGTGATCAGGGCACGAGCCGCCATACTTCTATAACAGTACTAATATAATTCTTTATCTACTTCAATATGAATATACCTACGGTCTTAGGCCTTCAGGCCATCTAGGAAGGATTCAGAGATTCAAGCCCTCCGTTCCTTCATCAAATCACCATCATTAACTCTCCACCTTAGGATCGATAGTCTTACTATAGGAATGATATGTTCTCTCAGTTTACTCTTTTCTTTCTAATCATGCCGTCTACCCCATCGGGTTACGCCTCCAAGTCGCTTACGGTGCGTCTCGTTGTTTTGTAGAATAGCAGCAGGCAGCCATCGACCGACCTCAATGCCCAAGTCAATAATTTTCTAACAAAATGGGGCGATGATGGAGGCTTCAAGTGACATTGCAAGGGCTCCAAATATCTTAATGCAAAGGAGGTCGCGCCAAACAGAGTTGAAGTATGTCACCTATAGCATTGACGCCATCCATATCGGATCTCTTACCGTCATCGTATCTATTGGACTACCCTTACCCATAGAGTTTTGACAGCAAGAGTCTAGCAAGAGGATGCTGAGATTCAGCGGCTATTCAAGGCCCTGTTAGACTCCCGAATCCCGAATCGTCTACAGACGTACCTCTCTAAGAGCAAAGTCTCGGGAATTACCCCTTCATCCGAGCATCATCTAGGGGATACAGATAGGTGTTTTGGTGCTGTTTTTATTTTGACTCAGCTCAGGCAATGATATGAACCATTTGCACCTGATCAGGCCCCTTGGAGGCAGCAGTATGAAAACGCGTTGTGAGTATGCTATAAAGAACCATAACGCACCTTGATTGGCAAAAGTGTACAAAGCAACCATATGATGCTACTCACAAATCAAGTCCTCTACAACGTAAACGTATCTGCTTAGATACCTACAGATGCCGTGGAAGTCATCGGAAAAGAGCTACTGGGAGGGGAATTTTGGCTCCGTTTTGTTGCAGGCGCACCAATATACGAGTCCCTGGGCATCGGATGCAGAAAGTAGGGTTGAATATGTATGTCATAGACATTTGGCTTGGCTTCGCTTATCGTTAACTTCCAGGAATACCAAGGGAATTTTGAGCATATTGACCAGGAGGGCCTAGTAAAGCTACCCTCAGAAGGGAGCATTTCCCTTCTTTTTTTGCTTTTTCTTTTTTTTTTTTTTTTTTTTTTTGAGCGTCGCATAGGCTCAAACAAGGAGCAGATCTTTTAAGGGAGCGTCTGTCTAACCTTAAAGATGTCTGGATCCTCAGCATAAGTCCTCTAGGTTTGTATTGAAATTGTGACACGTCCCTATTGAGATAGCAATGCTACCTTGAGCCCGAACCGTAGGAGTAAAGCTAAACATATGGCCTAGGTATACTTAAGGCGCTAGAACGTGCGTAGGCACATGTAATAGCAGCCCTAGAGAAACTTATAGCAATATAGTAACTAATTCACTGGTGTTTAAGCCTTACTCCTCGAGCTTCCTGGCGTACGTCAGTGTTGGGCTATTAGGCAGCCACCCCGGCTTCCTAGGTAGTCCTATAGCCTTAAAGCTCATTGCCTGCCTTTTAAGTAGATCTTCCCCGTTCTAGCCTTGTAGACGTTTTATCTGACATTGATGAATCTCCCTTCTGTTATTGTCGTCATTCATGGGTTGCTGGGCAATACATCATAGCCACAGGCGACTAAGCAATGCCGGACGAGGAATTTGAAAACTGCGACAAAACAGTGAGATAAAAGATAGTTAATGAAACTATAAGGCACGGGGACAAGAAGAAATCTTTAGGCAAGCTTGGTATGCTTCATGGAGCAGATGAAAATATCAATAAGGGCATAGCCCTACATATGACATATCCCCTACGAGGGTAAGAGCAAGTGGCCTACCTTTAATGGGAGCACGCGTTCCCGCAGAATCACTTTAGGACCTGTGTACGTCTGTACTCACTTTCATTCTTCAGTCGACATTGGTGGCTCTATATAGAGGGTTGTCGGGTGCTATGACCGGTCCACGGCAACAAGGCACAGTCAGGCTTAGTGGGTCGGCTAGAAGGCATACGTCTCACAGTTATACCATCAACCAGAATATAGCCTCCCTTGATAGATAATCTCCCCAGTCTGCAACCTCAGACAACAGCTCACTTCTGGTTCCCTGAATACATTCACCTTCATCCCTATCAATATAGAAGTTGAACGAGGCGACTTTGACCGAATGAAGCGCTTCAAGGAGAATTCCTTGGTGTATGTTATCAATAACACCCTGGTTAGCACTCCTTTGTCATTAGCCTGTGGAATGATTACGAGAGAATCAAGTGGATGTATCATAGCCCCGAAGGGCATTGGTTTTTTATCTAATAAATACACCCCTTCCGAAGTCCTCTGGGCGTCTCGAATCTCTTTTACTCCTTTAGTTGGCTTCTTGACTCCTGCGATTAGCTTCTTCATACAAATCGCCTCTTCCACTTGGCTATCAACCTTGTGCAGAAGAGCCTTGCAATAGACAGCTGCAACGGCCGCGGCATAATAATGCCAGCTATCTTGCTTATGAGTGTCGGCGTAGTCACAAATGTCTCGTACTATCAGACAGGGGATCCCATCCATAATGCCGGCTGCCCCCGTTTCGAAACAGATCGCATCGTTATAACCTCAGTGTAACCCGTCCCGGCCCTGAGGACTTTGGGCAACACCATTTCCCGACAGCATAAGGCCCCGATGAATAACAGGTTGGTAATCTGGGCGTGGGGGGCGCAATACGACCTTCTCCTGACTAGAAACCTCACATCCACAGCAATCTAACTCCTTACCATTGAACAGAATACCATCTGTATCAGGACGCGCGAAATTGGGGAGGCGTGTAATCTTCTGTAGGAATTTTTCCAGTGGCTGTTTCTCCATTATTTCATCTTCCTGCAATGGCCGTTCCGCACGTATCAGAGTCGATGGAGGCTTATTAAGGCACCCTTTCAGAGCAACACCGTCTTGGCTCGTACTTGAAAGTCATATTGGATAACACCAGGGTGTCCGTTTTGAGCAATATTGACGGCGAGATCACCCAAGCAGATGTCATGCTTAGGGAGGCTTGGACTACCGGTACCGATTCCAACCATCAAGGCGAGTCGGACATTTAGGAACTGTTGGCTAACTGTTGTTGCACAATGGGCGGCCACCACCGTCCTGTTTGATGAGGTCAAGCTATAACCAACCACCTTATGCTTTGCAATTCTGCCGAAAGAGTACACGTATTTTTCTTTTTAGGCCCTATCCCTTTTATGCGACATGAATATTCTTCGTCCAACGTTTATTTGACTGCGACAGCCTCATATACCAGGAGACAGAAGATAGCTATCGTGATATCTTCAGGGGATATCTCCATATCTCCGCATGGTCCTCTGAGCCCGAGTATCGGCCTGCGGAGCAGACATCTGAGGCTGCCTTGACCTTTCAGCCTGTCTGGGTTTTTCAGTTTGCCCACGGCAACTAGGGATTTTCTGGCCATTTTCGGCGGCGTTTGTATTATCTCTTATTGGTAGACTTTTCGGACCAAAATGATTTAAGGCATTTCAAGGAGAAGAGTAAGGCAAAGAGGAGGATCGGGAATAGAAACATTTTGAGATGACAGAAGGCACCACAAGATTCGCTTAATAAAACAATAGGAGAGGTTGGCGCTGCGTCTTCCTTCCTACAGGCAATGATAAATACAAAGAAAAGTAGTTACACACACACACTCTCTCTCTTTTCTTCCCTCTTTAATTTCCCACTTCAGCAGCCTGGTCGAGCAGGTTAAAAAGGTCAATTTCTTCCAAACTTTGATTCTTAGCATCAAGAGAGAATTTAAAAATTGCAAGACGCGCGAAAGGTCACTTCCTCCGGCGATTAAGCTGGTGCGACGGAGCGATAACGATGTCTCAGAACGAGTCATTACAATTTGTGATTGACCTGTCCAGCCTTTGCTTACGATATGGTCCCTTCTTTTTATCGCGGTGGTGGATTATATGTTATGTTGTGTTATGTTATGTTAAGTATACTAATTATGACCGTGAAATGGGAATTTGTGCTTCTACAAAGGGATTGCTGTCTTGCAATCAGATTGAAGCAGCTCAGTTTGAGATGATATACCTCGGTCGCAGAGAGCACTAGAAATTGCACAATTCTACAAAGGAAATAGGTCCTAGGGTTACTAACGGTGGAATTCACATTCCGGCCTCAACTCCATATCAAAACTTCAACTTCACCAGTACCGTTCCTGTCACCATGAAGATGCTTTGAAGAAAATGGAACACATAGCTCCAGCTGACAAAAGGAAAGGCAGATCGTTCAGGGTACAGAAAGCCATGAACCCCGTTCATGACCTATACTCCCGCACGTCGCTCGCCCCGACAACATTCACATCGTCAGCTCAAGCGCCACGCAGCTTGTCTCTGACTCTGCCGTCCCGAGACCACTAACCAAGGCTGAAATTCGAGAGATCATCGCCGAGTACGTGCAGGCGCCGTTTTATTCTGGTATTGGTGCTGTGGTGGATGTTATTGGTGGGTAGTTGGGGTGCGGTTGTCGCCTTGGCAGAAGGATCAGGGGATGTTGGTGGAGGATCTCGTTCTGCGGTTTTCGTATGTTATTTTTGGGGAAACGCGGGATTATTTGCATTTGATTGAGGGGAGGACTGCTGTTGGTACGGAGTTTGGGGGTTTGGGGATAGGGATATTTTGGTTGCGTTTGAGAAGCATCTCATTTCAGATCCAGATCCAGATTTGGTGTTTATGGTGAAAGACTTCTCCCAAGAGAAAATTATAAAGTGAATAGAGCTTGGAAGTACAGGCAGAACTGACATTGGTCAAACGTCTAAAGAAGACGACATTAAAAATCACGGACGTATAAACTAAATTCCAATACCAGTTCAATCGAAATATGCTCTCATATATAAAGATATACGTGCCCAAACTCCAATAGATAAGTTCCAAAAAAACGCCGGTTGTGATATATAATACAGAAAATCACGTTGCAATGCTTCAACATATGCGCGGATAGGGGGTTTAGCAAAATTGCTACTAAATAATTATAAATTTTGCTCTTCCCGAAGAATGAAAGGCTTGTGAACAACAGGCAATTAAGAAGGGCGGCAGGGTACCATGGATATATGGACGCTGCTATGTATCATCAATCTTCTCCTTTGCTTTCTTTATGTGTGGCGGGTTTCGCTTCGGAGCGAACGAGCTTGCGAAGACTGATGTTGGCCATATGAACCATAGCCAGCATATGCCGAAGCCCAGGAACTCCTGATGGGAATACCAGATATAACTCTGAATCCAAGAATGGGTCGGGACGAAACTTATCGTGGTACGCCTTCTTTCCGCCAATGGGTAATCGTTGGAAGGTATGGCGGTATAAAGACCGTGTGATTTTCTCAATAGGTGTTGGCAGTCCCGTCACATCGCCCAGGGTTGCAAGAGGCTCGTATCCGAGACTGAGGTATGAAATATTCATCCGGTTTAAAAGTGCCATGGATGCGTATGCTAACAAGTCACTGATCCCTTTGGGCGCACCAGGAGCCGCGATACAAGGATCAAGGTGGTATCCTTGATTGGCACCTACCCGGCGAAGCGCCGCGAACCCATTCGCGGTACCATCCGGACCGCGGGTGTAAATATAGATCATGAGATTAGGGAAGTCGAACGGGTTATAAACGGTGATAAATGCCTGGGCTGCAGCTGCGGCTTGATTGCGTTGGTGTCGCCATGATTCGTAAATGGCCGTTAACTCGCCCTGCAAGGATGGGTCTGCGCCGTATTCAGGGGCGTAAACACCTAGGGTAATACCACCCTTATCTGGATTGAGCAGCTGTTTGTTCTGAACAATAATTCGCTTTCCGCCTCGCTCCATCAGCACATCGTTCGTCATTGGATTAAGCACACGCTCAGCACCGAATTCTAGTGTCGTCCAATGGTGCTGTCGTGCGTGCTTGACGAAAATATCGCTGGCGCCCATGAAAGCGATACCCCAGTGGAATTGCTTTCTATATGCCTTGAACTCGTCTACGATATCAGTAAACAAATATGGCTCGCACAAAGGGTCGCCCGCGACAATGGCTATGTGATTTTGCACTTTGTAACACAGAGCGCCGGTCCGAGCTTTGTTGAGGAAGAAACTGTAACTCCGGTCGAGTATTACCATATGGGAGACTTTCCCATAGCGCCCGGCTAGGCTCTCTATCACTTCAGCATTGTCCATATGGTCTCTGCCCGGTAGATTCGTCTGGGGCAAGGATGTTGACGTTGACAGCGGCGCAAACCCAGCGCGTCCCAGAGGTAGGGAGGATTCGGAACTTGAACGACCGTATGTGTTTGAGGAATGGCGAGAAGATCGTGTGTCTAAGTCAGAAAGGGGTTCCACAAGGGTTTGACTGCTGCTGCTACTCCCACAACAGCTGCTACCACAGCGTCTCGGGCGTGGCGCTGGTGGAAGTAAGAAAGGCTGATCCCGATAGCTGTCGACAGGGAGGACACAACAGGTGCATGTGTTATCAAACTTCGAGTGACTGTAGAGCTGACTCGCCAATGAGTCGCCTACTGTATGGAATAGAAGGTCTTTCTTGGCCATTTTCGCCTGCTTCTTCTTCGCGACCTTCGGTCCCTTTGGTCGCTTAGCTTTTGCGCCATCGGATATCTGCGGAGAAGGCAGGTGGACTCCTTCACGGGTCGATTGACAAGACATGGTGATTCGATGGGTATGACAGAGATAAAAAAGTCCTCAACGGCTGGGAAACAGACACAAAACAGTTGTGGTCCTTTCAGGTTAAAAACCCTTTCATCCCTCTTCTAGGATCCCATCAGGACAAAAGGAGTGGGTAAGCGCTTCGCCTCCACTGATGGACAGCGACACGACTAGGACTTGGCAATTGAATGGCATCGGATGTGCCGACAAAATCTTAGGCAGTAGCATTCATCAGACCGGGATTGGCCTATTGAGAACAAGGGGGCCGGCGCAGCGAACGTTGTTGCGGACTCCGCGGGGACCGTCGATGGACGGAACAGCGGGCCCGTAGGGAAATTCCATCATAAGATCGTAGTCTGTGAAACTTTTTTGAGTTTATCCGTCTGCCTAGTTGGATCCCTACGCTACTTAGTTATTTTCGGGCACAACACCTTTTTTTATTTCCTTCTTTCCCTGTTTCTCCTTTTCCTTTTCCTTTTTTTTTTTTTTTTTTTTTTTTTTTTCCCTTCCTCCGTCCCTCCCATGATCTAAATAGCTACCTCTCCCTTTCTTGGCTAGGATGTCAACGTGACTTTCAAACCAACAATTTCTTTAGCCAGTGGATTGAACGCATTGGGTCAATATCCGAAGAAACGCCATCATTATGACTCAGGGTCTGGTAAATACGAGCACGAGTACGAAGTACGAACCCTGGGAATCTTCTCAGAGTTTTTAGGTAAAGAATGCGATAAGTTGTGACGCCAACGACCCTGGAATTAAGCTTGAACCAAGCCTTTCGGACTCCCGTGCAGAACCTCGTCCAATGGTACACCGCCTTGGCACGGGTAGGGCTAGAACTCCCCCCATGTGGGGCAAGGATCGACACTGCCACTCGAGGCTATGCTACGAATCACTAAAACGAGCCTTGGCCAATTTACCCCATTTGAACAATCGTACCCTGATGCGCGAAGGCAGCCGTACCTATTACAATCACCCTGGGCCAAAAACGCACCTAACCGTAGGAATCTGAAACCTCTCGTTCTATGCTGTGGAAAGGACCCGAACTATCTTGCCAAAGTCTGATGGATCTCAACGACGGACAAAAGAAGGTCTTATCCGAATGGAATGGTCCCGGAAGGCACGGATGATTTATCCACGGTACATCAAGGTTTAATTGCACGTCCCAGGCCCATGTTTTCTTAACATACCGTACCCTCCAGCCAAAATGATCTCTCATGAACTATAGGTCAACCGCTACGAAGGCCCACTCACCGAGGAAGCCTCAATTGCTTTACTTCCTGGGCTTTTCGGTTTTGTCGGTTTTGTCGGTTTTGTGAATCGAGAAGCTAGATATATCCCTACAAAAAGCTTCAGAATATCTCTACCGACACTCCTCGAATTGTTCTGCTAATTTGATTTAGGTATCCCTGGTCCTCTCCATGCCTCCGGCCGGTTGCTATTGCCCCTAATACGCCCGAAAATGCTAGCGTTTGTATGATCTTTCTCTGTGAACTAACCTGCGCCGGAATTTATTAGCAAAGACTACAATGTTGTAGGTGCTTCAGTGAATAGAACTACAGGTGTACCGTTCTTAGTATAGCTTTAGTCTCTTTACGTTTAGCGACATACCAGATTCACTTTCAGTTTCTTAGTTCTTTCTATATCACCATCTATCCTATCTTCGAGAGAAGTAGTTTGTATGCCCCTGTAAACCTTTGTATGGGCTCACCAATATAAAAGGCCTTCTTCTTCGTTCATTCTTTCCTAACTTATTTCTTAATCTGCATGTTTTCAACTTATTTATATACATCTATATACATATTTGACCCCTATAATATGGGGTACCCACTCCTATTCTTTCTTTGCTAGGCTTCTCTCCTCTGTCCTCTTTGTTCTAAGCTGACTGGAACATTTCAAAATATATTGTTGATCAGCCAATATCATCTTTTACAACCTAAACATGTATATATGGCTTGAAATATACTTAGTCTACCGTGGTTCTGTGAGGCAGCGCACTTTGCTTACATTACGTCTGTAACTAGAGTGAATCAGTTGGTGACTGCTTTGATGCATCTCATTGGAAGCATTCACAGCGCCGTGTCTATCTTGTCTCCATGTCCATACCACACAGAGCCAGCCTCAAGGCAGTCTGGATGTTGATTGAACAGAACGGCATTTCCCATTCACTGATATATAAGAGAAAGGGCTTAACTGAGTCGTTTTCTGTTATCTACTGGTTGTGCCATTTTGGTATAAATAGACCATGAACTGGTCTCCATTCCCACAGTATCATGACTTTTGGGTTGCCATCATTACCTCCTTATTGGGCAACTTGACCTTCGGAAGGGAAACTTCCAATATAACTCTCACGATCATTATCTTGACGGTTCTGGCCATTGTGGCCTTTTATGCCTATGTCTCTACAGCCATAGATACCACGTTCGATTACAAGGACCCCGATACATGCCGCTTGATTATTGAGGCGAGGGGACTGCCCAATATAGGTGCTAACCAACTTGAACCACTTCACGCACACGCAACTGCCAATACAAGGAACCTTGTGGTTTTTGCCATTGATAATGCTTTTACGAGTTCCGAGAAGAACCACGTAAAGAGCTTCAAGTTTGACGCCACTCAGCGCATTGGCCAAGTGAATTGGGATCATCTTCCTGTTGCCATTCGGAGTGATGTTCGAGAGCAGCTTGACATGCAAAAGACAGAGGAGGTCCAAATCCATCTAGCCACCTTTGCACAATTTCTTGTCTTGCGAGTAATTATCATGGCCTTGTTCAAGAAGACAAAGGAGGATCTGGATGGCAATGATGGCAATCTCGTCAGATTAGCCAAGAGCATCACTCGGACCTAGGCGGCTTCCAAAAGTGAGAGAACGATCTCAAGTTTCGAAGAAAACGAGGAGCTCCAGGCTTGCCTTTCGAGTATATTCCCTGACATCGATTGCCTCGATCCGCGACAAAACCCCCCAAAACTGGATCCTACCTGGGTTTGAAACCCTTTGGAGTGTAATGATACGAGCAGTCTTAGAAATAAGATTTTCCCAGGGTGGACTTCAAAACCCCCCTTGGAGAGAAGTTATCGCGCATTTCTCACAGGCACCGACTGGTTATTGTTTTACATTTCGAAATAATGACCTTTGCATATCTACAGAGGACATCGTCAAGGAAGCTCTCCGTCTGTATCCGCCCACTAGGCGGGTAATGCGAGTGTTTTCCCTTTTGTGGTTTTCCTTCTCCTGGTTCTCGAAACGTATCCCGTGTTGACGCAGATCTCGAGCCATGCCAAATCACCCCGGAGATATGGACTCGTGAATCTGAAATTTTCGCGCCAACACGATGGCAGCGTGTAACGGAAGCGCAGAAGAATACTCTCCTCGCATTGGGATCCAGACCATTCCTTTGCCCTGCATACAGCCAATTTGGTCCAAAAATTATTGGCCCTCCTCATTGAATCAATCGTGGCTGGCCTTGGAGGGTCCTGGCGTTTGGAGTCGCCAAATGATCACTTGATGGCTACGGTAAGGGCTGGCCGGGGACTGAGTAATGATAGGGATGGATTGGACAACTACGTTGTTCGCCTGCCCAAGACACAGCATTCTGGGTGGCAAAATGTTGCTCTTTCCTTTGTCTCTCTCTTTGCTGTGCAGATTTACCATGTTGTCCAATCAACTTGTGAGGTAATCCAAAATCATCGATTTGCCAGAACATTCTAGTCGATGCTTTTGGATTCGTTCTTGGATAAATACAACGTAGTCCTGCTTCCCTAGCAGTGACAATACATGAAGTCCGCATATCCGACTGCGAGTTACTCTTCCACTGCGCAAAGAGACTATTACAATATGTAGACATAGCACTCCGCTTACTGCTAAAAGGACATTCAACAAAGAGTGCCTAACTAATACTAGTATACTATCAAATGACTGAAAACAATGAGACAAACATTTAATTGGGGATTCACAGTGTTGTAGCTAATTTTCGTCCAGACAATTCTCAGACGGTCTTAATTCAATATCCTCTGACCTTGAGTAGAGATGAGTTGTTCTTCCATTCTCCTTTTCATACAAGATATGAAGATATATGAAAGATTACTTGGTAAAAGCATCCTGTACTTCTCGGGGAATCTTCGTATGGGCTAACCTATAAAAGAATCACTTGCTCAATCGAAATTCCCTTTTATCTCCTTTACGTCCTACTCCCTCATTCGTTGAACTACCCTAAAGGAAGAGAGAGGGAATCAATACGTACGCATATGCAATCTAAATTGGCGTACAATTCGACAAGATGAAGTGCAGTTCTCTTCGCAACAGCGTGGCAGCTTAAGACAACGACAGGGGAAATCGTCCCACAAATTATTATACGGCGTCAACCTACCCAGTCCGTAGTCCGCTCTCCGAGAGATCTTCAAGCAGGACTTTTCTTGTCTCGATACCGAGAAAGAGCTTAACCGGGCTGCTTTCCAGATAGAGCACCATTATGATCGCCAATAACTCTCTGTCAGCTTTGAGCCAGGTGATCAAGTTCTTCTAAGTCTCCATAGAGAATATGGCCTGCCAGTAAATTGGCGACTCGGCAAGACATTTGGAAAACAATCGGTAGGCCTTTTTAAAGTCCTGCAAGAAATTGGTAAGTTAGCATATCACCTGAACTACCACCGAATTGGAAGATATACCTAGTGGTTTCTATTATACATCTCGAGAAACACCCATCAGGCGAAGATCCATTTGGTCATCAGCCGACCAGACCTTCTCCCTTCATCGAAGGATCGTTTTCACAGGATGACGATAGAAGGGGGGTACACGCTATGGTCGACAAGCGCATCCGCAAGATAGGCAGGAATAGGAAGAAAGCTCGCACGATGAATCGGCCGGTTGCCAGAATAGGATCTAGAGGCTACGCTGGTAACCTTGTATTCTAGAAATAATAGACCCCGCATCCCATACACATCATTAGTCAAATATAATTTAATCCATTGGACTAAAAGTTCATTGATGGCATCCTACTATCTGTTAAAATAACATACCTGACCCAGCTATTGATCTGCGGTTAGAGTTGTAAGATTTTTAATAATAGCAAATTGAAGAAGGTGCTAGTTCACCCAGATAGTCAATAATTTCAAGGCCTGCCTGGTGAACAAAGATGTCACTTATTTTTATGCGCAGTCAAATAAAGATAATATACCCCGAACTAGGTGATTTGCGTCGGTAGATTGGATCACTATTCACTAAACGGCCCCAAAGTTTACGCTAGAGTGTTTCGAAGTGGATCAAACAAATCATCGTTCTAGAATGGCCGTTATTATAGCTTAATACTATTATAGTATGTTATAGCGCGCAAAAATAGGATTAAGGTTGGCCTGTCATACAAGGACCAACCCAAGGAATCACAAATTCAGCGGTCAACGGCAGTCTATCGAAGTTCCTCCGCGCTGATCTTGGTATGACCGCATCTGGTCGCCAACCTTCGCTCATCTCGAAATCTGGGATTGTAATCCGAGGAGCTGGAGTCTCGTTGTAAGGTTTGTAGAGACGGTAAGTACTATGATAGGAGTGCAGGGTTATCCATCCACAGCCTTGCAATACTCAAGTATACTGTAGCTAGGAGCAGGAGTAAGTGAATGGAAGTCGAATGAGAGTGAAGCTTCCTACCAATTAGAAGTACTGATTTCGTAGGCCTTTCCCTATATGGTTAGCCGGCTCTCTACAAACAAGGGGATCAAGAAGATCAGCCCGGTAAAATAAACTCAATAAACAAATTTTCAACAGCTGTTGAGGTCAAGTAATAATCTACCATTCCATTCCATCAGGCTTCAACATGTCTAGTGCCAAGATCAACTGCTCTACTCTAGGCTGCGCAAATCCTGACACCCTCCGATGCATCGGGTGTATTGAGCCTCGGGCCTCATATTGCTCCTCCCAATGCCAAATAAATTGACTAGCAAACCGGTAAGAAGAATTGTGATGGCTCTCAGAAGGTCGATTGCATCTTGATCCGCGCTTCAGCTCCTGGAAAAAGCCCCCACAGAGACGTGGGCTACATGGAGCTATTCGCGCTGCGCAACTACGGGAATGAGAAGGATGAGGTCGACGAGTTAGAGCCGGTTGGGCTGGAACGGGAGCTACTGAAGTTGGCAAGCCGTGATCAGATCGGGGCCAGTAAATTGGAAACCCTTCTCCGAGACTTTCACCAAGACCGACTTGGCGAATACAGCCGCATTCTATAACAACAGCATCTTTAAGACTGTATTTGAAGAAAGGGAAAGGGCCAGACAATCGGAGAGGTACGGGGTCGCACTTGCGGGCGTGCCGAGCATAAAAATATGAACTCCATCTTTGGAAAAGTGTGCGATGAGAATGCCGTGCCGCCGCTGTTCCACTGTACAGTTAACTCCGTGGTTGATTATAATGTACGTTTTATTGAATGCCACTGGCATCATTCCACTGGCTATCGACTTTTTTTGGTCTCCTTTATCGATCTAAATTCGGCAGGGCAGCTTCCTACGGCTCATGATGATCGAGTATCAGCTAGGAGCTAGCTAGCCCGGCAACCCGGGTCTGCGCCTGATGATCATCATCAGCTAACCTCCTATCGAGGCGAACAAATTGATTACTACAATATACTCCGTAATGTCCAGCGACAAGAAAAACAAAAGGAAAGGGCAAAAAAGGGGAAAAAAAATTAGGGCAACCTTAGCGTACTGATCCCTACCCAGAGGGGCACAGTCCTTTGTGTCTCCCACAACCCTTTCAGTAAGGTTCACGAGGATTTTCCAACTGGTCGCGAACCCACTTGGGCATCATGAACGATTGGTAGTGGGTACGTTAGCCTAACGGCCCCCAGTCGCGAAGGATAACGGAATTCATCTGGCCCACATTGGTGATAAGAGAGGTCAATATTCAGTTATCGAGTGGTCTCTCCTCGGTGTGTCCTCGGCGTAGTGGACAAGTCTAGATTTGTTCACCTGTGCTTAGCCTGACACAAGCACGTTGACCAGGTGGAAGTGGGGTGGCTAAGGTAAGATGTGACCATAAGGAACGACTCGGAAACCGAGTCCCTATTATATGCCGCGGTGGTAAAATGTGAACGAGACCCTGTCTCACGCGCAGAACATCCAAGTGATTTGCTTTTTGTTGTACGCATTCATTAATTATAAATGTGATGAGGTGCTATCTATCAGGGACATGAGAATGATTGGGTGCATCGGTGTGTACAGGTTTCAAGGCTGCCTGAGTTATTAATTGCTGATTCATGGGACTATGAGGGTACTACGACCTTTAGTCCTCCCATAGTTCTGCCAGTGATCAGTGACAGAGAAAAACACGTGAAAAGCGTGGAACCCTTAGACCCGAATCAGAATGCACCCTGGTCTTAGGCGAGTGTGACTTGCACAACCATTGGATGATGCGAGGTCACGTGTAAGACCAGAGGCCACCTCCAGTGTGATGGGTATTTCTGATTGTCATGGAAAATTTCGTGTCCGGTACATAGTCCACGTAGGTATTTTTTGAGAATTCCTGAGCATGGACCTGGTTTACTATCTCCCCCCCCCCCCTTGGCTGCAAACGAGATAGATTAATGAGAGAGGGTCTCAATAACAAAGCGAACGCCTCTAAATAGAAGGCGTCCCGGACTAAGAAAAACGTGGGAAGGTCGAGGACCCTTGGACAAGATTTTAGACCGTTTCATGTAAATAGCGTTGCTGAAGTCGAGCATCGAAGGCAACCATACTACGAGAATTTCATACACATCAACTCCTCTATGTTCACTATTATGTCAACGTGGCCTGAACGGTGGTGTATTTTTCTGTCGACGTCGTAGCGAGAAACGAGAAAGCCCCAATTGGCTTTTCTCAATCATGTTTCAAAATTCGCATGAAGAGGATCATTAGTGTCGCGCGGGATGTCATTCAGATTGCGCGTCCCGACGGACCCACCGACGTTGACAGAAAGACAGAGAGAGAGAGAGAGAGAGAGAGAGAAAAGAAAGACAGGTAAAGGATGAACAGAGAAAAAGAAGTATTTCAATGCAATGATGTCACGCATCCCTTGCTCGACAATTTGACATCATCCACCAAGCACGAAGATTGCATTATTAAAAATGGCCCGATAGAATGTCCGAAGAAAGCGACCTGTATGATCGATCAATTTAGTCTACCGAGGGACAAATGGGATTTCATTGTCTGGGAGTAGGACGGAGTTCTGTCTATGTACATGTACATCACGACAAGCCACAGCAACGCGCATGAACTCAAATTCCGGACTATGGGCTCCTTGTCTCATCCTGTCCCAATTATCGGGCGTTGGCTTCTGCCCCCCTTCAGACTTCAGTTCCTTCCCGTACTTAATTTTAGTTTCTCTCTAGGAACGGGCCTGCATTCCGAACGGTCGATACCCAGCCGACTGGGGCCGGGAACGGTTACGCGGATGCTCTCGAGTCCTTTGGGACGGAATCCCACGGACATCCCAGTTTTCGACTGATCTCCTGCGTTCCTACTCAGAATGTTTCCCCCCTCGGTGTGCGGGTGTGGCAATTGTGGGAAAAGCGCGGGATGGGCGAAGGCTGAGTTTTGTTTGCCCCCGATTATTTTGAGAACTCGTGTATTTATTATTATCTTCAATTGTGTTCGGCTCAGGGCAATATTTAGGATATTGTTGTATTTTTGTTGAGGGAGACTCAAGATGCCCCAAAAAAAAAAAAAAAAACAAAAGCACAAAAACAAACCCAAGTACTGTACTTTTTGATTTGCTTTTTGATTGGCAGTATTCCATCGAAGACACGGGCGGTATCCATGGAACTGGAACTGGCAGTCGATCGATCCTCTGGAGTTCAGGCGGCGCTATGCATTGATTAGGTAAAGGGTCACCGAGGGATTGTACAAGGAGTACTTTTTACTCTTTTTAATACAGGTACTGTTCTAGAGAGTCCAGAACAGAGACTAACTGTTCCTGAGTTCAAATCCAGTCTCCACTCTCCTGCTTCTCCTCTTTCCATCCTTCAGATCAATAATATTCAATCATCTTATTAAATTGTGATTGCTTCCCCTCTCGCCGTGTCTTGGTTTTTTTTGTTCACCCTTCCTTGTCCACACTTTCTCTCCTCTTTTCCTCTCCCCTTCCTCTGTATCAAAACCCTCCCTCATTTTGGGTTTCACTCTCTCACCTCATCCTCTATAGACATTCATTTCTCTTTTTTCAATTTTTTTTGTCTCACCTTTGACTGTGACTCTTACCAGAGGGTTCGACCCCACCCATCATTTGGTTTCTCATCCTTTCTTTGACTCAGTCGTCCAACCAACAACTTTGTTTTTCATTTTTTTTTTCTAAGAAAAAAGGGAATAAAAGAAAAAGAAAAAACAGACCACACACATAACGTTCAGTGCCTCGGTCCCGATTGATAGTTCGCTTCCGTTTGCTTGGCTGGCAATCCTATCCGGGGACTTTAAACTATTGCTTTGCCGTGTAACCTAAGCCAAGCCATACTGCGTACTATCCTTCCGTTCTCTCTTCATTTGGATTTTTGATCACCTATCCAATCTTTCTCTTTGATCTCCTTATTCCTAATTTCGTTTTGTGATCTTCGAGAAAATCCCCAGTCCTGAAGGGACAAAGAAAGAAATCCCTCTTGTCACGCCGGCACCAAAGAACGGGTCCCACCGGTTGACTCCCGCAGGAACGTTGCCGCCCCTCTCACGCACACCACCGAAGGGATAGCCGCTCCTTAACTCCCTAGTCAAGGAGCTTGGATATACCGGTCTTGGCTCCTCCTCAACCTGCATATTCGTGCGATAAGAGCATACGTTACACTCATGCTAGTCGTCATTATTGCCTACAGCCCCGGTCGACTTTGAATTTACGGTACTTGACTGCAACTCGTCACGTTGTACAACTTGAAGCACCTTTCTATCCCTAAGCCTGTCCCCTTTCACTCGACCCTAGCCCTTTTTGACGCAGGCTTGAATGCTTGGCTTCCCTTCTTATACTCCGTCTTCCTCGTAGCTCCTCATCAACGCAAACCTACATTCTTATCCTTCATACCAGCGATCGTTTCACTCGTCTTTCTCATCGATTCGTTGCACATTATGGCGAACTCACAAGAGCCCCTGGATGCCCCGGATGGCTCCGCCTTGACCTGGATCTTTGATCACTGTCTCCGTTACCCGGGTTCTTATGAACTGCCGTTACGCACTATGTATGCATTGAACTGCAACCCAACAAGACAGCCGGCGCCCGCCAATCGTCCTCCCGAGACAGCGTTCTGCGAGCGTCCGTCCCACTCACCCCAGTCTTCGGTGTCCTCCCAAGATGCTCCCTTGGATCGTGCTGCCGATTTTAGAGCTCTACTGACCCGTCAAATCTCTCGGCTACCGTCACAGCCATGCTCCCTTCCCCCTAGCTTTGTCACCTCGTTCCTGCGTCGCTGCTTCACTCCGGAGCTGGGTGATGTTGACTTTCCTCAGGCCTTGACCGGTCTTGACTATCTTAAAGACCTCGATGTCCGTCGGAAGAAGGAGGTCAAAGCTGCGCTGGACCGTTTACAGGTCAAGCCAGATGATCTCAAAGAAAAGGAGGAGCTTGGGAGGAAATGGCCTAATGTCTTGACCTGGATCGAGTCCAACTGTGCCAAGAACCGCAAGGCTGAGGCGCTCTACACACAAGTCTACATTGGCCTACGCCGCTGGGTGAGTTGCTCTATGTCTGTACTATCTTATATTAGCTGACTAACATTTCCCCTCAGACTCTGATCAATGAAATGCTACTTGAACCACATAACAAGGCCAACTGCATTGCCATGCTAAACACCTTGTTCCCTCCGGTTACAGACGCAACCGTCAATCCCACGCCGCAATTGACTCCCCAGATCCTCAAGTCTCAACGGGATGGGTTCTTCCGGTATATCGCGGCGTTTGAAACCAATGGAAGAGATATCCTCGACAAGGTTATCGCGCAAGGTGCCCCGGAAGGGGAGGAGACTGGATGGCCACTGGTGCGAGACGTCTTGGACAAATACCTTCGAATCACCAACGAAATCATCGATGACTGTGCCATGGTCAATGATCAGAGCAGTCTTGAGGTCAAGGTGGAGGAGGAACCTCAGTCCCGTCGGAAGGTCGATTCCGGTATTAGCTTTGGCTCGGCAGACAAGTTTCATACTCCTTCCGTCCATAGCGGTAACAGCTCGGAAGATATTATAGACAAGCCATTGCCACCGGCCCCAAAGGACAGTCATCCGAAATCGGGTGGTTCCACGCTGGAGCGGTTGGCACGTGAACTTCGCAAGCTAAGCGACGCGGGCAAAGTCAAGAGCCTCAAGAAGATGAGATCCTCTAGTGCCCTTACTGCGCGGTCCGAAAATATTCCCAGCCACACACCGGATAGCTCATTCTTCGAAATTGATGAGATGAAACGAAAGCGTCTCATCTGGGAGGCTACTAGCCGTAAAAGGTCCCATAGCAAACTGCTTAGCAATGGCTCACATTGACTGTGATTCGATTGATTGTACACTTACGACCGCATTCTTTTGTTTCGCTCCCCCCCCCAAAAAAAAGAAGAGCAGGAAAGACAAAAGCTGATGTTCTACATTTGGAGTGTAATGGAGTTGGACTTTTTATTTAGTCATTTTGAAATTTTGTTACTTTTCGGGGCGCAATGCAATTACTACTAGTTGGGGGCGTCTTGGGTTTTTCAAGCTTACAGGTGGGATTGGCAGGCCATTTTCGCATTGGGAGTTTTGAACACGGTGGAATCATTTCTCCAAGTCTAAAAGGGGGAACAGGGCAGCAAAAGATAAAACAAGGCTAGAAAAAGCTTTTCATGAATGTTACTTTATGATGATGATAATGAATTGATTTTGTCAAATTGATTACATTTCGTATTCGTATCTGCATGTTTATGGCATGATCAGTATTGCTGAGTGATTTTCTCTCAGTGTAAGCCACTAGTGAGTATACATACATACTGTACAGAGTAATTAAATCCCTGCCTGATTACTAAATCATCTTATACTCGTGCAGATTGTATATAGAGTATTGGATATCCGGTGTTGTTTACTTGCCAAGAGTTGGTTAAGCATGAACAACCTCCTCCCCTCTACCTCAATTCACGTCGACGAATATGCTAGATATCACATTGTTGACTAAAATGCTATCTAACACAAAACGCGCCTAAGTCCTAGTTGCGTCCTATGCAGGATATTTCAGTATAGTTCCGGTTGACACATACCTACTCGGACGATAACCACACGCGATAGTACTGGCGACCTCGCTGGCCAGATCCTCCAGTTCTTCTCGTAACATGGCTGCAGAGCTACGATCCATCAATCCACGCCAGCCTTCCCGTCGTCTTGAATGCATAACATACCGTGATGCGCCGTATCTTCGAAGATTTGCAATTGGATGTTGTGAGCCACACTGTCGGCCCAAGTTCGATACGCCAAAAGATATCATACATTAAGTCAATTTAGTGGGCACTAGAGCCCTTCTTCATGGCCCAGAGCCCCGTTCCTCGTTTATACGGGCTCTGCAAGTGTTATCAGCGACGCCAACGCCGATCTGAAGGGTGCCGATGTGACCTTTCCCATGACACCGGGTGACCAGCGGCCGGATTTCTATTTCCATAATAAGGTGAGTCGTGATGGCCTGCGCGATTAATCGGCCTCTCCTATTAACAGCGTTTACGTAATTAGGCGCTCGCGGGGAGGTACGTTCTATCACAAAATAAGACCCAAGACCCGCCGGGCTTCCTGACTTGTGAAGATTTGATCCCTGAGCATCTTTGGTGTTGTAGGCCTGGCCGTGTTCCTTTGTATTATGAACACTTATTTCCGAGGCCCGACCAGGGTGCACATCGGTTTGAATCAGAGTCTCTTCGACTTTACTGAGAGCGCGAGTGCGATGCACATGCCCTACCTTGCTAGTAGCGCCGACCAAACACCAAGTCGACCCGCAATCGCCGCCGACAGATGGCGACACAGTGGATGCGAAGCCCTCTTCATCACCAATGATCAATCTCGCTACTTCAGGGACTTCATGCGGCCGCTTTGGAGGTATTATGTGAACACAACATACCTGGATCAGGTGGGGTTGACCGCTCAACTCGAGACACTATTTCTGGCCGTCTTGTCAATGAATCTATGTCATGCTTCTTGCCATCGCCATTCTATAGGAAGTATTAGATCCCTGATTTGTTGAAATCTTTCACACACAGCATCATTTGGTAAATTTATGGCACGATTATTATCTAGCCTGGCTTTACCAACAAAGACATGTATTTTCAGCCACAGCTCAAAGAAGAATGGAATATGTTGTCACACAAGTAAGGAAAACTAAGGGTTCTGGTAATACTAATATCTCTTTAGGCCAATTTTCTCTGCGCACTACGGACATGAAGTTGGGGGCCGAAAGTTATTCCTGAGTGTTTGCTAGTAAAGGCAATTTCGAAAGAGACTGTATGAAAAGTGATATAAATTGGAGGCTTGCAAAAAAACGCACTTCACAGTTCCCCGCGGTGCCATCGTTCTAACTGGGCATTGCATTGAAGTACATATTTGGAGGGCCTTCTATGGTTACCTTGGGCCAAGATGATTCTCTTTCCTCGCTTCCATCTATTCGAGATCGAAGATCAAGACTGGTGTCCTAGTTGGTTGATTTTATTCATTCAGACCTATTTGACTGCGCTCTGGGATCTTCGCATCCCTTTTGTGAGAAACACTGCAGCTGAGGTAGCTGCTAGTATTATCAAAGAAAGCCTTCCCAAGGCCTCTTCATATACTTTTGTCGATACCTGTGCTCGTGCTGGTGGACCGATACCCGCCATCGAGACAGCTCTTAATGCCAAACTTTTCTTGGCTGATCGCAGGCCCTGTATGATAGAATGGAAGGCTATCAAGAAACAGCACGAGTGCATTTCATTTATCCCAGAACCCGTGGATGCAACGTCGTTGGAAAGAATTACCTCAGAGGGTCGCGAGTGTCGGATATTCAATATCTCCTTTCGTCATTTCGACGATGACGCTGCTAAGCTAGTCTTAAGCAGTGTGATGCAGTCCGCAGATTCATTTATGTATACCGAACGATACCAAGATTACCAGGAGAACCGGACTAACAGTTTCATAGTATTTTCGAGTTTCTACAGCGAGACTTCACGACGTTCTTGTTCTGCTGCTTGACTACCGTGTCTATACCCCCTTTCGTGCATATACTCCTCCGGTTCCGGAGATCTCTAGTGCATATCATTTTTACGTTTATGATTTGGGTGGCTCCGGCAGCTCTGGCGATCGATGGTTTCATGTCCATGCTGCGCACTCGGACGCATACAGAGATCAAAGATCTTACTTGGAAGCCTGAACATGTTTCTGATGAATGGGTGTTTAAGCATGGTAGTCTGGTGATCTTCGGGCCATGGCACCTACATTGGCATATGGGGTATAGACCCATTGAAAGATAAAGCAAACCATGGCTGAACAAGAGTTCCTTTTACCTTAAAGCTTACGTGGGAGGTACTATTAGATGCTCTTCCGGCGTCAGACTGCAGGATAATAGATGCAGGCAGAGTGCATGTCAGGTTATATGCAGGCGGATGGAACAAGATGCCCGTAGCTCCAGAGCCACGAACAGGATCAGGGTTAAAAGAGGCTTATATAATCAGGTTTGAGGTTCAGGTGAAACAATGGTCAGGGGCAGCAGGACAAGCAGTATACTTGGTATTTGAATATAGAGTACGTAGTATATATATAGATTTCTACTATAGTTCTAGACCGAGTAAGAGGCTATAAGTAGTATGGTATCAGACTAAAAAAGAGTTAGAGACCCAGAACGCCGCAGAAACAGTGTACTGTTACTCCGTATTTATAATAGTAATTAATAGTTCTCACCCATAGATAGTCCAAAATATGACTGGCCAATGACAGGCCGGTATAGAAGACACGGAAGTTTTGCGCAAGTGGCCGCTACGACTTCCGTACAAGCTCTGGATCAACTCTCCAAGTGGCCAGAACACATGAAACAGGACCCTTCATTGTCTCGGTTACTCCTTTCTAAAGCGCGCGGTTGGAGACCAGTTCGTATTTCCTGATACCTACTCAATGGTCTCCTGCACTATCTTTACATGAAATCTCATTCTATGCTGCATCCATCAAACTGAGGTCACCTTCGCCCGTTATGCTTACTAGCTCGCTCGCCTTGACTTGGGAGTACTTAGCTAGTGATTAAGTGTTGCCCATTCTGGGCCAAGATAAGCCTCGATCTACCTATTTTCTGTATAGACGAATGTGCGGGAGCAGCCACAAAAATGAGATTCAGCGTGGGACATGTCGCTTCATGGCGGCTATCTGTAATTGTCGCCTCGGTGCTAGCCTGCCTAGTCCACGCAAGCCCCTCAGTCAATGTTGCGTTACAGGCTTCATTCGACTCGGCACCGTATCTTATAGAGCTTCTGTAAGCAATCACTCTCTGTGTCCTTTGTTCCTTGCTCCGGTCAATGTGGTTGCTTATAAAATGTAGAGAAACCGCCGCTGAAGAAAACGCAACTGCCTATTTCCCACTGCTCGACCGCATCGCTGATGGCGCCTTTGACCATGTCGTGACTGATAAAGATGTGTACGATCGCTTCTTACAGGTTGTACATGAAGATGGACACCTAGGAACTCCCGAGAGCCTCTCGTCGTTCAAACTCTCCTTGGCCATTCGATCAGCGAGCCCCCGAATCGCGGCCCATTACCAATACTACAATGCTTCCGTACAGCACTCCTTGATGGCAGCGCAGGACGCAGCCTGTCCAGTGTGGGTGCACTCGGATGGCAAGCAGTATTGCTCCTCGACCATGGGACGTGCTCAGCAGGATGTTTCGGGAGACTTGTGGGTGGCTCTTCTCTTTTTTGTAGGAAGAAACCCCTGGTGTAGGCTAACCTGGTGTCTTTTGCAGGGACCCGCGAGAGCTTCCATTTGATAGAGTTCTGGGGGATACGTCATTGCCCCCAGCCGTTTTGTACGCGGATGTGGCATCTCCAATGTTCAAAGACTTCCACCATACCCTTAGTGATCTTGCCAAGGAAGGGCAGATATCGTATCGCGTACGCTATCGGCCGCCTCAGCACTGGAGACCTCGGCCCCTTTTCGTTTCTGGTTACGGTGTTGAACTTGCATTAAAACGAACGGACTACATTGTGATCGATGACCGAGATGCTGGACAGAAAGAACCAGTCAATGGGGAGGCCAACAAAGTAGGCGATATGAATGGCGATGCCCCAGATGACCTTAGGCCATTGTCCTCGTCTGAAGTAACACGTCTAGGTGTGAACACTGTCAAATATGTGATGGATAGTGACAACCCTCTGGATACGCTCGTAAAACTGTCACAAGATTTCCCTAAATACTCCACAAAGATCGCAGCCCACAATGCCACTGCTAAGCTCTTGCAAGACATCCGCTCTAGTCGAATGGGGATGTTTCCCTCTGGCGCCAACGCCATGTGGATTAATGGGGTCCAAATGGACTCTCGGAAGATTGATGCCTACTCTCTACTGGACCACTTACGCCGCGAAAGAAGACTAATAGAGAAATTTAGGGATCTGGGAATTTCCGCGCAGGAGGCCGTAGATCTTCTGTCCCACAAGATTCTCGGCGAGGCTCTGGCAGACGATGCACCCCAACGTTACGACTACCGGGATGAGATCGAGGGTGGTCGGGTCCTCATATGGCTGAACAATCTAGAAAAGGATGCCAAATACGAGTCCTGGTCTGGTGAATTAGAAGCGGTGAGCGATTTTATCTCATGTACGCTTTTTGGACATTTGTACTGATCGTTGTTAGTTCTTGCGTCCCACATTCCCGGGTCAACTTCCACCAGTCCGCCGCGATGCGAACAATATCGTTGTGCCGGTAGATTTGGCCGATATTGAAGATGTAAACTTTATCGTCAAGACGGTACAAGTATTTGTGCACAGGAAGATTCCTGTGAGGTTTGGCTTAGTTCCGATTGCATCTTCATCTGGATCTACGGGCCAGCTTAAGGTTGCTCACTACCTGCAAGAGACCTTTGGTTTGGCGAGCCTGATTAAATACCTTGAGGAGGTAAGATTTAATTGAGCACTGAAATTTGCGGTCTTTGTTCGATGCTAATGCTCTCCAGTCTCTCACTGCGAACAAGATCGCATCTCCGGATAAAAATTCTTTTCAGGCTGCAACTAAAGAGCGGAACCTTCGTCCCGATAGAACGGCTTTGTCATTTGAAGAGGTTCTGAAGCATGGAGCGCTTGACGAAGCGGTGTCTCGAACAGTAAATTATCAGAATCGTCTCGGCATCACAGGTGGAACACCATTAATCTTGGTTAACGGCGTCCCACTCGTCCGCGATGATAACTGGGTGCAAGAGATGAGCAACAGAGTAGGCAAAGATTTGCAATCACTCCAGAAAGGCATTATGGATGGCATCTTCAAGGAAGACACGTGGCTACCGGGATTCTTCCTTTCCCAGGCCTTCGAGCGTCGCAACCCCTGGGTGATACCCGAGGACCCGAAGGATATCCGGGTCGTTGATTTAGCCAAGGTGTCCGAATCTCACAAGGAAGGACTGGACGCACTTCCTCGCATCCATTCTGACACAGACAACGCTCTGGATAGTGTTCATATGGTCGTTGTGGGCGATTTCGACTCCGAGAATGGTTCCAAGCTCCTCACGGCAGCCTTGGAGAGCCGGAAAAAGCATACTGATCTAGAGATACTCTTGCTTCATAATCCTGCACATACATCTGCCGCAAGTGGCTCCATCACTGTCTATCATTCACTTAAAGAAGGCAGCGACGTGGATGTCTCACAGGTCCTGGCTGATATTGGGTCCTCTGACTCTTCCATGTCTTCCCATAAGGAAGCTGAGATCGCCGAGTTTTGGGCGTTGCAGCAGCCATTGGCTTGGGACCTAGGATTTGCACCTGGGGCAAGTGGCGTTGTTATTAATGGCAGAGTAGTTGGGCCTATGCCAGAGGATTATGGAGTAGGACCAGATGACCTTGACCAGCTTTTGGCATATGAGCACGCAAAGCGCATAGATCCGGTAGCGCAGGCTGCTAAGGAGCTCCAAATCGGCTCAAAGCTTTCTGGTCCTCTGGCCTTTGCTAAGCTGACCTCACTGACTACACTTTCGACAATATCTGACGTCCCGGAGGGTATCTACGAATCGGTTCCTGACGTTCGGATGAACTTGTTCAATGAGTGGAACGATTCTAGCTCCGTAATAACCGTCTCCAACTCTGAAGACCCGGCGATCACTATAGTCGCTTCTATTGATCCAACATCTGAAATATCCCAGAGATGGTTACCTATTCTGAAAGTACTCTCGCAACTGGCGAGCGTCAGGCTCAGGCTGTTCTTAAACGCGCGGGAAGAAATACAGGAACTTCCAATCAAGCGCTTCTACCGCTATGTTTTAGACTCGAAGCCCTCTTTCGCTGGCGATGGGTCTATGTTGAGACCTGGAGCTACTTTCTCAGGCGTGCCGGTCGAACCACTACTTACCCTGGGCATGGACGTTCCGTCATCTTGGCTTGTAGCTCCCAAGGATTCCGTTCACGACCTTGATAACATTAAGTTGAGTTCTTCGAACGCAGGATCAGACGTGGATGCTGTTTATGCATTGGAGCACATTTTGATAGAAGGTCACTCACGAGACTTGACTACAAAGACTCCTCCAAGGGGAGTTCAGCTGGCTCTTGGTACCCAGGAGAACCCCTACTTTGCTGACACCATCATCATGGCCAACCTAGGTTACTTCCAATTCAAAGCCCAGCCTGGGCTGTGGCAAATTAATTTGAAACCGGGCCGCAGTGAACGTATCTTCAAGCTTGATAGCGTTGGTGGCATGGGCTACTCTCCGCAACCCGGCGATGAGAACAATGAAGTTGCTCTCCTTTCCTTCCAGGGCAAGACACTTTTCCCTCGCTTGTCACGCAAGAAGGGCCATGAGACAGAAGATGTTCTGGATACGGCTGCCAAACCCGGATCTGCAATGGAATATGTCTCTAAAGGACTCAACTTTGCCTCCGGAGTCCTGTCCAGCGTGGGAGTTGGTTCGAAGCTTGCTACCACCGAAAAGCAAGCTGACATCAACATTTTCTCAGTCGCAAGTGGCCACTTGTATGAACGAATGCTGAACATTATGATGGTATCCGTGATGCAAAACACTAAACACTCCGTTAAATTCTGGTTCATCGAGCAGTTCCTCTCTCCCTCCTTCAAATCATTCCTGCCACACCTAGCCAAGGAATACGGGTTCTCATACGAAATGGTCACGTTCAAATGGCCACATTGGCTCCGTGCTCAGCGCGAGAAGCAGCGCGAGATCTGGGGTTACAAAATCCTCTTTTTAGACGTGCTATTCCCGCTTTCCCTAGACAAGGTCATCTTTGTCGATGCAGATCAGGTCGTCCGCACAGACATGTACGACCTTGTCGACCTAGACCTGGAAGGCGCGCCCTACGGCTTTACACCGATGTGTGATTCTCGCCATGAGATGGAAGGCTTCCGCTTCTGGAAGCAGGGCTACTGGAAGAACTTTCTCCGCGGGCAGCCTTATCACATTTCAGCTCTATATGTGGTTGACTTGAGCCGCTTCCGCGCTCTGGCCGCCGGTGACCGTCTCCGTGGTCAATACCAGATGCTCTCTGCTGACCCTAACAGCTTGAGTAATCTTGACCAGGACCTGCCGAATCATATGCAACACCATATCCCAATTAAGAGTCTGCCGCAGGAATGGCTGTGGTGCGAGACGTGGTGCTCAGATGAGTCTCTCGGTCAAGCGAGGACGATTGATCTGTGTAATAACCCGCAAACTAAGGAGCCCAAACTCGACAGGGCTAGAAGACAGGTCCCCGAATGGACTGCATATGACGAGGAGATTGCTGCGCTGTCAGAGAGGGTTGCTCTCGAGCATCAAAGAGAAAAGGAAGTACAACCTGACGATGAAGGTGAAGAAGATGAGGAATGGAGAAAGGACGAGTTGTAGAATTACAGTATATTTTACATTTTGTATGCCAATAGATATATTTGCGAACGAAGTCATTGATTGCTCCTGAACTATACATGTGGACGATGGGGTATATGAATAAGCCACAACTTTTAAAAGACTAAAACATCACCCAACAATACCTACATCAGGATTAATGATCGTGCCCGACAAGGCCCTGTCTCCATCAATGCTAACACCAAACCTGAGCCGAAATATGTTTATCATCACTCGTCAGCACATCCCCTATCTCCCCTTCTGTCTAGCAGCGTTAACGTTATTCGCTGACGTCTTCCATCTTCACATCCCGCGACATCGGGGAACTGTCTATTGTAGAAGTAGAGGTTTCTGCCTGACGGCGTCGCTTTAGCATGTCCATTTTGTTACTCATGGGCTTGCTAGGCTTAGACTCTGATTCTGGGCTTGACGAGTCGGAAACGTCACTGCTACTCTCGGATTCATTTTCTGAAGACTCTTCCTCAGATGAGGACGCCTGAGACTTTTGCTTGACGGCGTTTGACTTTTTTAACGACTTGGTCCTCTCGTGGTCGCTAGAACTTGTTACCTCGCTCTCGCTCTTATCGCTTTCATCACTACCTTCGTCACCGGAAGATGTTTCGTTTGAGTCGTCCTCAAAAGAACTCTCGTTTTTCATGCCCTTGTTTTTCGAAGTTTTAATGATGCTAGGTTTCTTGGCTGATGGTGATATCTTTGATCCACTGTTTGTGACTATTTGTTTAGATGGGGGTGTATCAGAATCAGAGCTTGAATCAGAGTCGGAGCTTGAGTCGCTGTCTCCAGATTCGGACGCGGATGTTGTTGTGGTTGACTGACTGCTCTTTAGAATGTCATTTTTCTTGTTCTCTGTAACCTGTTTGGGGCTTTTGCTGCTCTTCGCCTTAGGCTGTGGATCAATAGTCTTATCCTTCGACTTCTTGCTGGATTGTGCAGAATTGTGTCGCGATTTTGTTTGCTTTGGTGCAATAGCCTTTGTGGCGTTTTCATCATCCGAAGCCGACTCATCTGCTGATTCGGAATCAGCAACGGAAGCTGACTCGACCGACTCTGAAGTCGACTTGGATACATCGGAGATATTCTTAGCTGGCGACGCGTTGACTGAGTTTGTGGTGTGGTCCTCCTTATCTTCGCCTTCGTCGTCTGATATCACGTATTCGTTGCTTTTGTAGTGGCCGACCGAAGTCCGTGTGGGAGTGGGAGTGGCCGTCTTCAATTTTGCTTTGCTGTTCTTTCTCTTTGATTCTTTGAGCGGGTCAAAAACAGCGTCAGGGTTTCCATTCTCTCGCAGGTGCTGAACCTTCTTCCTAGCCTTGCGCCATTTATCCGCACACTGCTGCCTGGAACGACAGTGACCCATTTTGCTGCTAATATGCCCCCAAGAAATCATGGTTTCATCGATTTCATAGATATCACGGCCCACGTCATGGCCCTTCTCTTTCAGATTTTTCCATGCCAGTTGCAACGCGTCCTGCAGCATGACATTCTCCTTTTGTGACCACGGACCCCGGTTCATCGTAGTTCTATGCTCCAGGCGGTTCTTCCATCTCTGGACCACATCGTCGTCATTTCGGCCAATCTCTTTAGCAATCAGAGCGAACTTGAAACCATGCTGTGCGACCAGCCGAATGAGCTCCTCGTCCTGCTCGTGCGTCCAGTGGTGAGGCTTCACATCCGAGCTCTGGAAATGCCGCCTCATAAAGCGGTAGACAGACCTCCGTTCTCGATTGGGCAGGATCCCGTAGATAGTCTTCCAGAACTCATGCTTCGTAGTGATAGACGAATCACAAGGAAAGTCGACACCCTTTTCTCTCTCTGAATGCTGCACCATGGCGTCAAAGACATCCGCGCGTAATCCATTAGTATTGCAGAAGTCGATCTTGAAGTCCTCCAGCGCCTGCACCTCGTTCGGCGTAAAGAACCCTGTCTGCCCCTTGCCTTCCCGTTTCCGCTTCCCTTTCCGAATCTCTCCCTGCTGGGTGGACCCATCCTGGGAAGTCCAGAGAAGCGGTGTTGGCGTCGGTTTCGGCTCGGCTAGGCTCTCCTGGGGTTCAGACGAGGTATTGGTGTCCTCATTCGGGGTCGATTGGATCTCGGGATCGCTCGTCGGTTTCTTGAATGAGTTTTCGTATTGGATTCGGAACGAGATATCACCGTTGGTGGTAGGTGGTTTCTTTGTACTAGGATTGTCCTCCGTTAACGAATGGGCAAGCTTCGTCCGCTTCGAGAGGCGGGGTTTCTCTTCGTTTTGAGGCGACAGCGCGACGGATGAGTTGACATGTTCGCTGGATTTTCTTTTCCCGGGTTTCAGCGGGTTAAAGCGGTTAGGAGTTGCGGCTGCGTTGTCTTTTTCTATCGTTGGAGCCCAATGTTAGATGTCATTCGAGAGTTGGTGTTTCTGGCGCTGGTAGTTTCTAGTGATACTTACGGGGGTGGTCGCTGAGGCCATCGTCGGCCTTTTTCGAGGGCCCGCTGCCCATCTGGAGGAAGTCAAGGAGGGGGAACGAGTCGCGTAGATGAAGGGGAGTAGAAGTGTATGTGAGGGAGATATGGAGTTGAAGTATAAGGTCTCCGGAGTGAAAAGTTCATTTGGAGTCAAAGTGAATTACAACATAAAAAAAAAAGTTCCGGCCTCGGGTCAGACTAAATTTAAAGCTCACAGGGCGCCAACCATTTTTTGCTGTGTTTTCCGCCCTTGAGCTTTTTTTCCCAATAGATCTTAGCGGTCAGCCAATGCTTTCTTTTTCCCACTCTAGGTTTATGCCTTTTGTCAACGTCGTAAACTTGATACATGAGGGGAGAAAATTAAATAAAAAAAATTAAAAAAAAAATTAAAAAGAAAGAAAGAGATATATCAAAAATAAAAAGTGTGAATAGTAGTAGTATAGAACATAACACACACACCACAACACAACAACTTTCAACGCCCCATCACGTTTCGACCTTCATTTCTCGTAATATCCTCGTGACCAGTTTCCTCTGATCTGTCGAATTCAACTCATGCTGGTCAAGGGTACTCAAGCATCGCCCAATGGCAACCGTCGCCTTGACAGCATAATCGCCCCCATTCGCACAATCCACCCAGACCTTCCCATTCCTCCCCACAGCAATCTCAAACCCGCCCGTCTTCTCCAACTTCTTGCCCAGCTCCTCCAACACCACCAACCCTGCCACTGCCTCCTGCTGCTCCGCGGACGAGGAACTAGCCTTCATCAACCGCGCCGCCAACCCAGTCGACACATCAAAAACCATCCCACCCGTCAACGGCCCCAGTCCCCCAGGCTCAGCCTTCCCCGTCGCAGGATTGACACAGGTAAGCTCCACCTCCGCGCCAGCACCCAACCCAGTCGACAACACACGCGCGTAAACCAGATCCCCCTGTTTCAGCATCGGCCGTGTCTTCTTCGTCGCGCCCTCGAATGAAAGCTGGCCCAGCAGCGCCTGCGGCGCTTGCGGCGTGACCATGCAAAAGAAATAATCCGGACTGGAGTGGTGGATCTGCGCGATCACCAGATCGCCTGGGGTTGGGAGATAGCGGCGGTTCGGGGTGGAGAGGATGGACACGGCGTTTCGTTTGATGTCTGTTGAGAGGATGCCCGGTTGTGTTGCGGATATCACATGGCTGAGGGGTGTGGATGGGTTTGAGGACGGTTGTGAGAGGAGACGAAGACCTGCTCCGAGTCTCAGGGGGCCGGAATTGGTGGATGGGAGGTACTCGGAGGGGACTTCGTCGCCCGGGAGGAGGATTAATGGCGATGTCATTTTGGGAGGGGATGTTTGTCCACCGGGTTTTACTTGTTGGTGGTTTTTGATTCTTCTGAAAAGAGATCGGAGATGGTGGAGACTGAGGGATCGCCCTTGGCTGCGAAAACTGGCTTATCGGTTATCGCCACGTGATGTGGTATTTTTTTCTTTTTTTGTAGATGCAGGTTAGTAGTGCATGTAAGTTGAATGAGTTGTGGGATTCATGTAAAGATAAATCGAGTGATAGGATGTAAGGATCTATTTCAATGCTATCTTAATGAGAGAAATTGGTCTAGACAAAAGAATCATGGTGTCGACAACTTCATATGAGATTCAAAGAATTGATAGGAGATATCTCAAAGTGCACCGCCACTGCACTATCGATAAGCACTAGCCACAGCTGCCCGCCTTGACAAACAGACCAAAAATTTTTTCTTCGTCTGGCAGAAAGAAGAGAATCATCCATTCCGAGGCGGAGTCCGAATTGTGTCCCATTTTCTATCTCCATTCTCTCCATTTCCTTTCCTTCTCTTTCTCCTTTTTCTTCCCTCTAACACATTCCCCTCACATAATTCACAATGAGTGACCAAACAAACGGCGCCCCCGAGCGTTTTGCTATCGGTATCTCTTTTGGCAATACCTCTAGTTCCATTGCCCGCATTAACCCTGTACGTTGAACCCCATTCGAGAGTCCAGTTATCCCTACAAGGCTGTCATTTTTTTGTCAAGATTGAGAAATCAGTGCTAACATCTAAATAATATATAGGAGGGCAAGCCCGAGGTTATCGCCAACGAGGAAGGAGGTTCGTCTATCTTATTCCCCGTTCCTGGTTGGTGGCGGGTAATTTCTTCATGCACAAACTTACGGTTTCAATAGACCGTCAGATTCCTTCCGTCCTCTCTTACATTCAGGGTGAAGAATACCACGGTACTCAGGCCAAGGCCCAATTGGTCCGCAACTCCCAGAATACTGTCGCATATTTCAGAGATTACCTTGGCAAGGAGTATGTCTTCCTCACATTAAGTTGACTCTTCATGTGAGACAATGAATAGTGCTGACATGAATACCCCACAGCTTCAAGTCGATAGATGCCACACCATGCCACAACTCGGCGCACCCTCAGCCTCACGAGTCCACCGTTGCTTTCTCCATTGTGGACTCCGAGAGCGAGACCCCTAGCACTGTCACCGTCTCCGAGATTGCGACCCGCCATCTCCGTCGTCTGAAGCAGTCCGCTTCTGACTACCTGGGTAAGGAGGTCAATGCCGCTGTCATCACTGTGCCTACCGACTTCTCCGATGCCCAGCGTGAGGCCTTGGTTGCCTCCGCCAACGCTGCTGGCCTTGAGGTCCTGCAGCTCATTCACGAGCCCGTCGCCGCTGCCCTGGCCTACGATGCCAGACCCGAGGCTACTGTTACTGATAAGCTTGTTGTCGTGGCCGACCTCGGTGGTACCCGCTCTGATGCTGCTGTTCTCGCTTGCCGTGGTGGCATGTACACTATCCTCGCCACTGCCCATGATTACGAATTGGGTGGAGCCTCTTTGGACAAGATCATCATCGACCATTTCGCCAAGGAATTCATCAAAAAGCACAAGACCGATCCCCGCGAGAACGCCCGTGGTCTCGCTAAGTTGAAGCTTGAGGGCGAAGCTGCCCGTAAGACCCTGAGCTTGGGTACCAACGCCAGCTTGAGCATTGAGAGTCTCGCAGACGGCATTGATTTCGGCTCCACCGTCAACCGTACTCGCTACGAACTTCTCTCCGCCAAGGTCTTTGCCCAGTTCACTAGTCTGATCCAGCAGGTTATCCAGAAGGCTGGCTTGGACGTCTTGGACATTGATGAGGTTGGTCACTTCCTTCATTATAGTTATAGTTTGAAAGGCATCACTCTAACTGTTCTCTAGGTCATCTTCTCTGGTGGTGCCTCTCACACCCCCAAGATTGCCCAGCTCGCCCGCAACATCTTTTCCGAGAAGACCCAGATCCTCGCCCCCTCCACTCTTACTGGTGCTATCAACCCCTCTGAGCTCACCCCCAGGGGTGCCGCTATCCAGGCCTCTCTCATCCAAGAGTTCGAGAAGGAGGATATTGAGCAGTCTATCCACCCCATGGTCACTGCCACTCCCCATCTGAAGAACGCCATTGGTGTTGAGTTCACCTCTGGTGAAGCTATCGAGTTCAAAGCTCTCCTGAACGCTGAGACTGCCCTCCCCGCTCGTCGCATCGCTCAGTACAACGCCCCCAAGAACGGTGGCGATGTCCTCATACGCGTCTGCGAGGGTGTCCGCGAGATCAAGGTCACCAAGCCCGAGCCCAAGCCCAAGGATGAGAAGCCCGAGGATGATGAGGACTCCGACTTCGACTCCGACGAAGAGGAGGAAGATATCCGTGAGCTCGTCTGGAAGACCGAGAAGCCCATTGCCGAGCTTGCTGTCAAGGGTGTCAAGGCCGGCAGCAAGGTTGAGTTGATGGTCCACGTCAACGCCGACCTGGGCTTGCAAATCACCGCTCGGGAAGTCGGCGGCCAGAACGCCGTCCGTGGTAGTGTCCAGGGCCCTTAAGTGCCTTGTCACCGGTAATATATAACGTATTTTCCTCTATCTATCCCAACAACATGACGGTTAATGCTTTGCTCCTTCCATGGATTTTATTAGAACCTCAAAATTTTATTAGACATCATGCATCTCTTTTCCCACCGCGGTAAATGACAGACGTCCCTATCTCTGTTTCCGCATCCTGTCTTGCTATGACTGTTTGATGATGAATGTATCAATGATGGTTTCGTCAAAAAGTATATAGAGAGGCCTAGACTCTAGAAATTTGGAATCTCTTTGCAGAACGATACTCCCTTTCTTTCAACCTCACAGCGAGATGGATCAACTCGATCGTTCTGATGGAAACCCCATTATATTACAATTACTACCTAGTACGTATAACAGCGAGAACAAGACAACATCAGATATCACCAAACAACACCCAGCACCACATAGACCCTGAAATCATCAATCACGAAAACGACCATGTGACTCCGAAGACTAAGCCACCGTAAGACATTACAGTACAAGAAGACACGAGTATATTTTTGACAGAAACAGGATCGTCTCCGAGAAAACGTCCATCGTGTAGTGGGCTCCTTCCCTAAGAAACCCCAAGTTACATCGAAATGCAACCATTCATTTCCTACCAATCCGGATTCACCGATCCCCATCCATCAACCCATCCTTCTCAAACAGACAGAAAAAGAAGCTATAGGATTAGCTTATGGGTTGGCTTCCTTGTTGCTTTGAACGCTATTAGACCGATTGGAGGAGAAGAAACCACGACGACGGTGCTCACGACCGCTATACCCGGACTCTTTGCGACCGACTGAGCCACCGAGGCAGTACAATATGCATGAGAGGAAAAGACATGCGACTGCTGTCCACATGAAACCGAAGGACTTGGCGCCTAGAGTGGCTTTTTGGCCGTTCTCATTGAACCTATTGCGACCCTGGACGTAGACGGCGCTGGGTGATGTCAGTAGGATTCAATTTAACACCGTAATTGGGGGTGGGACTTACGTTATCAGGCAAGTAGCGAGGATCTGGAAGACCAGGGCGATCCATGCCATCAGGGAGGAGATATAGCTGCCGATACGGGTGCACATGGCTAGGAACCCGGTAAGGAGGGAGACAACGCCGAAGAAGAGGGCGATGATGAGGAACGGGAAGCTAAAGCGGGAGGTCAGGAAGTAGTGCTTTGATCTGTGAGGTGTTAGTTAGCGGTTGGATCTGTATATGGGTTGATTGGGGCGGTCATTGCTTTGTTGCTTACCCGATGAATGCCGCGGGGATGTTGGTTGTCGTGTCGAAGGTGCGGTGGCTTGGGGGGTCGAATGGGTAGTCGGGGTAGGAACTTCCGCATTCACTCTTCCCCTTGTCGTTCACGGCGCAAAGGTTCCAGTATGTCCATCGAGACACTGCCGGTGCGCCTGGGATGTTGCCCGTGTTGACTTGGAGGAAATAGATTTCGTTCAACGGGGTCGAGTTCCTGGCTCCTCCAAGTAGAGTGAGGAACATTAACAATAGAGCTCCGGCCGTGAAGAATAGGCCGAGAAAGCCCAGCATTACTCCTAGACAGGTTCATGTTAGTGAATGCTTTGCGACTGAGAATGACGGGAGAAGGTGATACTTACTGCTGAAAGCCATGACGGAAGTTGTTGGCCTTCTGACCGGCTCAGGATGGTTAAGAAGATTATATTAACCACACAAGCCTCAATAGAAGATTGTGCAGTGCAGTATCTCAAGCGATTAGATGCGATGGAGCGATGTACAGCAGAAGTGGATGTGGGGAGTCGAGCGAAAAGAGGTGGGAAGAAGCAGTGGGAGTGGGAGACACAGCTAGGGCTTTAGGTATTAAAGTGGTACTCCGGGGATCCCGGGAACCCATGATGTTGAGTAGTGATATAATTATGAGAAGGTGAAGAAAATATACTGTACGGTCTCGACGTCATCGTTGCACCTGGCCCCGCTAACCTTTCCTCGGCTAGTCCCAACCTTACTTGACGCCAACCCATTCGGGTAACCTAAAATGAACGTCCATGACGTTGTTGGTACTTTGAGGTTACAACCAACTTCCACTTAACTGTGTATGATCCAGTCCTTTCACAAGGCGATCCCTGGTTGACGTGGGGCTTTCTCCAGGAAAAAATTCAATGCCGCATATTCCTTTCTCCCTTCTGCCTATCGTTCCTTCGTTCCCTTCAAGGTATGGGAAAAGGTTTGTCACGATCTCTATACTGTGCCCAAGATTTGGGATAAAGAACCCCGATGGTCCTTTCATGAACCCCAATGGACATGGATAGCTACATGGGGTAATTCGCCACGACCTGCGGTACAGTTAGTGCAGGAATAGATACATCCTCTCGCCCAATATTTCTATTCGATCTACCTTACCTCCAGACGCGAACGACGTGTTCTCTGTACCGGCATGTCTAATGTCCAAATATTCATGTGAAGCGTCGGCTTCCCTGCATCAAAGCTTAAAATTCCGTTCAGATAGTAATGGTTTATGTGCATGATATCATACCTTTGGGGCCATCCTCTAGGCACCCGGAGTTAAGATTTCAAGATACTTATATTTATTTGCCTTACACGCCTAACTAAACAATATTGACTTAGAGCCCCAATCAGCATCTTTTTGCTGGCTCCACCCTTTACATTCATTTCGGCCTAGGTCTTATTAGCTGCGTTCCCATTCAGTCTGCTGTCGGGTAGCTTTGTATTTGTGCGACAGGTTTGGGGGATGCAGCGGCAATGAGCAATCCCTTGCCAATTCTACGCAGTTCGCCAATTTGTTCAAAGATACCCTCTGCTGTTATTGTTCGCTCGTATATCACACCAATTCTATACCCTGCCGATGCAATTGCCGTTCGATTCAAAAACAATTAGCTACAACTGGTCTAGCCTTGCACTAGAATATCATCTTTAACCTACCGACCCGAACCGGCATTCTAGCTAGTGCGGAGTAGTCTTACCCACTATTCAAATTCTCGCACGGATCATCCTTAATCATTCAATTTGATCCTATTGACAATAATACCATATACATTTACGAATTTTCTCTGTATTACATGAAGCTACTACACGGTCCTTATTAATGAATTTGATTTGAGATACTTGCTGAGAAGTTTGAGTATACAAGGCAGCAGCTTTACCCAATTTTTCAGGGCCCAGGGGAAGACATCTAAATGTTCGTTGATATCTGTGCCGAGATGAAGTTGATCAAGTTCTAATCCATAATGCACATAGGGTTTGAGCATATCCTAATGCAGAACCATTGTACGGCCCAGCATCCAGGCCTCAAGCATATACAGCATCAGAGAAGGTCTTGGACTCACTATTAGCTGCCATTCGACGGATCTTTGGCGCCGCCGCCTGCTAGCGAGGCAGACGAAATTGCAGTGGAACAAGGCCTAAAAGCTGGATTTTCCATGGATAGTACGGCTGAGTGTTGGGCAACGTGGCTCATGTCCGAAGCAAAGGTCCATGGCTGGCTCAGGTCAAAACATCCACGGGCCCTCATAACTAACGGCAGCTGCTCATTGTAACGAATCAGTCCAGTTTCTTTGTTTCCACTCTACTGATCGAAAGTGTTAAGAAAATGTAACCCGTCATAGTCTTGCATCATTTCTGTAAGTTGTTGTTGTTGTTTATATACGACAACTGACAGGTCTAGTAGTACAGTGCAGATCAAAGTACTGCTGTTGACTCATTACGCAGTGGAAATTTGGCGAACTCTCATGCTTCAATCAGGATGAAGCGCAGGCACTGAAGAGTTTAGCTACAAATCTAATCCCAAGATTTCTCTGCTCTACATTCCGAAAGCTGGTCCAAGCACTACCTCCTGGACAGCCACTCTTCATCACAACTTGCCAGTCCTGTGGTGAAGTAAAAACAAAAGTGATAAAGGAGCTTACCAAGATTCTCGAAGAAGCGCCTTTAGTTAAACTGCTTGTCACTGATATAGCTGATATAGTCGATTATTCGACATCAATCAATATTTTGAGAATGATGAGAAGTTGTTCAGACCTGCGAAACCGCCAGCCAGGCTCAAGGGTTCAGCTGATACGCAGTTGGATCGGAAATTAAGTTCTCACACCGGATAATAGAGAACTGTCTTTCAGGGTTTAGCAAAGCACCTGGGCGGAATACATAATATTTCCAATGATAGCACGGTAATCTAAGTAGTTCTCAACTATTATGGAGTTACTTGTGCGATCTCAAGTATACCGAAGCGGTACAGTTCCATCTCTATCCTTTGTTCGCAAACCTCGAGAAGGTATTATAAAATTTCATTACTCTAACATTACCATGTATATTAGTGGGGCGAGGCAATTAATGCCTATCAGTAGCCTCCTCAAAACTCTTCAAACGACGACGAAGAAGGTACAATGCTTTTCCATTGCCCAAATAGTAAACTTGTAGCGTGCCATACGGTAAACGAGCCCAAACATGGTCTCACCTGGTACGACTATTTCCTGAGAAAAGACCACCACGTATTTACAGATGACATATTCCCATCTAAGTGTGGGAGGTGACTTAGGGTAATTATATTCCGCTATCTTGCTTACCGTTATACAAGAACCGGTTCTGATTCCGAATTCCTAGATTCAGCAAGAAACGGTGGTGCTGAACAAGGAGAAATAAACTATAATATCGTATCCTTTTTTGATGCCCGTTAGATCTTGGCTTTGCACGGCCACATCGTTTTCGAAAGTATAACTTGGGAGAGAAAGCCTATGCAGAAGAGGTTCCTGTGACTTTGCATCTTCTCAAATGCAGGATTTATTCTGAGAGCAATTCCGACTAAAATGGTACATAAATACATAATATTATGTTCTTACTATATGCAGTCATTGTCTTTTTTATACTAGGGAGGGTATGCTATCGCCTTTACTTCCATCCACTTCGTTCATTTCCGGGACTAAAACTCGCCGCTATCACAACCCTGTATGAGTTTTACTTTGCAGTGATTAAAGATGGTCAAGTTTTCTGGGAGCTTGGTAGGTTGCATGATAAATATGGCACTTGATACACTTATTGCGTGCCAACAAAACTTCCTTTTGGCTTCTTGGAAACGCTAACATACTTGAACGACCTATTGTCCGCATCGCTCCAGATGAACTTTACATAAGAGACACCTCGTTTTACAACGAAATATATGCTAATGATGCTCGAGTGACGGAAAAGGCTGCACCATTCATTCGCTCGTTCAGTGTACCAGGGTCAATGGTTGCAACTGTTGGCCACAATCATCATAGTTGCGCCGCAAGATACTGAACAGGTACTTATCCAAGAGAAAATCGAAACCTTGATGCAACACTTCAAGAAAGCGCATCGAGAGCAAAGTATTATAAGCCTCTTTGTGGCCTTTTCAGCATTAACTGGGGATATCATCTCATATTATGCATATGGTACAGACTATTGCTTCCTAAAGGACATCAACAACTCCAATGCTGTAAAAGCAGCTGCAGAGTCTTTTGGATCTTTCAGCCAAGGGCTTAGATCCATTCCTTTTGATTTGCCCAGGATTAGGCGTATTCCTTCCAACGTGATGGAGAAGGTTTTTTCCACCAGCAGCCAGAATGATCAGGTTGCAAGAGATGATAGGGGAACAGTCCAAAAGTGGCAAAGTCTGCTAAGCAGACAAAGTCACTCCCAAATACAGTGTTCAAGTCTTTAATTGATCCGAGCCTTCCCCCACTGGAGCGAACATTGGATCGGCTGCAGGACGAGGGATTTGTTCTTCTTGGAGCGGGAACAGAGACAATTTCATGGGCACTAAGTGTGACCGTGTTTTATTTGTTGAGAAATAATATCCTCGTCTCCCGGCTTCACGAAGACCTTAAAACTGTGATGCCGGAACAAAGAGACGTCCCCAGGCTATTTGAGCTTGAGACTCTGCCGCTGTTGGTATGGTACATTTTTCTTCGTCATTTTTTTTTAAGATGGGCAAAGGATCATTGCTAATCCCAAGAAGCGCGCAGTGGTAAATGAGGGCCTTCGACTGTCGTTTGGAGTACTTACTCATCTGCCACGAGTCGTCCCTTTGGATCCATTGAACTACAAAGGGCAAATTATACCAGCAGGCATAAGTCTATCAAAATAGTTGTCTAATAAATATAGCTAAGACTATAACAGACAGCCGTAAGCCAGAGCATATATTTTATCCATATGGAACCTCAATATTTCCCGGATCCACGCACATTCAACCCAGGACGATGGCTCGGTCCTGCGGAGAGAAGAGCCCTCGAATCGATGATCGTTTTATTTTCAAGGGGAAGCCGGCAATGTCTAGGAATGAAGTACGTGCTCCCTTTTGCATAGGGCCAGATTTATTCACAACTGTAAAAACACTGATTATGCTATGGGACAACCTCGCTTACGCGGAACTCTTCCTTACTCTCGCTACTGTTGTGCGTCGATTTGATCTGAGATTCGTTGAAACTACTCTCGGTAATATCGAGCCATATAGAGACCATTTTATCACTGTTCCAAAGAATAGACATACTAGTATAAAATCACGCAGGAATGTGCATAAAATTGAAGGTTTGAGCTTGTTCTACTTTATGTACAATTCTGTCTGGAGCTTTACGCAGAAATAGCTAGAGTGAATCTGTATAATGTATCCAAGTGGTGTGGATAAGAAGATAAACCGTGAGGCTTCCTACAGGCTCTCCGATGGTAACAGAAGCTGGGGTAGGGATAGTATCTCTACCGCCAAGGGGTGCTATTGATGGGGTTATGCAGAATTAACCCACTCATTGCCACTTTTACCAACAACAACAACAACAACAACAACAACAAAAAAGAGCTGTGGAAGGACGTTGACCAGTCAACGAGAGTGCATCCGCCTTATTATATTCGCCTGCCACACTTTCTGACCATCGTTTGCTTCCCAGATCTTGATCCCTGTTCTGTTGCGGAGCAATACTTCAACTTTGGGCGAGATCCACGCGACTAGCGATGAATCCTAGCAGTCCCTCGACCCAGCATATAGCAGTTTTTTGCTCAGGATTTGAATGGGCAACGTAGTAAAATACTTTTATACCCCACCGTCAATGACCCCGCACTAGTCATATAAGGCAGCGGAGACCACGCTGCTCGGTTTTTTCAAGAAGCAAGGGGTAGACTTGAGAATGTACTTTTGTCCAAGCTGAGCTCCAATAGCATATTGACTAAACAGGATCTTCGCGGATATCGGACAGATCACTTGCAGGTATGGGTCTCCTCAGAAGATGTAATCCTCCATTTAGAAGAGTATAATAGGTTCTGCTCCCCATACCGCATCCCTTATTTGGGGCCATAATAGTAGCCTACATACTGCAGCGGTCTACTAAATCTCCAGTGCTATGCCTTAATAACGGGTCCCTGGATTGCCCTGATTTTGTTACTGCAGATGGGGTGTATTTCTAAGAGCTTGAGGATACTACAATAATTGAACTGCATTGGTGGTTCTTTTCTTTACGGGAGAGGAGACGCAGGAAACAGGTACTAGCCGGCTGAGCTGAGCTTTCCAATAGATTGTGCTTATAAAAGAATAACCACAGCTTTTCTTAACTGCATGAGATAAGGTCTAACATTACAGGAAACAGACTTTTAGCACACAGAAAATTGTAATACAGCGAACCAGCTATCTGGTGGACTGGGCAGATCACGGATGACTGAAGCTATTTCTGCCATTGACACAACTGAAATTTCTCATCGCTCTTTTTGTGGAACATTGCCGCGCAAATCCTAGACGGTGCTCTGGTCAGCGAGGAACAGGGAAGAAAGCAATAATGAAGCCAAACGAAAGGTAGGGGAGTAAATCCATACCGAACATCTGTTTCGCTGACCCAGTTGACCACAACCCGCTTTCTTCCCGCGGAGCCACCTTGAGGGAATGGTATAGTGCGCAACAATGGATACTCATATAGGGCCGTGGTGTCGCAGTCCTTAGCCATACCAAGGCCCTCAAGGTTGCTGAAATAATGGGGAAAGCCGCCTGTTTAGTCGTTGGGATTAGATGTTATTATTCTCTGCGATCTATTTCCGTTTCATGGAGTGGATAACTTTGATCCGGGATATGGAAAATGCCGTAGCTGATTCTGGCTTACCAGGCGTTCTTTCTGCATTGTGATTCTCTAGGGCTTTTAGGCACGCGTTTACAAGGTCATCTTTGGTGAAGACTTCCGTCTCTAAGAAGCAATGTGTTAGCGGCCTAGCTTAAACAACCAATGTGGTGTAGCATCAATGGGAGATACTGTAGCTATAGAAAGTATATGGGCTACTCACCACAGGTCACACTATCCTTGATGAGGTTCGAGTTGAGAACATCCCCTAGTCCTATAGAGGAAAGGAGGGCAACTGCGAGAATAACGGGCGACTTCATGTTGTTGATGACAAGCGCCGAAGGGTCAAATTTTGAACTACCTAGTATGCGTTGATAAAAGAAAGATGGATATTGGAGTGATAGGAAGAGAGATGTTCATATCTTTATATTATATATATTTCAACATATATCGATGTGACTGCTGGTCAAATGAAAGAAAGTTGGATACCACTTCGTACACGAAGGCTTTTATACCTAGGCTACAATTAATATAGCCGAAGGTGGGTGACTATAAAAAATCATATAGCCTATTCAAGAGAATGGGCCACTCATAATGTATGTAGTCATAGTACAGCTCTAGGAGTAACCTGACTGATCTATGCAAGGCCGATTTTGATCTAGATTTCGATACATGGTTTAAAGCGGATTACATAATTATGCAGGTGATCGATCTAACTACTGTACGGTACAGCTTAACATCACGAGAACTGTACCGGTCACGAGATAACACCCAACTTACCGAACAGTCTTCTCTACTAAATTTTTCCCTTCCCTTTTATAATTGGCCTCTGAGAATCACCACCTACCGTAAATAACGCAAATATCAATCAAGTGGATTCGCTTAGCGGGGATGGCGACTTGGGTATACCCACCACTACCTCCGCTGCAGTTGGAACAGGAAGCTGATAGTGCATTGGTACACCTCTCCCTAGATCACATCGAACTCCTGTTGGTTTTATTTTGAGACATAGTCTTTGCCCTTATGGTAAATTCTAGCTGTTGACCCTTGACAACGATACAGGCTAGGGAATTAGAATGGCTGCTGCGCTCTCTGCAAGACTCTCTAGCTTCCGTAAGGGAAGGCCTGCATGAATGCGCTGCGCTACTGGCCCCCAAAGAACCAGGCTCAACATTAGTATTATCCTCTTTACGGTCCGAATGTGTGAAAGGCTTTGTGACAAGGGTCGGAACAAAAATCGTGAAAGGCGTGCGTTATCCGTGCTTCGAATCCCCTATTCCTTTGATGGGACGAGTAGACTAATCCTATGCGCTAGGATATCCAACTACGTATTAGTTCCCTTGCTTCTGCGCGCGGCTCCCCAACAACTCGTTTATGCTTGTCAAATTCTGCCGACGCTCCTGAGCTCGTGTTACACCAGTTAGTTTCGGTGAGGAACTTGGTCAACCAGAGTCTCGATGTGGTGGACGTCAGCACTTGGACGGGCGATCCGCTTAATGCGAGTTTCATATATGGACAACTGCGTCTTCTCTATGAAACTCTCTCCGAGGCTCGACAGATGTTGAAGGGTGAAGGCGACCAAGTCAGGGGCAAGTGGTGGGAGACAAGTGCCCTTGAGGATGTAAGTTTGGCTGCCTATTATTCCCCCCCCTTTTGAATGGTAACTAACTATTAGCCGCGAAGATGTTTGACCCGCCGGTGCCGCCAAACCTTTCGTTCCACCTATCGATAGCTGACTCAGCCCTCGTCCTGTATCTAAGGACGCTCGAGTCCAGTACCCCCACGCATACTCCCACTGCTTTTGCTACCGATATCTCTTTGACCGGGTTCAATATACGAGACCGTTTGTTCGGAACTCGACATCGTCCACATGATGAAGTCGGAGATGTTTTCACTTGGAAGGGCGATGAGGTCAAAGTAAGAGAGAAGATCCGCGTGGAAAGTCAGGACCCCAGCCTGATGGCAGTCATGGCTAAATTGACTGCTCTGCAACACGAAGTAATGAAATGGATTACAGCACTGAAAGTGCTCATGGGCAATGAGGATACAGATAGCGAAGAGTAATTTTGACAAATCCTAGACTGTACTTACTGCTATACATATACCTTAAATGCTTGAATATGTATTACCTACTCTTAAGTATCAAAACTTAAGCCCTTAAAATGGAGATGGCATAGTTTATGTTAAGTTGTGCTACATAAATTACACAATCAAATTTTTCTCGCCAATAGGAAGCCCGGAATTTCTGATGCCGTATTTCTTGGCAAAGATTTTCCTGCTGAAGAGCTTCTCACGAGTGGCGTTCCTCTTCCATCCCTAAACACAGGTCGCTGATTATCGCTTCTAGAATTGTGGAAGCGTTGAGGATGCTGTCACGATCTCCGGCATCAAGGGCGAGCCGGTCTTGCTCTCACAGCCTTCTACGCACGATCGCATCCAAGTCGTCGCAAATCTGTTCGCAACAGCTCCGCGGCGGAGCTGCCAGCCTCATAGCTCAGCGATACAAATGCACAAACGCGCGATACCAGTTCTCCCTTAATTCACCTATCGGATTCCCTCGCAAAACCGCTACCGGATATGCAAGCAGTGGATTGAAGCACGAACGGCGATATACGTCTACGGTGCCATCTGCTGATGCCGATGTCAATACGGAACGGAAGGACGCTATCTACGACGTGATTGATAAGATTGAACAGAATGAGTTGGAGTTGGCCGAACTCATGGAGGAGCTAGACCTGTTGGATGATTATCACAAGGCTCTCAATTTGGATGGCCCGGAGTTTGATCATGCGTTTAGCCAGACGATCGGCCATCGGGATCAAGAGCATCTGGAAGGGCGCGTCCAGACGGCAAGGCAGGTATTCGGAGATACTCTACCGGATGGGTTCTTAAACGACACTGAGCTTCATTTATATACTCAATTGTATGGCGAGCCGATAGTGCGCGAGGAGCAGCTGGGGGTCGAGCCAGAGGAAGACGAGAGGGACCCGGATATTTTATACCGTGAGGATGGCGAGGGAGGATGGGAAGAAGTCAATCTTGAGCAGATTGAGTCCGATGCCGAACCACCCCTTGTATATGATATGGAAGTTGGTCCAGTTGAGGATGAAACTCTCGCCATGCAACGGACAAGGGAAGTGGCGGAACAGCTGGGCGGAGAAATTATGCTGGAGCAGTTTGAAGACGAGGCAAACCCCGACGACACGCCTCGACTTCATCCCTTGACTGTTGAGGGGAAGTTCTCTACTGACCCTAGTACGGTATTTCTGCCCAAGGATACATTAACTGGTCCAATTTCCATCATCCTGGGCGACTACTCCAATAAGCATATCGCGGATGTTGCCCATCGCACCTTTGGGGGTACTCGTCTCCCTTATTCTACTACAACTCCTCCACCGCGCGCGCAGATACCTCAGCGTCCTATTCCACTAGAAGCTTCCCATCGTCATATGTCGGAGATGGAGGCGAATGCATACATTGCGGCTCTTTACCCCGGAATGTATACGTCTGTATTGAGCGTTCTGGTAGAGGTTCGAAAGCGATTGGGCACGGACTGGATGCGCGAGCTCATTTCAAAAGAAGGGGGTCCCCATATTCTTGATGCCAGTGCTGGTGGTGCAGGTGTCCTAGCATGGAGAGACGTTATTCGCGCAGAGTATGAGCTCATGGTCCCAGACCACCCGAAGACAAGTCCAATTCCCGTAGGCAAATCGACTGTGGTCACTGGTTCTGAAGCTCTTCAAATGCGGGCAAGTTTGATGTTGGAAAATACTTCATTCCTACCTCGCCTGCCCGACTATGTTCACATTCGCGAGAAACCTACCCTAGATGATGAGAGGCCTGCCCCAAAGCGAAAGCAATACGATATTATCGTGGCCCCCCACAGCTTGCTCAACATTGAAGAAGAGTTCCTACGCAAAGAGCATGTGGAGAATCTATGGAATCTTCTTAACCCCAATGGAGGTGTCCTAATCCTACTTGAGAAGGGACACCAGAGGGGATTCGAGGCAATCGCCGGAGCCCGTGAGATGCTTCTCAAGCGCCTTATCTCGAGTCCTGACTCTACAGAGTACACCAACTTCACCGAATCGCCGGTTGACGACTCGCCCATAAAGAAGGAACCCGGAATGATTGTAGCGCCTTGTACTAACCATGAGAAGTGTCCCATGTTTAACACTCCTGGCCATTCTAAGGGCCGCAAAGATTATTGTCATTTCCAACAAAGGTATATCAGACCGCAATTCCTCCAGCGTATTTTGGGAGCCAAAGATCGGAACCACGAAGATGTGAAGTTCAGTTATATCGCTGTTCAACGCGGTGTGGACATGCGTGAGGTGAAAGGAATCGTACAAGGAGCCGAAGCCGCAGAGGCGGCATTCGCTGGATATGAGGATTTACATGACCCAGCTACCGAAGAGCCGGGAGCATCAGATGAGGCTACTGCGTCCCAGCCTGAGGTAGGCGAACAAGCCAAGACCGAGCACTTCCATACCTTGTCTCTTCCTCGTATTGTGTACCCCCCGATGAAACGTCGTGGGCACGTCATCTTCGATTTCTGCACGCCCGCTGGAAAGATTGAGCGCTGGACCGTTCCCCGTTCCTACAGTCGTCGGGCATACAAGGATGCCCGTAAAGCAAACTGGGGAGACCTGTGGGCTCTCGGCGCGAAGACCCGTATTTCAAGAAGCCTAAGACTTGGTGATAAGCATGGGGAAGGCAAGAAAGAACGGTTGGCCAGGCGGGCAGCCCTGAAAGCTGAACTAGCGGAGGAGGGTGAACTTGAGCAGCAATCCGAGAGTTCTGAGTGGCCTGAGCTGCCAATTCCGGCACGAAAGAAGGGCCAAACAATCCCTAGCTGGAAGAAGCATGCAGACAAGAAGAAGATGAGACAAGCGACAAAGAAGCATGCCGCTGCAAAAGTAGCGCAGGATGAATCCTTCATTTAAATGTTGAAACGCTTTATTTCGGACAGTACATCGTTTGACGGAAACCACAAGGCATAGGGCTACGGCGCATGGATGGTTCAAATTTAGGTGAAAGCACCTGGGCTCCATTTCTTGAAAAATGTATTATAAATGTACTATAAATGACAGATATATGTAATTAGACCCCAACTGTATGGCTGATTGAGCTCTTCACTCAATTCAATGGGACTAACATTCCTCTCACATCCAACGTCGACAGCATCTTATATTCCATAGGCTATACAGAAGCGAAGCGCATTCAGACGCTTCATGTGGCGGTGTAACTGGGTTAGTGATGACTGCATATCTTCAATTGCTGCGAATGATGATAAGGCCGAAACTTATTGTCGCATCTCTACTCCCGCTTTAGCTTTTGCATTTCAATAAAACGTGCCCCGACACCGCGTCAAATACATCGCTAATATTAGCGCACAAAGCATATGTATCTCATGGACGCGTTCTGAATGTTGGTCCGCGGCGGCAGAGATATGTTTCTCACAAGCTCGAATCGCCAAGCTCAAAGCACCTAACCGACGTGATGCTAGATGCGTTTAGGTAACCCATATGATAGTGGCGACACCTTTTGACAGTTGGCCTTTCCCACCTCATGGGTGCTAGCTGATTCACTGAGCAGCCATGCTCTTCCTCAATTGACGCTCGCACTGTTTACTTTGCAGTTCCAATCTCTCAACCGCATATTGCAGCCTTTCTTTCTTCTGTACTAATCGCCTGTGCTCCGCTGCTTTCGCAGCACTGCCTTTTTGCCGATCGCCAAAGGTACTGTGACTACGACTTGGGGGTTGGCGGCTCTCGCTGGAGTATAGTCTGCCTTCTTGAAGCTCGGCTTTGGCTCGGAGAGCTTGTTCGCGACGTGATAGCTTCTCGATGTGGGCTGAAGCTAAAGAGAGCAAGTGCGCAATGCTTGGGGTAATTTCATCTAGAAGCGATTGCTGTGCTTCGCGGAGAGTAGGCTCTGGGAGAAGTTCAAAGTGCTATAATTGGAATAGGTTAGTATTTTAGTCGGGTTTCGCAAGGGTCGTTGTTGGCACCTACTCGGGTCGTTTGCAAGACCTTACACAATCGGGGAAAGTCGCTAACGCCGGACTCGAGAGTGGAGATTGATGAGTCGATAATTTGCAGCGATGATTGAAGGGACACAACTGAAGCAGAAAGCGATGCGGCCATGGCGATGTGCGGACGAGAAAGTTGTAGATATACAGATAAAGTTGGAGTAGTTAGTAGTTGAAATCATGCTACTCTGCCTTTGTTTACAGGCGGGGCTAACGGAGCGGCAAAAGCGGCAACAGGTTCGTGCGGTTATGGTAAAAGCGGCCGGGAGTCGGACCTCCGGGCAAAACTCGTTCCCGCTCCTCCTCGTTGCACCGTATTCCGCCTACATCAACTCACCTCTCTGCTCCATCCTCTCAGAACATTCCTCGTGCAATACACTAATCGTCGCCATGTCTCTCCTCGGAAAGAAGTTTCCCACCCCCATCGGTAAGATTCCGCGTCTACCGGACGTTCTCGCTAGGTTGAAGCTGGATGAAAGCTGACTGACTGACCTCGTTACAGCCAAGCCTCTGGGCCCCTTCTTCGCTGCCGGTATGCCTCACGACCCATTGCAGTTGCTTTTTTGAATACGTTTGCTCCTTTTCATTCCGGCTACGGGAATATACCTGGATGAAGGCAGGAAGTACTGGATCTCGGATACTAACGGTAATGTCTCCAGGCGTTGTCGTACTCTACGGCGTCAACTCCTTCGCCAACGTCCTCATGAATAGTGAGTCGCCCTGATTTCCACAATCACGAGATGTTCTTGTTCTCCAGGGACTGTCGTACTGTTCCAACGCGAGCAATCCCTGCAATGACCTAACCGTAGCTAACCTCGGTTTTCTCTTCCAGCCGCCGAGTACAAGAACGACCCCCGCAACCCCAACCTCAAGAACAGCAAGCACTAAATTAATCTCTGTTAATCTGAGTATGTCGATATGACGGAAGCAAGAGGAATATGGGAGGTGACTGATTACCCGGATTGCTCTTTCGTCCAAGTTTCGGTTTGCGGGCAGTTGTTCTGTACAGGCATATAGACTATACCGTCATAGGATCTTGACGAATTGACAAGTTGTACCACTATTACTATGGTCGTCTTATGCACTACCGATTCCATCTATTTCTTTATCCAGAGCGCCGTCTCTACGCGTAGTTCCGCCGGGAAGTGGCAGCAGCATATGTCTGCACCATGTGCTCTTTGCCCATGGGATACTACTTTCTGTGATATTCTACACCTACTAATGGAGCAGACCTTTTTCCAGTTTCTCTTGGCATAATGGCTACATAGAGGGTGTAAGGAGTATACATTCTAAGAATTGAGGCTTCATCCCAACAGTTTATGATCCCGCGTCATGGCATGGACGATCTGATCCATTTCTTCTATTATACCTCCGAATCTACCGACTCGGTCAAGACAAGTTACATGCAGTAGCTCACTTAAAATAGTGGCTACGAGATAGTACGGATACGATGTGCATTGGGACAGCAGGTACCTATCTTTTACCCGTGAGAATCGGGGTGCTCCAGTAGCTTTCAAGTATTCTATACACACAATGGCCTGTGAAGTCACCCTTGTGAATTGTAAAAACCCACCTTGCACCCGTTCGTACACTCCAGAGTTGTAGCTCTATATCAATGAAGACCGGACGGATGGGGATCGCTAGCCGTCACTTCTGGTCGCAAATGACCATGGCCGCTAGTCCCAATCCAGTCAGTGTATTTTCCCGTGACCCCAGAACTCCGAGCAAAACTACCATCAAGAGGTAATAAGTCCCGACAACCAGACCACATCAATCAAGTACACCATGTCGCTCTTCAGATCAAAGCGCTTGGACCTGAGCGGGTTCATCAACGGCCGTGTCATCCGCGATCACACCAAACGGAAGGTTTTCGAGCAGTACGAGCCTGAACGGTATGCTCACAAGACTTTTTTCTTTACCTTGTCGCATCCCTCTGTAATGAGGAATCCAGGGAAATATATCTAACGATTGATTTTGATCCTATAGTCAAGCTCTCCGCTACATTATCCGCAACACCTCTCTTCCTCAGCGTACCCGTGCTCAGGCTCAATTGCAGCTTTCCCAGATGCACGCCTACACCCGACCTACTCAGATCAAGAACCGCTGTGTGGCCGGCGGTATCGCACGAAGTGTGATTCGTGACTTCAGAATTGCTAGAGTGAGCATATTCCCTATTATATTATTCTGTTTTGAAGTATGGCCCTCATCTGACATACCTCTTAGTACCAATTCCGTCAACAGGCACTGGCTGGTGAGCTACCGGGTGTGAAGAAGGCCAGTTGGTAGTGTGTCCATATATTGCGGGTTGTTCTTTTATATTCATGGCTACTGGATCGGCCGGTTTGCACGAGGGCGTTTACTTCCATACTTTTTAAGAGAGATGTACAATATATCAACTGCCGGGTTTTAATAGACGGTGCGTGCCAAATGTTCTCCCCTGACGGTGTCTTTTGGGGGGGGGGGTTTTGTATTGAGTGTGCAACGCTGCTTTTCATACATAAAATGCTCGACTTGTAAGTACTACTTGTCTATGTTCAGCGCATGTCACATGTCAAGATTCTGTAACATTCCCTGAGGCCATATACTAAGACAAAGACAATATCACCAAGTGACCACCGGCTATAGCTATGAGCAACTTGGGGACCGCTCTTGGGTATACTTACTGAACCTGGTGCCTGATTGTTCGCTTTGTGAAAACCATGTGAAAGGATTCACTTTTTAGAATTGAAAGATATCTATCTGTATTTCGTTACCAAGAGCTATGGAATCTTAAATCGGCCCTAAATTGAAGTGATTGCTTTGAACTTGTATTTCATCTCAACCTACTGCTGATACTCTTCATTTAATGTTTATCAGTCAACCTCTCTGCTTACTCAAAGTATATAATTCAAATGGCAGTTTCTATACATTACTGTGAATGTTAGTATAATTACCTGTGATACCTCCTTTCATAATATCCCTTCAGCAACTCCTATATCAAGTATCTAAAATCTAATAAAGTATAAGAAGGATATCCTAACAATACAAAGAAACTACATCTCATAATGTGGAGTACAAAGTCTATGACCTAGACTTTATGGCTGATACCGGATATCCGCTTGCTTAAAGGTATTCAATATACATGTCTATTCACTGTGAACATGCGTTTGAGTCGTCACGCCAACTATACCGACTAATCAACTCTAGCTTTCTTACCTTCTATCAAACACGTTTCTTCTTACGCTTCCTCTTTCATTCAAAACACTGATCCTGTACTCCCTTCCTTAGGATAAGACGAGCAATCCATCCACATGATGTTCGTCTACCGCCGTGAAGACCTACCCTCCGAGCCTGAGTTCCCTGCAGACCTGCGAAAACTAGGGTACAAACTCGAGTACACCCATACAATAACAGTCACACACTAAAACAAATAGCATACAGGTACTTCATCAACGACAAGGACCAGATCAGAAAGATCTCGGATTCCAAGCAGGAGTTCCAGTACAAAATCAGCAAAAATGAACGCGTCAATGAGGTACAAAGGGAAGCGATGAACGGTATGCCCTAGAAACAAAGACTCGACAACCAGACATCTAACTCTGAATAAACACCCCAGAGTGTATCCGTAAGATCGTCACTTCTCGTCTGTGCGAGCTCAACTTTGCAACCCTGCATCTCCCTCTGGCAGCCAAGCTGACTGAGCCTCACGTCCCAATCATGGTGTCGTCCAATCTCTCCACCGCAACCCGTATCATCGTGGTCTTCGGAGAGCCAATCCAAGACCTAGGGATCTGGGCCTACCGAAGCGTCGGTAAGGATGGTGTCAACGCGGGCTCCGCCGTCTCATTTGCTAAAGCCGTCCTTCACCCCAAAAGCAAGCATGAGGGGACCAACGGCAACTCTGACAAAAAGGAAGGCAACACAGCCCTGATCCTGGCAAACACAGGCCAACTGCTCTGGCACTGCGGTGCTCGTCGTCCTATGACCCTGGCGTCCTGGATTGCTTACCCTCGTCCCTCGGCCGTGGACCCCCAGTTGATGATGACCCGTAGAAACATAATTCCCAACAACGGTAACTGGTTCGAGCATATAGCTTCCGTTTTCCAGGAGATTCTGGCCGATCGCGGGCGCCTCGTGCGGGAGGACGCTACGATTGATATCGTCGGGGTGGCTGATGGAGGCCAGGGAGTGATTCGCTACTTGGCTGATCATTGTAAGTGCCCGTGCACGTTGAACTTGATACCTCCCGTCGAAGTATGGCCGAATGTGCGTTCTAATTCACCACAGGGGAGGCCTGGCGCCCATACATCTCGGCTATTGCGTTGACCAACCCCTTGCACTCCATTGATGTCGAGCTAGCTGTTACGGATGAAACCTCGGCCTCCTTCCTTGCCTTCGTCTCCTCCCGCTGCCGCGCGTATGTCATCTCCGATGAGCCCCAGGGGTTTCTCGTTCCGGGAGCCCGTCGACATGGCTGCAACTGTTATTCGTCCGGTGAGAGGCAGCATATTGAATGCATTATGCCGCGCGCTTGGGAGCATATACTCGAGTGGTTAAATCTGGCACATGCGAACCAGACCATGTATGAGGCCCAGCTGGAGATGAAGGAAGTGACTGGAAGTGACTCGGACTATTCGGAAGCGTTATACTCTGATGGAAGCCAGGAGTGAGATCTTTGTTCCCTTTTTTTCAGGCGCTTGGTCGTCCTCGTCTGCGGTTCGGGGATTCTATGGGAATTGATTGAGGTGATGGATATTAAGGCATATTGGTGAACGCTGAATTTCAGGGATTATTGCCAAGTACCAGATAGTACCTATAGTAAGGCTGAAAGGGATATCAAGTAAGATATTGAATTTGAAACAAATACGGCCTGGTAATATTGGGTTTCCTTCGTATCCGCGACATTGTACCGCGGAGCAAGTCCAGTGAGTCATATATAAACCAACCCAACCCAACCCCATCTTACAAACCAAATTATATTTGAACCACACCAACCAATATAAAAAATCTCCAAAGAAAACCATAAACCCCCCTCAAATAACTAAACCATACAACCCTACCAAAAATGTCCCAAGGTGAAACAAAACTCCCCACCCTCCTCCAATCAATGGATCCAATCCTCGACCCAGAAACCTACGTCTTCATCACAACCACCTTCCCCCCTCCACACCCTTCCCCTCCAAAACCTTCAACCCCAAATGCTCTTCCAAGAAGCTGAAGGCATAACACTCATCACCACCAGAGCCACCACCGAAGCCCACAACTACCATGACTACACCTTCCCCTGCCGAAAGATCTCGCTCAAGGTGCACTCCAGCCTGGAGGCCGTGGGCCTAATCGCGACGATCTCGACCAAGCTGGCCGCGCGCGGGGTTAGTACGAATGTTGTTAGTGGGTATTTTCACGATCATGTTTTTGTGCCGGATGGGAGGGAGGGGGATGCAATGGGGGTTTTGGGGGAGTTGATGACGGGAGACGAGAGGTCTTGATTTTCCATGTTAGAGACTGGTGGCGTGGATATACTTCAGTTATAGTACTAGGAAGTTAGTAAGGTAGGGCTTGTTTGCACGTCAGAGAAACTGTAACTCGAAAGGGAAATAAATGTCACGGTCGCTCTCGTGACCGGGTTGTATATTTCCTCTCCCCCCTTGTCCGTGATGGTTTCGGTCATCATCGTTGACAGCATTGAAATACAACTCTTATCGCCTCCGATCAAGTCTCTGCCACGTCAAGATGCAAATATGAGATATGAGATGACGCCAGGAGACAGCTTATAGAGAAGTCTAAAATAAAATGGGTATTACAAGTGCAGTGGGATCCATTACCTGTCGATAGATGTCACGAACAACGTCTATTCACGATAGACTTGTTTTTCTTCAGCTCAATTGAGAAGTGGTCGTCGATGAGGCTGAATCGGGGACTGATGTCAGATCGATCTTAGTTTCATCCTTTTCCTTCAAGTCTGAAAAGTGACAGGGACTGCTAAGAGGATATCCCTGTCTAGGAGTATACGATGCAGACGTCGATTCGTCCGAAAAGTGGATACGGAAAGTCAATTGGCAGGTCTTATCGAACAATAACCTTCAAGATGGATCATCGCAGCATCATACACCATCGCTGGTTTGGATGTATGGTTCTCCTGTTGAGGAGTACTAATGTTGGCTGTCCGGGTGGCGCATTCTACCATAGGTACGTCCTAGGTTGGGCCCTGAAGGAAACTGGTTCGGAAGTATTACGTGTGACGAAGGGAAAAATAATGAATGCTTCTCCCCCCTCCCCTGCTTTGCTTACTCGATCGACTTATAGCGACAGGGAAGGAGCGACAAAAGAGGAGTGGGAGTGAAATGTCGGTGCAAAGGCCCAACGGAGCCCTCCGATCAATACAGGGGAATGTTTAGCCGAGTGGTTCAAAAATATTCACAGGCATGCAGAGTGCAGAGTGCCTGCATAATGGCATTCGCACGGCGTACATATGACTCCGAGGGCATGATCCAACTACAGGAAAGCATCGAGTAAAGGAAATTCCAGAAGAGGAAATGTGACAAGTTTTGATCGAGTAACGACAGGGGACAACTAAAAGAATTGCAGGGAGCGAGCCGATGGCGGATGCCGGAGGCGCCCGATGCAGAACCATGGTTGAGGGGGATCAGACAGACCGGTGAAAATCCAGACCAGACAGGATTTTACGAGGTGGTCCGATACCCGAATGGGTAATAGTGAGGGTATCGAGGGTCACATGAACCCAAGTGACTTCCCTATGTTCAAGAAACAGCCTGCGATGAGGGAAAACAAGTCGCCTGACGAGATTGTACTGTTGGGGTGCGAATAGTCATACACCGACAGTCAGGAAAGTCTTATCAGTATTTCAATCGAGTAAAACGAATCTCTGATACTGTTCCGGTGGCGCCGGTGGATCCCTTTTACTGTGATGTGGATCCCCCTTCTTATACTTTTTCTTTTTTCTTTTTTTTCCCTTCCCGATTACTCGATCAGTACTGTTATCGAGAGGGGAGAAAACGTGGCCAAAGTTCGGAACTGAAAAAAAAAAAAGACACTAACTGTTCCCACCGACAATGGCCAATCCTGAGACATTGGAAAATGGTTATAAAACCCTTATCGGTACCCCGGATTGCCATATCGTGTCCCCCCTCTCCTATCTTCATTCAGTTTCACAGCCCTTATCAGTCAGTTTCAAAACAACAAAAGAAGAAAGATCCCTTGCCTCTCAGTCTGGTTCAAACTCTCCCTTATCTGCTTGGTGACCTTATCTTTGTGTCCACTCACCTTCTTGATCCTCTTTGATCCTCCCCTCGATTTCTTCCTCCCACACTCGTTTCTCTTCCGCTTCCTCCTCTCTGCCTGTCTTTTCTCCTATATCTCTCGTCCCCTCTGTTATCGATAGCCCATCGAGACCATGGAGACGCAACAAATACCCTCCATTGCCGTGGTGACGTCGTCTCGAGCCGTTATCTCGGGTCGTCTAACGTCAGCCACGATCGTGGTCTCTCGCAGCTCCGGCAAGATCACTGCCGTCTTTGACTCCGTCATTCCTGCCTCTGATTTCCCCGACGGAACCCCTTATACCGACTATTCCCCTCATGTGCTGCTCCCCGGTTTGGTGGATGCCCATGTCCACCTGAATGAGCCTGGACGCACAGAATGGGAGGGATTTTACACCGGCACCCAGGCTGCGGCCTTCGGTGGTGTCACCACCGTCATTGATATGCCTCTGAACGCCATCCCGCCCACCACCACCGTGGCAGGATTCAAGGAGAAGCTGAACGCTGCCCAAGGCAAGTGCTGGGTGGACGTCGGCTTCTATGGCGGCATCGTTCCCGGCAACGCCGGCGAACTCAAGGCGCTCGTCGACCAAGGTGTCCGGGGCTTTAAAGGTTTCCTCATTGACAGTGGGGTACGTATACTAGAGCCCTTCCCGTGACTTGTTTCTTCGCTTACCGTCCTAGGTTGACGAATTCCCCGCCGTCTCTTCTGAAGACATTCGTAAGGCCATGGCAGAACTCGCCGATGAGCCCACCACCCTGATGTTCCATGCGGAAATGGTACCCCCCATCACATCCTCCGAGGCGGATATGCCCCAGACCCCTGAAGGCCCCGTGGAAGCCTACTCCACCTTCCTGGCATCTCGTCCCTCCTCTTACGAGACTTCTGCCGTAGAAGAGATCCTGTCCTTGGCCCACCTGGCCCCCAACCTTCCTTTGCATATTGTCCACCTTTCGGCCATGGAGGCCATTCCCCTCCTGCGGAAGGCCCGCGCAGAGGGAATCCGTATCACTGCAGAGACTTGCTACCACTACCTATCTCTGGCCGCTGAGGAAATCCGGGACGGTGATACCCGTCATAAATGCTGCCCCCCGATTCGCTCACAGCTGAACCAGGACGCCCTCTGGGCCGAATTAGAACGCCACGCTGAGGATGGCGTCATCAACACCATCGTCTCGGACCACTCTCCCTGCACCCCGAACCTGAAGCTTCTTCCCTCCCACGTACCGGGCAGCTGCACCTCCAAGGGCGACGCCACCAGCGAACAGGACCAAGGCAGCTTCATGTCGGCCTGGGGTGGTATCTCTTCTGTCGGTCTGGGTCTCCCCATCTTGTGGACGGAGCTCAGCCGCCGGAAGGGCCTCACCTCTGCCCCCGAGGACACAAACACCAAGCGAGCCCTCCAGGATATCGTGCGCCTGTGCTGTGCCAACACTGCGGCACAGGTTGGGCTCGAGCGCCAGAAGGGCGACCTCGTCCCCGGTTTCGACGCCGACATCTGTGTCTTCGACGACTCCGCCGAGTGGGTTGTGGAGCCAAGCACTATGCTCTTCCGGAACAAGTGTTCACCATACCAGGGTCGCACCCTGCGCGGTATGGTCCGGGAGACGTGGTTGCGTGGAGAGAAAGTGTTCAGCCGCGACGGTGGATTCAGCAGCAAGACTCCGTCCGGCACGTTGCTGTTAGAGAAACGGGTTTGAATCTTTTCATTTTGTTCCTCCCGCGCTTCGATCGGGCTGTTGACAAACGCACAGCCCTACCTATTTGCAAAGTTCACACGACAAACAAAAACCACGCAAGACATACTTGATGACCATAGATATCCACGCTACTGATCACTAATGACCTGACAGCAGCACAGCATATATCAGCGCCATAGACTGAGCGATGATGTAGCATTTCTGTTGAGCATATGCTTTTTTTTTGTTTTTTGTCATCTTCAGCTTTATTATAGAGGCAAATAAAGAATACCAATATTAATGTCTTTGTTAGATCCTTCCGACGTGAAACGTAGGTGCAAAGAGTGAAGTAGAATCATTGTTGTAGAAGGTGTTATGCCATTCTCAGTTTTTGAGTCGATAAAAACGTATTATACAAATCAGCCCTTTCAGACCGAGAAGGGGTATCAAAAACAAATGACGATGCGTCCTGTTCAAGAGTCAACTGGGATCCGGTTAACTTACAATCAATCTATCAATCAATCGCCCTCCTTCTCCTTCTCTTCCTCCCATCGCTCCCTCACTCTCCTCCGCAATCCCCCATTAGGCCCTCTCCCCCAAATCTCCTCCTTCTCCCCATCAGTCCGCGTCACATTATTCCCCACCTCCTTCACCTCCTCTTTTTGCGCACCCAAAACCTCCCCAACAACAACCTTCCTCTCTTTGACCCCCCTCTCCTTCCTCCTCGCCCTATCCATCTTCCCAAGATAAATCGCATAAATCGCCACCTCAGCAACCCCAACCCCCGCCGCAGCCCCAAACGCAACAAGTACCTTCACGGCCTCCGACACCCCGTCACCACCCCCACCGGTATTCCGTCCATTCCAAACCGACGAAACCCTCTCCGTAAGCACCTCCGGTGTCGCAAAACTCGCCAATGCCCAATAAACACTAAACCCAGTAATCACCACCGAGAGAAAGATATTCAGCACAAGCCCCGGCGTAAGGGTATCCGCTTCCGGATCATGCGCTGACGGGTCATGGAGCGACGAGACGGTCGGGGTGTTCGAGGCGAAGATGGGTGAGGGGCTGTTTTTTGTGGCCGGGGGTGCGGTCATTTGGTTGTAGGTGTCTGTCTCGTAGGCGGCTAGGAGGCGGGCTTTTAGGGCGAGATATTCTGGGCTCTTTTGTTTTGGTTTGGTTTTGTTAGTTTGGGGATGGGATGGGTGGGAGTTTGGGGAGGACGTTACGTACGGGTTCGGGTTTCTTGGGCGGTGGGGGGATGTAGAGTTTTGTGCCGGTTAGGAGGTAGTTGAGGGTGCGGTTGGGCGTGGGTTTTTCATCGTTGTTGCGGAAGTAGCGGGATAGGCGGATTAGTTGGTCGTGGGTTATGGGGGTGTTGACGGATGGGTTGTTTGGGAGGTTGAGGTCTCTGCGGTGGTTGGGTGGGATTGCCTCTAGGGCGGAGAGGATGCGGGTTGTTGTTATTAGTTGAACCATTTTTGTTTTGGGGGAGTTGGGTGTTAGGTCATTTTTGAAAGAATGGATGATGGGGGATGAGGATTTGGTAGATGTGTTGAGAGATGATTCTATGAAAGTTCGAGAGTATGGAATTAATGAACTCCGCAGGTGACGGGACTGTCTATACTGTGTTGGGTCTAGTGTGTCATTTTAAGTTGGGTGATACTTTTGTTGTCTTGGCAAGAATGTAACTCCCATTTTGATTTGAACTATGTTGGGAACTCGTCTGGTGGCATTCGACATGTATGTACGGAGTACATATTATCTAATATACGACTCAAGACAGCACCATCTCCGTGTCCAATTCAAAGCTAATTGGTACCCACCGCTCATTATTCGGGATTCACTTCGGCGCCACATGCTCATAATAGTATCTGTGAGCAGAATCCATGATCTCCTTCACTCTGGCGGCCGGGACCTTCTCTTTACGATCATACGAGTATAAACCGTTGACCTCCTGCTCGATGTCACATCTGCCTCAATAATTAGCCGTTAGGCTCCTCACACTGCGTAGTCCTCTGCTACCCAGAAGGAGCACCACATATTCAACCATGTGGTATGGGGAAGCAACAATGGAAACAGATGGGGACATACAGTTGAGTATAAACCAAGCCACATGAATAGCCTCCCTTGACGACAGCCATCACCAGCTTTTCAAGGCGGCTAAGGAGGTCCTCAGGATCGCTTGCCGTGGTATACCCCCAGTCCCTCTCGCCAGCGGCGGTGCCCTTCGTAGGAATAATATTTACTCCACCGAACTCGGAGCAAATCACTGGGGCACCAGGCGTATGATGCGTACCGGAGTCCAAAGGCTGGGAGGTAGCGGAATGAATAGGGCCCACAAACATATCGCGATTCGACTTTTGTCCCAGAATACCTCTGGTGAAGTCCGAACAGGTGGCAGCGAGCGCAGGGTGGTCCGAGTAGTCGTGGTAGGTTGTCAAGTCTGTCAAAACATGTTCCCAGCCGCAATTGTCATTGATGGGTCGCGTGGGGTCCAGTGTCCTGCATATCTGATAAGCTTATTGCATGGAAGAAATGGAGTTATGGAGGGAGTGAAAGAACGCACTTAGTCAAGTAATACACCGCACGGATATGGTTCCGCTGCTCGATGTTATCTTTCAGGGAAGGGTATCCCCAGCTCTCGTTGAAAGGAGTCCAAGCCACTATAGATGGGTGGTTGATATCCCTCCTCACAGCTTCTACCCACTCACTGTTGAACCGAGAGATATAGTCATCACTAAATTCGTAGGCATTCGCCATCTCACCCCACACTAGAAATCCTAGTCTATCCGCCCAGTAAAAAAAGACGGGATCTTCCACCTTTTGGTGCTTGCGGCATCCATTGATGCCCATTTTTTGCGCCATCTCGATATCAGCCTTCAGTGCCTCCTGCGAGGGAGGCGTTAAGCCTGTCTCCGGCCAATAACCCTGATCCAACACCAAAGTTTGGAATCGAGGCTTCCCATTGAGACGGAAAGTCCCGTCGCCATTCTTCCAGGAAACGTTGCGCATGCCTGTTGTGGTCTCGACTGTGTCTACTAGATTACCCGAGGCATCATACAGACGCAGAGTTAGATCATACAAAATAGGATGCTCGGGTGCCCAAAGAGCCACCCCGTTATGCCAGCACCCGTCAACGTTGAAAGGAGCTCTTTCCCTCAGCGAAGCAGTATCCGGCACATGCATGTCCATATCGAGACTCACGTAGTCCTTGTCCTGTGGCAGATCTTGCCTCCTACGGTTCACGGGCACGCCCGCTAGAATCGCTTCAATCTCGACCTGAGCTTTCGCCATTGCCAGGCGACCCCGCACCACGACCCGCGCATGAAGCTGTCCTTTATCAATATCATCCGAGCGAAGAACCGTACCATCGCTGCTACCCCCCAGTCGCATCTTCGGCACACTCTCCAACCAAACAGACAACCAGATCCCACTAGTCGGCGTGTAAAAGATACTATCAGGAACAGGCCCCCAATACTGTTTCCCGCGCGGCTGGCTAAGATCCGACGGCGAGTCCCTAACCCGGATAGTCAGACGCCGAGTAGATGCTGCACTTTCCCCAACCTCAAAGGCATCAGTCACGTCAATCTCAAACGGAGCATGGCCACCTCGGTGCCCTCCAACCAGCTGACCATCAACCCACAAGGTACAGTCATAGTCGACAGCGCCGAAGCGAAGCACCAGTCGATTGCCCTTGGCTAGTTCGTCCGCCGTGCGGATATCCTTCACCGTACGCTCGTACCATAGCACCTCGTGAGCCTCATGGATACCGATTCCCGACGCGGGAGTCTGGAACGCATATGGCACTTGAATCTGGCGTTTGGTGTGGCTGGTTGTGGTGGCGGGGAGGCCCTTCTGGTGCCAGCATTGTGATAGGCCGTTGTCTGCGTCGTCGAAGATGAAGTCCCACGGACCGTCGAGCGATATCCAGCTTAGTTCTGGGCGTTGGAAGTCTGGACGAGGGTATGCGGCCATTTTATTGATGTTTTGGCATTCAGTTTGCTTTGTGGATGTGATGTCGTGAGAGTAAGGGTGAAGTTGTCCCCGCGATCGACAGTTGTCTCCCCGCACGCATGACGTGGGATAGATATATTATTGGCTTATGTCTTTCTTCGTCCTGTATATTGAATCATTAATGCAAGACGACTCCATTAAGTAAGAACGGGACACCGATGACTTCGACATATTTATGATAAGGGTGTAGAGTGCATATCAAAATTGTGTTAGGGGTTTACTGTCCCTGTCTCGTAGCCGTGGAGTGAGAAATATAGTATTAAGAGTCAAAATAACCCTAGCCATAGCTTAGGAACTAGCAAAGGTTAGTGATGCGAAGTGAACAAATATTATTGAATTATGAGCTCCCGAAGTATGCAGTTGTGCAATTAAACCCTCGTATTAAAACCTTATACGAGACGACATATCGCCGATATGGGTCGTAGTATGTATATCGCCGACTTTGCCGCGATAGCAGGCATATCGGCGATATATACATGAATTTTATAAATTTGTAGGGAATCTTTTTCTAGTAGGATACATAGCTCTCTCTTTTCTTCTTTTCTTTATTTCCTTTCTTCAATAACTCACACCTTCACCGACCCTTCATCAACACCAGGGTGCTTAGGGCTTCAACGGAGCCGCAACGACCGCAAGGATGAAACCCCTACATATACTACGTCGCCACGCATGGAAAAATCTCTCAGCCTATACCACTTCAGCCCGTGATACGTCAAACCTTCTAGCATTCAGAACAGGACAAACCCGCCAATCATCAACCTGGAACCCACACACCGTAACCAAGCTCCCCACTCAGGAGCAGGGCATCGCCCACACAAGAGATGAAAAGACCGGGAAACTCCAACATATCCTGTACTTACACCCTCCCACCCCTAACTCAACAGCACCATCTGACCGTAACAGAACAACAACCGATCAACTCATCAACTGGGCTCGACAAGGTTCTCTCTGGCCTCTTACCTTTGCCCTCGCATGCTGCGGCATCGAAATGATGCATGTATCCATGCCCCGGTACGACCAAGACCGCCTGGGAATAATCTTCCGAGCCTCGCCCCGCCAAGCCGACGTCATGATTGTTGCGGGGACAGTGACGAACAAGATGGCGCCTGCGTTGAGACAGTTGTACGATCAGATGCCGGATCCGAAGTGGGTGATCAGTATGGGGAGCTGTGCCAACGGCGGTGGGTACTACTATTATAGTTACAGCGTGGTAAGGGGGGTTGATCGGGTTGTTCCTGTGGATATTTACGTGCCGGGGTGTCCGCCAACGTCAGAGGCTCTGATGCATGCGATTTTTCAGTTGCAGAAGAAGATGAAGAGGACGAAGGTGACGAGGATGTGGTATCGGAGGTGAGTGTGTTTGTATATTATCTGTGTAGTATGTACAGTAAAGCCATGGGTTTTGTTTAGACAGTTTTTAGTGGGGGTCGAATAAAACTTGTCATCGAGGCGCTCGAGTAGCGTTAATATGGTTTTATGAAAGACACGAATCGAAGCTATATATGGCTTCCAATGTCGGTTGATGCCCCGTCAAATAGGTCGCTGTTAAGAAAGCTGGAGTACATAAACGATCCCGCCGTTCCAGGTAGGCCAAAATCGATAAACGCTGGATCGCCGGATAGCTGGTCATTGGCACTATGATTAGCTCCAGAACCTGGTGGAAAGTCTTCTTCAAATCGATTGTTGTCAAGGACAGTATCCGTAAGTAGTGGCAGGCTATGTATGCGCTGATCGTGACGGGCAAATTGGGCAGAGGTTTCTTGACTTTCTTCTCCCGGAATCTCACAATCCATGCTATGCAATAGGCGGACGAAAAGACGATAGTACCACAAGAGTGGGGGGGAGTGGTCTTGCAGCCTCTTTATGATAAACATACAGAGACGGGCTCTATGCTTTGAAACATCAACCACATGCGATGGACATCCACGCATGTTTGCAATTTGAACCGAGAGCGCGGCGAAAGCAGCCGGTGGACTTAACCTGTCAGCTTCCTTAAGCATAGTAACTATTTTTTGGGAAGCATACCTACGCCCCAAAGCAAAGGGTAGGAGCTGTGATGTTACAATATCCTCCAATATTCGCACGATCTGCACTGCTGCATCAAACACAACTGTTCCGATCTTCAGCCTGTCAGGATCATTGAAACCATTCCGGTCTAATAGGATGCGCATGGTGCTAAGGGTTTGTTAGAGACAGCGCGTGTACAGTTTGTTATTCCTTACGAGTAGGTTAGGTTAATCAGAGAAGCCCAAAAACCATTTTCCTCAGAAATTGATGCTTCTTGTTGTTGTAATTCCTTGGGAAGGGAAGCTTTCCAATTTGTAAGAGGATCCAGGGTGTTAAGACTCTCTGATTTATTGACATCTGCCCCAGATATGCTCAGCCAACAGTTGCTGGCTTCTGCAATGTTAGCATACCTTCGGCCGACAAACATAACTAGGAAGGCATACTTCGCGAGCACAATTCAGCTATGTAAATATTGAACAGTTGACTTTCGCGTGTAGGCTTCCCAAATAAATCAACGTTAATCAGGCCATCGTCCGTTTCGAAATCAGCCTCACCCAGCATCTCTACGCTGCAGTATGCATCGTTGATGTGCGGAGTCCGTCCAAGCATAAGTGCTACCGAGATGTCATGGGCCTCCAAGTCTAAGTCAGCAGATGGAAGAATTCCACAGAGAGTTGCGTACATAGATCGTCCACCAAATACGCCTCAGAAGTCTTCTATTCATTTCACTTAAACCCACATAAGTCTTCCTGGACAAGCGTCAGTCGGCCCCAAGCATGTGCCATCCTAAACCAACCGTTGATGCAGCCCCAGAGACTGTGCCAAAGCACTTGCAACACCAGTCCAATGCCACATGTCCTTCTGTTCCATCGGACTTCCCCACCAGAAAGACAACAGGTAGACCGCTTGAAGAGTCCCTATGGCGTCGGATTCATAGTTTGTATCGTATAGCGCTTTCGCTCTTTGATAACATGTAAATGTAGCCAGGTACCTATTTTCAAACCCAGCCCGCTTATAAATCGCCTCGTTACAAACACTGAGGGCCAAAAAATATACAGCCTGTAGAACCAGCGGCGAGACTCTCCCAGCTTCGTACTTGAGCTGAAAGGTTGCTCGATCAAAGATGGGACATTGAGGGTACCACACCCTGAAAAAGACTCTAATCAGGTCGTCACTGACATTCTTCTCGAAAGGTTTCAGCGCACCAATATCTCTCAAATTTAGACGCTCCTTTTGAGAATGCTCTTCTATTTGGGCTTTTGTTGATTGGCCTAGTTGGTTGAAGTATAAGTGCTCAATGGTGTCCTCCCATGTGCGACCATTACGAGCAGTTCCCAAAGGGTCTCCCATCTGATGCAGCATATAGTCGAGGTTGAAAGAATCACCATAGTATACTACTTTACTGTCCGAGCGCGTCGAAGAATATTGACAATCTTGCCTCTGTGATGGAACGCTGGGCTGAGGGATGAAAGAGCCACACGCTTGTGTATCGGGAGTAGTATTCGTGTCACCAATGGCTGGGCTATTAGAATCAGTGACGGCCATGCCTGTGGATGTTTCTCCCGATACTGCACTAGAGCTACTTTCATTTTGCTGCTTGCGCGAAGACCGACGAAGTGCTGACTGAGTACCCAGAGGATTATTATAATTTCGTTTGTACCTAGACCGTTTAAGCTCATTGACGCTTTTTCCGTTATATAGGAGAGGTACGAAAGGCAAACGTACTTTCCACGTCTTGAGACAATGGGCTGGCAGTCTTGCCCGGCTAGTCGGCAAAATGTGCATGGTGTATCCTCAGTCCGATCACATTTGACCCGGCGCAAGTTGCAGGATTTACAGGCGATTTTGCATTTAGCTTTAATAGTGGTCATCTCGGATTGGCTGGTGACATGCGTGTATGGTTAGTGCTATAGTAAGTAGCGTTGTAGACGTTGAGCCAGCACTGATCAGGTCAGATTTATTGGGTCGGGACACGTCGGAGCAGGTTTATATCCGCCCGAGCATTTCCGATAAAAGGGATATAGTCAGAAAGATGCGAACCTAAAGTTCCTCAACTTAACCCTGACAGTGGTCTAGGACAGCCACTGTTTTTGTTTAGTATAGGAGCTTTTCCGTTAGAATAACCATTATGTGCTTTTTAATAAAACGTAACCCCTCCCTTTGTACCTCTATTCACTTCTTTTTTAATTTAACCAAGATCCTCAGTCTCGCTTTAATTAGCAAGATCTGAAGATTAAGAGCCTTCAAGTAGATGAGTCCAATCTGCAGCAACTGTAAGTTCTCAATACTCATGTTGATCCCCTCACCCTAGACACAGAAGGTCGCCACTCAAATCGTCATCCCTCGCTCCCTACTCAGGCCACTCGATTATAGAGCCCAATGATAGTGCTCTTGGGGGAGTCCGCAATGGTCTATATGATGAAATGGTATATTCTGTCATCCATTGGGTGGAAAGGTCTCTCAGTCTCTCAATTTTTCACCTTCTAACAGCCTTGTGACGTTTCATATGTCGCTGAAGATTATCAGATCGCATCCCCTTTTTACTCTTGCGCCCAAGTTGCACCTGTGAAGTAGAGTACCAATGATGCGGACAGTGAAGGAAATTACGGCTTCCTTCCCTGTGCTTAGTATCACAATGTCGATCCAGGTCTGGCTTGGAGGGTCAATAAATAGCTTGTAAATTCCCACTACGACCATTGATTTTCACTTGGGCTGAAAGGTTTTGTCAAAAACTCTAGGGCGTCGGACACACTGGAACGACTGCGATTGGGAGTCCGTTCGTGGGTTATCGGGTGACGTACCCTGCCTTTGGAGACAAGAGGTTCAACAGTAATGCGGGCTCAATTTGTTGTTTCTGGGGCGAACGTTGTTCAAAAGGAATTGTGGTAAATCGAAGTTGCCTTGTGCCAGCTCTCCTCCCCAATGTTGAGCTTGTCTAGAACCCTGGGGCTGGGGGTCCTGATTCGAGCGACGGAGTGAATCATCTAACTCGGACAGTGCCTTTGGACCCGTCCGGTCAGTAGAATCGAGCCAACGAGGATCGGCAGTTCCGTAAGGTGCTTTGTGATAATGATGTAGTAGTACCTGTGGTAGTTAACCTACACTATCTGATCTGGATCTCGGTATAGGAGTTACAACTCCGGGTATAAGGGTTCAACTCTTTGTTTTCTTTTGTCGGATGATTACTCCAACAAGTAGGTAGTAGGACCTGGAATGTAGGATGTAGCTCAAAGTACGTCGAACGAGGAAACGGTTCCACATAGATGTGTAAGGTGGGAGAGAAAAGACACTGCAGAACGATTCAAATAGAAACGAATCCAAAAAGAGTGGGCGAGTGGCAGTACCACTGCCCTGGAGAAGGAAAGGAAAAAAAGGGAAACTTGGATGTCGAAGGGAAGCTATCTATATTTATTAGGGTTGGTGGATGCCTCAGGTTGGCTTCATTATGGGAGGCCTCAAAATGATTGGGTCTGCATGTGTCTGAGAAGCTTCAAGCATACACGTCCTAGAGCTCAGATTGCTGTTTTCAGAGACTAATTTCTCAAATAGTACACTATGCCTTATTTATTGCTCTCCCAGATTAATTGCTCTCCTTATAGCTTCCCCATTCTCCTCGTCGTTTCTTCAGGTACGTCATCTATATTTCTCAAAACCCTATGCAATGGCTTCGACCCCGACCTCCCTCTTCTGCTGCTCCCAAATTACTCCTTACCGGCCGCAAGTCTAGAAAACAAGAGAAAATTTCAAGGCTTTCTGCACTGGGTTCGCTCGGTTGTGATGAGTAAAGCCTCCTCTAACGAATACGACTCTTCTCCCGTTCCCGGCTATGTAGTGCAGCGGGTAAAGCAGGTAAACTACGGGCCGTTGGAGAGCAGGAGATACTTCATTGTGCGTCGAGACTTCTCAGACATAAGATTCACCGAGGCAAGCGAGCGGTAGCTCATTGATAATAACTTTGAGAAGCTGAATTCGTTGGTATATGTGGTGTTTTCTACGAGACGCTATTGCTGATAAGCCATGGCAGTTACAGAAAGTTGAAGTGTGTACTGTGCACAACAGGTTCTTCGAGTTTAGCTTGTATCGAAAAGATCCTGTTAATATGCATCACTGGAGAGCCAATGTGGCAAGACCGTTAAATGAGATCGATTTGTAGCTCGAGGACTATAGCTGCTTGGAATTGTTAGGTAGGCCGTTTGCTTGATGTGCATATGAAAGATGAGCAATGGGGTAACAGCGAGATCTCTGTTAGCTGTTTGGTTATCTTGTGGCTGTCTGAGGTTCTTTGATAGGAGCACGTATTCTTCTGTGTCTTTTCAAGCACTAGGATAGGATAGGTAGATGGCTTGTTGCCAAAGTATGCAGATTGGAATCCTGATATGAGCATGCTTGAAGATTTGCCTAATAATATGGCAACAATGCAAATGTCAAAGCATCCAGTTCTCGAATCTAGCTTTAGATCTAAAGAAACCAGAAAAGTCGATTAGTATTCATGGCATAATCTATGGAATAGAGTGACAGTAAATGTGTAGTAGTCGTGAACATGTATATTTCACAATGTCTGAATAATTATAGTAAGAGTACTGCAAGCCACTGGCAACACCCAGGTAACCCCAATCGCCAAAGCAACAAAACCCCCAAGCCCACAATTCTCCAAGAGTAGAATAAACATAAAATCGATAAAAGCAAATTTGGCTCTACAGCCACCAGAAAGCTGAATACAGTTCGGCACCGGCACCATACCCAAATAGGTAAGATGCTCCCCCACATGGGCCTCTCAGCGTTCACGGCCTCATCTCTGATAACGTTCCTATCACTCTCACTCCTCAATACCTTTTTCCCTCTTTCCTTCCAATTTCTTTCCTGTCAGACTTCAACCCAGTCTGACACGCCACAATGGCAACCCAAAAATCCCCGTAAGTTAACCCCACCCTCAAAACTCGCAATGGAAACCAAGAAAAAGAACTCTCAAAAACACCCATACCCCTCTCCTCCCCTCACCACCAACCACAACAAGCTCACAAACTAACAATAAACCCCTAAACACAGAACAATAACACCCGAAACAAACCCTCGCGGGATCCCCTCTGCACCCTTCATCGACAATGTCTCCGACTACGTCTCCACACGCGCCGACGTGGAGCCCACGCTCCGCTCCTTCCAAGAAATGATCTCCAAGTACCAATTCATGGAAGTCAACACACAGCGCCGCGCCGCGGGCCTTCGCGAAAAAATCCCGGATATCAAGAAGACGCTGGAAATGGTCAGGTTTCTTAAATTGCGCAAAGATAGCAATGGGGCGCCTTTGGAGACGAATTTCGAGTTGAATGATACACTCTATGCGCGCGCGACGGTTAACCCTGCAGATACTGAGGAGGTGTATCTCTGGCTTGGGGCAAATGTGATGTTGGCTTATCCGATTGGGGAGGCGGAGACGATGTTGGCGGATAAGTTGGCGACGGCGGAGACTAGTCTGGCTAATTGTGATGAGGATTTGGAGTTTTTGAGGGAGCAGATTACGGTATTTATCTCCCCTTCCTTCTTTTTGGGCCCCTCGGCAGGGTTGAGATACTGTTTGGGGATGTTGCGGACTATTTGTGATTCGGTGCTGACTTGTTATAGACGATGGAGGTTGCTACGGCTCGTGTCTATAACTGGGATGTGGTGCAGCGTCGGAAAGACAAGGCGGAGGGTAAGGGGGACGATGATGATGACACCACAGGAAAGAGAACCCCTGGTGGTTAAAGTCAGTTTTCATGGTTGTGTCGATTATGGTTTAAAAAATATCTTCATTTATTCGATTTGCATATATCCTAGTCAGGGCGGGAAAGCAACAAAAAGTGATATCTTGGTCAAAATAGAAATGTGTAATGCTCGCTCTCTATCAGACCTGTGCCTTCAATTATCAACTCAGATAGAATAATTCACAAATTATGCTCCCCTGCGCTGGGCCATTATACCAGTCTATCACAGAATAAACAACGAGGAATTGATATAAGTAGACGCCGTCATAATCAGGGGAACGGCCAACAGTATTAGTAAGAGTGGTCCCTGCGTATATCACTACCGGGGTAGTCATCAGTCGTCACGGTGCAAAGCGGCAAAAGGGGAGAATAGCTGAGGGGAGACCCTCGTAAACCATCTAAACCCATGCAATCTCTTCGAAAGGGAACGGGAAAGAAGAAGAGGAAGTAAATATAAGAAAGGGGTAAAGGTCGAGCAGAGCAGCTAAGCAACATCTGTATCTCCGGTAAATAAGCAGATCGTAAGTCATAACCTAATAAGTATTGTTGCACGTTGGTCGTTACCCTATGGCGCGTTAGTAATTGGCGCGGGTAGCATATCAACATCGGACACAGCTCGATCCCGCAGCCGTCTCGAAACATCAATTTCTGTGTCGTCACCGACAAATGTCCATTCTTCACTGTCAGCCATATCGTCTTCTTCTTGCTCAGCCATAGGTTTGGCGGAGGGCGTTGGCGAGAATGGGGTTGACGAAACAATTGAGCGCTGTCGAGCCAGTGTTTTAGCGTATTCGAGGTCACGATATATAGCCTGGATAGCAGTATCCACACCGTTTTCCTGGTCTAATGTTAGCTAAGCCGTTTTTCGATAGGGTAACAATAATACCTACACTTCGAATTTGTGCACCTAACTCTCGAGCTTTGACAATCATTCGCTCACTATGAGTGGCCTCCCACAGAGCCCGCGAAAATACGCTTACATTCAACTTCTTCATACAGATACCCACGCCTAGATCTTCCACGCGGGTGCCGAAGAAGAACTGGTCACCGAAAAAAGGCTTAACGATAGTAGGAAGACCTGCCCGAAGGCTCGCCCCAGTCGTTCCAGCACCGCCATGATGCGCCGCCGCGTCAATCTGTGAGAAAAGCCAGTCATGAGGCGCGGATTGAATTTGGAAAATCTCCGGTGGCAAAGGAATCTCAGATTTCGCACTGGCAGGATCTCCAAGTCGATCTGACCATCCTTTCGACAGGATACAGCGGACGTCGGCCTTTTGAACAGACTCAACGACTGTCCGTGTTAGAGCCGAAGGGTCCGACACGACAATAGACCCAAACCCGATATAGACAATCTTTTTGCTGTCACTGCGGGCTCTATGGATGAAGTCAAGCAACTCTGTCGGAGGAGTCCAATTGCTCCCTTCACTGAGGAACCAATAGCCGGTTATACGAATCCAGTCAGGATAATCCAGTGGAGGTGCCACCACGGAGGGAGAATAGTTATAAAGGAAGGGAACCTTATTTGGCTGCATCTTATCAAGTGTAGTCGCCTTCAGCCCGAGCTGTTTCTTCCTCCAACGATTCACCTGCCCCGCAATAGCTTTCCAGAAGACAGTGTCGAACATAACGTATGTGAGATAGTTGTACGCACCACCCATCTTATTCTCGGGGACAGCGAAGGCATGTGGATATGCTCTTGTTCTGGTCCATGGCATCGTGAAGGCACGGAAATAAGGGATTCTGAGCGCCTCAGCAATGTGAATTCCAGCCATTGCACTAGGAGACTCAATAAGAAGATCACTGTCCTGACAACTGGCCCACGCTGATGAGAGAAGGTCATCAATCCACCCTCGAAACTTTGTAGACGCCTCCTTCAAGAATGAATACGTGAACATTCCGTTCTCAACACATATTCTCATGAGTTCTGCAGGGTCACCATCGACTGGGGCAAAGTCAATACCATGCTGCCTCACCCATGGTTCAAACTCTGCATGGGTTGCAATTTTAGGTCTATGGCCTTCTGCTAACAACCCTTTGCATAGGGCAATATATGGCTGTACATCGCCCCGCGAACCGATGGTGAGGCACGTAATTCGCAATGACTCCGAGGGCTTGAAATTGATAATCGAAGCACGAGGATCATCGAAAATGGGATGGAGCTCGGATGATTCCCGCAGAGATTGGTGCGAGTCGTGTTCGCCAGTAGCATCTAACCTGGCTTCCTGCAGCATGCGATGTTCGGCTTGTGCTGTTTCGATCTCACCTTTCTCCTGCTCTGCTAGCAGCCCCGACTCTACGAGGAACCTCATCGACTCGAGGCTCTGATGAAGTGTGACCGCACAATCATCCCGGCCATCCGCTGTATTGAATTCAAAAAACAACTCTTCGTGGCCCCGAATGATGACAACAAGCCCCTGGTATCCAAATCGGAAGCCCTTTTCTTTCTCCACATTTTCAATGTCTCTGAGCGGAAGTATCAACTTGGTGCGAGTTCCCGGAATGAGACTACGAAAACAAAGCTTTCTTTGGCTTATATATATTTTTCCGTAAAGCGGGAGGACACGGTGGAGATATGCGTAATAGGTCGCTTGAAGCCTTTCAGTTGAGGGCAGAGCGAAATGAGCACGAAAACGGTCTCCGTGCTTAACACCATCTTCCTTGTCTTCAGGGTCAACATCCTGATCATCCGGTAGTATGCCTTCAGTTTCTCCATAATGTCTGCGGCCACCAGCCCACATCCCAGAGACTTTCTCAATGTAACCCATGGATTCACTTGCTAAAAGGGTACTCATCTGCCTCGACCGGTTTCTCAGGTACTCTGCGAATCCTGCCGCACGCTGAAGAGGATATGCACCGGCTTTCACCAGCTCATTCAAGGTTGGCGCAGACGAAGTCACCTTAGAGGGGTGTTGTGTGTCCTGGTCAGACTCACTGCCGGCATGTTGAACTTCCTGCCTGTTTCGTTTGACAAGTGCCGCTGGATCAGCAGCGATGGCATGTGTCGATCGTGCTGTTTCGTCTGAAAACCGACGACCTGTTCTGTCTACACTAGAACGTTGCCAAGTATTAATTGTGGGTGACTGGAAGACATCGCTTCGATTTAAGATCTGACTGGCAGACTCTGTTGTATCGGTCATCGACTGCAGGACTGCCGAAGCATCTGTTGCTTGCTCAAAGGAGTTAACAAAGGAATCTGACAGATCCCGCTGTCTTGTTCGAGGCGACATTCCCACTCCATCGGAATGAGAGGTAACGTGGCCGGTGCTTGCGCTCCGTCGCCGTTGCGCTTTCATAACCCCATTTCCTCGAGATTGACTCAAATCACTGTTTAACGACCATCGATTCCGGGACCTACGAGAGCGACTCGAGGGAGATACTTGCTCAGGCGGTGGCGCTAATATTTGAGAAGATTTCACGCTGCTCTCGCTGATCAACCCCTTCACAAAATTATATGCGTCGCGACCGGATTCAAAGAAAGAGAAATAATACTAAAAGCAGAATTTAGCGATGACATGATATACGGTCACGAGAGACATACCTCATCAATGGCGTAGGACTCGTCACTCTCAACCACTCGTATCTTGAATGTCTCGGCAAGATCAGCAATTGGGCTTTCCTCGATATCTATGATGTTCGTAATCGGGAAGGAGATCTTGACGCTATCACCATCATTATGAGCTCGGAAGATAACCTTTTGCAACGCTTTAACCCATTCTTTCGCACTGGTTGAACTGTCTGCTCTAAAGTAATATGTTCGCTGATCCGTGGTGACTTGAAAATCTCGGGCTTCCTTGTCCTTATCCTTTTGCTCTGTCAAAGAAGCAGATATTCCGTAACGAAGATCGACATGGCCACTAGGAAAATAGAGGCTAGAGGGATCCGTATAGTATGATAGTACATCTCCTTTGAGCGAAAACCAGTACCGATTGTACTTCGGATTCTTCCGACCACGCTTATAGAGATGTCCCGACCTGATGGTCACAGTAGACTTTCTCGGTAAATATGCGTAAAAACATATGTGTCCCTCCGTGACATACATATACCCCTGAAGTAGGATGTTTTGTAGTAGGGAGCAGGCATACTCAACGAGTACCTTTTCTGGTTTCTCAAACCCGAACATTTCTCTCAGCCTAAAAGACAGTGGTGATGCTGATTGTTGAGAGACGTCGTCTGTCTCCTTATTGGAGGACGATGAAGGTTGTTCTACGGGTTGCGTTTTGTCTAAGAGAGCCTGTGCTTCGACCATACGACTCAGTATGGGAGCTGCACGAGGAGTCGCACTGCGCGGCCGCCTGGGAGAGGGAATTGGGGACATTTCATCGCTCGTCGGAGGCTCGGTGCTAATACTTGACTCAGTCCCCTTGCTCCTAACATTCGGCTTCAAAGATCGAAATAGCTTGTTATCAGATATCGTCCTCCGGTGGCGACGTCCTCTTCCTTCGGGGACACTTTGGGGTTTGTGAGTAGATGAAAGCGGATCATTCTCACTCCCTTTCGGTGATGGCGACAGAGCTTTTCCCGGCTGCTTTTGGGTTTGTCCTTCAGCCTCACCCTCACTATCACTCGATTCATCGAATCGCGCATGGAAATCCGATTTGGATCCGACGGCGGCAATCATCGAGAATATGGACTGGTGCATATAGGGTAGCTGACCATCCCGAGTACCACTTGCACGAGGTGGCGCGGTAAAGTCAACCTGGGAATCATGATCGTCTTTTAGTCGCTCAGGTAAGGCAGTGGAAAATATGCGGCTAGATGATATGGATTGTCTGCTTGCACTGAGTCTACGGTCCACTCGCCGCTTTGCGTCTTCCAGGAGAGGTTTCATGTTCGGCATCTGGGTCTAAGACGGGAGATAAAGAGCGTAAACGACGGCAAAGAAGTGAGTAGACAAGACTCAAGCAGGCGGTACGAGTATGCAGTAAGTGAAGGTCACAAGAGTATATAAGGTCAAGGGAATGAGTTGTCCGCGCAAGTGACAAAAGGCGGAAGAAACTATAAAGACGAGTGACCATAGATGTTAGCTATGTCACCGGGAACTCGTCAAACCTTCCAGACGGGCAAACAAACAGAAAAAAAGGGGCTAAAGGAAATGATGCAGGGGGGGGGACGAAACGGACGATGAAATACCCAGAAGTCCGCAAGCCGATAAGCGCCCGTTCGAATAGTATCAACGGCCCGTCTCAAACTGGGAAAGGAGTTATCAAAATAGGACCCGAGTGAAGTTGTGAGTCATCACGAAGAGAGAGACATGGTGATCGAACTCGAGGCCCGTGATTTAAGAATGAGAGAAATAGAAGCGGTCGACGAGCGTACGAGACGCAGGGTAACTTCTAGGCACGAAGCGAAGTAGCAGTTCGGAGTCTGGCGTCACTCGTCCATATCAGCTGTTCGCCTCAATCCCCTGCAGCCAATTAGGCCCGGAGCATGTGATTGCTGTTGATCAATAAACCAATCGCAGACAGTCCCTGAGGGGCTTATGTCAGCCTCCAGGATCCGACCTGTTGGTAAATGTAAATTGGAGGTCTGGGAATGCGGTCAAGAAGAACAGCTATATGATAACCCTGGAACCGTTTTCTTTGATCTAAGGGGTCACCCCTATTATTAGTATCTGTTACTACTAATTAATATATTACGGTAATACTGAAAGAGCTATGGTACATCGTTGACCAGTTTCCTAGCCCACAAGGCCCCATATTTGAGATTTAGTGGCTATGCTTAATTGGAGAAGCTAGACTCTGGTTGATCGACACCCTTGGTGGGCCTGGAACTAAATCAATCAATCAATCCTCACCCCATATATAGACTCAAAAATGACCGCAGTCAACTCTATTTTCTTGCTTAACCATAGCATAAAAACACTCATAAAATAACTTTTTAAACACATTGGACCGATCAATTATACCTAACAAAACTAGATAGGTTCAATAGAATTGTTGTAAGGGGAGAATAATGGCCATTTCTTGGTCAGCGCTGGCGGAATTGAAAGGGGGGCTACTTTACTAATTTAACAGACACAAGATACACACGTTTCCTACTACGGTATTCTACATGATGGCCCTCTTGTCAATATGCTATCCTGCAGAGCGCTAGGAGGTTTTACCCAACTTGGGCTCATCCTCTACCACCACGGTTGGTAACCCTGACTTACCCGTCTAGAGGGCCACTTCCTCTGCACGCAAAGTGCTACGTCGGTCACGTGGCTCCTACATACCAACCCTTCCAGATTAGTTATAGATGACTGACGCTGCGAATTTTGGTCTCTGCCCTGAAGGGTATCCTTCGTCATATGAAGTATACGGGCTATTGAGGCGTGATGGCAGAGTTATGGGCTACATGGTACGTTTAATAAAGTGATATTCTAGTACTAGCGATTTCTTTCTGCTCTACAGAAAATATGAGTATTAATCCTTTATTCGGGACACTTTACCTTCCTAGTAATTAGCAGGACTTCCAAAATGGCCTATGTTGAAGACCATTAGAACCAACTGATATTCACCTACCAGCATTATTTCACTATCCTACCCCACTTCGCCGATTTCTCTCTCTTTACTGTGCAACCTGTGTCTTGCCTAATCACACGCGGCATATGCCTACTAGGACAATGATTTGGTACATATACTATGTCTGCAGATCTTTATTTACTAATTCTACAACCTTTCTACTCTCTCTCTCTCTCTAATAGCTAATGCTAGCTACCTCACTAGTAAACCTGGCGAGATCCTCCGTTTCCCCTCGCAGACACAAAGCTCGGAAGAAAAGCAAGCCAGACCAGGATCTTGAAGGGGGTAGCGGTCGCAGCGTCACTGTGAGTAAACTAATTCAGACGACATTATGATCAAACGTCAGGCCGCAATCTTCCAGTGGAAGGATGTCTGCTTCGATATCAAGGGCGGAAAGGAAAATCGCAGGATTCTTGACCACATTTGATGGATGAGTCAAACCGGGGTCCTTGACAGCGCTCATGGGTGTCTCTGGCGCTAGAAATACTACGCTCGTCGAAGTCCTGGTTACGCGTACCACTATGGGAGTGACTAGCGGAAAATTGCTCGTCTACGGCAAGCCGCGTGATGACTCCTTCCAACATAAATCCGGCTATGCTCAGCAACCAGATCTTCATTTAAGTGCTGTTACAGTACGCGAGGCGCTTGAATGCTCTGCTCTTCTACACCAGCCTGCTTACGTTCCTCGTCAAGAAAGGATCGACTATATAACCCAAGTGATTAAGCTTCTTGAAATGACCGAGTATGCTGACGCTGTTATTGGTGTCCTCGGATATCTGGAGGAACTCTGGGCCCATGTGGATGTTTATTGTTTTTGACAGTCATGCAGTATGTGTGTTGTACTGGTGGGATCGTGTTCCGACGATTAAGAAGCCGGTCACTAAGATTGAGTGGGCATTGTTTGTTCTCTTGCTGTCTTACTTCTAGGGTATACGTATTTAATAGGTCCTGTTTGCTGTGATGTCTTCTTCAGATATGAGTATTTTGACTTACTGCCCAATATTATCATAAAACAGCTCCCATAGGTCCAAAGGGAAGACAAAGAATTTTACTGTTTTGGACGGCGCTATGAGCCTCTCGTTCAAGTTACTATAGAATTAGAACTTAATTAGTGGGGAGTTAAGGCGATCACGTTCTCCACGGGTTCCCCATAAATTTAAACCGCCGTCCCACCCAGCTTTCCTGGTCCGTTCAACCATCCATCTCCTTGAACAATACCACGAGACAATGGAGGAAATAACACGGAGCGAAACAAAGGGAAAGGAGAAGCGAAAATCCGTCCGTCGTGACCCAGAAAAAAGACGACAACAGAACATCCGAGCGCAACGTAAATACCGTAAGTGACCTCGGGTAATAGACAGATAGATAGGGGCAGACACTGATAGAGTTTCCTTTCTAGGAGAGAAGCTCCGTCAGCGATTAGAGACTCTCGAAACGCTTGCAGCATCGCTGGCGCCGACGACGGGCACAATTCAATCTGAGTTGATCCCAAGTTGTGATGTTTCGGACATAGCGACTTCTACTTCATTAACGGTCACTCCCAAGGACACCCACTTCCAACAACATATTCCACAGTCGGACTATAACACACCAGCGCTGAACATCTGGGACCCTACAACACACCTGACACTCTCAGACAATACCCTATCGCCAGTAAACATCTGTGATTCTACGATCTGGGATTATACAGCACAACGCTCACATCTAGATATATCCCCACTAGCTCTCTCGGGCTCCACCCAGCAATTCTCAACATCACAAACTGCCTTGTTGGCACCGAATGTATGGGTTCCTCCAATACATGTTGATCCTTCCATTCTTGTCCATAACAAACATAAAGACGGTCTTGATCGATGCTGGACAACCACCACCATCGAGTGCAACTGCTCCAGCCCACATTTCCAGGTACAAACATACGGCCCCGGTCCATACAGCTCTACCGAGGTTAGGATACTCAGGATTGGAGTGGTCTCGCCTTCACCAGATCCATATGCCAACCATCTTCGCCTGGACACGATCTGTACCTTGGCTGCAATAGATACTCTCAGAATGCATGTGGGCATTACAGAGGAGATGATGTGTGCCGATGAATCTCCCTCACCATTCTATCGGTCAATCCGGACATCAGCGGATGACACGGTCAAGGAAAACATGATCTGCACAGTGCAGAGGATATTCAAGACACTCAAGCCGGACTTGAGGCCAAGCAGGGAACAAATTACTGTCGAGCACCCTCCATATATTGATCTTCTACCGTTCCGGACGCTACGGAAGAATCTCATCCTTCGCCGGCAAGAGGTAGACGAGGATGAATTTCTCCGCGATACCGTCTCTGGTTTAGTATGTTGGGGAGGGGCAGGCATTGGGAAGAAGGATCGAGATGTCGCTTCTGGATATGTCTCCACTGGTACTCCGTGGGACAACCGCAGTTGGGAGGCAAAAGTGTGGTTTTTGAAGAAGTACTGGTCTCTCCTAGGTGGTGAAGAGGGAGAACTTGTACAGCAAAGCGAGTGGTGGCGCAGCATCAGAGACGAGGACCCATTGGACATAGAGGCGCTGGCGTGAAATCACGAAACCCCCTTATATCTACCAATCTATTATCTCTTCCACCTTGAGTAACTCCAGCATCACCCTCAAAGTGAAAGTTTCCCCGCCAAACTTCGCCTCTAATCTTCTGATTTCCTTCTCCAACTCGCCGTGCAGTTCGCGCAAAACGCCGAGCGTGGTCTCCAAGCGTTCCCGTCTTCTTCATGGTTGCCAGCCCTTATCGCTTGGCGTCATGGCCTATCTTACCTTCCATCCTTCTCTTCACGAGAAATGCCCGTAACTACAACACCTCCCCCTGAGCTCGGGTTCTGACCAGTGTATCAGCGTGAAAGAATACTTTACTTCGTCGAGATTCTCGGCGAATCCCTTCAGCTGAAAAGTGATTCTGATAGTTGTCGCGACTCTGGAAGAAGCGCCCACTAAGGCAGCTGATTAGATTTGTAGCACAGTTGGAAACACTATCGCCGACCGGACTCTCGGCCCTCATCATCCACATCGACATGCGAATCAGACCGCCCGTCTTCATATCAACCATTTCCATCCACTCGGGAGCGGTTGGGCAAAGTATGTTTAGAGGTCGTAGCTCTACCCCACGTGCAGCTATTGTATCTTTTTGACGAAGATGCGACGCTTCCCTGGGTTCTGGCGTTGTGTAGCTATCTTCGTGGCTACAATGTATCGATACGTTGCGCCGTTGAATGTCTAGGTCGTACCGTAGATGTTGAAGATACTGGCGTTGCCGCGACGTAGTGGAGAGTTGTCTTCGAGATCATCGAGTCTCAGCTCGTTAAGACATTAGAAGAGCGCGATAAAAGAAAAAGAGCAAGGACTAACATAAGAGATGCATTATACAACGCCTTGACGATGTCTTTGATTATATTCACAGGCTTCGGGACCGCCCCATCGATTGATAGTCTGCGTGACATCTGACCTAGGGGATCATATCGTCACTTTGCCTTGCTGTCATTGCATTTTAACCTTATGTACAGGAGCTGATATTGAAAAGAATAAGGGAAAGGAAAATGGGAAGAAAGAAGAAAAAACCGTCAAGCTCGAGGCCAATGCAGGTATCATCACGCCTTTATGCATAGCAAATACCATTCAAACTTTTTGTGAGAAATAAAACAAGCGCAATTCTAGTTCACCCAACCACCCTCAAGCAGACTTCTCGGACTTCTTGCGCTTTTTCTCTTCCTTGCTCTTGCTCGACTTCTTCGTTTTCTCTGCCTTACCATCCATTCCGTCCTCTTGATGCTTCTTAGACTTCTTCCGCGGTTCTGCACTGGGCTGAGCACTGCCTCCGTCTGTCTGATGATGCTTGCGTTTCTTATCTTCCTTTTCGTTATGCGATCCTTTAGGCACCTTAAATGTAGGCTGTTCACCCTCCGATTCTTCCGAGCTGCTTCCAAGAGTCTCTGCTGGCGCTTGCTCGCTTCCTACAGGTCGGAAACGCATTTTGAGGTGTTTGGGCTGCTTCCTTGGGGGCTTGATCTGTTCCTTCGCCGCCTCCAAAACTGTATCATTCTCCTCGGATCTTTCGGGGAGGCTGATCAACTCTTGAACGTGGTAGCTCCGGATATCGTTGGTCGAAGTAGTGTAGTATGTTTGAGATTTCGAGTCATATAGAAGAAGTGTCTTTCCACCCATATCGCCCTTGGCGATGCTCTCCGCAGGAATGCCGTACTGCACACCTTCATGCTTCAAGACTGGCTCGCCTTTCATGACCTTGCTCAGGGAGATCTCTTTGACCTTCGACAGAGGCAAGGAGGCAGGAGCGGTGATGTGATAGACTTGCTTGCCGCGGAGGTCGGATAGAAGGGAGGTAGTGCTGGATGAGGGGGGCGACTGCTTTTTCACGAATTTGAATCCCGAGGGTGCCTTGTAGGGTTGCGGCGTTTGGAAGGAGACCTTGGAGGACCTATTTGCAGCTAATTAGATGTGGTTTTGGAACTCGGTATAGCCAATGCTCACTTCTTGCCCTTTGTCTCGGAGGCGACGCTGTCATTATCGCTGTCGCTTTCGTTGGAGCTGTTGTACGATTCCGAACTGGAAACCTCGGCCTTCTTTGATACTTCGGGAGAAGAAGAGCTGCTGGTCTCACTACTCGGCGTAGTTACTTTCTTTGATTTGGGGGCCATTGTGTCTTTCGCAGGATGTTTGAATGGGAAGTAAGATTGCGGAGAAGAAAAGAAAAAAAATTGGAGCTTGCGATACGGAATGCCAAGCCTTGCAGAGAAGAAGTGTATTTTCGCAATGCGACAGACAGTATTCGGTCTCTGGAGCTGAATATTTTGCAGCTGCGATTGCCGATCGGATTATATCAGAGAATACTGAACGGAAATCCTCTGCAAGTTGAGAGATATCGACGTTGTGCTTGTTTGAGCGATAACCATTTTTTTTTCCGCTCCACGAAGCACGGACCATCATAAATCAAAGTCCGCGGCCTCAAATAAAAAGGTGCCGCCAACGACTTGCACCAAGGCTTTACGACTCTAACAAATGGTCTAGGTATCTAGTCATTCTTATTACGATCCTAGAAAACTATGAAGAGAAAGGCCGAGAAACAGGCGGCCGGTGCGCAATTCTACATTTTCCATGTACCAGCTAAGAAGCGTACTGACATGACTTTCTTTTAAGCACCGGCTCCGGTCAGCGCCTTTGCGGCGCGTAAGGCTCGTCAACAGCAGATGCAAGCTGCTGTGACTGCAGCGAAACCTATTCAATCTGAAACAACACATGAGCCACCGTCGAAGAAAGCACGACGCACATCAGATGAGGCGGTGCCAACCCCGCCTGCCAGCGGAGAAACTAATATACGGACTACACGACCCTCAAAACGGAAGGCTGAAAGCTTGAAGGCTGGTAAATCGATCGAGGAAAGGGAGAAGATTTCTTCAGCTGAGCCTAGCGAGCAATTACCTGTTCGCACCTCACCCCAGGAGCCCGAGAACCAGTCTTCTTTAGATGAAGAAATGGAAGAGCAAAATGCAATTGTTGGCGACAATGGCGTCGGCATTGCTCCTCTTCGCGGTGACATTGATGGGTGGGGTTTAACTTGCAAGATCCCCCCTTGGGCATAAATACTGATGCTCTATAGTTACGAGTCTCCCGCTGATACCTCTGGCCCTGTCCAAGAGTTTCCTCTGTCCAAAACTCGTTTGAACAAGAGCAACATAGTCCATAGCGACGAAGACACACTATGCGTTCGCATAAAGGAGAAGATGAGTCTAGTTCTGCTTGGTCATTATGATCTATGGGTGAAGCGCGGCGTGGTTAGTGTTATGGGTGCGAAACTACACCCTTCACCGCGACTCTACCGAGTCTATGCTCCGTCTACACACTCATTGCCAGTGATTAAGTGTGTATCTGGGGTTGATGGTGCAGCGGAGATTGAAGTCAAGTCATGCCACAGCGGCATCTATCGCCTTCGGGATTTGTCTCCTTTGTATCGACGGATATGGAACGGTAAGAATACTTCAGCAGACAAAGTCACACTGAAGGATGCACCGTCTTCCGCTAAGAGGACATTCTCGGTGGTAAGTTAATGTCTCTTTGTCGTCCATGTTTCAGCGATTCTAACGCTATTCGCAGTTGTATACGTCTGCGGACGATTCCTTCAAAAGGCATATCCGGCCATTACATCTCGAAAAGCAATGGAGCTCAGCTATCAGGTTACTATCTCAGCGAGGAGGCCGGTTACGGGCTCTGATCTGTGGTCCCAAGGCTTCAGGAAAATCGACCTTCAGTCGTTATCTCCTGAATCATCTTCTCAGCCCGGCGCCGCAGACTGAAACGAATTATTGTAACACCGACGGTGTCGCCTTCCTTGACCTTGATCCCGGCCAGCCAGAATTCTCTCCTATGGGTCAAGTATATCTAGCGCACCTTCGGTCACCTGTCTTCGGCCCTCCATTTTCTCATCCATCGTTGGAAAATTCCCAAGAGGGAACCATTATCCGCGCTCACCACATCGGAGCCACATCACCTAAGGAAGATCCTGATCACTACGTGCTCGCTGCTATGGACCTTATGGATCGCTACCGTACCCTATTGGCCACCTACCCCCAATGTCCACTTATCATCAACTATCCGGGATGGATCTTTGGACTCGGTTTAGAGGTTGCTACATGGCTCGTTCGATCACTTGGCTTATCCGATGTCGTATACATGAGCGAGAAGGGCCCAACAGAGGTCGTGGTACCACTCGGCCAGGCAGCTCAGGAAGCCATGACTCCTCTAACCGTTCTCCCGTCCCAGCCAACCGACTTCGTAAGCCGATCGAGCGCGCAGTTGCGCTCCATGCAAATGCAATCTTACTTCCACATGACTCGACCCACCGAACTCAGTAACCCACTGTGGTTAGAGCAGCCACTCTCCCGTACGAGGCCATTCCATGTTCACTACGCCGGGCCCAAGCAGGGTATTAAGGGTATCATGGTTATGGGGTCTGAGATCGACCCTGACCTGCTCCGTGAAGTTCTCGATGGATCCATTGTTGCTGTCGTCGCCGTGGAATCCCCCGAAGCTATTCTAGGACAAAACGAAGAATCAATTCTAACCAACAACCGTCCTGCCGAGTCCGAAGATGGAGACATCAATATGGATGAATTCACCGGTACACCCATGGGAGGCATCTCTTCACGCGAACCCATCAACCCTTTCATTGATGCGAACGTCTCTCGAACACCAACCGAGAACCTTCCATACCTTTTCGTGGGCTCGGGGAGCAGTAATCCTCTCGACCCGAAAGCGTCCCGCTCCTTAGGTCTCGCCCTTGTACGCTCCATAGACGTCTCGTCGCAGCGACTAGAGCTCGTCACGCCTATCGCCGGCTCCGCCATCCGCGAGGCCTTAGAACAGGGCCATGGCATCGTTCTCGTCCGGGGCCAGCTCGACAACCCCAACTGGGCCATCAGCGAAGAATACAATGCCGCTCGAGCCGAAGAACGGCGCCACCGAGAGTCCGTCGAGAAATCAAAGAAGAACAAAACCACCGACAATAACGACGACGAAAGTTTCCCCGAGCCAGAAGAGCAAGCCCGCATTTCCGCGATCCTCAGGGACCGGATCCGACGGGCCAGTAACGTCCCCTGGATGACGGTGATCGAAGACAATAGCGGCCAGCAACGCGAGGCTACGCAACGGGAGAAATCCCTCTGGAAACTACGCAAGAAAGCGTATCCCGGCAGCGATAGTGAAGGCGACTGGTAGTTTCTTGCATCCACATCCCATAGTCTGCCTCTATCTAGTATCTTCTACGGGCTTGCGTGGAGCTCGTTTACTTCCGGTTACGTTTTTCCTATAGACAAGAGAGAGAGAGAGAGGGATAGAAAAAAAAAGCAACGCTTCACCAAATGTATATACCCCCATCCTGTATGTATCATCATATTCGGAAATGAGAAAAAAAAATCCCAGCCAGCTACCGGGGCCAGAACACATCATTTCCCCTTAAAACCCAACCAAACAAATCCGCCCTCCAACCCATTTCCCATGACGCTTAGTTTCGATTTATCGAAAAGAAACCCATACCATCGGATCCTGCTCCTGCAGCCAAGACCGCGCCTCTGGTGAAAAAGAAAAATTAAATAATAAAATAAAATAAAATAGCGTCAATATATACGGGCTGAAGGGTTACAAGGTTACACCATCACCCTGCATCATCACCCCCACTACTCAGAATTGCAGCAAAAATGGAAGAAGAAAACATGGTAGACCGAAAAAAATTCACACAGTACACCCCCTCGGTCACTTCCCACCCAAAAACAAAAACAAGCAATTATCTATACCAACCTAATCAGTAAGCAGACTATCCAGGATGTCTCCATTCAAGATCCACACCAGGCGACATGAATGATGAGCTACTGACGCAGGGGGACAGTGCAGAAAATCGCTCAAAAATTGTGGATTGGATTGGATTATAGCGCTATGAAGCTGAGACCAAATTACGTTAGTTACCTAATGGATGATTGTTGGCTGGCAGGGCACGGGACAAAAATGCAACAAAGTGTTCTCCAGTCTAGAACCTGGGCTGCATTTCTGTCGGTGTTGCTTGTTTCCCAGAATGTGGTTTTTTAATCTCGAGGGCGCTCCTGACGCATGTCTCAGTTGAGCTGCCTATTCGAGTTTAACATTCACTACGGGTTCGGTCCGAGTTGAGGCGACTCGGTCCGATTGCATGGGAGGGGCCCTTGTTTTAGGTAGTCTAGCGGGTTTTATTTTGGATGTAGATGGTTCTATATTGGGTGTAGGTGTAAAAGGTAAGGTGGTTGATCCGTTCGTCCTGCCGAGGTTCGAGGGTAGATTAGGTTCCCTTTTCATAATATGATCAGTATCAATGCCCAGTCCAGACTTGGGGGTAACTAACTATCCCTCCGTTCTTACTAAGTCAGTTTACTTAAGGATGTAGAAAGCACAGGCCAGATGGAATCCAGGCACCCGCGGCCACTTTGAATTCAGTTCAATGAGGGAAGTGGATTGGGTCCAGTTGCAACGGTTGATCCACTGTCTAACTAACCTTCCATCTCGTGGGAGCCGGAGCTTCCGTGGATGTTACCTTGACCAGCGTTGTTGGGTCAACTCCTACTTGTCTCTAGATTATTTTGGGGGTATATAGTATATACATACTAGGCTAGATATACGATAAGATATCCACCAGCAGAACCATCAATGTATGTAGTTGTAGGCAGAATGACTCGCCGCAGAAGACAAGATCATTGGTCCCTCGTAAATCCAGCTAGTAACGCAGACAGCAAATCATGAGGATAAATTGCCACGTGGGGACTGCAGTTCTTACCCAAAAGGTGGTGTTGTCTGGGCGCCGCAGTGGGTACAAAAACATCATCGGTTTATTAATATGAAGTGTAGAAGTGGAGTTGGAGGTCGTGTGCTTGCTTACCTTTCTGTGAATCGGGTTTTGTCATGACCCGTACAGTATCTGTATGTACATTCAGTAAGTATTATCGATACCGAATCAACTTCATGCGTTGTTTTGTTCTGCAGGAACATACAGAGTACTAACTTAGTACTACTTGGATATTCACTGGGATGTGAATACTCCATCCTAACATACGGCCGAGATAGGCTATTTTTTAGATGTATACCGAAGAACAGTTATTCCAGACATTTTAAGGCTGACTCTATGTATTTAGGGATGGACGTTTCAGATAAGGATTATACGAGGTTAGAGGGCGGGCTGAGGAGAGATGATTGATATTCTTTTCTTACCTAAACTCAGCATCACATAAGGTTGACAAACGCTTTGTATTGCAGGTATTATGTATGTATATCTAGATAGAGGCATAACATATCGATCAACTCTATCTATCACAATATTCCAAGACTGATAAGAGAGCTCCGAACTCACATGTCTCAAAAAACCCTAATACGTTCAATCCATGACCTTAACAAGAGCTATAGGGGAAAATCTTAGGACCTTAGCGGCCTTACCAGATAGCTCTCAGGATGTAAGGGAGGTTAAAAGTGCGCACAGTCCACACTGCACCGTGACGTTGGGCAATAGGGAATCTGGCCGGTCGCATGCCAGCCGCATTGATCCGTTTTCCCTTCCCTCAAGTTCGGTGTAATTTCACGCGAAACCACCTGGAATCTTGGAAATGAGTCTGCATCTCTAGGCGAACAACTCCCCGTTTCTCTCTCCCCTCCCTCCAGAAAATGATAAAATAAATATCCCGAAAATCTCATGGGTAATCATCGGTACTTAGTCTCCAGATATGGGGTAAGCCACCCGTCCTCGTGACATCCCGTTAATTATCATCGACAGGGAGTCTGCACTCCGCATGCAGCAAAAATGCTGATGCGTCAATTCAGTAGAAGTCGTGGCAGTGGTAGTGGTAGTAGACAACCACACCCGCAGACTGGGCTTGAATATGTCTTACGCAAAGGTAAGGTGGAACCGTACCATGAACCTAGAGTTCCCGTTCATCCTCACAGTAAAGTAAACTATAAGAGTACGTTTTATGGTTTCCCTGTTACTCGAAGCACTAACGAGTCGCATATGATTATCGTTTGGAGAGAGTGCCGCGTTCCCGAGTCGACCTCAAAACGAGAAAGGTTATTTCTGCTTCCTTCCAGACCTTGTCTCGAATCGGAGGCCCAGGAATTGCAAGTGACATGCCGTCTCTCGTCTGACGGTGTGCAGCGTTCTCCGAGTAATCACGGAGTATATAGGAAGGACTCTGACCGCATGGAGGCATGTTGATGCGATTCTTTGGGAAGGAGTCCGGAACGGGCTGTAAATTCAACACCGGTTGTTTGTAGTTGAAACTTTCTCCCCCTTAGGCACTAGTAGCCGTTTGTGTTTCTCTCTTTCTGAATTAATTTAATTTATTTTGTTTGTTTGTTTATCCCAAGGGGATAATACTCCGGACCCCGAGAGGATTTAACCGTACAGAGATCGTCCTTCCTCGTTATGTTTCCACTTGGAACAGCGAACAATTGAAGTGATGGAAAGTAACCACATGTGACCGGAATTGAATTGTCTTGGAGGATCTCGTGGAGCCTTACTCGATTAGGCTTGGTTTGAAGAGAATGAGAACTGATGAAAACGGTTCCAACCGTAAGTTTACCAATAGTACCACTAACTACTAAATTATTATTTATGATGGCTGTGATTGCTCCAACATTACACACTGAGACCAAGCCTTATCGCTACAGGCGACGGGGATACTGCCGATAAATCAGGGAACAACCCTGGGTCGCGGCGGGACAACCGGCATTGAGACGGCAAAGAGGTCTTCCAGACTCTGTAATGGGCACTACTACCCAGTCTTTTCAATTCTACTTCGAATTAATGTTGTTGTTGTTGTTGTTGTTGTTGTTTTTTTTCCCTTTGCTGTATCTTTCATTCTTCCCTTTCATGATCACGGGGCAAGGGCGAATAAGAATCGTTTAATTTTCGCATTTATTTTTATTGTGACTGATGGGTTTTTTTCTTTATTTTTTATGTATAAGTATATTTGTCCTAGACAAAGAAACTTGTTTTTGAGGTGCCTTGCTGGAAGTAGTCAATAATCTTCTATATTATTTTTTCCTATTTCCTCGGAACGTTGATTGAAAGAGGAAAACAGAGACAGAGAGTGTGTGAGAGAGAAAGAAAATAAAACACTAATAAAACAAAAGAGCGCGGAAAAAGGGTAAAAGACGGAGCTGCGATTGACTTCTTCCATTTTCCGTTCTACAAACCTTCGATTGCGTAAAGAAATCGGGGAGCATCGATTTTAGCGGCCAGACGCCGTCCCGTCGAATTGGGTACGGAGAGATTCTTTCCACTCTGGGACAAGGCCCGAAAAAGTCCTTGTCTTGGTAACTTCCTCACCACCGTTATGAATAACTTTTTCCCTTTGAACCGAATGATTTTCCTGAAATATCTCCGCTTATAGGAAGCGATCCATTATTCCATTATATGGTCATGATTAATATGGATTGGAATTTTCCCCTCCTGCAAGAACATCGAGTTGAATTCGGTGTAACTAGAGGGCATCTTGTAAGCCTTGGAGTAAACCGTTTTCTGTCGGGCTCCATCCGACTAGTTGGCCAAGAAGGGAACGATCTCAGCTAGTTTCATTTGCCAAAAGCGAACCAGATCCAGAGGAATTGGGTTTACTCCGTTTGAGAGGAATGATGGGGATTAGTGGTGATAATCTGAATCAAACAATTAGTGATTACGTTGTACGGGGGCACGTTGACTATTATTATCTCTCTGGTCAGCAACGAAAAAGAAAGAAATGGAATACAATACCGTCAATTACTGATGTCCTCCTGTCTGTCTGTCTGTCTGTCTGTCTGTCTGTATGTATATACATACTTGCATACACTCATACATACATATGTACATGTACAATGTAGGGCAATGAATGAATGAATGAACGAATGATGTTCTCCAACCTTACTTACTTTCCAAAAGGGACAGAACGATTATTGGTTTGGATATTGATTTTTATATATTTTATTTAAATGTTTAGTTCTCTCTTCGGGTATGGAGCAGATTAATTAATTAATTAATTGCTTAGGACTTTACATGAGGAATTGGTAAGAAAGGCCTTACCCAGTCAGTAGTGGGGGTGGTGTGAGGCTTTTGTTTGGGTCAAAGGTCATTGGGCCTCTTACTGTTCTCGACCTTGGGAAAGTTTCTTTACCTTACGCAACAATACCGTACGCAGCCGATGGAACTCCACATTGGGAGACTCTTTCCCCCCTTCCTTTTGATCCATTAATCTTGCAGGGAACGATCCTGCCAGAAAAGAGGGAAAAAAATTTAAAATAATAAAAAACTAGACTCGTCGGTTCTTTCATCTTTAATATTCGCCTCCTCTCCCTTCGTTCCCCTTGACCTTGACTACTGTCTGCAAGCTGGCCTTTGCAGCCCTTTCTACCCCCAAGCGACGACAAGTAGTCGTTCGCAGTTAATCCATTCTCACTCTCATTTCTGGTTTAGTTGATGTCCGTCTGGAACCCGGTCATACTAAGCTTCTTTCCCTTATACATCCAGTCCAATCCAATCCGTACATTACACTCCGCACTCTCTCTCAACCTCAATCTGACTTCAGCCATTCAACCCTGCGTCATTGCCACGATTGTCGCCACTTCGTTATTCATTCTCGGAAAGCATGTATCGCAATAATGGTCTGATATGGTTGTTGGATACTGCTAGACGTTAACTCTCGTGGATATGGATTTCATTGTAAGTATTACACTATGCATGTCTCTTATCCGTCTCTATCGCATCGACGTAACATTGCATATGATCACTGTCCCCCTTACCATGGGTCACTACCCTAGAAGTCATTTTCCCAACTCCTTGTGTCGACACGTCATAACTGTGTGTGACCCTTGAGGAGTGGCTTTTTCTTCTTTTTCTTTTTTTCACTGCCCGTCATTGATGTGTGGGGGCTCAGCAATCGGTCAAGATGTTACTGGCTTGAACTAACAATTTTCAATAGCTCTCCTTGACGCATTTCTGCGAGGTGCATGGTCCCACCTCGATCATCTGCTCGCAGGTCTTACCATTCTCCTGCTCGCAGTGTTACCCAGACAGACCCGATTTCTCTCCTGATGACACCCCTGCAACCTCTCATGACACAGTATCTTCTCATCTACAGAGCCCTACTAATGGCAAGGACTCCAACTCATCCAAGATTCACTCAAAATCCGCCGGGGTAGCCGATTGCTATGAGAAAATCGAGGATCACCCCTACTTTATTAAACCGCAGTCCCATTCAGCGGATGCCCAGCAGCGATTGATTCCACTGGGAGGTGCAGATGGCGATACCTGCGCTAGCTGTAGCCTGACATTGCCGGAAGATGTGAGCAAAAAGCTGCCTCCAGGCGCTCCTGGCACCCCCAAGAGCGACGGTAAAGGCAAAAACGGAAGTCCCGTCTTACGCTCCAGGGAAGTCGTTTACTCTTGCGGTTCGAGCCACTCCGAAGTTGAAGCCGGCATACACGACCCGCATGGGCACGCGTCCTTCCCTGAATCTTTACACTCTTCCTCGGTGGCGTCCGATGCCTCTTGCCACACCCATATTCTCACCTATCTCTCTCTCAGAGGACCCCCAAACCCTGCGGACTACGCGCTTCTCCGGCGCTCATCGATCCGGACCCTGAGCTGTGAGCTCCTTCCGCAAGGCGCCTCCTCCGGTCCCTTGTGTTTTGGCGACTCCAATGCGGGGTACACGGTTGCCTTTGTTTTTCGTCTTCCGGACCCGATGGCTCGCGGGAAACGGCGCAGCTACGCTTTGGTCGCATTGGCTGGCAAAGATACCGGGAGGGCGTTCCGCGCATGTCCAGTAATCTGGCGTGCTTTCGGTCGAATCTCAGCGGGCATCGTCAAATCGGCCGAAAAATTCCAAGACGAAGAAAGGTCTCGCGAAGAACAGAACAAGGGGCCTGGTCGGATGAATAACAGACAGTACACCCCGGTTTCTTCGTTTCTTACCGGCCGTGCCATCGACCCGGATGGTCAGCTTCGTCGCCCTGGCCAGGTGAAGGCAAGAAATCTTAGCGAGATTGTGGGAAACCAGTACATTTTTGCGGAAATCCATGCGAACTTCGTTGCCCTCTTACAACAGTTAGGCTCGATGTTCGGAGCCGACCCGATCTCGGAAGAACGGTTCGTTTGTAGTACGATAGGCGACAGCGAAGGTCCGCGACGGCCTTCAATCGTGAGTAGCGGGAAAGACAAACCCAAGAACTACGAAGATAGTGACCTGGGCATGTCGACGCTTGATATCTCTTCAGGTCCCAGGCCTATCCCGATCGCACCACGCCGACCAGTCGTCGCATAACCCGTTCGAAGCGATTGCTACGGAACCATCTTTCTACTCCCACGTCCATCCCTACAATATCTCCGACTGGGTGGATATTACCTCATGAATGATGGTCAATGACAATGACCTGTTCCTCTTTTCGTCCTTTTCGTTTTTAGCGTTTGTCACCGTGACCTACGGATCCCTTATCGCGATATAGACTACGGCGCTTTTTAAGATGGAAGCGGAGTTTCGGTTTATTTTTGGGCAACATACCTCGGTTTCAATTTACTTCTTTCCAAGCGTGGGTGGACAAGCGGTCTGGTTTTGCTCGGTTCCCTTTCGTCTCCTTCGAATCCGCTATCTTTCCTTTCGTACAGTACTCCTTATTATACTTTTAATACAGGTAAGGGGAGAGGACGAAGCTGGTAATCTCTTGTTCCATGATTTGAATGTCGTGACGAAGGCGATGAACGATGGCTCGTACGACATTTGGCATGCTTGTGTGTATTCTATTTTAACAGAGCCCTTTCTCTCCGGGTTTGAATTGATTCTCTGATATTAATTGAGAGATGTGAATATCTAGACTTTGCCAATTTATCCAATTTACCGATATGTGTTGTGATCACATGGTCTATATAGACCGTAACGTATATATAATCTTTCCTGTGTCCAGACATTTGTGCTGCATCACTCCTTCCGTTGGAATACAGCCTCTCCTCACATCCCCAATCATCCTGCAACCCATCATGATAGAAGACAAATCCACATCGTCTCCGCCGCAATCAGCTCCCCAAAACAAAAATGAACTGGCCAGCTTCTTCCACCTTGATAACACTACATCAAAGATCTTCATCTGACCCGCCGACCTAGAAGCCATCGATAGATACCTCACCCCAACCCCTCACAATCAATACAATACAAGATCACGATCGACAATCCAAAGCAATGGATGCCATCAGTCACATCTCTCAGACTCGCAGACTCAAGATCCGCTAATGACGTTTTGGCTCTCACCCAAGCCGTCATCCAACGACGTCATCATAGACGTCCATACCGGCTACATTCGATTAGCGACCACGTTTCATCGCCAAATCGGCTGACAAGGTTATTATCATATCTTATATGCTCCTACAGGTCATGGATTACATACTGTATGTATCCGGCGGATAACATATCCCGAAGTCGGAATCAGAATCAGGTTTATGGAGAACAGGAACGAGGAAACCTGTCTTCGGGCGGCGCCAGCGTTTCAGGCTTGGGGATCATTTTTAGGGCTTGTTTCGGGTTAGGTTTCGAGGTGTTGGAGATCTGATCGCCGCTAAATTTTCATATCTAGCTTAACAATACATAGGGCGGGTGTACAGGGCTTGAAGTTGGGGGCTGATCGGCGCCGTGGTTTTGGGTGTCGGGTAGCATACTGGTTGGGAGGACTTTGAAGTATAGACCGAGCGGGTACTCTTGTGGTAAAATGGAGCCAGAGGGTAGATATCTATTGTAGGTATGTCGAGACGTTTACTTTTTTATAGAATGCTAAGTTGCGCTGGCCGCTTTTGTGATATATATCCTAACCTGGCTGGCAGAGGCAAATACCACCACCAAAACAGATTCGATAGTGAAGGTACAGTATGTCACAGAAACATCATCTGACATGGAAAATTATATACTGCAAATTGTGAAAGAAAACATATTCAACCGAATGGAAGTGACCTATCCCAAAATCTACGCCGGTATCCCCAGACATAGCAAGAAAGAATCAAAAGATATGCAGAAACCATCACACCCAAACAAACATGAACTACATCATATTCCCATCGATTTCCGGTTCATAAACATTCATGGAGAAAATAACACAGAAGAACAAACACATATCTCTGGAGTCACTACCTCTTGATGTAATCCTTGTTCTCGATGGTCACGCTCTTAGTCTTATGATTGACCTTGTAGACACCGACAAGACGCGATGCAAGTTCGAACTACTCTCGTTAGCGATATTCAAAGATACTCTACTAGGATTGAATAGCCTACCATGTTGTTTCTCAAGGAGATAACAATAAACTGCGCGTTCTTCGTTCTCTCTTTGATGTACGAAGCTACGATGGAGACCTGGAACATATCTGTTAGCCGACTCGTTCTGACAGGCAATAATGGGGTCACAAATACGTTTCTGAAATCCAGGGCGGCGTCAATTTCGTCCATCACGTACAACGGCGTGGGCTTGTAGTGATGCAAAGCAAAAACCAGTGCCAAACTAGACAGTGTCTTCTCACCACCGGACAGGTTGCCAATGTTCTTCCAACTCTTCTTCGGCGGCATGACGGAAAACAAGATACCCTCAGAGAACGGATCCAGGGAATCGACCAATTCCAGCTCTGCGTTGCCGCCCATCGTGATCATCTGGTACATCTCCTTCAGACGGAGCGAGATAATACCAAAGCCTTCCATGAACCCATTGAGTCGTGCGGCTCGAAGGCCATCGAGACGAGCCTTAGCGCTGTCGCGGGCTGCCAGGGCAGTATTAAGATCTGCCGAACGGGCTTCGTGTTCTGCTGATCTACGACGATACTCTTCGATAACAGAGAGGTCTACAGAGGAATTCTGCGTCTTCTCCTCCAAGGCTGCAATAGTAGCTTTCAGCGACTCCTTGTTCATCTCCAATAATTCATCCTTGGTGAAAGTTTGGAGCTCTGATACAGCTTGATCATCACCCAGATCGCTCACATTCTGCAATGCCAACTTAGACAGCTTCTCGTGCCAATAACGCCCGCGCTTTTCATTTTCCGCCAGAGCCTTCTGGTTCTCTTCAAGCTTGTTGCGCATTTCGATTTCCGTAGCCCGAGATTCATTCAGTTCGGCCACCTTCTCGTCTAACTCCGCCTTCACAGTCTTGAGCTCCTCACTCTTCGTCTCAAGGGCTTCTTGTGCTTCTTCTACCCTTTGCCTCCAGCTAGATGCGTCGTTTGCTTGGTTGGACACATCTTCGTTTAGCTTTTCAAGGTCTTGGGAAACATGTTCAAGTTCCTCCTCGGCCTCCGAGCGCGTTTTCTGATGTTTGGCGATAAGCTTCTCGTTCTTAGATTTCCCAACTTCAGCATTTGAGATCTCTTCGGCAAGAAGACCGATTTGTTCTTTGAGGCTATCCACTCTAGCCTTCTGACCACGTAGTCTTACACCACCAACCTCCATGATCTTGTTCTGCAGAACTTGGATCTCCTCTTCGATGCCCCCCTTCTGTGAACGGAGGTCCTCGATTTGTTCTTTGAGAGAGGCAATCTGCTTCTCCAGAGCTGCGGCCTGATTCGCATCTGTCTTGGATGGTTTGTGAGCAGCACTCAATTCCTTAACGCGCCGCTGAGCATCTGCGAGACTGCGATTGGCACTGTCAATCTCAATCAAGATCTTCTGAATCTTTGTCTCAACACGTGGGATTTCCTCAGACTTTTCTCTCATTGATGCCTCGATATGCCTTTGTTTCTCCTGGAAAGCCTGGAACTTCCTTTCCATTTCCTCTAGGTCACCCTCGAGTCTCGCAACCTGATCTTTGCTTGTGTCTGCGACCTGCTTCGACGACATTGCACCACGAGCAACACGAGTTCCACCACCACTCATAGTTCCAGAAGTGTCAATGAGCTGGCCATCGAGGGTCACGACTCTCCACCGTCTGGCGCCGTAAGCAATGCGATTGGCTTGCTCCAGGTCCTTGGCCACGAGGGTATTCTGCATTACGCTGTAGAATGCTGGAGCAAACCTCGGATCCTTGGGTTTCACGAGATCAAATAGCCGTGGAACGCTTTCCGGGGTGAAGACCGTTGACATGTCCCGTCGTGGAAGACGATCCAGAAGAATGAAGTTGGCACGCCCAAGATTGTTCTTTCGCAGATAGTCGATACATTGTTGACCAACCTCGACTGTATCTACCACCATATTGTCTAGTGCAGGGCAGGCCGTGGATATGGCCACGTCGTATTGCTCATCAATTGTGCCGAGGTTTCCAAGACGTCCGTGGAAACCCTCAATACGACCAGACTCCTTGAGGCGCATGAGACCTGATAGCACACTACCACGGTTTTGTGTGCTTGCAAGACTAGCTCTTGCCTCCTCGGCCTTTTGTCGTGCGCTGGAGACATGGGCGCGGACATCGGGCTCCCTATGGGCATACTTCTTGAGATCGTGCTTGAGCTTCGCAACCTCTTCCTCGAGGGTGGACTTCTGAGCCTTCCGTTCCTCAAGGTCCGCTTCTTTTGTGGCTAAAGTTTCTTCAATAGAAGAAACCTTGCCCTGTGCTTCCTCCAGGAGCACAGCGCCAGCGTTGCTTCTCTCCCGAAGAATGTCAAGCTCACTTTGGGCCACTGCAACAGCGGAGACCTTTTTGTTGATCTTCTCATCCCATGGCTCAAGCGACTTTTGTTTGGCTGTGATCTTATCCGAAAGACCCTGGGTCTTGCCCTTCAAGCTCTCACGGATGGCAGACAATTCCTCCTCTTCTACTCTCATCTCCTTTTCTAGATCTGCGGTCTCTTTGGTCTTCTTGGCGATATCATTGGTGTGTTTCTCAACCAAGCTTTCACATTCGGAAGCAGCCAAGCGAGCAGTTTGCATCGACTTTTCCAATTTCTTTTGCTTTCCCACCAAAAACTTCTTCTTTTCCTCGAATTTCACGGACTCCTTGTCGTATTTCGACATCTCTTTCGATAAAGCTTGTACCTCCTTTTCCATGTTCTCGTATTCGCGCATACCGCGCTTATAAGCCTTCTCCAGTTGTTTGATGCCGGACTCGTTGCCCTCGTGCTTTTCGAGCTCCATATTCAGGAGCTCCTGCATTTGAAGAATTGCTTCTTCCGTGACTCGGATGTTGTCGGCACACTCGTCAATGTAAATCTGATACAGCGCTGATTGCTTCTGGGTGAGCTCATTTTCATCATTGATGTAGGCAAGAGCCTTGTTCTTCTTGTCCACAAGAGAGTTCCTTTCCTTCTCTACGTGTTGTACACGGTTATTCTTCTCGACACAGACGTCATTCAGAGTCTCCAGCTCGGCGGCCGATTCCTCAATCGGAGTCTTGTATTTCGAGGTTCCGATAATATCTTCGAGGTACTCTAGAAGTCCGTCTTCATGTTCATTGGAGGCCTTTGCCTTCATTTGGGCGATAGACTCGACTTCACCTTGGAGAATTAGGAACCGCTTATGATCAAGGTCAATCCCACGGTCACGAAGTAAGGTGGTTACGGCAGTGAAGTTCGTTTCCTTGCCATTCATGTAATATTTGCTGGTGTTGTTCTTGAATGCCTTTCGAGAGATAATCAGTTGGGAATCTGGGATTACTTCGTGTGCTCCGTCTGGGAGATCGAGGACTTCTTGGAAATGAACCTCAACTTCGCAGAAGGGCAAATCTGGAAAATCAGCTGAATTATGAATCAAGGCGGAGATTTTCCCTTGTCGCATCTTACTGGCCCGGAAGCCAAATACAAATAGCAGCGCATCGATAACGTTGGACTTTCCGGAACCGTTTGGACCGACGACTGATGAAAAAGAAGCGTGGAATGGCCCTACTACCTGTTTCCCCGCGTAACTTTTGAAGTTGTTAAGGATCAAAGTTTTGATTACCATGCGACTCTTCGGCCCTGACGGCTCCTCAGGTATTGTCTGAGGAGCTAAGTTGCGCGATTTCATCATGATATCCATAGGTCTTTCGAGAACGGTTGAATTAGGGTTTATGATCGAGATATGCGATTTGGCATCATCGTTGAGCGACGGGGATTTGTTCACGGCAGATTCTGTGATATCGCCGAGCGGAGGCACGCTACCTCTCTGGGACCGGGGCTGGGATTGCGGCGACGCGGAGGGCTCTGGAGTTGGGAGTAAGGACTGTTCCGGTCTAGCCGTCATGGAGCGACGACTCTTGCAGGAAATCATACTTCTTCTTTGCAATTCTACCGCTGCCACCTGTTGCGAAGGTGTTTCTGGCTCTTCTACACTAGCAACCGTATTTCCTTCGTCATTCGATTCAACAAGTTGCGACGCCTCTTGCTCCGCTGCTGTTGACCTGCGGGACTTTCGTGAGGGACGCGCGGTGCTAGGCGTTGGTGCCTCAGCTGTAGCACGCCTACTAAACCGCCTCTTTGTGCTGGCTTTCTTAGGAACTGGGGTGTAATCTTCTTCTTCCTCCTCCTCTTCAACATCGGGACGGGACGGTGTGGGGGTGACATTTCCAGGATCTTCCTCTTCAGATGTCTCTGGCATGACATAGCTCCTTCGAGGGGCAGAGCGCCGGGATGGCCTACCTCTTGCGACTGACGACATTATGCGATTGGCGGAGGGTTTGCAAATGAGAGCTTCATGAAGGCGTGTGTGGTACTAAATTGTTTGAAAAAGCGCTGGTGGGTGGAAGTGGGTTGTTTACATTGTCGCCCAAAGGGGAAAGGCCTTGTTTTTCTGCCACAACAGTCCGGCAGCTCGTCACCTGCCTCACCGCCAGGATTATGTCATCCACTTGTATTGTAACCATGGTACGCGCAACCACGATAAGAGTAACAATAATTTATGTTAGGAAACATCAGAGCGAGCAGATCCTGGGCCCAAAAATGGCTCCCTGGGAAGATTTCGATAGCGTCTTTGCCTTCAATAAGAACTTCACCTATGATGGCAAGGTCATCGAACAAATTCTGTCCAATCGCCGAGCGTTGGATAACCAGCTGTTTGCCGACAGGCTCTTAGGATTGCTCGGCGTGAAAGCAGGTAATATCTACCCAGCACTTAACGATGCACCCAGATTACTGACTAGAAGGAGTATATAGTGACGAAAGTATACCCTCCAAGGTCAAATGCTGACCTCCGAACCCTCTTCGAGCACATCGTATCCTCCCCCTTGGATATCCATCACAAACAGGCGTTAATCTACTACCTCTTAAAAGATTGCCGGGCACCCAATGACCCTGCTTCACAATTTTCGCGGCGATTCCACCTACCTGAGAAGTACCGACTCTTCATCGAAGGACTTTGGACTCTGGACAGGCTAGAATCTAGGGTACGTTGAGGTCGAACTTCCGATCAACAACAAACTTGCTGATACGGTTGCTTGAATCTAGCGCGCTATTGAGTATTTGGCCGAACCTTCCATCATTCCTACATTTCCCGATGAAATCCTATACGTTCTCACACTACCACACCTTCCAAAGCACGATGACAGCCTCGTAATGGCGTATTACCACACCGTTAGCCCCCCACTAGCTTCCGCTAAGGTCCAAAAGGCGTTCTTCAAGACCCTTTGTCGCTCTAGTGTGACGGAGGCATTCTACTTCACTCGGGATCATGACGACTCTCTTCGCCAAAACTACCTTGAGCAACTCATTGATTATGTGCACACGATGGAAGCTGGCGACGCCCGGAGCAAACGCGCCATGGAATTGATTGGTCTTCCCTTCGACGACCAGGAAGAGGGGTGGTTTGAGGAATCTCTCCTTCGGGGAAATGCGAAGGGCCTTCATGGCGCTAAGGACACCGTTATGATGCGCCGCCTTGCGACAGGAAAATTGGATAACCTGTCGGCGGATCTTGAATCCCTGGGTGGAAAGAAGATCGATGGATTGAATTGGGACATTCTCAGACAGGGCATTCAATAATTGCAGACCTTGTAATTCTCTAGCAATGGCCAACTTCACCTTACTGTTGGAAATGCGACACGATTTCAATACTCACGGGTTCGGGTTGGAGATTGGAGAATTGGAGTTTGAATCTGGAGTCTTCGTAAACATTTTACTTTGTAATTGTACTAGCATATGAGCATACCAGTATATCAGATGAATGACATTGAAGAAAAGCACAGTTTAGTTATTTCAAGTCAACCCAATTCATAGGCGGAATAGAATGATAGGGTAATTTATTGATACGCATGCAGTACACCATGAGAGGTAATTGAACGGCGGGAACCACTCCGACTGGATGAAATGTATTGTCATTGATCAGAACAAACTTCACATTGATGAACAACACTTTCATTCGTTGGCAGTTCAGCAACACCCTGGGAGATCACTTGAGGACTACATTTCGAATGTATGCAGGCGCCCTTCACTACTACTAGAGGATGAACTTGGTCCAGTGATCCACAGCCCAAGCTCCGCCCTTGATCTGAAGCATCCCGTCGCAAAAGTTCAACAGGAAGCTTTAATCCCCCAGTTTAATCCGCTATCAGAAAGATGGTGGTCTGCACATTCTTTCAGCAAGGCCGATGTAAATTCGGAGGTATAACCCCCCCTGGAATTTAAGTATTCTTGTTTCTTGGTTTCACGCTCTTGGTGGACAATGAACTAACCATTGGAACAGAACGCTGCAAATTTGAGCACCCTGGCCAATCAACTTTGGGCTCAGGTAACCGTTTTGGAGTCCTATCAGGAGGCGGCTTCGGAGGTAAGCTTCTACTTTGTTCTATCTACCTTCTCCTTCTCTGAAATTCCCAAGCGCTTCATGTACCGGCGCTCTTAATGCCTTAACATTGGTCGCCGGTGTCTCAAGAGAGGATATTGGGAACTCCACGCCCATGTGACCTTTACCCAAAAAAAAGCCTATCGAAGGCTGTCTACTGCCTGAGCTTTCTTCTTTGGAACCGGCATCACCTCCGCGTCATGCTCTTTTACACCCTATCCAGTTTTACTCTTGTACATCGTCACTGACTCTTTTAAAGGTCGTTCTGGAGAGCAGAACCAACAACCAGCCAAGTAAGTGATGTGCTCCTGGTAAAAAGAAAATTTCCACTAACGCAAATCAAGCTATGGTATCACAGCAGCTGATATCAAGGCTGACCTGAGCGCTGGCAAGGGCCGTCCGGAATGGGTTTTTTCCTGCTATGGTCCGGGTAGGAACGCTCCAAAGCAATTATTTGGGGGTCCCCAGCGGGAGCAGTCTTTCGAAGAACTACGGCTGCGTCACTACGAAGCTGCCGCGGCGGGAAATGCAGATCAGGCGCTCCAAGAGGCTCAGGCCTTATATGCCGAGGCACTGAAGCAGATGGATGTTATATTAAGCGACCTCGATGGTGCCGTGAAATACGTTGTTGATGGTATCAACGAGCACCCGAATCGCATCGACATCACAGAAGGCAAGACAGGCCCTGCATCTGGTCAAGGCCCGTCTGCATTTGGCCAGTCCTCAGCATCTGGTCAGCCAGCAGCCAGTAGTCAAAGCTCGGCGTTCGGTCAGCCGTCGTCATTGGGCGCTCAATCAGCATTCGGTAAGCCTTCCGGGTTTGCGCAACCGTCAACATTTGGCCAACCATCTGGCCTGGGACAGAGTTCTGGCTTTGGTCAGCCAAGTGCTCTGGGGCCAGGGTCAGCCTTTGGACAGCCCTCGGGGCTAGGTGGACAACCCGGATTTGGTAAACCAGCTTTTGGACAGCCGAGTTTAGGCCAGCCTGCTTTCGGTCAACCATCTGGGTTCGGCCAGCCTTCATCGGCAGGTAGCTCATCATTCGGTACATCTACTGGTGCATCTCCTTTTGGCGCAATATCGAGTCAGAATCAGGGCACGGGCGTCGGTTTCGGTCAAGCCGCATCAACCGTATCTCCATTTGCACAGGCTGCTAGCCAACAACCTGCGGCATCTACTGGGTTTGGCCAGCCATCGACAACCCCAGCAACAACGGGCCCATTTGGCCAGCCCACGCAAACGCCATCACCATTCGGTCAACCCCAGCAACTGTCGAATTCATTCGGACAGCCAGCTGCCGCACAAAATCCATTCGGTCAACCAGCCGCAGCGCCAAGTCCATTCGGGGCTACGAGTCAAACACAACCACAACCACAACAACCGCAGACTGCTCCTTCACCTTTCGGCCAACCGGCGACCGGCTTCTCACAGCCTGCCCAACCACAAAATCCAGCTCCTACCGCCACAGCTGGGACCGGCCCTCCTGCCATAATCAAGGTTGCGAACTCCAACGAGCTCAGTCCTCTTCCACCCTTAGCTGGCCAGACCGTCCGAGATCCCATGACCAAGAGGTTATCCTCGTGGAAAGGACAGCCGGTGAAATATATCGAAAACAGTCCCTGCTATTTGCATCCTCAAGACCGCCAAACGTATGTTCGCATCTTCTTCCCGGATGGGCCTCCCGAGGAAGCGAGCTTGAGAGATGCAACAGGAAAACCAGAAGAGTACACCCCTGAAGTTATCGAACAGTATGAATTTTTTGTGAAGAACGGATATTTCAAGGACGGCGTTATCCCAAGTGTACCACCGAAGACGGAATGGGTGAGCTTTGACTTTTAAGAGTCTGGAGGACATCGTTGCATTTTGCAATTTTTTTTTTTTTTTCGAAATGCGCTTCACGAACCTGTAGTATATAGCTCCATCTGCCTTTCTTAATATCACGAATACAAGGACAACCGCGCCTTCAGCCAGCCCACCTTATGAGCTAGGATACTTAAACAGCACCGCCTCTACATTTCCATCCATGCCTACAATCTACAATCTCTACAACAGCGAAGACCACAAAAAATACTTTTCCACAAACTTTTCCATTTTTATGCCAAATTCTAGCGGATATCGACGACAACCCAGCAAAAGCCTGACCGACCCATCGTCAATACCCCCTGAGTAAAGAGTGGATATTACTCCCTCCCTATACCGAACTAGAACCCTTTTGAGAAAATTTAGGCAGCAATGGTGACCTCAACCTCAACACCAGCCTCGATGTTGATGATGATCTGCTTGACGGTCTCAGTGGGGGCGAGGAGGCTACACACAGTGTTAGTTCGGCTTATCTTCATACAGGAAGAGGAGGGGGTAACATACTCGATGAGACGCTTGTGGATGCGCATCTCGTACTTGTCCCAGGTCTTGGAACCCTCACCATTGGGGGTCTTACGGGTGGAGATGTGAAGGGTCTTGGTGGGAAGACGGACGGGACCCTTGACATGGAGGGACTTGGAGCGGGCACGGTCGATCAGCTCAGAGCAGACCTTCTCGAGGGAGGCGACCTTGCGAGAGGTAAGAGTGATACGGATCTTGTGGACCTTCTGTTCGGGGTGTTAGTAGACGTCGTATTGCGCCGAGTCTTGCTTCATCTTGGTCATGAAGGTGCCAATGCATGTGTTGGACAACGTACAGGGCCCTCGCCGAAATCCTTCTCGGGCTTCTGGAAAGACATCTTGACGGTGGTTTGTGGTGGGGAGACCGGGATTGAGATGGCTAGAGTCAGAGGGTTAGTTGAGGAAAGGAAGAAGGAAGAGATGAAAAGACGGGAGTGGGGGCATACCGTAAAACGAGGCTAGTTGCCAATCAAGACCTGAACTTCAAGGTTCGGTAAGGTGATGATGGCCGTTGGAAAGAAGTATAGCGATACGCAATTATCGTGAGTTTTTTTTTTGTGGAATAGTGCGCTTAGCGCCGCTTGTGCGGGTGTCGCGTCTTGGCGCTCGCCTATCTAGTGCTAACTTGATCGGGCGCCCGGGGTGGCTGAGTCAGCAAGCCACCAATGACATTCCATCATTGAGGTGTTGTACCATTCAAAGAATATGGGGTCGAGAACTAGGACAGACTTAAAAGATGACGATATATCCTTGATCCTTGCTTTTAAACACCCTTTGCCTAGCTTCGCATCTTTCGGTTCTCTTCCTCTCTCACTGTCACCGTACCAGAACCGCTGTGTCATGGCATCTTGGCCCCCGCTCGCACCAGTCCCACCCCCCGCGGTGCAGAGTGCCATCCCACCCCAGGAATGGGAGCTCTATATAGATGCATGGGTCCTGCTCCTGGGCCTGCGCATAGAAGCATCCAATGTGCAGTTTGCTGAGGAAGCTCCCAAAGATGTCTCTGCAGTCACTTTCTTGACTTCTTTCTATGACCAACTCGCAACAACCGGTACGCTGGGTTTGCATATGGGGCCAAAAGCAAGAACATTGCGAAAGCTATGTTTCCTGCTCACAAGACGTTTCCTTCTGGATGCGCCCACGACACCATCCGAGCTACTAGGGTGGAAGTACCTTGGTGACCTATGCAACTGCTATCCCTCCAGCTCGGCGCTGAAGAAGCTCCTGTCCGAAGCATGGGACAAGCACGAAGAGTCGATATCATCCAGCCTGGAAAAGGCGCAGACAAGCATGATCAAACAGCTTTCACTCTTAATATCCGCACCGACTCCAGAGATCATTTCCGATATCCGACTCTTGACAATCCTGGGATCTGCCCTCCCCGCCAGCGGCCAGACGCTCATGGCCGGGTCCGATTTCCTCGATATATGCTGCGAAGCATACCAAACACACAAGAGAGAGGACTTCCGCAAAGTCCTCGTAGCCATCGTCTACGTCGGCCTCACCTCACTACTGAAAGGCACAAAGCCCAACCTCTCCCTGCTCCTCGACCAACTATTCAGTCTCAAATCCAGCGCAGGCATCAGCACAAAGAACGGCCCGACCCTCCTGTCCGACCTCATCTGCAGCTCCGACCTCCTCGTCCGTCTAGACCGCTACCTGATCTCGCACCCGCAGAAACGCGGCCAAGATCTCCTCTCCAGTCTACGCACCTACCAAACCGAATCCACCCCTTTCCACCATCGCTACCAGAGGCCCAAGAAAAGGCCCAATAAAGGCAAAGGCCGCGCATCAGACCTACCCCACGCAGACGAGATGCATATCCACAAAATGTCCTTGATAACGCAGGTCCAAGACCTCTTCCCAGACCTGGGCTCAGGATACATCGCCCGCCTCCTAGATGCCTACGACGACAACCCGGAAACCATCATCGCCAACCTCCTCGACGACTCCATCCCTCCCGAATTCCACAACCTCGATAAATCAGAACAACTCCCGACAACATCGACAACAACTACTCACGACATCCTCCCACCAAACTCCACCCCACCGCCCCTCCAACCCCGCAAGAACATCTTCGACAACGACGTCGACCTCGCCGCCCTCCCGACAGAGAACCTCCACTTCGGCCGCGCAAACCCCACCCTAACAGCCGATGACATCCTCTCCGACCGCACCACCCACGCCGCCAACAAAGCGGCCATCATCTCCGCGCTCGCTACCTTCGACTCGGACGACGACGAACGCGACGACACCTACGATGTAGCGGATGTAGGCGGCACCGTCGACGCGGACGCGGACGGCGACGCAAAGCGTAAAGCCGCTGAGTCGGACGAGCTGGATATGACGCTTTTCCGGGCGTACAAGGCCTCGCCGGGCTTGTTTGGGCGGGACTCGGGCACGCGGCGGTCGCAGCCGCGGGCGGCGCTGAAGCGCGAGACGGGGATGACGGATGAGGCGATTGAGGGGTGGGCGGTTATGTTGGGTAGGGATTCGAAGCGGTTGGCGAGGTTGGAGGGGAAGTTGGCGCTTTCAGGTGTTGCTGGTGGGGGGTTGGTGCAGGATGAGGTTAAGTCGACGGCGTATCGGAGGCCTGGGCTGAGGGCAGGTGGGGAGACTGGGAGTGAGGGTGAGGAGTCGGGTTCTGGGGCTGGTGGTCGAGGGGGATCGAATAGGGGACGTGGTCGGGGTGGGCGACGCGGTGGAGGCGGTGCTGGACGGAGGGGCGGGAGTGGTGCAGGATGTGGTTCTGGGGATGGGAATACGGCAGCTTCACGGCAGAGGAAGGAGGAGAATAAGGCCAGTAGGGCGAATCATAATCGGCGACAGCAGAGAGCGAAGAAGGTGGCGCGGGCTGGTGGCATGGTGGCGTGATTGATGCACTGGGTAATGGACGATGAAAATGCTGGGATGATGAGCATAGAGCCTCGTGGTTTCTGTACATACTGCATTATTTTATAGACCCGGGATGGGCGTTCGTGTATAGAGTAATCAAGCGTACATGGCTAGATAGGTGCATCAATATATGTGTAAAAGAATGGATTTGTAATAACATGGTCCGATCGTAACTCTACTCTCTTCACTGAATGCTCATACATACAAATATAAACCGACGTCAAGCTGAGGGACATTATCACATCATCAATAGGGCATTACAAGTCCGGCGACATTAATCAACCCTTCCAACTGTGACCGATACCGATACCCAAAGACGGTCCGCAGGCATGATTATATACAACTATGCAATATATACAAGGACCCAAAGTATCCAGTCGATTGTCGAGGCCAGGTTCAATCGGAAGGGCAGCGCGCTTAGAAGACCATGACAGTCATTTAGTGGTGTTCTGAGAAGACGCCTTGCTGTGCACACGACTTCCTGCATTCTTCGAGAATACGGACTTGCTTGGCGACATCACCAAGTCTTCCGATGACCTCTTTGTTGCCATCGTAGAACGTGAACACCGCATAGGGAATGCCCGTGTCGCGGCAGAATTCCATGACCAATCTTTGAGTCCGACGCAGGTTGTGGCGTGGGATACGTGGATACAAGTGGTGAATGGCCTGGAACTGAAGACCACCATGGAACCAATCGAGCCAGGTTGGGCAGTCGACATCCATCGTGGTGCGAAGCATCTTCTGAGGGAAGGATTCATGTACACCCAGATCGGCTGTCGACATGGCAAAATGGGAGAGCGTGATCTGCACATGTAACGGGGCAGTAACCATATGCGAGACCAGAATGAAAACAAGGCGGCTTTTCCAGTCAGGAATGGTACAGTACAGGATGCCGTACCCAAACCAATACCAGAAGAAGACTTGGCCAGCCATCTCGAACCACCGGTGCCACCAGGCAGGACCTTTCTTCGGCGCCTGACCGAGTAGCAGATACTCCCAGCTCAGGCGGTACAGGTTGAAGCGACCAAACAAGAGGATGGGGTAGTAAAGATAGTTCTGATACCGCAGCATAAAATTGGCAAAAGCGTCAAACGTCATGACACGTTCATAGTAAGTACTGCGGAGGCTATTAAGGAAACGATGCGAGATGGCAAAGAAGGGCATATGCTCGATATCTGGGTCATGCTCAGGAGCATTCGTCACGATATGATGGACATTGTGGTTTCGCTTCCACCACCCTAAGCTTAGACCCCCGAGGTAGTCGGCGATGATGATGCCTATCACGCTGTCCACGTGGAAATGATGGGTGATGCCCATATGACCAGCATCATGGGCGGAGAAGACGAGCTGGTGCCAAAAGCATCCCAAAAAGAATCCCGAGGACGCATACCAGCCCCACTGGAGGAGTACGTAAGACAGACCCGCGAAAAGCGTGTAGCGGCAGCACTCGATGAAGTAAGAGAAATAGTTGCAGTTGTAGAGGCCCTCGTCACGAATGCGCTGGTCTAGTTCACGATATTTCTGTTTGATATTCTCCTGGCTTTCTGTCTCTAGGGAAGGGTATTTGGCAGCGTCTAGAACGATCTCTTCCTGGGTCCGGGCATCGAGGAAGAACGGCTTTGGCTCGAACTCAGGGGTGCCTGGGGCTGAGACCGAGGTATCCGAGGAAGACGACTTTCGCCGGCGGAGGCCGGATTTAGCGTCAACTGGATCGAAGACTGGAGACGGCGGTGTAGAAATATCTTGACCAGAGCTGTCTTCATCTGATGGTACGGTTGCCTCGGTATATGGGCGGAACTTGCCGCCTTGGATCGGTGGGAGGAAGTTTAACCATGGACCTTGGATGCGTCCGATCTGGAAGGCCAACATCCGCTGGCGCGCCTCCTTCGAATGTAAACTGTAGCACGGGAGCTTGTCAGTGACTCTGGAAAGCTCTCAAGAGTATGGCGATGCTGGAAGTATGTACATACGCATTGATCTCATCTGTCGCATCTTTTCCCACCATATGCTTGATGGACTTGTCACCACCTGGATGGTATTTGATCCAGGCGTCTACCTTCAATACCCGACCGTCGAAAATGAAAACATGTTTGCCCTCAGCGATTTGACCTTCAATCCACCGACGTGACAAGATAGTATCCTTCCGAGACCCGGAAGTAGCGGTTTTTAGCGTGTCGGCCATGATATACAGAGAATGATTGTATCCAGCTCAGTCGCAGTATAGTCAAGTAGTGAGAGTCAACATTGTACGGCCTGCGCGCAAGTAAAAGAAAAAAAGAAGGAGGAGGAAAGAGGAAAGAGGGAAGAAGGGGGAGTGGTAAGAAGGGGAGTGCGTAAGAGGTGAGGTTCAGAAGGGTCGCATTGCGGGAAGCGATGGGGTTTTCGGAAACGCGCTGCCGATCTTTTCTTTTGAAATCAGTCCACTGACATTCCTCCATTTCCACATCCCCCTCTATCTATTATTAGCGTCTACCTACTACTTACTTCTAGATCGTATGACAACAGTCTCTCATTCCCAATAATGGTACGGAGTATTCCCCTGCACAAATAAAGATAGACATATACATATCTAACAGGAAGTAGGACTCTCTTTCCCCACTGATTCAACAATGGCTAGAGTGGGACCAAGTGTGTAAACCGTTTATATTTTATTTATATCTCCGAGATCTAATATCGTTTTAACGGCAGGATCCCGCCACACGAGCGGAGATCGAACAACTTCGGGACGCTGGAGCTGTCGCAGATCTTGAGCAACGGCTTCGGAACCGTATGTAATAATTTAAGCGTCGTATATACTATGCCGACTCATGCTGACCACAAACCATAGGAATTCAATTTGGGACTGCAGGCCTTCGCGGCCGGATGGCGGCAGGGGTTTCCGGCATGAACTCTTTGACCGTCATCCAGGCATCGCAGGGTCTAGCTAAGTATTTGAAGGACAAGCATGCGGATAGTGCGTCGGGCGGAGTAGTTATTGGCCATGATGCTCGTCACAACTCGGCCAAGTTTGCAGCGCTGGCTGCGAATGCCTTCATCTCCCAGCAGATCCCGGTTTGGTTCTATTCGGAGCCTTCCGTGACCCCATCTGTGCCTTTTGGAGTCACGCATTTGCGGGCTGCTGCGGGTATTATGATCACTGCAAGCCATGTAAGTTTCCCGTCGGGAGACGTATGTTTATTTATGAAGACTGACTTTCTGGTAGAACCCCGCTCAAGATAATGGTACGTTCTTCCCAATCCCTATGAATCAAGTTACTAATCCCTTGTTAAATAGGTTACAAAGTGTCCGTCACTCCGTGCTCGTCCTTCTCATTCGAATACTACTGACATGAGCCTAGCTATTTCAAGAATGGTGCCCAGATCAACACGCCTGTTGATGTAGAGATAGCCCAGTCAATCGAAGAAAACCTGACTCCATGGCCGGGTGCCTGGAAGGTCCTTCAGGCTGTCAAGTATCTCCACGCTGATGCGTATAAGACCATTTTACCTCACTATACAAAGACTGTTTGGGAATACGCGGTAAGTGGCCGTTGGCCCTCGTTCTCACAGGGCTAACTGTCCCACGATAGAAGTCCACTGTGACGGACTGGAAACAACCGAGACCCTTTGTCTACACGCCCCTGCACGGAGTTGGAGGCCTTGTCTTCCCCGATCTCTGCCGGTCTGTGGGCATCACCGAGTTCACACCCGTGCTGGAACAGGTCGCCCCCAATCCAGATTTCCCGACCGTATCGTTCCCCAACCCAGAAGAGGCCGGTGCTTTGGATCTTGCCATGCAAACAGCCGATAGAGAAGGCAAAACCTTGATCATTGCCCATGATCCGGATGCGGATCGCTTCGCTGCTGCTGAAAAAGTCGAGTACGTGCTGCTTGTATCTAAGAAGAGTCAATATCACCAATGAACTGACCAAACGCCTAGTGGATCATGGTTCTCTTTCACGGGAAACCACATCGGAGTTTTACTCGCCTCGCACCTCTTTGACTCTCTAGAGAACAGAAAGGACGACGCACGCGTGGCCGTTCTGAACTCCACAGTCTCCACAGGCATGCTCGAGAAGATGGCAACAGCCAAGGGCATCCACTTCGAAGAGGCGCTGACCGGTTTCAAATGGATGGGGAATATTGCCCGACGCCTCGAAGGCGAGGACTACAGCGTTCCTTACGCATTCGAAGAAGCCCTGGGCTACATGTTCCCGGCAGTCTGCCACGATAAAGACGGCATCACAGCAGCGATGGTCTTCTTAGCAGCACAAGCCAAATGGCAATCCCAAGGACTTACCCCATACCTGAAACTGCAGCAACTCTTTCAAGAGTTCGGCCACTACGAAACTCTCAACAATTACTTCCGGTCGCCGAACCCGGACACGACGATGACTTTGTTCCAAGCCATTCGAAACGGACCCTACAGAACCGAGATGACCCTGGGATCTTTCAAGATCCTGCGCTGGCGGGACATGACCGAGGGCTATGACTCCGGCACTGCCGATCACAAGCCTACGCTGCCGGTTGATAAGTCTAGTCAGATGTTGACTCTCTGGCTGGACCAGGATGTTCGCTTCACTTTCCGTGCCTCGGGAACGGAGCCCAAAGTCAAATGTAAGTGGTAATTGCCTTTAATTTTATAAATTCTTCGACTGACGATTGCTAAAGTGTATATTGAAAGCTGTGGTGCGTCCCGCGCACAGGCTGTGGATGCTGTTTGTAATGCTTTCTTGGCTGTCTTAAAGGAATGGGTACTTCCTTTTGCCCCGTCTATGACATACAGCGAACAGATGCCTACATCGTCGGGTCATGTGTTCCAGCTTTCGGGATAAAGCGTGATTCGGCTTGAGCTCAAAGGACCTCGAATACTTGTCCATAGCACTCCATGAGAGGAGCATACTATTACGTGAGATGAGGAGAGTGAGACGGCAGAAAGAGCTGTAGCGATTCGTATACCAATGTTAGCTCATTTAGACGTTCATGTGAGATGCTATTCGGTGACAGAATATCACTTCTTTAATGTCTCCCGTAGCGACAGTAATGTCCCGTCGGGCAATCCGTTTACTGGTGATAAGAATAATGTCTTTTATTCATAAGTTTCGGTACACGACACCCAACAAAGGAAATATAACCAGTCAAATGCTACAGGGTTGCTAGCGTAGCTAGTCTAGGAAAGATACAGACGGGGAAAAGAGAAACAGGAACTTAGAAGTGGATGGCCTTGGAGTAGGTAGCCATGGCAGCTTCCTTGAAAGCTTCCGAAAGGGTAGGGTGAGCGTGACACGTCCGGGCGATGTCCTCGCAAGAAGCACCATACTCAACGGCCAGAGTGGCCTCAGCAACCATCTCACCAGCGTTAGGACCGATGATGTGAACACCGAGCACACGGTCGGTCTCCGCATCAGCAATGAACTTGACCTGACCCTCAGTGTCGAGGTTGGTCTTGGCACGAGAGTTGGCGCTAAAGGGGAAAGTACCGACACGGTACTTGATCCCGGCGGCCTTGACCTCCGCCTCGTTCTGGCCAACCCAGGCGACTTCGGGGTGAGTGTACATGACACTGGGGATGACGCCGTAGTTGACGTGACCGTATCCCTTGGTGATGTACTCAACAGCTGCAACGGCCTCCTCCTCAGCCTTGTGGGCAAGCATGGGGCCGAAAGTGCAGTCACCAATGACACGGATGTGAGGGACCTTGGTGCGGTACTCCTGGTCGATGACCAGACGGCCCCTCTCGTCCTTCTCAACACCAACGTTCTCCAAGCCCAGACCCTCGGTGTAAGGTCTGCGACCAATAGCAACCAGGACAACATCGGCATCCAGGGTCTCCTCCTTGCCGCCCTTGGCAGACTCGACGTTGATGGAAACAGTAGCTCCACTGTCATCACCCTTGGTGACCTTGGTGCCGGTCTTGAACTTGATACCCTGCTTCGACAGGATCTTCTGAGCCTGCTTGGCGATCTCTGCATCCATACCAGGTCCACCGATCTGGTTCAAGAATTCAACAACGGTGACTTCGGCACCGAGACGGGACCAAACGGAAGCCTGTCACTAAATTAGTATTGAGATTGCTGTATCACGTCTCCAGAAGCGCAAAAAGTCGCAATCATACCATCTCCAGACCGATGATACCACCACCAATGACAACCATCTTCTTGGGGACCTCCTGCAGCGCAAGAGCACCAGTGCTAGTGATAATGCGCTTCTCATCGATGTTCAGGCCGGGGAAGGGAGTGGCCTCGCTACCGGTGGCGATGATGATGTTCTTTCCGCGAAGGGTCTGTTCACCACCGTCGAGTAGGTTCACCTTGACCGTGTTGGGGTCAACCAGAGCACCAGTGCCCTTAACGTAATCGACGCCGTTCTTCTTAAGCAAGAACTCAATACCCTTCGTCAGACCCTCGACGGATGTGTCCTTGGCCTTCATCATCTGCTCGAGGTTCAACTTGACATCACCGACCTCAATGCCGCGTTTCTTCGTGTCGTGGAGGATCTGGTGGTAAAGGTGGGAGTTGTTCAAGAGAGATTTTGAGGGGATACAGCCGACGTTCAGGCAAGTGCCTCCAAGGCGGCCACGCTTTTCGATACAGGCAGTCTGTCGGGCAGCCACCGCAGTCAGTGGAAAAAAAAAATTCCGAAAGAGGCGAGTTAGGGAATTGAGCGCACCTTAAGGCCCTCCTGGCCAGCCTTGATGGCAGCAACGTATCCAGCGACACCACCACCGATGATAACAAGGTCATGTTCACCTATCCCACAGTGCATCAGTAACCAGCCTCACAGTTTTCGGAAGCGCAGGCCTCGTTCATGGCCCTCCCGCCTCCGGGGGGAAAACTGGATACATACCGGACTCCGAAGCGTAGCCACGTTTTGTGAAGAGGGCAAGAGAAGGAGTAGCGACGAAGTTAGAAGGGACAGGCTGAGGGCGAGCACTGCGGAGGGCAGCCCGCGGCGTAGCCCGCGGCAAAAGAGTCCGGAACATGGCGAGAAAGACGGGGGTCTAGAAAAGAGAAAAATACAAAAGATAGAGATTATAAACGACAGCCAATCCTCCAATTAAAGTAGATGGAGAAGGGAGGGGAGGCAACAATGGCAAGTGGTAGAAGGAGGTAGGGTATAGTATAGGTAGGGAAAAAGGATGTTGGGACAAGAAGCTTTCTTTGAGGTTTTGCCAGCAGAAGCTGGCGGGCCGGTATCGATACGGTATTCCGCCGCGTATGTAATTATCCAGGCCAGTCCATTTCGGGTCAATTCGGCTAACCTTTGCCATATTGCCGATAGAGTTCTAGTGGTATTGCGCATACCCTCGCGAGGTACGGGATTATCCTCAGATTAACAGGCATGATATCATTGGGCTTTTCGACCTCCGGGCTACGAGGTATACTTACCAGACAACTCCGGATCATTCGGGCAGATCCGAAATGGCCAGGGTGTACGGAGGGTTTTAATACAGAGTACATCCTGCGACGCTTTGTCAGCGGGCCGGTGAACCAGAAATACCTCAGAAGTGGCCCAAAAAGGAAAGGGATACCAACGGCCCCAGGCAAGAACTTACGTACGGTGACTAAAATACCATCCCCATTCTATGAAAATACCACCACCTGGCCCATTCTCTTGATTTTGACTATCAACCTAAGAAAAGGTAGAAGAAGATAAACTGACGTATAAGATGCTTTGTGTTCTCCGCGGGTAACGTAAAATCAGTAATACACTGTCGAGGTTATCGTCGGCATCTTTTAGGTGAACCACGAGTCACCTGCATGGCAGGTAACGTGATCAGAGGAAGCCTCTTTCTTGGTCTCTCAACAGCATTTCATCCTACTTATACACTCGAGACGCTATGTGTGATGTTTATTATTGAAAAAGACGATTCCATCTTCTTTTTTCTTTTTCATTCTCGTTCCTGTTTCGGGCGGTCTTCGATTGCATATAGCCGACTTGTTTATAGTAGAGAAAATTCCATATGCAGGACCATGGATACCAAAATGTGTTTTCAAAGGTTAAAGCGTTGAATATGAGATGATAGTTGAACTTTCTAAGGGACCATTTGGGGCGAATGACCATGGCAAACGAAATACCTTAGGAGTTTCTAATCCCATCTACAGGGTCTTATATCGAGTCTCGTCCCCTTCATGAAAGGGAGCTGACTTTACCTTATTGTTACTAGCTGCGCTCCAATCATTGGTGCCTAATACGAGCTTGGCGTGAGACGAATTGGCCTGAGTCATCCATCTCGCGAGATTTAGCTAGCCTAAGACCTTCTTCCTTACATATAAACAAGTTGCCGGATTATCATCATCGTCTTAAGGCGTGTGTTGTACTAAGCGCCTGTTTGCTACCGAGATGCCTTCCGCGAGTGAGATTACAGAGTTGTGCACAAAGCCGCCCCTTCTTGAGACCGTGGCAACTCGGCCGCAGAAGCTGATTGAAATCGTGGAGTCGGACCCAACATGGCCGGAGTCATTTGCGATCATTGCACGCCGGATTGTTGATGCCCTTGGGAACAACCTTCTCTCTATTGAACACGTCGGGTCAACCAGCATACCAGGCTTACCAGCCAAGGCGGTAATCGATATAGACGTCGTTGTTGCAGATTCTAGAGCAGAAGACTCCTACGTACCGGCCCTTGAGGCGGCGGGCTTTCAGTTTCTGTTTCGCGAGCCTGGCTGGTATGAGCATCGTTTTTTCGGATGCAATGACCCGTACGCAAACATTCATGTCTGGAGCCCAGATTGCCCGGAGTTCACGCGACATCTGCTGTTTCGGGACTGGTTGTGCAAGCATGAGGATGATCGCCAACGGTATGCGGATATCAAACGGCGAGCAGCTGCGGCCAGTCGAGCTGCCGGGGAGACCGTGATGCAGTATAATGCGCGCAAGGAATCCGTGATCTTTGACATCCTTCAGCAAGCCTTCAAGGAGCAAGGATACCTAAACGAGTAAAACACGGAGTAGTAAAGAGGGGTTAGAGGAAGCGTAATTGCTATTGCATACGTGTGTATATAATGTACACATGTCTGTATGTATATTGGAGATCTATATATTATTTGTCATGTCACGAGTATGTTCATGCTCGGTAGTCTGTATGTCGGAGCGAAATGAATGTCCGATTTTGTGCATGGAATCAAAAAGGATTTTGACCCATGTAGGCTGGAGCCCTCAAGTCTGCAAAACCAAAAAGTTGAGAACAAAAAGAGGTCATCTTGGGATCAGGTGTTCCGGGTCACCTGCTCGTGTCGGGGAAGTCCCGACCACATTTTTCCCTTTTTTCCCCACCCAAAATCCCCCAGAATCTCCAAGACTGCCCCGCAATGAAGCATGGCACTGGCCAACGTCTGCTTTTGTCAATCTTGACGCCCATACTGGAGCCTCCAATCGTCTTGGATTGGTGCGCAAGTCAAGTCACCGTCCCTGAACCGAGTTTCGGCAAAGGATCTTCACCAATTGACGCAGTGATTGTTTCCCTGTTTGATTTCTAGCTGTATTGTTTAAGCGAGTCAAACCGCATCCTCAGCTAGTATTGTCATGTCGAAATCTTTCCATAATGCGACAGGAGTGGTCTTCTCGGGAGAGGGAAGTGTGAAGCTTTTCCGGGTTCCTTTCTCGGTTCAGGAGGCCGGTCCAAATGTATCGTCTCTCCCGTCGCCCGGATTCCCGACTTTGATTCGTATCCTGCCGGTCTGGAGCAAAACCCGGCCCTTCGTTCTCTCCAGATTTTTTTCTGGCGGGGCCGTTCGACGAGTCATATCGTTTACTTTAGTGGAGAAGTTAACTACCTTGCATGTGCGATGAATCCTCTAGCTTTATCCCACACGGAATGTAACCCAATTCGATTTTGTATGACTTCGACTTTCTTCCCATGTCCCCGTTAATCACTATGCAAGATAGAAAAGCCGTCGGCCTTTAGCCGACTGCGGTTTCTGGCCAAGCGCATATATAGACCTCGTACCCCCCCTCCCTCACACAGGTGTTTGTGGGAGATCTCTGAATGTAGTGTTTGTTTATTTGTCTTGCTGTCAAGCTATCCAGGCAAAAAGTAGGGAGCCCCGAAGAGGACTGTTTTCTTGGATCCTTGTTCCCTCACCTATAGTCGGCTTTTGGAACAGAGGTTTTCGCCATGTGCGACCAAATACCTAGGTGGAATGTTGTCCACAAACTCGAGAAGCGCAAGCTTCTCATTGGCATCAACAGCGTTGCCGCGTTGTCGATTCTTTTCTTCGGATATGATCAGGGAATGATGGCTGGAGTAAACAACTCAAAAGACTACATTGACCTGATGGGATTCGGTCACACTGAGATGAGAGATGGCTATCTAACTCCAGTCGTCACAGACAGTCTGCTGCAGGGTGGAATCGTGTCAGTATATTACCTAGGGACATTGTTCGGTGCACTCCTTGGTGGCTGGACAGGAGATCGTATTGGCCGGATTAAAACCATTGCGACAGGTGCTCTTTGGGCTATTTTTGGTGCTGCGCTGCAGTGTTCAGCACAGAACCACAATTGGATGATTTGCTGTGAGTTCACTGCGAGGGAAGACGTCCCCAGATCCCCTTAGTTAACAGCTACTTAGCGCGCTTCATCAATGGAATTGGTACTGGTATCTTGAATGCCATTGTTCCGGTTTGGGCAACAGAGACTGCCGAGCACACGTCCCGAGGACAGTTCATTGCAATTGAATTTACCCTGAATATTTTTGGCGTCGTCCTCGCCTACTGGCTAGAATTGTAGGTCTTCTGCCCAAGCGTTCGGAATTGTCTAATTCGGTTCTAGTGGACTGTCCTTCATCGATGGCGGGAAATCTGCTTTCCAATGGAGGTTCCCTATCGCGTTCCAAATCATCTTCCTGATCCTACTGTTCGTAGTGGTTTGGTTTTTCCCGGAATCTCCACGATGGTTAGTCAAAGTCGGTCGGGAGCAAGAAGCGCGATATATTCTGGGCCGGCTCCGTGGAAGCAGTGATGAAGATGCAGTTCGCGCCGAGGCTGAGTTTAGAGACATCCAAAGCGTGGCTGAAATGGAAAAAAGCATGAACCACAGTACCTCCTACCTGGCGATGCTCTTCGGATACAAAACCGGAAAGCTGCATCTCGGGCGACGCGTGCAGCTGGTGGTCTGGTTGCAGATCATGCAGGAATGGGTCGGCATTGCCGGCGTGACTGTTTGTATGTTTGCTTTATGCCGCCACAATTGCATCACTGACGACAGTAGATGCACCAACTATCTTTAGCATTGCTGGGTTTGATTCGATGAAGAGCCAGTGGATCAGCGGCTTGAACAATATTTTCTACATGGTATGATGCCCCGAGGACTACTGTAGCGACATAGCTGATAGAACTTAGTTCGCAACGCTTATCTGTGTCTTCACACTGGATCGGATTGGTCGCAGGTGGACCTTATACTGGGGGTCTACCGGGCAGGGCATCGCCATGTTTCTGGCTGGGGGCTTCTCTCGACTTGCCATTAATGCACGGGCGGATGGGAATATCTCCCAAGCGAACTCGTTTGGCGCTGCCGCAGCGTCCATGGTCTTTATTTTCACCTCTGTCTTTGGAGCTACTTGGTTGACAGGTATATAGCGTGACTTCCTGACATCTAATGACTCTGCTAATTTGGTCAGTGCCATGGATTTATCCTGCTGAGATTTATCCGTTGGCTGTCCGCGCCCGAGGAAACGCCTGGGGTGTTGTGGGATGGAGCATTGGAAACGGCTGGCTGGTAAGGAAGATCTTGTGTGTTCTCTTAGACCCCCACTGACGAAATAATTAGACTCTTCTGTGCCCGGTGATGTTCGAGGCCATTGGCGAGAAGACACTGTACGTGTTCGCGGCTAGCAATGTCATCACAATCCCGATGGTATGGGCTCTCTATCCTGAAAGCAACCAGCGAACCCTAGAAGATATGGACTTGCTGTTCGCCGCCGAGACCCCGTGGGTGTGGGATGCCGAGCGCACCTTTGCCCGTCTCAAGGCGGAAAATCCGGGGTACATTGAAGCCACCAACCGCAAGAACAGTGCGGTAGACCCGGAGATGGGCAAGTCGGCGAATGCCCACGAAGAGCATGCTGTGTAGTGTCAGCCAGCTGTACTATTTGGCCTTGGATGAGGTACGAGGTAACGTTTGATGACGTTAGTTTATATATAATTATATATGTGTGTGTCTATACGATCCGGATTGTCTCCGGTGACCTTAACCTTCCTGATTTATTGCAAGGGTACCTATGTTGTGCTTAGTGAGGATTATGCGTAGCACGTAGTTCCTTTGCCTTGCCGGGTTGCACCGGTTAGATTAGCATATCGATTCTTTTCTGTTCTTGCGAGGACCATTTACTCACGCCGGACATAGGTATATCAATGATGAAGTAGCCACACGGACTGCATTTGACGATGAAGGATGGTATACACAGGAGACTACGCCCACTGCGTTGGAAAGGACTACCTTTTCAATGGCAGGGTCTCATTGGGAACACTAACAATTGTGTACTTAGGAGTCCGGTTCCATGACTACACAATCTCTGTTCTGGAGCTCGAGCATCACTTGCTCAACCTTTCGTACATTTCCGAAGCCCACGCTCTCCCGATCCTGGATGCTGAGGCCGGTGGACTGGTGGCAGCACTTGTTCGATTTAGCAAGCAGGATGCGGTGGGAAAAGAAGATGGCAATATTGATCTTCGACGTATCCGCAATGACCTCTCTGTCAGCCTAGTCTCATACAAACCTCCTGCCCTTTTGCGAGTTCTCCAAAATGAGGATCAGGTCCCTTGGACGGCCTCCGGTAAAACGTTGAAAAAGGATTGTCTTCGAAAGTATTTCAACATATTGGGATCCATGCCTAAGAATTATGTCGTCGGTGAGGTGGGGGACTGGGGAAACAAGATCGATTTGGCTGCTTCGACCCGTGGATTTGATTTGGGGAGGGAGGGGGGGGTGGGGCTCTTCTGTAGGTTGTGTTAGATGTGGCTATGTGAAGATAAGCTGGAGAGCTAATACTATATACGTATGACGTTGGTAGATGAGCCGATAGAAGGAACAATACTATTCTCCCCTTGATATCTATGACTCTTCAAATAAATTAAAGGAATTGCGCATGGAGTTAGGGAATTCCTTGACCGTGCTATAAGTCTATTGAGCAAGCGGGAATAATGATATTACTGTCCACTATCCATATGGTAGGGCAGATCAAATCACACGGTCCACTCTGATTGGTCAATTCCACAACAACATCAAGCTCATCAACCAACATTCAGTTTTCAAGAATATATAAAACCACTCAAAACAACCTTCTCAATTAACCTAAAACCATTAACTCTACCATAAAGATACTCAACTAGTAAGCCTACTATTAAGGTACGTAACCAAGTACCGCCACTCTACCAAAGCTAAGCAAGACCCCAGCCACCCCGTCGAATAATACAAGGAACAATGACCACTATCCAAACCCCACCCACATCAACACTTACACCAACGTCAACTAAATCCCCTCTCCACCCCCAAGACACAGCTCTCAAAAAACAAGCCCACCGCATAACCTCCCACCCAACCCTAAGCCCCCACCGCCGCCGCGTCTACCTCGCCCTCCTCTCCATCCCCCGCGGCCGCTGGACCACCTACTCCGCGCTCGCCAAACATCTCCACTCCAGCGCGCGAGCCATCGGCACCGCAATGCGGACGAACCCCTTCGCACCAGACGTCCCCTGCCACCGCGTCCTCGCCGCCGACGGCAGCTTAGGCGGGTACATGGGCGCCGGGCCCGCAAGTGGGAGCGCGAATCTCGCTCGGAAGCGAACGATGCTGGAAGACGAAGGGGTAGAGTTCGAGTGGGTGGACCGGGGGACGAAAAGTGGGTGGAGGGCTCGGGGGGAGTGTTTTATCAAGTTTCCCTGAGAGTTGAATTACTAAATCTATTTCTTTCTTTCGTTTTCTTTCGTATCTAAGGAGGGTATTAGTCTGTGTTCGTTAGCTAGCTAGTTAGCCACCCGTTCAAATTGTCCGTTTTTATTTCTTTTTTTTTTTTTTTTTT